GTCTTCCATGGTTTCTATAATTATAATAAAGTCTTAATTAAGGATTTTAAGAAAATTATAGAATTAATAATGATTATAATATATATTAAAAATCTAAAGGATTTTAAATGGATATAAGAGGTAGAAAAGGCATTCTAAAAAATGAAGAAGATTATAATAAAAGATCTAATAATAAGGTTATTTAGTTTAAATAAAAGAAAATAATTATATATCAATACTTTAAATAAAATAATAAGGATAATATTAGAATAATTAAAAGATAATGGAAATTAATATTTAATCATTTATTTTTTTAAAATCTTTAAGAAACCAGAAATAAGATATAAAATATATAATCAAAAACTTATGGTTATTTATTAAATATTAAAAAAATAGAGATCATAGGTATCAGAAATTATTAAACCTTTGGAGATTTATTTAGATTATTATAATTTTAAATCCTTTATAATTATTAAGGTTCTTAATAATAGATAATCATAGTGGGTAAATAATCTTATATATTTCAATTTTAAAATTCATTATATTAAAAGAAAAGAAAATATTTAGGTAAACATTTTTAATAAATTAAAAAGTTTTAATATTAAAAAGGTTAAAAAAGAAAGGATAATATTCTAAGAAATATCTAATAATATTCTAATATTATTGATAATATATTTAATCAAATTATAATATAAATGAAAATAAAGGATTAAAAAAGAAATCCTATAAATTAAGGATATTTTATTAATATAGGATTTTATTATTAAAAATATAATATCATATAATGGGAAAATCTATATATCATTAATATTATAAAAAAAATTCATATAAGAAATATATGAATATCCTTTATATAAATATTTGGGAATTTTTAAAATAATTATATAATTATAGGAAATATATGATTTCCTAGGAATCAAAGGAATAATTAAGAAGATTATCTTAAATTATAATATTTATAATAAGGTTAAAAAAATTAAATATAAACTATATAGGCTTTTATAATTTATTAAGATTTTAGATAAATTATAGGATATTATTATATGGGATTTTATTATTAAATTATTTAAATCATAATATCTAATAACTAAAGAAAAATATGATAATATATGGATTATTATTAATAAACTTATAAAATATAAATATTTTATATTATTTAAAGAAACCTATATAGTTAAAGATTTGGCTTTCAAATTTATTAAAAAAGTTTTTAACAAATATAGGTTATTAAGGAGGATTATTTTAAATAAAGATAAATTCTTTACCTTAAAATTTTAGGTTGGTTTAATAAAGAGGTTAGGGATTAAATAGAAATTTTCTATAATGGTTTATCTTTAGATTAATGGCTAAATAAAGTAATTAAATTAGATATTAGAATAATATTTATAAAATTATGTTAATTATAAATAAGATAACTGGGTAGAACTCTTATTACTTACTATATCCTTATATAATATTTTGGTTAATAATACCATTAGGATGTTACTATAAGAAATATTATATGGATAATAAGCAAATATAGAATAAAAATTATTAATAAATAAGGCTATCTTAGAATTGGAAATAATATCACTTAAAATAGAAATATTTACTATTAGAATCTTAATATTATAAACTAAATTTAAATAATATCTTAAATTTTTATAATATAAAATGGTAATATATTATAATAAAAAAAGAATTAAAAAATTAATTCTATATAAGGAAGATAAGGTTTATCTCTTATAAGATAAATAATATTCTATATTAAAAATATTTTAAATTTGAATCAAGAGATTAAATAAGAAATTGGATTTTAAGAAACTAGGATCTTTCTTAATTAAAAAGGTCTTTTCAAAAATAAATTATTAACTATAATTATTAATAAATATGAAATTAAAAATTAATATATTTTATATTATTATATTTAAATTAATATCTAAAGATATTAAATTTAAAAGAAATATTAAACTAAAAGAAAACCTAAAAGAATATAATATTAAAACCATCTATAATTCTAGGATTATTAATGATTAAATTAAGTATTTTATTAAATAATTTAATTATTTAAAAAAGAATAATATTTGGGAATCATAGGAATATTTTATAAATAAAAAGATCTAAAAATTAATTAAAAATTTCTATTATTAAAATCTAAATTAATTGATGATGGTAAATCAAAGTTTACATCCTTAAAGGAAAAGTTGGAAAAGGGGTTAACTATAGAAGTTATATTAATTTATACCTTAATATTATATTACTACTCCCTTGCCGGATATTGCTCCTTTTTTAATTATTTCTGTTCTTCTAGTTCCTCTAGGTTTTGGAGATTATGCTAAAATATTTTCAAGCCTTTTTCTTTTAATAATTCCTTTTGTTGTCTAAGTTGTTTAATATAAATTAAAGCCTTGGTTATTTTGGTATAAAGATGTTTAAGGGCCTTTTCGGCCTAATGTTCTTAAATAGACAACCATTTTTCTTTATTTTTAAACCAAAAAAAAGAATTAATAAAGATGTCCATCCCATCATATTAATAACAATATAAAACATATTTATTACACTTTTTGGATACCTTAATTATTATTATATATTTAAAATTATGATTAAAATAGAATGAATATAATATAATATTTATATTAAAACCAATCCTATTAATCTATTTTAAAAGTTCTATATATTCTTATTTTTAATTAATATATTTATATTTTATAGATGGATTAATAAATATGATAGGGATTAAATTAAAAAAGATTTATTAAAAAAAAGGATTTTTAAAGATAAAAGAATTGAAAAAAAAAAAAATAATGTTATAAATCATATAGGCTTATAGGGATATAAAATCTTAAAGGAAATTTTTTTCTTTATTAAAATGGGATAGGAATGTATAATATGTGATATGGATGAATGTGGATAAGGGTATCTAATCTTATTTAATGAGTGTAATATGGATAAATATGGATGAATATATTTAGTTTTATTTAATGAATATAATAGGGATGAGTATGGATAAGGGGATCTAATTTTATTTATAAAAAAGGTAGTAATAGGGAATATTTATATAATTACCACAATTCTCCTATATATCTAATCATTTTTTTATGTTCTTTAGTTATTAATCTAAGATTATTCTTTTGAATATAATGAGAAGATTCTAGGCCTCTCTAATGAATAGAATTAACTTAATTATTTAATCTATTATTAATATTGTTACCTTTAAATCAAAAAACCCTAGATTAGCCAATCCAATAACAATTATACCTCTCCGAGGGATAGGTTCGTCACATCGGGGTTTTTTAATTTGAAAGTAACAATATCAATAGTAGGTTAAGTAGTTAAGTTAATTCTGTTCGTCAGAGAGGCTTGGAGTCTTCTCACTATACTCAGAAGAATAGTCTTAGATTGATAACTAAAGAGCTATGGAAAGAGTGACTAGATACATAGGAAATGTCTGTGGTTATATAGTTGTTCCTTCTGTTCTTCCTCCCAGTATCTGAACTTCATCATGAATCCAGATGTTCTGGTGAATCTGGTACACCTGGTCATGGATCTGGGCGTTTTGTTGGATCTAGTTACCTTACATAAGCAGATCCAACAGATCCTCCAGATCCCCGATGATTATCCGTGACTGGCCGTTACATCCCCACTTCCTCGGTCCCAAAAGTGGTTGCCTCATCAGTTGGTTCGTAACAAGAACTTACTTAATTATTTAACTTATTATTGTTATTATTACTTTTAAATTAAAATATCCTAGATTAATTAAATCAGTAATGGCTATATCTCTTTAAGGCATAGGTTTATCACATAAAAAATTATTATTAAATTAATTAAGTTAAGATATTTTAATTTAAAGGTAATAATATTAATAATAAATTAAATAATTAAATAGATTTTATTTATTAAAAAGGCTTAAAAAATTTTTATTATATTTAAAAAAATAATCTTAAATTAATAATTAAATATATAAAAAATGTTTATGATTATATAATTATCTTTTTTTAAAAAAATTTATTATTATTATAATTTAATTAATTTGGTCTTAGATTATTTAAATCATATAAATTATTTAAATTATTTTTAATCATATAGATAAATAAAATCATAATGTTTTATAATTCTTTTATAATTAACTTAAGATATTATGATAAACCTTTATTTTAAAGAGGTATAACCGTTGTTAAATTAATTAATCTAGGATATCTTAATTTAAAAGTAATAGTAATAATAATAAGTTAAATAATTAAGTAAGTTTTATTTATTAGAAAGGTTTAAAGTCTTTTTATTATATTTAAAAGAATAGTTTTAAATTAATAATTATAGAAAAAATAATTAAATATATAAGAAATATTTATAATTATATAATTATTCTTTTTTTCTTTTTTTAAAATTTATTATTATTATAATTTAATTAATTTAATTTTAAATTATTTAGATTATATAAATCATTTAAATCATTCTAGGTTATATAAATAAATAAAATTATATCCCCTTATAATTCCTTTATAATTAATTTAAGGTACCTCCATTTTTAATTCTTTAATTATTACCTGATGCTGTTAGTTCGTAACAGATACCTTTACTTTTAATTCTTTAATTATTACTTAAAATTATTAGTTTATAATAATATTTTAATAATTATATAAATATCTTTTTTTTTCTTTTTTATATTAAATATATTATTGATTAATACATCCAAATATCCAAGGTTATGCCATCATTAGTTGTCTTAAACCCTACTCATCCTTTAGAAATGGGCGTGGGTTCTTAGGTTGTGACATACATATATTTTATTTTAACCAGTTTTAAATATATTACCTCCCCTTTTTAATATAATTATAAACCTTACCTACCAACATAAAGTGTTTTAATGGTAAACATTTAAATTTTATTTACCTATTTTTATTTTCTATTTTACGTTTTTTTATAAATCTCCTCTTTTCGTAATCAAATCGTTTAGGCCTCCTGGATTGATCTTTTCATCCCTTCCGCCCCTCTGCCCCACCCCCAGACGGCACTCAAAAGGGCATAAAGGATTGTCCCAGCTCTTAGTATACTTTCTTCACTCCCCAACTAACTGCCAGCACCCTAGCGCCGAGGAAGCAGCTCATAGCGATGAAGTAAGACAGCGCCGCAAAGAGAATCAGAGCCAGCCACCCCTGTTCTTCATTCTTCCCGACGCCTAGTAGCGCACCAGCAATAGGGAGACTGCTTAAGGTGCCGAAGCTACCGACCATCATGGCCGTGGAGAAGAAGCGACCATAGTCGCGAGCGTCGCATAGTTGGCCAATGCACACAGGGTACAACCCTAGATTACTACCCGAAGCGAAGCCGAAAGTAATCGCGAAGGCGAGGAGCATACTATGCGAGTTACCCGCTGGAAGCCAGAAGGCCAGGATTGTAATCACACACAGCGCGTTTGTTAACGTGATCACGTTGAACCTGCCAAACCTATCCGCTAGGAACCCCGGTAAGAACCGACCGAAGAAGGATCCCGCGCAGAGCAGTGCTAAGAGCGTGTATGCGTCGTTTGGATTTTGGCCGTGGGCCGCGGCATACGAAACGATGTAGGTCAGTGGGGTGAATATGCCCCACTCCATAAACCAGATACCAGCGCAGCAGAACGTGAATTTAAGGTCGCGAAAGAGGGACCAGTCGGGTAGCACGCGAAGCGGATGGATGCTAGGGGGTAGTCGAGACCGCACTAGTAGGTTGGCGATGACAGATAAGAATAGTAGGATGAAGCCGATGATGCGGGTGGTCCATGCAAAACCCAGCTTAGGAATGACAGCTTGCATGAAAATAGGGAATACGATGCCACCAACGGATCCGGAAGTTGCGGCGATTCCGGTCGCGAAGCCTCGACGCTCCTTGAAAAAGTGCGCTATCACGCCATAGGCCGGCACGTTGAGTAAGGCGCCTCCTAGGCCGCCAAGTACGGAATACGCGAGAAGGATTTGGTAATATTCTACAATACAAAATTGATTAGCACATGTAGACCTATATCACTGTTTATCGTGTTATCAATGGCCGCTTGCCTTCACATAATCCTAGGAGGAGTTGGCTTGCTACGACTAGCAAGCTACCGACAGCAACTAGCCATCTAGGTCCATACCTGTCAAAGACGGCACCAACTTGGATGCCGGCGAAGAAGACGATGAACAAGTACACACTAAAAATCCAGCCAATGGTGGATGAGTTGTAACCGACTAATTGGTTAGTTGAGAAGTATGATTCGAAGACTGCAGCGACATTGATGAGTCCGTAGACCGACATCATGGCGCAGAAAGAACCAAGAACAATAAGCCAAGCCTCGAGGCCTCCTTCTGGGAATTCATCTTCGTCATCACCGTTGGATAGAGAGGATGAAGATGAAGAGGCTACACCTGCGGTTGCATTTCCCACGGGGTGGGAATGTCCAGTTTGGTCTTCTGGGCCCCCACCAGAATTGGGATTGATATTAGGAAGTTGACTCTTTTCGTCAAGGTGCACCGGTGAAGAGGTGAATAAACCCCCCTCCGCCGGGACAGTTTGATTTATGAGGCAGCTGTCATCTGCATTTTTGGGTGTGAGGGTCATGGAAGACCTTCACGGTATTTTGTTACAATCGATTTCAATACCGATGAGGGCAGAGTAACTTTTTGAAAGTCTTGGTAAGCTATTCTTCTACACTTGTGCATACGCCGTGGAATTCGCGAGGCGTTGAGAAAAGATTGAGTGTTAAGAAAGGAGGAAAGAATATTAGGTAGTGGATTTATTTTTCTTAGATGGCGAAAAATCTGGGGAAGATAACGGTAACGGCGCTATAACTCAACCTAGTAAGTAACTCCTCCCGTTGAAGTTGGAATTGACCAACCAAGGAACTTACCGTTACATAATAGTTTCGATAGCAGGTCGAGACCCCCGATGCCGACATTAACCACTACTACCACCAAAACCAACACCGCTTCCGTCCTTCCTTCCTTTTGTTCTTTCGCTGGTCTCCGATAGGAGCGGTGTTCTCCACTTTACTCTAAGGGAATTACGGCCGACGGAGATCAACGGATGATTCCCCATTTGCTAAATACATAGAGAAAGGTAGAACAAAACCTACATAATCTGAACATTAGTCTTGATCTTGTTTAAAAACTTTGCGATACCTTCTAAAAGCCATTGGCCAATTAGAATTGATTACCTCACCCCAGACGTTATGAATAGAAGACCGAAAATAAAACCCCAACCCTTACCCCAACCCCAATATCAGTCACAATTGTGAAACAATTCTTTAGTAAGCTCTCTAGGCTTGTATAATCTAGATTCGCAAATACCTCTATAGAGAATTAGTAATATGTGCAATGCTACCGCTTACTGATGAGCTGGTAAGTCCCATGAGATTAGCAAACTGATGGAATGGCCTTCCCGCGAATCTATACGAATTTGAACGCCGGGGAAAACGTAGAGATCCCGAATTGGCTTTTTCAGGTTAGTCTCTAGTCCAACCGAACTACCCCTATTCATTCTAAGCGGTATTCAATGGTCACCTAGATAGCATTGACCACATGCTTCAGTATGCCGTATAGATCCAATGCCATACTAACGTCAATTGGCGCATTGTTTTTTCGAAAAAAAAAAAGGATTAAGATCCAAGCGTTGTAAGCTGAAAGCTTGTCCAATGTTGCTGTTGTTTAACCTAGAAGCTTCCCCCCTTTTCAGTCTAACTTTCTTAATCCAGTTGGTGCATCTCGAAATCGGATACCCCTTAATATTAGTGGTCACCTGCAACATTAGCAGTATAACACACAGCACATAATAGGCGGTTAGGTAAGTTTGTTAGAGAGCTACCTATGAAGCGAGTTAGTAGTATAGTCACGAGCAGTGTCCAACTCACTTGGATGTAATGGAACCGTAGCATAGGCCTCTAGGCTTCTACATAAGCATGGAAGATCCATCTGCCCCTAGACAGAATGGTCTTTGGTGAGTATCGTTCCTTAAGAAATCATCCTACAAGACTTAGGAGCCTTCGTCAAAATTGGATATGTATGCCGAACTCTCCGCCTTTGACTCGCGGTAATCCGTTGAAGTCGTTGGACTCTAGCTCCCTAGGCGACGAAGAAGTCCAAAAACCTTCTCCCACGTATACTTCGTCTACTTACTCGGTGTCGTCGGCCGCCGGTATCGCTCATCCAAGCGAAAAGCAAGTAGGATACATAAATCGTCGCCCCACGGAGAAAATCCTCCCAAAAGGCACCGAGAAAACGAAATATAAACTTCGTTGTCTCCGTATTATCAGACGTATTCTCAAATCGAGAGCCATACCACCAGTCCCTGAAGAACGGTTACCGTGCCCTAAAGCCTCGGCTAACGGGTTGAGCCGAACAACAGCCAGTTGGATACAGCCCCTATTATCAGTCGGACGTCGAAGAACTCTGGAAACCAATGATATTTGGCTGGTGAATCCTGAGAGAAGCATCGAGACCCTCCGCGAAAAGTTTGGGGCGTCTTTCGAGTATAAACACTCGCTAGCGCTTGCTCTCTATGTCACCTCCGTGCGTGAGTTCTGGATTGGTGGTATTTGGCAATTGGCTGCCTCGCTGTGTCAAGTAGGCATCCCGCTTGTCTTGCGCTTTCTGCTATCGTTCGTAACCGAAAAATATCAAGCTGAAAATGCTCTATCCAAAGGTGACATGGAAGGACCAGCTTTGTGGAAGGGTTTGAGTCTGGTTGCTGGACTCTTGTTGTTGCAATTCGTACAAGGAATAGGTGTCAACCAGTTCTCCTATCATGGATCCATGATGGGTGTGCAGTCAAGAGGAGTCTTGATCGCTGCAATTTTCGAGAAATTCATGAAACTTCCTGTGCAACTGCATGGGACCAATGCAGGAGCATCATGTAAGGAAATCAGTTCCGGACAGAACGAAAAAGCCGACGAAACTTCGGAAGGGGCAGATTCCACCATGAACTTAATGTCTTCCGATACAAACCATATTAGTCAAGCGGCAGGGGCGTTCCATCTTGTGTGGACCGCCCCCATAACTATCGCCCTAGCCATCGTCTTAGTCCTCGATACCCTCACCTACTCGGCAATTCCCGGCATTTTCTTGCTCTTGTTTGGAGTCCAAGGTCTAACCCTCGCTGTTAAATGGATCGGAAGGCTGAAGCCAGTACTCAGACAGTTCACCAATGCTCGTGTCTCACTGACTCGAGAAGTTCTACAGCACATTAGCTTCGTCAAGTATAACACGCTAGAAGATCACTTCTTAGACGAAATCGGGCGGCATCGAACTAAGGAACTTGGAATTATCTTGAGGGTCCTTACTATAAGGAATTTTATGTTCGCTGCCTCCACCTGCCTACCCGTCATGGCTTCAGTATTGTCGCTCTCGGTTTACTCGGCTACTGGACACCATCTCATGGCGCCGACAGTATTCTCGTCCGTTGTGGTCTTTAACACCCTCCGTGTTCCTTTCGCTTCCATGTCTGTCTCTCTAAGACAGGTTGCCGAGGGTTGGGCCGCAGTGAAAAGACTGCAAAAATTCTTGGACTCAGAAGAGTCTAAAGAGGAATCTGTCTGGGACATAAACTCGGAGTTCGCTGTTAGTGTGGAACGAGGAAAATTCGCGCGGGCGATCTCTCCCAATGCCCGTGAAAATGCCGAGACTTCCGGGCACGACGAACATCACACGCAGGGGCCGCCATTCTCGCTTGCTGATACCGACTTTTCTATCCCCCGCGGGGAGCTGATTGCTGTGGTTGGGACGACCGGGTCTGGGAAGTCATCCTTACTATGTGCATTAGCGGGACAGATTCCAAAGATTAGCGGCAAGGTCACAATAGGAGTCGCGTCAAGAGCAATATGCTCGCAAGATGCATGGATCCAAAGCGCCTCTGTCAAAGACAACATACTCTTCGGCAAGCCCATGAATCGCGAGGTATACGATCGTATTATTAAAGCTTGCGCCCTAACTCTCGATATCGAAGCCCTTCCCGAGGGCGAAAACACTAAAGTAGGCGAGCGAGGCGCAAGTCTCAGCGGCGGTCAGTGTCAAAGAATTAACTTGGCTAGAGCTGTATATGCAAACAGCGATTTGGTTCTCTTGGATGACCCCCTATCAGCAGTGGATGCCAACGTCGGACAACACTTGTTTAATGAGGTTATCCTGGACGAACTGGGAGGTAAAACAAGATTCTTGGTTACAAATCAACGAAAGTATCTCGCCTGGTGTGATAAAGTCTTATGGATGGAAAATGGCCGTATTAGAGCCATGCGTTCGTACCTGAAACTCTATCAAAGTGAACCTGACTTTCATACCATGTTGGAAACCACCGCGAGCAATGAAAAAGTAGACGCTAAAGAGAAAGAGCAAACCCCCTATATGCGGCAACGAGCCTAGCGGGGGTTGCGAAGCAGGAAAAATTGTTCGGTGGCAGTCTGCCTGACAAGGCGCCCACTAGGGCTAGGGGACATCTACATGTCTTCAACCGGTATTTTCGGTCTTCTGGACACCTCTGCAATAGTGCTATACCGGTTCTATTTCTTGTATTGGCCCAGGGTACCGGTACCATGACAAGTTTATGGTTGTCGTATTGGACGTCCAACAAATTCGCCTGGCTGTCAAGAAACCAATATGTCGGCATCTATGTTACTCTAGCGGCGACGCAGGCTTTTATGACGTTCGGTCTTGCTTTCAGCCTCCCCATAATCGGAAATCGGGCAAGCCGAAGACTTCTCAATCAAGCTGTTGCTAAAGTCGTCGGAGCGCCGATGTGTTTCCATGACTTACAGCCCCTTGGCCATGTTTTGCACCCCTTTGCCGATAATGCCGAGGCAATGGACCAACAATTTCCGGAATCCTTGACTACTTTTCCCTGCTCGATTGCTGCCATATCGAGCACGTTTATTGTCATACAATGCTATTATCCCTGGTTTTCTGTCATGTCGGTGCCACTATTCTTCGGGTGCATATGTATAGTCAATTATTACGGGTCGACTGTAAAGCAGCTAAGGGATTTCGAAACTAAGCTGCGTGGTGATGTGTTGTCTATGTTCTCTGAATCCATTGCGGGGGCGGGGACAATAAAGGCGTACGGAAAACACCATCACCTCTTGAGGAGACTCTGCGATTCCATTGATGTTATGAATGCATCCCTCTTCCTATTATCCGGTGCTCAACTGTGGCTCACGACCCGGCTCAACCTGAAAGCTCTGATTGTGATCATAGTAGCTGGTACATTAATTATCTGCAATGGGGTTCATGTTGAGCCTAGTGTATCAGGCCTTGTGCTATCAGGGGTTCTCGCTTTCAGGATCCAGATTCAATTGCTTGTCCAACAGATTGGACAGCTTGAAGATCGCGTCCACTCTTTGAGCTTTTTGCTAGACTTCGTTTTGGAAATACGCCGAGAATTCTTTCATCGCTGGGGAGTGTCAGATCTCCCCAAGGGTTGGCCTACGGAGGGCGACATTACTATAACTGGCGTCAATATGCGCCATGGGCCTAACCGGCCAATGGTACTAAAAGATTTCAATATTCATATACAGCAAGAGGAGAAAATTGGGCTTGTTGGACGTACCGGCGTTGGAAAATCATCACTGGCAGCTGTCCTTTTTCGATTTGTCGAGCTCACCAGCGGCACTATCATCATAGATGGCTGGGACATCCAGCGTATCCCATTGCACATCCTTCGGTCGGGAATCTCGATCATCACTCAACGTCCTACTTTCTTTCGAGGGACGATCCGCTCGAACCTTGATCCTTGTGGCCAACACACGGAAGAACACGCGCATCGTTATCTGCGATGAGGCGACGTCATCTCTTGACCCAAAGACGGAAGCGCGGGTTCAGGAGGTAATGCTGAAGGCTTTCGCGGACAAAACCGTCTTGTCGATAGCACACCGACTACATACGATTATCGGCAGCGACCGGATCTGCGTTCTAGAACCGGGGCGCATCGCCGAGCTGGATACCCCGATTCGGCTATGGGAACAGAGGGGTATTTTTAGAGAGATGTATGATCAAATGGGTATTGGGCGCGTAGATTTCGGTGCCGATCATCAATAGAGGGATAAAATTGCACTAGTATTAGATATTTTAGACATTAAGGAGAGTAATAGGAGGTATAAAGATAGCATTAAGATTACTAAGACTAAATTTTGTGAGTGTTGTATGACGGCTGATGTTTCGCTGTTACTGATACCCCGGTGTTAGTAACAGATAAAAAGGAAAGTGGAAAAGCATCAGCGTCAAATTAAGGAAAGCGCCAATACTTCGGACCCCTGATTAACGACGTCATAATCGTCACCGTTGTCCCTTTTACAAACGGATTTAGGTACATGTAGTAATTTGGAATCTACCAAACTTATCTCTTTCACCTGTAGAATACCACATGCAAATGCTATCCTATCCCAACAATATACCTAGATGTTTATATAAATAGTATGGCAAGCACACAATAGCAAAATTTACCTAATTTATTCCAAGTGTCATGCTCCGAAAAGGCGGCTCGACAATCCTCAACCTCGTCTCTACCAGCAGTATACGTATCCAAAAACGAACCATGAGTACTTCAAAACCGGCGGGATCGATCTACTTCGGTCCATTCGAGGTTACATCTCAGGTGCATCAAGCCCCGAAAAGCCACTAATATAACTAACACCCAACCACCCATCAGTATCAACGCCACGGACATACTAACGACGCGTATAACAGGTTTTCCTCACAACCCCCCACTCCTTCGCCCTCGTAAACCTCAAGCCACTTCTACCGGGTCACATATTAATATGTCCGCGCACGCCGTACAAGCGGTTAACGGACCTAACAGCATCCGAGCTGGCGGATTTATTCCAAGCCGTGCAGCGCGTGCAGCGGATGCTGGCGCGGCATTATTTCTCCCCATCCCCCTCTGAGCATAGAGATGGTATTCCCGAAGCAGGTTCTTTCAACATAGCGATCCAAGACGGCGCGGAAGCGGGTCAGACCGTGTCGCATGTACACGTACACGTGATACCCCGGATACGGGGTGAGACCGCGAAGGAGGCGTCTGGACCGGGGGATCAGATTTATGAGAAGATGGCTGCAGAGGAGGGGAATGTTGGTGGGGCTTTGTGAGTTTCTTGCTTTTTTTTTCTCTCCTCTCGCATTTTCGTGTTTATGACTAATGGCAGAAGATGGGATCGAGAAGTAAAAAAGCTTCAGCAACAGCTTGGGAACCGACCTGAGCCAGGTGGTAGTTTTCCTAGTATTGAAGACTCCGAGCGGCATCCGCGGACGGCAGAGGAGATGGAGGCTGAAGCGAGGATGTTCCGCGCTGTTTTAGAGCAGATGGGGGAAATTGAAAGCCCTGCGCAATAGTAACTCTGGTGGAGGTCTAGAATTCATTCGGTATACAAAACGCTATTACACATGAACACCTTAGACATGCTCCTTTCTCCTGTACGATGCGCCCAGATCCAAATATAAACACCTAATTAATGTATTTACGTTGACCATTATTACAAGCCCCTAAGTAATTCATCCAGCGTAATCGGCTTCCGAACCGCATTACTGAAGCCTTCATGGAACGTAACCCAGACCTTGGTCTCGCCTTTCCCAAGAGGTGCATCCCCGGCTTTGCTCTTAGGTCTATTGCCGTTCGTCTCTTTTAGTGCGCGAGATTCGGTGTTCTCTATAACACGCCCGAAGAAATCCTTCTTCACTCCGAGTATGGGTAATTCCGGCACTTTCGCAGCCTTATTCTCCTTGTTATCGTCAAAAATGGACTCATCTAGAGTCGCAGTATGCGGATTACCACCCAGGAAGCGTGCCTGCCGCGCCAACTTCTCGCGTTGTAATTTAGCTTTGTGCAGTTCTTGATCCAACACTTGTCGGACGGCATAGCGCGTTGGTGCCTGCGTGCCATGAATGACCGCTGCCGAAGTTTCGAATGTTGAAAGGTGATCGAGATCGCTATGGAATTATTAGTAAACGGTTCATATTAATCGCTAAGAATTTGGTACTTACGGCTCCAAACGGTAAACCCATTGCGGTCCCCTGCTAAATGGGGACTCGTTCTCGATCTTCCCTTTCTGAAGTTCGATGCCAACCTCAGCCAGGACATCAGCAGCTCGCTTCACCATTTCCTTTTCCGTATCTTTCCGGACGCTCGCTGTACCTCGTTGGTCGCCACTGCCCCCAACGACAACGGGTTTCACGTCTGGAGAGACTAAACGAATAAGGTATGGAAGGAAATCTGTTGCGATATCCTCCGCGCTGCGGAATGCTCGCATAAGCGTTGGCGGTAATTGGGTTTGCATAGCCTGGAGCATAGCCCGATTCTCCTTTTCAGTCTCGCGCGCGACGAAGTCTGCCCTTGGGCCTGAAAAAGGAAGTGGTGGGCCCTCATCCTCAGCATCACCACCCCATTTCCGCTCATATGCCATAGTCGCGCGCCGAATGGGCGATGCAAACAAGTGATGGCATGCGAGGATCGGCTGACAAAGATATGGGGCTAACTCCCAATCTTGGCTCCCGAATAACCTTGACGAACAGGTATCATGGAAATGCATCCACTCGTAAGCGGAATCTGGCTTGGATAAGAAAGAATCGTCGTTGAACTCATGGTTCGGGTAGTCAAGGAAGACCTCAATCATTACCCTATCCACGTCACCACTTGTATCGATCATCTCCCTCAGACGCTCCATACCGTACTTTTTCTGTTGTTCCGAAAATCCAAGCTGTGCTTGGGGCTGCTCATTCTGGAACTTCGATACCGGGGCCGTAACAAGCACGTTAGGTTTCGGGAACCCAGCTCCGTCTTGGAAGATACGTGTGACGATATCCTTTACATTACCCCGTCCCACGCCTCTTGCACCACCGCCACCATGAGATAGATCACGAACAATATTCTGCTCAACCCACTGTCGCGTCAAGGATGGTGGGCTCTTGAGGAACGCCGACTTGACTCGGCCGGCAACCCATTCACCCACGACCATGACACCTCGCAAGTCTCCCTCAGCTGTGCTCTCGGCGCCTCTTTTCGCGTCTATGCCGCCACTCATACCCCAAGCAGCCTCACATAGTTTACGCGCAGCATCTTTTTCGCATGGAATTCCTTCCTTCTCGAAAACAGTCTTGAGACGCGTCACGACTGCATCGATTGTAGGTTTTCCAACGTGGATAATTTCTGCTAGATTCGATTGGCGCAAGGGCCTCAGCGACGGGTGGTAGACATCATTGCAAATTAGGATAAGTGGCCGCATCTGGCGAAAGTCATCACCCTTCTTTTTGCGCCGCCCGTGTTGTTGGGCGGTTTCTTGTGGCCCCGAGGCGTTCTTCTCCCCAGTTGTAATCAAGTCTATTAGAGCTTTGATAAAACCACCTTCCCCGGAACCACCCGAGCCTGTTACAACACCATCGACTTCGTCGACTACCACGCACACAGGTCGAACGACTTTCTGTTTTTTCGTGTCCTGTGGCTTATTCTGTTGCACCGTCTTGACGTTTTCCGTACCTAAACTAGTGCGAATTCGGTTCTTCACGACATCTCGGCTACGATCATCGCTTGCGTTGATCTCCATTACTTCGTAACCGGCTTGCTTGGCACAGACGTGAGCAAGTGTAGTCTTGCCCAATCCAGGAGGACCGGTAAGCATAAGAATATTTCGGTGCGGCTTTTCCTCCTCGGCCTCTGCCTTCCCTCCCGGCCTCCTTGTGGATAATTTCGGTTTCGATACTCCCGGGAAGACAACGGGATCCCATCTCTTCAACCACCGTAGAACCTGTCGATTTGTTAGGTCGTCTCCAACTAGGTCCATGAAATTCCTAGCTCGGTATTTCTCGGTCCATAGGAGCGACTTCTTTGGTTTCTTGGGAGCTTCGACGGAAGGCATTGGTTCATCGGGAACGGGATCCGCGGCTGGAGGTTCGCTTCTAAGCTCCTTAGAAGCGTTTTCGATTAGCTTATGGATTTCAATTCCATAGTAACTCTTCTTGGCTCGTCCTTCCTTCGTCTTCGACCGGGCTGCAACCATCTGCTCGTAGGTCGCACTGGTATTCGTTTTCCGTTGCTTAATGTCAACTGTATTGCCCGAACAGGTCGTAATCTTCAAGTTGCTTTTCGCTTGGCGAGAAGGAATTCGGTCGAATATCGAGGCAAAGTTGCTTGAGCTGAAAAACGAGGTCGTTATGGATGGTTGGGTCTCGCTCTCGTCATTGGTTTGTTGCGTTGTTGGAGTCGAAAGCGACTCGGCGACCTCCTTAACCGTAACATTCGGGTTCGTAGATGGAGGTGAAGATGGCTCGGTGTATTCCGTAATTGGAGGTTCGGTGGGACTGCTAATAAGTCGTCTCTTGGCCGCAAGTTCTTGCAATAAATCCTCATCGTCGGAGTCATCGTCTATAAGAAAACCGGATTTCGTCTGGAGTCGAGGTTTGGGGTCGACGTGTGGTTTTGCACGTTTCGTTGCTGTGGCAGGAGAAGAGCTGGCCGGATAGACCACTGGGGACGAAGGGGGCAGCATTTTCCAAAGGCCAATTGAAAGGAATGGGGTTCTAAGTTTCGAAAGACACGAGATTAAACCTCGTACTTCAAAAATGGTTTGTACAAAAATGGTGCTTAGACATTATCAGGATTATTGTAAATTGATGGACGCGGGGACGCGTTTGAAGCGCATCTCGTGGGGCAATTGGAATTGAACTTTTATGGGTCCAAGTATGCATGTGTATATACCCCTGTATGGGCATAGCGAGGGTAACCCAATGACATAATCTCTTCAGTACATGCATCGACTTTATCTAGCTGGTTACGTAATGCGACAGCTTATTGATGACTAAGGAAATAAAGGCCAAGTTCTCACGGTTGGCGACCCTAATTTCAAACTTAAGAAAAACAAAACCCCTGAACTCTATCATATCCAGTTGCTTCAAGAGTCGACTTTCAAGCACATCACTAGTCAACTTCAGTCGATACTCCTAATTAAATCCCGGAGATCATCTTTATCAAAGCATGTATTTCCTGTACCTACATACATGTGCAGCACGTCCCCCATCTAGAATAATTATACCTGGATTTGACCATGTTAGTCAAATCTGGCACAATATTCAATCGGGTAAATACGGTGCAGCAATGGTATTTACCTTCTCTGATCCGCCACTCCACTTCCAACACACTCTAATGTTGGTTTCGCATATCTCAGACAAGTAGCGGAGAAAAAGAGATTTCCTGCCATCGCTAACATCATGCCTTCCACAAACCGCCATTCCTTACCAGTTGAACCGTAAGGGTATAAGGCTTGTCGGTACTCTTCGTTGATTTCAACTTCAAGGTTCCATATATACCCTCGAAGAATCACTTTCGCCTCCCGAGATGAGATTGCGAGGAGATTTTCCAAAACCCTAACCGCATTGATGACTACGTCGCCCTTTTTCCTTTCGGCGCACATCTCTTTTTCGTACGAGTACAGATCGTTGACCAATGATAGATGTGTCCATACGAGCTTACGTATTTTTGTGAGACGTGACAGCTCCTTTCGAGATCGGGTAATCTCACAAGTAAACATTATAGCTGCCTCGCAATAGCTATCGATAGTTAGCACTATCACATCACATAGGGAGCAACACTTACTCCACTGCGAAGTCCAAGATACGGTAGTCGATATAAGCACTGAGCGACTTGAACTCCATCGAGCTAGGTGGTTTCTCGCGTGTATGTTTGACCCAACTCGTTATTCCTTTAACGAGCTCGGGTCCAACGACGGGATCTTCCTCGATAACTTCGCCTGCAAAGCGTTTGAAGATTGGAGTGTCGACGATTGTCTTTTTCTAATGACACATATTAGGGATCTCCATAATCTATGGAAAAGGGGGGAGCGGATTATTTACCAAGCCGAATTTAGATTCAATAACGTCTATAATCGAGTCAGCACTCATTTCATACGATTGTATTATAAGAGAGCCCATAACAGATAACAGATACATGGAGAAACCTATTCCGAATTTCAGCTTGTAGTTGAAGGGAGTGATATTACCGTCGTGCATTGCAATGATTAAGTTGGCCTTGGCGATCAACTTTGCCCGTTGAACATTCCCTGCGGGAAATATATGTATCGAAGCAGAAATGGTCGTGTCGATAAGTTCCTTCCGCTTGGATGCTTTCGAGTCAAAGTCTTCCAACTCCGAGGGTAAGGATCCTTCCGCACGCGACTTCAAGCCGGTAACCTCATTTATCAGGGCCGTAGCTGTTTCCTCTGCTTCTTTCCAATGCATAGATTGTGCTGCGGCAGGTATAAATGTCGGCCAATCTATTCTCAGTCCTGTCGGGTAGATGACATTGCAGTTGCGTAGAATAGGGACTTGGTATAAAAACGGGAGATATCGGCATTCGTCCCTTAAAAACTGAAAGCAAGATAATCCGTCGTGGTTGAATTTAATTGGCATGTCAATAGGATCGTATGAACATTTTACGGGCCAAAGGTCAGGTTCCTTCATCGTGAATTATGGTCGAAATAGTAGGTGATCCTTTTCGATGTATAAATTAGACGCGACCGAGAAGTGTATTACCCAGTTACCTAGGTAGTTTTTATACATAATGGACAGAAGAATTTCGTGCCCCAATAGTCCTCAAGTCTAATAAGAACCTTCAGAATCACACTTGGTTTGCATGTGGTTCGGCCGTGACTTGCTTCCCTTCCTTCCCAGTGATTCGGTATGGCAGTGGAGAAACCACTCAGTTATCTGCAAAGTTAGACGTACTATACAACACTATACCTACTAGTTCTATACAACTACAGTAAAGACTTATTTTAGGCTCACGATAAGAACATAAGTATCCGCTCTAAGTAGGTAAAGACCACTCGCTTTTCTGGTTGTGATGGGCAATCAACTCCAAAATGGACCCACCATTTTTTGCACTGATATTGGATGAGTTTGCTTAATTCTACCTTAAATTAGCTTATAAACGGGGAATACGCCTATATTATCGGAAGAAACTTGAATGGGTGCATATAGTTGGCTTTCAATGTACAATCATAACTGACAGGGGAGAGATCAGGGGTTATCGTGGGTAAATCTACAGGTCTGCCCCACAACGAGACTCTTTTCACCACACAGATTAACCGCTGATAGGAAATCATTAGAATTCATTCTACATATTTTTAAACGATTTTGACTTGTTTGTCAGATATCGATGATGTGGGTGAAATTTTCGTCCCGTCTTGACAGCTTCTGTCACCAATGTAAAGGATCAGTATAAGTCCACATATTCATGCTCGACTTACATCGGTTCTTGAGATCGAAGGAGTAAACCCAAAGAAAAACATAGGATAGAAATAAGGGACTAGGAAAATACAGTCACACTTTGCGTGCTAGTAAGACGATAAAATATAATGGCATGGACCTGTACGTATAATGCTAAGTACCTAAAGGCTCGGAATTATATCAGAAGTCCTCCAAAAAGAAGGTCGATAGAAAAGGAGGGAAAGGGGGGAAAGGGGGAAGAAAATACGTTGATGCAATTAAACAGCTGACTAACCTCCCCTATGAATATGCTGCTATTGAAGCATGGGATAAGCAATTCAAACAGATTACATAAGCAGCTACCTAATCAATATTCCTTACATAATAACTTACCTAATCTAAAAGCATTTACCTACCTAATTCCTGACTCATCAATTTCTTTATCGCGTTTTGAGCCAAGACTTTTTATCGTCAGTCGCCTTGCAACAAGCCAAGCTTGCATCCTACTAATTTTACAACAGCTTCATCATCCCAATTTCTTGACTACGTTTGCAACTGCTACCTATCAATAACTACTCAGTTATCATACGACCGCAGACGCAAACGTAGTCAAAATGCCTGTCGTTAAGGGAGGAGTGTGGACTAACATCGAGGATGAAATCCTCAAGGTCTCCGTTTCCAAATACGGCCTGAATCAATGGGCGCGTGTCTCGTCGTTATTACCGCGAAAAACTCCCAAGCAATGCAAAGCGCGATGGAACGAATGGCTCGACCCAAGCATCAAGAAGATAGAATGGAGCAAAGAGGAGGACGAGAAATTACTTCACCTGGCTAAGTTGATGCCAACACAATGGCGAACCATCGCTCCTATCGTCGGTCGCACCGCAAACCAATGTCTAGAACGTTACCAGAAGCTCCTTGACGAGGCCGAGCAACGGGAGGCATCTAGCCTTGGCTTGACGGGTCCTGAAGGAGGCGAGACGCAAGCGCCCACGGCCGACGACGTACGAAGACTGCGACCGGGCGAGGTCGACCCAGATCCCGAGAGCAAACCCGCGAAGCCTGATACTATCGACCTTGATGAAGATGAAAAAGAGATGTTGAGCGAGGCGCGTGCCCGTTTAGCGAACACACAAGGAAAGAAGGCAAAGCGAAAAGCACGAGAACGTCAACAAGAAGAATCGCGCCGGCTCGCTACGCTACAAAAACGTCGGGAGCTCAAAACTGCCGGCATTAATATTAAGGTGGTAACGCGTAAGCCTGGGCAGATGGACTACAATGCGGATATTCCTTTCGAGAAAGCACCTGCCCAAGGATTCTACGATACTATGGACGAACAAACGCGAAACGAGAAGCAACGAGCGGCATTTGACCCCCGAAAACAACAGCTCGCGAATAAACGCAAGGGTGATCAAGAGGACGACGCTGAAAGGAAGAGGCGGAAGAACGACAAGGACGCTCCCTCAGCTTCTATGCAAGCCGCCTTGAAGGCTGGGCAAATGCAGAAGATACGAGAAGCAGAGCAAAGCAGTAAGAGGCGAGCACTTGTCCTTCCGTCACCCCAGGTCAGCGAGGGCGAGCTTGAGGATATTGTCAAGATGGGTATGATGGGGGAACGTGCAAATATGCTTGCCCAATCCAGCGAAAACAATGCTACCAGAGGACTCGTCAATGCGTACTCCACCCTGAACGCGCAAACGCCGATTCGAACGCCAATGGCACCTCCGCAAGAAGATCGAGTCGCAAACGAAATAAGGAATATCCGAGCTCTGACAGAGAATCAGTCGGTGTTGCTTGGAGGGGAGAATGCCGATTTGCAAGAAGGGGATGGGTCGACGGGTTTCGAAGGTGTCACACCTCGAAAACAAGTTATGTCGACCCCTAATCCCCTGGCAACGCCTTTACGAACCAGTGCAAATGGAGTCGGCGCTACCCCTCGACGACCTGGTCAGACGCCGCTACGGACTCCTCGAGACAGCTTTGCGCTCAATGCGGGTGATGGTGAATTGTCTATAGTCGGAGGGTCAACTAATGACATGCGACTTCGGGATTTGTCCATGAAGCATCAGCTCAAACAAGGCCTAGCTTCGCTACCAAAGCCAAAAGAAACGGAGTGGGAGTTGGAGATACCCGAAGACCAACAGGAAGCCATGGTAACAGATGAACTTGAGGAAGACGCCGAAGTACGAGACCAACGAGAGCGAGCACTCAGGGAAGCCCAAGAACAATTAGAAAGGAAGAGGCGGACCCAAGTTATGCAAAAAGGATTACCCCGGCCAGAGTCCGTCAATTTAGAAGCCCTCGCGCAACAGGCATCTGCCATTTCCGATCCAGTAGAAGCTCAGATTGCTAAAGAAGCAGCCTTGCTTATTGCGAACGACGCCGCGAGATACCCCGTATCGAACGCAAGGTCAAGCATCGGTCCAGTTCAATTGCAACAGATCGACGATACCTCCTTAGCGGAAGCTCGCTTGAAAATTCTCATGGAGGTAAACAGCAAACCCAAACCTGAGGATATTCAAGCAGGCTGGGAACGTGAGGGTAGCAATGCACTTCTGTTGAGGCTGGGCTGCTATGAAGATGATGAGGAAGAGGAGCAGGTGGCAGCTATGAAAGCAGCTTTCGACGTAAGTTTTTCTCATTCTAGCATCTACTACAATTGGTACTGATAACATTTTCTATAGTCTGTGCAAGATTCTACGATGGAAACCGTAGAAAAGTGTGCGAAGCTCGAGAAGAAGCTTACCCTACATTTAGGAGGATATCAACAACGAGCCAAAACCCTTCGCTCAAAGATGGGCGAGGCATATGAGGCACTTGAGAAAGCCAAGTTTGCTCTAAGCGCATTCCAGACGCTAGCCATTTCAGAAGAAATTGCCGCTAGGAGTCGATTGGAGGCCTTAAGGGAGGAAGTTGGCTACGTCACCCGAAGAGAACGTGAGGCGCAGGAAGCATACCGCCAGACCAAAGAGGAGCTAGACTCATTGACGGATGGGGTCAACGGTTACCATTAATTCCATTATCGGAAAAGGGACAAATCTAGCATAAAGATTGTATACTATGAACGCGCGTCTCCGCGCCATCGGCTGTAGAATAGCAGCTGTATCAAAAGAGAAAGGACCAGATATGGTTATTGCATTTATTAAGCCAACAATACCTGAATCGACCTATATAACCTATCCATGGATCTGATATGCAAATGCCAAAAAATAGAGGAAAATGAGAATGCCATGCAAATATACCAAGCGCCAAAATATGTGCCCAAAATGCTATATCTCCCAACCTCCTTTTCTAATTCTTCTACTCATTCATTATTCACTTTGACATCATATTAATAGACATGAGGCCTCTCACCAGGCACCTTCACTCCTTACTTCCGACCGCCCAATCTCGGCAGTTTCACAGGCGCAATTAACAAAGCGCCCACGGCCGCAAAAGCAACAAGGCACAAAAATGTCAGGCGGACTGCGGATTCGTAACTTGCAATCACCTGGTCGCGAGTGTCTCCTGGCGGCAGCGCAGCCACAGCCTCCACACTTTCACGTACACGTTCGACAAGCGCCTGTTTCCAGGCCTCTCCATCTGATACATCGGAGGGAGGAATCACGTACTCGAGTAAGTATCGCAATAACGCGTTTTGCAAGACAAGAGACGAGAACGCGACTCCGAGGACTGATCCCAAAGCGCGCCATAGAACAAGTGTGGAGGTTACGACGGCTTGTTCGCGGTGCTCACTAGCTGCTAGGACCGCCATGAAAGTTCCCGGGAACTGGAAGCCTTGACCTGCAGAGGAGGGGATTAGGCATAGAAGGTACGCCCATACGGGCCATCCGCGGTGCATGGCGGAGAGGAGGGCTGTGCCGAGGAGGTACAGGAGGGTGCCGCAGACGAGGGGCCATTTGAGGCGGCGCGTTGCGGATATTAGGAAGCCGGTTAGAGTCCCGGTTGTGCTAGCTGTGACAACAGGGACGACAAGGTAGAGACCAGAGGTGGTGGCGCTAGTCAGGAGGACGGCTTGGAAGAATAACGGGCTGTTTGGTTCTGCGGTTAGACAAATATTGGGGCTTTTCTCATTTTCTTTCCCGTCGATGCCGCTTAGAAGCACGAATAACACGGCGAATGCTCTCTTTCCCAAGGATTGCAATAAATTGGGGGGGTAGGGGAAGCGACTTACGTATTAAATAGGATCGCATTTAGTAAGAAAGATGCGATGAAATTAGCGAAAATTAGGTTGGCCCGGGGTGAGCTGTGTAAAAGGATTAAAGGCATGATAGGCCGCTGATGCTTAGACTCAACATATAAACAAATCGGAAAGCAAACGCCGAATATTACGAGCGAGGCGATGATGAATGGGTGAGACCCTAGATTGAGTGTTAGTTCATTACGTCCATCCTGTAGAAACACAGCCCGGTTACTCACATGGCAAAATGTTGCCTCCAAGATTCTACACGCTTTAGTTAGCAATCATAATCCTTCAGCTCATATTCGAGTTTCACACTTACTATGCCCAAAATTAAAAACGTAGTAGAAGTAGTTAGGAGTATAGACCCCTTAAAGTCAAACGTCTTCATGCCTTCCATGAAAGTCTGGTGCTTATTCTGTAAGCCAAGGTCGCCCGGAATACCAAAAAATGCTACCACGAAGCATATAACGATAGGGAACACTTGGATGCCGAACTCCCAGCGCCAGCCCATAGTATCGGCCATGAGGCCTCCGAGGGCAGCGCCTAGCGCTGAGGCTAATCCATAGACGACATTTACGTAGCTCTGATATGCGCCTCGACGTCTTACATACTAGTTAGCGGATGGCCCCTTATATGTTCAGCAATAAGATCAAAAAAAAGGGGCACTCACTCAATCGGCACCAAATCACTAATGATAATACTGCCCATCCCCAACACACCTCCAGCACCTAGACCACACGCAGCTCGAGCTAGAATAAAGCTCGTCATGCTCTGTGCGAGTGCACACCATAATGTTGCGAGTGCGAAAATGACTGTGGTAGCGAGATACGGCGGCTTGCGTCCGAGGGTATCGGAAAGGCGAGCGATCACGGGTTGGAAAGCAGTACTCGTAAGTAAGAACGCAGTTGTAAGCCAACTAGCACTATTGGAGCTATGAAAATAACTCGTAATAACCGGATGCGAGGATGCCATGATCTATTTCCAAGATTAGTTTTAATTTCGGAGACGGTTCTTCTCATATTTGTGATGAGTAACAGCTGTGACACCCCCCTATAGAATTCATTTAAACCCAGTACAGAAGGATAGGAAAACATACCGTGCCGTCAAAACATGCTACAAAATGGGTGAGCATTATGCTTATAAACACAATCCAAAACCGTCGCTGGTCGGTATCAATTAAGAACGTTGGAGCCGATTTAGATCTTTCCAATTGTGCTGCCTCCAAGTCATCCTCAAGACTATCTTCGGACAGCGGAGAGTCGAGATCCTCTGAATCACGGTGATGTCGGTGTCCGTTCTGTATCGGCCTAGGTGACACAGACACCACACTCCGAACAGTCGAAGCCCTACGCATAGTACTTTGTGACCTACGACGCCCCCTAAGCATCGCCGATTCAAAAGCCTCCGGCGCAAGCCCCGACGCCCCCGAAGTAAAGCTGCGAGCAACCAGCAAATCTGATTCATTCGCATCTAAATCACTCCCACTCCCATCGTCATACCCACCATCGCTTCCCGGAATCGCAATAGGAGCAGGTTCCTGGGTGTAACGAAGCCCCGCGTCCCCAAGGAGCGCAGTCCTCTCCGTGGGGAGCTCAGCAGGACCTCGCTCCCCATTGCCATTCGTCGTCTGCACCATCTTGCCAACGATGGTAACTCGAACAATATTCCCAAGTTACTCAAAGCCAGGTGTCCTACGGTGAAAAAAAAGATTAGCTCGTCATATTAATACATAGGTGAAAGAAATTTTAGCGTTACTGATCCACCGAAAAACTCACCTAGGGACGGACCTGACGATCACGCAATGCAGTTCGAGATGAAGCTTTATTCGAATCCGGTATAGTATATGGTATAATATGCACTAATTAATAAATTAAGTAGTTTTTTTTTTTCTCGCCTCGGAACGACGATAGTAAACAAAAGAATCGAAAAAGGGTACTAGAGGAAAGAAGCCCAATGGCAGCCAATTAATAGCTAAGAATCACGATGAAAGGTGAACGAATCGGTGAAGCAAAAAAGTCGGCGCGTAGTGGGAACTGGACGGGTACTGGATGGGGACCGAGAAGAGGGATATTATAGGTGCTATGGCCTACGATAGGCGACCCTTAAGGTAACCAACCGTGGTTGTATCCCCCCTGTAAGGCGCCTGCACCGAGGTCAGTCTCGTTTCCTATATGCGGGGAACCGTCCCCCCGAAGATCGGTAAGGAATAGGTCTGTCCACATGACATGAATCGGCCGGTATACGGCCTAGTGTTAGTAGTCTGAGCCTCAAATCGACCGTGGCTGCGTTCATAAAAGTATAACTGTAAATACAAGGTATGCTGTTATGCTTGATGAAATGCGCATGTTATTAGAATTGCGGCGGTGTTTTATCAACCTGCAGCGCAGATCAGCTAGGGATGCCTCAACATGGGCCCATGTCGCGGCAGCTACGTTAGCTGCTGCATCTTTTCCACTTAGCAAACTCTTTCGGATCTGAAATACACTTACACATGCAGTCAACATTTAATCTGTACTCAACTTGAGTTAGCAATATACTGAAACGCCCGTACCTTCAAACGAAGCCTAAGAAAGTATAATACTTCGTAAGTAATACGACATTAATATCTTGCGTAAGAAAAAATCTACCATAAACATATCTACGTTGCCATAGACGATAAGATGTAATACTCGCCATGATAACCCCTCCTTCTAAGTACTGTAGTATGAGGATAGCCTATTCAACTCCGAAACTTCCCAGTCTATAGTGTCATATTATGTGAGGAATCTTAGACGTCGATGTCTTTAGACTTTGCCTGAGAGGCACCACATAAAACCCCCGCGCCAGTTATCCCTCCATCATGGCATGGGCTTAATACAACCCTGACTGGTGCGTCGGACCCAAACTCTGCCTCTATGATTGAGTCTAGGAATTCCTGGCAATCTGCTAGATAATCTTGGAAGTGGACAATGCAGCCTCCAGTATATCCGACAATCAAATTCACCTTCGGGCTTTGTTCCACCTTGGCTGTGTGGTTGTTCGTGTGGTCTTGTAGTGATTCCCGAATGGGAATATCTCCTGCGCACGCAAGTAATCCAACGATTGATGCCGCGACAATAGCGGCGGCCCTAACTTCGATAGCCTTAGAAATTTTATATAAGGCAATTGCGATGTCTTCTGTCCATTGGAAAGGGGCCTTGCCTGTTGACTGTGGAAATTCAGTTTCAAGCTTCTCTAATAGTTTCGCCGAGTGCGGGGGACGGAAATGGCTCAGAAAAGTAGTCGTGAGGCCGAATCGCGTTAGGAGCCGTGGTGGCAGACTGTCTGCGGGAATATTCAAATGGTGTTCAAGGTAATCTAATAATATTAGACGCCCAAGTTCGCCAAGGTATCGACCTGCTGTCATGTACTCGAGCGGTTGGAACCCAGGCGCTTCGCCTTCTAAATCAAGTTTTGTATCCCAATGGCTGATTAAGTCAAATTTCCGTAAGGTTGGTGCTGTCCCTTTAATACTCCACTCGGTATTAACCGCGATCTTCATATCATCGGTCGAATCTCCATTTAAAACTTTGACTTTTCCAGGCTGCTTATCTTTGTGGAGAGTGCTTCTCTTCAGGGGTATCGTCGCGTTGCTACCTGTCCCGCATATGAGACCCATCGCTGCTTTATGGGTACTATCCTCCTTAGATTGATATATGAAAGATACCAAAGTCGCAACTGCGTCGTTCAAAATGGCAGAGACTTTAATAGGTGGCAAATCCGGAGTCTTTGACTGCTCGTAACCATTGACTAAGTGAGTCCCGAGGTGTAGGCGAGATGTAATCGCAAACCCCTTTCCCATCGCCATAAGGGTGGCGTCAGCTAACGTCTCCTGCACCATCGGAAAACTGAATGTAACCCCCATGGGTAGTTCGAGATCACGAGGTAGATTAAATGCTCCACAACCTTCCCGTACGACTTCTGCAATACAACTTCCGATCCATTTAAATAGTGAATCGGCGTTCTCGTTCTTTAGGACTTCTAGGATTGGCCATGATTTCTCGAGCACTCGACGAAGATTGGGCGGTGGTTCCGATTCCGAGGTCTCTGAGTGGCCATTAACACCGTTACCATTCACATTTATTTCATTTCCTAATAGCTCAATGAAGCCCACTCGTAAATTAGTACCACCGCTGATGAATGTTAGTCACATATACGTTGCTTGAGGTCGTATTATGTAAAAGCGTACATATCAATGGCCAGGTATCTGTGCTAGGAGTTAGCTTATGAAAAGGCATGTAGCGCACAGAAGTGGCTTGCTTTAGGCGCTGAATTTATATCACTAATAAACGCTTTTAGGAGACTTTGGGGGAGCGTACCGTCCCTTCTCCCTACCCGCGGTGGGCCGTAAAATCGATTCAGATATTGGGGTAGGGAGGAATTGATCTAATGAGTGTGCGGATAAATGCTGAAATGCCCGGCATAATTCATGCGACAGGGCATGTGCTTTCGCATTGTCAATAGAAAGAGGTCTGAGGAAATCCTCAATATCGAACTTTATAAAAGGACTCGACATATTTGTAGTCGGTAGACAGACTGCTTGGTTGTCTAGAAATATGTACGAGACGGCGATGTAATTGGGGGAGATTAGCGATCCGGATATGACGTCGAGGTCATGTCTACGGCAAGACTTGAGAAATCGAAATCACCACGAAGTCGATTAAATGGTAAAACGTATGTAAATTGGCAGGATCGAAGAGCGTTTTCGTGAACGAAACTATTCAAGTGAATTAGAAAAAGTGGTTCGTCCGTGAATTTCCGATTCGAATAGGCAGTTTCCTCTGCGTCGGTAGGTATGTGTATAGGATATATATGTTCGCAAGACGCTTTCTCGAGATTCAATTCCAAGACGGTAAGAGTCAGAACGAACTGCCGAATCAGCGGCTCTAGATTTCTAGAAACGTTACGTTGCAGGGGTATCCATTGGGTACCGAGGGGAGTAACTACTGTGGGTAATTCCGTAAGTAAGGGACGACGTGTGTCGAAGTACGTGTCTGCATGGAATATATAATGTATATTTGTTTGGATATAGCCCTGGAAGTGATATAGGTGTAGGTGGGATTGTATGTAAAAGGTTAGAAGAGGAAAGATAAATTTAGGTGAAGCAAATAATATCGAAACATCAGGCAATTGTCCTTTCCTCCTCTCCTAAGACACTGACGAAATAGGAAAGTCACTAGTAACGTTAAACGGGCGATTCGTCCTGACTCGAACTCAATGTGTGTGGGTTCTTGCGTTCCGAGGTCAAGAACGAGTCTCGTGTCCAGTCAGAACTTCGTAAGGTGCTACCTACTTCGTGGTGGAGGTGAGAAGGCGCCCTCTCACTAACAAGCTTAGTATGTACTTCGGTACCTGCCTAGGTCCTATTCGTATTGTACGATGCCCTATTAAACCCCGTTAGACTTACCTAGACTAGGGTAAGTTCCAGGTAGAGTCGCCCTACCATATTACCTCAGCCACATGGGCCCCACGATTTCTTCCAGATACCCAGATATAGTGGACCCAACAACGCCTGACTCGGTCGAGCTTTAGTGGTTGCACCATCGCTGCATATTGTACATAACGCACTAACGCACTAACCTTAGCAGCTAAGCTTCCTTGTTACATCCCTGAGCTATAAGCCTATCCAGCCTATCCCATCGCAAAGAGCCTCTTCAGGGAAACGGGTCCCCTCATTCGATCTTAGTCCCGTGCCTAAATTATCCCTGATCACGATAGTTGTATCTCCTTACCTGTTCTTCGACAAACAACAACAGCAACTCTATTCTCGACTTCATTATATTTGAGTGTTTCTTTATCTCTGTGTGGCATGCATCGTTGAGTTTTTTTAATAGAATTCCTTTTATCATCAAACTTTTTTTGAATAAGCCGATAGATCAAGATGAACGATATGACCGCCAAAAACGGTCTTCCAACGATGGAAGAAAAACGACCGATTCGAAGCCGCGCCCGAAGACGACATCGACCATTCTTAATAATTACCCTAGTCATCATCGGCATATATGCGCTCTACAATGCTAGTTCTGTATCGTCATATGCGGTTCTTTTCGTCCCAGATTCATCCCGAACACATCCTTCCACGAAAGCCGAACAGCCCGTATTGGCGACTCAAGAGCTCGTCCCGTTCGAAGCACATATCATGAGCAAATGTCCCGACGCTAAGGACTGTCTGAGGGACCTAGTTCTCCCGGCTATGATGCGCGTATACGAAAAAGTCAACTTCACATTATCATACATCGGAACGCCGACCGAAAATGACGGTGTCGATTGCAAGCACGGACCGGGTGAATGCATGGGAAATATCCTTGAGTTATGCGCGCACCATTTATACCCGGATCCTAAGATCTACCTCGGCTTTACGATGTGTTTGACGAAGGAATACAAGATGATCCCGCAGCGTGAACTGGTCGAAGACTGCGCGCTAGAACATGCTATTGATTTTGAGAAGCTGAATGATTGCGCTGCGAAGGATGATGGTGCTTTTGGTGTTGCGATGTTGAGGGAAAGTGTAAAAAGGACCTCTGACGTATGTTCTATGTTCATGGTTTGTACAATAATACCCCGAAGAAAATACTAACAATTTGCCTAGGCCGGCGTTACGAAAAGTTGCACGGTTAGGCTCAACAACGAAGTATATTGCATCAGAGACGGCGGGGAATGGTCAGATTGTCCCAGCGGGCCGGCTGTCAACGATCTTGTTATTGCGGTTGAGAAGCTCTACCGGAGTTCTTGAGGGGTTCGAATATTTTCGTCCATAAATCCGATGCCTCTCCCAGCGTATAGCTCAGCGAAACACTATCCATACCAATCTCTTCGTCTCCCGACATCGATTCGAGTTGTTCGATGATACTATCTAACCCGACCGCCTTTCCGACCGACTGAGTAGAAGTTGCTTCTAACATAACGTGCACAACATGGATGTGGAAATGGTAGTACGTTGGGTGGTAATGAACAAAGAGCTTTAGCTGGTCCGTGTCGATTTGAGGATATGTTTTTGCAGTGGCGTCTATGAGTTTGACTCTCATATGTCTAAGCCAGGGGACGTGCTTTTTCTTGAGGTCTCGCAAACTCCAAATATCTCGTCGTTCGACTATACCCAGCAGGTGCAACGCTTCGATCGTCTTTCGATCCCAATGCAAGTTTGGTAGCATGAGGAAGCCCTCATCTCCATCTCGTCCCAAGGGCGTTCTGTATATAATATCTTCTACTTCTTTGCGACCTTCAATAATATTGTAGACCCAATTTAACCGGCCTTCCTCTCGGTTCGTCTGCATGAACGGTCGCACTTTATCACGATAGGTCTCAGGCGTCTCGGTGACGTAACGAAATCCTTGTCTGCTGTGCTTTTTAATGTGCCCCTCAGTACAAGGACAAATCATAGAGATTTTCCAATCCGCGAACTTGTCATTTTCGTTGTCCTTGAGAATTGGTCCGCCCGAAGCTAGGGACCAGGAGTATATGTCATTGTTTCCCAAGTTCGTGATGCTTCGTAGATTCGTAGGTAGGGCGGTAAGGTACTCTTCGGCTTCAGGAATAGGTGCTCGTTCTATCGTTACTAGCGCGGGTTGAGAATCGACTTGTCCTAGCAGTATAATTCGTCGTCCTGCCTCATCTTTTTTGCTCTGTTAGCACTCGTTCTACACCTAGCTATCGCGTCATTACGTGAATGTGTTAGCGAATGCTATTATGTCATACCTTGATTCAGCACGCGCTCGAACTGGAACTTCGGAATCAGCGCCTCGGCACGCCGTTTACTTTCTTCGGTAGCCATATTGATCTTCCGAACTTAATTATGGTTAAAGATAACGTAAGGCAAGTATTCAGCACTGCCGTTCTTGTAGACAACTTTTTATAGAAGCTACCCCTCAGTCGGTGTAACGACCTTGAGTTTATCGGTGTGCGGGCCGCTGCAGAAATCGGCCCCACCCCGCGGTACCCCCTGCACGCTATCAAGGTTTATTTCCAGGGCTCTTGCCAGGACCTACATCCCACGATTAGGGGGACAGGTATCTAAGTATCTTTACATCTTCATTCAATACTTCAACTCATTACCACGTCCGTCAAATTCTTAATGGGGAAGTAGATGGTGATCATTTGCCATCCTATTTGGTATTGACGAGAAACGAGGATAATTCGCGGCACATGCTTAGGGACATACGATTGGTGTGGTTATAAAACCATGCTGGCCAAGACACCTATCTAACGAATCTCTGGGTGAAAATCAAACTATTAGGGGTTGATTTAGTAGGTTCGAAGTTATCTTCTAGGGGAATTGGTGGGCAAGAAAGGCATCCTTTAGTGAAGTGGCTTCAGTGGCTTCAGCGGCACGTCGCGATATAGCATTTCAGGGCACCAATACACTAATAGCCAGCCACTGGCGGCAAGGTCATGGCCGTTAACGCAGAATCTTCGTACTATTTATGTGCCTATTCTCACCCTCCATCCCTAAAGATTCCATCGTAGCAGGAGAGTTTCATGAGGAACAACGCATGACGATGATGAAAAACGAGATATAAACCTCCAACGAAGCTAAACTCCATGTTCTTGCCCTGCTTGCCAGCTATCCAAGGAAAACATATTATAACTCTGGACGACAACATACCTAGGGTATCTAAGATTAGGTACGTATGACTGAATTCGTACAAGCTACTCGGGGCTTCACCTACCCAAAATTATAGTGGAAGAGTACCTATTATCACTACCCAGGGAGACGGTTAACACCGGAGTCAGCCCAACTCGTCGTACTCAGTACCTACGTACATAAACTTCCAATCATTATAAGCCGTCTATTATGCTTCGTATTATACTTGTATTCTAGAAGTTCAAGATTTTGGTCTTGAAACGTTTAAGGGGCAAGTCATGCAAACGGTTGGCTTGGTCAACTTTGGGGGGTCTTGTTGCGCGCAGGTGAGCGGGCGACTCACTTTTCTTCAGGCGATGCATAATCATACCTTGTAGTATACAGGCCCTGTTAAAATCAGCGATACGACTGCCCGTGAGTATTCAATAGATCTTTCTGGATTCTGAGACAACCTCCCCTTACCCTGCGTCTGGTGTGATTGAAGTCTGGATATAACGGCAGCAATATGTAACATCATATTCGTAGTTGAGAGATGAGGCAAGAAATTCAAATTAATTACTCCTCATCAAGGTAGATGAAAATGAAACCGTAGTAGTAATCACTACAACTATAATTTACATTCAGACAAGCAGTCTAGACCTCAGGGGATCGATCTGAACATATTGGAAGACTGACATCGATCTTGGCTTGTGCTTCATAGGAAATTTAGTCAACCGATTCGATGAGTCGTTTGCTTTTTACATATTACTACGGAGCATCGCATCGATAGTCTGGGAAATAAAAGGAAACAAGGGGATAGGGACAGTGGTCGGGTAGCGGCCGCTAATGGGTCATTCTTACAGCTCACAGCTTACTCGCATAGGGGATGCGGGCAGGCCTTAATGCTGTGGCACGTAGCATAGCATACCCGTTACCATGCATGAGACATGTCACCGACCATGATAATCGTTGCCTCTGCAACCTTGAATGACCATGACCACTCCATGAATTGTATCATTTCACGCATGAGGTCAGGGCAAGGATATGAAGATCGAATCAAGTCTCTTTCTAATTGGTTTTCGTACCTATGTAGCAGTTGTAGAGTCCAACCACCCGCATCCCCTGAACTCCGTGCTTCTAAACATCCATCTCCTCGGAGGTAGGTTAAAAAAACAACGCCTAGAAAGTTCCGTAGAACGAATTGACAAGAAGTCCGGCGCAAAAAGCATGCCTAACAGAAAACCAACCCCCCGTTTCTCTGATCGTTTCTAGGTATCCATCTGTCTCATGAGAACTCCGCGGTCATCTCTCCGGGCAGTCTCGGCTATTCAAACAAAGTAACCATTTGCACAATTGACCGTTTTTGTCCAAGCCTGATTCATTTCGCTGCCATCCGGGGGAATCATTTTGGTCAAACCCTTGGTTTGGGAAACAAGCCACGCCGCCCAATCCATTTTATAACATCCTTAAAAATATAATCGCGAACGCCCAAAACCGGCCCAGTTTATATACTAGGGCAAAATATATACATATTGAGTATCTTATTTTACAAGGCAAGACCGGTGCCATCGCCAGTCCAGCGGTACAGTGCAAGAAGTTCTCGGCGGCGCTGGTGCTGCTCGCCAAGATCTTCGGGCACCCGACCGCGGACTTGGGCGAGTGCGCTACGCATGACCTTGCTGAAGTTGCGCTGAGTTATAAAGTTAGCGTAATTCAAGAAATGAAAGTAGCAAGGGTATCGAGTAACTCACCTGATACTCAGTGTTGAGTGTGACAACACACGCTTCGTGAGCGCGTATGATAGTCTCGCAGGCGCGGACTACACTTGCCGAAGCCTCAAGCTGCAGTTTGTCGGCAATGAGTAATAATAGGAACGAACCCTGTAGGAGGTAGATTCCGAAAAAGAATGGCATGAACTCTAGGCCTGGGTCGTATTCGAGGATGTTGCTGATAGCCTCTGCGGCCGATACGGCATGCCCCGTAGCTGTAATAAAGCCTTGCGATGAGATCCACAAGTCATTATCGTCAAGTAGGTTAATGGGGTCCCATTTTCCAGTGAGGAGAATGTGGAGTACGTGCATGACGTGTGTTCCGTATGACATAACGATGCGGGTTTGGATATCAGACTCGGTCATACGGGACGAACTCGTGTGTACGGAACGACCAGACGGTGAGCCGATTTGGTCTAGTTCAGATGGCATCTCCAGAGTGGCAGATTGCTCAGTCTTGTCATCGGAACTGTTGAAATGCCTTTGCTCAAACTTCTTTAAGCTCTGTTCGTACGCCTCGAGGTGTCGCACAATCTCAGCTTGCTGGTCATCCCATTCCCTAGCTGAACGGAAGCCGATGCCAAATCGGGGATGATTGCGGGCGTGGTGAAGATCGACGATCTCTCCCAGAATAGTCATCAGGGGAAGGAAGTAACCGAAGATACTGTGGCCAGTACACTCAAAGTGTGGTCCACGTACTCGGCCACTGTCAGGCCCTGACTGTTCTGACAAAGCCGGGTCCGTGGTGTGGGAGCTAAAGTTTCCGTTCTGCCATTCAGTGTCATCCATAGGTTGGAGAAGGCCTTCGCACTCAATATCCAAAAGGAAGAGGGGTCGGTTGTAGCATAGGGCTAGATGGCGGTCAACGATGTATGTGAGCCACCATATACGTCTTCGCTCTTCTCGTTCCTCTTCACTGACGGTTCCGGGAGTAACGTTGCTCCCGAGCCCGTCCTCAGTTTCACCGTCAGCATCGACATCGTTACCGTTGTTACCTTGAACCATCGAAGGTGCGCTTGGGGGTAGTTCTCGGCCGAGTTTCAATTCCCTTGCGAGGGACCACGCGGCGTTCCACCATCGGAGGCTGGCACCTTTGTATTCACTGGCAGACACTACTGTAGCCAGGTGAATATAGGTGACAACATCGTCTAGTGTTCCCGCAGCACCAAAAGCTCCCGATTCGCCTGTCAGATTCTCCATGCTCATTGATCCGGGAAGTGCGACTCCTAGTCCACCCAAAGCCACTCCGTCTATTACTGGGCTAGAAACTGGCGAGGCTTCGCCAGATGGCGTGTGAATTAACGGCTTAAGCAAACTAACAGTAAGCTCGAGCAATTTCTGGCAGATCTTGCCTCTTGCAGATGGGACGCTAGTAAGGAATGGGGCATCGCTAGTTTGTGCTGCTACCCAAAGCATACTTGCTAGCAATGCCGGTTGGCATTGGCGAGGCTTGCTTGGGTGGAGGAATGATCGTTTCCGGAAAACGAAACCCAGAACGTAGGGTGACATTGGGTGGGCGTGAGCGGAAGAGGAACTAGCGAAATATAAATCGATTAAATCGCAAGCGAGGGAAACGGGGATAATGTTCCCTAAATGAGGGATCAGAGGGTTCAAAACTGGGTATCTTAATTGGTGATGGTAGTTATTTTGGGGAATATGAGATTGGAATTGTGGCGGAGGCGAAGACATCGACATCCATCCTGGCGAGGTAGGCTCTCCAATAGGATACGCGCTTAGGGGGCTGGTCCCTATTCGAAACGTTGGCTGAGGGTTGGCCGAATAGTTAGTAGGACTTTGGGTTTGAAGTCCATAGGGAATCTCGGGATAGTTTGAAGACAAATTTCCCTGATTTGACCCATATCCGTTATGTGTTGCCCCGCCCATCAGATGACCCATCCCCTGTCTGTCGTATGGATTTTGAACATTACCGTACCCATTAAGATCTAACGAGGTAGGACTGTCAAGTTGGTCTCTCTCCATCGCTCCCTGGTGGCCAGTCAGATGGGGTTGGTGTGAGCTTAACTCTGCTAAGCTGTCTAGGCTTCCTGTCCTTTGGCTTCGCTGTAAGGCGTCCTCGCTGCTGTCGTTTAGCGCCTTATCACTCGAATTCTGTTCTGGCTTGACCGAGGCTGTACCATCAGTCTGTTGCTCTGTTGATGTTTCGTTGTCGTCGTTTGGGTTTGGTGACTTTTGGCCGTTTTGGGCGGCGGCGGCGGCGGCTGCTTGAGCTGCGGCTTGTTGGGCGAGGTCTTTGCGGGAGGCTTTGCCTCGCTTCTTTCGTTCTCGGATATACTCACAACCCAGGCCAAATTCTGACGCTGTTAGTGCCTCGATCTACTCCTAGGATGTCTTAGTATCATCACCAACCTATGCAATGGGCACAAGGATGCTGTCCGTCACACTTAGTCCTGAGCTGGTTACATTGGTCACAAGCTCTACTTATTCTCCTCCTGATTGGACCGGCTGCTCCAGCTGCTCTCGTGCTTGGTCCCCCATAGGGGTGTTGTCTGTGTTTTGGTTGCGGTGCTCGAGCTAGATGCGGTGCGTGAACTCCCACGTGTTGTTGGAGATGCTGGAGCGTGTACTGAGATCCATGGCCGAAAGTATCTAAACCCGCTGCGTGGAGGTGGCCTCCGGGTACATGAGCATTCGATAGTAATGTGTTAGAAGGAAGGGCATGGTACGGTGAAAACCGTTGAAGTGGATTAGACAACATATTTGAGTAATCCGTGATGGCGAATCGTACCGAATACGTCTAAAGTAGAAATATTGGTTCGTCGACGATCTTGTCTAACCTCGTATATCATGAACGATAGGCAACTTCGAACGAGTGCAAGCAGTTGGGACGAAGCATGAATACGTCTAAACCGCCGGGAGGTTGGACTTGTATCGGGGAGGAGCGAGATAGCTTAAGCTATATGCTTGTCGAGGAACGCGGTTGTGAGTGACTTGCAGCTCTTGGCAGAGCGTAGCCTTTCTAGACAGCGGCACTTGGACGGACCGAAAACCTTTTCACTGTGGGGATCAAGAGTTATGAGCATGACCTTATGTTCGACAGCATAAGGGACCCCAAAATAGTCAAAAGGGATCGCCGCGGTAGTATAAAGGACGGCACTGGGGTTTGTAGAGCACGGGTGTCAAAAGCATGTGGCGGGGTTTGGAGAGTAGGAGAGCAGCGAATCCACTACGGGCGGAGGACAAGGGTGTGAGAAGACTTCTTGAAGGTGAACATACAGGTTATAGTACCTAGGTAGGGTATAGTAGTATATGGGCGTGTTCCACGGCACCGCAGTGACTTTGACTCTATCTAGACCCCCTAGTAATAGTAGCAGTCTTAAGTAAGGCTCGCAGGAGAATTCGGAAGGACGGTGGACCAAAGGAAGTATAGAAAAGGTCTGGTCTAACCAAGCCAATCTCTGTTTAGGTCTGGAGTACTCTCCTTGACGAGGGCAAATAAAGTCTGCGTCCTTGGCATGCAGGCAAAGTGAGGTTCCTGCTTGTCTCTGTGAATTCAATTGGAGAATGGATACCCCTTCTCATCGGAGCAATATCGACAAGCGCAAGTAGATTGACGATGTAATATACAACGGCGGAACAGGTTCGAGGAGATGGAGTGACGAGATGGGGACATGAGATGTGAATTTCTGGTAGTTCCAGCAGTAACCCTCTCTCAGAGGAGTGAATCCCTCCTCGGGCATTTCTGCTATATGACCCGCTTTCTCACTCGAGTGAACGACATGGGCTATCTGGGTCGTGGAAAAAAGAGCGCAGGGGTTTGGAATGACATACAGAGGACGGTACTTCGCATGGAGAGTAACATAAATTTGAGCGACTAGGTCACTAGGACCAACTAGGTTACGGGGTTTTTAGATAGGAGGGATTCTGGCTGGGAATGACAAGCCAGCATAGGGCACACTAATACAGCATGGCCCACAGCTGTAAATGAGATTCTTTAGATCCAATGATAATTATTTTCCCATATTCGGATGAACTGGGAAAATTAATATCGTAGATATACCTAGTTGAGTACATAAAAAATAAAAACTCACTGCGCGCATCAGTTGGAGGAGACGCATTATTAGGTAGACTTGATAAGGTGCCTGTAGTTAGCAGTAACATACCGCTGTGGTATAGCCTTGTCTCTAGCTGCTATACATCTTTCGTATTGAAGGCGGACTACCCACTTGTACGAAGCGGCCATGAAGAATAGTTAGCTCCTCATCGCTTATTAGGCCCGTCTATAATGGAGTATCGGAAGATGGTGGAGGGGAGGAAGCGCGAGTGACAGCCAAGGGGTGTGTCATGACTGGACAGTGCCATCCCTGGTACCCCAGCCGCCCAGTGAGTACCATCCTTGGCAAGCATGGAGGCCCGCGAACTTCCCCAAGTCGGGCGGAAAGCGACTTGATATTCGGCCAGGGTATCACCGAGAAACTCCTGTCAATTTTCAGCATAATTCTGTTGCTAATTAGATCGTTACAGCTCCTCGATTTTTTTTTTGGCCTTGCTCAAGATGGAGGTATCTTTGGTTTCATACACGCCGGCTGTCAGGGCCAAGCTAGCAATAACCCAAAGCAGACCAGCTTAGATAGATAGCTGTCTATAAGTGCCGTGGATGATGGGTTGTCGGCTTTCTCATGTTTCGGCCGGCTCTTCGTCTAGGCTGAGGTCATATCTTAAATCCCATTAGGTTCGGAAACAGACAATATTTAGTGCTCGTACGAATTCTACCTAGGGCGTTCATTTGGAGCTGCAGGATGCCTGAAGTTGTACATAATGAAGATATCACAACAAGCAGATCAGTAGTTCTGGCCTTTTCCCTCTCCACGATCTCCCTCATAACGATGATGGATGATCGTACGGGGGGCAATGGTATGATGGGTCTCGGTCTGACCGGTGTATTGTAAGATTGGCCCACAACAGACGCTTATGACCGTAAATGGCAACCGGTGGCCAACTTACATAGAGCACGACGTTAGGGGTTCTATAGTGGTGATGGTTTAAGGTTGGCGGTCCAGGACCCCTTTGTTGCCGTTGTCAAGATGATGTAGGGTTACAATGAAGGTGTGATGCTTCATGCCAATCCTGTCTAGATGTGGTCGTTCGTTGATAAAATGTTGCAAAAGTGTCATGAGCTTAAGTTGAAAAAATGCAAAAAGAATGGTGGATTAAAAGAAAAGGGGTGGGGATCTTACATAGTAGATGCTGGCCAATGCACACAGTATTATTAAGTTTCATTCTACAGTACCAGGCGGGGGGTTAGCTTCCAGCGGGGTAGATTACCGTCGAATAGTTGAATATGCATTACATAATCTAGTCCTATAGCGCTTTACTCAGGTGAGCTTTAGTTCTTAGTCCGTCATTTATTTTCTCGTACTGTATTTTAAAATCTCATCCCACCATCCCACCCTAACCTAGACCACTATTTTTTATTCATTCGAGCCTCATTCCAGGTACCTTAATCATCATTACTATTTCGCCATTCCTATATACATCTCTATATTTCAAACTATTGATTACTCTTCTAGAATAATCAATAATATCTCGGCAATATGACCTCTCTTACTATCCTCCACCCATACTGATGAAAAGTCAAACAGTACTTTGTTGACTTCTATGACGCGAGTGGCTTTCCTACACGTAGGTACCATAACATCCATACATATTACGTGCCGTCGATCGTGTAAGCCGGGGTGTTTAATGATACCCCAGAACTAAGGGGTCTCCCGCAACCCAATCTTTTACTGTTACTTCCTCTGCTACCGCATCTATAGCAAACTGCAAGGTCCTCCCATGTTATGGTCCGCCGCAGACTTGTCATACATAACATGTATACCTCCTGCGGGAAACTACCTTTGTCAAGCGTCAATATAGACTGACGAGTAGTCGCTCAGGTAATACGGCCCTTCTTTCTTCGAACTTTTTAGTCGATATGAGTTAAAGGCCGAAATAGGGACGAGCCGTAACGGAGGCGGACACTGATAACATAACTTGCCGCGTCGTCGGAGTTGGCGTATTCCTTTGGTTTTCCCCAACATGAGCTAAGTCCCTTTAGTATTGCCCTTGTTTCATCTATTACATCGGTCAATCGGAAGTCCTACTCTCGAGTTTGGTATTATTTCTTTTGATATAGTATCAGTGAGATTTTAGATCCCGTCACCTCCTAATTTGAATCTCCGGTCCCAACTTTGAGATGATGATTTATCTTCGTCTCAAGAAGAGGATCTAATTTCTAGTCTTACTAAATCGATAGGTCGTAATAAGGTATCAAGGTATATGCTACGATGCGACTTGAGCCCGTATGACCCAAAGTCGCGACAACTACAATTTTCTAGCAACAACCATTTTCACATTCAACTTCAGACCACAAGTTGTCTTGAAGTCAGTAGGACGGATAGACATGGTACCCAAGCTTCTTTTCAATTGCTTTACCACTCTTTTCAACATGGCGGGTGTGCTTGGCACGCCACGACCACTCTCGCTTGTTGTGCAGCGCAGTGTATCATGCGTCTGGAAGACAATACATGCTCGCAGTTTATGCATGATGCAGGGAAACATGATTCCCCCTTGTATAGATGCCTCATTTTGATGCCCCTGGTGCCTGTCACTATAGGAGTTCATCTCTATCAAAAATAGATGAGAAGCCTTGCCCTGAGACGGGATGTGGATGTCTATACCTACTACTTACCGAAGGCGGCTCGGAAGGGGGAGAATTCACCTTGCAACAGCGACAACGTTCAGCATTCTATATCTTGAGTCGTATCGTGAGAAACCACCATACCGGTTATTGACTAGGTCCCAAGCTGGATAGTCGAGCCGGAACTCGGCCACCCTAGTCACCAACGGTGGCCGGACCGAATTTCCCACTAGCACCAAGAAACTGCACGAAATTATCGCAAAACAATCCCATTGGTGGACTTTTACCAACCCCCCAGCGGAGTTGGGACCTTCTCGATCCCACGAACCAGTCGACGTTATGGCACTAGTGAGAAGACTACATGTAGACGATCAGTTCTGCATACATGACCAGCTGGACCAAACAGCTAATGAATAAACAGATGCCGTGTAGGATGCGACGCCCGCACGCTCTGACCTCGGCTTCTTCCCAAGCCGCAATATTGCCAAGTTATGCAAATGAGTCTGGCGATATTATTCTGGAGAGAAAGTTGCATCTTAGCACCACAGCAAAGCGCTGGAGATATTTGACGTAATTTCTAGGAACTCAAGACAATAATTTATTTACGCGCGTCTAAGTCTAGACGAAATATGGCTCTAACACGTGTTTCCGGCTATACGATGCCGTACCTTATCGCCCCCAGCATTCTCCGGCCTCGCTGTCGTTAAGTCATCGTCTAGCTCAAGCCTTCGAAGTCCGAGCCCTCACTACGGCAAGAACAAACAATCCATGTCGCAGTTAAGATCAAAATTGAGATATATGTAAGTGGTATCGGAGCTAAGAAGGAAATTGTCCGACTGGCTACATCGAATGAGACGTAACTAGGGGAAGAAGATACTAGTGTAGGAACTTCGATTTTACTCACAATCACAACCTGGAACCCTTGCGCGGCTCTAGCTAGAAAGGACTCGTTTGACCACATAGTGCGATACCAAAACTCGATCATGAACTTCCTTCAATGCCTCAAAGGTTGGGAAGACTCCACCGATCGGTAGTTAAAAAATCGACGACTTACTCTAAAGTTAGTCCTCCTAGCTGGGAAATATTTGTAGGTATCCCCGTGCCAAGATATCCAGGGTACGATCCAACGGACGCTGCAATTTGAGATGCTGGCAACGCTCGCGGAACGAGGTCCGATTTTCCACCAAGATCGAGCATGATCCTCCCTCATACCGCAAAGCCGCCAAAGAAGGGGGAAAATCTTGGCTTTCGCTATTGAGGCGAAATGATACTATCCGTTTCGATATTTTGCAACATGATGGTAATGACATTAACTACGACGTCCTGGTAACGACAATATATTTGAGCGCTTATTCTGCTCAAAGACCATTCGGCACCGCATCTTATGGATGCGTAACGTACGCGAATTAAATCCAGCGCGCTTCTCAAGCGCCAGTCTGCAGGTCCGGGATCTAGGCTATTTTACCACGAGCTTCACGTATACGCCAGCCTGGCTTCTGGTTCCCGCACGACTGCCTAAGCGATAAAGGGGCTATATCAATGACGGAATGCCGAAAACAGAAATATCCATATAGGAAGACATTAAGTTACGCGTAACTTACGCCATTCCTAAATTCTCAGCCTATTCTGGCTCGATGAAAAAACCAGGTTTGCAGGGCTACTAACGCATCGTTGATGGTAAGATCAGATTATCTAGAATTCCAAGGGTATCATATACCTAGACGGCGGTCCTAGCTTCTCAAGGTGTCACCTCTCTGCTGCCAGTACGGCTTCTTTCCCGTGACGATCAGGTCGGGGGAAAGGAGAAAAATAGATTACTACCACGTGCCTGTCCCCTTTTGGGGGTTGGTTGGGGTAAGACACCTCTTCCTACTTCGAAGTTGGGTTACAGGGAGTACTTATGCATTCTATATGTGTGACAGCTGCATCTCAACAAGAATGCTTCCATCAGGGGAATAGCTATAGAGATGCACTGGTAAACTTGCTATACCGTATCCTACCACTTACTGACACAACTTCTCCAAAGAACCGGAAAACTAAACCCCAGGATCTACAGTGCCGGAGCTATGCCATCCAATTCTGAGACAGGAAGTGATGGACGACCCTTGAGTGGTCTAGATTAAAGATTGACATCTTATACGTCCCAGCGCCACATCTGTCGTCAATACAGTGCCACCGCATCTCATAGATGCAGTGAAACGGCAGAGCTCGCGATGAGAGTTAACTAGTATATTTTATTAAAGCTTGGAGAGCTGTCAAGAGTACACGCTACCAAATCCTACCACCCTAGCCAAGCTAGCCAACATTGGTGCCTGCATCAGTGCGAGCCCGTTCGACCTGTCATGTTCAGGCCTCCCCAGATCGTGCAGGTGACATGGTATGCTTGCAGGCATCCATAAGGCTTAAAGCTCCCGATGTTCCGTTCGGTATTGGGGAGGACGGGAATTTTTTGGAAGCAATGCCAGCCTCTCGAAGGTGATCTTCAAAACGGAATGCTACCCCAGAAATGGGGCAAGTCTACTCCCAATTCAGAGTGTCCCTCCGAGAGGGTCCATTGGGTTACCATTCGGCAAGCTGCGATCTGGGGTAGAACCTGCAAGGACAAAGATTTACAGACTAATACTCCAGAAGCCGTACGCGCGCTAGATCCAGACGCCCGAGTTCCTTACAGATCGAAGGCGCGCCAGCATCTAGCGAACCGTCTTCGCTGATCCGGAGCGATCCTCCACTTCTCTACCCGGAGTCGCCCTCACTCCGGTTGACCAGATAGCTACGGACATCTCATAGGACATCCCGACGATACAACCTTTTCAAGCAACGATTTGCGCTACGTGGTTGTACCCCGGTGCGAGGATGAGTCTTGGCTCCCCTACTTTGGGCAATTCGGAGTAACCCTGATTCTGGACCAGACGACAACAGCGGCCATGCCGTCTTAATATTATCGGCCAGCGTACGTCAACTAACGTAAAATCGAATCCCTCGAAAGCATGTTGACGAAGACGGTGGGCCGACGTCGCACAGAAAAGCGAACAACGGTCATCAACTATCCTCTTCTTGTCCGTAAGTCCCAAAGCTTGAGGTCATGTGAGTGGTATGACCTCGTCGTTTACTTCTATCGTGACGTCCATATCTCCACTATCGCACATATTTCTCATTTTCATTCATCATCACTCTTTCTAGTCAGTGACCAGTCAAGCGATTGTCAACGTCAAGCCGCCATGAACCACTCATCCGCCTCTAGCGGTTAGCTTATCACGAACACTACCTCATTATCCTCATTGACTTGAGGTTGAATTTCTCGCTTCGGCACACTTAATACACATGCGTGGCCTCGATAATAATTTCTATTGGCACTCGAACGATAAACATACCAGATCTACACGAAGTAGCCGACTAATTTTCTATTTTTCATATCCTTCATAATTTGCCCCTCTACTGTCAATTATCAAGGCTTCCATAACTCTAGGTATATACATATAGTGTAGGTATAAGATAAATGAAATGTGATCTAGACTGACTACGACAATTAAAATATCTTACCATTGCCACCGAAGTCTGCCCAGCATTGCTCGTATACACACATAAGTACGGCTGATCATTCTCCCATTGAGCGGCTTGCATCATCAATATTGCACTTTTCTGCGACTATCTTCAAGATAGGCATCAACAGTGCAGTAGATCGAATCCAACTGCCTAAGTTTTCTCCAATATTTCATGAACCCTGTGTTCAACATTTCCGCTTCAAGAGTTAGAAGCAACTTGCTAGACACGTCTAAAGAAGCTTTTCCCCTTTCCACATATTAAGGCCCACCAGGTTCCATTTTCTGATCGACGATGGAAAATCTGGGGGTGGATCTTTCTTTTCTCTTTAGATCCTCTTGGAAGTTCTTGGATTTCTTGGTATAACTTCTTGTTATTCGAGCTTGCGACGTACGACTTACGCGTAGTATGATCAGACCGTACAGGGAATGGTGTATTGAATCGCCATACCTGTGCTGTTTTCTTATAGGGTTTGACAGGTACGCTAGAGTTTCTTGGTACTCGAAATCCGCTACCGCCAACTACATCGCGAAGAATTAAATTTCGATACTATGTATCTAACGGTTAGATACGATGACGTAAAATGAGAAACATAATAAGAGTAGATTTTTCCTTATAAAAAATCGTGACCCGCTAAGCAGACCAGCCGGTTTCCATATTTGCGGGTGTTTAGTATGACGTCAACGAGGTTATCGTCATTCTACTTACTCATATACTCTCGTCGGCCGATGTTACCATAGAAAATACTAGAAGTTTCGCACATAAGCAGCCCTGACAATCTTCGCGTTACAGGAGCGAATGACTGCCCTGCAGAGAAAATAATATTATATCACTGATACTGTAGATACTATGCTAAAGGATTGTACAAGGTCGATACTATTATCACTAAGTTCGTCGATGTCGAAAATTTGCGGTGGGGATTTCCGGCGCTCCGGAGTTCCTCACTTTCTTAGTAGCCCGCCATACCATGACGCCCAAAAGCAGGCGAATGGTTACGATGATATTTGCAACTGGATTCTATGGAAGAGCCGGTACCCCCTTTCTAGGATGAATATATGATATACCTCATCAAGTTATTTTTAATTCATTTACGTTATTTTTGTACCTATTCCATGTAGTCATTAATCATCAAGCCGGGTTGAACGCAAGAGGCTCTAGGCCCATCCATTATGTGTAGCACCCCATCCATGTATCCCCAAGCCATAGCCCCCTTTCACCATTAGAAAGAAAGAAAAAAATCGAGTTACACACTTACTCCAAGATCTCACATACCAGTAACCGACCTTAAATGCTAGCCTGAATGATCCCCCCAGTATTTTGATATGATATGGTTTCCTTATTACTCCAAATTCCCGAGATTCCATTCATCCAGGTTGTTGAGATTGTCGAAGTTGAATTCCATAGGAGCCAGAGACCGACCAGTGCTGTTGGCTGGTGAGTTCGATGTGAATATGAACATAGATGGATCCGATACATTCGTTCCGGAAGGCCCACTTCCCATGTTCCACGCATCGAAGCTGCTTTGCCAATTTACACCATCCTTGATATACCAATCCTGTCCATCGACTGCATAGACCGCATTTGGAGGTTGATTTCTTCTCGTGGGCTGAGGTGTCTGGCTAGGCCCAGGATTACTTGGAACTGACGTAAACGCTTGTGGGTAGTTGATGATAGTCTGGTTTGCTTGAGCTTGGCGCCAATCCGGGTTCTCGTTGTCTAGGGAAGACACTGAGTTGCCCATAATAGCCACGTTGCTAATCATCGATTGCGGGGTTTGTCCGTCAGAGTGATAGCTAGCTGGTGATGGTGCCAAGCTCTTAAACATCATCTCGTTCGGTACAACTGGTCCCGCAACATTCAGCGGAGACGAACCAGCTGGTGGTGTATGATGACGACTTGCAGGGCTATGCTCGTGTTTTGCTGGTGGCGACGTCGAGTTCGCAGCTGAGGATGAGGGAGACAAGGCCATGTGAGACCGAGGCGAAGGTACATCGGATGTCTTGAAAGTGCCCCATTTCTCGTCCGTTCGCTGCAGAACATGAGAAGCTTCTTCAGGAAGTTCGACATTCCACTTGCGGGCGAGTACGCTGATTATACTTAGGGTCCGTCGTCCACAGAGCCAATCCTCAGCAATCTCTTCGAGGTGTTTTACTCCGTGAATGATGTCCCTCTTGGCAGTCTTCTCAGGCAGATTGAGAATGTGTATAGTACAAGCAGAATGAAGCATATACACTGCAATGTTACAGATTTGGCGTAAGTTGTAAAGCTTCTTATACAATCGCATCAACTTAGAGATGGCGCCAGCATTTGCTGTACATATTCGTCGCGGGGATACATGGGGAGGTAAGGGAGATGCGTTGGGAGAATACTTGAGGAATGGTCGGAAAAGATGGATATATTGTAGATGGAAAAACATGCTAGCACTAGTCAGTATTGGGATTGACTGCGATTGCGGGATTGGGGGTTTAACATACTGCATCAAGATAGCATTAGGCAACTGTCCTTCCTTAGGTTCTAGCTCCTTAGGCAATTCCTTGCGCCAATCCTCGAGTCGCCGGTGTAGTTCACTCAATTTCTTGAGTTCGATCGACTTTCCGCTTGATCGTCCTATGTGGGTTGGGTGGTAGAAGAACAGAAGAAGATCGCTACTGATTTCACACAGCTTGGATAGTTGTAAACCAATAGTACGGGTCCGTGATGGCTGTTTCGTGGATACATCGAAACCAGAGTCGGTGTACGGGCACCAGGCTTCGGCGTCTTCGTCCGGGAAAACGTCGTACTTGGGAACACTATACGAATTCTTTGGTAATTGCGGAAGTCGGCCTAGATAATTTGACCAACACTTATCGAATAAGAAGCAACCCCAGAAGGTAACTCTCCGAGCATCGATCTCTTGTTCGTCTAGATTATCGTGTTCGCTTCTGATGCCGCCCCCAATATCAAGGTTGAGCCCTAAATCTTGTGCCATTCGAAAACTCATACCACTATAAACCCAACCCTTAGCTTCTCGGCCGCAGCCTGCTTCTCTCACAGACATCAAGGCTAATGCTTGAACCGTCGTCAATCGTGGCCTTTCGTACTCGTCGTTATCAACGATCAATCGTTTGGCTTCCGCGAAGAAGTGATCTCCCTTAGTCCAGCTGTCACCGGCAGTGGCATAGGCACAAGCCATATCAGTGAAATGGCATCCTAAGGCAAGCATGGCATTAACTAATAATGGCGAGCAATATGCAGTCTTATAAGGCAAGATATTTGATTTCCCCCTCTCAAAGTCGCGGTAGAATAAGGATCGTGACAGCGTGGTAAAGTAAGGATAGTGCCAGTTGAAGTACATATCAAGGAGATGTTTTACAACCACCGGATCTTTCGTTACATCAGACCAACTCGTCTTAGGATCGGTATCTTCGGCGTTCACATTCAGAGACTCGTATTCTGGATTCGGTGCCCCGTGTATATCCCAATGTATGAGATGAGACGTTCCACCGATGAAGCGCGTTGAACCATTCTCTAACCGCAGCTCCCCCATTTTCCGAGCGAGATCTCTCTCGCCTTCGACAGGCATATCAGTGGTATAGTCATTGTCTATCTCGTCCTCCTCTTCTATTGCCCCACTTGTACCAAATTCTTCTTGTTTGAGTATCGACTCGGCTACGGCGTCGAGGCTATCGCAGGTTCGTATTCTCTTGACTATATCGGGGACATCATCTTCCTCTGCGTTAAGTATCGCTTCGATCAGGATTTGGAGGGTAGAATTGCGTGCTTTCATGCTGTCGATCTTCTCTCTATACACTCCTTTTCGGCGGTGATCCGAGTTGGGGTCGTAAATGCATTCGGTACCGTAGACGCTCGCGCACGCCGCGCAACTCGGAAGGGCACCATCGCATTTCGACTTTCGACGCCGGCAGGCTATACAAGCACTAAAGATGCAATGTCAACGTCGATCACGATTAATAGGCAGGCGAGTTGAGGGTGTATATCACGTACGTGCTGACGCATCGACGCTTCTGGATGGATGGATCCCCGCCCCTCCGGGATTTCTTCTTAGAGGGGGCAAGGGCGGAATCGGTAAAAGGAAGACCAGAACTCGACGTCGCAGGTGGTCGTAAACCCGACAAGTCGGGGCCGTCCATAATAATGTCTCAAGACAGTGGACTAGGCTACCGAGAGGGTTTATGTGGAACGGGTTCAGATCAGATCAAAGTTGGCGGAAAAAGAGAAACGTAATGGAAAGGGCGCAATTTTCAGGACCCATGCAAGCTAAGACTGAACAGACATGGGTGTGACGGGCGATAAAATCGATAAAATTTCCGGGGGTTTGGGGAGGGATGGGCGGCAAGCAACGGCTTCTTATCCGGCAGTTTGGGTCCCTTGCGAGATTGGCCAATTGTAGATGGCGGATCTTGATGCTTAATGGGCTTTTAAGACTTGAATATCCTCTTTATAAAAACGAGTAACCGTATACCTAGCCAAAGTAGCGTAAGCGAAGAGGGTCGTTTTATTATTTGTTTTCACTCCAAGCAATGAGGCTTGTTAGAAATGCTGGTAGATGATAAACAAATTGGTGATCATTGGTCCACAGAGACTATTGCCCCCTGTAATTCAGTTGCAAGACGATAGCGCTAGGCTCTTAGGGTAACCTGACGATGAGATCATGAGCCACCATGGAGGTGCGTTATTGCATTCGGTATTGCTTCATTGCGGGAAGACTTTCATCGATGGCGCACGCTCGTCGCCCGAAAAAGCAAGCATGGAATGTAAAGGATCAACTATAATGACGAATAGAATTTAGTTGAGAAGACGGACAGAGATAAGAGCACGGAAGATAAGTGGCGCGCTGAGTATTAGGTAATTCATAGATTGGCCTATGACTGAACGAGTTAGCCATTTCTCCTCATCTCAAACCGCTTTACTTAAATCGACCAAGATTATGTAAGGTACGATCTTTAGCTAATGGATCTGACAAGTTGCGGGGTCGTTCAGAGGCTTCAATTTAGGCGGAAACGAACGGCTGTATGAAGGTATAGGAAGAAGAGCTATGTCTGCACCAATTATACTGCCTAGTAAGTGTAGATATCGAGTTCCGATGGTGACAAGTTAGTGGACATAGTAATCTATGTTTTCCAATTAAATTGGTAGTTCATTCTTTAAGAACGTATTTCAATCTACCTTTACTGAGATACTTTAGATACGTCGTATACTGCTAAATGATGATTACTTCTGGGAACTTGAGTTACGAAATTGGGAAGTCTCTGGACCTTATTAACTTTATTAGCTTTCCTGTCTCTTTCTCTCGCGCTTTAGGTTCGAGTTGGTTGAGGGTTTCTACAATATATGTCTTTCCCAATTAGGCAACCCCACATACCCTTTTGGGCTGTCTGTTACCTGGTAACGAGACTTGGTAGCAACTATTAAGATAACTAGCCCTGTCAATATTAGGAACTACTATGACCAACGAATATATATGAAGCTATAAATAATCGAAGGCAAGAATGTTCTTAAGCTTCTAGAACTTTAGGATTGATATGGAATCATAGCCATTTGCGAATCCAAGTGGGGGTACTGCAGGTACAAGTGTATTCCGTGATGCCCGGGTTGAATTGCGATGAACTTGTCACATGAATCATTGGCAACCGACTACATAGATAAACCAATACATTCAGCAGCAAATAACAAATGATGTTGATTTTTAAGGGAAGATGGATACAGGTCAATACCAAAGTAATTGTCGGTAAGTCGGCACGAAGGTAGTAGACTGGTCCTTACTTGGGTATATATTACTCCCAGTAATAATAATACCGCCAATATCATTAACACCCCCGTCCAAATGTCTTTCTCATCTCGTGTCTTCTGGCTTACTTAGGAACCGCTAACTTCGATGCCAAGGCACCATACCAAATCTGTCCAATTCCTAAACTGACAGGAATTTAGAAAATTATTCGCGGAAACAATTCCGGCCATTTTATAGCATCTATATAGCTAGGCATTGACTGAAGACTGCGATTCTCTTAGTCTTTAGGGTAAGGGAAATAGCGGGGTACAATTCAAGGCCTAGCTAATGGAGCCCTGGAACTGAATTAGGGGCGAGTCCATATACGGATTTGGCGACTTTTTAGATTCTTTTCGGGATTTCGCGGGTTTACCAGCCAACCAACTGGGCATATTATCGTCGAGGATTCCAATAAATCAGGAATACCTATGACAGGAGTAGTTTTCTTGAAATTGATTGTTTATATGAATACTAACCTAAAGGAACCACCGAGTCAGACAATTTTCTATGTACAAGTAGGATTCGATTAGATAAGTTTGCTCAGAACCGGAGGCGCCATTTTCGCGGATGAATTTCTGTATAGTTATTAAGCTTACTGCAAATACCACCCATAGCACGTCGTGCTTAACAAACCGCTTTTTTTTCCAAAGTAATTTAACCACGGGCAAACGCTAGGGTAAGCATAGAGTAGGTAACGCAAGGGTTTCGCGCGGTAACAAGTTTATATTCTCTTTGAATATAACCTCGTTACGTACAAACTTATGATTTGGTAATGATGAGATTAAAATAGAATCATGAGTAGGAAGCGTGAATGCGGCGCGCCTATGTGGAAAAGCCTGGGCAAACCACGATTCGACGTTGGTGCTTGGTTGTTTGAACATGAACCCTGTCGCTGTTGGTAGAAGAAAGAAGGAGAAAAGAAAAGCAGAATTAAGTTGCTTTATTTGGCAGCTGTTGGAGGATATGTTTGAAATATATGGAACTTTTGAATCTTGGAAGGATTAAAAAGTAACAAGCCACGTTGGATTAATGCGAAAATTCTTACTTGATAAAAAGCGCAATGAAGTCGTTTTCGTTAACTACGCCAATTACGCGGAAAAACTTAATAGGGGCTCGTAAGATTGCCTGTTAGCTGGGATAGTGACTGATGAATGAGACGTTGGATCGAAGTTACCGAAGATGTTGTTATTTGGTACGGCTCGGTTACGTGCGAATCCCAACGCGATCCCGACGGCTGCAGACGATTTGCCAACATACGGTTTGTTTGCTATAGCGGGGGACGGAGTAATGTAAATGCTACACCATGACCCAAGGGGGCTCCCTTGAAGCAATCCACCATTTAACTTACCCGTTTCTCGGTATTAAGACCTATAATTGATTTGATATCGTGATGCGTACGCAAATCAGAAACCTGAGTAGGGACTCAGGTCATGGCATGACCGATGGCTTGGTGCAAACTTGAGAGGTAAACGTCTATTTAAACATGGCTTATATCCCCTCTTCAATCGAATTAACTTCATCTACCACGGGAAACTTAATACTTCATATCAATTCTCATTTTCTCAAGACACGATGTTAAAGAATATTTTCTTTCTTTCTACTTTCGCCCTTGGGGCAACGGCCCTCAATGAGACCATCTCGGGCTACAAGTACTTCTTATCAGGTCCCAAAGTCGACCAACCGAAAAGCGAATATGAGCATGCCGCGGCGGACCGGGCATTAGCCTTACTCGAGAATCGTCTAGGCAGTCAACCCCTTCCTGACCTTCCAGAGGACAATGTCACCGCAATTCTGAAGCTTAAGCAAGATCTCGGTACTGTGAAGCTTGAGGAGCTTCTTTTGCCTGATATGGCCGACGCCGACACTTATTGGCATAGCGCTATCAGCAAGTCTGGAAGCGGATGGGTGTCGGCTGATGCGAGAGCCGTCGTCTTCTTGCCTGCTGTGACATTCCAAGGTTTCGCTGCCTGGTATTCGTCGGACAAGGCTGATGCCGCAAACCTGGCTGCGAACCCCGAGCACTATGTGAAGGAGACTGTCAATACTACCACTGGGCTCTCATCGAAAATTCTAGAAGGTTGGGGTGGTGTAACAACTAATTTCACTATCCCCAATTTCGGTGCACCCGACCGATCGAAGGACCCGTTCCTACGGCCACTACCCGAGTTCCCTGTCCAACAAGCCGGCGACAAGGTCTTGCGTGACGGAACCAGGTTCGGTGTGCTCCATATCTCACTCCGCGAGGTTGATGGCGCGGCCTATGGGCAATCAGGCAAGGGTTTCGAGGTATATAGCACCGTCTGGTATCAGGATGGTGTGCAGGATGATCACTTAGAACAAGAGCGTAGACACATGGTGATCGAGATTGTTAACCTAACACTCCAGGCCCAGAAAGATCTCTCCGGTCAATAAATGCAGTATGGACAGGAAAACGACAAAACGGGGATAGGGTTGGGAAGCGATGTATTCTACTACTCAGGCAAAATTAAGAATTAAATTTTTGTAACAAGACTTAGATTCCCAAACTCACAGCGCGGAAACGCCACATAATTCGGGTAGTTGTCTCATAGTGCCAGTGCCTCTAGACAAGCGCCAAGTCTACGGTCGGGGGGGATTTTACAGCATCGTGCTGCTAATATCCAATCATCGCTTTGGACGGACCACGTTCAAATCCTAGCCGGATGTCACATTTAGCGCTGTGTGGACAAGACTTTGGCGGCTACACAGATGCGGAAACTACACCGAAAGCAATTTCTCGCGTGAGGAAATTATTCTGAATCAAGGCGGCGGGTGGCGGGCTGAAGTAGTATCCTTTTCAAACTCGCATCTTAGCGGAAATATTGCCCGCTGCCAGAAGATGTATTTCGTAGTGCAATAAACGAATAGCGATTGCTTTACCTCACCTACTTTCGAGGGATCGTGAAGCACGAGATGGTCTACCCGTTAGCATCACCAACGCTCGGATTTTAATTTCCATAATAACGAAAAGTGGGGATGTCTTGGGCTCATTATGCAGTAACACGTTACACAATCTGAGCGTATTGTCGCGGCACGGACCGAGGCACTGTGTGCGGTACCAGCTGAAATGCAAGGTGAGTGTACTTCGTAGACCTAACTTATATGCTAAACCAGAACTAGCTCCAAGATCAATATGTATGGGACAGGTCAATAACTTCAATCGATGGATCATATATCATATCGAAATATTAACTGGCTTAAAACACCATTGTTTTGACGATATCACGAGCGATCTCGATTATATAAACACCCCTAAATCAAATCTCAGTATACGCTAACTATTTTAGGTTAACGGGTGCCCGCCATAATTTTGTGCATATATTGACGCGAATCTACGTCTCCCACACCCTTCATCTTTCTTTTCTCCTCGCTTACACATGGTCGCCAACACTTTCCCATACTTTCGCGTGTATACGTCTCTTTTGTAAATTATACCTACCTAGATGTGATTATGCGTGTGAGATATGATGTTGATATCAGTTTATTTGTCGCAAGAAGCTCTAAGAAAAGTCTGACGCCACAGCGATTCTCCTAAGCCCGGAAGCACGGATGTTGTCTTGTCAAGTAAATAGTGGGGTTATCTTCAGCAATTTCTATGGATTTAATGTCGCAATCTATCTATCTAACAATATTTAACAAGGAGATCACATCTAATTTTTCGTGCCTGAGTATCCGGGTATGAGATGTTCCAGCTATGTTGAATAAGGGAAGACTTAGGTGCCCACAAAGCATGGAAAGCTCGATATCAGTTCAATCTACCCTTTCCTTCACATATCATTTTGTCCTGACCCCCTTGACTCTATGTTATTCTACCGTCAGGCTTACTGGAACCGAACTCTAAGCCCTCTGCTATCCGATTTTGGAATTCCGACGTCACTGTCGTGGATAAGAGCTATATCTGACTCATCACACTCATCACTGTTGAGACTCATTCGGTGGCCACCGGGCCGGAAGAGGATACCCAGTACGATAAACATCTCAGCCCACGCCAAACTTCCCAACGCATCAGGATCAGCATTCCGGGACACCAAGAAAATATTAGAATACGGACACTCACTTCATTCCCAAACAATTTCGCGATCCTTTAACGAATGGCACGAAGTTCCGATTCACTCGAGGGTCGACATCCCCGATCCACCGTTCCGGTATGAATTTATAAGGCTCGGGGTATACCTCCGGATCCATATGCATATGACAGACGGACATTCCAACAGGTGTCTGCTCAAACTTGTAAGGGATATAATATGCATGTTCCGCTGAAGATAACCTACATTTTTTGGAATGGTCCACTGCTTATACTGCAGGTCATAATCTGGCGAAATGCGTGGGCTACGCCTGAAGAAACGGGCAATTCTGATTTCTTTTTTTAGCATGCGACTGGCTAACCAATAGCTAATCACAGTTGAGTTTTTGTTACGAACCGTAGTCCCTCCTTAATGCAGCCCATTAGGTACGGAACCTTCTCAAGGTCTGCCCATCGGGGCATCTGTTTCGGGAAGTCGCTCATAACACCCTTCAATTCATCCCGGAGCCGTTTTTCAATTGCCGGATCAGCAAGAACGTAGTATGTTATGGTACAGAGAGTGCTCGCTGTCGTAATCGTCCCAGCAGCCAGAAGAGCAAACGCTTCTCTTTGCAGCCGACCAGATTCTTTCTCGGGACCCGGCAGATCACTTTGGAGGATATAATGAAAAATTGAGGTTTTATCGGACTCTTCAAGCTCGGGTTTACTAGCGATATGAGACTTTACTGCCTCTACCCGCCGCTGACTCAGCTGTTCGAATCATGTTCAGTACGCGGATGAACTCGAGACTTCTACAGCAGTAACTGACCTGGTGAAACATCCTGAACCCAGCGACGTTCGGGCTAAGTTTCTGCAGCAGAGACACCGGGACCACTTCTAGAATGCTTCAGACATGTGTAAGCACTGATTACCAGGTAATGACTGCATTGAAATATGTGATTTCGATACCTATTGATCCAGGGGAAGTTCCGTACGTATGGCACCACGGCCAGAATACCCGTTATGTTCGCGTACCTAATAACAAATTGGTTTAAGCACGTGGGTACAGATGCACTGCAATAGTGCGCGGTGTAACTTACCACCCTGGGTTGAAATCTGGTGATTCAATAAGCCTTGGATTCTCACCACAAGCAAACAGTGCTGCAAGATCCCCAGTTACACACGCATAAGCGTGGTCGAGTTGCACAATCGTATTCGTTCCCGCGAGAAGCCGCAATTTGTCATCTAATTTTGTTGCTTCATCAAGGATTCTAGACTCCATGCGACTAACGCTCTGTCTCGAGAAGAAGCTTTCTACCGCTTTTCTTCTGAGCTGGTGAAGTTCATGGCTGTGTGTCGTCGAGATGGCATCTATCCAACTTCTCAGCCATTACTCTACGGAATGAAGAGTACCTAGCTTACCAGACATCCCAAGCCCTGCACGGCTCTTGTATATCAAGTTCGTCCTTCTTTTTCCACCAGAAACATATAACTCGTTGTAGAAGTCGGCATCTCGAATCCTAACATTGGGTATGTTAACCTCCCGGGCATTCATTGGGTCACAGCTTGCGATGTTTGGGAAGGGAATTGGCGTTACATACTAATGTTTGTGTTAGCTAAAACTTCGTGAAAGCATCGAGGAGACCACAACGAAGGTTCTCTTGTACATACCGAAAGTTCCCAAGGGTTAATGCGGACAATAGGACCTTTGAATCTATCAGTTATCAAGGCTCTCACAACAGGGTCTCTTAGTCTAGTCACCGTATTTCTCATGTAACCCTTCTAAGACATCAGGAAAATTAGAACTATAGAGGTCGATGAACGCCTCATACCATCCGGTAGCCGCTGCAAGTTTGGGCCCCGGAAATTTAGCGAGATTGGACAGAAAGAGGCGATAGAAAACAACACAGGACCAGTAAAGGATTGACAAGGTCATAAGGCCGCCTACGAGGCGCCTTAGGTCGATATCAGGTTGTGACATTGTCAACGAAGTTTCGAGTTCGACCGCCATATTTTTAGGTACGCTATCAGGACGAGAAGAATGATCAAGACGTATCTAGCTAGATGCTGCCTAGTTAGGCTAATTGTCTCTATAGAGATGCAAGGCGGTTTTATGACCTCGCCGGAGTTAATAGTATACGCGACTAACTACACCGCGGTGAAGAATGTTTCACCGAGCTGCATAGACTATCCCGACGAGCTGCTCTTCCTAATCCTACGCTAAGCTAGTTAGTTATGGTATGTCAAGGATGGTATAGGATGACCGCATATATTCTAGAAGATGGTGTCCACGTCGCTTTCGTCTTATAGTTACACAACGTGTAACGGAGTTTCCAACGTGTGATAATCATCTTTGTTGGTCCTTATCATTGCGTATTACTGCATATAATGCTGATTCAAGCAATATTTGATATACCGATTTTTGTTCTGGATGATATAGAGGCATTATTGGAGATTTTATACGACGATGTAATTCACCACGTTATCACAGTGCGTTCGAGCTTATAAATTCATAATACGCTGACCCCGTTGCGAGGTTGAATATGTCTATTAATACATCAGAACCTTCCTTCCGAGGACACAATCTAGGACCGAGCAGTGTTTCAACGTCTTGTTTGAGAATCATTTTTAGAGTCAATTTTGTCATTGAATTTAATCTGTACCATCAATACTTTCCGCAATGGCTTCCAACATCAAGGCTCTTGTGTTCGACCTTGGCGGCGTTCTCCTTGAATGGGATCGCCGCAGCACTACAGTGCTGTCCCCGAGTCAGTTTTTGACTATCATGAATTCTACGGCTTGGCACGACTTGGACAGAGGCATTCTTACGGTGAAGGACGCTTGCAAGGTAAAATTTCCCTCAAACTATTTCAGTTTTCCAACATGAACTAACATGTGAAAAGAACTTCAGCACCATCATCAATGTGGAGCCATCTGTTATTGAGAGCGCCCTGGACGAGGCTCAAAAATCCTTGACCATCAACGCTCCACTTGTACAAACAATCCATGATATCAAGTCACAAAATCCCGATATCAAACTCTACGTCATGTCCAACATATCCAAAGTGAGTCCACCCAAGCACATATTGTGTCAGACCCATAGGATTGGCTGACCACAAAACAGGAGCATTACAAGATTATCCGGAATCTAGACTTGCCTTGGTCAATCTTCGATTCCATCTTTGCTTCTGGAGTAGAGGGCATGAGAAAGCCCGATCTATGTTTCTTCCGACATGTTATCAAGCATACCGGAGTCGACGCAAGTCAGACTGTCATGATTGACGATACGGTCGAGAACATCTGCGCGGCGCGGTCTCTTGGCATGTATGGAATACTCGTAGACGACGAAGCATCCAAGACCGGTACCACGCTACTAAATCTTCTCCAAGATCCACTGCCAAGAGCGCAAGCCTTCTTGGAGAGTAACGCAAGAAATCATCATTGTGTTGTCGAAAACCACAAAGATGTCGTACTCAAGGACAATTTTGCCCAATTGATGATCTGGGAGCTAACAGGTGATGAGAACATCATCTACCTCAAATGGCCTTCTGGTAAAGTTCATGGAGCCGTAAATGGCCACACCAACGGTCATAACGGTACCTCTATCAGCTCAGATGTCAAAAATGGCCTCTGGAATTACTTCTACGAGGAACCGATTCTAGCCTCTCGGGACTTCCCACCCGACGCTGACACAACATCGACAGCCTACGTATCTATCCCTTCAGAGTACCTATTCAAAGTTGCAGACGTCGAGCTAGTCTTAGATAAGATGGCTAAGAACATAGACTCCGACGGGATAATGCAAACATACTTCGCTGACGACCGTCCTCGAACTACGCCTGAGGTTTGCTGCAACATCCTTCGTGTTTTCTATCGCTTTGGTTACGGCTCCGACCCTCGCATTCGAAAGACGGGGGAATGGGTCGTCAACTGTCTCAAAAATGATGCTTGTTCCAATGGCAACAGGCACTACTCAACTCCTGAGAGTTTCTTGTATTTTGTAGCTCGTTTGCACACAGAGAGCAGCCCGAGCCCCTTTTCGAAGGAGCTGGAGCTTGTTAAGGAGAAACTTGAAGAACGTCTTAACGTTCCCTCAAACCCACTTTCCCTCGCATTGCGCATCTTTGCCTGTCAGTTGGTTGGTATTAGCGAAGAATTGTACAGGAAGGACCTTCAAACGCTGTTGGCTTTGCAAGACAGAGATGGTGGGTGGCCAGCAGGGCACTTCTGCTGTATTGGAAAAACGGGTGCTCGAATTGGTAATCGGGGATTGACAACGGCTCTTGTTGCTAGAATCCTTCAGAAGGAAAGGGAGGGCATCTAAGAGATTCTCGGAGTATTATTTGCTCTCTCCTCCCTCATCATGTTAGTTCTGTTTAGAGAAATATAGATATTCCTATGTACTGCGTCACCTCGTATCTGTCGTCTGTATGTGTTATTGTGAATATCCTATCCGGGTCGGACTAACCATCTAAGCACATGTAAGCTTTATGCAGGTGTTTACGGCGCATGTAATACCTGAATCGGTATCTCACGCCGTATATCATTGGACTCGTTGCACGGAAGCACTAGGGACGCTACGGCCCGAGTCCTAGCTGAATCCGGCCGGGTAAGCCGGTTATTATAAATTAGCGCACTACGGTGTACCCATTTCCTCCAAAACCCGCTTAGAAAGACGTTCTGGGAGACACCGTCGCATGTGATAGTTCAGATTCTTCAACAGGGGTCTAGAAGCATTTGGATCCAGATCCTACCATCTGACTACAGAATCCAACTCGATTAATAGAGCTGTTGGTTGTTGCCTACATCGTCGCAAATATAATTATCTCTATGCAGATACCGTATCTAGAGTGCGAATATCGGAGCGGCTCGGCTTTAATGCTGACATGATAGTCTTCGGTGAGCATAGCAATCATGATGGATTCACCTTTGCTCTCACCGTAGCACCAACAAGTCGACTGTTGAATGTTGTGATCCTCTTAGTGATACTCCCATCGTGAGCGAGGCTGAGTGCTCTCACCTGTAAAAACTCCTAGCCGATGACTGGTTAAGTGTAGTGCCCCTGAACATGAACCCCTGTATGAGCTGAAAATAGGGGCTAGAGCTAGCCGCGCTTACTATCACGAAGATAGTTGCATTTCTCTTGTACCATTGGTAGATGATTTAGGAGCAGAAGGATGGCCATCGGCCCAGCGACTGAGTATAATATAAAGTGAGGAGCCTTCAATAGAGATAATAGCTTCAATTCCTAATAGCTTCCAATCCATTTTTGAGGTTTGCGACACGATGCTTGACTCTATGTTCTTTAGACTTCTACCTGCCCTTGCGCTCTTAGGCGGTCGGGCTTCTTCCGCACCCGTGGATGGTTACAATTGGCCACCCTCAATAGCAGGAGAAGCTCATGGACCGTCGTGGCCTCAGTTTGCCAATGCCACCCTACGTTGGTCTACGTATGCGGCCCCAACCTTCAACGAAGTGTTCATTCCCCAAACAGAAGAGGATCTGTCTACAGCAGTAAGTCTTACCAGAAATCGTTCATGCAGAGCTTAGTTTGACGGACAACGCGTGTAGCTTCGCTACCTGTCGAGTTCAAACAAGACCTGGTTGGCCCAGTCAGGCGGTCATGGGTACTCTGCAACGCTGCAAACAATCCAGAATGCTGTTCTCATCAACATGGAAAGCTTTGACTACGTAAAAGTAAACCCGAACATGACTGTTACCGTGGGCACTGGTGTCAAATTCGATGAGTTGATCAGCGTGGTTGGAAATGCGGGTAGAGAGCTAAGTAAGCTTCACGAAATCTGATATTATTTTTCACCGAAAATACTAACAAGACTGTAGCTGTTGGGTTTTGCCCTGGAGTGGGCGCGATGGGAGCTACACTCGGTGGTGGGCTCGGCCGACTGGAAGGTCTCCATGGCCTAACAAGTGACGCCCTGCTTAGTGTGCGAATGGCGCTGTGGAACGGTACAATTATCGAAGCCTCTGAAACGGTCAACCCAGACCTATTGTGGGGTCTTCGCGGTGCTGGTCAGAACTTCGGTATCGTCATCGAGGCGCTATTCCAGACGTACCCGGCAACGAATGGAGGCTTGCAGTACAGCTCGGACTTGATCTTCAGTGCTGACAAGCTGGAAGCCGTCATGAACGTGACAAATAGCTTGTTGACACCTCAACTGGACCCCGCTTTGGCTATCGCCACATCCATCTCTCCCGACCCAACGACCTTTAAGGTAATTTGCCCAAACTAGAGATATACTCATATGTATGTTCATGGTGCTGACGTCAAATCTAAGCCGGCGATAACGGTGAACATTGTATACCCTGGACCACTAGAAAAAGGGCAGGCGTTCAGGAAGCTGTATTCCGCCATCAGCTCTAACTATACTGAACAAATGGTTCCTTGGACAAACCTAACCTCCGTCGCACTTCCCGCTGTAGAGGCCGGAACACTCATTAAAGGTAACCCGCACGATCAGTACAGCGTCTTAACCAAGAATCTACCAGTAGCGAACTTGCGCGAAGCCGTCGATGCGCTCGGTACCTTAGCACAGCAGTACCCAGGAGCAAACGAAAGTACCATTTTCATTGAAACTTTCGGCCAGAAGGCTCTATCAGATCTTCCAGCAAACTATTCCGCCTTCCCTCACAGGGATACATTCCGTAACGCGATAGTCTTCTCGGTGACATATTCTGACGCAGCCGTGGCTAGTGCAGCTAACTCCTGGGCGATGAGCATGCGTGATAAGTTTGCGCAGTCCGAAGTTTCCGGATACGACAAGTTGCAGATCTATCAGAATTATGCGCATGGTGATGAGCCCCTCTCGGCTCTGTATGGTTACGAGGAGTGGCGTCATGAGCGTCTAACTGCGTTGAAGAACAGTTATGATCCTCATGGATTCTTTAACGGGTTCCACGCAGTGCCAAACAAGCTTTCAGATTGGTCTTGAGTCTTTGGCTGAATCGTACCAGATATTATCACTTTTCTGTATTTCTTTAGTTTGATAGATTGTAGGATTAATTAAAGGGCATAGATGAATAAGATTTAAGATTGTTTACTTAGAATTAGAACGTTGGCGAGACAATATAGAAAACATCTGATTAGGAAACTCCGAGGCTTCTTTATCGTAGTATTGTGATTGGCTTAATTCGACGCTATTGATTTCATACATCCAATTAGCAAACGAGCTTCTTTATCAAAACTGGGTTAGAAACATCAAAATCTTGAAGTGCGAAATTCGCCCGCCATCCATGATAATCGCGCTAGAAAACTTCGAAGTGCCCCGCCCTGTTCAAGTGCTCTCGGAGTAATGGAGTCGTTTGTAGCTCTGTATAGGATATCTTTCAAGATCTCTGGGTTGGTTTGGAATCATCCTAGCCTATCTAAAATTATTACTTCTAGGTAAAAAGTGAGGGGGTGTAATAGCTCGGAGTTATCGAAATGAGGTGATATCCGAGACACTCAGCCCCTTTTGTTGGACTTGTGCATCGTAACACAGCATATGCAAACCTGAAAGGACTTAAGACTAAAGACCGATCGGAATATAGCCTTGCATTATGTCCATCAGAAGGCTAGCCCATCGACGTCACTGTGGTAAGAGGATAGTAAATGCAGCGATCACTTGAGACTTAGGTGTTTCCAATTATTCAGAAGCAATCCTGTCGTATTAAAAGCGCCACTAAAAAGCAAGTCCTCGAGGTATGTTGAGCAACTCATCTCCTTCATTCAAGTCTAAGATCTAAGACATCGCTACGTATTCAACCACAATGGATCCACCCAACACCAAGCCGTACCATCTTCCTTCAGATGCTGTCTGGTTTGGTCAGTAACCCCTCTATGCTACTCCTATCGCATCTACGGTTACTGACTTCATGCGTGTGGGTATATAGTTACCGGTTGCTCATCAGGAATTGGCAAGGCCCTAGCCCAACTCATTGCTAAGACCTCCAATCGAGTTGTAGCAACTGCCCGCAAAGCAGCATCTTTATCGGACATTCCCAATAACGAGCATGTCCTGAAGTTGGAGTTGGATGTTAACTCTATCAGCTCCATCGAAGCTGCACTCCAGGCAACCCTAGAGAAGTTCGGGCGGATCGATATCGTTGTTAACAATGCAGGCTACACACTTGCTGGCGATACCGAAGCTGCTGGAGATGAAGAATCTCGGGCTGTGATGGACACCAACTTCTGGGGGATGGTCAATACTACCAAGAGATGCCTCCGAATCATGAGGGAAGAGAACTCCAAGAATGGCCAGCAAGGCGGCGTGATCATGAACGTGAGTTCTATGGGAGGTTTTACCGGTTATCCAGGACAGGCCTTTTACCATGCCAGTAAATTCGCGATGGAAGGGTTCACCGAATCTGTGGCAAAGGAAGTGCCATCTTCATGGAACAGTAAGTTCCCATTTGTCGAAGCCCTAGTCTTGACTCCGACGCTTATGATTCTTTTCTAGTCCATCTATGCAACATCGAGCCTGGTGGCGTCAAGACCAACTACGCAACATCATCTTTGAAACACATAGCCATAAAGCACCCAGCCTACGATAACCCTAACTTCCCGGCGAAGCAGCTTCTCAACCATATGGCGAGCGAACAAGGCCGAGCTCTGTGGGCAGAGCCGAGTGACTTGGCGGTGGCTATGTACCAAATTGTCGGACGTAGACAACGAATCCCAATTCGTATTCCCTTGGGATCTGACGCCTGGGGCATGGTCGCTCATGACCTTGATAGTACTAGGAAGGACTTGGAGGATGTCAAAGACATTAGTTTCTCCGTGGGCGACGCGAGGCAGTTGGAATCTATTCACTTCCTGGCTTAGTTTTACCAGGTATAAGTGAAATATTCTTATGTAGTTCTCCTATACTTTACTGTCATATAGTTACAATATTAGCTATCTCTTAAACTCAAGCATTCATAAGTTCGCTCGGCTCTGAGAGAGCGTCGTAACATAAGGGGCGCGGACGGTGTTTGGCCTTCCTGCTCCGGTTGATGTAATAAGCATAGATAGGACTTTCGACTTGATTAGCCTTGAAGAAGCTTCTCGCTGCGAAAATGCCTATGCCAGAAGACTACTCGGATGAGCTCACCGATACTTCGGGAGCTCAAATAGGCGAAGAGTGCTGTAGAACTGCAGTTTCTAAACGTGTAATAAATCCACCCGCTGTTGGATTTGAGCTGACAGATAAGCATGCGAGCAATAACCACTTCTGGAAAGGACACCTAGGCCTGGGTGCATTATAAAGACGCGCGGTAAAAAACAGAACGGTATTGTAAGCGCCGTTTGGAAATCTGCCCTGATTTACGTAGACCGTAGAATGATTTGCTGGGTGGGCAGGCGGTTAGCCTACTCCTGTAGCACCTCAAGACTAAGCTTAGTTAAATGATCCGTCGGATGCAGCACTCGGAGACGGAGTTTCTCGAGGCCACTCACCAAGTGTGGTAACACAGCCTTTGCGACACAGTGTACACACGATACTTGTACTACACATCACCAATATTACTAACCAGACATGTACCTAGAGATGAGTAGGCATGCAGATGGCAAAGGCCTAGACCTAACTTATCATAAGGTAGACACCCTTTTCTATCAGCCAACAATCTCTAATCCTGTCGACTAGGTCTCTTGTCAGGGTCAACCGCCGGTCCCCTGTTTTGAGGGACGTCGAGATCTCTAACTATCTTCTCACTTCTACGCCCAAGTAGACACTTGAGGGGTATATCTCGTGCTTTTCTCATAAATAGCAGAGGTTCCGTTACGAGGACAACCTAGAAGTACCCGGGGTATATATGTAGGAGCCCCCTAACCCAGTTGCTCAGCTTCGTCAAGCGGTTATACAACATCTTTGGTTGATGTTCTGCTATCAATTAGCTCAAGGCAAATTCAATCCATGAAAATGATATAGGTCTTTCGTTGATATAATATGGGATTGGCGAGACTTTTGAGAGATATCGAAAATATTTATTTAAATTTGATCAATGGAAGTTTCTTGCAATTAGAACTATTTAGTAGGAGTGTCCCGATGTCAGGGGGTAGGGGCTGAGAATTAGGGCGGTGACCCACCTTGAAAGCTCCCATGTATAGAAAGGGCCCTGGAACTGCTGAAGAAACCTCTTATAATTAGCCTTAAGAGCTTAAAGGTGGTAACCATATAGCGATTCCTTGCGTCGAGTATCCCGGGGTATTAATTATATAATAAGGACCGGCCGAGTATCTTGGTGTAGGTTGTGCACGAGGGAGTCTTGTTAAATACGGCACCTCGGTTTGCCTCGGTAGTGCTGCCGAGGTTTATCTATTTGCGCTGTCAGCCGTTACAGGGCACTCGCCTTACCAGACCCTTTCCACACTTTACCTGAACTTACAGTTTTATCATTTTCCCTTCATAGATATATGTAACATTTAGTGTAAACTATTATACTAATCTGTTGTTTCGAAAACGTCACTAAGCATTTCAATAGGTTAACCTAAACATCTAATTCGCTATGAATTGACTTGTAGAGTTTTAAGTTGCCCCTCCAAAAAGTCTCTTCGCCAAGATTGGGTTAGTTAATTTAAATTAGCGACCCAGTTTGCTGGATAGATCTAGCTAAGAAAGGAAGGCGGTGAAAGAGTACCTAGATATTCTGCCGATCTTGTGCGTCACTCCGTTGTCTCTAAGTGCCCACCGGTTTTTTTCGTTTCTTCACGGCGCCTCGGTCTATCCGATTTGCTCTATCTAATGTAATCTCTGTTCCTCGCTGTCACATGGTGGCTTGTTAGAGACATAACCCGATCATTAGCAACTTCTGAACCAGTATTAAAAGGCCTTAGTTACACTTCTGTACCTTAAGAGCTCCCAATTTCTTGCTCATATGAAAATACTTGTTCAATTAAGATACCCATTTGCTTCTTCCTTTAGATTCCCCACCCACGCTCGTGCTACGCAGAAAGCTTTCATCTATTGCTATTCTACTACTAAACAATACTCCCGATTCTCTACAATGGCTCCAGGACTATTAAGTGCCAACGGCACTAAGAAGCACAAGGTGACCGTTATTGGTTCTGGTAATTGGTGAGTACGGACCACCCTCTATTCCTGCCCGGTCCGGAAAGTTAATCATGATGTGACATAGGGGTTCCACGATCTCCAAGATCGTTGCCGAGAACACCAAGGAGCACCCAGATCTATTCGAAGAGGAGGTGCAGATGTGGGTATACGAAGAAGATGTAACATACGAAGACAAGACACAAAAACTCACCTCCGTCATTAATAACCACCACGAAAACATCAAATACCTCCCCAACATCAAGCTCCCCACCAACTTAATCGCGAACCCCTCCCTCGAAGACGCCGTCCACAACTCCTCCATCCTAATCTTCAATCTACCCCACCAATTCATCCACAGGATCTGCGGACAGCTTAAGGGCAAAATCGTACCTTTCGCACGAGGAATCTCCTGCATCAAGGGCGTCAACGTCACCGATGAAGGCGTATTTCTATTCTCGGAGTGGATTGGCGAGGGTCTAGGTATCTACTGTGGTGCATTATCCGGCGCGAATATCGCCTCCGAAATTGCGGCCGAGAAATGGTCCGAAACTACGATTGCGTACGACCCGCCGCCAATGGACAACTCGCGTAATCCTTCTCGCAACGCTACGCCCCGCTCTGCGACCCCCAGTCGAAACTCACCGCGGGCGTCCGCTGCTGAGCTAAGTATTTCGCCGTTGGCGGAGACGCAGCATAGAGATGTTCGCGGCAGGATTAGCAAGACTAAGTTAATCCCCGTACCGCCTGAGTATACGCCGCTTGACCACGATACTTTTAAGACGTTATTTCACCGGCCGTACTTCCATGTCCGCATGGTGTCCGACGTAGCAGGCGTATCTCTAGGCGGAGCCCTGAAAAACATCGTCGCGCTAGCGGCCGGTTTTGTAGACGGTCGAGGCTGGGGTGACAACGCCAAAGCAGCTATCATGCGAGTCGGACTCCTAGAAATGGTGAAATTCGGTCATGAATTCTTCGGCGAGACTATCTCAACCCAAACCTTCACCGAGGAAAGTGCCGGTGTAGCCGATTTAATCACAAGTTGCAGCGGTGGTCGTAACTTCCGATGCGCGAGGAAAGCTGTCGAGAAGGGCATTTCCGTTCAGGAGGTCGAGCAAGCGGAATTGAATGGCCAGAAGTTGCAGGGTACCAGTACTGCCGCGGAAGTCAATTCGTTCCTCAAGCGCAGGAATCTCGAACAAGAATACCCGCTATTCACCGCCGTGCATAACATCCTTGAAGGTCGGAATACTGTGGATGATATTCCTGACCTTGTTTCGAGGACTTAGACATTTGACAGGAGGAACAGAAATAAGAGAATGAACTTTATCAGCGTTGGAAGTTAAAGAAATTGATGGGATTAAGAGAATAATATAATTATGATTTTGCATAGAGCAGTGTTCAATCGGTTAAGGGTGCATTTTTATGATTGGTCGCGGTAGAAAATAGGCTAGAACGGGTTCTCCAGCATGATATCCCAGAACACGGAAAACATAATTCAGATTCATCATCTTTACCTTTCATACGTTTATTATTGATTGTTACCTTTATATTGTAACCTTAAGTTGAGTGTTATTAATTTGCAAGTAATGCATTCTTTTCGCTTCCCCACCTTTGCGAATTCCTCATCATGTTTCGACTCCTTCTATTTATCCTCGAGTTATCTTCATCATCCTCTATCGTCCGCTCGCCATCTCCGAACAGCGGTTTGAAGACAGCATCATAAGCTATCCACACCAAATTCATCGCAACGGCTGCCGCGCCCGCTACCCACCGCGGTACTTTACCATCTTCATCAGCCAACAAGTATCCAAACGCTAGTATAATCAAGAAAAGTGGCAGCGCTAATAAAAGGAGTAACCACCGCCCTATATCCTGCCGCCATGTCGTGATCTTGTATGGTTGCAACCCCGCGAGATACCGTTGATAGTCATCCGGTAGGTAGTGTTCTCGCGCGCCATTGCGGATCAAGTTCAGATGGTGGATACTGGGCTGCGCATAGTCCGGCGTGGAGCGGCTGACAGGTAGGAGGAGTTTCCGCCACCATTTGTCTTTATCGCCGTCTCCATCACCCCCATCATCATTGCCACCGGTAGTTGTATTATTTCTATCATCGCCGGGTGGTTTTATATCCGATAATCGCGGGGCGTACAACGTATGCGCGAGGAACGGCTTCGGTAGCTCAGGTATGGGAGGTTTCTCGGGGATGCGCAGGGGTGGGGGTAGAGCGAGGCACGGCGCAAATACGTCCTGGTATGCTGTACCACCGCCTTCGGCTCGAAGGAGCTTTCCGTAGTCATCGCGTGTTATCTCATAGACGACCCCGTATAGACCCTTAGACCATGACGGAGGGCCTCCGGGAGGCAAGGTAGGTAGTAGCCGCGTTCCCAGACGCTCATCTTCGTCTGCCTCCTCTTTTCCTAAGGCAGTGTTCGTAGTCGGCGGAGGGAAGGGAGGTTTCGGTGGATCACCCGGAATCGGTGGTCTGGGAATCTTGCGCGGCGTCACATTGGATAGGCGAGGCTCCCAGTATGGAAGTCCCGGAAGGTCAAATGCTAAATCAAAACCTGGCGATGATACGTTAATCCGACTTAGCGGATGGATATCGAGACGATCGAGAAAAGCTTCGGACGAGAGGTTGGAGCCATAGGCTAAGTAAAGGACCGTTGTCGCGGAAGTACCATCGGGTGAGTCGGGGGAGGCAAGCGCTAAACGCTCTGGAGATGTTCGTGGAATATTTGAGGGAGGATAGGACTTCGGTCGGTGATGTTTAAAAGAGTATCGGATTTGTCGGAGTAGAGCGTAAGATATTTGGGAAGAGTCGAATCGGTCGCCAGCCGAGTGTCCTTCCTCCATATCCTCTAGCTGGTGATACATGGTTTAAGGAAGGTTCGCCGATTTGAGTCTAATATGTGGGGGGTATTTCAAAATCTCAAGTACGGCCCAGCATAGTTGACTCGTCTGAGCTGATATGGATTAAACCGTTGGTATCGGATTCTTTATTTTAGATGGATAAAATATATCCTACAAAGCATCTGCCGTGAATAACGTCGCAGGATCGCGAGGTGTATCATCACATCACCTGAAGAAGCTACATGCATTATGTACTATTTCTGGAAAGACTTACGTCAGTCAGTCGGGCGACGGAGGATACCCCTCTCGGTTGGCCTATTCTCCCGGTAGGGGAGATGCTTTATTATATACATAACAGGGGTATCTGAATAAATAACATCTCAAACTCTCCAAATCTCTTAGCAACGCGCCGATTCTAACCCTTCACATCCAACCCAAAGCGATTCACCATCCGTAGATTAAGGTAACAGGAGACACTGGACTCATTCACAGTTCAGGGCGCCAGGGGCCAATCAAGTCCGGCTTGTCCCTAATTTTCGATATCCTCGTCCGAAGACGTCGTGATGAGGCCCGTAGGTACGACACGACGTTTTAACGCGCCCTGGTATTCTGTTCCTCAGATTCTATCAAATGTTGATTTCTCATCTGCGGGTCATCTTCATTCGAGCAAATTTCTTCACTGAAGGACATTCTATGTAGGGCAACTCCGGTCTCTTACTAGAGATCAACAGTGCAACAACAAGAGGCACATATTTTGATTACATCGGATTCGTGAAATCCGGCAATCAAATACATACTAACGTCGTCGCGCCACATAGCGAAATTGACACCGTAGAAAAGCATTTGCTACTGGTTCAGACCGAAATCTCTAGGTTAAGGATCGGCATCTTCCTGGATTGAGAAGCCTCTACCTCAACTTCAGCTTTGGTCCACCCTTACACGCCCCTTTGTAGGTTCTCCTATTCGATCTCTAATATAATCGACGATGCTCTCTAAATTGGTGGCGGCGATGTCTTATGAGAGCCAACCCACCCACGATCACCCTCACATTAGAGCGCCCGAGCTACTGTTTGCCAAAGTGCTTTAGTGCGTACCTGGGTAGGCTATGCAGGAAAAGTGTCATCGTTAATGCGGATATTCACCGCCCACGATGCTAATTGTTTACGATTTATACGAAAAGAAATTCGTCATTCAAGCGAGTCAATCCTTCTTCACTAGTCCGTACCGACAGGATGGTTAGGTCTCACGGTATTGCCTCGAACGGCATCCCTGTATTCCCAGAACAGTATGTGGACCTATGATCTACTTTCAGGTCTACTACCACCCTCGTGGTATTAGCATGGAACCCGGACAAGCTGCACAATCTGAAGGCTGGAGGATATCAACATCTTGCTCATACTTTCATCTTCAACGTCAGCGGGCTATTATACCCAGTCATTAAGCCGGTACAACTATGAGCTGAATGCCCATAGGTCAATCCTAATAAACCCAAAGAGCACAATGCTGACAGTATCACGTAGCCTCGCACGTATTATCTCCAACGACGCTTCAAATATCATATCTCATTTCAGTTTTACACTTCAGCCTCTCACTCTTTTATGAGATGCCGCTGAATAACGCTGACATGCCGCCGGAAATTGCGAGAACCGGGACCTCGGGCATCCCCAACCATCCATTCGGCGACCCGATTAATTTCTGTTATGCATATCTGATTCTCGGCTACCGTAGATCTACCACGCGCCAAATCAAAGAGTACTACGTATTCATGTAGGTGGTCAACCGCAACGGCCCCTCCCGCGCGACGGCATTTGCTCGTTTCTCTACTCTCATTGCTTGGCACTTAATTCTTTTAATACCCATTTTGCTTTCCATCATGACGATGATTGGTTGGCTGTTCAATATTTAATCCCTCCCCGGTTGGGCAGATCGATGCCGCCTCGGGCCTTTTTTATACACTTTGGGAAATTTTGCTTTCCTGAGGCGAGCTGAGCCTGTACTCCATGCTCATAGATCGTGGGAACATAGATCGCTATTATGGCCTAGGATGCTCTATGCGTCAGTGATTCGTTATTTTGTTTACTTCGCATCCCTTTCTAAAGCTCGTGGTTTTCGTTTCTAGTCAATCTTTTTCGTTCTCTTTGTCTTTAGGTAGGTCAGCAGCCCAATATGGCTTCCTTCGCTGGTGCACTGTTGCGGTTGATTTTCAGAGGAAAACCACAAGAGGGCCGCACAAGCCGCATGGACGAGGAACAAGGCGTTCCAAATGCGCCATCTACGGCAGGTTTCGGCTCAGCGGCAGTGGCGTCAACATTGGGGGTCAACCAGAATGCGATCCCCCACGGTCACGCCCATCGACGCTATCTCGTTTCTGAAGACGATCCACTCACCCTGTACCGCCTTATGGTTGGTATCAGTACCTCGCCCTATCTCGGCTACAGCGAATCGAGCCCCATAGGCACACGTCCAGCAGCGAATATCGGTATCTACGCACGCGTTATACACTCAGAACAGAAGTCCAAAGACCGCTACAAAGTTTTCTCGATCCTCATAAACGCCTGCTATTTCCTACAGATCGTGGTTGCAGCCTCGCTCACGGCCATGGGCGCCGCGGGCGTCAGCCATGGCGCAGTGACCGCTTTTGGAGCCATTAACACCATTATTGCAGGTCTCTTGACCTTCCTGAAAGGTAGTGGGCTACCAGCGCGCCTCAAATACTACGGAAATGAGTGGAAGAAGATCCGCGAGTTTATCGAGCAGCGCGAGCGAGACTTTTCCCGGTCGAATTGTACCCTCGACGTGTTTGAAATCGTCGCCACTATCGATCGCATGTACAACCACACCAAACAAGAGATCGAAATGAACACGCCCGATAGTTATACATCAGTAACAGGTGGCATGCGATTCAGAAATGGCAGCAATGAGAAAGTCGGCGGTATCGATGTTTCAAAGTTCGAGGGCTTGGCTTCTAAGCTTAACGGCACGGTTCAGAAGCTTGCCGTTGGCTTAGAGGGCAAGGCGCAAGATGTTACGAACCGCATACACGACCATGAGAAGGAGATATCAGAAAATGTACGCGGGGTGCAAAGGACCGTCGTAAATAGAATCGACGAGAAAAAGGAGAGTCTAGATCGCGAAGCAAGCGAGCGCACCGCACAAGCGGCGAAGGCGCTTGACGATGGAAAGCGCGAGGTATTAGGTAGCAAGGACCAAATAGAGCAAGCTGGCACACAAGCAGTAAGGGACGCTAGCGACACGCATCGGACGGTAGTAGGCGAAATGCGAGCCGCGGCGTCTGCCTCAATGCGCGGAGTCGCCGACAGACTAGGACATCATCACGATTCAATACAAGAGGGAGGCGAAAAGAAATAAGAAAAACACGGTCGTGGGTACATATAAAGTTTATGGCGTAAGGGGGCTATTCATCGTGTATGGGGGCGGTTGGTTGGTCTGGCATGACTGCTTAATCTTAATGCGCCGAGATATCCTGTATTTTGACTACATATACATCTTGTTGAAATATTTAATCGATGTACTATTATGTATGGATGATATTGAGTATAATACTATTATCCAGCTGTTTAATTACTTCACCTATAGTGTGCTGTCTCAGTTGAGGTTTGATTAACATGTAAAACACTGTAGTCTCTTTTCCGCTGCTTTTTAGTTGGATGGGCCTGCTGTAAGGACGCCCTAAGTTGCCGCTACGATAGGGGTTGTAAGAGCGCCAAACACGGAGGGCCCGAGTACCCCCTGAACAATACCTAGAAACTCTATCAGCATGCTCAATTCTGGATTATCCTGTCGGTTGAAAACAAAAGGCGCCAAAGTCATGTAGCCATAAGGACCACCGGTTTTCATCGAATATTAATGTAGATTAGATAGGCATATAATATGTTCTCATTAAATCATGCGACTATTTTCATGTGCGAAAAGGAAACATCTTCGCGCCCAGCACCAAGCCTGATATCATGCATCACCTCGTACCTAGTAGAAAGACCCCATACCCGCTAATAAATCAACACTGTACAGGTAGCAACTAAACGCCTAACACTTCACCAACTAGTACAGCGAATGAACCCACAACAACCACCATATTTGACTCGAGGGGTATCAAGTAACGAAAGCAATGCCCTGCCGTTATCGTATGCCGTATTGTCTCATTCAATAAATGATGATCCGATGTCCTCCCAAAAATGAGGTTCGCAACAGCCGCTCAAGGCCGATTCAAAATCAAAATCATGCGCCGTGAACCAGAGCATCGACAAGCGTCTGTGCATCATACAGCAACTTCCCAAGAATCGCAGTTTGTTTCGGTGATGAATTGACTGGAATCACCGACTTCGTAGTTTTCCTCGTGTATGCAGCGAAGACCACGCCCCGATCAATGATTCCACTTCGTATCCCATGTTCTCCACTCATTTCAGCCTGTGTAGGCGTATTTTGGTCGCCACTAAAAGAGCAAGTCCATCCGCGAGAAATCACTCCTGGTGATGCAAGCTCATCGCGGTATTCTTTCCAGCCCTTATATCCGAGCATCTGTGTATGGAACTGGGCATGGATTCTGAAAGGCGATCCAAACTCAGTTAGACCATAAGCAGCGAGTAACCGCCCAGTCATCCTAGACCCCGGGCTGGTCACAACGGCGCACTGGGTGCCGTCATGACTGATATCCTGTGCTTCACTTGGGCAACCCTTAGACGTCGGACGTCGCGATGAATTCCTACCACTTTTTGGCCAGAGACTTATAACGTAAAGTAAGTCAAAGTTGTAAGTATTGGCTATCCTGGCAGCCCACATCGCGCCAAGAGCTCCCGATCTATTGGTAGGCGAATAAGTTAATGTGAGAAACTGATAATTGATGGGCGTGCGGGGAGGAGTCAATTCCCCAGAAGCGACATCAACTGTCGTAGTAGGGGCAATTGGTGCATGTCGAGTGGACCGGCTTCTACCGATAGGAGTCTTTGGTGAGTCCTTAGGGGGTGGTGTTGGTGGTATATCGGTTTCTTCTTTAGGCGTAGTAGGTAGGCTCTCCAAGACATCTTCATCGCTAAGAGTATAGAAATCGTCAAGCGTGGGTTCTCTAAGGTTACGATCGATCGGAACATATCTGGTAACTGTTGATGACGAAGTTACGCTAGTAGACCTTCGCATGAGCCTTAATGGAGGAACACATGCATCTTCTTCTAGCACGCTAGAAACCAATGCCGGATCGTCAGGCCCGTTACCCCATGACTCTCGATCAGGATACCTGCCAATCGACGTATCCGTACTATTTCGAGGATTAGATCCAAACGACGGACGAGGTGTGAGTTGAATTGGCGAGGCTAGAGCCTTATTTGACCTTGCACGGGTGACTGGTGTCTTAGAGCAGTCTTCTTCTCCATCCGATGCTGGTGGAGAGTCCGGGGGCGTTGGGAATGGAGATAATGGGTGATTTCGCGGCGGGTTTGTTAAGTCGGGAATCGGAGTCTCACTTGACCTCCGAGATGACTGTCGAGGTGGTATGATTATAGAATCCACTCTCGTTCTAGGTGAGGGGGGCGAGGATAAGATTGGAGAGGGCAGCAAAGCCGACGACTCTGCTTTATCCTGTGTAAACCTCGCAAGGCGGTCGTCGATAGAAGTTTCGAGGCCGAGATTGTTAAACAGCGACGATATACGTTGGGGGCACCAGTCCAGTCTGTTTTCTAGTTGGAGCTCCGGGTCATCATACTCACGGGCTGACTTGTTAATGGAACCATTAGAATGAATGGCGTTACTTCCACTCTGGTGCGCGGAATCATCTGGAAATCTGAATTGTGATAGGTCCTCGACAAGGTCTACTGCTTGTTTGAGAGTGAATGATATTGGACGTATAGGATCGCTTGGATAATGTCGATGATTCAAGACAGCATTAATCGAACTGAGTGAAGAACGTCTTCTGAGCTTTCCTTGAGGATCGGGCAGGCTCTGCGAGCGTTCCTTGGCTGCAACTTTGGCCCACGAAATTGGCTCCTCTCGGGGTTTCATGTGTCTCGATGTAGGATGCATAAAGGATGGTGATGGGAAGAAAGGCCCATTTTGGGGTTGCGATGCCGAGGATGCAACTGAGAGATCTCTATTCCTTGCACCTCTTTCTTTATCCCTTCTCCTTGAGCCACCGAAAAACCTTTCCAGTTTCTCTAACCTGTTAACCATCTTGGCTACCGGAGCAAGACGACTTGATAGGTCTTCCCCTGCCATTGTGTAAGTTGGTGTAACACTTCTCCGTGGATGTGGTAAAATAATCCATGGTATTATTATACGAAAGAGTAGCATACCTGGCGGGTAGGGGTTAGGTGGAGAATAAATGTATGATACGATAATCGTATTTTCACGAATATGGTCTTAGCAGGTGGTTTCGATAAAGGACCGTGATTCGGGATGTAGATTTGTGCTTAAGACACATATGTTGATGTCCGATATCTTGGTGAGGGTGCCTCGAAACTTCTGATGGATGAATGATGTTAGAGTGAATCATGCTGGGGCTCTAGTCTACGACGCACCCGAGTGTAGATGAGATGAATTCAAATGTACCACGAATAGTAAATGATAAAGGACATATCATGTCGAGGTCCGCCGCACTGAGATTACACGACCGGTAGACCGATTCTTGGTGCTTGATGGTACAACGGTCAGGTTGGGGGGATACCGAACAAATTCGAGGACTGAGAATGGGAGGATGAAGATGGTACAAGAAGATGTTGTGTAGCCAGAGTGTCTCCGATGCTGAGGACTTCCTTCAGACACATATGCGTATTTACGCGTACGAGATAGCTGAGTGATCTTGAAAGGAGGTAATATGTCTCAACTTTGAGCTGGGGTAATAGATACAGGGAGGGCAATGAAAAGCAGGATTGGATCTAGGTGGAGTCTGGGGCTGTCCAATGCTGATACATAATACTTCAGCTTCGGCGCAGGAGAGTACAGGTTTAAGTAAAGCAAGTTGAGATGATGATGGGGTAGGAGTACGAGTACAATGTCAAGTAATGGATGAGCTAGGAAGGACTAGCTAGGGTCGACATTGCTAGTAACCAGTAGACAAGTTTGTGGTTCAACAAGAATAGTCGAGGAAATGTTTGGTAACCCAGACTTACTATTTGATATATGCAGGTAGATCGAGGTCGAGTTAGATTACACGAAGTAATGACAATAGTAAATTCGGGAATGGTAGACGTTGGTAAGATACCTTGAGTAGGTAGGTATCAGCGGATAGTTGACGAATTGAGATGGGTAGATGGGTGAACAGTGAGATCATGCAACCTGGTTCACAGTGGCGGATAATACAAGTGATAAGAGTTTGAATTCTTGCTCGTCTCAAGCCTCGAGTGATGATGAAGGGGGGGCTGTTGAAGGGGGGAAGGAAGACTCAGCCCGTTCGGCTAGCGGATACCGAGAGAGCCGCAACGTCATTGGTCAAGATGGCTGGTAAAAGCCCAATTCAGGAATGTGGACTGGTTGGCTGGGGCCCCGGCCTCCCCAGGGCCTAGGGCGAGGAAAAGCTAAAATACCTAAATCCGTTCTCGGGAGAAGGCAGTGACGACCAAGGTCTGATCATATACTCTGTTTGAAACACTTTCCTTCCTCGAAAACAAAGAAATGGCAATGTGAGATGATGTAGGAAGGAACTTGAATAATCCTCCAGTGCTCTATGCACGTACGTGCGTACATGCGTACATATGCACAAAAGCTTTGCACTTTCATAAATGCTGGTCTCACTCCCCAGACTTTCTGATTTTCTTCTCATCAACACGATTCTTGAATGCTACCATGGCTCACCTCGGAGCATTGCTAATCGGCCTAGGCATAATGGAGATATACCGCAACCTAGGCGGAATGCGATAGACTGGTGGTAGGGGTCTGGAATTTGGAAACGCTGGTAACGGCTTTTCACTGAGCCCTTAGCCCCCCACATAAGAGGCGGTGGGTTGTGTAAGACATAGCAGTCACTAGAGCTAAGAGAATTAAACCCGCCTCTTCTCCCTTTTTGAAAATGAGAAAAAGAAAATAAGAAATATGAATACTCGCCGCACTACCGAGAAAGCCACCCCGAAATTTGACAAGCTCCGGCTGTCGTGATGGACTAAGGGCCAGGCTACTCCCGAAGGTTTCACTTTGGTAGGTTATAGGGGCGTGGAGCGGGAAGATCAAGATAGGGTCTACTGGTGTAAGGGAGTAACTCGGTATTGGTTGTGCAAAAGCAAGAGAAGATTGAATGAACCCCTATGTACCGTGTACCGTGGGGTTGACGTTGAACAATTATGAAAAAAGTACAGGGGACCTGTTCTAGACTAGTGAAAAACTCAATCTTGGCAATGAAACCCCCTAAACCTAATTCGACGTATTAGTGTAACTGCATCTTATGTAGTAGTATCAACTTTACTTCATTTAGGGTTTACACAAGATGAAAAGTCGCGTGTGTGTAGCAGGAAGCATCGTGGCTCTTTCTATTTCTTTGAATATCCATGGATCGATCTGTCCATTACTGGGTCCATCTAACCAGGTACGTGCGTTTTGTGCCAATAGGCTGGGAAAGAACCATGGGAATCGTGGAAATCATTGACAGTCCCCGGACCGAAGCGTCCATGGTTCTGAAGGTTGTCTCAAAATTGAAGACCCACTTTCTTTCCCTTTCCCTCCTCGCGTCTTGCCCTCGCTGCCTCGTCTCAAAGCTCGATTCACAGTTCCGCATTATCGATGTCATCCCTTTCTTTTTTTTCTTCCCGTCATTTTTTGCCTCAGTTTAGTTTCGCCTCGCATATCAAGAACTCCTGTTCGATTGGCCTCACGCTAAGATCTAAAATATCCCGACGTATACGCTAAGAAAAGCTGGCATCATGCTAGATCCCGCCCGTACGTAGGCGGATAAGTTGTGCCTCTCACGATCGCAATCTTCCGCTCGAACCGCCAAAAGGGGAGGCTCGCGAACCATAGGAGCAGAACGGTTAAGCTCCGAGCCTTGCATCGGGAACCTACAGATGCCCCTGTGATAGCTGCCTGGGCATATTTTATTTTCTTTGACGTTTTATTGGAACGTGTCATGTCTAGCAAGGCATCTTACAATAGTATGCAATGCCTTGAGGATACCAATAATCGGATTTTCCATGTACTCGCTTGTCCCAGTCAATTGGGTCGCTTCGAGGTCTTTGAGGTGAGTGAACTTTTTGGTTTCTGACATATCAACTGAACTTAGGTCATTTTATCTACAGGCTGAACATCAGCCAATCATTTACAGTTACCGTCCAGGACTTAGGTAGTCCCGAATACCTATCTTGCATATGCAAGTCCAGATTGATTTACCATCATACCATGTCTACCTATCTACACTAAAGCAGACTCGCAATAGTTCATGGTCTACTGTATCATTAACCATGACCATCTCTATCTCTCAGGCTTTAGTCTACGGAGCATCGTCCGAACGAGTCAGATTCGTATGATCTTTGGTATTGCTTATTCGAGATCAACTATCTTGTTATCCTTCAACGTAGGTATGTCGGGTCCAATGCGTCATTGCCTGAAGGCACAATGTTCATTCTGTTCATAAGCCTAAGCCCATCGGATAGCGGCTGTGGACCTAGCAACAAAGTCCCGTTTGCGTTTTCCGACTATTCCGTCGGCATCGCTGCTGAATAATTTGTCTAAGAATGGTGTCCTATATATTGTTCGAGTGAGTTGTGCTTCATTATTCACGGAGTTGTATCCAGAATTGGATTGGATTACAGGCGGGCGCTGCCACAGGACGGGCTAATTCTGCCACTCGGACAAGTGCCACCAATACTATGATTAGTGTTGAGATCATATATCACTGATCAATTCTCAATTGTGGCTTAATAGATACAGCACCAGGGCCTAAAAGACCTAAAAGATAAGGGGCTTCCGCGCCTCTTTCACGTTGTACGCCCTCCGGGGTTTTATGTCTCGGCGCACGGTAACCCACTGTACGCGAACCAATGAGTCTTGAAAAGAAGCGAAAGGCCCGATCGCTGAACTCGTCTACTGCTGTGTTCGATGGACTTCAGGTCCGAGAGAACTATACTCAGGTACCTGAACCCCCTGCCCGGTCACTTTTGTGGCTAATGCACCCTCCCGTGACAGTTGTGCCAATGTGATGCAGCCTTAATGCCAATTAGGAATTAGGGGCATCATTCCAACCTTGACTGACATTTTGATCTTGAATACCCCTTCCTCGGCATTGAGACCGCTTCCCTGAATAGCTGAATAGATGTATGTTGAAAAGCTATTATTAGTGGTTGATCGCATACCTTGCATTGCGGGATCTTTACTAACCCGGACACTGGGTTTTATCCAGACCTTACATGATACTGATCTTCCCCTTCCACCCTTCTATCACATAATCCATCACCCCCTGTGATTGTGCTTTGAGGGACATATGCGTATGAAAATTTCTCCGAGTAGGGTTTTTACATTCACAACATCAGGAACGTGCGAGAATCGGCCAATCCCTGGGAATCGAAGCTGTCACAATCCATGATTACCGCAGTTTGTATTACCTAACTCGACTCGACCCCCTCAATCAACCTCCACGAATAGTGTACCTACCTAGGGACACGGACCCTTTGCGGGAGGTCATGAAGCCCGAACTACCTAGGTATTATGGCATGCTCCTTGTAAGGTTGTGCTTTGATGAGATGATGTGTGTCGCCATTACACGCATGCATAATATGCACACGGTGGCTCTGGTTCCCACTTGACCTCATACCCGTAGTCGCATCGCTGTAAAAATTTCAGTATTTACGGGAAGGTCCTAGTGCACGCAACATTGCACGACATTCTCCGGCATCCTCAGGCAGGTACACGACCTTTTGTCGATCTACAAAGCAAAAGGCTATCGATTTATGTGGAAGGGTTGTTATACCGTTATCTCGGCCGAGAGATCTGCATATAATTACACATTTAATAATATTTCTTTTGATCAGCTCTCGTAAGACTAGCGAGTCGGGGGCCCTAATGTGCGGACTAAGGCACCTAAGAGTAGAATGCAGTAGTATGAGGCAAACAAGATTTACCTCTCATCTATAGTCTTGACTGTGTCCCTGACTTAAGACTATAACCCTTTCTAACTGTAATCCGTTAGTATCATCATATATCAGAAGTAGATACGGCAACATACCCTTGATTTTCCGACTCGCCAATGACGGTCAGAAATGCGGTATGGACTTCATCCGTCAGGTCGCTGGCTTGTAAACTCCTGCCTTTCTTTTCAAAAGCAAGGCGGGAACATTCCTAAGATACGGTTTAGCAGACATACTCAACCACCTTCACTACGAAACCCAATAATTTTCCCGATGTAAAGAGAAAGGGGAATTCAACTCACCCTCGTAATAGCCGCACCCCCAAACGCCGCCAACCCAAGCGTCTCCTCCTCACTTAGCTTCCCATCATGCTCCCAAATACGATCAAGATACGCCTTCCTCCAAGCCAAAAACGTCGCAATACTGCCCGTCAACGTATCACCCTGTCCCCCGCTCCTCTTCAATCCACCCCGTAAATCCACCTTCAGCGTCGTCCCGCCGTTACTAATCAAATCCGTACCGCCCTTCTGCACAATCGTCACACCTCCTAGCGCCTTGGATAGCGCTTCAACTTGGTTTGGGGAATCGGCGCCACTGTTAGCTTCGGGGGATGAGGAAGAGGGCTTTATGCCTTTCCACAAACGCCCGAATTCGACTACATTGGGCGTGAGAACTACTTCCCGCCATCCCATGACTAATTCCGGCGTTTTTATGACGATGGCTAAAGCATCTGCGTCTAGGACTACGGGCATCTGCCGCTCGCGTGCTGCGGCTAGGACGCGTGCGCATGTTTCGTGCATTAACGGGTCTCGGCCTAGCCCTGGACCCACGACGAGTGCGTGGAGACGAGGTAGCATGTCGATGATGCGGCTTGAGATCTGAGCTGGGTCTGTATCTGGATCGGAAGAGCTGGGGTTAGAAGATGATGGGGAGGGAGACTGCCGCATTAGTGGATGAACCATTAGGTTTGGGCTGTACGTCTTGATCACGGCGGCTGCGGCGGGTGTGCATATTACGTGGGACTATGAGTGTCGTTAGTGTGATCCGTAATTCTTATACTCATATGAAATCTGCCGTATGAATGGAGTGAGAGCTGGGGATGGCATCACGAACCATATCGCAGCCCAAACGGGCGCTCGCCATAGCGGAGAAGTACGGTGCTCCGGTGTAGTCCTCGCTGCCGCCGATGACGGCCACACGACCCAATTGACCTGAATGTAACTTTTAGCACATCGCTCACTCCTTTATCCATAGTAACAGAACGGAAGACGATCGTCTTGTTATCTCATTCCCCCGCTATCAGACACACACCTTTATGAAACTTCTCCAGCATAGGTGGCACCAGCTGGCGCACCTTACCCAATACCTCACGCGTAGCCGGCGACATCTTTTCGACGGCCTCAGAACTCATTTCTTTCTCTTCCGCCCTATATAACAATCTAAACTAGCCTTATCGTTCAATCAACTATGTGATTTTTTGAGGTAACGCGGATTCCGGTCAAGCCGCGGGGTAATGGAACAGGGAATACAGGATCGTGATCGGTGTTAATGCAATGTCAACTGTTGAAATAACCAACAGTAAATATTATAAAGGATTTGAATATGAAGAGTTAAAGGTGAAGTTGGGTGGTATATGATTGAATTAGAGAATTAACCAATTTGTATTATGATCAAACTACGACGTTCGATACAGATAGTATGATGTCACCAAGGGCCACTTTCGAAATTCTAGCTTATTTGTAACCTTGAAACTTCATACTTCATAGTCTCACCTCGGAAGAGAATATAGCAGACATAATACAATTATTCACAAGAAATCGGATCATGATCATGTACAAAAGGAATCGAGTGCTTTTGAGTTTTTGGCTCTATTTTACAAGGGTCGGAATTGGAGTGTTTCCCCTACTTCTAACCCGTTTCCTCACTAATTAGCACCCTCTGCAACGATGTACCTCTAAACGAAACAAGATCCGCCATCGTAGGCTTTAAGGTATAGACAGTCCCCCGCTTAATGCCTTAATTTATTTCATCTATGAGACGAAGCTCTTGGTGAAGCTAGAGACAACGTCCCGTAATCTTTGCTCAAGGTCCTTGCTGAGCGCACCCTCCTTGTCGATGGTAGCGAGCAGATCGGACTCGTTGGTCTTTAGGTGGGAAAGGAAGTCGGCTTCCCATTGTAGAACCTTGTTAACGGGCACTTGGTCGAGGTAACCGTTGACACCGGCGAAGATAAGGGGAACCATCTCGTTAACGGCCATGGGGGAGTATTGCTTCTGCTTGAGTAGCTCGGTCAACTGTAGAGAGCATCGTTAGTCTATGTCAATAGTAAATCCGAAATATTAAAACTTACACGTTCACCACGGTTGAGGGTCTGCTTGGTGGCAGCATCCAAATCAGAACCGAATTGGGCGAAAGCGGCGACTTCACGGTATTGGGCCAAGAAGAGCTTGAGCGAACCAGCGACTTGCTTCATGGCCTTAAGCTGAGCAGCGGAACCGACACGGGACACGGAAAGACCGACGTTGATGGCAGGTCGGACACCCTTGTAGAACAATTCAGCTTCCAAGAAGATCTGACCGTCGGTGATAGAAATAACGTTGGTGGGAATGTAAGCAGACACATCACCACCCTGGGTCTCAATGACGGGCAGAGCAGTCATGGAACCACCACCGTGCTTGTCGTTCATCTTGGCAGCACGCTCTAGTAGACGCGAGTGGAGGTAGAAAACGTCACCGGGGTAAGCCTCACGTCCAGGGGGACGACGGAGTAGCAGAGACATTTGTCGGTAAGCGACGGCCTGCTTGGACAGATCGTCGTAGATGACTAGGGAGTGCTTGCCGTTGTCACGGAACCACTCACCGATGGAGGCACCGGTGAAAGGAGCAATGTACTGAAGGGGAGCAGCCTCGGAAGCGGTAGCAGCGACGACAATGGAGTACTTCATGGCGTCGTTCTCCTCAAGGGTCTTGACGAGCTGAGCAACGGTGGATCGCTTCTGACCGACGGCAACGTAGATACAGTAGAGCTTCTTGGTCTCGTCGTTGGTGTTGTTCCATCGCTTCTGGTTGAGGATGGCGTCAAGGGCGACGGCAGTCTTTCCAGTCTGACGGTCACCAATGATCAACTCACGCTGACCACGGCCGATGGGAACCATAGCGTCGACGGACTTCAGACCAGTCTGTACAGGCTGGTTGACTGATCGTCGGGGTAGGATACCGGGGGCCTTAAGTTGAGCTCGGCGCTTCTCCTTGGACGGGATGGGGCCCTTGCCGTCAATGGGGTTACCGAGAGCGTCGACGACACGGCCGAGAAGCTCAGGGCCGACGGGGACATCGACCTAATAACGGTCAGTGATGTTGCACTATTGAAGTTAAACAAATATCCGAATACTCACAATTTCTCCGGTACGCTTAACGGTTTCACCCTCCTTGACCAAACGGTCAGAACCGAAAAGCACAACACCGACCTGTCCAGCTTCCAAGTTCATGCACATTCCCTTCACACCGGAAGCGAACCTATATAATGGGTCAATTGCATGGCTCTTAATTCGTAGATAGTGGGAAACCTACTCGACGAGCTCTTCGGCCTGGACATTGGCCATACCGTGCACACGGGCGATACCATCACTAATCGGACCTCAAGTTAGTAAAAAAAATGATCCAATTGCATAGATATGCGCATATTGCACAGTGATCGCGACGACAATAATGGGTTGACGTTGTTTGCGGGTACGAATTTGTGTTGTGTCATCTCGTCGGAGTGATTTGCGACAAATTGAAAAATCTCGCTCTAAGGGCTCCACATACCCGACGGAGAGGACACGACCAGTCTCAGCTAAGCTTGATTCCTCTGATACACCACGAATTCTCTGTTCGAGGATAGAAGAGACCTCGGTGGGAGAGGCCTTTGCGTCGGCGGCGTAGGATCGAGCCTGGACGTTGAAAACGGCGGGTGCGGCATTTCGTGCCTAGAAAAAAAGCCCCAGCCAAGTTAGCCGATAATCCGAAAAAGCCAACGTTGGTGACCGAGTAGCCGCAATTTCATTTTTTGGTGAGGAGAGCTTTACGAGCTCTTCAAGCTTCTCAACATCCTCGTAATCGACATAAAAAGCTTCAATTGAGCTTCGAATATAGTTTGGAAATGCATTGAGATCGATCGCATATGTTTTTCGATGGAATTGGGATGGATTCGGTGTGCATCAAGGTTAACCTACCGCAACAACTCTGCCCGAGGCAGAGATTGCGCTCAAAGCGCGGGTGGACTGTCTGAGGGCGCTTCGATACATATTAAAATAGAGGTATATCTAGTCCTCCAATATAAAAGGAAAAAGATCAATTGCAAAGAAATTGCAACTGAAAGGAGAGGAGATGGAGGAGGACGGGTATTTTGGTATTGAGGTTTTGCAAAATGGAGACTTTTTCGAGAGGAGCAGGAATTGATGAGAGGCGCCCGGAAAACGAAGGGGAAAGAGGAAAAAAGACGCACGGACCAACGAAGCTAACCCCGAAAGGTCCCGAAAACAAGTCTAGGTGGTCAATGCTTCTCTTCATTAACCCCACTATTTCTGACGCAGCTGTCGCTTTTTTCCCTCAATTTACTCAACTAGCACTTTCATTCTTTACAATACACCTACATATAGTTGACGATAATCTATTTTTGATAAAATATTCGTCAGATTTCTATTACTATCATTTGACAACATGAGTGTCAATTGAACTTACCATTTATATCCCGAATGCCCTCAATTGCTCATATTTGAATCTCTCGGAAATTTTCTCATAGTGCGTCCACGCTAGCCCTTAGAAGCTTAGGTAAGCATTCGACGGTAAAAAGGAGATGTTGACAAAAGTCCACGAGTCTTAACTTGACTCAACTCAACTTCGGACTCTCAGCCATCCTTACCAGCGATTGTCGCGGCAGATTCTTGCTTTTATTCGTGTTGAGATGCAATATATGTCACATTAAAGTTCCATCTGCCTCCTAATAATAAGAAGTGGTTCGTAAAACCCAACAGGCGCGCGAGATCCCAATCCCCCTCCGCCGATATATCGTTTTCCACGAGAGATGATGCATTGCTAAGGATTCTAGTACTCGCTACGTTAAGACACCGAGGTGTTTGACGGGAGTCTTATCCTATGATGCGCTAGACGAGATGTGATTTACATATTCAAGTCTAAGCGACTGCTGCGATCTCATGGGTATAACCTGGATCTAAAGACAGCAAAGAGTGCAATTGTGTTGTTAGGGTAACCCTAATTGGAAATATTATGGGAATCAACATGTGTCCCCTCTGTAGGATTCGTGCTGGAATAATCGCCAGACCAAAGGAAGTGCGCCGGGATGTAGTGCGTGAGTGGTTGAGTTAGGTCCTCTGCGGTCCAAATAATGGCAAGAAAAGTATGCGAGATACCTAGGTACCATAGGTATTCCCAACCCCAACCCACGTGTTAAGATCTTGAAATAACTCTTAAAAAGTTCTAGATCCATATTCACGAGATTTTAATACGTTACGATGCCAAATCCTGCCCAAGGGGGGTGGTAATTGCGCGCAGTCGCGGTTCCTTCTCAATACTGTGATCGAGCTCCTTTTCAAATTGTGGTGCGGCCAATGACTGGCGCGTAATGGAATTACTTGGTTACCCCGGCAGTCGCGTGCGATTTTTGACTGTGCTTCACTGGTCCGCCAGCTGTTTGTAGTGGTTGCCACCACCCATCTCCCGGGTGAACTACCAACTAACCCTTATATGTTAAAATAAATCCTAGACTTTCATTCCGAAGGTTGGTTTAGTCGAATGGCTCGGGGCGAAGTCGCAGTATCAACGCCCTGGGAGGATCCCCATTCGAGTCCCACTCTGAGCACCTTGGTTTTCAATTTCCTTGTGTTGCCAACGAGTGCTAAACACCTCAGGCACGACCCGGTCCCCTGCAACGCGGCGACGCACCTCTGCTGGTCAGAGGGCGACATTGGCGAGGATCGAAACATGGTCGCGAAGAAATACCCCGATAATCGAAAGTAGGGGGGCGCAGTAGCCGTTGCCGGATAGTCCTTAAAAAATATAGGAGTGGGCTGGGCCTTGCAGAGGGTTTCTCTCTGTGTTCTCTTTATTTTTTCCAGCTTTACCAATTTTTTTTTTCCTATTCTCGTCCTTATTCGCGTCTCTCTCAGCCTTTCTTTCTAATTATCGCCTTTTATGGACGATCTGATCTTGCAGTCAGGGAGTAGAGACCGAGGAGCCAGCAAAACCCTAAGCTCACTTATTTCATCTGACAATATATCTTCCCTTGGGGAGATATATAGATGGGTGCGCATATGATTTAGCATCCGACCCCTTAATCTTTGTAATTCCAGTGTACCCGATGGTCGTGCGATGAAGCCTACGCTTTAGTATATTACCTAGGGATCTTCGCTGCCATCATGAATGGCTGATGGGTTCTCGTAAATGAGATTTGTGTTGGCAAAACCTCAGACCGTCCAGATATCACGAAATCGACGAGAGAATTTGCCAAGGATCTAAGAAGCATTCTAAGTCTTTTCGACGCTAGGCTTAAATGCACAGGGAAACCTCTTAACTCCGACGCGCCATCACATCTGCCGCAAGGTTCCATCCGAACTGCCCGAGCTTCACACTTACCACCTCCCATTCCTCATTCTCGACAACAATGCATGTGGCGCGCCTACGATCATGTCCCAGCAAATCTCGTTTAGTATAACGCCAGAACAGGAAGCCAGCAAGCTTCAATTCATCCGGCGACAATTCTTCTCTAGCGGCCCGCCCGCAATTTCGCGACGCGATGTTGACCTCAGCGGCAAGACGGCCATCGTGACGGGAGCAAACGGAGGCATTGGTTTGGAATGTTCCCGTCAACTACTCGATCTAAGACTTACGAAACTCATCCTCGCCGTTCGCGATGGGGCCAAGGGCGAAATCGCCCGCAAGGCTCTAACAACCGCAAAACCCCTCGAAGTTGGCCAGGTCATCGAGATCTGGAAACTTGACCACTCGTCATACGACTCCGTCGTAGCTTTCGCGCGGCGGGCTGGGGAGCTTAACCCTCGGCTCGATATTACTATCCTTAATGCGGGAGTCAATCGTGATTCCTTCGTCAGAAATTCAACTACAGGCCATGAAGAAGACCTTCAGACCAATTACCTATCCACCGTTCTGCTTACTCTCCTCCTGTTGCGCGTTTTCAAGAATAGAAAATCAGTCACTGATGTGCCCAAGGCATCACCAGGGCGTATAGTTATCGTGTCCTCCGATATGGCCGCGTGGGCCAAGTTCAACGAGAGGAATAAGGAGCCCCTACTGAAGGCCTTCGACGACGAGGCTAAGTGGGATAAATATGATCGCTACGGCACCACCAAGCTCCTGGGCCAGTTGTTCGTCACCGAATTAGCTAAGCGTATCTCGCCATCTCTAGCAGTCGTGAATTGCACCAACCCAGGTCTCTGCTATGGTTCGACGCTCAGCAGCGAACTTGGTAGATTTACCCACGTGTTCGTACGCCTCGTCGGTAGGCCAGCCGCTGCAGGTGCGCTTACTCTGGTGCATGCGGCTACTAAGGACGAGAGTTCGCATGGTCAATATGTTGAGGATGGTGAAATAAGACCGTACGTATTCTTCCCCACTTCCCCAACCATTCATCTCTGCATATCCCGAGAATCTGTTCCAGTATCCTCGCGCCCCCTAGATCGATGGCGAGACTAACTTGAAGATACCTCCTCTTACTAGAATGGCTCCTTTTGTATATTCTAAAGAGGCGGAGGAAGTAACCCAAAGGCTTTGGAAAGAAACCATGGAAGAGCTCGCGTTTGCTGGGGTCCAAGAAATTGTTGATAGCTTGTCCCAGACATAGAGTCAATATGTTGTTATAAAGAGGACCAAAAGCTATAATCGCACTTTGTCGATGCTCATGTGTACCTCAATCGTGCCTTATCCCGGCGACCGTTTGACAGTTGCACCCCCTGTTTTAGCCGTCGCCCCACCTATCGCCGTGTACCCCGGAGTTCGGAGTTTCAACTTCCCACTTGGTTACACACCGGCATCTTCCGTTAGGCAGTCGCGCCTGGATGGGCCTATTACGTACCGCGGTAGGGCCGCCATGTTGATCAACTACTAAGTCACTAGGCTCCTTTTCTAGGTCTCTTACTAATCTAACTATTGTGGTAAAAAATGATATCATGCATTAGGAGGCAATATGCGCTACTCTTCGTCGAGGTGAAAGGGGGCTTGGAACTTACACGAAGCGATTGATAAGCGCAAGTATGACTTCGACATCTTCCTATTAACAGTGTCACTTTAGTGAGCATGAACATAGCAACCAAGAGAAGTTGGTATCGGTATGATATCGAAAGTAGATAAAAATCCCGAAATGGAGCCTACATACCCCACCCCCACGTTTTCCTCCTAGCCGGGGTTTATAGCTTTCAAGTGAAGCTGAGTTCTCGCAGGCTCCCGGTCTCATGCTCCCTAGAGTTACGGGGAATTGAGGATTCAAAATGACTATGATTTTGCGTCACCGACGGGATTAGAGTCCCTCGGGTTTCGCTAGCTGCTAAATCAGGATTTTGGCACGGATTTCAGTTTTGCTCCGAATTCACGGCTGGATGTCTTAGCCACACCTTGGCTACAGGACGGGACGTTGAACAGATAGGATCAGGACAGTTCAATGGGAAGGATGGTGAGACAATCGCTGCTGATATTTGCTTTTCAGCGTCGACCATGGAAAGACTTACTCAGCAGACCTGATTCCCTAAGAAATTACTAAAGTGAAAATAGGGGGTTAGTTTGCTTATTAAGTAGACTATTCTTCCATCTTTCTAAACCCAATTCAAAGCTATCAATCTTCATGTCTTAAAGTAGTATCGGTTTCGGGATCGGTGCCGGATATTCGCCCAGGAAATTCTGCAGAGCTGTTATTTTGATATCTTCGGATGCTACATCACTTCAGACACGCGCGCCAATGCAATTTCCACATGGATCTACACAAGGAACTCGGTTTGAATGGTGGTGTGAGGGCCAGCGATGTAGTATGATCGGTAGGTACTCTTACGCCGGAATCGCGGACCGTGAACTGAGAATATTCCGAACAAACTGTGTGCTTTACGCCCAGCAAGGTATCAATCGCGAATATATTAAAAAGGTCAACATGAAACGATACATTGTACAAAAGACTTCTTGGTGCTCGCGTGCTAACCTAATCAAAATTCCTTATGAGCTGAATGCTCGTCGCAAAAGTTTTCCCATTTAGGTAACCCCCAATTCCTACGAACCTGCTAACAGCCCTATAAGCGACCCCCAAACCGTCCAATGAATCGTTACTTAATATTTTCCACCAGAAGTACTCTGCATAGTCGCTTCGATCACTCCAACAAAAAGTCATGAGGAGAATCATATACTTCAAATTAGATCTGTATGTCAAACATATATACTCCCAAATTGAAGGTTTCTGGTGGGTAAGAACAGGAGACATCAGCATACTTCAATATAAAGATGGGCTATGTAGCCAGTAGCGATATTAAGATGACAATAGGTAGCGTAGCATGCTTCCATACGTCACAAGAAATGGGGCGCAGCTACATGTACAATACGAGATTGTTACCGCGTCAGTCACTCCTTCGCTTACCATAGCGAAAAGAAAAGCAGACGCGCTTAAGCCAACGGGTAAGGTAGCTGGGAGTTTTACTACATTAGTTAATCCTTCCTCGCGCCAGCCTGCCGCTATGTTGGGTAGCATTGAAGAAAACGATCAGCATTCAAAGTGCAAAAGAGCCGCAGGCGATGTGTAGGAATGTCTAGCGCTTTTCCTTTAGGCGGTTAAGACAGGGGTCAACGAGATCTTTGGGGTTGGGACGAAATAAGCAGGGCCAATATCTGCAATTATCTAATATTAGTACCGAAACTCATCTATTGTGTGTAAGTCCAGACTCGACTCCTACGATCTCTATTTTTCTGTGTGAACTTCGCGACCACTAAATCAACTGGCTAGATGACGAATCCGGCCCGTTAATAGTATACAGGTACCTACCTAGGTAGATATCTAGGCACCTGCTTAGGTAGGCATGCAAATATCCAGTGCGTATTCTGACGACTCGAAACGAGCCTATGACGAATAATAATATGCAGTGAAACATCACGATGCGAGTCTATAGATTTTGAAGATCGGAATTCATGGATCCTTGAAATCCAAGTTGATATGCCTAGAAGGCGAGCATCTACAGGGACATCTAAGGACGTCGCATTTTACAGCCATTTTCTGAAGATATACAGTAATGGCCCAAAAATAGTCAGCAAGGGTGGTGAATGTCCCTGGAATGCAACTTTTGTTATACAGCTTAACCCAAACCCCGCCGCTGCTGGCCACAGGAAGGTGACCGGATGGCGCCCCTAAGCCAATCATGCCCCTTATCTGCCGGCAGCATCCCCTCATTCCTGAAGCTATAGATGTCTTACCACTGAGCTGCATTAGTGCTCTTGACATGGCCACTGAGTTCCAGTAACCCTCCAACTCAGAAATCCTTCCTCTCCCAAAGTAGAACCTGACAACAACTTAAGGATTGAGTATGCCTTGCAGGTAATATGTGATATCTCTCCGTCACATTGAACCGATACAACCTCCACATAGGCCATGGCAGATAATCGATCGCAGCCTTCTCGGTACTGTACGTTCGAGTCCATCGGATGACACTTTCAATCTGTCGTGCCATAGAAGGATCGAAGGGCTCTATGTCAGTTTTCTTTATAATTCCTGACTCCCCTCTCTAAACTGATCTCCCGTTGGTTTTCCCGTAAGCCGCTGGTGGGCGACGGTACACAACATGTCACTCGATAACTTATACTCGCTTCCCGCTGCAGAGCAGCAGATCATCCTAAATGGGCCAGCCCTTCAACCCCCAGACGGAGTTCTTCCCAACTTCGACAACCCTCCGAACAGGAATGCCTTGGGGATAGGCATTACCACCCTATGTCTATCTATTTGGACGATAGCCTTCTTGCTCAGGGCGTATGCTAAGATTTTTTGCATGAGGAAAGTGGAAATAGAAGACTGTAAGTATATGGCAGCACTTATTACAACCTCAGAGCTAACTTTGAATGCGCAGATATTGCTTTTGCGGGATTTGGCCTGTCTATTGGTTTTGCATACTGCGCTTATAGCGTAGCAAAGATTGGCTACTTCGTGCACCAATGGAACGTTCGCGTCAAGGACTTAACTATAATCTTTTATGTAAGCATACTCATATTCTCCTTCCCCTGCTCACTGATTTATCACTTATTTAACCTTTTGGGGTCGGTATTGACAATCATAGCCCGTCCATGTAGGCTCCGAGTTATATTGTGTCATCTTGATGCTCTACAAGGCCGCCATTCTTCTCGAATGGATTCGGATATTTGTACCACGACCCAGCCGGACATACTTCTACGTGAGTGCATAGACTCGTCCTTTAATATACCTATAAAAAACCATTTAGTCCAATTGATCAACTCCCACCAAGGGACCATGTCGGCCTTACATTCAATTCCACGTCAAATTCCGCTTCAAAATTGGGACCACATTGACTGACTCCCTAATATAGTGGGCTGCCTATACGTTATTATGGGTAAACATCTTGTTTTATGCTTCAGTAATCATAGCCGGAAACGTATCTTGTACCCCTTTTGCGAAACAATGGGACAAAACACTTCCTGGTACCTGTCGAGGTAGAGAATCAGTGGATGTTTCTACAGCTTCATTCAATCTCGCCTCGGATCTACTCATCATGGGGCTTGCCCAGAGCGTCATTTGGAGGTTGAAGATCCCGACGAAGAAAAAGCTTGGTGTCGCTTTTGTCTTTGCTGTCGGAATTGCGTAAGTACAATCGGCCTTACTGTTTCTCCACCCCTTCTTAAGGAGAACCTCCAATCTAACATCAATCTGAACCAGTGCTTGCATAGCCGCTGGCTTTCGGCTCGACGCCTCGGTCAAATTCGTCCACCTAGCGGATGCGACATATGGCGTGTGTAACGTAGCAGTCTGGGCTTCCGTCGAAATAATGTGTGCCACACTTATTTTCTGTATACCCGCTATGCCCAAGATCTTCAGAGACTCACCAGCGACTAAAATCGCAACAAAACTAAAGACTTGGTCGCATTACGACTCGAGCAGAACGAAGAATAGCGGGAGTACAGCTTGGACCGATACCGACTCCAAGACGCCGGTTACTCATAATGCATATCAAGTGGTAAACGACAACGACGCGTCTGTAAGACAGCCTTACCCGGTGCAGGGGCAAGTCTGGTATCCCATCGAGCACCCTCAGGCATACAGCCATTATCAAGCTCCCCCGGCCGCAATTGTACGTACTACCGATTTCACCATAGAAGAGCGTGGGTATCAGAGACCACCGGTGGAGACGCAACAATTCCACGTCCCATGGAACCAGCACCACCAGGTATGATGATCCTACCTAGGCAATTCAGGATGAGCATAAGCGCATATTGGGTATGGAACTTGCAGGTTATGGTTGGGTATTTACATGGCTTAAGGAAGATATGAAAGTACTTATAATTATCGTCCCCCTTTCATCGGTTGAGGCGTCCTGGCGCATCGCCGTTCCATCCTTATATAGTTAAACACAGTTCCCATCCTATCGTGTACCTAGGTATGTATCTGGGTGTCGACGCGGACTCTAACTTCATATACCTTGTATTTATACAAATCCAGTAGTAGTTTAAATCCCACAAGAAGCCCAAACCATTTTTGAAGTCTTTTAACTACGTAAAGGGAAACCCAGTTAACAGCATTTGAGTTTGATCAATTTGTGCTGTTTGTACTCCCAAAACTCACTGACATTGAGCCGATGAATACTACCTCCACAGCGACAAACTTATATGAAACGGGAAATTGGTTCATCCAGGATAAATATTGAAATAGAGACCTAAGATCGCAATGCCCGGAATAACTGAGAACACAACCGCAGTAGCTATCATCATAGAAAAGGACAACCATGAAAATGCAGTTGCCTACCTAGCTTAGCTGATAGGACTAATTAGGAAGACTGACTTTCTAGTTGATACCTAAGATAAAATTCTTTACTGAAATTGGGATTACTTAATAGGAGGATTGCGGGTGTACTTCAAGGTCTATTCAAAATTTAGTAAAATTGAAACCATAGTTTCAATAAGGTCTAGAATCCTAACAACAGCGGAGAAATATTAAACTGCCCCCGAATTTTTGTAATCTCCCATCGGATACGCCTCGGTCTTAAGTGTATGTGAGTCCCTCGAAATGCCCCTTGCATGCATGGGCAAACTACGTGTAGACGTACTCCGCCTCTCGGAAAAGGAAATACCAAACGTACGGCCGACATGGATATCTCGATTCGTGTTAACGTATTCCATCTTAGACTCTCTCGATCCAAGGAGGCTTCCGGTACTGTCGATTATTGATTTAAAGGAAAACTCGCGGAGTAGGAATTGGAGGGTTGGTAAGCAGGCGACGAATACACCGACGCCGCATTCGATCATACCCCAATATAGATACTCAGTTATAACCACTATAATACAGCAATTAGCCATCATACTTGGTTTCCTTTGGCTTATGAGAAGTGAACTCACAAATCTCGTCCTCGTGAGGATTGAAAACTACATTTTTATGGCGATCTTGCGTAATTATGATGAGCCGCGTCAATGATGCCCCAATAGTTCTATATCGAATTAGTTAGGACTACCATAGAATCTTAAATATTCACTTACACTGCTCCTAATAGGAACACAGCACTGGCCGCGATCTTCTTGCCCGTTGACAGGTTTAGTCGCCAGATCTACTCATTTTAGCGCCACGTTAACAAACAAATCTCGAAACCCGATCGAACTTACCAATGGAACAGGTATGATAATAATAACGACATCCGTAATGAAGTCTGTAATCCCAATCGAGAGAGCCAAATCCATCGTTTTTACGCAATGCGCCGTCAAATTTTCAACCTTTAAACTATCACCCCAAATTGCCCAAAAGTTCAGGCCACATTCGAACACCACCGCGAAAAAGAACGTAACCGTCCAAATAGCTACTGTGACAATCATTGATATGAGGAATTTATCGGTAGTCTTGTTGACTGAGAAGATTCGTCTGTAGAAGAAGAGAAAGCTGGCCTTAACCGATCCTAGCGTCAGGGGTAACATTGAAATAGTAGAAAATTCGACCTAATAGTCGTAGACCGACGTTAGTAAGTGTCATTATGGTCAGAGTATTAGTATCTACCTTAAATGCCGTTCCGAGTTGCTCGTATGAAACATCTAGAGCGCTTCCAAGTAACTCAGGTGGGATGTCTTCTGAGCTTCCCAGCGCCCCTTGCGAAACGCCATAGACTAGGCAAATACCGATACCGATTGTGATAAGCTATATCCATGTTAATACGAACATATAAAGGTGCTAGGGTAGAAATACCAAAGCTGGTATCATAATCCAGTCGTCAGCCTTCAAAGAATGGCGTTCTCTCCGTCGTGTGTAGAATCGCAATATGACCGAGATAATATCCACGACGCACAACGAAACGGCGGCGGCAACGACATGGTTAGCCTTTTGGTAGTATTTTAAGGGGGCCGGCATGGTTAACGAGCACCGTTTTCGCGTGAGGGTATGAAGAAGCAAGAGTAGAATCCGTAGCCCTTTTCCTACGCCGCACCGATTGAAGTAAAATACCTTCACATGGTGGGCTCGTGACAAAATCTACTCTCTCAAAATAGTGGGCTTTTTCGTCCAGTATTCAGTGTATTAGTCAATCTTCATTATTCATTGACCGAACGTGGAGTTGACGGTAGTGTTGCAAACTGTTTGCGCTCACCCTACGCGGTAGTTCATCCGATAATGATACCGTGTTCCGCACACAAACACCTGGGATTCACGGCTGTCTATCTATAGTCAGGGCCCCCACATCCTCTAAGTCGACCTAGGTGGGCCGAGGTCAGATCTGTAAGATCACACTGATTCGCTATTGGTTACCTAAGTACGGACAATGGTAGTCAGATTTATAACCGTTGCTGACGGTGTGGCACATAATCTGTTTGCGCCCTGATGAGTACTCATTGCGGCTCGTTTGTTCGCCTTATTCAGTACTAATCCGGACAGCGGACATGGGGAATCCCACATCCACTATCCCCATTTTGAGAATCAGCGCCTTTTTTTAAGACAGTGGGTTGGTGTGGAAACCTGGTAGAGCCATAGATTGCAGATCAATCGGGGTAGATTAGAAGTTAGGGCCCTTCCGTTATCAATCTCATCACAGCACCCAAAATTTCATTTATAATAATAAAGGCTGTCATTTGAACTAGACATTTAAAACCTAATGCTGATGGAGTTTGCTCGTGTTGAAGCATCTCGGAATTGTTGAGATCGCTTTTTGAATTTTTTTCCATTTTTCTACAAGAATTTACCTCATGGTAAACTCGAGTGCGCGGGTTTGTCGGGAGTGAAGTTAGGGTTGATCCAAGGGTACGGCTCGGGAATAGTGGTTCGAATGCGCCCTAGATAATTCGGGATATACTCTTTGAGCGGGGGACCTGGTTCGTGATCTTTTAGAGGTAAGTGATATAGGGAAGGGCATAAGCACGATTGAATAGAAGAACCACCCTTTTGACCCAGTTGCCAAAGTGCCTACGCCGCGAGCTTGCATGCACATATTTTGAATAGCCGGGCCTCGTGGCGTAAATTTCTTCGTCCTCTTTCTCACCACACATCTCATTCGCGTGGTAGAGATATAGCGGTTAATAATAACGCGCGCGTTCCTCAAACTACACAAAAAAGTTGGACTAATATCAAATATTCGCTCAAAATCCAGAATGGCAAACGCGACTCCAAGCCCCATACGCGTGGCCATTATCGGAGGCGGTCTTGCTGGTGCCACTCTAGCAAACGCTTTGATCAAGCACTCTCACCTTGAAATCCACCTATTCGAGTCCGCTCCCGAGTTCTCGGAGCGTGGGGCGGCGGTCGGGTTGTCCATCAATTCTCAAAACGGTCTGGGACAGATTGTGTCTTCGGCGGATGAACTCCTCAACAAAGCGGGGGCAGTCCCCATGAGCTCTACTCGATTGGTCATAGTAAGTCGGACCGAACGTCGGCTTACCCTTGAATCATAGCTAAGATAAAATGGTAGGGCTCGGGACCGGATGCAGGGACTCTCGTTCATGACCTCGCAGATGACCTTGCGGGCCGAGAGCCCGGAAAGGTTCTTCATCGTGCTTCGCTCCTCCGTGAACTCCTGGCTCCCCTGCCAAAACACATACTGCACGCTAATAAAAAGCTGACCGCAATAACGCCCAGGGATGATGGGAGAGTTAAATTAACATTCCAAGACGGAACCATCGAGGATTTCAACGCTGTGATTGGCGCCGACGGCATATTTGGCACGGTTCGCGACCATGTACTCCAAGACGTTGCGAAGGAACACGCCGCCACAGCTGCTGGATTCTGGGACTGCAGATGCCTAGTCCCCTTTGAAAAGGCTAAGTCTATCCTCGGGGCGCAACATTTCGAGATAGACCGCCAGTACGGATGGCTAGGAGATGGTGTGATGTGTATGCATGATGTTCTTGAAAATAGGGAGTCAGTCCAGTGTGTCATATCGGCCGTAGAGACCGATCCACCTAAGAACCGGAAAAGAACGCTTACAAGGGAGTTTCTAAATAAAACGCTATACAATTGGCAAGATAGCCAAATTGCCAAGGGAATGATAGACGTAGGTTTCCCTCCCATGGGTGCAGGTTGTGTTACCCCTGATCGTCAACAAATGCTTATGGTCTTCTAGATCTGCCTCGAGCAAGAAGGCGCACAAGGTTATTCGCAGTGGGAGCACAAATCGACACCAAAGTATGCCAACGGTTATGTATGCGTTGCTGGAGACGCGGCACATGCGACTAGTCCTTGGCAAGGGTCTGGAGCTGGCATGGCTATCGAAGATGCTATGATCCTAGGTGCTCTTTTTGGCGAAGTATCCTCTCCTAAAAAAATCCCAGCAGCATTCAAAGCGTTTGATGTGGTAAGAAGACCAAGATGCCAAAGGATCATCGATTCTAGCCGTGAAACGGGCTTGCTTTTTCTCGGAAAGAACCCGGATGTTGGTTTGGACCCCGCTAAAATGAAGGAAGCCATTGCTCCAAGGTGGAATTTCATATTTGGGCTGGATATGGAAAGTCACAAGGGAGAGGCGATAAGCAAGTTCAAAGAATTCCTTTGAAGGAAGCCATAGGGTTCGGGATGGTATGCTGGCACTTTGGGCTGTCTTATTGAGACGTGGTTTAGGGAATCATGTCCACGCCCAATTGGTGTTGGGATCAGAGAGAAGTGAGTCGAAATTCCCAAATCCACCAGTTATCTGTATGAGAACTTTAGTATTCATTCTATTTGATTGAAATTTAACCCGACGTACCAACGAGTCAAATTGACCCCAAGTAGTCATCTCAACGATTGAGCTGCTTGGGCTTATTGCTATCAACGATTCGCCGAGCGGTTCTAGTGATTCAACAGTACCCAAAGTCGGCTCATTAGTAGAAATAGACATTGTGAAGGGATCGTCTTGTGTGTTAGATCCCGGAATGTCCTTATCCCTCGGTGCGGGGTCCCCAATGCTAGAACCATTCACAGGTATAGCGTCCGTCGGACCTCCAAATAGCACTTGACTATGTCTTAGGACTTCGAGCCGAAGTTCTTCGAGGACCATTCCATATCGATGAACCCAGGATCCGTTTCTAGCATTATTGATAATACGTGATTGGCAGTCTGATGCGGCGTTAAAGTACGCTAGATAAGCATTGGGTCTAGCTTTCCTTTGCTGGATAGTGTCTATTTTGTGTTAATCATGGGGACTTGAATAAATGACGATATCGACATACTGCACACACGTTCGTTAGACTCTATCACAATGATTCTTTTCGAATAAGCACTTACCAAACGTATAACACAACCACGGCGCAAGAAGCGAAGTAGTATGTGAACTAAATCCGATCGGCAAGTCAGTAAGGTAACCGGACGGCCGATGCAATCACTCATCACTAACCCAGAAAGCTCGATGCAGCTGATTGCGCTCCTCAAGCTCTTCAATTATCTTGGTAATTTTCATAGCAGCATCCAGACACTGCTGCACATTGTTTTCAAAAGCTTCGTGGTGAGGTAATTTCGCGCGAACAGTGCTGTAATTCGAGAGACTAGCGAAATTGTTCAGGAGAAACGGCCGGTGCACTAAGAGAAGTGTATGCCAGTATGCTAGATTAAGTACATTCCTCTGTCGGCGGAAAAGTGGTAGCAGGAGGGATTGAGATGCCTCTTGTCGGTCAAGAAGTAAGGACATATCCAAGCGCCATTGCTTTAAATCGCCAGTGAACTTGGTCGCAAGTTCAATGCGCTGTTTGGAGGACGGTGTCCGGAGACTATAAAATTCCCGAAGTACACTGGCTATTATCTGTGATATTCTGTGGGTTCCAAGATTATTATCAGCCATGTTGGACTCCGGAGTTATCAAGTTCCGCAAAAAATAAGAACGTACTTTAGTTGAGCAATCGGTGCAGCCATCTCCGGCAAAGCATTATCTGGCGATGCCGAAAGCCGGCCGATATCCAGGTCGCTGTCATCAACGCAAGCCGGGAGGTCCTGAATGGTCAGAATCAAGTTAGATTTAATTGAGACACGCCTACTCACCTGATTAATGTCGTCGTCATGAAAGGCCCGAGGCCTTCCAAATGCGCAACTCAAATAAGCGTCGAGACTGTAGGCGACCCAAAATGTTCTCTTCCGACATTCGTGTTCCACTAAATCTCCATTGATGATTTCATTTCTTCTGCTTCTTCTATGTATGCCTAGAGCGAATATTAAATGTCCAAGAGTTCCAAAGAGAGACCAACAATGATTCATTCGACTCTCGGCGAGAAGATAAAACACCATAGCAAGTCTCGCTTGGATGCTGGTAAGTCGGACTTCGCCTTTCTCTTCAGATAGTTGATGTTCGGCGGCAGAAAAGTATCGCGCACTATAATAGAATAAATATTTGAACCTATAAAAACAACGAGGGTACAGGTATCTGACGTACCTGGCTTCCGAACTATCCTCGTCAGCGGAGTGAGCGAATCGTTTTGCACAGGCAAACATCATAAAAATGAGGGCAATGCGACTGCGAGCGCCTTCTTTCGAACGCACTGTAACCGATGATTAGTAGCCGCCTACTATAAGCGCTACAAATGAACCTGACTGAGTTTAGGTGGTATTCTGTTACTTACTTTTACCTCCCGTCTCATATAATTCATCCAATAAGTTTTCCATGGTACGGCGATGGAGAAAACGGTGAGTGGCAACCGCAAATTCAAAATAGCTTGAAAGAAGTTCTTGCGCCTCACTCCTGGGAGGCAATATGAAAAATGACCCATCCCATCCTGGAAGTGGTAAGTCCCCAAAAGTAAATATTGATGATTCGGAGGAGTAATGGGACGCTTGACTTGAAAGCTTCTTTTGGATCCTAAGCAGGAAGGACACACCGGACGACGGCCCTACAATGTGCCCTTGGCGGTCCGTCTGCAGCGGTTCAGGTGAGTTACGAGAGGATTGGATGACCGAAGTCTGAGATCTAGAACCATTATAATTCGGGCCTAGAGCTTCCCCGGTGCCTTGGACCTGGGTCTGCTCCGAGACGTCGTCGATATTGATACCGTTTTTGAGTATTCTTGGATGATCTTGATGAGTTGACCCGTTGAAACCCGCTAGGTTGGGATCTCGACGAACTTCGTGGGGTTCCGTTTCATGCTGACTTCGAAAGTAACTTGAGTCCATTCCTCTTTCCTGACGTTTCCCATTCTCTTCAATCGCGGGTGGCCTTCCTCGCCGATATGGTGCAGTGAACCGACAAGCAACGCCGAGTTGTGTACAAAAGGCACACGGGTACTTGCCGGAACATCGTGTTTTCCTCCTGCGGGACACTTTAATATACCGTATTGACTCGAAATAGAAACCAGCTCATAAAAACTCCCCCGTGTATGAAAAACCGCTTACCCTTTGCAACGATCACAAGCCCGACTCACTCGGCTTCTCGGGTTGGTTTCTTTTCGCCGTTTAGCGGACGGAGACTGTGCATTGTTTTCCTCATTAACCACATCATCTATAGAGATGCGATGTGGATGCTTCCGTGGGGAAGATTGTGAATTCCGACTTTCGGAATTTGTTCCCTCCATGTTGGATACATGATGGAGGGAAAGGAGGAAAAAGATGGAGGCTTTTCCGATATCCTGGGGAAATAGCCGAAAATATGGTTTTATGACGGCCCCTCACTCACTGTATGCCTAATATGGATAGCGGCTTCGCGCATTAGCGCCACTATCGCCCCAAACCAGGTATACACTAAATAGTCCAGGTAGCTCTAGATGCAATTTAAATTGACTGAATACATACATGTATGGATGGTCGACAGGTCTCGCGCTGCTTTAAATTTATAATTTGACGCGCAGGTTTAAGTTCGCTCGTGCCGGGGTTCCGGAAGTGCCACAATCTCGAGATCGTTCTACTGTGAGTGCTTAGATAATTATGCAATTTAATGTATCTGCTAGTAAGTATTGGCCCCTATTTTGGTAGCCTCTAATTTTTATGAAGTTGCGTTACACAGTCGATCTGTCAACTACCATTCTCGGAGTTCACCCCCTGGCCCGAAAAAATTAGGGCTTACCCATGCTTTTGAACCTTTCGATAGAGCCCGAACTTGATCTTCGTCAACTTCAATACCGAGCCCAGGACCACTCAAGAGGTCGATATATCCATCCGTGACTTTCCAGACCTCCGGATTTAACGTATAGCTGGTCAGATCTTGTCCACCGACATTATAATGTATACCAAGACTCATCTCCTGAATCACGAAATTCGGGCTGACAGCGTCGACCTGAATATTTGCCGCTAATGCGATCGGACCTAATGGACAATGCGGCGCTAAGGCCACATCATATGTCTCGCAGGCAGATGCGATTCGACGCATCTCGGATATTCCACCGACGTGGGAAATATCTGGCTGCAGAATATCCACACACCCAGCTTCTAAGAAAGGTCGTACATCCCATCTGCTGTGAAGTCGTTCCCCCAGAGCAATCGGGCAGTGTGTACGAGCTGCAATATCTTTAATGCCCCCAATATTTTCGCTCAATAAAGGCTCTTCGATAAATAACGGATCATGAGGTTCCAACTTCGCGACCAGTTGCTTCGCCATAGGTTTGTGCACTCGTCCGTGGAAATCTACCCCAGCATCAAGACCCAGTGCCTTTACCGTTTTCACACGTTCCACGCATTCTTCAAGCTTCTTGGGGGAATCAAGCCACCCAAGATCTTCGGTCGCATTCATCTTGACTGCATTGAAGCCTTGTGATTTACGAGCGTTTCTGTAAACGATTAGTTCATCGGAAAGAAAATTAAACCCAGGGGAGCGTACGCTTGTACTTCTACATCACCTGGCCGGTCGCCTCCTATCCAAGCATATACTCGCAATTTGTCTCGGACCTTTCCGCCCAATAATTGATAGATAGGGACACCTAATTTTCTCGCTAAATCTTATTTTAGTATTCCTTCTGCTGAAAGAATTGCAAGCTCTTCATACCTTTCAAATCCCATAGCGCAATGTCTATCCCACTCAAAGCGCTCATAAGCACAGGGCCTCCTCGGTAGAAACCTCCCCGATATGACAGTTGCCATATGTGTTCGATGTCACTGTAGACACGATTAATAAACCACAAGTTCTATCGGGGATGTCAAAATAACAGTTTAATTGGCTTACTCAGCTTCAAAGCCCAAGTATCGCTCCGCCCATGCATCGAGGCAACCTTCCACAGTTTGGGTGTGGCCTTCTAAACTGGCTTCTCCCCAACCCACGCCACCATCATCGGTCGTGATTTTCACAAACAACCAACGCGGCGGCACGCGGAAATATTCTATCTTCGAAATCTTCCCCATGGTATATACAGCGGAAAAGAAGAAACAAAACGCATATGTCTAGCAAACATACTGACTTCGAGTCGTCTCTTGGAGCTAGCTGCATATATGGGCGAGGTCGGCGGGGTTCTCATGAGGGGAAGAGTTCAGGGGTAGATGCGGGGGAGTAGCCAATAGTGTCTCTGCCCACGATGGAGTATTTCCTAATTTGTCGGAAATCTGTCTGATTGGTCCTCATCAACCGGGATATTGTTACCTCGGGTTCGGATACACCCGCTGCAGGACGCATGGCTACATCAGCGAGTACCTAGTCACCTAATAGAAGTTCAACAGTTCGCTAAGCTAAGGTACTATGATGCCCTATAAATTTCCATTACGTCTTAATTCTAGGCTTAACACCACTGTTACGCGCACCCCAAGCAAATTTCTAACGGTCGGGACATACCATAAAAATAGGGGTAAACGATTAGATTACTATCGTAGGGGCTTCTATAGACAAATGACTCTATTTCTAATTTTTATTCTTCGCGGCCTCTCTCAACTTCCTTTGGGCCGCTTTCCATTCCTCTACACTCCGTCGCAACTCTTCCTCAGTCTTTTCGCCAAATATGTTGACACCAAGTCTCGCAGGGAAATTGTACCGATGGTTTCGGTCTAAGGAGTTAATCGTATCCATCGCGTCCTTCGGAAGTTCGAATGCTAGCCGATTCGTATTAGTAAATGAAATATGATACGAAGGCAACTTATGAACTTACTCTCAAAATTCGCTGCAATTCGTTCTGGCGTTACACTCTTTGGTAGAACTACAATATTTCTTTGTAAAACCCAGTTGATGATAACCTGCGCTGGCTGTTTTCCTAAACGAGCTGCGATCTCATGGATTTTGGGGTCATCGACGCCCCTAAATGCTTGTCAGCCAGGTCCCTATTTACAGCGTTTGAATGCCTATGCGGGCGCGTAGGCGGTAATTTATAGGGGATCGAATTGCCCAGTCCTTACCGTGGGAGATTATAAATATTATTCCCCAGGGGGCTGTAGGCTTGCACTACGATACCCTAAACCGAGTGTTAGCAAATGTTATTAACCCCTATAACAGAGCCAACTTACATTGTCCTGCATCCACTGAACGAAAGAAGTCTGTTGAAAATAAGGGTGTATTTCAATCTGGTTGACAGCTGGTTTGATGGTCGCGCTAGATTCGCCATTAGCAATCGCATTTCCCGTATCTCCGAATAATTTTGTTCTACTCACACTTTCCATATTCGTTCAATGTTCTCCTTGGTGAAATTGCTTACACCTATTGTCCGAATTTTGCCTTTCTGGACTAACGCCTCCATCGCCTTCCAGGTATCTTCAATTGGTACATCGATGACATGAACTTGTTCATTTTCAGGATTGATTGGAAATCTCTCCCTCTCGGATGCGCCCTTTTTGAAGGTTACGGGCCAGTGAATCTATCACGGTAAGTCAATCATCCGTATTCTGTGCCTCATGAATGTTGCGCAGATACATACCAAGTATAGGTCAAGGTAATCCAGTTGGAGATCTTTTAGCGCTGTGTCTACTGCTGGCTCAACATCCTCCGGCTTGTGGTGTGTATTCCACAGCTTGGATGTAACCTAACATATAGCGCGTTTAGTTAAGTAGCTCAGCGAAGGGCGCCTAAAGAAGACACTAACGAAAATCTCAGAACGGTCAACTCCAGAGGCTTTGATGCCCCTGCCAACCTCATCCTCATTATCGTAGCATGCAGCGGCGTCGATATGTCTATATCCTGATCGAAGAGCACTTTCCACTGCTACAGCCACTTCATTTGGTTTTGATTGCTGTATAATACCGTTAGCAATTCAGTTAACTTTAGGAATACCCCTATTCGCTAAAACTCACCCAAGTCCCCAACCCTATGGCTGGAATCGAATAACCAGAATTTAGCTTATGAGACTTGACAGCCATTTTCACAATTTCGACTCAGGTAAAGGTATTTCGTGAGTCTATTCCTGGGAGAAGAGTAGAAAAAAGGGTTATGTAACACGCTTTATAATAGGCACTCACTTCTCATACAATCTACTTTTCCTTGCTATAGAGTTAGTAAAACCTACACGATATACTTCTCGGATTCATTTGCCGAGCTAAAAGGAGCTTTTCCGACGGATACTCCACACGCCCCAACCTCGGGGTATCGTTGTCGCCATGCAATGTCGTGATCTCCACCGGAGCTAGTGCCGCCCCTCACTGCTACCCCGAGCTCGGCTTCATCAGGAGACTCTGTGTCTGATGATCTTTATCTTCAAAAGATTAACAAATCCGACACTCACTTTACTGCTAGTAATCATTAAAAGCATAGTCTGAAAACCGAAAATCAAACAAGATGGCGCGAGTTCCTCCTCCCGGTGTCTACGTCCCATCGCCGACATTTTTCAAACCCCTTGCTGCCGGAGCCCGCCAAGCCGAGGTAGATGTAGCAACTCAATCAGAACACAGCGTATTCTTAGCAAAGAATGGTGTTCACGGACTCGTCCTACTCGGTTCCACGGGTGAAGCAGTCCATCTTTCACGTCAAGAGCGTAAAGATCTCCTAAGTGGAGTGCGCAAATCACTTGATGATGCAGGATTCCCCGATTATCCCATCATGGCCGGTGTTCTTGTAAATGCCGTTGATGAAGCACTAGAATGGTTACAAGATTCGAAAGATGCCGGATCTCAATGGGGGTTGGTTCTAGCTCCGGGCTACTTTGGTGGCGCTGCTTCTCAAGAAGGTGTAATTGAGTGGTACACGACAGTTGCGGATAAGAGTCCAATTCCTATCTTAATGTGAGCACCAGAGGTATTTAGTGGTGTAATAAAGCTGCTAACATGACAATTGCTAGTTACAATTATCCGGGTGTTACCAACAACCTTACAGTCACCCCTGAGACATACGAAAAGCTCGCGCAACACCCAAACATAGTAGGATGCAAGATGTAAGTGACTTACTACCACTCAGATAATTGGCAATTTAACTAACTTGGCAGGTCTCACGGCAATGTATCATATCACGTCCAAGTATCAACCTCACCTGTAATCGACCACGAAAAGTTCCAGGTATACAGTGGCTTCGGCCAGCAACTTGGCCCCATCGTAACTTTCAACGCTGCGGGAGTTATCGACGGACTAGCTTCATTCTTCCCCAGAACAGTTGTGCGACTATTTGAACTATCTAGCAAACGACCGATTGACGATGCCGCCATTCAAGAAGCTAGGGTGCTACAGTACCGAGTAAGCCGAGCAGAGGACTATATCGGTCGTTGGGGTATTCTTGGAATCCGAGAAGGAATCTACCGTGTCGTGGGGCTAGGTAATCTCGAGGGCGGACGAGCACCTCTAAGAGGGAAGATTCCCGATGGTGCGTGGGACGAGTGGGCAAATGTTATGAAGGCTATGTCGGAATTATAAGTCGTAGGAAGTGATATCTGAAATTCTCTAAAATTTTCCCAAAGCAAGGATTAACACATTCATTTGCAAATTGCTATTCGGCCTTTTTTTCACTTCTAACATTCTACGGTTATAAAGACGGCGGCGTAATGTGTTACTGCATCGCCTACTTTAAGTACAGGGAGCTGGGCGTTAAACTCCACTAAAAATCCGATTAGATTCACTGCGTGAAGCGCTATAATCTAGTGGTATACGACACTTCTCCTCTCTATAGTCCGACTGCCCAAGCGATTAATTCAATCACTATAGTCGCGAAAAATTGCGGTTTAGGACTTCAACTTCTTCCATTCTTGAATGCCCCACGGAAAATGAAAACATCTCTAAAAAGACCCGATAACCCACTACTACAATAATGTTTTCAGTATGGAGGGCTTCGCTAACCCGTAATTGATAACCGATTAACTGATACAGCTACAAGGATTTTATTAGTAATAACGGTATAGGTGACGGCTATAACAAGACTCTAATCACAGCATTTTCGATGCAACTATGAATTTCTGTATATATATATATATACTGAGTAAGAATACCTAAGAACCCTCAGTTAAAACAATAAGCAAAAGTTTCGATAGTATGTATGCCTGCCTTATTTTAGAAGTTTCTTGCGGCTACACGCTAAAATTGGATGATCTGGGGCGCCGAGCTCCCTATAACTTAGTGCGATTCGGTTGTATTGCAGCCACTTGCGCGGCGAGGTTGGCGATTTTTGAGGCAGTGTTTTTGTAGGGTCGGCTGCGTTAATTCGTCATCATCACACGCAGTAATCTGTGACATTCAGTGCTCTACGGCACGCCTTTAGGCTCTGTCTCGTGGTCGCTATAATAATAGGGAGGCACAAGCTGTAGCTCGTTAAAAGACTAGGAGGCCACGACGCTAACCTCCTCTGTAATTGCACCGGCGGATCGGCCTATAAGCGAAGATACAGTTCTAGATAAAATTACCTAGGTAGTCGCTATGCCCACTAGCCAAATATCCAAATTTAAACAAGAAATTCATCAATACACGTAAAAATTCGAAGCCGACGGATCATCTCGCCGCATCTTCTTATTCAACCTCATAAGGGAAATCTTCAAGACCCAAGCACAAATAATCACACCCGCCGAGAACCCAATTGCCCCCGACATGGCCTTAATGAATTGCGGTGCATCGGAGTCTGGCCAAAGGTAAGGCGTATAGACGGAACTCAAGTTCCCAAACATGTTGCACATCGCAATCGCAACCGCTTTCTTCTCGTCCGACTGACCCAAAACAGAGCTGGTCCAACTCAGAATAATGTTGTTAACGCCGTATGTAGCTCCTACAAACAACATTATGCCGACGTAGCGGGCTGCCGTGTTGAGCGTTGCCATACTAATAGCAAAACCGGCGATTGCGACCACTTTGGATAATGTGATATGCCATGTACGTTCATTGAACCGTCCACTGCTATACGATACGGCGATGCTAAGAAACGCCGCGAAAATGTAGGGCGGGCAAGTAAGGACCAAAGCTGTCGTTGTGTCTAAGCCGAGATTCTTGACGACGGTCGGCAAGAAATTCTTGAAGCCATTAGCGCTAAGGTGTAGATTGTCGCACAAGCAGAAAATCCACGTCCGGTAGTCAACGAGAGCTTCTCTTAATCCCTTCATGACACTGGTTCCGGCCTCGCTTCTTTCTGTCGTATCCCTAGCGATGCGGTCGTGGGCTAGTTGGCGTTCTTCCGGGGTGAGCCATCGAGTTTTTAAGGGTGCATCGGGTAGAAGGAAGAATCCAGCGATCGCGATGACTGTTGATAGCGATCCTTGGATTATGAATAACCTGGAGTGTATGTCAGAAAGAAATCACGACAGAACAAATGGAGTATTGCTGCGAACTTACCATTGCCATCCAGCCAGTCCACGAACACCCCCTAAACCCGCAAATATAGGCGCGGATATCAACCCAGAGAACGCACTCGCAGCCATATTTCCTGTATAGAAAACAGACATACGAGTTGCGATTTCCTTCCTCGTGTAGAACATGCTTAACATGTAAAGCGCACCGGGATAAAACTTATGATTGATAAGCCGTCGACATTCTTCAAGCCGGCAATAGAACTCACCGGAGATTCCACAATTCCTAGAATCAGTCTTGCGACTAACATTGTCTTGTAGTCGTGCACCAAGAATGTGCATAGGGTGGTGATAGACCAAGCAGTCATAAATCCTACATAGATCATGTCAGGGAAGGTATCGTGAAGTTATTATAACATTACATACCGGCCATGAATAATGAAGGACGGACACGATTGAGAAGCATGTTGGAAGGGACTTGTCCCGCGAGATAACCAACGAAGAGAATAGAAACACAAGTGTTGTACTCATATCCCTTCATGTGGAGTTGTTTGTCTAGCCCGTCTAACTTGCCGTTGACCATCGCATTTCGATCGAGGAAGTTGAAGAAGTACATCAACCAGAGGATAGGCTGTTGTAAAGCAAGTTGTCAGTAAGGTAATTCAGATTATCCTACAAATAAATCTTACAAGAATATACATATCCAGTTTCTTCACAAGTTTGATCTCTTTTGGATCCGTTTTCGCATGAGCGCCGAACCTGTCGACCGGCGCATCGGTCCCCTTGTCCAAGACTTCGCCGGCGATTTGCTCGACATGCTCAGCCTTTCCGCTTTTCTGGCGGCTGAGGTCAGGAGTTGCGTCCATGGTATTAAAATTGGCCCTAATTATGGCGGCTTTGAGAAAAGGAGCCAGAATACCAAGGACTACAAGATATGGAGCAAAGATGCTGGACCGAGAAGAATGCCCTGGGAGGTGATATGGGCTTTCACTCCTTAAGTAATCCACTTAGGGGTCGTCTAAGTCCAATTCCCTATTAGAAGTGTGGAGTCCCCGCAAAGTCCAGGGTTAATATCTTGATGAATCCCCATGGGGCAGCTAGCACTAGTCCAAAAGAATTGTATTGGATCAGGGTTATCGGATTTCGAAGCGATCGGCTAATCTCTTGCTAACGAATGGGGACAGAAAACAGCAGGGATCGGAAAAGCGTTCAATCCATAAGATTTCGCGCGCAATTGAATCGAACATCCCCGTTACCCTAACGTCTCATCCGATCGGAAAACAAGTTTCTAGACCTCATATTTCCGATGTGGAGGCGGGGAGGTCGTCTTCGGTAGATACTCAACGTCGTATGCCTTAGGCGAAGACCGCGTCTCTCAATTGTCCGATGGTGGCGGTAGAATAGTCCGAAAATGGAGCTTCTAAATAGACATAATAAGTATTCATTTTGACGAATCGTCTGAATTGCTCAAGTTTCGGCATCTAAGTATATTGTGTGTTGGCAAACGACTTACCATGTCTCTCACAGCAACATCACCAGCGCAATTAAAGGTCGCCAGTCAGGGACCGGGTCCCGAGACCGAAAGTACTTCAATCGACAGCATCAACGATTTGATAGTCAACCGCGCCAATGCCTTTCCTTTTAAGCCTCTACTCGCGTATCCCGGGAAAGACGGCAAATATGTGTATTATACGGCGAAGGAGTTAGACAGTTTTGCAGATGAGGCCGCAAAGCATTATGTTCAATCGGGGTTGGTCCCGAAGGTATGTCGTACGAATCCATGTTTAAGTATCATGAGTCTAACGGAGTCCGTAGGAAGATCAGAGGGAAAATGAAGTAGTGGCAATTCTCGGCCCGTCAAATTTCGAATACATTATCACCATGCTTGGTTTAACTCGAATTGGTTTCGCCGTATTCTTCCTCTCAACGCGCCTGTCAATAGAAGCCTATACGGCACTCCTTGGACAAACAGGATGTCGAAAAATCGTCGTCGCACCAAATTATGCGGGAACTGTTGACCAAATAGCCGAGAAATACGATATCTTCCAATGCACTCTAATAGACAGCACGATTTTAAAAGGGGCTAACTCAAACAGCCACCGCTTTCAGCGGCCCGTTGAGATCAAAGATGAAGCGCAAAAGATCGCCTTCATCGTACACTCCTCCGGCTCTACAGGTCTCCCGAAGCCGATATACCAAAACCATCGATCTTGTCTCACGAATTATTCCGTTGGTAGTGGCATGAGAGCATTCATAACATTGCCCTTATACCATAATCATGGTTTATCGACCTTTTTCCGCGGGATAACTTATTCAGTCACCACGGCATTCTTCGACGCAAGTCTTCCGATGACACATGACCATTTATTGAGCGCGATGCAGCAATTCGTTCCGGAGAGTTTTCATTGCGTGCCATACTCAATGAAGCTCCTCGCCGAAAGTAAGCAGGGTATCGACGTAATGAAGCGATGTAAGCTCGTTTTATTCGGCGGGAGCAGTTGTCCCGATGAGCTTGGAGATAGGCTAGTCGAGGCTGGTGTCTATCTTGTAGGACATTACGGCGCGACGGAAATGGGTCAACTTATGACATCTTTTCGAGATCCAGAAGATAAGGCGTGGAATTACGTGAGACCGTTCCTTAAAGTTGCACCGTATCTTCGATTCGAACCTATCAGCGAGGGGTTATATGAATGCATCGTTCTTGATGGTCTACCGACAAAGGTGTGCTCAAACTCAGACAACCCTCCCAACTCATTCCATACCCGAGATACATTTATACCGCATCCTTCGATACCTAACGCATGGAAATACGTATCACGCCTTGATGATAGAGTGACTCTTGTCAACGGAGAGAAGGTACTCCCAATTCCATTCGAGCACCGACTCAGGCAGCATGAATTGGTAGAAGAAGCACTCATATTCGGAGTGGGCAAAGCTTTCCCAGGCTTACTCGTTATTCCAAGTTCAAAAGCTCGGGATATGAGCAAAGATGATCTCCTCCATGTTCTGCAGCCAATTATCGCAGCCGGTAACGAAGCAGCCGAGAAATTCGGCCAGATTTCGATAGATATGGTGGAAGTCCTTCCATGTGGTACTCCTTATCCCCGCACAGACAAGGGTACGATCATCCGAGCAGCAGCATACAAGGCCTTCGAACAAATCATCGAGTTAGTCTATGTTCGTTTCGAGACACATGATGAATCTAGAGATGGAGCTCGTCGGGTTTTGGATCAACCGGAGCTGGTCGCATATTTATTGGATTTATTCACTAATACCGTTGGAGTTCAAGGGTTAACGGCAGAGACCGATTTCTTCGAAAGCGGCGGGATAGACAGCCTACAAGCTGTACTCGCAAGAGGAAAGATCACTCGCGAAATTGATATCGGCGATGCGATCTTGGGGAATAATGTTGTTTTCGAACACCCGTCTGTCGAAAAACTTGCGTCGTATCTATACTCCCTTAGAACGGGCGAGAGCTTAACCCAGACCGATGAGATCACTTTGATGTCTGACTTGATAGCCAAGTACTCGGGCTTTCCACAGTTTGTTCGTGGCGACAAGAAACCAGAGGGAGAGGTAGTGGTGAGTTTATCATTATCAACCTAATCAAACAAGAGTTAGTGATGGCTAATTGACAATATTCAGCTACTCACCGGAACCACCGGTTCGCTAGGAGCGCATATTCTATCCCAAATCACAGCAATACCTGAAGTCAAGAAGGTATACTGTCTAGTCCGAGCGAGTACCCCTGAAGACGCTCAATCTCGGGTTATGTCGAGCCTCAAGTTCCGGAATGTCTTTCATGAAGCTATCATAGAGAAGGCCGTGTGTATTCCTAGTGACTTCAGCCAAGAATCCCTCGGTCTTGACCCCTCAACACTCAAAACGCTCCAGTCAAGTTTGACCACAGTTATACACAGCGCATGGATGGTAAATTTCAACGTGAATCTCAGCAGTTTCGAACGATCACACATAGCCGGCGTGCACAACATTATAAAACTCTGCTTAGGAGTTCCATTCCAAGAACCAGCCAAGTTCTTCTTCGTATCCTCAATATCAGCCGCCGCAGGTACTCCAATTCCAGCTACAATTCGCGAAGCTCATGTTGAAAACTTGCATCATGCGCAGAACATGGGATATGCGAGGTCGAAATTGGTGACAGAATATATTATCCGTGCCGCAGGAAGGAGTACCGGTATACACGCGAGAGTATTACGAAGCGGTCAGTTGATGGGAGATGCCAAAAATGGTCTCTGGAACTCGACTGAAGCAATCCCCTTGATGATTCAAAGTGCGACCACAATCGGCGCACTGCCAATGCTTGATGAGGTAAGCCCCTGCCCCCTTATTTACCCCGCCAAATACAGGCCTAACACTGCTGTAGACACCGTCATGGCTACCAGTAGACAAGTGTGCTTCTGCGATCCTCGAACTTTCCGGTCTCAGTCCCAATTCCAAGGACCAGCTATCAGGAAATATTGAAGAGGTTTATCATGTACTAAACCCGACACTATTTTCTTGGTGTAATGACTTGCTCCCGGCACTCAGAGCAGCGGGGCTGGAATTCGAAACTGTTCCTCAGAGGGAATGGGTCCGACGGCTACGAGAAAGCGAACAAGACCCCCAGAAGAACCCTACAATCAAATTGTTAGATTTCTACACGGAGAAGTATGATAATGATGCAGCTGGGAGAAGTGGTCTCGTTTTTGAGACACAAACGACAGCTAAGTATTCCGAAACCATTGGGCAGGGTTTTGATATTATTAGAAGTGGAATTTTGCAAAAGTGTTTAGATAATTGGCGACGTGCTTGGGCTACATCGAGTCCGTAGAAGATTACAAAGCAGCTTGGGGTTAGGGGGTTAGGGGGTTAGGGGGTTAGGGGAAGGGTTTAAGGTTAAGGTTGTCGAGATCGGAGTTGGGGTTGGGGTTAGGGTTCGTCTGTACAGCTACTAGACATACTTATATAATCGTGGTATACCCGTCAGTAAGCATCCTACTTCCTTCTTGTGACCACGACCACTATAAGAAACTCCATTTCCGCTGAAAAGCCACCACATAAAGTCTCGCTAAATACCTAGGTACCCCTATAGTTTCAGCAGGTTTCAAGCCCTTAGGTGCGTACCTAGATATGCGTTCGAACCTTGCTAGGACTGTAGCACTGCTCAAAAGTACCACGCAGCCTGCTTCAAAATTATGCCATCAAGTGGGAATTAGGAAATCTAGCCTATCATGTCATTATCTACCATGAGTTCACATCATTACTGTGCATCTCGTCCTGTCGGCTCGGAGGGGTTCCGTCCTTTTTGGGCTTCAAAGAGGGGAAATTAGGCGTTCTGAACATTGCCACCACCTTCACTCGCGCTGAATCTCCTCAATTGGTACATATACCTTGTCTAGATTTGAGTAAGTTTCGCTCAGCCTCATCATTTGATTCATTGAGGATTTACCGGTGAGTTCCTATTTGCCCTGGAAGTATGGACGAGGCGCACCTCTTTCATGCGGGAATTGTGCTCGGATCGTATATCAAACTCCGGTCATCCATTCCGAAATTCTATATTTCGAGTTCTAAGTACCTAGGTATGTCACCAATCTCATAGCCTTCTATAAATATTCAATGGCAATTTTCTTGTCTGGTACAGAGGCCAGATTGGGTGCTCTTAATATCGCGCCAGCCGTCCTTCTCCCACCGCTACCCAATATCGTTTCTGAATGGTCGTCAATTGTACCACTTATCTGCCACCTTGCCAGCGTTCGCGATGACTACAAGACAACCGGAGATGTGGCACTGTTAGGAAGGGTTTCAATTGGACTATTTCCCAAATTGGGAACATTAGCAGGACTATCACGTTTGTTAAGTCAGGGCCCGGATTACCTTGATCAGGCTTCAACGAGAGGCGGTTCAAGTCGAACCGTGTGGGATGTACAATGGGGAAGCGTCTTCCCACTAGCTAACGGCGCTGCGAGCGCTGCCATTGTTGAATATGCTCGCCACCGACACGCCCAGAAGCATACTCGCATTCCTGAAGCGGTCCCTAGTCCCAAAGATAACAAACCGAGGACTGTCCAAGAAAAGAGCACAACTAGTAGCTCGTCCTCTGATGGAGATTACCAGAAGTCCGCACATAAACCGTTGGTAACAGAGAAATGGAGACCCTTAAGCGAAAGACAGTTTCGTCGATATCAGACATTGTATGTCCTTCGTTTTAAACGCGAAAGGAAAACGACCGGGCGTAACTTTAAGTTCGAGGATATTGGGCAGACGACTACATTCCATGTGTTCTCTTTCATTGTGCTTATAAGCATTGCGGTGGCGCTATCTTTCGTGGGCTCTTATGGCACAGCGGTTGTGATTATAATGAGCGCTATTTCAAGGATAACCACTCAACGCGTCTCAGTCCTCAGGCCTACGGGGTACCTACAGAACAATGAGAGTCATGACGCTTGCATGCTTGTGGCTCCCCACCAGAATGCCAACGTCTGGTACTTGTACGTGGGAGACCGCTCAATCGTCGATACGCTATTAAACAAGCCCATGCTCGCGGTGCCACAAAATCAGTATAATTGGCTTGTGGCCAAATGGTTAGCATTCGCGCATCTTCTTCACATTGCCGCTATGACGTTTACCGCAGGGCAGAGGGGGTGGGATGGTGTCTGCATGGTAGCATTATTAGCTATCGATCGGGTGCTGCGATGGCATTTCTGTACTAAGACGTATGCTCGCGACTGGTTAGAACGCGAGGGATATACTGTGGATATCGAAAGTTTTGAGTTCAGTGGGCGTGCTCCGATGATAGGCGCGATACAATTATACAGCGGAAGTAAAGTCACGCGATGGATGGACGACATATTCGTCCCACACCCGCGACGCGACGCCTGGCTTGAGAATATGATAAATGGGGGTGAAATAAAGGGGTTGCCATCTCACGATGTGGAATGGGTTCGTCGCGCTACGTACCTCTCACAGACCGGGGCTAGGATAATGAAAGAAAAACTGAATTGGCAGGGTGTTTGATGTATTCCGTGTATCCTACTCAAACTATCTGTCAAGTCAGTGTACCTTGGCGTGTGAGCCACGCGGTATTTATGGTTTTATGTAGGCTTACCTCAAACGTCCATTTTCATAGTACAGAGTGAAGTTATACGGGGACATCGCCTAGTTGTAGAAGCCTTACGCTAGCAGTATCAACCGAGCCACAAACTATGAAACTGCACGAACTTTGGGAGTTCAACACCCGCAGGCCATTGATACACACCTCTCCAAATCCATTTATACGACTCAACATCATGCATATAAACTACTGGGTCAGCCCCAGGCTGTCGGCCCTTCTCCGTCTTGTCTGAATCACAGACGGCGAGTAGAACGCCCGATTTCGCTGAACTAGGAATTTCTTCTGGATCCCAAGAATTATATACCTGGTTCAGTACTGGTCGTAGTAGAGCAACGTGCTTCCTTAGAGATTTGAACGTCTTACGAACCCTACGAAGTTCCCGACCGGTTTTCGACATTCTACCTTTCGTCGTCGATAGGAAATCGAGGTCCATCACGTGGATCCACCATGGCCCCCATAAGCCATTGATGCATACAGAAGCCAACTGTGTAGCTTCACCTGTAATCGGCATATGGAACTCCCCTGGACTTGTTGCCCGATCAGGCAATGCGAATGGTGTCTTTGGAGCCCAACTAAGACCAGGTGCAGAAAGCCTCGGTGCGGGAGAGAGCAAGAAACCTGTGAGGATGTTAATCCCCCGCTCTTGTTTCCAAAAGTCTTCTATTGTCTTGACTCCTTCCTTTTGCTGGGCTAAGCATAAGTTCCATATCGTAGCATAATCCCTCTCCCTGCTTGCTGGGCGATGACTTAGCCAAGAGCCAATTTGCTCTAGATCGACATTAAAACCATAATCACGAATTCTCCTGGATCGCTCGTCATCAAAATCGTAATTCCGAACCATATGAGGTAGAAACAAGCTGAACGCCGCGAGGTCGATCCGCCCGTCTCTACAAACACGCTCAAGAACATCCTGAAACATGACGACTTGGTCATCGCGGCATAGAATTGAGACGTGATTCCGACCTTTCAATGCCTCTAGCATTGTCCATGCTCTGAGGTTCCAGTCCGAGAGTATTACTCCGGCTAATAAAACTTCTGCACGGCGTACTGTGAGGGGACAAGCATCTAGTGTCATCAGGTCCCTATCGCAGACAATCACTTGCTGGCTGCGATAGAACACATCGTTGATATGCAGTATAGCTTCCGATCTCAAAGTATCGTCTTCGGGACTAAACCAGAAGTCAACCTCAACCATTCTACACGTAGAGATGTTCTTCGGTTTCACTTACATGCAAGCCGCATCAATCCAATAGCTATCGCATCCTAGCTTACATGCTAGCCCAATGTACCGATCATGGAGGCATCGGTTAATCCCTAGGTGCGGACGGCTACCTTGGCCATGGCTCCACACATGAGAAAATGCGATCGTCTTGTTAGAAGCGACACAATACCTTAAAATGTCTCCTTGACTTTCTGAGACTGAGACGGCCCTTGCGCCACTTACTTTGAGATAGGACTCTTCATCCCACTTGACCTTAGCCTCAATTGTTGGATCGTGGGGGCTGTGGAAGTCATGCATTGTCTGATCGACCCCCTCAACCCTATCAAATCTTAGACAATCATGCCAATCACGTCCATCGCATGCATCACTCCCTGATCTGGCACATCTTGCTCCCGTGCTACCAAACGCCTCACCGAAGCGGCGAAAAAGGACTCGGAAATCGGCTCCTAGAGCGATCGGGTCACTTCGAAGCAATTCAAACATCCAGCCACACATATTTTGTGGCTTTTCATCCGCAGAAGCTATTTCGGTGAAAGCTCTAAGAGTCATGTTCGGCCCTAAAAGGAAGTTCCTCAACCAAGAATATGCCCCTTCCTCGTGTCTATGGCCCTCGTCGGCGTTTACTTTTACAATAAAAAAGTAATACAATGACCGCATCCGCTGCTAGAACGACTATAGAAAGGCCTTGACAATGTACCAAAACACTGGGCTTTTCCTAGACTTCACAGCTCGGTGGCTTTTAACGGATGCTTCAATCATCTCGCCAACGCAATTGAGGATAGTCGAGAAGATCTTATCCGCGCTATTTCTACAGTGAGATTCATTCAGGACATGAAATATAGCAAACCGAAGTACATTCTGGTGGAGGTGAGACGCGACCTTGAGTTCTCCCCAGGTTCTTTGACTTCCCGAAAAGTATTCTGACGGTAGCTCATCAATTCGTCCTGGGAAATGTAATGTATCCTTCGGAATTCGCCGTAAAAGCAATTCAGCTCTCTCCACTATGGCGTCAGCACCAATTCTACTCGGCCACCACTGGCACTTGAGTAGCTCCGATAGCAATTCATCAAGCCGCCTTACATGATCGACTAAGTCTGTGGCTGCATCGTAGAATTTGGATAAGGCATCTCGCATCACGCTGTACCGCACTTCTCGGGAGTAATAATGGATCGTCGGTACATCGCCGCTTTCGAATTTTGTGTAGAAATCTTCCCACAACATCTCCCACGGAATCGGCCGGCGTTCATTTTCGCTAAGTGTTCGAATATCCTGTTGAAGTGTTTCACGAATTCTCAAGGAGAGTGACATCGCTGCCTCTAATACTATTCTACGGTTTAGGTGTCACGATTTAGGCTGCTCTCAATGTTGGAGAAGGGAAGACACACACACATATCCTAGTATAAATGCATAAGAGTCTGCACCCGATAGTGGCGTTTTTATGAAATCCTTTTTACTGGTGAGTAAAACCCGTGCTGATCTGTGTAACAATAATCAGGGAATCCTAATCAAGTATTGTTCAGAAATGGTTAGAATAAGAAGTATTTCCTCCCCAAATCCCGTGAAACCCATAGCTCATAACAATTGGCATTCTAGCCCTTCCCATTTCCTCCATCGTGGTCGCATTAACGACGACTAGAGAACTCTTCCTTACAGCCGAGTCCATGGCAATAAAAAGCAACACACCATCATCCTCAACCTGAGCTTCTGGGGAAGCCACAAAAATTGGTTCCGACGGAAGCTGTTCGGTGGCTGGGGACCACACCTTCCACTCACGGTTCACGGTATCTAATTTAATCAATGAATCCGCGAAATATCCCGTCTTCTCCACGTGGATACCCCATGTGTATCTATACGGCCTTCCCGCATATTCTTCATTAATCCGCGCAAGTTCGATATTGGTTTCAGCATATGGAAGGCTAAACATCGTCTCAGCGCGATGTGCCAGCAATGTTCCATTGGTAGCGAATGAAGTATTGCGATACGCGGGCAGTCGATATCGCGTAAAAGTCCCAGGAGCATCGTTCTTCGATGATGCATCCGCCTTGTTACCAAGATTGGCTCTCAAATTCGCAAGGTTCGCCGCCGTCAAGAAATCCAAATTGTCCATGCGCGGAAGATCAATATTGATCGCGCCGGTCTCGTCTTCGAAACTATTCACCTCATGGAAAGCGAAGAATGCATCATCCGAGATGTATTTAGAGACTCTGCCATCGGCTTTAGAGATGACATAGAAGAGCGTCTTGCGATCGGGATTCCATGGTCCAAGACTAGAAAGAATGGTGTAACCCTGTTTCGTGTAATCGGCTTGCCAGACTACTAGTATGAGGTAGTTCTCGGTGCTGAATAGGGTGTGAATGTAGGCGGGTGGCGCATCTTTGATCTCGGCGAGAAAGTTGACTTCTCCTGTAGGGTCGACGCAGAAGATTTGGTACGTGGGTGGTTGTCCTGATATGTCAAGTTGATAATTACATATTGACCCATCAGAACCATGAGCTGGGTGAGCGGCGAGACGCCCGCTATCGCTCTTCAGCATTCCACCTTTGGATGAGTCACCGACAGAATACGCGAAAAGCTCGATAGGTTCAAGAGTGATCGGGTCGATTTGCTGCAGAGGATTGGCCTCCGTCGTAGTAACCAAGCTCACGAAGGGGCCGCCTTCGCTACTTGTGTTACGTCCAAGGCCCGGGTAGTTGGGTATCCAGGCCACATTAATATTGCTCTTGCTCTTATCACCGCTTGTGACGGTACGGTTCCTGAACTTGGTCTCCAATGCGCCGAAGATGATCTTGCAAGGGTCATTGCCGAATGACCCAGTAGGATATTGTCCTGTCTCGCGAACGAAATCCATTAACTCATCCGACGCATTACGACTCTGATAAGTAACTACACCGTTGGCGATCTCGAAGCGATGGTTTCGACTGAATCCGTCGAACCAGTGTTCAGCAGTGAAGTTTCCCACGTCCCAAGTCGCAGCCGCTCCACGGTACAGCGAACCCGATAACCAAGTAGGGATGGTACCCTCGATCTCGAGTTCGGTAGGTTGCTGAAATTCTGGAGATGAATAAAATCCCCAAGTCAACGGGTTTGAGTCTGGTGGAGGAAAAACATCAGCCTGAGATTTTGCCAGTAGGCCGGCGACAAGAGCGAGAAGAAGGTGGTTCTTCGGAGGCATCATGGTGGATTTAGAAGAATATGTGATGATGCTGTGAGTCTTTGGATAGATATCCAAGTGTTCATATTCAATATTATTTCATCAACGTGAGCCTCTTATATGATTTTTCGCTGCTAATGAATGTTTGCTATCCCCTCTGGTATCAACAGGCCACGAAGTAATCACCTGAACACTGATTGGCCAAGTTTTCCAAGAAAGGTAGGTATGTGGGAGTCACATGCCAAGCTTCGAGCATTAATTCACAAGTAGTTAGATTCTCATCTAGCATGTTGGCACTCGGATCTTCCTTTGAGGCTCAGCAAGTACGTGCGAATCCGAGTCCGAGTGGAGCACTTCGGTATAAATATCCTTCCGCCTCCAACACAATCAGTTATTCAACGAGCTTTTAATTCACGTCAAGGAGTTGCAAGCCCCGGTAGTCACGCTAATTAAGGAACCAAGCTCTTGTTCACCGTCAGGGTTTGACTCGCATCAGGCAGATATTTCGTCGATAGTACCAGAACTTGTCTAACTCCACCTTGGTCAAGACCGCTACGGTAGGACACGCCGCGCAAGCCTTCCGAGGGTATTCTCCACAAACTAGATCAGATTCGATCGCGTTTACCATGTTTCATATGCCAAGTGTGCGCGAAAGGGGGTTTAGGTCTCGGTCCGCTCCAAGAGACGTCGAAGAAATCCTTGTTCATATATTTATTACTCCCTTGCATATAGAAAGGCTTGATGACGCACAAGCAATGCCTTGTCTGCCGTGTTCTCTCAGTTTAAGAATGATTCGGACGATATAGGGGTGTGTAACCACTACAGAAATATCAACAGAATAACACAATTGAAACCCGGTGACAGGTTCATGCTGAATCAATCAGAAAGAAACCCAACAAAAGACATTATGTGGTTCAGTTTAAGTATGTGACCACGATTTTAATCTCCGGGACTGGTCAATTTACAGGTCACCAGAATGGGCGTACCAATCGCGGGGTATCAACAATGAAATATTATCTAGAGCGATTCATTTACTGGATACAAGTCACCTATTCTAGATGGCGAGCTCTTATGCTTTCAGTTGACTGGTCGAAACCAAGCGGCAAGTGAGTCACAATAACAATCAATACAAAACGGCTTCCTAAGTAGGAGTTCGACTTGAATATTTCGCGTCCGAACATTGATATCCGGTATATTCACAGTCCGTATGTTTACTAATCAATTACTTTAAAAACATTTATTAAATTTTGAACGTGTTTTGGAATATGATTGCAAGCGCTTGTGTGATTGAAAACGAAGGCAGGCTTCCGTCGGATATCTGTGGTTACCCCCCCTTCCACCGCCTCGTCACGTACATCGGCACATTGCCTGCGAATGACGGGTAGCAAACCTTACAATAAAGGACAACTCACACATATTTATCTTAGTTGACACAGAAAAGTGACAGGTGCTAAAACAGACGGTTTCACGACATCTGCGATGCGACTGTATCAGCCAATCCGCCTACCCAGGTCCTCTAGCCTTGCTGCCTGAGGGTATTACGGCGTCGAGTATATTTGAACGTCAACATATCCATCTCCTCTTTCCAACTTTATGGATTCTTCTTCTGAAATTATGTTCGCTATACAAGTTCGAGATGGCCAACGAATTAGTGTGCGCAAATTGCTCCGGGGTTGGGAGCCAGAGCTGTTCATATTGCCGACTAGTACTAGTAAGTAGGCATTCTATCCGATGGCTTTCCACGACTAACCCAACCAAGTATTGCAATAGCAACTGCCAAAGACTTCACTGGCCGACGCATAAGGCAGATTGTCGAAATAACCCCTTATTGAAACCGAATTGGCGCCCTCGATGGGAGACGGAATATCGCGAGCCCGCTTTTATGGGCGGTCCCCGTCTTCAGGTATTCAACTATCAGATGAAATACCTCTGGGGTAACATGCCCGCATTCGATTTACTCAACATCCCGTCGAATGAGGGCGTCGACTACGCCAAACCATTGAGCCTCCTCTTTGCCGGTGAGTCTTTCGCTTTTCGAAATCTAGACAAGGTTAACATCATCAAGCTTCCGGAGATATCCGAAATGTCGTGAAGACCATCACCTCCCTCCCTAAAGGTTTCCGAAGCCCCATGAGCATCTACTTAAACGATAGGGACGGAGATGTCGTCGGTCGGAACGCTATCATGTTGCTTCTAGCACTGGCAGAAGACGACTCAAGCGTTGTAGTCGAGAATATAGTCCACTTGTGGTACTCTGCATTTATCCCCCAATCGCTCTACGATATACTAAGAGGGAAGATCCACGACTTGGTTCAGGACGTCTGTTCCAAGATCGCACACAAGGCACCGAATGCACCTATGGGGAAGACATGGATATTTGGTTCGAGGTCCCTTCGGCTCGTCTTGACCAAGAAGCAATGGTCCGATCTACTCGCCAGCCTAGAGGTTCCAGCTGGTCTCACGACTAAGAAAGCGCAGGATATTCGCCGGGCCATCACCATAGCTCCGCAGAGGGTAGATCATAGAGAACGAAGATACTTTGCGCAAACCCCCGGGGACCGTGCCAGCGCTCAGAAGTTTCGTGAAGATGGGATCGTCATTCCATTCGGTGCATCTCGAGATCCGTTCACAGTGCCGAACCCGTAAGTCTCCGTCGACGGTATTCCCCCCACTACTCTAGGTATCTAACCCCTGTATAGTACTCTCTTCCGCAACACCAGTACTTGGCCCTTAAAAGACGATGCGGAGCCTCTTAGTGGTTGGCTCAAGTCAGAGGTCTTAGCAGTGTCAACTGGTAGCGCTACCAACGATGTATACGGTAAACTCAGCTTCCTCCTCAAGGACCTTCTCATCGATTTCCATGGCCGCCTGAAGAACATGAATGTCGCGTTCCAATTGTCAAATATCAACGCCGAAGGGTTGTCTGGCCACCTCGGCCAGAGCGTCACATTCGATCGCATTGAGGTGCGTCACAGAATCTCTCTATGTTGGAGGTGAGGCTAACTTTTCTGACCTCTAGGTCTCGAACATATCCGACGCGGGTTATCTGGGAATGGCGAAGGTCATAGGGTTCATCGGCCCACTCTTAAAACCGCGCAATGAGAACCCCCACGCCACTCTAGTCGCTCTATTCCTCAATGCGGTCGATGAAATATTCGATGACGACGAAAAACGCAAGGTCATCAAACGCGAAATGGGACTGGTGTACAAGTACCTGCCTATGCAAATGCCCACCGGACCATACGATGCGAATATCATCATCAGTGACGTTGCGACTCAACAAATCCGTGATGTTGACAAGTACTTTAATAAGTTAGTTTGGTGTATCTCCATCTCATCTCATAATACCTGTTTCTAACGCATGTCTTAGGTATATGCAGCTCCATTGCTTTCCCAACATCGTCGAGCTGTCGGGTATGGACTTTAAGAAGAAGCACACCATCATTGATCCATGGCCGATGAGGTTAAAGAAGAAATCCCACCAGAAAGGGGCCAAAGAGGAATTCGATCTCTTATTATCATCCGACAATTCTGGATGCGAGCGATACATGGAGTGGCAGTTTAGGACGTAATGATTGAATTAGAGAAGCTCGAAGGTTGGTGACTGTGTTCTTGGTGGAACGTCTCGGCGATAATTGGTTCCAAAAGTATGCGTCAAGTTGGGAATAAATTCATAGTTCCGATTCGTACACTGCGCCGGATATGAGCCTGAATAGGTGCATGAAAATGTGGACATGTGGCTTACATCTAGACTAGCAAACGTGTTGCCAATTGACACGTCCTAGTCGGGCAGCAATGCCGACTCAACGCCAGGTCAGAGTCGGAGAGCAAACATGACGGCGGTGGACAATTGAGGTAAATAGTTGGTAGCTATAAAGTGATTCATGATGTATGAGCGAAAATGACGATGGTCCTACAATCGAGTCAGACGTAGTCATTGAACCTCCGCTAAAATTTACTTCACGGGCTTCATACCGGCCCCATCCGTGTCACCACCGCTTCTTTATGAACATCTCCAAATAGCGCTCCGAAATAAGAACTTCCTACTCCGAAAACATCACCTTCGAACACTCACATAACCAACAAGATGTCGCGCTTCATACCTTCAATAAACGTATTCCTCCTCCTATCCATCCTCCTCACCCTGCTCCCATATTCCCTCGCATCACCATCATCGCCTCTCATCACAAACACCACCACACCCCACGAAAAACGCCAAATGTCCCAAGGAACCTCCTGCGCCGGCTCCGAAGGACAATGGAACTGCCTCACAACGCAATGGCAGCGCTGCGCATCCGGACAATGGAGCAGCGTCATGGACTGCGCAGCGGGCACCATGTGCACGCCGTCGGGACTAACCTACGACTTCGCCGTACAATTCGCAAACGGTGCCGCGGGGAGTAATCCACCGGCGACCAGCGGCGCTCAACTCGGCGTTCAGGTCACATACTGGACGATATTTATTGCACTTGGGGTCGCAGGTGCTATTAGTTCGATAGTCGCGTAATCATGGATCCGGTATACTAAGTTAATAATACTTAGAGGCAGTTTACATGGCAACTAGGAAAGAACGATCACCATACTGAGACGGTGACCGGGCCGGGGCCGAAGCTAAGTGGAGAGACCCGTTAATTTAGGTACACTATCTAAACTATCCGCGGCCCGGGCCGTCCATGTGCAACTACCCGACTAGTAACAGGGGTAATTAGGCCATTTATGTATCGGAACGGCGCATCAAGTCGTGTCTTAGATGTGGTCAAATTTAGCGACCCGGCTGTGAAACTTATCCGAACGGTTGAGCGCGAAGGATGGGTAAAGAAGGAGGGTAAATACTACGTACCCAGGTACCCATCACATTCCACATACCACCCTTTACGAGATTGTGGTACAAATCAAGGTAGCATCCCGTCATGATGGATCCAGGGAGCGAATGTGGTATCATTATGTATATATGTATATACCTTGTAATCAAGGAAAGTGATTATATAACATCCGATTTTTCAATAAATGCTCCGTTGCTATGAAGTATAAAGATATCCAATCTGTCGTCATGAGAATATACAAATTCATGAATCATAACTACCTAGGTAGGCAAAAAGTCGGCTTAAGCATCCAAAGGCTTTTGTGCATATACCACACGCTGAGGTAGGTATACGTGGATGTTCTTGTTGCGAATGTCTCGGCGGAAGGCCGCGAGGAATGCATGCATTTCCTCCAATGGACGGTTTAGAACGTTGTTCCACATAAACATAACGTAACCTAGCATCATGTAAGCAAAGTAACCAAGCAAAAAACTAACCACATAAATGGATGCTCACCTTCCAGGTCCTGTTCAAAAACGTATTGATACCATTGCCCAAGCTCTTTCAGCTTGGGGTTGGCTGGCCAGCCACCAATCGGCGCCTATAAAATGTAAGAATATGATTCGATCACCTGTCGAGAGCGAGTGGGGCACGAATCTCGCCATGATCGATCGCAATAGAATCAGCCGACTTACCTTCAAGTCCTTGACTACAACATTTGTAAAACCGGCGGCTTCGACAGCCTTCCGTTGTGTATCATCCGAGATAAGAGTGAAAGATTGACCCAACTTTCTACCACCCTCCTCGAACAAATCACGCCATATCAGGAAAGGCGAACCTTCCTTCAAGGTGCCATCATCGCTGCGATAGTCGGCTTCCGGTTCGAACGTCTCGACCCAACCACCAGGCTTAAGGGCGGTATAAGCTTGCTTCATTAACTTAGTCCAGTCCGATACGCAACCGGTAATATATCGCATGTGTACGAAATCGAAGCTGTTAGATGGGTAGGTCCATTGCTGTTCAAGATCGTCGATTTCGAATTTGACGTTGGGTGGGCACCACGAAGGTTGGATTGGGGTTACATCCGTTCCAACAACCTCGCAGTTGGGGTATTCATCGGCAAAGTCACTGAAAGATGATTAGTCTCCTGAGCGCATTACGGAGTGGGACAATTGCATTACATTGCCCATAAACCTAACCAAAGTAATTAGCATATGATAAAGAAATCGGGGTTGGGAAGTCAATTCACCTGTCCCAGTTCCAATGTCAAGAATTTTCTATGACACGTCAGTCGTATACCTAACAAAGACGGATATTATGCACCTACTTCTATATCTTCCTTTAAAGGCGAAAGAAAAAGTTTGCCGCCCAAACTGAGCGTCATGAAATGATGGCTAAAAAAAAGTGTGAGAAGGCGGAAAATCCATATCGTTCAAATCGGCGGAGCTCACTTTATGTCTAAGGCTTCATTTTGGCGCTCGTCATTCGGTCCCCAGTAACCACCTGACCCGACTTTCCCGCTATGGTACGTACGGCCATTAAGCGTACGGTACTGCAGGATACTCTCAGTCAGTGATGCTGTTGAGCTCGCGCTGTTGTCAGTTGTTAGGTTTGTGTCTTAAGATTCCAAAGCTCATGATAGTTCAAATAAAACACTGTATAAAATGGCAGGTCTTACTTGTCACCCGGACCTAAGGCGGAGTCTGCGTCATCGAATGGTTCATAGTCCTTGGATGCAATTGTCAGTCAATTGGGTGAACTGCGGCTCGTTCATGTCCAAATATTCTTACTTGGTCAGCAGCGGCCTCAATTGGACCCTCTACCGCACTCGGCACATCACCTGCACCTGACGCTGATGCTTCAGCCGGAGCGGCCGCTGTCGGGGAAGCAGCTGCAGCTGGTTCGTCGGGTGGATTGGCCATAATAATAATAATAAAATAATAGTATAAATGTTAAGGGACTAGAGATGACTAGTCAGAGAAGAGCTACGATAGCAAAGATCTTGAAAAAAAAGTCCAACAAAATGAGGAGAAGTGGAGAGATCGAAATCGCACTTATGATTTTTATTTATTTAAACAGGTAAGGTCCCAGGTAGGATACGTAGCATACAGGAAAAGGAAGGTGGGAAATGAACAGTGTCCGGGGACCAGGTCAAAGGCTCCACTTTCCTGTCCGTATTATTACTAACCGCGCCAAGATTGGCGTTTTTGATTAGCGGCCAGTTGAGGCGAATAGTGGTTCGGGGACGTCATTGGTCATTCATGCAAAATCACGTGGAGTAGCCGGGATATTCTGACACGTGCGCTCGGTCTATTGAAAAAAAAGGGAACAAGCCAAAAATAAAAATGGGAAGATAAATAATCTACTCCACCTCTTCTACTCTTAGAATTGAAAATCTACTTAAGTGTCCAGCTTTTAGGTAAGATACCCAGGCAAGTAACCAATCCCATATTGATACATAGTATAAAACATGCCCCGAACCAGAATAGCGAAAAAAAAAAAAAAAAAAAAAAAAGAATAACCAAGAGATGAGCGGCTCATATCTAAAGTGACCATTGTCGGTAACACGAAACCCCAGGTTTAGTACATCAAAACTTCTGACTATTATAGCCAAAGCACTGGGCCGTACCGTCCGAGGCAGCTGTGAAGGGTTCCCAGTATGTAATGTCCCCTGTTTTAAGATCGAGATTGACTATAACGTATACGTATATTAACAGATGAACACAGTTTGGGCATGAGTTGTATGTGAACGTACAGAGTTTGACATAATTCGGTGATTTTCCCCCGTTGCCATAGTCACAGTTACAGGTGAGATTATAAATGGTACTACCGCAAGTACAAGTCGACGAATATCCACCATCGTGTGCAGCAGCTAGCACCCCATCATAATTTGCATAGCAGCTTCCCAAGTTATACCAATTAGCACCTCTCCTAACCCAACGCGATCACGGGCGCTATTAAACTTACAGGTCAAGATCAATAGATGCTGCAACTTTGGGATCCGTGTCCGAGGCGTTCCACATCAAAGCCCATTTTCGGCCACCAGTACTCCCTACATATGGAGTACTTAGCGCAGAGCTTCCGTGGATAGCCCACTGCAAGAGGAATGACGTGATAAGAACGCGCATTGTTTCCAATAATAAAGAGATGAATAAGTGAAGTAGTAGATTAATAGTTAGTTTATCTTTTGAGTTGTACTTTCCGTCCTTTGATATTTATACTAGACAGAACCGAAAATATCCCTTGCTTGCAAGGAGTAAGCCGGAGAAAATTAAAATACTGAGATGCCATGAGAAAACTCGATTGATTGATTGTTTGTTTGTTCTATATTAATAAAACGCGTAACCAACTCTTCAAATATAAGGACGTTTCATCAAGAGTGACCATTAACTCTTCGATATTGAACAAATCACTGCCACATTTCAAGAGCCAATGAGATCCTTAGAATCACCCTGCAATTCTCAACTCTTCCCTTCCACACCCCTCCCTATAACATTTTTTAATGAAGTGGTTCATATTGAAAGGTCATGTAAAATGAGCTCTATCCAGCTATATTAATTATTAATTAATTCCATGAAGAATCTATCGGACGTGCGCTGAGCCTTCAGAGCTGTGGCGTACCGCAAAGAACACACCAAAAACGACCATGTTACTACTTTGTCACTCTGCGATATCTCTACTAATAAAAATCGTAAAATTACATACACAATTTATACTTATTACATTTTACAACTACCTTACTTTTTATATATAATGAGTCTTCTTATTGTTAAAATTGAAAAAGTTATCGAGGTAGGTTAAAGTCGACTTTGACATAATCATTATTAGCTCTCATATAAAAGGTATTATATTAAGGTTGACTTTGACCTGCAATAGCTCTTTTAATCCAATTTCCCCTTAAAACTAAAGTACATAAAATTATACTCCTTTCAATTCTATTCAAGTTTAAATCAACTACATATTTTTTATTTTTAATCCTAATGAGATATTTCGAGGTGAAAATGCTGTCAAATGGCTGCTTTTGGTGCGTTTTACGGGGTGGATCTGATTAATTTGACCCCCTACTGTAGCTAGTCTACATAGAATGCATACTTTAAGTGTCCAGCCTTAAGGTAAGCGATACATGATAGAAACATGTCTCGAGCTAGAAAAGGGAAGAAAACAAAAACATCTCGTCCATTTAGTCATTGTCCATAACATGAAACCCCAGATTCAGTGCCTCAATTCTATCGTTGGCTTGGTACTATTGTAACCATAGCATTGAGCCGTGCCGTCAGGGGCAGAGGTGACCCCTCCCACATAACCTAAATTACCATTTTCGGGGTCTCTATAGACTGTAACGATTTCATGTATTAGCAGATGCGCGCAGAACTTGAGTTGTAAGTAAACGTACTAATATTGATCTGTTTGACGCTATTTCCATTGTCGTCACCTTTACCACATACACAAAGGAGCTGGTAGAAGTCATCCGATACGCTACACATGCAAGAAGGTGAAAATCCGCCGTCTTTGACAGAAGTTAGGGCCCCAGCATAATTCCCGAGGCATCTTTCCAGGTTGTGCAAGTTAGCAATCCAAGCCTAACGCGATCACGGGCACTCTTCAAACTTACAGGTCAAGATCAAGAGACATTGCAAGCGAGTAGTCTGTATCATTATGAAATCCCAAGTGCCATTTCTTTGCGTCGAGTGATCTATACAACTGAGGATCAATAAATGCAGAGCTTCCGAAGGTAGCCCACTGCAAGAGGGACGCCGCAATGAGAACGCGCATTGTTCGGAATAGTAAGAATTTAACGAGTGTGGAAAGACCTGGAAAATGTGAAAGAGTGTATTGGCGGTTGGATATTATCTTTTCGATTGAGTGTTCTATCCTTGGATACTTATACTTGAAGTCTAAATCTCGAGTTCTATAGGAATAGAGAGCATAACTGAAATGTCCCTTGCTTACCAGAGGCAAGCCAGAACAAATCAAAATACTGGATTAGTACGACATTACTTCGTTGTTTGTTCGCCCCATAACCAAGTTTGCTGCCTCGTTCAACGCTATCGATGAAATATGTAACCAGCTCTTCAAATGTAAGGACGTTTCACCAAGAGTGACTATATTAAATAACATTAAAAGGCACGCTGTTGTCTATTTAGGGCTTGACTAAAGTTGATATCCTGGAATATAGGAAGTTTTACTTTCAAATTATAACCTACAATATTATGCATACTAATAATCCAAGTCAATGTCTCCTTCGTACCTGTTACCTGAAGATTTTTGGGGGGTACTATCAACAGCCACTTCAACATTAATGAAAACGCTACATTTTATTCCCAACTGAATCTCGTAGAGCATCCTAAGAAGTTTGGGTACCTATGTGCATCTAAGTAATTTAAGATGGTCCGTCTGGCGTTAACAAACTTGCAACACATTTGTGTGGAAAATAGTGGAGGAAGGGGAGTAGACGTTATCCTTACTCTTATTTGAGCATACTGTCGCATGGTGTTGAAGCCAGCTAAATTCAAGGTCTTGACAAGGCAAATAAGCCTATGCTAAGTTGATGATGACAGATAGAGGTAGATATTTGCTAAATTTCGGCTACCTTGTAACACCGTAGGTAGATAGCTACGCTACTCCTAACGAGCAGGACAATGTTGGGCTGTAGACCTGAAAGTTGACGTCGGGTCGGAGAGAGTAAGTTGGTGTTGAGTGCACTGAGAAACATGCTAACTACCGAATATAGCAAGCAAGCTACAAGCATTTACTCGATTTCGAAGCCCATCTATTGAACCACGATTTGGAACCTTGTTTCCCGCGGTCCTGACTCATTCGTTTAAGTTGAATCGGGAGGAACCTCGTGGTTGTATAAGCATCTCGGGTTAGGAGGTACGTAAGACTCATCAACCTCGGCCTATAGTATTATAAATCGTTAGTATCCACGTATGGCTTATCGATGAAGAGCCCCCACTTACACCGTTCGGAGTTGCGAACAATACGGGGATGCATCGTAGGCCATTGATGAAAACGGTCCCTGCACACGTTGCTTCACGGATAGACGACCCAACACAATCATGCACTATAACGGTAATCAGCAGTTATTTCAAGTAAGGAGCTCGGGGTATCGGGTGTTTTGAAGGGCGAGTGCTCCAGGACCATATTGACTTGTAACTTGGAGGTTCTGCATTATCAGGGAAGATAAGAACTCAATATATATATCGTGGTTACTTACTTGCATCTCGGGGTTCCCACCATGGGTTAAAGTCGAATCGCAGGTTAATACCAGGCTTCTGCACGATTTTGCCGCTTGAGCCATCGTAAGCCCAAACACGGAGTGCGTCAATGTTTGGTGCTCTGCCTTCGTTGCAATTGAAGAAATCGGGCGATCTAACACCACAATTGTACATCATTCTTGCCTTGAACATTTTGCACCAATTCGTAGGGTTTTGGCCATTGGCTGATAGTTTACTAAGTGGGTAGAGGGAATTAGTAGACACGTTCTGTTGTAAAATCTTGGTAAGTAACTTCTCACATGTGGTATCGTAGACGATGGTACTTGTAGCCCCAATTATAAGTGTCTGCCTCGCAGTACTCTGTGCATTCAGAGTTGACGTATGGCATATACTTCGTGGCCCAGTTGCATTCTTGATTATTATCGTTTTGCCAGCTCCCGTTGTACTATATAGCCTCATATTAGAATCTCTCTGACGGTATGCTGTAAATGGCCGCAAGCTCGAGATGATCATTCTGAGACCAAAGAGTCGCATGCGAGCGAATGAAACGGGGATGGACCACGACCAACTTACATATGCATCGTCGGGTGTCACTTTATCGAGAGTAGCCGTGCCGTTGAATGACGAAGAAGGAACACTGGTGGACACTAAAGGGCCCGTCTCAATGACATCGGCGGGGAAGGTGGCTACCTGTGAAAACAGGGATAGCAGGAAGATAACAATGAATTGAATCATGGCTGGATGTCATCAGTAGTGCATTCGCTGTCTGTGTATTGACCGTAGATCAGCGAATATGGGTAATTGGGCGGAGATCCGTGATAGTTACAAAAAAACGACTCAAATTGAGCCGAGTGGGTTTAGGCAACCTTGGACATAGGTAGGAATTGTGATAGCTGTTTCCTAATATTTCAAAACTAAGGAAGCAACGGTTGGAACAGCAGCTTTGTGTCTGGGTGAAGGTGCAACATGGAAGTAGCATCGGAGGAAATTCGCTCGGGTATGTGTTGTACCTTCCCCTTCCTTGAGAACTTAAACGGAACTTATTTCCTTCAAGCCTTTAGCATTTAGTTTAAACGGGTTTGACGAATGCAACCACGAATAACGTTCTTTTCATTTTATAACCTGTACATACCACAACATCTGCGGAACTGACAAGATCTAAAAAACTCAAGCGCTCAAGTATATCATCAAGAATAGACCCCATATGACATAGTACTTCATGGATAGAAGAATGATTTACGCATCTGCTTTTGCGACCAATTTCCCCACCACCATGTATTTGCCTAGGAACCTCTCTTCCCAGCCCTGCAAACTCTCCAGCTCTTCGGGACCAAGGTTCTCTAACTTATCCAGAGGTCCGTCGAGGTCCTTAGTCAGCATATCCTCGTCGAAGCTATGGAAAGCTAGGCCACGGCTGGCGTCACGACCAGCGAAGTTCTCGTAAGGGCCGCCGGGTCCGTAAAAGTTGCGGCCACTCGTGACGTCGAAGACGCGACCGCGCACTGCTAGGAACACCGGCATACCATTCTGCCCGTTGTAAGGGAATAGTGTGCGCGGGGTGAATGTGCGAAAGACGATGGCGGGAGGTTCGCGCGGTAACGTCGCGGGCGGCGAGGGTTTAAAAAGTAGGTACGTCGTGTAGAGAGTGATGGTTAGGAGGATGGCATTGAGCGGCGTAACAAGGCCGGTGCTATAGCAAATGGTTCTATGTTAGTCGGATACTCCGGAACTACGGTTGTGATATGTTAAGAGGATAAGGAACGCACTAGATATCGGAAGGGTCTTGAGCAGCGGCTTGAGCCACTCGTTGGTTGACGTAGTCCATAGCGAACTGATTGGGGTTTGATGATCTCTTCACTGATTAGATTAGATAAATGGCAAACTAGACTTGTAAAGTGATACGAATAGATTTACGATCTCCCCTGGGACAGGCAAGAGTTGATAAGAGCGATGAGATCTTGACGAAGGATGAGGCTTAGTAGTAGTCCTCCGTTGATAATCGGTCATCCGAGGTGGGGTGGGTATACTCCGAGCTTGTCCGCGTGCAAGTGGCCCAAGCTCCGGTATAAGTTCGAGTTGCGCTATGATCTTGAGAATGTACATAGCTACATGGGTACGTACCTACCTAGGTAGGTAGTTGGAGGTATGTCCCATATTTATGGGTATCCTGCTTTAACAGCCTTGGCATCACAGCTCGTAGAATCGAACCATTGAGAATGTACGTTTTGTTGCTGCCTTATGCGATGTGTTAGATAATCATCCCTTTTATGTAACACACAGGATTATCAAAAAGCTTGGCGCAAAGGAATTCATTCGAAAATACGACGACGATATGGCATCACACACATATCGCATATCCTCATTGTTGTTATTGATAGGAATTGTGTTTTGTATCATGAGCTGAATAGGAATTGCTGGAGATGAGGTAAGGCTGAATCTAGGGCTATTTTTTAGCTTTATAATCTATCAATCAAGGATGCATGTGGACATTTCAGCAAACAAATCCCCTTTCCTTACGCATTCGTCTGAGATACATGACGGCCGTTTCAAGTTCCGCATGTTAAAATTATGACAGCGGCAGTACAACACGAGATAAACTCAATCGATTCCTAGTTGAACTCTAGTTGAACTTAGTTTGTCATTGACTATTGTAGCAACATCAGTTGAATCAGCCTTACCGGGTTTAACATTCAGGAAGTAGCTATCCTACTTAGCTACGTGTACTCCAAAACGCGACGAACGCACTAATCTATTTCATCACATTTTGGAATAACCTTAACCTTAGGGTAATAATTAGGATTATCCAATCCGATTGCTGCAACGGGTTTCTACTCCAAAGAAAAAAAAGAGTCGATCACTAGACAAAGACAAAGAAACAATCGAACTTCCTCAATTCAACATTTTACGATAATCCCGAATCAATTCTGCAGATTGTAGGCCGCAATGGGCCTTTCCCCCCTCCTCTGTCACTTTACCACTCTACTTTTACAGTCTTGTCAGCACTCACCGACACTTGGATTTTCGCATCCAAGTCCCGTGGCAAGGACCATGGTTCGTTAAAATGAATAATTCTCTCCTATTTTAATTCCCTTTTTCTCCACGTGTTGTGTTGCATCCCCCGTCCACTCTGTTGCGGCTCAGCCTCATTACTCAACTGCACTTGGCTAGTTCTTGCATTTGCATTGCCAATTACCAATTGCCTGTCCCGGTCCTCCGTGCCGCAGATGCTTATCCCCGATCCTACAGCCTACAGCCTTGGTGATCATTTTGCAACGAAAAAAAATACATCCCCGGCCTTTGGCTCTAGGCTCCAACTATACCGTCCACTCCTTATTTGCGGCGACCTCTGTGAAGTCTGTATGAATCCTTTTTGTCTTACGTATTGGAGACCTGTTTCGGGCTTTTTCCATTATCTTATGTCTTGAATTTTCTAATTGCTTTTTTCTTCGTAGCCCAATAGTTTTGGTCGTTCGCGTTGTTCCTATCGATACCCTTTTTCCCTCGGCGTTTCCTTCGGAATCTCGTATCGTAAAAAACAAAACATTCAGACCATGATCTGAAAAAGGCACGAGGACATAAAAACCCTACCATGTTACGACGGATCATCCGTCCTGCCCGACGATTGCCGATATGGCTTTTCCTTTCGATAACTGCGCCTTTCCTTTTCGAAGTCATCCTACACGTATGGCGATATAGAATCCCGAGACCCGCGAGCGAGCTCGACACGCCCTTTTTCACTTCGTGCCAGGAGCCCGACATTAGCGCAAAACGGGAGAATGCGGTTCTGGTGATGCTCGCGCGGAACCACGAACTCGAAAAAGCCAATAAAACGATAACATCCATCGAAAGACAATTCAACAAATGGTTCAATTATCCTATTTTGTTTCTAAACGATGCTCAGTGGGATCCGAAATTTATAGAGGTATTGAATACAACATCACGAGGGTTAGCTACGTTCGAAGTCATACCGCAGGATCAATGGACATTTCCTAAAGAGGTAGATGTAAATGCGGCAAAGCAGAGTATAAAAGAGCAAGGCGAACAAGGGATTCCGCACGCCGGAGAAGAAGGATACCACCATATGTGTCGCTTTTATTCGGGGTAAGTTTGAGCTATGCCGAGGGAGGGTACATGGACCCGAACTTTGAGGTGCGATGGGAATAATAGATCGGACTGACAGGCCAATAGCAAATTCTATGAGCTCGACGCTATGAAGAAGTACAAATGGTACTGGCGACTAGAACCCGACGTTAACTTTAGCTGCGCGATTACGTACGACCCATTTGTACAGATGGCACGACATAAAAAGGTGTATGGATTTACAATTGCGTTATGGGAAGTGGGAAAGTCATGTCCGGGCTTATTCCGCTCGATCGCCGACTGGAAAGAGATGATGGGCATTCCTACAAACAACCTCTGGAAGGCTATGATAACGCCTTCGTGGGTACCGTTCCCATTTCGTCGATTTATGAGCTGGTTACCTCATCGCGATGCGTACGGTGACGAGTGGAGTTTGTGCCACTACTGGAGCAATTTCGAAATTGCCGATATGGATTTCTTCCGGACAAGGGCATATCAGGATCTATTCGAATATTTGGATAAGAAGGGCGGCTTCTACTTTGAGCGGGTGAGTCGGAATTCCATATTATATAACCGATCTATGTGTATACCTGTAGAGATTCTAACTATCACATAGTGGGGTGACGCAGCGGTACATTCCCTTGCTGTAGCATTATTAGTAGACCCGCGGAAGGTACATCACTTCGAAGATTTCGGATACCGACACGACCATCTATATCAATGTCCTGCCAACGCACCAGGTGGGCAACTTCCAGATTCGCCGCTACTCGGAAGCGGGACGTGGGCACCGGAGATGGATAGTGGGATCGGATGCCGTTGCGAATGCGACGGACGAGAACCTAGGAATTATGGGGAGTCTTGCATAGATAAACTAAAACAGCCGACAACCGTTAAGCGGTCATGGTTTCCGTGGGTTATATAGTATATGGCAACGTGGAGGCCATCGGTGGTAGCTGCGGTTGGTCTTCTGGTTGTCTATATCTGTTGTTATTACTTCCTCGCCAATTTCCATTGGACGGCTAGTCGCATTGGACATACCTATAGGAGGAGCATAGCATTGGCGCTCGCGGTGATTCTGGCGTACTTGTACTTATATAATACCATCGCATGGGAAAGGGGTGTAAGAGGAACTGGATACCACGGGACGACGATTGCTTCATAGATACAAGGGGATCAGATGATTGGTCGCGCGTGTATTCTCTGTCGAATACATATCTGAAAGAAGGGGTATTGATTAAGCGTTCCCAGATATAAAGCATGTTCAGACTTCGAATTCTCGATAAATGGAGGCATAGCGTTGGACAAGCGTAGCTGAATGCTCCGTGCCTTGGACCCGACCCTATGGATACCTAGGTAGCTTCGTGGCGCTCAGATCCATATCTGATGAGAGCACAGCCGTGGCTGTTAGACATAGCTGTTGAATGTACTAGAAGCAAGTCAAATAACCATTCGAATTCGTGATATCTCCCATATATCTATGTACATTTTGATAATTAGATTCATCGTTGGTATATCCCAATACTATATTTTAAATCATAATCAACCACCAATCTTCACGGCCGCACCTAGTCTATCAGCGAACGCCTGCAATGCAACCACGACGCCTACGCATACATACACCACATAGTTCTATATAGTATTCCTCGCGCCCTCTAAAACTTCGAGCTCTCCTTTTACACCCACAAGATAACAAACAGGACACTCAACTGAGCCTCAACTTCTAGTCATCGTCCTCATATTTCGGACCCTGTATATTATGATTGTGGTAATCCGGAAGCAGAATATCATCCGCTTCGAGTCCTGGGACGTTCGTGTTACGAATCCACTCAGTCTCGACACGGAAGAAGATCCAGACCCAACGACGGAACACTTCCAATAGTTCGATGATGAAAATCGATCCTTCCCAATCGGCGATTCGTCCTAAATGCGGACTTAGCTTCAAGCTCCACGTACACCGTAGCAACAAATCCAGCGCTATCACAGCGTAATACAGCACTGGCGGTCCAACATGCAATCGCCGGCGCAGCCCAAACGCCTTAAGATCGTGTGCGCTCCTCGCCTTGCTATCAAACAGTGTCAAATCCCAATCCTTCGCTACATCCCAGTAGAAACTATACAATGAATTGACCGCACACGCGCCGATCCAAGCCTGATAATAATGCGGCGGAGGCGGTTGTCCACCCGTCGAATTTCTTTGCATAGCAGAAAACACAATAACCGGGAACGCAGTCGCGTATTTCAGCGCATTAGCCAAATGCTGGCCGCCCCACCCGGTATTCTCTGTAATCCTTCCCCTTCGCACACGGCCGTACTCGATAAGACACTGGCGAAGCCGCACTAACGAGGGAATAGCCAGGATAAGCGGAACCACAACCGCGCCTCCGCACCCACGATCCGGACGCGCGGTCGCGCCGCCTCGTTCGCCGCCGCGGATGAACATGCACAGTGCTACGTACAGATCCGCGAGGACTTTAGCGTAGCTCGTTAGGACATCGGCGAGTAAAATATCGCCGAATTTCCCATCTTTCGTTTCCGCGATACCGCCGACGCTTATACGGCGGAGTGTAGAGCGTAAACGCGCGCGACCGGAGTGAGAGAGGGATTTTAACGCTGGGATGAAGATTAGGAGACCTAGGAGTATGGCGAGGTAGAGGAGGGGTAGCCAGTCCCAGCGTAGGACTAGATCGGGGTCGCGGTGAGTGAAGGCCCAGAAGACGAGCAGGGCGAAGATGAATATCGAGGAGAGGACGGTCGCGAGGCGGTAGGTGGAAAGGTGGTGCGTTGGGTGGTGTGGTGAGGAGCGCCCTGGATAACGTATTAGGGAGGGCACGTCGATGCCGACGGTGTAGAGGTAGTGTAGGTTGGCGCCCCAGGCCCAGACAGCTGTTGTTGTAGAGGAATACGTAAGTCAATGTTGTTCGTTGGTTTATGACGAGGAATCAATAGTTCGAGTGGGCATAGTTATAGATAGTATTGCGAGTAGAGCGAGACGAACCTAGCACAATGATAAAGGCCACACGGTAAGGCAGAGGAAATGTTAAACTGAAGGAGTCGAGCTCTGGCTCGACTGCTAGATCACCGTCCATGGTCTAGGGGAATCTGAATACCTGGCATCGAGAACTTGTCTCTAAACGCCAATATGTCAATAGTGACAAGATAATATTGGTGGTGTTGAATTTGAATTGTGTAATATAAAAGTTCGTGATGTCTCCTTTTTGAGTTGCACTTAATTGTACTTTGTATAAAAATGTTAATACTGCTAAGAGAATAAATTTGTAGGTGCCAGATAATGAAATTGGCGACGTCACCTTGGCGCGGCTAGGTACTAATGTAGCGAGGTACCTACTGCAAAACCCCTGCAGCTCTAGCGTCTTGGATAACCGAAACCCCCCTAGAGATAACCTTACAGTTGACCCAATCGCCGAGGTTCAATGACAAGATGCTCTGTGATGGAATGTGGAATGGAAGGATCCATTTTAAAGCTTCACCTTCAAAAACTTAATTGTTTTACTAATCGTCTTCTACAATATTATCTCCATTCTAAACTTAATATCATCTATTGTCTTTACGCCGATATCATCTTGATATGTCATCTCAATTCACAGACATATAGCGACCGACCACAATGGCGACTGACTCGCCAGCACCAACTTCGACTTCTACCTCTACCGACTCTCCTACTCCTTCATCCTCTACGACAACTTCTACAGTCACCTCCTCTTTACCCTCGTCATCTCCCTACCCATACGCCTTTGCGCCCGACATAATCCGCGCACACCAAAAAGATGCCTACTTCCAAGGCCTCCTCACGAACCAAATCACCGACCTACACCGACGACTTCTAGGCGCCCGATCCGCACACACCTGGGCCACGGAATCGCGTACCCTCGCCGACCTCCTATACCTCTGCCTAACAACCCTCCTCGGCAACCGCACCCTCGGCGAAGAATACTGCGATCTAGCCCAAGTAGAATCCGCCACCGGCGCCCTCCCCGCAATATCCCGACGCGCAGCCTACATAGCCGGCAGCATCCTCGCACCCTACGGCATCACAAAAGCGCTCCCCAAAATCCGAGCCCGAATACGCGCTCGCCTACAACAAAACCTAGGAATACCCCCTACCGGAGCCGAAGAAGAAGGACAAGACCTCACCCCCGCCAAACTCAAAGCCCGACGAACATGGTCCTACAAATTCCAATCCTACCTCCTAGCCAACCTCACCTCCATAACCTCCCCCGCCCCAATCCACGCCGTCGGACTAGCACTCTTCTACTTCAGCGGGTCCTACTACGAGCTCGCGAAGCGATTAACCGGTCTGCGCTACATATTCACGCACAAAGTCGGTGAATCCACCGACCGGGCCGGCTACGAGCTCCTAGGCGTATTACTAGTCGTTCAAATGGCAGTCCAATCCTACATCCACGTGCGAAGCACCCTCGCCACTCTATCACCCACCCCAATCCACCCCCCGTCACCGTCTCTAACAGGAGACCGCCGAGCCGCAGGACCTGTAACCGTGTCGTTGGATCATATGGCTTATAGCTCAAACAATGAGCTCCTACTCGGAGGTACGAACGCGGCATCTACCGCGATGACGCCGACGCGCATTGATATCGCGAGCGCGACGCATACACCCGCTCTCCCGGGCGGTAGCGAGGCGCGGTATGATTTAGCGAATCCGGATAAGATGCGTTGGGTCAAAGGTGCACAGCAGCGGAAATGTACGTTATGTCTAGAAGAGTTGAAAGATCCAGCTGCGACGCAATGCGGACACGTCTTTTGCTGGGCTTGTATCGGTGATTGGGTTCGCGAAAAGCCCGAGTGTCCGTTGTGTCGTCGCGAGGCATTAGTCCAGCATATCTTGCCGCTACGTGCTGTTTGATATCACGGATGTATTAATAGGTCATTCCTAAGAAAAAGGGGAAGGTAGAGGGTTTACAGAGTTCAATCACATGTACAAATCAGAGAAACAAGATACCATAGTTTAACAGTATTTAATTTGCAGATGAACAGAACATATGAAATCCATATATGGAATACAGTATGCTCTAAGTGCGATCGAAATAATCTCTAACAGCCTCCCAAGCATACACACTATTATTATCTCCGTGCCTCCTCAAACATAACGATTCGAAAAGGACATCCAAGAAATATAAAGGTGTGGATAGTGACAAGCCAATAAATAATAATAATCCAATCCACTTTTTGCGACTTCGATGTGACTTTCCTCTATAATGAGGCTTCAAGACCAGCTCGGAAGCAATAAGTTTTCCATGTGGTTATACATCGCTAGTATTTCCGGATTGCCCGTTCCCTCTTGTAGTTCCTGTTCAAACACCAACACATTCCGTCACGCCTAGGTATCATATTAGCACCCCTTACCTCCCTCCGTCCAAAAAAGCAACCATTACTCAAACGCCGTTTCTTTTCTACCAATTATTGATACCTTCAGGCTTCAATCGAGAACAGAACGATTTCACCTCTCTCATTACGGCGCATCCGTAATGATCGCCAGAGTTCTTTCTCCTCTGACGACTTACCCAGGCTAGTACCAGACGATGATCTCTCGCGGTGGTATCTCTTCAAGGCTTTGTTCACACTGCAGCCCCGTTCACTGTCGGGTCCCTTGTTGCATAAGCTCAAGAAAAGGTCGGATCTCGGCTTGTAGAGGATCATCTGACCAGACTCTCCATCTTTCTCGTCGCTGGACTTCGTTCGATACTCAATCAGTTTAGGAGCCTTTTCGGAGCTTGATCGACGGTGATGCCGGGTCTTCTCCTTCTTGTCCTTATCTGATGACGAGTGCTTTCGCTTCTTAGATACCTTCGACTTTGATGTGCCGGATATGAAGGCCTTTAGGCCACCACTGAGACCATCCGGCCGACTAGGCTTGGATGTCTTGTGAGTCTTGGAATGTTTCGTCTTCTTGATAGGGCTCGCAGGTGAGTTCTCTCCACCGTCGCCACCAGAATAATCTGGCGAAGGAGGGAATTGAGGCGGGCGCATGAGACGGTTGAGACCTCCGGTCAGGCCAGAGTGTAGAACAGGAGGTGCATCGGTCATTAGTTCGTCGCCCATCGGTGGTGGGTCGAGTGCTAAAGGTCCAGTCTCAATGTGTAGCCGCTTGCGCTTCTTGTCCGTCATAACTTCACGGCTACCATCCTTCGACTTTCTTCGTTGAGACTTAGGCGCAGGCGTCTCGTACTGGTTAGGTTGCACAGCGCCATTTCCGTATTGAACCATGTCTTCATCATCGACCATGTATCCTGTCGGGTCTACATAATTGTCTGTGTCCTTTTGGTCGAATCGAATAAGCTGTCGCCCACCACTAGCCTGCGTGGGGTTATTGAAGTATTGTAGGTTGACATTGGATACGTTTGGTGTGTGATCAACCAAGAAATCGAAAACGTTCACGTTAGGATCATCGACGACGGCAGACGGAGGAGTAGGCGCCTCCGGGGGTAGGTTGTGTGTGTTGCCGTCTTCATCCTCGTAGACCTGATACTGTTGGAAGTCGCTGTAATCCTCCGTCGCGTCCTCGACGTATGCGTTATGCGCCATAGCGGTGGACATGCCAGAGGGTTCGGCAGCGTTAGACTTTTGTCTTTTCGGTTTATATAGTGCGCCCTGATACTTTTGTTCTTCTGTCATACAGCTCTGAAAGTGCATGTTAGCCACGTGTGGCCTATCGATCGGAAAGGCTTGCGACCTACATTATGCGCGCGGTATTCCGTCCCGAGAAAGTGGACCATGCAATCAATGCAGGTGAAGGTAGCGCCACGGCAACGATTCCTATGGGGGTCGAGTTTCTTTTTAGTTAAAACGTCACCACAAGCCTGTGGATAGAAAAGGTCGAAAATGAGTTAGTTATTGGTAAAATGTAAAAAAAGGTAGAATGAAGATAGATGATTAAGAGATGCGAAGGAGGATACGGAGAACGTAATTGGGTTTCAGGGGGCGTGTGTTTTATCTGGTTGGAGGGGCAGAGGGGTGCAAGTGATCAGGAGACGAGTAGAGGCGGCGGTTCCAATATTATGGGGAAGATATAAACAGGGGTAGAGGGGTGGGTGTGAAGGAAGATGGATGGTCAATGCCAAGGTGGTGTATTGGGTGTGTATGGCGATCAGAGGATGGCGCGAGGGATCTGAAGGGGGTAGCGCAACGCGAAATGTCGTGTGTTGCTCGAAAGGGTCCCTAAACGCCAGAAGTAAGGGTTGGGCGCGATGTGCAAAGGGGTCGTGATTTGTGATGTCAGGCACTTTGGGGGTGGTTTAAATTATTGGAACTGGAACTGGAATTGGTTATATTACCTCACACGAGAAGGAGACCATGTTTCTGACTGGTCTAGAAGTGATGTGCTGTCGGATATGTAAGATGCTGATTGGCGCGTAGCTGCACAATTTCTTGCGTGTCTCTCGTTATGAGTGGCCGAAAAATTAAAATTTGTTGACGTTTTCTGTTTTTGTCTCTTTTTTTTTCTCTTTGCCCTTGGGGGCTGCAGATTGCAGATGGCAGTGCACGTTCTAGTACTGTAGAAGGGCGAAGCCGGATATGAGACCTCAAATGATAGGACGAAAAACAAGAGACAGCGCCAGATCGAATCTAGAATTCCAAGAAGGGAACGATATAGTAATGATAGTCGAAGTTCCTGCTTGGTATGGTAGGATTACTAGTACTTTCTTTTTTTGCCCCAGTCTGCCAGTCCGATGGAATGACGGGCGGCAAAGCAGATCGTGCTGAACTTGCGTACAAGTGCACAGCCGTGGGAACCTATACGTCGTACAATTGGACAATCGAATATTATGACCCCTCCGGTAGTCCAGGTAGAGCCAGATAAGGACCCAGTGAGAAAAGGTGGAATGCCGAAATTCTTCAGGTAAAGGCGACAATCCAAACAGGAACCGAGTAAGCGTTCCGAAGTCAGAGCTTTCCTTTATTATTAGAACAGCGAGCGATCTTCTTGTCCGGAGTAATTGTTACGGGCTGAAGAGCTCTAACTGGGGAGAAGGAATTAAAAGGAATTGAAGGCGGAGTTGACCAGGGATAGAGAGGTCAAGTCTACCGGGTTCAAATAGATTCAAATAGATATTATAAAGATTGTTTGTTTGTCAGTTTAGTAGAATAAACTTAACCGAACGACAAGACTTATTAACTAGGTAATGAGTGAGCAAGTGAGCGAGCGAGCGACCCAAGATCTCGTGATGATGATGATGAAATTTTTCAAGAGGAATCGGGTGTGCAAAAACGCATTGAAGTTTTTCGCGGTTGGGCTTCTCTGCGTTATGCGCATGTGGAGACCTTTTAGGTATTCAGGTACCTACCTAAGCTAGAGATATTGGGTATTGGGTGGCGTACCTTCCTCCCAAATAGGTAAATTGAGGGGGTAGTTACCAATTGGGAACGTTTCGAAGGGCAACGGGCAACTGGCAACTGGCAGCGGACACTAAACAGACCTGACACTAACAACTTAGCTCAGCTACAACAACCCTAGCCTGTTCTGCTTGTGGATCGTCAGCACTTGCGGTGGATACCTACATAGGTACCTAGGTAGATATTGGAAACAGCGAGCATTGCTCATTCGCTTGTCCGATGACGGGGCCATTGAATTTGACCATTCAGACCATTCTAGAATGGCCCTTATCCCTTTACGGATATATCAGTTGTAGATCCAACAAGCGACGCCTTCGTGTCGCGGAACATTGTAATTGTAACAATGTAACAACATACGAATAAGGTAGGTAATTCAAACCCATGATCCAAGGGGTCACTTACGCATCCCTACCTTACTTATTTACTATGTATAGGAATATATATAATACCTAAGTAACATTCTGTGATGGTATAATGTTACCATACATTTACACAAAGCTGACAAGAAGTAGTAGATAAAGCAGGCTGCGTAATCCAAGAGCTGTAAGGACAGGACGGCATTGAAATTTCCACGCCACCAACAACAATATGGTCTAGCGTAATCTCGTAATCTACTTATCCTATCCATCTAAAACATCCCAAGACTTACCCCAGCCCCCAAGATTGAAACATGCCGGTCGTTGTCTGTGAGGCCGACCTAGTGATCGATCAGTTTCGTAGTCGTACGAACATACATCGTGTGTGTAGCATTCAATCCGAGGGCAAAAGTGAAGGCCACTAATAAAAAATCAAGGTGGCTTTACCTTAACTAATATACCTTGCGTATAATATCGACAGCCAAGAACGGGAAATAAAGTTAGGGATACTCTTCCGCCTTACACAAACGCTGGTAATTATATCGATGTTGATAGGTGCTCGCAAGATACTAACATGTATAGTATAGACTTTACTCGAGAACGGATATACAAGATAAGAAAGAACATTGAAGATGGGCTATGCGAACCTTCAAAGGAATACTGGGCAGCTGCAACACCGGACTGTCAGCCGTAACAAGCAGTCACAAAATCTAAATACGGCAACCCGATTTCGGCTATCTCGGTGGTAAAACTCAGCTTAGGCAGGAAGAAGTTAAATACACGCGAGAAAAGTACCAACATAAAGTATCCAACCTATCATGCTGTTAGGGTAGGTACATCTGCACTGTTGAAGGTAAAAGTCAGCTTAGGTTTAGTTAGCTAGTTCCTCCAAAGCAAGCTCTACCGTGGCTCGCAAGCGGTTTGGGGATCTCTTCAAGGTTTAACGTTCTAAAGCAGGCTTCCAACTGGTTATTCTTTCACTTCTAAAATTCCCAATGCTAGCAAAAATAACACAAACCCCTGTGCCTTTTCGACTTACCCTTGAAATAACCTAGGTATCCTTGACCGAAAATCATTCAATTCCCAATCCACCGCTTCAAAGCAATTGGTTCTAATCCGACCTACCGCCTACTCAGCCATACGTCAAGAAATCCGCTCCACACAAATTGCATGCAAACCTCTTACCTAGGTGCCTCTTTTGTGTGTTTCAAGTATCTTATTTTTTACTAGTACGAAATACCGAAATACACGCAAGCACGTACTTACATACATCAATTAATCCATCCAATACCATACGTACATAACGTACATAATTATTCCTCCTCGCTCCTATCCCCCCGGTTCCCTAATAAATAAAAAGTACCAGCTCTCTCTCTCTCTTCCATTTGCTTGGTAAGGCCATGTCTCCTTCAGGAGCATCATCGCCACATCTAAGCTATCTGGAGCAGACCGTCTCGCTCCTCAGCACCGTGGCCGCTTACATGCGCTTGCCGGCTTTGGCCTCCACGGTATGCCTTCACGCTCATCTTCAACACCCAAATGCAAATTCAATTCCAAGTCCAAGTCCAAATCCAAATCCAATTCGTCTAAATCTTCGGCCTTCAGACGCGCATGTCGACATACCCAAACCGCCATTGTTAAACAGTGCCGAGCCGCAGCCGAGCTAACAAATGTTACCCAGGGTGTTGCCGCCGTCCTCACCACCCTGTTATATTTCAAGCAAAAGTGAGCTTCCCTTCTCTGCGCCCTCCGCCTCCCACCCTCTCCAACCCCAAGGTATCATCTGATACAAGAAAAAAGCTAATCACCCTCACCTTACGTTACAGAGCATTGATCTACCCATCTCACATGCCCCCCAATGCCCGAACGAATGTACCTCGACCTTCGCAATTCGGTATCAAAGATTTCGAGGAGCTAGTAATACCTACCAACGATGGCGAAAAGCTCTCGGCATTCTACATCCGCGGCCCGAGAGGTGGCCGTAATTCCAAGTGTACCATATTGATGTTCCACGGCAATGCTGGGAACATAGGTCATCGACTACCGATAGCACGTATGCTTATTAATTACATTGGTTGCAATGTATTCATGCTGGAATATCGAGGCTACGGATTATCGACTGGTGAACCGGACGAGAAGGGGCTTTCTATCGATGCCGAGACAGCTCTCGAGTACCTGCGAAAGCGAGCCGAGACTAGCAAACATAAACTCATCATCTACGGTCAGAGTTTAGGAGGCGCCGTCAGCATCAAGCTAGTATCTAAACACCAACATGCCGGGGATATCGTCGGTTTGATCCTCGAAAATACGTTCCTCTCCATGCGGTCATTAATCCCATCCGTCATACCACCGGCCAAATATTTGACGATGCTATGCCATCAAGTTTGGCCAAGCGAGTCAATATTACCATCTATTACTGAGGTTCCAATATTATTCTTGAGTGGCCTTCAAGATGAGATGGTCCCGTAAGTTCAATTCTATTTACAACTACCCGTCCTAATTAGTAAAAATCGAGCATATGATGATTTAAAACAACCATCCACAAAACATGAGCTCTCTCGAGCGCGGATTAGACACTGTTTTCTGATATTACGCCCCAATTTGATGAGCATCCAATGTCTCACTATTATGGCTCAGCTGATTCGTCAACTAACGTCATGTGTCTTACAGGCCCGCTCACATGAGGAAGCTATTCGAATTAGCTACTACACCCATAAAGATTTGGAAACCTCTTCCCGGTGGTGACCACAACTCGAGTGTATTGGAAGAAGGATATTTCGAGGCGATATCGGATTTTGTGGCCAACAATGTCGGGGACGCGAAGTCATGATCATTCTAATTACGGGAGACCTATCTGCATTATGGGACGGCCCGCCAAGAATTGGCGCCACCTTTTTTTACGCGTTGCACACCCTTTCTACCTTTACCCTGTGAGATACCCCTACCCTCGCGTTACCTTACGTGACGGTTCTTACCTATAGAATATAGTACATTGATGCTTAATCGCCTATCAAATAAGTGACGCATTTTCTCATCTAACATTATTGGAGGCATTGTTATGCTTCCTCGTCGAACGAAATTCGGCTCGGAGCTCAAGTAACGGCTGAAATGAGCCCTAAGTCCTCGCAGGATTCCGTCAGCAGCCAAACCCTGCGGCTAAATGCTAACCGTTGCTTATCCAACTAGGTAGCTTAAGCCGTTTTATGCAGGTCCCTAGCAGCGCATACGTGTCACCTATCAGTCTCAGTAGAGCAGGTTGCACTCATTTACCTTTGCCCAATGTCCTATTTCTGTCATCCCGAATTCCACTCTCGGAAGACATACACGCGCTTTCATGGTAGAGCCTGCAGATTTCAAGAGATCTGTTGGGAGTGCAGTGATCTAGGTAGGGTTTGAAAAGATTTTCGTTCGCTATTGAAGCGAGCTTATGAATTGTCTGCCGACCTATGTAATTGAAGCTGATGAGTCACTGCGAGCCTGAAATCGTTGTATTGGACGCGGAGCCGCAAGATCGCATCCGAAGCATTAAATCACGGAATTACAGCCTCATGATATGGATGCCCTAAATGTCACTTCATGATGAAAATGGGAAAATCAAGTAATAGCGACCATATTGTGTAACGAAAGAGTCATCGGTTCCGGACCGATGCGTATTGGCTTAGTAGATCTCAATTGGACGGAGATTTACCTTACTCGGTCAGCTCGGTCCAGTCTTTAGTGAGTGCAGAATCATTCAATTCCATCTTGTTTTCTGTGGTTCTACCACTTCGATACTGTTCGATTGGTTCAGCTCGAATATTAGTCAAACAATACTAAACTTATTTCACAAATCGACTATATCGTATTTCAATGTCTACATGAATTCCACTATAGCTCTTACAAATTCTTGGCTGTGAATGAAGCCCAAGTTTACCGCAACTATCAGTTTTTTAGGCCCTGGAATGTCGAGAATTTAGCAGCTTTAGAAGGAAGCTGTTAAGCAGCGGGCCAATGACATTGAAGGATTCAAGTCTAGAGTCACTGATGACTGACCTAGCTCCGTGTAAGCCGGTTGCATTAGCCCTGTATTTTGGGGCGGAACTCATCCGATGATCAATTTCAGGTGAGGTAGCTGTATTGATATAACTACTCCTCAAAAGACAACAAGAAATGTTTCGAAGATGTTATAGAATTCATATTTTTATTAATTTACAAGCATTGATTCCTCATCTTGGCAGTGTATTACATCAATATTCATAGTATATGTACCCCTAACAAAATATCGATCTAACATTCGAAGTACGTGACACAAGCTCAAGATTAAGGGGTGGTTTTATATCAGATCACCAACACCTAAACAAGACGAGGAAAATGGCTTTCCCGTCATTGGAAGAAGTATCCAAGAGCCCAGCATTCCCAACAGCAATCTGGAAGCTCCAACCACATCAAAGCGGTTTCCTCCCCGTTGCCGCGGACCGAGGCGGCCCCCTAAATATCAGTTGGGAAGTCCATGGCGAGGGACTCATCAAGCTTATCGTGAGCCACCCCTTTTCCTTCATCTCTACTCGTGTCGTGTTCGGTTTATTCTAACAAGGACAGCTTATCGGCGGTATTGGTCTAGTCAAAGCCGACTGGCAACCGCAGACCCTGTACTTCGGCCACGAGCGTGGGGACCAGTATTCCGTGCTCGTGTTTGATAACCGCGGCGCCGGGGAGTCGGATAAGCCCGTTATGCGGTATAGCACGTCGGAGATGGCACGTGATTTGCTTGAGGTCGTGGATCATGTTGGGTGGACAGCGGAGCGGCAGTTGCATATTTCTGGTGGTAGTAGTGAGTTCCATGGAGTCAAGATCCGTAAAGCAGTATTTACTAACTTTGAACGTCGTAGTGGGCGGCATGATCGCACAGGAGTTCGCAATTTTGGTGCCAGAACGTATCGCGAGTCTAAATCTCCACTGCACAGCGGCAAAGCTAGAAAGTAACGGCACATTCACGGAGATGACGAGCCGCCTCGGCGCCCTAATGCCCAAGAGTCTCGAAAGCGAAATCCGACATACAGCAGACGGCTGCTTTCCGCACGAGTGGCTAGTAGCACCGGATTCCGCCGAACCCCCAAACGAGAGCACCCCGAGATGTGAGGTGCCGCCGGGTGGATACAAGACGTTCGAAAGCAACTACGCCCGGTTTGCGGCGCAGGAGATCCACATGCGGCGGAGCAAAAACGGATTCCTCCTACAAGCCGTGGCCGGCGGGTTTCACCGGAAGAGCCCCGAACAGTTAAAGGAGATGGCGGATCGAGTTGGGAGGGAGAGGATTATGGTTCTTCATGGTACGGTGGATGGGATGATTCCTGTGAGTCATGGGAGGAAGTTAATTGAGTATTTGAAGCCTGGGGAAGGGTTGATTATTGAGGGACTGGGTCATGCGCCGATTCATCAGAAGACGAGGTGGTTCAATGAGTTGTTGGCGGAGAGGTGTGCGCGGGGTGAGAAGTTGAGTGGTCGATAGCTAGGACCTAGTGTTAATACGTGCAATATAATTCTCTACTCGCCCCTGTAGAAAACGGAAATTACCTAGGTAGGAGACACTGCTAAGAGATTATTCAACTAGCTGATGGGACACCTTCCCTATCCAGGTATCTTGTAACTGTTCCATACAGTAAGTTTGTTAGAGGGACACTTTGCTTGGAGATATTGTTTCATAGGTATCCAGCTTTGGATAATTTGAATAGTGACTTCTCGGCCTAGATGGATCCATAGAGATTATGAGGTTGATTTAAGATTTTTATTTTCTTTTTCCTTTTTACCATTATCCATCATTATTCATCATAAGGTGTTACCACATCGTATACTTGTAACAATAAAACGACAAGAGAGAAATGAAGTATAAAAATTCGCTGGCTCTCATGAGCTTTTATTCGACTCGAACACCTCGGTTCTTAGCATGAACGCTCAAGACCGGCTTATCCCACAACAAGAATCCCTCGGAGTCTTTGTGCCAGTCTAGAGTCGGGTCAACAGGCTCCAAGTCGTAAACCCAGAATAACTTGGCAATGGTCGTTCGTAATTCTAACCAGGCCAAGTTTAGACCGATGCAACCTCGAGGGCCGAGTAGCTGCATAGCTGTTAGATAATATTCTACATTATTGAATGGTTGTGGCTTTGTAGAAGTAGAATGTGTAAGATTTGGAAATTGTCTTTACTACTGATCTGGGAATTTTAGAGATGGAAGGAAATTATGGTTTATACATACCCAGGGTTGGATAGAATCAGCAATGTGAAGTCCCTCGGGCTTTATCCATCTCTCCGGCTTGAAGGATTTGGGGTCTTCAAAGTTCGCTGAGGAAAGACCAGCTGCAAGGTGGTGCGTAGAGACGATAACCTTGAAAAATATTGTTAGCAATTCAATGTATTCTTATAATTGGATAAGATGATACGTACACCTCCGGGAAGGAAAACACCATCAACCGTCTCACCACCTTCAGGCACGACACGGGGAGCTCCATATGGTGCTGGCGGATATAGACGCATCCCTTCTAAGATGACAGCACGGAGATACTTCAGTGAGGCTGTAGAGTTGTTGTTGATATCCGAATACTGTTTGAACGCTTTTCGAATCTCCGCTGTAAGCTTCGCCGAGGTAGCTGGGTTCTGGAGCAAGTAATAGACAATAGCAGATAAGCCAGTTGATGTGGTGTCACTTCCTGCAATCACTAGATCGGAGGCGTGAGCAGCCATTTGTCCTTCTGGTAGTTCCTTCGGATCTCGGTCCTTAAGGATTCGGGTTAGGAAGTCCTTGCGGTCTGTTACTCTTTCCATACGCCTTGTTCAAATTAGCAGTGGTAGGTTAGTCTAAAATTTGGTTTACATACCGTTTGATAGTCTTATGGCATAGGTCTTGGTTAGATTTCGTGTCCGCCATGATCTTGTCGAATTTGTTACGCATCATGAGGTAGATAGCAGTGGTGAAAGCAGGGAAACGACGCATTATCTCGACAAAGGCAGTTATGCCGATCGAGTCAACAGCGGAAGCTATCCATGGGTGTCGCTTATCTGTGATATGAATTTTGTTTAGTTAAGGGGACTTTCGAAAAGGTCCAGACAACCTACCCATATCAAGGGCGCCGAACTCCTCGCCAAACGACAGGTCGCAGGTGATATCAAAGGTCATTGACTCAAACATCATTGATACATCGACTGGTTTTCCTCCGGAACCTCTAGTGCCAACTAGTCGAACGAGTTTGTCGACCTTTTCAGCAACAAGCTCCTCTTGCTCCGTAATGGCGCGGTCGGAGAAGGCACTGGATAAAAGGGTTCGCATCTTCTTATGAACTTCCGGTCTCCTTTCGCTAATGATAGAAGTAAATCCATTAGTAGCGGATGTGGAACCTGCATAGAAGTCGCTCTTTATGAATACTTGTCGACCAGGCTTCAAGGCATAGATATCCTTCCATGACTGTGCCGAGTTGAAGGAGACCTCGTTCGGTGCGATGCGAACAGCAGGGCCTATGTCATATCAGTCCCATTAAACTTGAAAAGGGGCTAGGTGGATGTACCATATTTCTCATGGAGTTCGACCATCTTGAAGGGCTGGCGCCCCCCAAGGACCCATCGGCAAAAGGGGATCTGATATTGGTAAGTAATGGCATCGGGAGGTTAACCTCGTAACATACATCACTGAAAGCAGCTGTCCATGGTCCTGGTACTTTGGAGAGTGGATGGACAAAAAGGTTATAGAATATTCCAAATGCCCAATGGGCGACCAACTATGAAGTTCGAATTAGTAATGTGTAATGGGCTAAGGGAAGGTTTATTTACTATGGCAAGACAGACAAGGCCAGCACGAAGAAGGCCAGGAAATCTAAACACCTCTGGTGTTGGCACTATGATTTCCGTCTCTTTCAAATCCATATTGGCGTAGCCTCTGTTTATGGTGTAGGAGTTGTTTCTTGGAGGGTGGATGGTTTAAGACATCTACTCTATAGTTCGCTAGGAAATACCCAACCCCTATTATATATATTAACTGTTACTTTACTATGCTGCATGTTCAAGGTTCAAATGGTATGCACCATGTCGGCCGAGATGCGAGCTGCGTTTTCCATTTGCGGTATACGGCCTGAGCAAGCAAGGTACTATGGTAGTCTCGCAGAAGTAGCAGGGAGACAGCGCAAGGGGAGACTACCTTAGTGTCCGAGAGCCAGAAAACCCACAATCAAGGGTGTCAAACGCCACCGTCTCACCATTTATCTTATCCTCGTCCAACGGCACAGCCCGGGAGCCACTTCCCGCTGTCCATTAGTTAGTTAACTTGGCCGGGTGTCATTATTGGACGGTAGCCGACGAGAAGGCTATCTGACCGCCAACGTTTTTAATGAAGCGGAGTAGACTGCCAGATTCTAGATTGCGAATCTAGGCATCCGCTAGTAACCTAGCAAATAGATCTCAACTTTAATTCATCTTCTTATACGATATCCCCATGTTGAGCCATGTTGTTCCCATGTTGAGTCTATGCCGTGCCCATGCCGCGACGTTGCCGTGACCTTGCCGAGCTGCAGGTTCGTCCACACTTTCAGGATTGATATGGGGAGATATGGAGATACAAAAATTTCAAATGCGAGTACCTACCCTCTTAGGTAGTCGAACCGAGTTTCCACTGTAAAAAAATACCCCGGAGGTCTTAGCGTGCTCTAGTTTTCAATGCTACGATACAATTTCCCACGTGGCAAAACTCGTTAAAGTCAACATTGGACCGGGGTAGAGACCGAGATGTTCCATTCATTACTAAATCCTGGCTGTGATCAAATCTGACCAATGAGAGGCTATACATTTACTTCCCGGTAAGCCTCCAAAACATTCAGCTAGCCATCAGGCCTCTAAACAAGCCACGCCGTCATCTCATCGAGATTTCATGTTGTGATAGCTTGGAATGGATGTATTATGCGAGTTGAATTGTCACTCGGATTCGATAGTTGGAGCCAGAGAGATACCTAAGTATTGCGAGAAACGCCTCCTTATACTTTATTGGTGCGATTAAAGCATTATCTGCCGGATGACATAAATCTATTGGAATGTTGACGAGGTGGCTGAACAACCATGGCCCGAAAGAGGATAATAGGCCCATCGCTTCAACGAATACGACGTAGGCCTGAATATGTGATGGTAGGATTCGGACTGCTTTTCGGCAATACTTGGCGCATCAACCTAAGTAGTGATCGAGTCATTACATACATATTTAATTTTAGGGAAATCTGATTTCATTATCCAAGGGAATACGTCACAGGTTCGGTACATATAAGAACTAAATCTACTGCTGTTAGGGGACGTTATTTTATATAAAAGTAAAAAGGATCTTATTTACCTTTACTGAATGAAGTTTCGCTGCCAACAGCCTCTTGTGCGTCCTTTTTTACCAGGTCGTAATATTTTATCGACTAGCCATAAAGGAGGTAGAATGATACCATACGATTCTTGTCGAAGATATATCACATTATGTAGGTGACGAGATCCTTAAGCGAGGGAATCTACTGTTTCAGCTCGCAATACCATTGAAAATCAATGCTTGGAGGATTCTCGAAAAAGGAAGGCCGTTTACGAAATGATTTAACACTGAGAATACCTACCTAGGTAGATATATAGCTATCTGGGTAGGCCTCGATGGTATAAAGAATGTCCCTTTGCTTCAAGTCTGTACTTACCTAGGTACTAGGTAGATACTAGATAGAGATATGGACTTTCTTCAACTCCGAAAATCAATAAACTGCTGTCGTGCTTCGTTGCACAAAGTAAAAGTCTCGTAAAATACGCTTAGTTTTGTATTAATCATGTAGTATATATGTTGCGGCGGCAAGATATCTAAAAGGGTGTTTTGCCTATCAAATAAAAGCTCCATGACGTGAAATCTACTAGATACTATCTTGTGGGATTCACATTTCGGATCAGCACGGGTATTTCTTATGGACCTCAGACACACAGCGGTTCCTTAAGCAATCCTCCTGTTTTCTAGCGATCGTTTCGAAGATATTTGGTCGAATCACAATGCAGAAGCAGTAAAAAGGGGTTCGGCAATGTATAAGGATATTGGATGGTACCCTTCGGTGCCATTCAATATATCAAAACAAGCCAGTACTCCGGATAAATAATTCTTGGGGGTTTCAACATCTGATGAGCTGAGTACATTCCTGTTTTAGTATATCTACATGCATTCCTACTAGATTTCTCCCATTTGTAGCAAATATCTTTTTACTTAAACAATATACTTACGATAAATCTATATCATTCTGCTAAAGGCTAGGCATGCAACTGGTGAATCTATATCCCCTGGTATAAGGATGTTTCGACGATCATAGCGGTGTCACGGAGTATTATCGGATGTTTTGAAATCTTGGTGATCATCAAGGATCAGCAAAGGACCCAATTATTTGAAAGTTAAGGTTTACTTAATCGGCATCTAAAAATAGTTCCGCCTTACAGCCTTATAACTTTATTTGACAGGTATTTATGTAGATAGGAGATAGGAGGCATTGTCGCAATATAGTTTTGAGGCACCTATTGTAAAGTTGGCCTTCAAAAGTAAGGGAAGAATCATTACTCCTGTTTGTTTCGGCCTCATTAGCCTCAGCGAACTTCGCAGCATGCCTCACCAACCTAACGACGATGATTGGCCCACTTCCCGGTCAAGTATCTTGCATAAATGTAACCCCAGGATTGGTTAGCTTACGTTGAGCCGGCCTAATGTTCCGTCGGCCTCAGAGCCTTCTCCGGTCCGCATGGCCTCTCGGGGCCTCTGATACCATCGCATCTACTTATAATCTTCGTCAATTGCTCCTAGTTAGTAGGTCTTTCCTTTCCTCTTTCAACCATCCCCGGAGGGACGAGTTACGCATAGCTCTGTCGCCTCCACGGACGTGAGTGTTCTTCCTGGCGTGTCTGAATGCTTACCTTGGCTGACTGGCCTCTATATATAGACGAACAAGGGTTTGCTCATAGACCCCATTGTGACTCCCGAGGGAGGACCAAGACCGTCCTCCCTCGACCCTAATTTCGAGAAGATGCAGCAGTAGTCAGGCTACAGATGATCCCAATGGCATTCTGTCAGGAATTGGTCGCGAGTATCTTTTGGATGGACTGGAAAGATATCCCGGTCCTGATAGTTTCCCTGGGTCATTTGATGTTTTTGATTACTGGGGAGGAGTTGGCCCGGAGGGGGCCGCTGAGGGTATATCCTTCTCGGATGCTCCTAGCGGGGCACTCGTGGAGGAGGCCCGCGGAAATGAAGAGGAGGATTTGCTTGACACGCCGGTACTTGGCCGATTCCCAATATCCAACTGGCTGTCGGATAAGCTCAGCGCCACCCGTGACAACACCGAGTCTCATTCATCAGTAGCTCAGCTAGCAGAACCATTAAACGCCGCTTTCAACCATTACGATATTGATCCGTACCAAAATATAGGCCTGGACTTAGACATATCGTCGTCGTTGTCCTCACGGAACTTCGTTGACCCTGCTACAGGGTTAACCACTTTGAGACCAGAAAATCAAAGTGCACAAAGGAGCGACGTACATCTAGAGCAGTCTATATCGCAACGTCCAACGCAGCTAGGATTTACCTGCGGCATTTGTGGTGCATCTCTCTCTTCTCAAGGCAAACTCAAGTAAGTCTCCCACCGGTATAAATATTATCATGATAGACTGTATGCTTATCGTCCCGCAGCACGCATGTTAAGCGCCACGAAAAGAAGCATTATTGCACACGTTGCGATAAAAGTTTTTCAGAACTGCGGGACCTGCGTCGCCATGTTGAATCGATCCACCAACATGTATGGCAGCAGTGCTCTCTATGTGGAAAGAGCTTTAAGGGGCGGCGTATGGATAACATAAAACGGCATCTTGCAAAGGGCTGCAAGCATAAGTAGCACGCATTGGGAGATCGGATTAATTCATTGTACCAGTGTGTCCAGGCATAGATGAAATCACCGGCAAACATTCCCTTTGTATTATGTTTTATGCATTAGCGGGGACAGATCCAATACAATCACGGGCATCCAGCAGTTGTCAAAGCAACCGAGGGTCTAGAAGACTAAATCCTCCGGAAACACGAAGCCGACCCAGTCCAGCCTTGATGTTTGGTTGTATTTTCGGCGTTTCTTATTTAAGTGTCGCGGGAGTTATGATACGGAGTTTTGAATTTGATTACTACTCTATTATGCTATGCTAGTGATTATGGGTATACCTTTCCAACCAAAGTAAAAACCGACGGATCCGTCGTATCAACGGAATACTCCCAGATCTGCTCATCCGCTATGCCGTAGAACATCGCATCCGTCGTCATCGCGATAGCCGAGAAATTCGTCGACTGCGCCTGAGCAAAATTAATCTCTGGGACTGCGTTATACGCTTTTCCATCCCACCTCGCTGCTTTAACCCCACCGTCTGTAGATAAGGCGAGAAAGAGAGCTTCGTTCCAGTTATTCATTGAGGTGGCAGCGAATTGACGTGTATCTGAGGGGTTGACGTCGTCTAAGATTGTGCCATCTGCTTCTGTTAGTTTTGGTGGAGGTGGGGAGGAGATTTGGTCTCACCATTCTGCGTCCAATTCCCCGTCTGCTTCAGGGTTGACTTAACGATAGACCCCGGAATCCTCTGAGTAGCGAGTGTTAAGCCATCCAAATTAGTCCCATTGAGCGCCGGTAATAGGGCGATACTCGCCCGGGCAGTGACAGCACTCGTTTTGATCACCGAGTCAGAGCCCCAATTGCTCGAGTTTCCGACTCGAACATAACCCTGTCGCCCTTGGTATGCTATAGCCCAATACCCGGGACAATTATCCCTCGGACAGCGCTGCCATGCCGCGGCAATCTGGGTGTCGTTCCAGGTTCGAAGCGATGATGTATTGTACGTCCATGAATCTGGGTTGCCGATCGGGTTGTAGGAAGCTGCCTGGCTGATGGTTTGCGCGTCGCCGGATAGTTCTGAGAAAAAGACGGACACATCATATACCGAACCCTGTTTAATATCACGCGACGCGCTCGCTAGGGATGTGCCCGGAAGAGGGCTGATAGGTCCCGACGTTGAAGGCTGCACTAGCTCGGTGATGTTTCGCGTCATCCACGTCTTGTTCTGCGAGTCCCACTGTCGAGCGATAATATGGCTGTACTCATCTTGGAAGAACACGGTCCTATGTATATTGCCGTCTGGATCTGTCCAATTGGAAGCCGCGAGACTTGAATTGCTAAGAATAGCGCTGCTCCCAGACGTGTTGGGATCTAGCGATGAGCCAGACGATGATGTTGATTTGCTTGACCGACCGGCTAGTCCTCCAGCTACACCTCCGGCAATGGCGCCAGCTATGATTATCAGTGCCACGGCGAGAATTATGTAGAATAACCGCGGCGATAACCCGCAAATTCTTCGCTTCGTGGTTCCATCATCTTGTCCTGGGACAGCCGCCTCTTCCTTGCCCGGGTCTCTATTCGCTACCTCTTTCCCGAAATCTTGAATTCCCAATCCCGTAGCGGCACCTGGTGCGATCTGTGAATCCTTAACATTCTCAGGCTGATTAACGACTTCTTTATTCGTATTCGAGAAATTCACAACTTCGGGCGCCGACGCTTCATTTCCGCCTACGTAAACTTCAAGAGTGCTATATGGCTCGTGACCATGGTGATTACCCGCCGATGCCATCGAGACATTGCTATCCGCGAGGGTGAACTCGATGCTGAGAGGAGTAATAAGACAACCAAAAGAATCGCGTTCAGCGCATTACATCAGGGCGCAGCGGAGTCAAGGTATTTAAAAACTCATTTTCAGCTTCCCTGCACCTATCCATGCCAGATAGGCTAGGCACCGGGTAGCCAAGTTACGTAGCATTTCCTTGATTGGCAGACAGACAAATTCCCTCGTATCTAGAAGCAATGAGAGGGAATCAGCGAATTTCGCCTATACGGGTGGAACCCGTCCTAAGGCGGCTTGCGGCTTCTTGGGTGTCGTTGAAAAATACCAAGCCGCTATGCCTTTGTCATCAGCACTAATTAAATAATAGTACTTGCAGTTAGCCAATTATTGAAGCTGGGGACCACTTGTGCTGGCGCTGTGCCGTCGATCTTTACTACCTCGTGGAGTACTGTAAGTAGGCTTTTCTGGGATTGAGGACCGAGCTTCAATCTTTTCGGCCGGTTACGGATTACCTTAGGTAGGCTACTTCTTTAATGTTTTAATCTTGAACGCTGCAATTCTCATTCCGGTTGAATTGGCGCAAGGAATTGATTGTGGCTGCGTGAGCTTTCTGGATCGTCTATCTCATTGTGTTGTGTATGTTAGGTCGGCTGTCGGTGCCGAGCTGGAGAAGTCGGTGCAGCCACGGGGAAATACAAGGAAGAGACATGAGATCCACCGAATGATGGATGATTGAAACGAGGCTTACAAGGCGCATTGTCGCCAAGTATAGCATGCGCCATCCCGGATAAGATATTAGTAACGGATATATAATTTTTCTCGTGTTAATTTCAACCGTGGGACTTAGTTGAAGACTATTATGCCCATTTCAACGAAATGAGATTCCCATTTAATTGATACGATATTAACATCTTTCAAGACTCGTAGCAATTGAGAAGAGATTGGCTGTCTTAGATAGAAGAGGTAACATTTGGCGAGTCTTCCTTTCAATCCAAGTCCTAGGTGGGGGCGGTTGTCCATCCGGCCATCGTTGCCTTATAGGTTCAATCATAATCCTTTAGGTCAACGGAGCGGCATAGCTTGCGGATATTTGCGGATGATCGAATCGGTCAGCTTAATATGTGGACACTAGTCCATCGTTGGTCGTACGTCCCTCCGAAGAGAACGGGGATGGAGCCTATCGCTGGGCGGGCCGAACCGGTGATTAGTGGGACTATCCGGAGGTTAGTTAAAGTTAAGAGCACTTACCTAAGGTTCACCGGCGTCCCTATTCTCGGGGTGATGTATAGAGGTACTAGGTATACACCTGTATTGAGCTCGAATAAGCACAAGCCAACAATAGATGAATCGAATGTAGAGTTCTTCAGGGAGAGCGGCATCATCTCTGTATTTACAGCCTTCAAGACCAAGAAATCGAGTGGGATGAGAAAATCCATCATTCCAAGGCCCCAACAGAAACTATTATATGTACGAAATGCGCAATGTTTCTGTACAGTTTTTGCCATCAAATGCTTTTAACTCCTGGCTACCAGACAAAATTTTAATGTTGTTCTTTTTGAAGAGCATGTCGAGAAAATGCGTGTAACGATATCGCCTATTCCTACACCATTAATATCCTCGCCATCCATCCAGTCCATTCAAACCCTCATTCGCTCGTCCACCTCATTATTCATTTCTTTTTTCGTTCCGCAGCATCCATCTTCTCTTCTAGCTGCTGGACGTACGTGTTCAATCGTTGGCAAGCTGCCTGGAGAGCCTGTGTTTCGAACAATATGGTTAGTAACGATATTACTTCCGAAGCGGTTGTCGAAGAAGGGAAGTAGGGAGTAAGGGATCTTCACTAGGAGAAACACCATAGGTAGGAAGAGGGGCGGCTGCTCCCGGTGATGATCCCCCTCCCTACCCCCTGATGATGAAAAGCAGCAAGACGCGGAATAATCAAATGCAGTAACGCACATAGATGTCCTCCGTTAGTAGTTCGTTTGAGGCCTTGTATTCGCGTCTGTTAAGTTCCAAGTTAGCAAATCGCTCGTTTCATCTTTTTCGTAGAAGGTTCTGCGGCCTAAACCTATCCCCCCAATACATTCACATTCCAGGGATAGCGGCCGTAGAAGGGCATGAGGGGACCCAGGATAGAACCTGTTGGGATAATTGGGTTTATACTAACAGGACGTAGCCGTAAATACCACCACCAGCGAGCGTCGAGCCGAGAAGGAATCCGAAGAGTCTATCGCATACCATTTTGTTAGTTCCATGCTAACTCGCTAGAAATACACGTTAGATGGTAGAAATGGGCAATCTACTCACCCTCCACGGAAAGCGCCAACAGGCTTACGAACAGGTAAGGGTGCCGTCGCATCAGCCAGCGTTCGAGCTGTCGCGTGGAAGCTTCGTGTAGCGCGCGGGGCGGCGGCCGAGATGCTTCGGGCCCCGCTAAGCAGGACTCTAGAAGCCATGATGCTTATTTATGAAAATTGCGACGACAAAACAGAGAGGGTTCTCGTGAGGGAATATTCGAATGGGAGTGTCGGTATCGTTGAGCTTTTTATTTTGTTCTGGGAAAGAGTTGGGTGGCCAAAATGAATTTCGAGACGTCAATCAATTGAGTTGGGGTACCTAAAGTGGGTCCCCATTTACGCATTCCACCTGCACTAATTTCATTCACTATAGCGGATATTTCTCGGTAAGACCTTCTATTGTAGTTAACCTCGGGAGGGCTTACAGAACCAATCGTGCTGGTTGGTTACTGCTGTATTTGGCCAGTAGTAAGCACCTACTTGGGTACATTATTACACGTAGTAAGCCAGTTACAGTATAATCGTGTCTTCATCGTTTTTACTACTACTTTATCGCCTTCATAGTTATCCGCATATTAAAGCCACACGATTCGTCAGACAATCAAATTCATGAACCTTTCCTATGTTGATCTACCTGAAGTCAACATATATACCCCCAGTCCCAGATTGACCCAGCGTGCCGGCTGATGGAATTGCCCGGTCGATATAACTAGAAAGACACTGTACAGATGCTTCATTCTTTATTCTGTTATAATTTTCTTTTCATGTTTATAGTTCATCGTGCGTCTCCTGGGCAGCTTCACTGCTGCTAGACTCGGTTGCGGCCGGGGCAACAGGGGTCTCTTCCTCCTTCTTCTCCTCAACACCGGCCTTGTATTTGCCGTTCTCCTTGACGAACTTGATTAAGTCCTCAACGGTTCGAGAGCCGCTGTAGGTCACTGGCTTATCCTTGGCGCCAGCGGGGTATAGCTTGATAGTAGGGAAACCCTGGATCTCATCGGGAACGTCGTTGTTGGTAGCATCAACCTTGGCGATGACAACCTTGTCCTTAAATTCGCTGTTGCTGTATAGCGAGGCGAGATCATCGTACTTGGGAGCAAGAGCCTTGCAGTGACCGCACCACGGAGCGTAGAACTCAATTAGGACATCCTTGGTGTCATCCAAGACAACGTCCTCGTACGACTTACCAACGACAACAGTAACGGGACCCTCCTGTTTCTCGGGGATGGGCTCAGACTTGAGGCTGGGCTCGACCTTGCCAGCAGAGAAGTCATCAACAAAGGCGCTGATGGCATCGTGGGTGATCTCCTTCTCCTGGTCGAAGGGGAACTTCTGGTTCTTCACCGTCTCCTGGATGGCGAACGCAGGGAACTTATCAGTCTTGAGGTTAAGGTTACCGGCGTGAGCACCGAAAGCCGAAGCGTCAATAGTGGCGAAGTTGATCTTGCCGCGGTACTTCTCGGCAATGGGCTTCAGGGCATCACCAAGCTCCTTACGCTCGTCGGCAGTCTCGGAGAAGATATAGGCAAGGGGGAGACCAGCGGACATGTAACCGGAGTAGGTGTCGGGGCCGACCTCACCGATCAGAGGAGTCGATGCGACCTTAGCGAATTGCTCAATGGCCTCAACGTCGAACTTCTCGGAGAAGGTAGCCTTGCCTTCATCGAATTGCTTGTATAAGATGACGGCCGGGGCCTTGACACCCTCGGCTTCAGCCAACGCAGCATCGTTGGTGGCACCGAAGAGGTAAGAATCCCTGAACTTCTCAGCGACCTTTGTGTATGTTTCATTAGAAGATTTGTCGGAGGATTCGATGAAGGCTACTAAGACAACCTTGTCGGCGGTCTTGAAGTCTTCGAGCGTCTCGGAGGTAAGAAGCGAAACTGCGGGAAGAGATTGCTTAATCATGTATGAAGTAATTCTGCGTGCTTGTTAGCGACTGACGGTTATATTCTGTTTGAAGTAGAATACGTACGCAGCGGCTTTCCGTTGACCAGTGTAGGGTGTGATGTTATCCGGACCACGGAAGATCTTGAGTGTCGGGTAGCCCTCGACACCATATGTTTGGCAGAGATCACTCTCTTCTGTGCAGTCGACCTTGGCTAGCTTGATCGACTTCTCCTTCAGCGTTGTAGCGGCCTCCTCGTACTCTGGGGCGAGCGCCTTGCAGTGACCGCACCACGGAGCGAAGACTACATGTCGCAAAGTTAGCCAGGAACTTGAAAGGGCCATTTAGGTATGTGGTAGTTGTAGGGTCTAACTCACATTCTGCTAAGACGAGGTCGTTGCCCTTGACGAAGTCGTTAAATGTGTCCTTGTTTAGCTGCGTAACATCCGACGCAGCATCCGCCGCAGAGACACCTGCGGCGGCCGCGAACAGCGTAAAGACTATGTTCCTAGCCGAGTACATTGTGAAAACCTAAGTAACGGGGAAACCCAATTAGCTTCGTCGGGTTGAAGGATTTGCGGCCAGACAATGTGAAGCAATCAAGCGATCGAGCTAGCTTGTCGACAACGATAGAAGGGCGGTGGGCTAGCTACAAGGCTGATAAAAGATAGACAGATAGGAAGATGGAACATACCTTATTATATAGCACTGGCTTGATAGAACTAGGGTAATAAACTATGAAGGAGGAAACTAAAAAGCTGGATGCAGAATGTAGATGGAGTATGTTTTGTATCCCCCTACAGTGGTATATGTGTCCCTTCAAAAATTAGAGGGAGGTGGTGAATTGGGGAAGATTGGCAAAAAAGTTGGTTAAAAAGGCTGAAATGGTTCCCGAATATCTGGCCACAGCTACCTAAGGCACGCTATCTTAAGCTAGAATTTAGCTGAATCACCAAATCGTTAGTTCAATTTGGGTATCTTAGCCCCTCCATTTGTTGTGGCTTACGCAGATACATTAGAAATGCAGGGACGGGGTGTAATCCCCACCGCTTGATAAGGAGCGGTGGGCAACCAATACGACCTAAATGACAAGTGTTCTCTTTTTTTCTTATAGCCCCTCCCCTCCTTTACCGTTCATGCCGTAGCGCTGCAGGTCACGCTGCTCACGCCTAGCCTGCACCGCCACCTAACCACCTAAACCTTGAACTTCCTAGATTTTTGGGGAACCCCTGCGACAAAGAAGGGGCAATAATTGGGGGTATCCACTAGAGGCTCAATTCCGATACAATTTTAACAGATCACAACCCAGATCAGTAAATTCGGAACGAAAGGGATCTCGAAGAATTTGGACAAACACAATGTCGGAGGCTATCAGTTCTCGGACACTCGGTTCGTCAATCCGACAATCTAATTTCGATCATTATCAAATCACCATTCCAATGAAAAACTCGAATTAGTTGACAGCTGTTCACATCGGAATATTCGAATGATGTGGGATGTTGGGGCGTCACCATTATACCAACCACCAACCTATTGCGTTATTGTCTTGTCACGATCTGACGGCTTATTCAGCATTACATCTTTTGGTATATACCACAAACCAACAACTGCAGGATCACATCCCATATCCCTGAGTCAGGAAGGGATATTTAATAATGCATGCTGCGAGATTAATTGCACGGGTTGAAATTTATCCTGCATCGAGGCTTAAAAATCACGGACCCTTGGACCCTGAGCGTTGCAACAAAGATCTTTGAAATGCCAGTCCTACCATCGCATCATCTATTAAGAATCCATTCTCAGCTAGGCATCAAATTCGCGTAGATAAGAATCTCATTTCGTATCAGGCGTTAAATACAGAAGCATGTCGAGAAGCTTCAAGCGGTCTCTTGCGTATTCGAGACACACCTGAGTAATCCATATAAGAATTTGATTACCTAAGCTGATATAAAAAATAGAAGATAGGTACCTTTCATTGCTACGATGCCTGAGTACCTAAGCAACCCGAATAGAGATCGATGCGCTGAGCAGGCAATATCACCACAAAGAAGAATTGATATAGTTCTCAATGAACGATTCGGTTCCCCGTAGAAACGGAGAGTTTATGAGCAACTTATAAAAATTATTGCCCAAGTATTTATGCCAGAGCTACAAGACCAGGGTGCAAATGTCGCGATGTATTGCGATAGCATATCGAACCATTTCCAACTTTTTAAGTTGAAGAGTCGCAACGAGGCGTATGAGAATATATCAACTAGGGTCATGTTCTTCCCTGTCTGCAGAGCTGGAGGGGCTCTTAATGCTGTGAGAACACACGGCAGGTGCAAAGCATACCTCGATATCGTCATGGTATGATAGCTACATGCGGGTATCGCCGAATCTCCGAGGGTAGGTGATACTGTTTGTATGTAAATATCAATCGCAGCTTCCATCTCATTGGAAAGTACTTGCTAAGTTTTCACTATTAGGCTCCTTGCCCCCCTCTATTCTCTCATCTGAAGCGTCTGACTTTCCACTTAGCGTGATTGACCTCATGAAGCTGCCGGTTAACCAACCTTATTCGTTAGATTTTAGATTTTCTCATCATTTTGCCGATGTATCTTCACGCAGATTCTCTCACCAAACAACTTCAGCATTCGGCCTTGTCTGGTGACTTACTAGACCGTCGAAGCCCTCATCCCCCCAAAACGAGGCTCGATGTTGATCTAGAGCCATCAACTAGGCCTCTTCTTCTTCTTAACCCCATGCCGAACTAAATTACTTTTATTTCATAATCTAGTGTCTTTTTGCTCTCCCGTCCTCGTGTCTGTTCCCTTCATAATCAACTCCATCGTGTCTACCTCTGATGGAGCAGCATCGATTGCCTAGGCATAGTTCCAGCCATGGTACCCTTCATAGTAGCTATTCTCACGGACGGGTGGCTCATGGCCCCTCTCCTATTCGCCCGTTACATAAACCCCTGCGAAGCGTTAACGAGAATTCCGTCTTGCTACCTTCGCCCGGCGCTTTGGAGAGTATGTTAAAAACTACAACCGAGACAGGGGATATTGGGATTTTCAGCATCCGACCAGTTCCCCCGTCGCCCCAACGAAGGGATACATTGTCCGATATTGGACAGCAGCATTGTTCGCCGCGTCCTTCCATCGAAGAGTTACGCCATCGGAACAATGGCAAGTATTCCTCTTCATGTAGGGACACCGCTTCTGAGATAATATCTATGTATGGATCAGAGAGCCACAAATCGACCACAAGCACGTTGACGCCGGCGTCTTCAGAGGACGTTGGCCTACGTTCTTACTCGATGACCACATGCGGATCCCGTCATCTTTCCCACCATAGGTCGACAACAACTTTGCAAAGTCAAGCTAGCGGCGGTCCGCTTCAACGTCCCCGGTCACCCTTCCCATACCCAACTCGTCTAAAGAGACCTGGGGTTCGCCCAGCATCCCCAGCACTTACAGAGGGCGGGCGGGTAGACTATAGCCGCATGGTGGAGATTGACCGAACTTTCCTTGTGAGTGTTGAAGCCCATCCGTACGTATGATACGCACGGTAAACACTTACTGAGAGATATTAGAGGACAGCTCATGGCGCTTACAAGCCTATCTACCCCCCGATGCTCCGAAGGCCCCCTCCGTTGGGACTTCGTTCAGATACCAATCAATCTACCATTTCGTTACCGTCTCAAGGCTTAACCCCTAGTCGCCATGGGTTGTTGGGGCCATCCTCTATGCGAACTCCTTCTGTGTCTTCTATGGCATCTTGGAGTGCCCCGTATCGCGAAAGATTATATAGTCCTTCATCTAGAACATCGAGTCTTACCTCAACTGTGAATATGTATCACAGGCCGTCGCATGCACTCAGGCCTGGCCCGAGTGGTCTTTCCGCTGCTGTGCCACGCTATTACGACTATACCGAAGGGTTTGAGAACAAACAATCGCGTGTCACAACTCCAGTTCAGCCATTTGCTCCAGTCCCTACTCGTGGTTCAGATTGCCAGCGGCCATTAGTCCTTCAGGAATCTGATGATGATCTGGCTATTGCCTTCGGAAGGCGAAATTCTACGTTTTATGAGTCCGAGAACCGAAATCCTGACGCCATAGGTTTGGTAGAAGCCGCACATCGCACCAACACGCCCCGAGCAGCAAGCTACCAGACCACAATAGACCGTGCTCCATCACGTTGTCGTACCAATTCGATTCGCTCTGAAATCATCCCGATCGTATTCGAAGGGCCGGACATTAATAGAAAATTTGCAAGGGGAAGTGACATTGACCTATTACCATCCCAAATTGGTAGAGACTCGATGGACACTTTTAATGCAAGTCTTGACCTAGATTCTAAAGACGCCCCTGCCTACAGGTACACAGATTATCGCTCGACGGCAACACCAAAGACGAAGCCAAACCCACTACAGAAACATGTGCAGGTTCAAGGCGGCAGAACCCCTACGATTCGAAGCGAACAAGGTGTTATACTGAGGGACGATACGCAAGACGAAACCTTGCATGAAGAGGGACTACACGGATGTCATGATGCCGATTTAGTGGAAGGACAAGTCACAACGAGTCCACAGGGTAGTACTACTGGGCAACGTTCGTGTTCCGAACCTACTCAAGACCATTTAAACGACCCCACTCGACACGAAGAACTTCCTGATGGACAACTTAAATCCGCCACAATGAGTCGCGCCAATCTACGCCATAGCAAAGTAGATTCGCTAGGAGATAGAAACGGGACGACTGACCCCAATGATGTCGATGATGCTGGTTGCGACATCCGCGATAGTGGTATACCCACCGTGAAGATGGGAAAGCTAAACCTTGAATGCAACGATGTTAGAGAGGTCCCGATTTTAACACGCCAATTGTCGGCGGCGGCGCAAAGGCAGAAATTCCAACGCCACAGGAGGAACCAAGCAATTCCCCGGATCAGCACCAGCAGTTTACCAAGGGAAGATAGCGAAGGGTTCCAGTATATTTCTCCGTCTTGTTCCGCCACTCCCATTGTCTCGCCAAAGCCAATCTCGCCGGCGCGTCAACTGAAGCTGAAGAATAGCATCCCTCAACTTATGAAGGCATTACCGCCTATACCTGGTGATCCTGACTATGTTCCATCTCCAGCGACAAGTATTCTAAGTACGTCAAGTAATGGCGACGATTTCCCCGAGCTTCTTTCGCCGTTCAAATTCAACCAGCCATCCGTGCCTCTGCTTTGTAAGGATGCAGGCATCAGAATGCCAAATGTACATCTAAATTCCAATCGCGCCCCTGGCTCGCAAAAGAACGCACAGAGATTGAGGTTAAAGCCGAAGAAGTCGAATGGCTCGGGGGCTAGAAGCTCTTCAGATACGAAGCTTTTCGAAATAGAAAATAACCAACCACCAGCTGCTGCTGACCTCAATACAAACCTTGAAAACAAAGAAGTTGGCCATGGGGCACCAGCGCATGCTCGGAATAAGCTGAAACTTAGATCTTCTAGAAGTACTACTTCTAGCACTCCCCCGCCAGGGACAGTTCGCCATGTTGCAGTTATGGAAGGCTCTGGTTCCATAGCGGACACACCAAAGCAGCAGCCGCGAGATTTATTTAACTTTCCTTCGGCTCTAAGCCCGGCTAGCCACCCAGTCAATACGAAGTTATCGCAAACTCCCTATACTAAGGACTCCGTTAGCGATGTGCTTATTTCGAATAAAACGAAACCCAAGCCCGAAAAAAAGCCGGCTTTACTAAGGAAGAATACACAAGGTAAATTCAAATATGACCCACCTGTAAAATCTCGTACAGGCTTTGATGCAAGGCAACCTCGTCGCTTAAAGAGGCATTTGTCAAACCTTCGTTGCTTGTTAGTGGGAGCATCAAATCCAACCACAGCGATATCAGATGAAGCTACTACTCAAGATAAATCAGATCAGAATTTGGGCTTGACGGATGTCGAACTTACTAGTGGCGACTTTGCAAATAGGGGCGGAGGATCGATTCAGGGGAGCAGTGATCGGACGGCATTTGGTCGGCGGATGCGATCTAAGGTTCTTAGGTGGGTTAAATATACTAAGACAGCAGTGCGGACACGCGCGAAGAGAAACCGTGGTACCTGAATCTCTACTCGCACTACCACACAAATTATCACACCTCAGATTCCCATACCAGTGTCAGCATTCATTGGATCGCACGAGCAAGTCTTATCAACCCGAATTTTTTGGAACAGGTCTTGGGACCGCTGCTTTTAGGTTTTGATGGGTGGCTTTTTTGATGCCTGCTTGCTATAGCTGGGTCGGTAGTAATGTGGTAATTGATTTGGTATAAGTCGTGGAGGATTCAGACAGCCCCCAGAAGTAGGGTAACCAATGTTGGGTGAGAGAACAAAAATGCATTCTGTGCACTTAAGATAGCCCGGTCCCCCTTTACGCCTTACTGTATGATAGTCTTGAACAATATAATGTAAGGGGGACTCTTAATTGAGCGACAAAAAGAGATTAATAATGTAATAATGGTGATACGGTTCTTACTATTTAGATTTAGTGTCCTATGACTTGAGGCTGAACTTAATGTTCATGGCGTCCCAAGCACTAGGAACGCGAAAGTAAGAAACAATTATTAGTTAACCTTGGGGTGCGAATAGCCTCTCAGTGTGCCAAGGTAAAATCACATTTACAAGGAGGCCCAAGCCGCAGGAATTAGATTCGGTAGTCTAGAATAGCTTTACTATAAGCGTTATTTTATAACACTGACCGTGTCCTTAGAGAACGGCTGAAGTTAAAACACGAATGCTATCGTAGTGTCGATGGAGCTGGTGCCCTGCTCGTTCTGTGATAAAAACCCGGTTCTGCCCCGTAGGATCTTGTTTCTCCCATCTTTCAGAGTTGGCATTTCTAAAATTCCTGGAAATCAAAGTATCAATCTTGAGACGTTGGGGTAGTATTTGAACTTTATCTCTCAACTTCTTCTCTTTGCTCCTTTTTGTTATATCCATCTGTGGGTGGTTAATTCACGGAAGGGTTCCAAGCCACGACCATATCCCAAGTTAGGACCAATACGATTTCTTTTTATATTTACAAAATTCTATTGCACATACAATATCCCTATCCATATATATTAACCGTCAAGGTTATATTTATCGTGGATAATCGACGCACAGTGTTGGAGCACACGCAGAATATCAACACAAGCTTACAATCATATTGTCAAGCTCATCCTCTACCATTCTTTTACCACATCCGATTGGAACAAATACAGTACACCATCAACAATAGCGAATTATTTCAAAACCTATTCATATATCTTCTTTCAAAATGTCGGTAACGAACGGCAACTCCGAGGCTGGTCCCTCCGATACCCAAAAGAAACCCACACTTACGCATGTCAATGGCCGTCCGACTCGTCCGGAGAATCCATACGCAATCTACTATGTCCAGGGCCGATATTCAATATTTGGCAACGGTATCCGCTCGGCTCTGAATCTGAATAGTACAACACCAGAGCCAGAGTCAGACAGCCCTACAACACAGCTTACGGATCACACGCAAGTAACCACGCCGACTCCTCCGGAAGCGGACGATGAGCGCGAGAGCAAACCAAAGTGCAACGGTGACTCTGCTCATGTATCGTCTGAATATGTTTATATTAATGAAGATTCGGAGGATGAGGAAGAGGACCTTGTGGTGATCCCGAGTGAAGAGCCGATACAAGAGGAACCGGTACAGGAACTAGCACAAGGATCGGTACGAGAACCGGCACAGGAACTGGTTCAGGAACCGATACAGATGCCGAAACCGGTGATTAAGAGAAAGCCGGCTATCTCGCATTTCCAAGGCGAGTCTCGCGCTGAGACGTCTGCGGCCGGAGCAGCTGCAAATGAGCGAGCGGGAATATCTAATAATACCCCGAACCCGTTCACATTCGAGGGGTTCCAGAATTGGTATACTCGGGATCACGTACCATTCCGTCCAACCCTCGAGGAGCAGCGAGTGGCGCAACAGAACTTTACTCGGCGGATGGACGAAGTTATACAATCCGAGAGAAGGTATACCCCTCCGTTCGCGACTAAGAAAGGTAGTCGATTTTGGGGCCTCGAGAACAAGCTCAAGGTATGTCTAGAGATCAAATTTCTTGATGATGAACGCGGCCCTAATGACATACAGGAGCAAGAGGCCAAATGCCGAAAGTTTTTGACTCAAAGTTGGCAGAGATTAAAGAAACTCTTTGGCGCCAGTGAGACATTTCCCCAGTACTATTTCCCCGACGACTGGAGTAATAGTCACATTGACACCCCACCAGGTGATATGGAGCAGAGAGAGGCTTTACTGAGGGAGTCGACACCTATTGCGACAGCTGAAGTGGCGCAACCTACATTTACAATAGCCGATATCAAAAAGATTCGCTCTAAGGGCGGGCGCCCGAGTAGATTTACCGAGCACGAGGCGATCAGTCTCATGAATTGGACATCGGAGGATTTCGATGCGGACATAGAACCTATCCCGCTGCAGACCCTACAACCGATTCCCGAGAATGAGGACCCGTTCCGCGATGATGACGAAACCCCCGTTAACGAAATGGAGAGAAGCGCGCCCAAGGATCCGGAGGAAGACACTGGCTCTCCACCTCCGTTTGCGCGTGTGCAGAAGCCGCCCATGACGGGGCTCTGGTTCGCTGGGAAGATTTAATTCGGCGGGCCCTGGTGGCTTATTTAACCTCATGTATTTTTGTTATATACCAGAGTGATATGGAACACTGCTACCGGATGGAGTATATCTAGTGCTCCAGCGAAGCGCCGGGCAAGTATCGCAATGCGGATGGTTGAATGGGAATGGGAATGGATATGAGGTCTAGGAATTAGAATACTCCTCCACCTATAATAAATAGTCGTTCCTCCTCACGTTTCGCCCACTGAATGATTTTATTTGCTCCTTGCGTCATGACGGCTCGAGAGGCGTTGGGTCCTGCAACGCAATAGAACTCGAATATAGGTGTAATCCATGCAAGAGAAGTGCTGTCCTCTCCGACGCAATGTAGCACCTTCACATGAGTATGCTTAGCGTGTAATGTCGAATGCAGGCTGTGGTAAAGTGACATGAGTCTCCGATGTGAGAGGAGACTACTAAAAGCGGGGAGAAGCGATGGCATGCAGAATTGGACGTTGGCCCTTGACTTGAACAGAAAGTGGCTGACGTGCGTTCCCGGTGCAATTTCGTTAATTTTTGGACGCCCTTGCTGAGCTGTGGTTTTAATAATATCAAGGTGTCCTCTTTTCTTCAGTTCAGCCACAACGTCATCTCGCATTTGTTGTAGAGCGAAAAAGCTCTCCTTGTCCGGACTTATTAAGATGATCGCAATCTCTTCCCCAACAGCGCTCATGTCTCTATCGGATTCCGGATCGACATCTAGAAAACTGACATACATATACAAATAGCCGCGATTGTTGAAGGCCGGTAAGCAGAGTGGGATCCAATTTTCACCACCTCCGGCTTTGACACCCCCGGATTCGAATAACATGTTGAAGATGAGCTGTAAGTCGCTAGGATGAAGAGAATGGCGACGTGGCCGGATTACACTAACAAGCTTTCCGCCTGCAACTATCAAACCGTATAGCAGTTTTTCGGTTCGGGTCTTTAAGAACGCATTATTAATAGCGTGTCGATGGGACTTTCGAAGCCTTAGGCATTCCAAAGCCCCTAGAAGAGCAGACGGAGATCCTCGTGTAAAACTATCGGCCAACGAAGAAAGTAGAGTCTCTGTTCCTTGCAGAGGCTTTCGGAGATCTGTAGATGGTCGATTTGCGAAGATGTTGGTCAGGGTTGGGAGTGTTAGAGTAGATAAGATTTGCATATAGAGAGCGTCAAGTTGAGCCCTCAATTGAGAATCGCTTTCCCCGAGCCTACTTATGGCGACAAAATAGAGAGGACCTTCTGTCACGATAACAAACCGCGTGTTTCCAGCCGTGAAACCCTGAAGAGGGTTCTTTGCACCTTCATAGAACGAGATAATAGTTTGTACAACCCCCATCGATGAGTTAATCAGCCCTAAATCGCCATGTCTACTGTAAATCGGCTTGCCCGCTGAGGACAAAATCATGAAATGCTTTAACTTGGATTTCCAAAGTTTTAGTCTATCCTCGTCGTTCCAATTCTTTTCGGATTCATCCGGTATATCGTCGAATTCGCGGGCGAAATCGGCAAGGGCCGTGTCTTCCTCAATTCTGATGGCTTCAAATGGTGGCACGGCCGCAGACTGTGAGCGTAAAAGGGTCCAAGCGGGACTTTTCTTGCTCATATCCCCAACAAGTAGACTTTCCAAATCACCGGGTGGCCGTAAGGTTGGGGCAAGACTCATCACACTCATAGAATCGTCTATTTCATTAATAATCGGGTTGAATCCAATGCTTGCCGCTCCGGTATCAGCTGCCGTAGATGTTTGTTCGGTGCCGGCGGTGTTATCACCAGTGGCTGTTGAGAATGTACCACGTGATCCATCAGGAAATGAAAGTGTTTGAATGTTCATAGACGAAATTGCGGTAGTCGGTTTCGATTGCAAATTTGGCCTCTCTATTATTGCCGTAGCTGATCCATCTTCCGATTTTGATGAAGGTCGAGGGGGTAAAGGAGGAGGCTGCTCTTCGCCTTGAGCGGCGGAAGCGCTGGATGAGCCAGCATTCTCCGTGCCCATTGTGCCTCAGTTTCCACAATGATTGGTTGTATCATCATTCTAATAGTAAATCAAACGGTGAGTTCCGACGAAGGTCAACTGAAGCTCGCCATATCACAATCATTTATTGTAAAAAGATGAAATTAAGTTATGTAAAGGGATGAAAGTTGAGAAGTTCGGCGATGGGAATTAGTGAGAATTAGTGACCGACCACAGCGGAATGTACAGTACCTAGGCAGGAGTTAAGGTTATGGAGCCCCTTATCGTTATCGCTTAGACGTCATCCGAATGGCTGTTTCGGGTTGGATGGTGGGTACATCAATGTATCTTTAGCACACTCTTCGCGGGAAACACCCTGAAACTACAGGGGTCTATAGCCAATAAACTGTCCATTACACCTGCCCTATTTCAGGGAACCATGCTATTTCGCCGTACCTAGCTGTACCCATTTAGCGGGTACCTGCAACGTAATTCGCAACTTTAATGCGCTTTCAATTATTAACATTGAAATGTTCAGGCAGAGACATAACCCATCGCCGACTTTCCCCAGAGCATCACATAGCTCACAAACGAATGCGCCACGGCAAAGCTATGCGCCTCGACCTCTCTACTCCTGATCCCGACCCGATGGTCTTACGACCAGTACCTCCTTAGTATTAACTACCTCGAATATGGCCCTCGAGCCTGGTCCTCGCCGTTCTACCTCGCCAGAGAGCTCTGGATTGAGCACTCCTACAGTAAGACAATGGAGGAACCAGTTAGGCGCAGGTAATTTGCACCAACATGAGCAGTCTACCTTTGAGAATTCCTAACATAAATGATATTACAGAGGACGCTCCAATAAAAGACAAGCACTACCGAAAATATGCGTCAGGCGTCGAGCGAGCCCTGTCGCTGTTTGATACAGCTTTAGAAGAATGGGCCGATTACATATCTTTTTTGAGTAGACTACTTAAAGTACGCCGAGAGGACCTCTTTGCACCAAACCCCTAAAACGATAATGCTAAGACAGTTCTTGTGCAGGCACTACAATCACGTCAAGCGAATACTACCTCTATACCCTCCAAAACCCTCGTCGCAAAGCGTCTCTCGCAATGTCTAAACCCTTCACTTCCCTCTGGCGTGCACCAGAAAGCCCTGGAAGTATACAGCTATGTGTTCTCGATTATAGGGAAGGATGGTCTATCAAGAGATCTTCCTCTATACCTCCCCGGCTTAGCCCCGACGTTGTCGTTTGCGTCCCTAACCGCCAGAGCCCCATTTCTCGATCTCCTCGAAAGCCATGTGCTTCAAGTTGACCCTAGGTCCCTTAGACCGGCAATGAAAAGTGTTATTTTGGCGTTATTACCTGGATTGGAGGACGAAACAAGTGAAGATTTTGATCGAACGTTGAGAATATTAGAAAATTTCAAGGCTGCTATCCGTCCCGCACATCGCGAAGATCTTACAGCAATAGATTCAACTGGAGACGATTTCTTTTGGCAGTGCTTCTTTCTGGCTACAATTACGAGCCAGAGTAGACGACCTGGTGCTCTTGCCTATCTTGTTCGTAGGCTGCCAAAGTTAGGAGAGTCCCCTACTCAAGAGGTTCACCCAGGTCAAGCAGGACAAGCTGAGACTGAAACCCTCTCGTCGGCGCTTTCGAATCTTGTGACCTCTCCAGAGCCTGGTTTACTTCTTAGATGTTTCGCTTCCGGATTAGGTGACGAGCAACTTCTCATTCAACGAGGCTTTTTGGATCTTTTGGTCACACATCTCCCTTTACACTCCAAGGTGCTACAAAAAAGAGCCAAGAGTGAAGATCTGGAACTTTTACTTCGTGCTGCAGCTGGTGTTGTAACTCGGAGGGATATGAGTCTTAATCGACGGCTTTGGGCGTGGTTTTTGGGACCAGAACCTCAAAACCAGGAACACGAAAACGGCCTAGAGTCGCCTATTTCACAATCCGAGCACCACGGGTTTTATAATTCCAAAACGAGTTACTTTGAAGAATACGGATTACAACCTCTTACTCACGCTTTATTATCAATGGTCAGTTCCGCGTCTAGCAGCAGTCCAGCAGAAAGAGCCCGACCATACCGAATTTGTCTCTCCCTAATGGATAGATGGGAAATAGGCGGCCTAGTGGTTCCGGAGATCTTCCTCCCGGTAATAATCAGTGTTAAGAATTTCAAGTCAAAATCATCGAGTAAGGCCGAATTTAACGAAGTATTGCGCAGCGCAAGCGTGTTCTTTGATGGCGTCGAGAGTGGTCTTATATATGGCGAAATGATAGGGCTTGTAGCACACGCCATTAGTCCAGGAAATACAACGGACGCAGAGCGCAATGAGAAGCTTGCGCTCGTTCAATTTATCATGGCACATTTTAACATCCGTGAAGAGGAAATGATAACCCTTCATGCACCCCTAGCCGCTTTATCCATCTTAGCGATGCTAGAGGATATGAAGGACAAAGGTTCATCTGGAAATCCTACCCTTCAATCTCAGGCACTGGATATTGCCCGAAATTTGGTTGAGCTCATACCACAACGAGCATTTCCATCCAGATCAGGAGAACGGGACTCAATTGGTTCCATAGAGAGTCCAGTAGTAGCATCCACGTCAAATAGCGAAATGCTCAAGAAAATCAGAAATTTCTATATTTCTGATCAAGGAAATCTTGAAGCAACCCCGTTGCCCTTCGCCCCACGAACCGTCGGAGCCTTACTAGCCCAAAAAGCTTGCAGTTTGACTTGCGATAGTCTTGCAACCGCCGACCAGGAGGCCTCATTATCTATCAGAAGCCGACTCATAGGGTTAATTCTTAACAAGATTCCACACGAGTATAGTATAGATACCGAAAGACTACTGTTAGCTATGCAAAAACGGCTATCGGTACCCAGCATACCTTTCGTCTCATTCAAATCTATCCTATCACTTTCAACACAACTTTACACTAGCGAAAGGATACCGGTGTCCTATCTTTCAGATCTAGCTGAGCCATTAGTGCGCCACGCGTGGGGATTTCTATCTCTATCAGAACCGAAATACCACGTCGAGACCGTGAGATGCTTATGGCAGCTGCAGACAGCTCTCACAATATCAAATCGCGATATTGAAGCGGTAATCACTGATCTCATGCTCAAAGACGGAACGACGGGTACTTTTTCAATACGGCCAGCTGACCCAGGTCGGAGTTTTACCATACTCTGGTCTCATTCATTACAAGACAATACTTCACATTCTGATCGAAGAGTTCCAAAAACCCCTACGAGTGACTATAGACCCCCATTCCGACTATCAGGGACAGACCACTACGATATAATCCTTACCAGGCCCCTTTTCTTAATGCTGGACTCGTTATTAGATGAACGGACCCAATTGTTTATGATGGTCAAGAATTGGTTGAATACCATGGTCGGCATTGATAAGTAAGTTAAATATTAAGAAAAGATCATGAAACGTTATTGAAGGGCTGACATTGAAATTCAGACTTTTCTTAATATTTGTGTCAAAGATCTCACACCTCCAGTTTCTTCGATCTTCCCCTAAGACTGCAAACACCGGCGCATCAAGTCAGTCTGTTGAATTCTCAGCAGAGGACGACCTGGACCTTGCACTCTACTATCTCCGTACCTTGTCGAATATTTTCCGATGGGCACCTGATGCATTTTGGGGAGTCCTCGCAACGTGGATGATCGAGGAACCCACACAGAATATAATAGAGATAAGTGAGTTGACAATATTTTACAATTCCCTGAATCGCTTACTAATAATATCTAGCTTGTACTGAAAGTAGTTTGTCTCTTCAAGAATTCTTCCTACGAGTCTGCATGCGGTGTATCGCTGGAAATCAGTTTCCAAGCGACAGCCAAATGCAACTTCGGGTTGCCCAACTCCATCGCTGCGCGTTGACTTTCCTTCACCAAATATTACTTAATCCATACGCAGAAGCCATGTCACGTTTAAAACTTGAGGACATTTTGATCGACCGGCTTGCTCAATCTCTCAAAGGGCCCGACCCATATATCCAAGTACTGCTACTCGATGTTGTCTTTGCCGCGCTTCGACTTCGAGATTTGTCACCCGCGGAATTGCCGTCTTCACCAATTGGGGAGAAACGATCCTTGAATTACCCGTCCGGTAGTGCACGAATGTCTGCAACTTCCCTAGAGCATCTACCTGAAATCACAACGGCGCCTCCAGCCTCATTACTCAAATGTATACAGGCCGGTCTCAGTTCGCCTAGCAGCCGACCCGTACTGGATAGCTGGGTGGGCTTCCTTGCCGAATGTTTACCCTTATACTCGGATTCCATTTTCCAAGTACTCATACCTTTAGTAGAGACGCTTTGTGGTCAGGTAGCAAGCACATTTAGCAACTTACAAACGACGTTCAAACAAGGCGGGAAACCGTCTGAGAGGATTAACGCTCCTGAATCAACTTTGATATCGTTGCTCAATGCACTTGAGCAGGTGCTCGCCAAGGCACATGATCAGTTGCTGGCTGCAGAGGCTAGAGCCCAAGTCGCAAAAAGTCCTGATCAACCTCAAGGTTTCTTTGGGAACATGGTGTCTGGAGTTTTCAACTCCGATGCTCCGCAGTCTCGAAGCGCCACCGCCAATGATAGGCTGACCGTATTGCTTGCCTTTCAAGACGCAGTTAGGATGTGTTTCAAAATTTGGTCCTGGGGGCAAGGAAGCGAAGCCGGTACTATAGATGCTAACTCAGCTTCATCGTTCAATTATACGTCTCTGCGCATGCGAAACCGGGCTAGACGCCTCCTGGAGCACGTCTTCGCTGCTGAGGCGTTAGAATGTCTAGAGACGGTAGTCGATATCTGGCGATCTTCACTCAACGATCCTGATACTACTAAGCACACGGAAGTATTTAATCTACTTCCTGCATTAGATGGGTCCCGACCAAGACATACTATACCCGCTATTTTCAATGCTATTTACAGCCGATCAAATCCGGGTGCATTGGAAATGTCTCGAAAGTCTACCTTAACGCTCGAGTTGCAAGATACTGATCTCGTCATATTCTTAGTTGATTACGCTCGGTCTCTAGAAGACGACGCGATGGATGAGATTTGGCAGGATTGTATGATCTTCCTCAAGGACTTGCTAGGAAACCCTTTTCCGCACAGGCAAACATTACCGAGTCTCTTGGAATTCGCAGCAATTCTAGGAGAAAAGGTGGATAATACAAATTTCGGGGAGCAGAAAAAGATGCGAAGGGACCTCGGAGTATGTATTCCATATGCATCCGTGGCTTTTAGATTTATTACTAATGTTGTACTAGGATCTCTTCTTACGACTGCTTACGGCTATTTTCACCACAAGACCGACCTCCTTTACAGATGGACCATCAAATTCGCAAACGGATAAGTCAAAAGCCGGTGAAGGTCGTCTCATATCACCAGCAGAGAGAGCGGACGACATAGTCGGCATCTTATCTAACATTGTTCCCAACTTACCTAAGATTCTCGTGGAATCAGATCGCGTCTTGACGGCAGCGGGTGCCATTTCCGCCAACGTGATCGGCCCGTCTATTCGTTCAAAATCATTCCCAGAAACTATCTCAAAGACCACATTAACTCTACTTCAAGAGCTCACTAGACTTCCTGGCAACCAGAAGACTTGGAAGAAAGATATTGGGGACGCTTTCAACGACTCAAGATTCTTCAACTCATCAGTCGCTTTAGTACGGAGCGACTGGCTACCCTTATTAAAGCAGTGGACGGTCGCAGACAAGGATAGAATGCCGGAGATACTAAGCCGAATTACGCCACCTACGACAGCCGGTATCGTCTTTGGAGTGGGCGCCACGTCGGCGAGATTGGAAGCCGATCGCAAAACACAGCTCAATCTCCGTCGTATTGCAGCCCTTGTCCTTGCTTGTGGAACGGACACATTCGTCACAGACCTACCAAATATTCTTGAACGCATTATCGAGCTGCTAGCAGCTACATCCACATCCTCCCCATCATCAACCACACGCGCAGATATATACATGGTGGTTCGGGCTCTCGTCCTCCGAACCTCCGCCATACATCTAGCGGCGCTTTGGCCTACCGTGAATGCCGAACTCCATGCAGCCATATCGTCTGTAGCAGCGCCGGATAACAGCACGTCGTCGGACACTTTTAGCAATACATCCGTGCTCCAGGCATGTAAACTACTAGATCTGCTGGTCGCGGCCGCACCAGATGACTTCCAATTGCATGGGTGGCTTTTTGTCACTGATACCATTGACGCCGTCTACCGCTTCGCTGGTTACCAGCCAGTGGCGTTGGCTGACGAGTTGTCTGATGAGCTTGGAAATAACATTATAACACCGCACGTCGAGTCTACAGCCGCCGCTGCCGCAATCGCTGCCCAGGCAACAGAGGGATCGACACCGTTGAGAAAACCACTTCTCGGTCGGCATGTTGGTGGTATTGACGACGAGCTCACAGTAGATCGGAGAGACGAACTAGTGGCCAAGATACTAAGGCCATTCTTTGGCCAATTGAGTATTTATGCATTCGAATCGACGTACGCCATGGGAACGCTGGACGTTGAAACGTGTGTGGAAGGGTTGCTGGCGGATTTGTTCGATGAGAGGACTATTGTTAAGGCGTTGTAGTTGTAGTTGTACTACTATGATGGGGTGAGTTGGAGGGGTGTAGAATAGGGGAATGAAATACTTGACAACACCGTATTTTTTTATGTAGAGTGACAATAAGTGTGAGTGAATGTGTAGAATGACGCGGAAATGCGCTACAGATCTATGCCCCAAAGGCTTTTCCGAGAATATGGCGGAATTGCGCCCCTTTCTCCCGCTATTAGGCGCATTTTAGCGATGCACTGTGTCGTTATAACATCCACCTTCCAACAAACTTAACAGTACAGGTAGCGAGTTGTTAAGTATAACATAATGCAATATCTCTTGCTATATACTTTTAGTTACCATAAACGAAGCCCTTTTGTATCAAATTGAGCGCTCCCTACCTCCCATTCCATCCTATATAATTTTCTTCTCCTGGCGTATATACACATATCCCCCGGGACTATCACCCTCCCATCATCCAACCTACACCCCAACTTCCCCCACCCGCGCAAAGAAATCCCCCGACGTCCTAACATCCACCGGTATAGGACCAAGTACGCGCTCCAACACATCCTCAAACGCGCCACGCTGTATCACGGCACCGAAGAATACGCATTCAACCACGGATGCTAGTTCAGATTTCACGCGGTCCATGGTGGAGATATCGGTTAGCGCGCTGCTGTTGCTGTAGAGACGGAGCATTTCGAACCATGCTTGTACGGGCGCGAGCTCGGAGCCGTCGGCTGGAGTTAGCGTTGAGGCTAGGCCGTATAGACCTTCGAGGGTTAGACCTGATGCGCTTGCAGCTGCCGCTGTTGTTGGAGTTGGGTTTGATTGCGTGGTTGTTTGGGATGGGAGAGGTGGTGGTGGGGAGATTTGCCAGGATGCGAGGATGTTGGGATCTATATTGTTATTCGTGTTGTTATAGCTGCTATTATCACCACCACCGAAGGATAACGGCGGGATAATAGGAGGTTGTGATGCCACGATAGAGGTATGATCGTCAGGTAAATTCCTGCGCTTCTTCTCGGCGTCGATTTGCTCCCATACACCCGCTGGAGCGCTCCGTAACGCGAGAGAAGTGGCCATGAGAGCGTGTCCGTTTTCTGAGCTCTCTGGGTCGTAATGGTCGTGGTCGTAATACGAGGGGTGGAAATGGTCCCAGCAGACGTGTTCGAGGCTATATTTGGATATATCAGCAATTCTCCCAGGAATATTAACTCGGTCTAGGGAGAAAAAAAGACTACTATACCCTAAGATGAAGTTTATAGCATAATCCGCATCCGCCTTCCCCCCCGAACCCCCCGGCGCCGCACCCGTGGAACCACCCACCGTACCAGCCGACGAACCCGACGGCGTAGACGTCCTCTGCACCTGGTACACCGGAGTCCCCAAATCCAACCCACCCTCACTCAGAAAATTCACCGTATACTGCGGCGAATACCCTCCCCCTCCCGCTTCCATACCCAACCGTCCATAATCCAAAGTCGGCATAACCAACCTCGGCGCCCCCACGCCCACATTAACACCCGCCCGCAACAATTTCCTCCGAATAGCCTCATTCTCGCCCTTCAACAACATGCCATCGCGTTCAGCGCGCGCGATCAAGTCACGTAGTTCCGCGACGTCCATTTCTAACTGCTTGGTATAGTTTGCTTTACGTTGACGGTGTTGGATTTGTGCCTTTCTGACTTGGGCCCGGCGAGCTTGGGATTTCGCTTGGGAATCGCTACTACTGCTATCTTGTTGTGACTGCTTTTTGTTGTGAGGGGAGGTGTCATCTTTGCTGCTGGGGCCTAGGTAGACGAGGAAGGTGTCAGTTTTTGTGTGCATAGTTGGTGAAGAGGGAAATGATAAGGGAGAGAAGTAAGTGTGAGATAAGGGAGAGGACAAGGGGCGATATAAAAGGGCGAGGAATTCAGGTAGATAAGTGTGAGAGACGGGTAGCTCCTAACGATGATGAAGACAGAGCAAGAATATCGTATACAAGACCCAGACTGATGAGCTCGTAGACGAGGTTGAGGTAACGTTTATAAGCCATCTAGACGCTCATGAATCCAAATCAAATATCTCAGTTATCCCTTCATCCCCTGTGCACCTCCTAATGTTCACAATGTAAAACATGGCCGCGCACTACAGCGGACTGTTGTTCCAGCGCCGCATCATGCGATCGCCTATGGTGGATCATCAACCAATGATACATCGTGACCCAAAATAAGATATCTCAGCCTTATGACAAATATCTGAGACCTATTTCAGACTAGGAAGGGGAATAATGGTAAGGGAATATTTAGGTGGGTAAGAGATAGGCGTATATATAAGTATATAAGTGAATGAGGAATGAGTGAGTGGGTATGTTAGTAGATGGATGGAAATTGTTGGCCACGCCACCATACGATATGATACACCAACATACCTGCCTGTTGCTCAAGGTTGCTCGACACAAACGTAATCTGTTTCGCCGCCTCTTTGGTGCGTCTCCAGTAGTCGGTAAACGAGGGTCTCGAGCCGCCATTCCCTTTTTTAGTAGAGGTGCTATCACTTGTCGCCTCATCCGATAACGAGTTCACCATTGTTCGACCCTTTTCGCTAGAGATAGCTAGAGCTATTTGGGCGTCTTACTACGCAAAGGGTAGGTTATCTAAGGTAGTAGTTGCGCACGCGATAGGTAGGATAGATTTCGCATTCACATTTTTTCGGCGTTGTAGCTATAGGTAGGTGAACTGAATGGGACGGGATGGATGTAAGCATGTAAGCGTAGGAACGTGGGGCATTTTTTCCAGGGGTGGAGAGAGATCGACCATTTGGAATCTTTTGTCTCCTTTTTGGAATACACTGGACGAACCTCCATCAGAGGATTTTCTCGGTAGTCCGAGCGCACGTGCAGGATCGGAATATTGATATTGGGAAGTAGTAGGTAATACCAGGGAATGATGGAATGATAAAAGGGCATAAAATGTTTTATAATGTGGCTGGAAATGTCAATTGTGCGCATCGGGAACAATCGGCTGTGCCACCAGAATCATACCAACTTCAGGTGTAAACATCCTCGCAGACAATAAACTGTAGAGTCCTGGAAATGTCATCAAATCACTACCTGCTGGTCCCTTAAACGCCCCATAAATACAGGTATCATCCTTTTCCTTAACCTTCGCCTAATGCTAACGCCGACCAAATGCAACCAGAAAGTCCATGCCCTCCCGTTCATTGCCCTATTCGTCGTTTCCGACCTCGTCGTCAGTAGCAGTGTCCTCGTCGACTTCTTCGTCGTTTTCTCCTTCCTGTTCATCCTCATCACTATCATCATCTAGCTCCTCCTGGTTGAGTCCAGGAATATGTCGCCACTGCAAATAATCTTGTTCGACCCATCGCTTACTCACTGGGAGCTGGTATGGATCAAACGGGAAGAAAGAGCCTAGTTGTTGCCAGCTCTCGTCGTTCATGTCAAAAGACAAGTCTCGTAAAGCACCCCCGCTAGAATATGCCCCGGTCGAGAATTGCGACAAACGAAGACGCTTATTCGCCTCGATCAATGGGTAAACATACATGAATCGAAATCGATGAGCTAGCTTCGCGAACTGGTTAACAATAACTGGCGAGCAGACCTTGAGGGGATTGAGTTTGGAGTAGATGTTGCGCCTCATTATGTCTTTGATTTCCGACTCCCACTCAATCTCCTGGTCCAGGTATGACGAGATGTCATCCTTGTCGACTTCGTCAGGTACTGACCTAATCAGATCTTGCCATCGGAAGCAGAAGATATACATTAACGCCTGCATTAATGCATAGAATGGCGCATATCGACGGACGTCAGGCCCGCGACATGAGGTTTCGTAGAGGGTACGCATTTGATCCAAGTGGAAGCCTAAAACCTCGAAAATTTTAACAACGATATGACCAGGTACGTGCGCTCCGCGAGCAACAAAACTCGCCAGATATGCAGATGCGGCTTGTTGTAGGATCAGAGGACGTTGTGACTCGAAAGCGATATTGATGCAAGTGCCACAAAACGCGTCGATAAGCTTCTCGGATCGTTGGCCAAAATGGAAGATCAAGAATTGGGTATGTCTTGATTTGATAGTCGGTAGTATGAGGTTAGAAAATTCGGAGAGAAGGTCTTCGAACGCTTCTAGGGCTTCATCGGAATCCGGGTCGGCGAAGCTGGGTGTATAGATGTCGAAAAGTGTGTCGAGAATATAATCCATCTTTTCAATGCTCTCCTTGGCTGTTTTGACGCGCGTGTATTCATCGTCCTCGTCCTCCTCTTCGCTAACTACCGACTCGGCATCACTTTCGTCCGAATCTTCTTCGTCCTGGTTGCCGTTTTCGCGCGAGGACTTCAGAGCCATAGCAACCATTGCAGCAAGCCTATCATCCATGTCGTCAAGGTCCATTTGCATCTCCACGTCGATTTTAACCAATCGACTAATGATTAGATCCATGATTTCCGTCTTCAAGTCGGGACAGTATTTTCGCAGCCTTAAGAGATTATCCACGTAAGCTAGATGCATTCGCTTAGATTCGTCGTGAAAAGGATATTTCGTAGCCATCAATTGCTCTAGGACAGGCTTGGCGGCAGGGAATAGTGATAATAGGTAGCGTAAAGCAACATGTAGTCTCTGTTGTGCAGCCTCGCGGCTGACGGTAGGGTAATTCGGGACGGCCCAGTCGGAAGGTCTCGAGTCGGTGAATCTTTCTAGGATGCATATCAAGACCTGTGTGAGACGAGGCCCTTGCGCGCTGACAAGAGCCGCGAGAAATTGGACGTAGATCTTGGCAAATTGGTCATCTCGGCCAAGCCACTGGCATTGCAAAACACTCTTAATTAGACCGTCGCATGATCTTCCTAGGCGCGGAGAGAAGCTGGAAAGTGAGACCAAATAGACCTTAAGTTCCTGACGCCGCCTCTCTGGGATGGTAGGATCTACATCTTCATCGTCGTCATCGTCGTCGTATGATTGTTTTCCAGATAAGGTATCCTTTAGTATGTCGTAGTCTTCGTCGTCTCCTTGATCATGACGATCCAGCGCCTTCCTTATTTCTTGTTTGATCTCGCCAACCGATCGCGCGCCTATCTCGTGGACTTCGATGTTGTTCAGATCGAACTCGACTCTCTGGCGTTTTCGGGGACTTTGCGGGTTCTCCATGGTATTATTATCGAGGTCGGCTTCGTCGCTAGATCTTCTCGTGCCAAGTAAGGAAGAAGAGGACTTCAGGATGGGTTTAAGCGGTGTGGCGGCCTTCACGGCGGCGCGAGAAAGTTGTGGTGCAGCGGTCGTCATAGTGATAGACATGTGGGCGTAGGGATGCCTGGGCTTATGACTTATACAAAGATTGGTGTTATCGTATACCGAATCTGAGAGGCGATATATGCTTGTAAGTAATTCTCCGGCATGCTGGTCTACCGTAATGCCAGTTTTATGAAAATGAGAATCGCAAGTCTGGCGCAACCAGATGGGGCCGCATCAAGGAGGGAAAAGTGATAGAAAAAAAAAGCAAGCAGAACAGTAAATTTTCAGTCGTGTACAGAGGCACTGTGAAAAAAAATTAACAAGGGTCCCCATGTATAAGATAGATAGACATGCGGGGCAATTCCGACCTTTTATCACATACGGTCCGTGCACTGTTACTTTCCCTACAGTGTATTAACAAATGAACAAACTAATTTTTAAGAATACAACATCATTTGCTCTCCTAACGAGTTTTTATATACTTATGTAACGTATAAGATTCCCATGCGTACGTCCATACAAAGAATTGAAGTAAGGATGAACTGTTATGTTCACGCAAATGTAGATAGCCAAGTAGGCATGATTTACTAGGATGAGATAGGAACGAATAACAATGCTTACATACACATTATGGAACTAGGCGTGTGCTTACGTACGCATGGTTAATTAGGTAAGCCACGAATTGCTTCAAATGATAGGCACGATGTCTTATCTAAGTAATTAGGTAAGTGCGAGTTTCTTATGCTTACGTACACATAAATCATTGAGCACCTGGGCAGGCACGAACTGCTATGACTACCTAGTAAGTGCGAATCGTTGATGCTTACGTACATATCGTCAACTTAGACAGGATGAGAAGTTCGCTAGATAGTGTCGTTCTCTTCATTTAAACATATGATAAACAACAAATTCAGGGATATTCAACGGTGAACTTATAAATCAATGGTGGTAATAGGCTCACTTGGGACATTAGATGTAATGAATTGGTTTGACTTGGTCGTATTTATTCCCTAACTCAACGAAACGGTGCTATATAAGCAAACAATGCTTCAGGTATTGGGCTGTTCTCCAATCCTCATGAAGCGACAAGAACTGCCGAACTCAAGTTGATGCAGAATCTCAAGATCGATCTTAAGAAGCGCAGAGAACTGAACGAAGAGGCGAGGATGTTGACGCCTTTGGGGGGAATCTATTCGAGTAAAAGAAGAAAAAAAAACGCAGACCTAATGCCCCTTTTGCGCATAACCCCTTCCGTAAAAATCCCTAGAAAGCCCGCCATATACAGGGCCGAAATGCGCGCGAAGTTATCCCTTATCCGAAGAGCCATATCTCAAGATCCATGTGCGGATTCATCGCAAATCCTCATACTTATACACACTCGAAAGTAGTATAGACCTCCTCATGATGACCGGGGCGGCGAATAGATCGAAGAAAGCTCCGGGTAGCCGATACCCTGAGATACCCTGAGGATGCCAGGCGCGAAACTTAGTATGTCTCGCCAGCAGCGCCGTTGTGACTCGGTTGGGTGTAAATATAACTTTCACCCGATTCGCCGATACCACCGGTGCCATCACCTCCTTGGAAACCCGAAGCTCCAGCTGCACCGGATCCACCAGGCGCTGCAGCTCCATATCCCTGGCTGTTAGGCCTGTTCTGCTGGTTCTCGCCACGGTTGGACTGGGACTGCTGGTCATTGGTTAGCACTGCTCTGTGGGGGAGGTCTAGCACACACGCAGCGTGCAAGCCACGGAGTAAGGGATAGAAAGGGAGACAGTACCTCGCGATATTTAGAGAGGTAGATCTTCAAGGCCTCTGCGTAGTTCTCGAATCCCAGGGACGTCATGGCGAAGAGGATATCTTCACCGTTCACCGTCTTGCGCTTCTCCTGGTGGCATTTCTCCGATGCTATTTACGGCATTAGTCTTCGCTTGCACTGGAGGATATTATATATGAAAATAGGATTAAGCACTTACCTTCGCTAGTGATGAAAGAGATGAACTCAGAAACGCATTCCTGCATGCACTCTTTGGCTTCCTTCGCGATCTTGGCATTCTCGGGAAGAGCAGTCTTCATAATTCGGGCAACTGGTGCAAAGTTACGTATGTTAGCATCGTAAAGATCATATCTGTCGGCTTTGGAAGCGCCTCGCGCTTCTGGCGACTTAGACGACGAATCGTGAGACATGGACGCCTTTTTGCTGATGCGCGGCTGTCTCGAGCTAAGAGGGCCATAAAGCACCAATTGACGGACGCGCCGCGGTCAGAGCTCCGCAGAAGCAATGTTCTTTCCTCGAAGCTTGCAGGCAGGATCCAAAAAGCAGACTTGGGAGCACCAAATCAGAGACAAGAGTAGGCGAAAGGGTCGTAACTTACCATTGGCTATGGGCAACCATCGGTCTTGCTCCTTGACCTCGAATTCATAGGCTAGGCCAGAGCCGTGTGGATCGCTAGGATCGTTCATCTGTGCTTCATCGTCGGGCGACGGCGCACCAGTTTCTAACTCCTTGGAAGGAGTATGGGCGGGGGATTCAGACATATTTGGCTACCTGCAGCGGGTGGTAGCTTCTTGTAAAATTTTCTTGGATTGCCAGCTCGCACAGCTGGTTACAAGGTGTAAACGACGTGGCCAACCTCTGACACGTTGCAAGTGGTAAGGCTTGCAACTCAGGGACGGCTTAGCTGCAGGAAGAATGCGTTAATCCCGCCTTGTCGCGCGGGTCCCAGAATTACGACCTTAGAGCTACTTACTATTCGTCTTGGTTGGTAGAGGGCCTGTCGTGAGCTTTCAGGCTATGACGGAATCTGCAGCGGGACGTAGTGTATGATGGGTTTATGCGTATGCAGGAAGCCTGGGCACGGTATGATATGAAGTAGACCACAAGTAGCGTGGTTGTAGGTGATTTAGGTAGGTATGGGATGTAGGGTGATGATTGTTGCGTGGTGTATGGTACAAGGTTGGATGTTGACTTTTGTGTGGATGGATTTTTGTGGATGAGGTAGAGAAAATCGCGAACTTGCACCTGAGGTACGAAAGTACGCTTAACCCAGCCAGAGAAAGCGGGGGCAGGTTTGGTATGTGTGGACCCGCCATTTTTTTTGTAAGGTTTGCGGGTAGGTACGCTCTAGCGCTAGCACATGTGCAGCAAGGTGGCCTGCGCTACACATATGACCCATGTTTGTTTTGCGAAAAAAGCAACCTAGGAAGGTACATGGTACCTGAATACTTTTTGCGGTACTTAGGTACCTAAGTTAAAGCTAAGTACATGCATAAAAGTATTGTATACTGAACATTCAACCTGCAAAATTTCGAAATTTTGCAAAGGTCTATTGGGGAAGGTACTTACTGGAATACCTAAGGTAATCACCTAACTTAGGACCTAACCTCGAATTTTAGGGCATGGAGCAGCTACCTAGGTAGTCCAGCGCGAGATCCGCCTTGCCCTCTGCAACTGCCTTACGTAGATAGATACGTATATGCCCAGTACGCGGGGTAGACGAAATTTGTACCTAGGTATCAAAGTACCTAAATCACGTTTTTCGTCTAAATGCGCAAAATGGCGGTGATCTGTAAATAGATAAATGCGACGAATGCGGCCGCATTATGTTATTGCTTGTAAGAAAAATGTTGGAAAAGTTCCTGCAAGCCGCCAGTGTGTAGGGTTACGCCTAAGTGAAGAAATAAAAATTCGGCGGAAAGGTTTGAGTTTGAAATGATGTGAAGTGAACAAGGCGCCGATAGGTGGGGTGGGGTACGTTGATTCGACGGCGGAAGAAACTGAATTTGGTTCACAAAAGAAAGATATGCGCCTTCTCGAAGATATGCGTCTCATGCGCTTGGGACGCCGTATGCGCCTTATGGGTATCTAGATACGTAACTTCCACAAAATAATACGCTTTATGCGACGCGCCTTCTATCTAATACATATGTATTTATATACCTTAAAATTTAAAGATATGCCCCTTTGCACAAGCTAATACGCGCATGTATACACCCCTCAAGAATATGCGGCTTATGCGCTTTCAAGAGAAAGTGCGTCTCTAAATGAATAGGTATGCGCCTACAACAGGTACATTTTATAACGTACGTATCGATGAAAACGACAACAGTTAAACATAGAGACAAGAATTATTATATTCATATTTCATTCACAGTTTTTATTCTTAATTACGTATACTAGTACAAGTTACATAACGTGATTTACAAATTCCTTGTTTACATGAGGTATGTAACATGATGTAGCATCATACATGTAACTTTGATGAATATGTAGGTACCTGGCTAAGTGACTACATACTTCTATGTACCTACACGCAGGTAGTTGTGTGGGGTACTTGCAGCAAACCCCTAAAGGGAAACTTTAACGTACCTAGGTACCTTTGATGGGATCAGACAAGATTGGATGGTAATAATAGAAATTAATTAAAATTGATGATGAAGTATAGATAAATTGTCGGTTTATATGTGACCAAATATGAATATTGAAAACAAATGATCCAACAAGAGTCCTATTTGGTATTTGAAGTATAGGACAACACGACAATAATAGAAGTTGTATGCTTTCTAATACGGATAGCTGCGGTCCTAAATTCGTGTCGATAAAGGGCAATATACTTTATGTACTTGCGGGCATAGGCATCTAAGTACCCAGGCACATGTATACCGAATAACCTTAGACTTTGCATGTAGATGATATTCTTAATTCAAATTTGTTGAAATTGCCCATAAATTTATGGCAGCAGGTCATCGGAGCAATGGGTACAGCACTAAACCATGCCGATTCAGGGGAACTTCTCCGATTCTTAAACGCTGCAAGTAGGCCGTGGGACGCAGCACCTCTCGAGTCTCCAAAATGTATGCCATCATATCCGCTGTACCCAAAAACCACCCCATGCATCTCATACATGAGAGGCGGTGAGGACAATTTAGCACAAGCAGGCTGAACATACGATGCTCCAAGCTATAAGTTACCTGCTCTTATTATCTACGTCTTATTACCCCGTGTCACGAACTTCCGTTGTCGCTTACGCCATGCAGTCGTCGTTAATGTGGTACCTGACCACCTACCAAATAGGTACTTAGATAATTAATGTACCTAGCACACCTGTCATAGATACGGGACGGGAGAGGAGGGGAGAAATCCTCTGCTGATTTGACAATTCCCCCAAATAAACAGTTATCCGACATATCTGTATGTGCCTACGCGGCAGGAACAGAAAGCACTAGCTTGATCGATAGCTCCTCGATCTTGGGGGCCGAAACATTTGTTTGGACAACGATTAGATATTTCGAGACGAACAGGGCGACGACTGGCTCTGGAATTGACCCTGGCGGTTCATGTTAATACGCTATTTCGACCAATTGCAATCTTCAACGCGAGGCCACAACTCTGATTGGAAGTAAAACTTCAATTCTAATCCAGGGATCCAGGGCTCTTCCTCTCCAGGAATGTGGAGAAGGGAATGATAGGCCTTGGAAGCTTTTATGGATTATATTGCCGTCATCAATCACTGAATCCTGGTAGCCCATCAGATGGATATCTCCTGGCTTGGCCGTCTAGCCCTGCAAAGCTTAGTGCAACATTAATGGCCGGTACCTACGCAGCGCGGACGGGGGCGCAGCAACGACAGTCCCTCATGTCTTCTACGAAACTACGAAGCCTGCATTTTTTGGTACATGTACCTACCGATATGCAAGTTATATGCGGCCTGACTTCTGTCCTACGAACCTACATACATAGGTACGGTCCCATGGATGCCCAATCGTCGGGAGTCAAAGAAAGATAACCCTGTATCCGGCTATCTCATTGACTGCATTTTCAAGATATTTCATCCAGATACCCTATCTAAACTATGCTTTAGATGCACTTAAATAAGAGTTACCACTGTATTGGGAAAGGAACTCATTGGCGACCTTTTTTTTTCATCCTTCTACGGAATTATTAGGAATGACAACGTCTCCGAAGCGTCTCCCGTCCGGTTCGGAAGGGGGCGTGGGATATTTCCCACCCCTCATCCCCCCCCTCCGGATCATCACCCTGCTTACATTTGGGCAGAAGTGCATCCGTACAATTATCATAAGTATCTCGTGTGTAGTTCCCTTTTTCAGGTCGATTTGAGACTTACCTCTGTTCGATATATAGAGCCTACCTAAGTACATGATTTCGCCCTGCCTATCTGCCCGGGCATTTCGTGTCACATTAAATCTACCCTAGTACTTGCAGAAGAAAAATAGAAGTTGGGCCGAGTTTTGCAGTCAGGATCGTAGCAATCAATATCGTCACTCCCCTCCATGAAATTTTTATGATATGCAAATCCCAGTTGGATGGATTGGGTTTACTCATTCTACCAGGATAGCCGACGCTCCCTGTTTCAGACAAGCAGATCGCTTGTCATCAACGACACGTTGTCAGTCAACCCCAAGCATCGCCGGCACTCCATAGAGTCGTCACGCGGCACGTGGAGCTTGAAATGCATGGTAGGGGTCCCCGCCCTCTCGGAGCATCTGCCGATAAACGAAGTAGATTATCTATGCACTATTCATGATTATTCTATCTCGTTTTCTTTACCCCCAAATATGGTGCGAAGATGCTACATTGATGACAGATTATATCGATGTGCCTCGTAGACGCAGAGTCAGCAATAAGCCCTACTTGATCAGTTCATTTAAAACCAGTCAAAACAGCCACTATCCTACGCGGCCTACCCCCCAATCAGTACTGGTTGTAAACCGTTGATCATGACAGCCTTGAGGAAACCTGTCGTTGGGCACTGAGACGCCCTTGACGCTAGGCTCCACCACCTGCAGCTACAATTGTACAACGCATCAACACCATCTTTTTGACGTCGTGGTGGCTTTGCCGACAGCCTTAACAAAATAGCACTATACAGCAAGCACCATCTTATCTACCTCGACGTCGTGCAACAAGTCACCAGCTCAATCTCGATCGTGTGTCTCGGAGCTAAAGGTAATGGCGTTCAAAATGCCAACGCCCGTGAATCGATCATATACTTTGATATCCTCTGAGTTGGTAGACATCCATTAGCCCTCGTTTTCTAGGGCGTTGATCAAAAAGCATCCGGAGCATACCCATCTATACCATACTAGTCTTGACGCCGATCTCTGCGTCCACTCCGCAACGCTGTAGTTGCGTCACGACTGGACAACCTGGATATTGTGCTTTTTCTATGCGAACGGTCATGTTAGTTCCATGGTTACACAACAAGTGTCGAGCGGAGCCTTCGGAGTTCCCAGTTCCAGGTTTGCAAAAGATGACAGACATACCTTCCACTTCTCTAGATCGTCCTGCTTCGTCTTGTACTGCTTGACTAGGTCATCTAGCACCTTCTTTAATCCTTCGGCGTTCGTCCTCAAAGCGGGAATTACGTCCTGGACTGTCCGCTCAACCAACACGCCGTTGATCATACGAAAGCACTTGCGGTCCCTGGGAAGCGGTTCCAAAGTATCTAGCACAAGCCTAGTAACACAAACAGTCAGTAAACGAGCGGTGAGTTCGGCGAAGCGGTGAGGTTTATAGAAAGATCTAGTTCGGACGCTAGAGATGAGAACCCTAGTAGGGCTGAGCCCGCGCGAGTCCATTGCTAACACCAGGGGGTTCTTATGAATGCGCTTCCATGATGTCAAGAACAAGATGAGAGAAGGTAATAGAAGAGTATCCCACGAACTTGTGTTCTTCGGCTTCCTGTTCGACGTCGCCGATCTTTTGTGCTAATTGCTGTAATGTATTCTTGTAGCTGGAATACGTCGCCTGAAGCTCTATAAAACAGAGTCAACACCCAATCTTCACATTAGTCGTCATTTCAACAACATACCTTGCTGCTTCTTAGCCGACACGTTTTTGGTCGCCATGCCGAGATGTTGAAAGGTATAGAAGTCGAGTAGGCTCAGTAGGGAAAGAAACTTGATAAGTATTGTGAAGTTACGCTATCTTGAAATGAGATGGATTTAATTTGGCAGCCTCTGAAATCAATCGATGTTGTAGTGAACCACTGTAAATTTAGTTCATTGGAGGGGTTGGTGGGGAGAGGTGGAGCCCTAAACCGTGGGCCAATGCGATCTTTTGCTTAAGAGTTTAGTCCAAGTACCGAGTCTCCGTCGCGCCGTCTTTTTTAAATGTTCAATATCCAATATTCAGGGTTTGCGACAAGAAAAAGGTGGCCAGTCACGACCGAGATTAATTCTTACTACTTCCTGCAACCTATCGCAAAAGTAGATCTCCAATATAATCGAAGATGCATCCTCACTTACATACGAAGGATAACATGGGTACCTTTCCCCTCCGTCGGATCGTCGAAATTTATCCATAGATCACTAACAGACATCCCACAGCATGCGAGGAGGTCATGACCGCCCTCGAAGAATGTCATGCCAGGGGCTTCCTATGGAAGTCAATGGGAATGTGCAACGATGCGAAAGACAAAGTGACCCTATGCTTACGAGCTGAACGACTGAAACGTACCGCGAACAACCGAGAAGCTGCGAAGGCTAAGCGCGATTCGATTAGGAGGGCGTGGACTGAGATCGATGAAAACTCATAACGAGCGAACGACGAAACCATCTCCTTATATTACAGAAGCAAATTATTAAATAATGTATTCTTACGCATGATAGCATGGCGCGGCGTTTGAAAAAGCTACGGGGGACTGGCTTAAATCACATTGGAAAGTTTTGCAATGGGGTCATGATTGAGTGGCGTTCTGCGAAATACATTCTCCACTTCATCGGAATTGGAAGTCATATTGCGAACTTTTTGTCCATTGCATGGTTATACTATCTGGGTCGGGTCCTATTGTACTATACACGACCACGCAAACATCGCTGTTCCTTCCATGAACTTTCAACCGACCGTTCCCTTATAGAGTTTTCCTAAAGGCATTGCCGAAGATCAATAGACCGAAGATGGAGATGAAGCTCAGCACAGTTGGGACGGGCTTTCCGCTACGGAGGGCTCGTGGGATGGAAGCGCCGCCGAGTACGACGGAGGCGAGGAGGGCCAGTTCGATACCGTAGGGCTGGCGGCTTGATAGACGGTATCCTCCTAGGCCGTCTTGTTGCGATATCATGTTAATTTCAATACAAATCGCAAGCTAGCCTATCTAGAGGATTATCGACGTACACAAAACACCGACTAGCGTACCAGCCGCAACTGAAGGGATAGATCCTGTCTTAACGTAGCCAATGGTACCGCCGCTCGCAGTCAAGGCTCCCAAGGCATATGCGATATTCTGGAGAGACTGTTCGGAGCTAATTAGCTTACGCTGAATTGTTAGATCCGCTCAACCTACCATTGTTCCTTGATTGATTGAATGTGTAAAGTCCGGATAATGTTTTAATAGACAGGAATATGTTCGTCTTGTTATGATTATGTCGTTCAAGAGGGTTAAGCTTGGCGAGGTTGACAAATCGAAAGGCTACATTCCATCATCTAAGAGTCTTGGATGTCCGGACCCCCGGCGATCTTAGGCAGCGAAACGCCGAGGCGATGCGGTGCTACAATCAATCGAAATTAAAATGGGGATTTATGTACATACCGTGGCTGAAGCTCTAATCCCTAGCCTACTAGCCACAATTACCCCAAACTCTCGTACCTGCAGGGAATGAATTTGATTGGTCCTTTTTCATTAGCATACGACGTTTGGACCGCTAAACTTTTGAAGCTTTCGTGTCCCTAACACGCAATCCCAGGGTCCCATTAAACTTGATCGATTTCCCTAACGGCGAACACTCCATTCCACTATTCAAACAAACGAAGCAACGTGCCCAACTCCCGAGTCCAACCCTGACGTTGACGTCTTCCCACCTCAATCCTCGACGGCACGTAGCAATTCGTTTTTGTTATAAACACCATGGCGCCTAAGAAGTCGGCCGCTGCTTCTGCGCCCGCGGCGCCAGCTTCGACAACTGCAGCTGCTACTACGACCACTACCACAGCTAGCAGCAGTGCCGCCAAGACTAGCACCAACGTCCCTCAATCGATCGACCAGGTAGCTTGGAACATCGTCGAGCACTACCAGAAGACGACACCCCAGCGCACGAAGCTAATTGATGTGTTTATGGCGTTCCTGGTTGTCGTCGGTGGCTTGCAATTCGCATACTGTATCCTGGCGGGTAATTACGTATGTACATCCTTCTCTTTTCCTAGAGAACAAATATCTCTATTACGTCTGCGGTGCGGTTCCTTTACTAATGATTGCAGCCTTTCAACGCTTTCCTTTCGGGTTTCTCGGCTACGGTTGGACAGTTCGTTCTTACTGGTATGTGCTCTCCTATATGAAGATAGATGCTTGGGATATTAACATGAGAATAGCATCGTTGCGCATACAAACCACCGAAGCGAACAAGTCCGAATTCCCTGCAGTATCACCAGAGAGGTACGCGCCCCCACTCCGTCCTCACCCTATATTCTCCTAGCTAACAATTATATAGAGCATTCGCAGATTACGTCGTCGGCAGCCTGATTCTACATTTCTTCTGCGTCAACTTCATAAACTAGGCAAGCAAAAGGCGCATGGAGTATACCCGGGGGGTTGTACAAAAAACTCAATGGGCGCTGGACCCAGGGGTAAGATATGTGATGTCTATAGCATTAAAACCAGAGTGGTCACATCTGGGTAGAGCAAGCAAAAAGAACAAGCAATGAATTTTCAGGTGTTTTTGGGAACATTATTCTTCGTATTTCAAGGTCGTGATTTATATATCTAATCTACATCGTCGTCATCCCCACCACCTGTTTCTTCAGCTTTTGCTAGCGGGGGTGCTGCTCTCGGAGGACCACCAACCGCTTTAGGAGGTGGAGGCGGCGGTGTTTTGCTCGCTGATAGGTTCCCGTCTAACTCCCTACTCTTCTTTTCTTCTTCCGCAAAGTAGTCGTCCATCAATCTCTTCGGACCGTGACCATGCCGTTCTTTCTTCTTACTTCGCGGCGGCGCTGCGCCGGCTGGTGGAGGTGGTGTTGAGCTAACCAGTTGCGCGGGGACGAGGAAATCCGGTGACGAAGCTGGAACAAACACATTCGCATCGGCCGGGGGAGCTAGAGTGGTAAATTGTTCCGTACTAGTACGGGTACCGCTCGTATCGCCATCAAACAATGTCTCGCCGGGTGCTTGAACAGGTTCACTCAAAGGCGCAGGTAACCGATGCAACGCCCCATATCCAAGCACACACCCCAGCGCTCCTTCACCACCCCATTCGCGACTCGGCACGATTTCAACCTCCCTCGTGACGTTGTATTCGTTATTATAAACCCAAAGCTTCAACGGGCGTCCCACGTAATCATCCACCAGCTCACCCAACCCACTTTCACCATGTAAAACTCCATCTGGTGTGCCGAGGATGTAATCGCTATACGGTAATAGACTAGCGTGGTCAGCGGGTGAGTTCGCAGCGACGTCGAGGACGTGCCAGACGTTGGAAGCTATAGCGAGAGGCGTCCATTGGAGGGATAACCCAAGAGATCGTGTGTCGGCTGGAACTGGAACGTGCAGGACGCGAGTTCGTTGGCCCTTGGCGCTCCAGAGACCTAGGGCGACGCTGCTGCCGGCGCAGTTGCGGACTTCTTGCGCGAAGAGGCGGGGGTCGGGGTTGTCCTGTTGATGCGCTTGTCAGTTATATAACTTCTCTTTTATTTCTATTTTTTTGTTGTAGAAAATCGTACAATTACGCGCCCGTTGATACCAACGATAAAGTCGAACCATGGCTCGATGCCCAGCTCGAGGTTTGTGTTGCGCAGGACTTGGAAGCCGAATCCGGGTCCGTCTTTTTGGTGCGGTCGCGTATCGCCGTCGAGGCGCGAGAGGTATCGGTTTAATGCGTTGAACATTATATATGTGTCGCTATTTAACGAGAGTGGTTTTTACGGTGTTAGATTAGGTATGCGACATGTAAAAGTGAAGATACTCTGGTGTATATGCTGTTAAAGCTACGTAAGTCAGGTACTATCCACCTATCAGGAAAGCTGTCATTTCAGAGTTAGCCCTACGCTATAAGGCATTTAACGCTTAACGCTAAACGCTAAACGCAATTAGTGCTAAAGCTTGTACTATAACTCAGTGGGGTGTCTACTAAAACCCCTGCTATTTGTCCTGCCCAATACAATCATTATCCTCCAGGGCTAACTTCCTTCACTATTTTTCAAGGACTTGGTCCAATTAACTTATATCACCACTATAGAACTACCTAGTCGCCGACTTTTAGGTTCAAGATGAGACGAGTTAATAAACTTCCTTTGACAAACCAGTGCCATCACTGGACTCGTCTAGGAGAAGTGCCATGGGATCTGCAGAAGTGAGTTTTATTAACATTCCCAACTGATGAGACCAAAAACTTATCAACTTCAACTTGTAGGTATTGGCAACAGAGATACACAATATTCCCTTGCTACAATGAGGGTATTTATATGACCCAAGATGCTTGGTTTGGTGTAACCCCTGAACCAATTGCAAAGTAAGCCTCATATATTATTTTCTTATTCATTCTTTTAATATAGATTCACAAACTAACAAATAGCTAGCCAAATCGCACAAGACCTCAACTCCATCATTAGTCCATCAAAGACCACAATAATTGACCTATTTGCCGGTGTAGGGGCAAATGCTATTGCCCTTGCCAATGCTACCACTAATCATGGCTTGGAAGATCGGTGGGATAAAGTGATCGCCGTCGAGTTGGATGCAGCCACTCTTGCCTGTGCGCAACACAATGCATCTTTACATGGCGTAACTGACGACATAATATGGGTCCTTGGTGACAGCTTCAAATTTCTAGATGCTCTTCTAAACTCGCCAGACAAACTTGAGGATGACTTACGAGTCGATGTTGCGTCTACTGTTCTCTTCGCGTCGCCCCCGTGGGGTGGTCCGGGCTACAGCACCGATGAAATCTTCGATCTAAATACCATGGAACCCTATAACCTCGCAAAGTTATACGGATCCTATAAGACCATGGACCACGCCCTTTATCTGCCACGCACGAGTGATCTTAGGCAAATTGCCAAGCTAGGCCCCGAAAGACCCAAAATCGAAGTTGTTCAATATTGTGTTGAAGGCGCAAGTAAAGCCATGGTTGCTTACATACCAGCTGTCCAGGATGAAGATACTCATGGAAACATAACATTCGGACCCGAATCGACTACCTAAGTTGCGAGTTACACATATCATGCCCCATAATCCGGTTCACCTAAAATACGGCAGATTTTATATTAACTCAATTATCCTTGTACAAAGTTCGTGGTACTACTGCACGGAGTAGAACCTACAACTAGCCGGCTCATACCACGCTCCTCGATGAGTGGGTTGTTCGAATTTCTTCTAAGAAGCCTCTTATCCAACCCATCCCGCAAGAACAATACAGGGTGTGCAATTACCAAGCCTACCACAGCCTCCGCAACGAGGAAACTATCAAGCCCCGCGAAGAGTGCCTGGTTCTTCGCTGTCCAGCTTTCAAGCCCTTCGCTCAATATTATCACCTGATATACCCCTCTTCCGAATAAACACATGGTTGAGACCAATAACATTGCCACAAAGAATTTAAATCTCTGTGCAATAGGTACGAAGCCATGGCTTGGGTGAAATGTTGTATATCCGTAATGGCTATTGGTTAAGGAGGCTTGAAATAGCACGATAGTGAAAAGAGAAAGGAAAGTAATCAAAGAGACGGCTTGCAGAATGATGCCAGTGGCAATAATGGGAGTGCCATAATGAGCATTATGGCCAAGGCCCGTGCTGGTGGAAATATCTGAGAAGGAAACGATGATTCCGATAAGCTGAAGGGCGAATCCAACTATGTCGACCCAGATTAGGAGAGGGTAGTGCGCGATGTTTATCGGGGAATGTTCCTTGCCAAGGATTTTAATTACTTCTGGGGTGATGAAGTAGATGCTTCGAGATCAATTAGTTCTTGATCGACGCTCAACATGGATAGGGAATGGGGGTAGCTTTTACTAACCCTGTAGCAATAAAGGCTGGCGCAACTATTATAAACGCTGTCGATGTTGCATATAAGACCACATTCCATGGATCAACCGAGCTTCCGATCCGAATAGCATAGCCGATGCTTTCGAGAAGACAAGCAATCGAAATTGGCACGCTAAACTCTAGCCATCGATTCCTATCGGCTATATAAAAGGTGTAGAGCTGACAGGCAAGCAGGGCCCCAATGTGAATGGTCAAGAAGATCGCTTCTGCCGCTGGGCTTGGTGGGTAACCGTACGGAGATGCGGCGACTGGGCAAGTATCGAAATCGCACGAAGCAATAGATCTCATCGTGAAAGTAACGAGCGATGCTGGATGCCCCTTTGAGAAGAAGATGGACATTGTGAAGGGGCGAACACAATGCGCGCATCTAACAGAGTAGGATGATGGGATCTATTAATATGTCGATGTGCTCCAGGTCTAACTGGCAATCGACGTTAGATAGATCCCTTCCGATCTGCCTAGTCATAGGGAGCTGACATACCTGTTAGAAGGGTTCATGTCACAAAAGCCTCTTGAGAGAACGCCACTACCAGTAGTGAAGATCAGATGCCGCGAGAGACCCTTCTTCTATCCGAAACAACCTCGTCAAGTCTTAGAACTGCGACCCTGCTGCAACGTCTAGGCAACAGAAAAGCTCAATTCGGAGATAAAACACCGGTGGCGCCCGCTTATGGCCCCGACAACCCCCAATTCAAGTTCGGTCGCGTCAGCCGAAATTCGCATTCGCAGAATGAGTAATAGAGTAGTAGTTCAGCCCCAACCACAGGGAATTCAGGGCACACAAAGGGTATTCCCAGCCATATCGTAGGATTCATCCTAGACATGGCTGTGCTCTAATAACTCTAAAGTTAGACGCCCAATGTAACAGATCCGAGGCCTATCAAGCCGCCCACGGCTGCTGCCGGATAACACCAATCAAAACTACTTAGCTTAATTAAGTGGTAGTATTCCGAAGCATTGTTGGCAATATTTGAATAACCTACGTCGACCCCAAATGCGAACTTGTCCTTACTCGCGCTTCCAGCGCCTCAAACATCTAAAACCTGTCCAATCCGGAGGGAAATAGGCTTTGAGATATTCACACGAAATTGCCCTATTTGACTGCGGGTAAGGGAACCGGTTACTCAAGCCATATTCAGCGCTGACCAATCTGAGACATCATCCGCTGTCAGTTACCCACCAAGGCACATCTCCGATTACTACATGAGTTCCTTCTTTCTAAGAAGGGATTTCGAGTGGCTTGATACGATACGGATAGCAATTCGAAACCACGCTACCACCTCTCATTGCTATCACTCGATAACCTACTATGATGGCGAGTTAACCGAATCGTTAACGAAAGAGTTAGTGGTGTAGATATGCAAAAACGTTATGTGATCGGCAGTGTCGCGGATATGCACAAATCTGTGTAACATAACTACACCCTTCCAGGTCGCATACAGGTCTCAGGGCATAGGCAACTAATAATCCTTTTTCATTTCCCACTCGCCTATCGTTCATCGTCGCGTTAGTTTAGTAAGGGAAATTCTCAGCACGCAATACGACACATGCATAATCACGATAGCATCCGCGGCAATCTACGGTGCCACTGCAGCTTAAGGTCGAGACCAGCTTATGCACAAAACCCCATTGATCGCTTACGCGTCTAGCAACGAAGATGGTGACCGTGTGCGAGGCCGCGGAAACCATATATCTACCCGGCAGCGGTCATCACTATAATAAATGGCTTTCAGTTGTGCAACAGATGATAATTGAATGGTGGATATGATCTGAATCGGACTGGGAGGGTTTGTGCGATGGCGTTTAGGCTCTAGAAAAAGGAAAACGGCACATTATATCGCATGAGTAATCACTCCCACGCCTTCTCCCCCCACCTAAATACGCCGCGGAGAAGCATCAAGGAACCGCCACTTGCCCGAGTCAAAGGGACCATAGTGGCGTCGGTGGAAATGGCACTCGCTTGTCAGTCCTCTTTTGGTATTGTATCCCGAGACCTAGGTCGTTTGTCAGCTCAGTAGGTGAACCTGAAACTTACAATATCATAAAAAGAATCTCCAAAATACCTAACCGGTCAATAGATACCATTAATTCGGGGTGGGGGGAGCTGGAGTATCGAATCCGGAAAACGACTCCGTGGGAGTTAGGAGATAATCGTGAGTGTCTGAAAGTTTGGGGGCGCACTGGAGATACACGGCAAAGGAAGGCATCGCAACGTGGCGGCTACTACCTTAGGGATTCGTACTACCTACGATCTTGTGTTGAGATTGCGTTGCCCACCATAGGGTCTGACCAGATGAAAGGCTAATAATGCCCGGTCTCGAGCCCGCAGAGAAGTTATCTTCATTTTAATTGAAACATCGAACGAGGTCCCCACGGAGTGTATAGCCTTACGTACGTACTTGCCCCTTCTGGGCGCTTAGGTCTAGGTCTATCCGATGCTGTGTGTGTTCGCCCGGGAGGAGGGTATCTTGTAAGGAGTAAGAGTCTTCGGAATTACAGACCTGACGCTACTTGAGCATCATACGAGTGAACGTACAGTTTAGAAGCTTAATCTATAAGACATAGAATATACAAAGCTGCCTGCCAGATTAATAATCGATAGCGCGATTTGGTATCATCATCGTAATATTATTATACGGAGTGACAGTTCCCCTATTAATTAACTCAATCCAGCCATCCATCCCTTTTTCCATTTTCCATTTCCCTAGCCTTCGTATCCCTACTAATGCCCTTCCCAGAATCGTCGGAGGGAGTGTCCCTACGCCCTATTCCTTTATCCCTTTATCCCTTTATCCCAGAAATATAGCTTGTGGATAGATACTGAGTATTGATATAGACTAACCTGTCCTATCCATTCTCAACGACAATACACAAACCAACCCATCCGTTCACATCCCCGGCCTCGTGAAGTCATCACCTGGCGGCCAATTCCCTAATTGCCCGGGGTCCCCTCCAATCCTGACATACGTGCCCACGGCTGGAATGCTATCCTGCAAGACATACATCTGATACCAACCAGCAGGCGCTATATATACCCTCGGCGGTGCCGTAACTGTACACGTCGTGCCGTCACACGCTACATCTGGGAATAGGGTCCTCGCGCCCATTGAATTTCCATGTGTACTTGATACGGCGCCGAGCAGGGAGACTTGTATCTTTCCAGTCGGTGCTGCGCCTAATTCGAATGTGACTTTGTCGCCGTAATCCCAATCTTTATTAGTAATAGTAAAAGATGGGCGCGGCTTGTCGCTGTATAGATATGGCGGGGTGAACACTTCAACGCGGATCTCCTGTGGGTGTTTCCCGTCCTGCGGGTCGGAACCGGTGATCAGTACGCGGCCGTCGAGCAATGTGATGGCTTCGCTATGGTACAAACGCGCGACAGTCGTGTTGGCCATGACGGAGATGCGGGAACCGATAGGTTGGAAGGGATCATATAGTAGAGCGTTGTAGTTAGGATCATCGGCGAGACCGAATCCGGCGACGCCTTGGTGGGCGCCGTTGGCGATAAGGTAAGTGCCATCTGGTAGCGGAGCCATGCAACTGAGAACTCGCTTGGAGGGCATTCGCTCGAGTGTCCAGGTGGGTTCGGCGGCTTCGGGATATATGGAGACGCAGTTGTCCAGAGCAGAGCCGCCAGTGGTGGAACCACCACACATGAGCACACCTAGAGGGTCAGTGTAAGGCGCAAACTGGGGTAGGAGTACGGACGCTCCCTCGAGAGGATAAGTACGGCCGCCAAGATCATCGTTGACAGCACCAGGCATATTAGGTAAGGTCTTTGTAGTGTCAAAGGTGACCTCATCCAAAATCCTAGCCTCGTTCCAGTATGCGACGAAGATGCCGCCGCCAGGCAGGACTGAAAGGAACGGATACAAGTTGTTCGGGTCCGTACGTTCAAGCCAGTCCATGTAAAGTGCCGGTCCGACTTGGGGTAGAAGCTCAAGCGAGGGCTCAGGTTTATCATTTGAACCAATCTCACCACCTACAACTAGAATGGATCCGTTGGCCATAACCATAGCACTAGGATACCATCGCCCTTTTTGAAGTTTGAGTTCGTTGACATTTTCTTGCCAGTCATTAGTTCCTTTGACGCCATCCGATCCATCTGGTATATACAGGCGGATACCGTACGTGGAGTCGAGGGACCAACCACCGACAGTGAGCTGTCTTGCAGCTTTGTCTGGAAGAATAAGACCAGCGGAGCAGAAAATGTCCGTCTTGACATGCATGGTTCTCCAGGCGGCATCGAAGTCGCCGAGTTGCGTAAGGTCGAGCTCGTATGCGCCAGTGCTGTTCGCGAGGCCGGTTCCCCATTTCTCTAAGAACGTGACCTTGCCGGTGATCGACTGCATGGTCATCAGAGGGGTGACGACACCGCCGACTAAGTTTGAGTATGTTCCGGCGTTATTTCCTTCAGGGTAATGAAATACATATAGAGGTGTCGAGTCATTCCAATAGTACATCGAAAGCCGAGCGCCACCACCACATATGGAAGACGCGTCTCCGGCGCAGACGACATTGCATTCACTCTCCGGCCTCTTTGTGGCGCCTGAGGTATCAACGTCTATTGGGTCACCACAGTAACACTCATCACCATACTCTAGACCCGCAGCGGCATAGCCGAAGGAAGCACACTTGCTTAAGCATTGATCAGGGGTCATAGTGTTGGCAAAAGTAAGTGCCCAGAAAAGGGTTCGTTTGTTGTTGACATTGTCCTCATAGCAGCCCTGATACGTCCAATTCGCAATATCACTGCTAGGTGTTGGGTCTTTGTATACCTGGGGTGTGCCTTTTGAATAGATACTCAAGTATCCAGAGCCGCCACACATAGAGTTACTGTCACCTCCGCAGGGGGTTGAGCATTTTGTCGTGTCGTTATCTGCGACACCGCCGTTGTAGATGGCATTGCTACAGAAACACTGTGTATAATACTCCGTTCCTGAGACAGTGTAGCCATCACCAGAACAGAGCTGTGCGCATTTCTGTGGCGTTAACTCGGGATCGTCTGGGGCTTGGAAAGTTGGCATGATACGACCATTTGGTCCATCTTGCCAGCAGCCCTGGTCAGTCCAACCGTCGGGAAATCCAGTTGCTATCGGCGTTCCTGGGTCGCTGCTAGTAGCACTCGGACCGCCAGGTGCGCTAGAGGAGCTTGTTGGAGTCGAGGTTCCGTTTTTGACGTAGACAGATAGTCGATTGCTACCACCGCAATATTCTAACTGGTCTCCGCCACAGAGCATGCTGCAATCACTCTCAGGGGCTTCGGCGGATCCCGTTTCGAATTTATTACCGCAATAGCATTCCCTGGCATATTCGACGCCGAAGTATGTCGTACCTTTAGCATCACAAAAAACTTGGCAAGTTTCCAATGTCATCCCATCATCGGCGTATGTGTATAAACTTAGCGCTCGGATGTTACTCGCTTCAGTTTGGCAGCCGTACCAATTATAATTACTTATGGTTGAAGGCTGTATGGGTGAAGTAGGTGTGGCAACGGAGGCGCTACTCGTATCAGTGGCTGCTCTTTTGGCAATGGTGGCACTGGGACTCTTAATGAAAGCTGGATATTTCATATCGTTTCGATATACGTTTAACTGGCTTGACCCTCCACATACTTCGGATTTATTACCCTATACAATCAGGTCAGCCGTTGCTATTCACGTAGCAATAAAGTTTTAACGCGGCATATGCATCACGAGGCTCCCTCGTAAGCTGATGGGTGACCAACAAGCTCCAAAGCACGCCACGAATAGAGGATGGAGAGGCATCGGGTGCGTAATTCCGGGGAATCATACATTACAGGCAATATTGCACCCGCCATCGGCCGTTACGGCGCTATCTTCAAAAGAGTTGCCGCAGTCTATCACGGGTGAGCTACCATAGTCTCATATATGTCCAAGGGGTGACTTACAGCATTCGCCACCGTCCTTGGTGCCGGCTATAGTGTAGCCAGCTTCATGGCAAACGCCTGTGCAACTAGCCCCATCTACCTGTGACTCGGGAACAGGCGCTCTGGATATCAAGCCGGATCCGACAGCATCTTGACTGCGAAATTTTTGTTAACCGTTATAGGTCATTTGTTGTTAAATTAGCCTTGAATAAGATGGCAATTACTCACGAGTAACAGCCAATATGCGTCCAATTCGCAATACCAGTATTTGGCTGGGGTGATATGATGTGTGATTTGAAGAATAACGTCAACCTGTTTGCACCTCCGCATTTTGTTAAGTCCACATCTTCTTCAACATCAATAGGCAGCTCATTTCCACAATCTAATCACTGTTAGTGTAACTCCGTAAAGGCGAAGGAGAAACCCACAGCATTCATTGTGGTTTTCGGTTCCAGCATAACGGAATCTCTTATCACTACAGAATTCGACGCATTTCTCAATGGTCATAGAGTTGGACGTCGTTGTGGCTCCATTGACTGTCTGTCCGTCATCGCTGACAGGAATTTAGTATCAAGGATCGAAACTTGGGGTTCCTTGGTGCCTTACACGTAGCAGCCATGATACTGCCATGCTTCGTTTAGTTTATTAGATGTTATTATTGGTATCTGAGCTGAAGAGGAGAGGACCGGGGTAAGGCATAAAAAGGGTGATAAAATTAGGAAAGCCTGAGTATTCCACATGGTGGAAAGCTTCCTCGCGAGTAGCTCTAGACCCTACTCGGAAAGTCAAATTCAAAAAGGGGATAATCAAAATTCCAAAGGATAGAGATTATATAAACCGTCATAATGGTTATCAAAACGTCATACAGAGGAATATATATAGACTTACTATGTAAGAAGATATCAGCTCGTAGTCTTCATGATAGATAGACTCGGCTAGACCTCACTGTAACCCCTTCTATTGATGCAGCATAAACAAGGGTCCGCCTGCCAGTCCAACCAAGAAGGATAGTACCCAGGTAGGAACGACAGCCGCATTAGTTACTATCGCTTGATAGAATTATCATATGCCGGGGAAAACTAAATGTCAGAGCATGTAAGGCTTGGTCAGTGGGAATTAGAATTTTTCTTCTTTCACTTTCCTTCTTGCTCAGGTGCGAACCTGCTGACAACGAACCCGAATCTAGAAAGTGACATCGTCTTTTGGATTAGCCGAGTTGTTTGGTAGGTTCGATTAACAAGATGCATACCTGGATACCCAGGCCCTAAACCTACCGAAATCTCGGAGACTAGCCGACGGTGGGGGCGGATCATCGATACGAAGTCCAGGGGTTAAACAGTGGAACCACGCATGGCAACAGGGGTAATATCAGTTATCACAGGATAATTCCTTTAGAAAGGGAGACTTAAGGCTTACAGAAGCCTATAGATAATACGTTACCTTCTATAAAGGAGTATATTAGCGCTTGAGGATCGCATATATTGTATGCAGATGCAGGGTGTTATGAACGAAGATGGTATGGTGTATGGTACAAGGGCTGATCATGTTGAGTAGGTCGAGATCAGTTTGATAGCGTGGGCTTTCGACAGGGGCATCACCGGCGCGAACCGTTCCTAGTCTCAAGGGTCAAGTCAGCCTCACCAAACTACCCAAGCCATCTAATTTACCCCATATGGATATGGCTGCATCGTCATATTGGCGTTGTCTCTCTCCACGAAAATCTAGTTAAATTTTCGTGATTGTACGCCACCTAAGTAGCAGTGATGAAATTAGTTCACACCGCTTTGAGAAAGAGCCTATGATACCGTAGTGGCGGCGGTACATCTAGGCTTGAAAGGTTAGGTACCTAGGTACTGGCTACCATGATGTAGACAATAACCTACATGTATATGACTTTGCTAGTCATGTAGGGATGTCCGTTAATATTTGGTATTATATCGCCCTGAGAAATATGATAGGCTGTCGTATAGGGTAGTAAACAGTTGACGTCGGATTTTACTGCAATTCGAATAAAACGCGGATGGAGAACCTATTAGGTAGGAGACATTTTCTGACCTTACCCTCTGGTTGGAGCAGTAGCGTCAGATGTGCATACGAGGTCGGCTGCATATATCTTGCTTGTATATCTCTTTCCTATCTTGCCCAAGCCAATCATAGTGTGGTTTTGTCGCTGTGTGGATTATGCGCTGCAGGAAGATTGTAACCGTAGGATGCTTCATCTTATGGGGTTGCTTTTTGCTGCTAAATTTGACTCTAGAAGGCCAACGCATGCATCAACCGCTAATGTTCCTGCGAATACTTTAACTCGGAAAATAGCTGAGAGGCAACTTCCTGCGAGTAGAGGAATGTAAATGAAGCCCTGGAGCGACGTCGACAATAATTGCCTTTGGAAGAACGACACCACCATTACTAAGACTAACGATAGCTCATTACTCTTGCGGATACGCATCCGTTTGTAGGGTCAGCTTGCATTGGCTACTCCTTTTTCGGACGTGGACCTGATGATCGCACGATATCAGCTTTAAGGTGGCTATCGGTCTATAGCTGTTACGCCGACATACTTTGTAGCACGGTTGCTTCCCTGTGAAAAATTATAGGCAATTGGCCGGATTCTAATCAAATAGGGCGGCAATGGGCCAGCTCGTTCGCGACCGGAGCCTGCGTGTTTGGTCCTTAGAGTGTTCGGTTTGTGTATCATCTCGGGTGGCTGTATTCTGTAACCCTAGAGTACCATCACATCAGAAACGCCCGAAAAAAAAAAAAAAACTCAGCCCGGTTCAGATTGGGTGCAGGTGAAGGACTATTGTGGCGCCTTCAAAGGATCTGAAATTTCAGTACGATTGTTTGCCACCCCTTTTATTCGGAGTACATCGTATCTGACCAAACTGCAAGAATATGCGGCCAAGACGAAGCCAGCCGGTGATAGTGATGGAGATGCTTGCATTGACCAAAGATCCCGCTCCATGAACAAACACGTGATAAGACAATAGTGTTTGAAGCTGTGTGTAAGTTGCATGAAGATCAGTCTAGGCTTAAGGACGTAAGTAGTTGGACATGTCGATAAGCTGAAAATCTAGTGATGACAGCTAAAGCATACGGCCTCTATTGAAAAGGGCCGAAATCATCATTAGTTGCTTTCACTTCGATAAAGTCCGGAGTTCGTGGGGAATTCTGCCTGCACATTGTCTCAGCCACATAGACACCAACCCCGCCCGCTGGCTTGGGGAAGGAAAAGCAATTCTGCCGATGTTCTCCATCTAGTTATAATATATGTTGGCTCTGGAATGTGTGGATTTGGGAGGGTGTGCGGATATGCTTGCTAAGAAGTGCAAACCAACACCTAGAAAAGGGGCCTGGCGATGGCTTTCTTTGCGCCGTCAATTGAACAACGAACTTGGAAGTATTCAATATTGCTCGATAGGTATCTGACACCAAGTCACGGCCTTCCCTCCTTTTCTAAATCGAAAATGGGAGGAAACGTCTTCCAAACAATATCACGATCGTGATTATGTTTAAGGGGAAAAAAGCGTTAATGGTCATGCAGGAAGTTTGAGGTTTGGCTCCCAAGGTCGGGACTTAATCCTCCGGCTTCCGCCCCCAATTAGGTATTGGCCTAGGGATTTAAGGTTGGCACCTGAGCGGGCGGGAAGGCACCCGTAGATTAGCGGATTGGCCTGATTATCCAATCAGGTAACGCCGGAAAAGTAGGATAGTGGGCAATTGCCCTATAATCTACAGGGACCCGAGCCCCTATGGAAGTAGCTATGACGCCGCGCTCAAATCCGAGTTTAGGTTTGGCCTTTTTATTTCATTGTTGACTCATAGCTTTGAGCCTTCAAGGGTAAGCATCCTGGCATCCCGCCGTCTTCATCGCCACACTAACATATGACTTCGTGAATTGTGACTCAAACCCAATTGCGATAATTCACGGATTTTCTTATCGACTCCCTTTCTACATATCCTTGTTTCACATACTCCTATTCTTGCAACGCCGCGTTCAATTTGTTTTGGAGCATTTGCATCAACAAAAAGTCGGTTTCTTACATATATCGAAGTCGCTATATTTCGAAAAGCGCATCATAACGGCGGGCTTGGCATAGGCCTATTTGCCGACAAATCCTGGATTTTATTTGGTCAAACTCGGTTATTACAGCAGACGGAACGATCATGGAGGGTCAACAACCTGCGGCTTTAGAAGCACAATCATCGAATTCAACAACACAAAATCGTCCTGGGGGTGGAAGATCTTCAAGAGACAATGGAAACCGCGGTGGTCGCGGAAGTCGGCGCCCTCGTGGCCAGCAAGGGGTTCAAAGAAACGAGGCACATTTAGCAAATTCTTCAACCCCTACTCCTTCAGATCAGAGCAGTCGCGGCAGCGAGAGAGGACGAAGAACTACCAGAGGGATTGGAAGGGGAGGCAATAGAAATGCTCGTAGAGCGACATTGGCCCAGCCACGAACTTTTGGAGGTCATCTGACGGCTAACATCGAGGCCGGAGAATCTAGCACTCCGAGCCCAACACAATTGAGTGCCGGTGCTCAAGAATTCGTACCTGGCCAATCATCGTATGGAAATAGCAACAGTGCGCCTAAGAAGCAGCAGCAAGCTAAAACCAATCTTAAACCCAGAGCTTCAAAATCGACGGCTTCTGATCTTTCCACGAGAATCCACGAGGATATTCAGAACGGCCAGTATGAGTGCGTTATATGCACTAATGAAGTCTTACCGAACTCGAAAATCTGGTCATGTTCTATATGTTGGACAGTGTCCCATATGTCATGTGTTAAGAAGTGGTTCTCGAATCGAACAAGGACTTCAGACGAAGAACAAATTAACTGGAGGTGCCCAGGATGCAACTCCAACATAACAGAAGAGCCCTCGACTTATCATTGCTGGTGCGGCAAGGAGTTCAATCCTAGATCAATACCTGGCCTTGATCCTCACAGCTGTGGACAATCTTGCTCAAAACCGAGAGCAAATTGTCCACATCCATGTACCCTAAAATGTCATGCAGGACCCTGCCCGCCATGTTTAGCTATGGGCCCGTCTCAACCATGTTTTTGTGGTAAAAACATAACTACAAAACGCTGTAGTGAGACGAATTATACACATGGATGGAGCTGTCATGAGATATGCGGGGATTTGCTACCTTGTGGAGATCACGAGTGTCAAAAAGAATGCCACCCGGGTCTTTGTGGAAGCTGCGAGATTCCTATTTTGTCTTTCTGCTACTGCGGCAAAGAGGCTAGAGAAATTCCTTGCGAACAGCGTGGCGAGAAAAAGGAATCTTATAACCATGGCCAGGTTGAAGGTGACGTCCCGAAGAACGACGAATTGATTGAGAATTGGTATTGGGGCACTTTCGGTTGCGAAAATGTCTGCGACAGGGTATTTGATTGCGGAAAACACCGTTGCGAAAAGGGATGTCATCCTCAAGATGAAAATGAGGCACGTTGTCCATTATCTCTTGATCTGATTACACATTGCCCATGCGGTCAAACAGACCTCGCAGATATACTCAATCAACCTAGGGAGACTTGTGAAGATCCAATTCCTACTTGCGGAAATAAGTGTAACAAACCATTGCCGTGCGGTCATTCTTGTCAGTTCAACTGTCATTCCGGCCCGTGTGCGCCATGTTTGCAAAGTATGGAAATTACCTGCAGATGCGGTCGAACAAAGGTGACCTCAGTCTGTCACCAAGGCACAATAGAAACGCCCGAATGCATGAAGATCTGTCGTGCCCAGCTCAATTGCGGCAGACATGAACATGGTGAACGTTGTTGCCCTGGAGAAAAGAGGGCGGCGGAACGAGTAGTAGCGTCAAAGCGAAAGAATCGAAACGCCGGTCCCGCGAACGACGAAATCGAGGCGGAACACATATGTACGCGAACATGTGGACGGGATTTAAAATGCGGAAGGCATCAGTGTGAGCAAATGTGTCACAGAGGGACTTGTCCTTCTTGCCCTGAGGCCATATTCGAAGAGATCAGTTGCAATTGCGGCCGAACTACTCTCCAACCGCCTCAACCTTGTGGCACAGAACCTCCGGAATGCAATTTCGCGTGTACAAGGCCTCGACCGTGTGGACACCCCCAGGTATCCCATAATTGCCATACTGATAGAGAATCTTGCCCGAAATGCCCATTCCTTGTTGAGAAGCAATGCGTCTGCGGGAAGAAGACGCTCAAAAACCAACCTTGTTGGTTCGAAGAGCCACGATGTGGTTTACCCTGTGGTCGAAAACTGAAATGCGGTAGTCATGCATGCAGGATGACCTGCCACCCGGGTGCATGCGAGGATGCCGATGTTCCGGGATCTCGTTGTAGGCAACCTTGTGGCAAGATGAGGAAGTGTGGCCATTTAGATGTTGAGCCGTGTCATTCTCCATCTTCTTGTAAAGAAGATAAGCCTTGTCAGGCGAAGACCTTTATTACATGCGATTGCCAACGCAGGAAACGGGAAGTAAGATGCATGGCTACCGCGAAGAACCCGTTTCCATCTCGAGAAACTCTTGCTTGCGATGAAGAATGTCTCCGTTTGCAACGCAATGCTCGTTTGGCAGATGCACTGGACGTAGATCCACAAACCTACACGGATGATCATGTACCCTACTCCGATACAACCCTCATGTTTTACAAGAAATCCCGCGAGTTTGCACAGACATACGAACGAGAATTTCGTCTCTTCGCTGCGGATCCGACCCAGAAAACGCTTCGATTCAAGCCAATGAAGTCTTCGCAAAGAGCATTTCTTCATTCTCTTGCTGAAGATTTCGGGTTCGATAGCGAAAGTGCTGATCCCGAGCCTCATAGACACGTTGTTCTTTTTAAGACTCCACGATTCGTGTCAGCACCAACGAAGACATTGTCACAATCTTTATCCATTAAAGATTCGGCGCAACGAAGCTCAGCACAACCACTAGCATTGGCTAGTGAAAATTCTATTGTAAAGAAGCCGTTCAATGCGCTGCTTCTGTCTACGCCACAATTTGGCCTGACTATAGAGGAGCTGGATTCAGCACTTCAGAAGGCATACGCGGTTCATCCTAATATAAAGTTCCAGACGAACTTTTTGCCTGATGATATTGTCATCAAGACTTCTGGTTCTTGGAGGCAACAGAACTTCGAGGAGGCTTTGAAGTCTCTTAAGCCTGTTGTATTGAACATTGTCCGTTCTTCAAATCTAGCTCGCGATGTTTCTCTCTGTCACGTCGATGACAATTTGAACGTAACTCGCACCGACAAAGATCAGGCTAGAAGTGAAGGGGGTTGGAGCGCCGTTATACGCCGCTCGGCTCGCCCAAAGCCAGCTGCTACTCCGGTTCCTTCCTCAGCACCGTTACGTAGTGGATTCGTGGCTTTGAGAAAGGAACCGAAGAAGGTTGAGCAGGAGCCCATCGAGGATGATTGGGAGGCTGCTGCAGAGAAGATGGACGATGAGTGAAAGGGGTACACTCCAAAATACGAGAAAATCTAAGGTTGAGCAGCATTTGTGATTCAGGGGTCTAGCATAGCTGGGAGTTGGATGAGAAATCTTGCTTGGCGTCTGAATACTGCATACGGATGGAACGGTTAGCTATACTTTTCTGAGCCCATTATACTTTGCTACCTCAAGGCTTGCTCTAGTAAACTGTTACTTAAATTCCCCTATACTTCTGTGCCCACATATTATCACGAGTGGACGAACCGGATGCATGCATATAGGCAGCTGTGCTCTTAAATTTCTTCAACACACATAATTTAACTCATATCAATTCTCCTAATACCATAATCTTAAAATATTACATCAAAATCAAGTTTACAAGACTTATAATCGGTTGAAATCGAGAGAAATAGGACTCGTATTATGAATAATACTGATACATACATAGTTATCGCACATAAATTGATATCTGTTACGTAAATAAATGCCCCACCATGGATTCCCTTCCAAAAAGCTATCCATCATACCTAATTCATAACTCTTCCTCCTACAACAACCGTAACAATGAACAACTTCGGCGTAATAGAACTAGCAAGCACAAAAACAACCAACGCCCCAGGATGGGCCTACGTCCCCGACACAGGACCCCACCCATCCACCCAAATCCAACCCGGGAACCGCAAACGAGCCGCGCGCAACGCGAACCAAGCTAGTACATCCGCGCTGTACGCCGACGCCGACGCGCGACAAGAAGCAAAGTTACGCCGGGAGATCGAAGCGTTGGATCGGGATAATTATCATAGGGATGCGAGTGGGATACCGATACCGGCGGCGGTTAGGAGTGGGAATAAGGCGGTTAGGAAACATACTCCGAATGTGAGGAGGATATTGCAGAGCCAGAAGACGTTTGCGAATCATTTGGATGATTTTGAGGCGCTTGGTGCGCAGGGGGGAGCTACTACTACCACTGGTGGAGGTGGTGCGGCTGCGGGTGCTAGTGCGGCGGCGGGAGGTAGTTCGAGACGAGGAACGATAGTAGAGAAACAGACGCAGCAGAAAGGAAACAAAAAGGCGGCGAAATCTACGTCTCGCTCAGCGTCTATATCGAAAGCTACGCCTGTAAAACAAGAAGACGATATCGAAATGCTCGACGCGCCACCGTCCGACCAAGACCAAGAGGATAACCCATCTACCCTCCTAACGCCCTACTCCCGCCCGGGATACCCACCCGAACACCCACTCGACGGCGACCCATTACTTGAATCCCGCGTACCTCCCCTACCGACAGATGCAGAGTTAAAAGCCCTGTTAGCTGCTCCGCCGTTGAATTATACCGAGGCGAGGGGACGCTGGACACTGGAGGATGAGGGTATGGGGAGTAAGAGATACCCCGCGCGAGTATTCTGCGAAGTATGCGGATACTGGGGACGCGTGCGGTGTATGAAGTGTGGCATTCGTGTGTGCGCGTTAGATTGTTTGGAAACGCATCGCGAAGAGTGTGTTACGCGGTATGGGCTGTGAGCTTTGGGTCAGTATATGGAGTTAAGAAGAGACTACCCGGAGTCCTAGAAGTGGAAAAGATAGGGACAAGAGATGATATAAGAGCCAAGTCCCTGAGTGGTAATGATCGTATCGAAATGCATCGGAGTACTACGGAGTATGGAAAAAGGAAAAGCATTTGTCAACAAGATACCCAATTCACAAGTCACAATAAAGAGAGGAGAAAAGGAAATATGCTCAAAACGGCCAACAGTTTGAAAATATACAGATTTTGATATGTTTTGGTTATCTCTATTCCAGTTCAGCTGGAATAATCGTCAATGTTTTGTTATACAAGTCTTTCGACAAAATGCAGAGCAGCAACATGCCGCTTAAGAAGGATATCGTCTCGAACCCATTGAACGCCCCGGGGCCTCTGAAGTCCGTTCCCGCCAAGGTATCTAGGACCCTTATACACACGCCGAAATTGGGTTTTCGTCGGATTTTACTTTTCAAGAAAAGATGTTCATGATCGTATGATGTCGCCCTTATTCTTTTCCATCCCCAGGTCCCCTAACCCTCATATAACCAACTCTCAATTCCCCGCTGTGTCCATCGTCCTTATAACGGCGAATCCAGGGTAAAGTTGACATCGCCCGACGACGCACCACCTGCACATGTGCCCTTCATGCTTCCAGTCGGGCATATCGCACGGGCCGCGCGCACGCACTGTTCCCAACGGCCCTTGGAGATGTTGATCGTCGCGCCTTTTGTCGCGGTACTCAGCGTAAATTCAGCACTGCCCGATTTGCCCGTCGTAGTCTGAGGTGCGCCGCCGCATTTTTGGATTGAGCCCGCTATGCCACCGCAGATGCCCAGCTCCGCTACGTTCTGGTCGTGGGACACGATTTTGCTGCGTTTTTATTAGCTGATTTCTCGTGCACTGGTGTGTTTTTAGAGATACTCACACGTTCGGGTCAGTACACGTCACGTCAGAAACTGCGGCCGGGTTCACTGCCGTTGAAGCTCGTAGAGCTAGGACCTCAAGGTGCTCATTATCCACCGAGTAATGAGGCCAGACCGGGCTAGCGAAAGAAAGAGTCGCACCAGCGAGAAAGAGAAGAGATTGAAGAGTTGTCGAACGCATTTCGGCGCTTGTTTAGAGACTTGCTCGAATTTGGCTAGAAAGAAGGGGAAGAGAAGCGAATATGAACAAACAAAATAGCGTGCGTGTGTTGGAATGGAATGAGGACGGAGAAGTTCGAGTGAGAGCTCCAAGGAATGTTCGATACAGACGTCTAGTCCGCCTATAAAACTCGGGAGAATGAAGATTGAGAACACCAAAAACAGAGTGACCTGCACCTTCAACCAAAAAAGAAGTTGAAATGAATCCTTACGGAGATCGAAAGAAGATCGATCGACAAAGTGTAGGTCCGATAAGGCGTTAATGTAGAAACGAAAGATTTATGAAGGGAAGTTTTGAGACGAAGAAAGGCCCGAGTTTTAAAGGAGATGGAGATGGGACGATCGAAACTCTGTAACTCTGTACATATGTACAGAGAGTACAGCATTAGATTAGGTTGTACCTTGCATACCTTGCGTAGGCCAGGCACGACACGGCACGGCGCAGTAAGAAGTGAGAGGCGGTACATGCCAAACACACCCAGCCAACTCTCTATAACCATGTACCTAATTGTACCTAGCAATAGCCTACGAACCGCTACGATTATGCGCAACGTAACTTATTTCTAGGTCCTTAACAAGGCGATCCTAGCCTGTACCTTGCAGGCGGAGAACACTAAGACCCCAGCCGACCGAGTCGGATCATTGGATTGTCGATCAATCTGTGACGCAGAATCGGACCCCCCATTCCTAATCAGGGCAGTCTGGGGTAGGGTACTTGACCCGCCCTGCTGACCCTAGGCTGGTAGAGGCACCGGCCTGCCGACAAGACAATACCTAACACAGCTTGGCCGTTTTCAAAATAGAACCAGAGGGATTCCGAGATTCAATTTTGGAAACCAACTAGGTCCCTAACAAACTAACTAACTGAATAGCAAAGTGAAAATATTACAGTACATTTTCATACCTTCGTTCCTCTCCCTAACTTCAAGGAAAACTGGGTATCAAAGGAAATTGAATGAAGCAAGGTGTAACAATAAAACATTAAGTAACAAACGGCATCATGACGGTGGATTTACGACTTCTCTGCCTCGATAGGAAGGACGGGTCATCTCCTTCTCCAGCCTTATCCAGATAAGCGCTGGTGATCACAAATATAACTTTCCCTTTCCCTGTGTTGCTCTTCAGGGGAAACATGCGAGAGTGGACGATGATGGTGGGTCCGGTGAAGATGAAACGAGTGGCGCCCTGCTAATACAGGGGTATTGGGCCATCACGACACCGACGAGAGGTAGAATATATCGGTCCACATCTCCTAGTTTGTTTCAATGTTTCCGAAACTCTGCCATCTTGTTGGCCCGGATGTTTCTTACTTCTTCTAGAAATGCGCATACCCAGGTATCGACAGGCCATCCGAACAATCCACTGCTACTCTATTCGTAACCTCCTCATTCAAGCACTGCGAATGTGCTTACGAAATCCTGGCACTTATGCAGTTACTAGTAACAAAAGCGCATTTAGACAAGGGAGTTGAACGATGAATGGAAAGACCAAGGAAGATAGGATAGAAACATTCTCCACCTTCCTGAAATTTCGACGATTGCCGATCCAATAAAATCCATATATGATGGATATTGTCAAGTGATGTTGATTTGAGGGGTATACCCTTCAAGGCTTTACTTTGCGTCTTTGAGTTGGCCGCAAAGCCCGCAAGCTCCGGAATCGCCAGCATTCAGATACATGGTGTCTTTACAAGATGAATTCTGGCACTTCCAAGTATTCGGCACCTTGTCTAAATCCATAACATGGGAGCAAACACCGCAAATAGTAACGTCGGGGCCATTATCAAACGAGCACATCGTACAGATGCCTGGTTTTGCATCCTGGGTCTCGGTGACATTAACTGTTGGTGTGCCACTGCTTGCCTCCTCTGTAAGTTGAATAGGGACATTAGTTTGGACGGTTGATTTCTCACTCAGTCGAAGAATTGGCTGTGATTTCTGGGGCGTCGCCTGAAGTTTAGCCTGGGATTTTGCTCGAAGTAAGGGCCGCGAAGTTGTCTTCTGAGTCTTGGACTGGATTCCCGTCAACGTTGATTTCCCATCATCCTCGATTTTGACTTTGAGCGTTGTCTGGAAGAGCTCCCTAAGCTCGTTCTGGGCTTCGTCATCGTTGGGGTCCTCATCGTCACACACTTTTATCAAGTTGTGTCCCTTCTTGTCCACAAGACGCCGGCCGTTTATGTCGACAGCGGCTTCGTTTTCGTCATCGCTCGCAGTTTCATAGTCGCTGTCATCCTCTTCCTTAATATCAGCATCTTCGGACTTGGTAGCTTCTGCTTTCTTATGTTGGTCGAATCGAGCTAGGGCTGCGGCGGCCCTTAATTCTCGACCTCGCTTGCTCTTTGCCACCCGAGGTTTTGTTTGGTTCTTCTTCCCCTGTTCCAGCTCCGTTTTGATATCATCGTCCGCCCCGAGGACGACTCCATTAGCACCAAACTTCTTCAGAATTCGTCGCTCCTTTCTCTCTTGATATGTCAATTGTTTCTTCGGTCTTCGCTTCCTCGGTTGTGAACGGTAGGTTCCTCCGCATGTATGTTCAGGCAACTCCGCGTCAGACTGTATCGTATTCGTCAAGTCACCAGTGCCCAAGACGCTGCCTTTTCCCCACAAGCCTTCACCGGTGTAGCCACGAGACCACAAAACCTTCATCTCATTGGCGTACTTGTTTCTGACAGCCCAAAAAGCCTTGGAATGATTCATCTGTTTACAATGTGCTAACCTAATTAAAAACGATGTTAACGTATGAACAAAGAAGAGCTGGGATAGGAACATACTCATGCATCATGACCATTTGGACATAGTTGAATGGAAGCCATCGTCCATTAAGCTGTGACTTCAACACCAACTGTATAACTTCACCACCGTTGAAGTTGCGACCGACAAATTCTCTATTCGGCTCGTATTCTTCCAAGGCTGTGACAATGAGGTGATGTTCTCTCATAACAGGCACTAATAGAAGTTAGCAAATTTAACTTGGACAATAATTGAAGATAGCATTTACAACATTGCGCCGCAATTCGTTCTAAGAAATCCTGGGCGATTTCTTTATCAGGACCTTCAAGGGGTTTGATGAACACGATGCGATCATTTGGCTGAGACTTCTTCGAGTTGATCCTTTCGAAGCCGGAAGGCATCTTGGATTCGAGGGTGCGACAAGTGGTCGCGCGAATCACACCACCTGAAATTGAATGCTTCAAGCATCAATCAATACGACGAATATAACTTTGCAATGCACGTTATAGTCGTCCTCGTGAAATGAATGATGATGTATGAAAAGGTTTGATGGAAAAGGTGGCGGTTTATTGCAGTGCAAAACGTCGGGGTTTAGGTGCAACCTATCGGCGATTTAGTACTGTAAACCCCGCTATCCTCCCGCTATATTTCAGAGACAGCGACGCTAAATAGGTACCTACAATTACCCCTGAAGGTGCCTGCCCTTTTAGCCACTGCCAACGTTAATATCCCTTGATCGATGTTGAAAACCTTTGATTTGTTTGCTCTTTTTTATTTTATTTCCCAACATTCAACATCTACATATCATTAATTAGCCATAGTAGGGAGAGCCAAGTAAGAATTACTGAACCACATGGAACATCTATCTTAATAACAGCAGCTTTTATTCGTATACTATATACTTATTAGCTTTATTTGAGTGTTAAGCGTAGGTAGGTTATCGCTATATCATCTCCTTCGTCCAGCACCTCCAGCCCCTGTATCACCTTTGTCAGCCAGGGACACAACTTCACCAATACCGGCAGCTTCCTGCTCGTCTTCCAAGGCGGTGATCTCTTCACGGCAATCCCACCACTTTTCTTCGCTGAGCTCAAAAGCTTTCGCCTTAATTTCCTTGATTGTCAGGCTTTCAGGTTGAATGCCCTTCCACCTAAGACTCGTCATGAGGATTTCCTGCCATTCGTTTGAGGTACGAACGAAGAACTCCCTTCTAGATTCGAAAGGCTATTGCTCATTAGTTATATATCACATTGAACAAGTTCTCGGGGAGACATACTCTTGGATGTGGTAAGCCGTCGTCAACAGTAGTGGCGACCGTGTCAGCCTCCGATTCATCATCTCCTATTGAACCCACACTAGACGCTGTATCGGGTATTGACGCCTCATCCACCTGCTTCTTCTTGCGCTTACTAGGAGACAAAAGAGCTTCAGGTTCTTCATCGAACATTTCGGCATCTTCCTCCTCATCCTCTTCATCTTCGTCGTCGTCCTCATCCTCGTCTTCATCTTCATCGTCAGAGCCCTATATCAGTGTTAGAATCCAGATAATAAACTACCCATGAAAACAGAAAAGGGGGGGAGCGGGGGTTAGTCCTTACGACCCAAGTATCGTCTTCTCTCTTGAAGACTTGTTTGCAACCATCCATTTTTCCGAGATCAATAGCATATAAATCGTCAAATGTGTATTCTCGGTCTTTCGCCTCATATGTCCCACCATAGATATATAGCACATCATCTTGCACTGCTAACTGCGCGTTAAATCGTGGATGAGGAAATTCCATAGATACCGGCATTTCTCGCACTGGTTTCTCCGGCTCTTCCGGCTCTTTTTCGGCTTTGATGTCGATATCCATATTCTCTGCATCCTCTAGAGATGACCCAGCCTGCAAAGCTGCAAGCTGCTTTAAGAGTTCCTCTTCATTCGCCTGGGCTCTACCGCGTCGGCCGACTCTTTGCTCCGATGCGGGCGTTTTCTTTTGAACTCTGGCCTTACGTAGTGCTAGCGGGAAGAACCTGTTCCTTTCGATATTCCAAGCAAAAAGATGGTTGAAAAATTCACTGTCCATACCCTCTTCAGTCTGCTCAACATCGTGCACCCCGCCAAACATAATACCACGACCTTTGTGGTAGGTCATGGTTGACCCAGCACGGGGAGGGGCGGGCGCATTCGCCGGCTTTTTTCGCTTTTCCCATCTCACATTTGGGGGCGTATTTGGTGGGGAATCTGCGGGCGGTTGTGTTATCCGTAGGAAAAAGCAATCTTCATGTACCACTGGCTTAAGGATGTTTCTCTGTCCCTGGGATGCACCCTTTGCTGATTTGTTTGCCGAAACCGTCTTCTTCACCCGAGAGTAACCACCAAATAATACAGCGCCTTGTTCGTGTGGCAGAAAGGTGAATGATGACCTGGCGTCGGGTTTCAGTTGTGCTGGTGGAAGTGTAGGGCAATACCAGAAAAAGTTCTAAAATACGTGATTAATACCAAATCCATAAGGTACGACACGACCTATGAGTAAAAATTGTTTACCTGAGTATCATACAACCAGAGGTCATTTAGATATTTTGTCTGATTTGACGTATCTTGGAAGCCTTGGTCCCGAATTAGTTCATGGTGTGTTTTGTTAAAATAAAAACACACAGCTGGTGACGTACCACCGAATAAGATAATGTAGTTTTTGTAGTAAGTCATACGATGCCCACTTCTTGCAGGAGGTGTCTTGCCCTTGGTTTCAATGCGTGTCCATTCCCGAGAACTGGGTTCCAGTCTCCAGAAGTCATTGTAATGGTAAAATGTACCTTGCTTGGGACTATATAGGGTTATAAAACGTCAGTATGGTCGTGGTTATATGAATTTACGCCCATGTCTGGCAACATTATATAACAAACCTGCTAAATTCGCCGCCGAATAAAAAGACGGAATCTTTCTGATTTCCTCCCCGGCACCAAGCATGACCAGAACGTGGGAGTGGTGCATTCGGGGAAGTCACACAATGCCATTCATCTCTATCAGTGTAATAGATATTTAGATCATTGTAGAAATTCGCAAGAGCACCATTCCAAGTCTCTCCACCAAACAATAGGAGCTGGTTACTATTCGATGGGGAGGCTAGAAAGGTTGGGGACGATCGAGGCTTGGGAGGAGCTTCAGATACAATCTCTGTGATTTTCTCGAACTCCTCTTGAGCCTTCTTGTACTCAGCGAGGACGGCATCTAAATCCACATCTTCAGCATCACTACCCTCAAGCTTCGAGGTTTTGGTCTTTTCTTTCTTTTGGGCCTTCTTCTCTTGTTTCTGTTTCTTCTCGGCGAGCTTTGCTTTCTTAGAGTCCGACTTGGACTTCTTATCTTTCGCCATGATGTGATATTGTCACGTTCATGACTTAAACGTTGAAATATTTATTTTTCCGCCTTGTATAATTTGAAGAATTAGGTCAAGTTAGGTACCTACCTAGGTAGCTTGAATTTTCTAAGTGAACAGGTCCGGTATGGAAGCCAGCTGCCTTAGCTTCTGCCAAAAATTCTTGCTCTCCACCAGCTGGCAACCCCTCCCCCGCACTAGAAAATAATCTGAATACCTAGGTAGCGCGCCATCCGAATTGAGGCGCCATTGAAGCTTCTTAAGATCTTTAACCTTAGCAGGCAATTTCAATTTTTACAGGGCAGCTTCGACCCCAAACAAGCTTTCCCGTGTGACATTGCCAGCACATGAGCGATTTCTATTCGCTAGAACCTTGACTGTTAGGAGGCCTCATGCAGCTTAAGCTCCAACATTTAGAACTTTTAGGTAAGTGAGGGTGGGATCAATGTGAAAGAAAAGAGAAAAAAAAAAAAAAAAGCTCATCCCGTCGTGATCTTTTACAACTACCCAACTGCATACGACGCTGCTGGTTCTCACCGAGCGAGGAGTTCTCGGAACCTCCAACTTATTATATACAATGGCATTTCAATTAGGCAGTTGAAATTGATTTCACCCACTTTTTCCACTTGGTCTGTTTTTACACATGTACTTCCACGCGGGAACCGAGACGCTCCGATGCGCGCCGTTTATATACTGGTCTCTGCACCCACTTAGGGAATAATAAGTGTGACTCCCGTCCGCCCGCCTTAGGGAAGAAAAAAATAGTCTACCGCCAACGTTTACTAGATCCACTTCATCACGAAACACGCTCACCTGCGATAATATCGAGATGTTCTAGTAATAACTGGGCCAGGGGTTTCGTCGCTCGCTCCCATCTACTTCGTCATTCGTGATTGTCAATTCCCAGCAAACGTTTATCGATTCCCCATTCAAGCTGTTCCGAGTATATTGATAAAGCTCTACGACCGCGCTCCCCACTTTCTCGGACCTCTCAAGCTGGAAATATGGCAACCACCAAAGTAGATACCGTAGCGGCGAAACCCTCGCAAACTTCTACTCAGGGAAAGTCGGCCGCTCTAGAAGCTTTGGAGGATATTGTTTACGGGTCTGTGAGTAAAATTCACCTAGAGATACTTCAATGCGCTTTAATTCTGACGATGGTAGACTGCGGGCATTGTAGGTAAATATATCGAATATCCTTTCGACACAGTCAAGGTCAGATTACAATCTCAACCCGACCACCTCCCTCTTCGCTATACTGGACCACTCGATTGCTTTCGCCAATCCATTAAAGCCGATGGTGTACTAGGGTTATATCGTGGGATAAGTGCGCCGCTTTTCGGAGCAGCCGCCGAGACCAGTAGCCTTTTTTTCTTCGAGCGCATGGGGCGCGAAGCTGTGTACACTTCAGGATTCTGTTCTAGGGACCGTGTGCTTCCACTTCCTGCACTATGGTTTACTGGCGCATTTTCTGGGGCCTTCACCTCCTTTGTCCTCACACCTATTGAACTTGTGAAATGCAAGATCCAAGTGCCCACAACAGCGGCTACGTCGGACGGAAAACCACCAAAGGCGCCTAGCGTGGTCTCGGTCATACGGGACGTATATAAGCATGAAGGCGTTAAGGGCTTCTGGAACGGACAGATGGGTACATTCCTCCGAGAATCCGGCGGTTGTGCAGCTTGGTTTGGCTCGAAGGAGACCACGACTAAAATGTTCTATCTTCTTAACGAACGATCTGCTACGTCGCAAATGGAGAAGGATGCTCTAGCCACAGAAGCGCTGCCGTTATGGCAACAGGCGGTCGCTGGCGCATCCGCTGGTATGTCTTATAATTTCTTATTCTTCCCAGCCGATACAGTCAAGTCTCGTATGCAGACCGCACCGGTCGGTGGTTCTGGCAAGCCTAGGTCGTTTTGGCAAGAGGGAAAAGCTCTGTGGAATCAACACGGACTACGCGGACTCTACCGCGGATGTGGAATAACAGTGCTGCGATCAGCACCTAGCTCTGCCTTTATCTTTATCGTTTTTGATGGCCTGAAACGATACCTACCGTGGTGAATAATATCACCAACGACGTTTTGAACTTATACCAACATATACCAACGTACGATAGAAGGGAAGATATAGACGGATGGAATGTGGGGAGCACTGGCGTTTGGGTGTCCCCATTTATAGATTTCTGTAGATGTATTGAACGGTGTATGCAACACGTTATGCGTGTCCATCGAGGAAGGCGAGAGGTAGACTAACCCCTAGTTATGAATCGGGATCTACCACACAACCAAATCTATCACCTACATTATTCCGGGTGATTATATCTGGCATTATTTCCACTTATACTCTTTTCGCCAACGTAGCCTCGGAAATATCCCAATTGTTCAAGTAGCCTACTCCGGCCGTCAAATAAGTCGCGAACCCAAGCCAGGCCATATACGGTATTTGACACCAACCCGCCACACTATCGACCGAGAAGTACAAATACGTTAGATATCCATTGAGCCCCGCTAGCGACACAACATCAGCCAGTGCGAGAACTGGTCTCCTCAGGCTAAAGAATAGAGGCATCCACAACAGATTCAGCCCCAGCTGCGCGGAATACAGAATCCTTATGTGTTCCGTCGAGGCGAGAAGCGATGGGTACTGCTTAGTCACGACGCGGTGAGCTGCATATCCCATTAAGCCATACAGTACAGTCCACACGGGGCCAAAGACCCGTGGCGGAGGGCGCAGGGGTGGCTGCTTCATAGCGGCATATGTGGTCTGTGTCTGTTTAGCTGTAGTATATACAGTATATTAGTGAGCTGGGCTTTGTCAATGGCTCGAGTCAAAGGGGATTGGGAGGTCCTTACGCCGGGAACTAAACCCTACTGTTGTGCCCAGTACAACGGGCAAAAGCACTGACGCAGCTGGGTTCGCGAAGACATCATATGGTATCGCATTGAGACGAGGGAGGTATGCCGTCATGTTGAGGTGTGAGTGAATCGAACGATCTGATAACTATCTATACTTTGAAGTGACTAGGTAGATTGATAATTTGTACATGTTATCTGCAATCCAAAGATGTAAAATCCATTCACTAAAATCCAAGGCGCAAGTTTCACGATGACGTAGGGGATATTTAGTACATAGCTTAAAATTATTTTGTATACGTGTCTTATACCCGATTAGATCTCCAGATGGCTACATACGCCATAAAAAGTAAAGGTAATTAAACAGATTTGCTATCGTATGACTGGTATGTGAGTTGGCCCGAGACATGAATGAAAGTTCTTTGTGCTTGAAGTTCGTCACCATTATTTATTCTTATATCGTATTATTTACTTCTGATACTTTGATATCTTTGTAGACGATAAGTATATGTAAGCCCCGATTAGCTTAAAATCCATTCTATTTAGCCGAAGCTGCTGACTAAGCCGACAAACGCGTTTCGTTTTGAATTGAATTATGGTTAAAGCAATCAGCCACCGCTTTATCCTCTAATCGACGGCCAAAACGCTCGTCGTCTTCCCTTCTTTTTCTTTAACAAACACCAGAATAAAAAAAAAAGATATCCAGCTTGGGACATTGCGCCCTCTAGGTATTTCTGCCATCATCGTCTTTACAGTTCGTCTATCCTTTTTTATGAACCACTTCCTTCTTATCAATGGCCATCTTCAGCACATGTTGTCTTCCCATCTTCCCTCCGAATCCGCTTCCCTCTCTAGAACCTCCAGAACCTCTTGATCCTCTCTAGATCTTTAACTGGTCTTCCGTCCCTATTTATCAAAATTAACCCTTCGCTTCTTCATATCCAACTATCACAAAGCCGTGACAGATACATGGACAAACTTTTTTTTTTCTCTAATATCTTCCTTTACTATTCGAATTTTTTATTCGGTTTGCTTGTTGCAGAGCTCACGCTCTTGCCCCATGCTCAGCTTCTCAATTTGGCTTGCCGATAACATTCTTCCCTCATACCTCTTGCTAGACCATCCTATCATACCTTCTATTCTTCTCTCATTGCTCCCCCCAAACATTGTCAAAATGGTTTCTCTAACAGCAATCGCCGCGTCAAACAATAGGCAACGGATCTATTCGCAAGCAATCGGGGTCGCATAACGGGCGACAATCTGCCACTTGCCGAAAGCCTACATATACGCTGTTCACGATCACATTGCTATTAAAGGCAACAGATACACCGCCAAATAGCCCCAAGCCGAACCAAATACCAAAAATACCGATGCGCGCCGTACTATTTTAATCAAGCAAGATGGACTCGTATTCGTACCGCGACAGCTCCGCGCGTTCACCTCCTGAGCGTGGTTGGAGCAGCCGTGACGACCGGGGGAAAGATGAAGCCCGCGATAGCTTCTATCGTGGTCGTTCGCCTGGTGCGTTTACTATTATCTACTTTTAACATTGTCTAGTTTATTCGCTGCATTACATATCGGATGGATTTTACCGGGTTACCGTCTCATTCTATGTTTGCTGCTGCTTCACAGTAGCGCTTCTACTTATCCTAGCTTGCTTGGCTTAGAGGTGTAAACTAACTAAAATAGGCCATGACCGTAACCGTCGCAACCGATCACGCTCACCATTGCCAGTTGACCGTTACGAACCTAGGGCTCGTGGCAGCAGGGATGATTATGCCGGCACGCGCGATCGAGAAGAACGACGTCGTATCAATTCACCCCCAGCAAATATCGATCGATATGTCCCTGGTCAAACTGCCGCCCAGCCACCTCAGCCAACTGTTAACCCATTGACTGATCCTGTCAAACTGCCTTTCCAGGTAGGATTTTCCTATTTTGGTGAGTGGTGGAGAGCAAATGAGAAAATTAAGGAAGAAAAAGAACGTGCTCGTACAGGTAGAAGGCGCGAGCCTGAACGCCCTCGTGGCCGTGAGACTCAAGAGGATCGAGACAAGGAAAAGGCAAAAATCCAGGCTGCATACGATGCGTATAAAGAAGAACTCCAAGCAAAGATGGCTAGAACTTTCGTTGCCGAACACAAGAAAGAACAATGGTTCCGTGAACGTTATGTCCCTGAGGTTCGAGATACGCTTCGAAGGCAAATCAACGAATTCCGCCGTGGCGCGTACAGCCAGTGGGAACAGGATCTAGAGTCAGGCACCTTCGATGAATTCTCTTTAGAAGGCATTCCGAAGAGCGAGAGCAATGGAGCTGGTGGAGTTGTTGAGAAGGAAGAAGGTGAGGCCACAGCGGCGAACGAAGTCCTCGGAGTTGGTGACTTGGTTCCTGCGAACGGTAGTGATCTCCGAGACGAAAACTTGTATCAGCCTACTCTTCTGATCAAAACCATTGCTCCTCACGTCAGCCGTCAAAATTTGGAGTCATTCTGTAAAGAGCACCTTGGAGAGGAAGAAGGCGGGTTCAAATGGCTATCCCTCAGTGACCCAAATCCTAGTAAGAGATATCACCGTATGGGATGGGTTATGTTGCATCCTTCATCTGAAACGGCAGCGCCTATCGAACGTGCCGATCCAAAGGATGAGGATGACGGCATGGACACTAAAGTTGAGTCGCCTGTAGCTACATCCACCGCTGATAAAGCTCTTGAGGCAATCAACGGAAAGACTGTGAAGGATGAAGTTCGGGGTGACTTCGTATGCCATGTTGGTGTCCACAATCCACCCTCCAACCCTCGCAAAAAGGCGTTGTGGGATTTATTTTCTGCTCCGGAGAGGATTGAGAAAGATCTTACCCTTGCCCAACGACTCGTCAACAAGTTCGAGGAAGACTTTGGCTCAGATTTTAATGCCACTCTTAAGATTGAGGAAAGAGTAGAAACTCTACGTAGCGCCGGAAGTCTACAACCAGCCATCCCCGTAGCGACAGCTAAGAAGGTCAAGAAGGAACGTAACCTTGACTTCGATGATGCAATGGATGAGGGAGAAGAAGGCGAAATGGGCGAGTCCGACGAGGAGGGAGCCGTAGACGATGAAGTCGACGATGAAGATCTTCTAGTGAAGAAGAAACAACTCGATCTTATGATCGAGTATCTTCGTCGAGTCTTCAATTTCTGCTTCTTCTGTGTTTTCGAGAGCGACTCTATTCACGAGTTAACTAGGAAGTGTCCCGGCGGCCATCTTCGTCGACCTCGAAGCACTCTCTCGTCATCGGCTAAGAACGTTGCTCGAGCCAGTGCTAGTGGAGACCCATTCCCTTCAAAGAAGCCCAAGGAAGCCAAGGAAGAAGAAGAAGGTGAAGCACCTGAGCCAGATCGCAAGTTCCGCAATGTCTCTAAATCCGAGCAACAACTTGAACGTGCTTATAAGTGGGTAAAGACATTCGAGGACAAGATCACACAAATCCTCGAGCCCGAAACAGTAGATATCCGAAAGTTGGGCGGCAAGCCGACTGAAGATGCCCTAAACGATGAACTATCCAAGTTCGTCAAGCAAGAAGATGAGCATAAGTGGAGATGTAAGGTTCCCGAGTGTACAAAGCTCTTCAAGGAAGATCACTTCTGGAAGAAGCACGTTGAAAAGCGCCACACTGAGTGGCTAGACACTATGAAGCAAGAGGTAATGAATTTACCCTAATGATGGAAATATTTCAGCTGACAACGAATCTAGTTTGATCTCATCAATGCCTACGTGCTGGACCCTGCTCACATAGCGCCATCGAGAACGGATGCCAATAGCAATGGTCATTTCCCGCCTTCGAACGGTCAGACACAGCAGGGTACTCCCCGAGGTTTCAACCTACAGAATTTTACCATGAATAATATGGTTCCGCCATTCCCCGGCTTCCCTGGAGCTCTTCCTCAACTACCACTATTCGCCGGCAACCACGCTGGTGGCGTGCAAGCGGCTGGATGGAGCGCGGGAGGTGAAGAGCGTGGCACCGGCCCGGTCCGTCGCGGTGGTGCTAATGCTGGTAGATTCCAAAACCGTACTGGTCCGTACGATCGCCGCCAACAACAGGGACGTTGGGGCCAGGACGGCCAGGGCGCAGGCCGAGGAAGAGGTGGTGCTGGTCGATGGGGTGACGGCGCCGCTGGTGGAGCGGCGGTTGGTCCTCGTGAGGCCGTTCAAGGCCGTAGTCTAAAGAGTTACGAGGATCTCGACCACGTTGCAGGCGGTGGAGGTGGTGAACTCAACTACTAAGCTTCCCGCAACAATTGCAACTGGGCTGAAAATTTAAAAACGCATCTAATCATGCATATCGCAAGGACCGACTGGAATTCATGAACAATGGGTTGGCCCATTCACTTTAAGATGAATGAGATGGGCATTCGATGGCAATGATGGATGGAAGACGGGACGCATTGGCTGTACCATATCGCTCGCGTTGCCTTTATCACTTTGCGTTTCTCTTCAAGATACTTTACTAGAACATCTGCGCGTAATGGAATAACCGCCACTTGTACAGTATTTAAAAAAAAAAAAATCATTTAAAAAGAGAGGATGGGGATTCAAACTTCGTGGTTTTGCTTCATTTCCTGCCTTTTTGTGGGTATTTGTTGGAATTATTTTGATTGGATTTTTTGACTAAGCTAGTGTGGCATTACTAAGGCAATTTCTAAACCTACTTACCTAAGTAAGTATTTAGTTAAGTTTATGTGCCTATCAATATATTTGGAAATAACCTTGGAAGTTGTTTTCACTTGAATGCGCCTATCTATTTACAATTATTGGATTTTGCGAAGTTTGATTCGTACGAGGTAGCGAGTCGGAGTCGCCGTGAGCTTAGATACGGAGTTGAAGGGCCGATTTACTTGTTCCTTATACATCAATCAATCTATCCAACGCCGGAGTATCTATTCTTTCGCGGTGATGTTCCCTTAAAGATGTTCGGCGGGGAGGGGGAGACAAGTCACCGGGTATTAGAAATATGTAGGTATACTGCAGGATTCTCTGAAAGCGGTATGTTCCCCCTTTTTATTGGTAACCCTTGCATATATGTAACCTATACATACCAATATGTACATGTATGCAGAATGACAGACATACATAAGTATGGGTCGCCGATACTCAGGAGACCCGTGGTTTTCCTTGTTTCTAGAATCATGTATAGAATATTTACTCGACGTTCCCGAAACCTGGAATCGGAGTGGTAGGAGAGACGGAGGCGGTGAGTGAGGTGGTAATGAAAGACCGATATTAGTTCATGCAGAGATGGCGCAGTAGACGCAGTAGTGGTGCTAATGGTGGTGTATGAAATGTAGTGTAATATACCGCTTTTCCGGGGAATTCGTACTATCGTTTTTAATTATCGGCGGGGATTAAAGGAACTGCTCTTTTGGATGAATGGTTATAGGCACGTGTGGCGATACTGTTTGAGTCTTATACCTACATCATGGTTGTACGTAGTATCAGTCGGCGAAATGTTGCGGTCAACATCAGTGCTAACGATATGTTGCATATATCATAATGTGGTGTAACAGCTATGATTTATATCGATCCAATGATTCTATGGGAAATACATATAGCCACATGTTGTCTGTGGGCTTCTCTAATAAAAAGGGGGAATGGGTTAGGTATCTCCATAGGTGGCCGAGACAATTACGCTTACTATTCCCTGTTCTCCATTGCTTGATTTCCCTCCACAAACTCCTCATTGGTCGCGACACCGGAGGCCGACGTTGCACGGAAAGCGCAGAGGGAAAATAGGTCCGCCAAAGGGGCTTATAAATATATTCGGTCGCCGATCCGGATCTCGAATTTCCGGGCTTGTGTATTATTGCTCAACTACGTAAGTTCGCATTCGTAATATCCTACTCCTTATCTGGGTATCTTGTAAACATCGCTGATCTTCTACCAGAAGTTCATGAATTCTGTATATTCGCCGAGCGTGCATCGGACTAACTTTACTTGATTTCGGCGTCCATTCGGTGGGAGTATGGGTAGGTAGTAAAGACCTTCTCCTTAATTTCTTTTGTAAAGGCGAATAGAGCAGGACCTCGGCGAACCCGATTTAATACTCTTGAGGGGAAATGGTACGGATATGATTCCGTATTGTACGATGTATGGTGAAGGTCATATAGTACGATGAGGCGATTATCGTTCAGGTATATGCGCGTTTCACTCGATGTCCTCGTGTTCTCTTCTTGACGGTTGGAACATGTACCGAAACCACTAGTATCCTTTTACGCACGTAAGGGCGGTATATATGTTACCCCATAATCATAGCCACACCCATACCACCAGCAAACATGGCAGCCACAGTAATAAAACTCGAGACAGAAAGGAGCGATATTCCGCTAATTCCATGCCCGGACGTACAACCACCTCCCATTCGAGAGCCGATTGCTAAGAGAACGCCGCCAAGAACCGCTCTAGTGGGTTTGATTTCGATTTCAGATGCCGCTTTCGTAGATGGCGACACTAACGAAACGACCAATGCTCCAGTGACCATACCTGCGGCAAGCACAATGGTATTGTACGACTTCGGCTTTTCTCCTCGCCCTATTATCCACCAAAGATAGTCGCCGACCTCCTCGAAGGAACTAGAGGTACCGAGGAGGGTCTTCCGTAGCACGATCGAAACCAGTTGAGCGCCAGCAATCAAAAAACCTCCTGTTACCGGCCCTGCTAATCCATCGGACTTAGGGGATGCCAAGTAGACGATTATCGTAATAACACTTGTCAACAAGATCTCGAGAGTTACTAGTATTTTCGTCTGGCTCGTCCCTATCCACTCGTCCAAGGTTAAATGGCGGTGTCTAGAAATCTCTGTCCTCTTATTCGGTTTCTCTCGACTGTGAATTGTAGGCCGTAGAAGACACGACCAGATTATACCCCCGATTATCGTTCCGCTAAGTGCGTAGAGACCAGAGGGGATGCCAGCCCCGACTTGTGCGAAAACTGTCCCTGGACAAGATCCGGAGACAGCCAAGCCAGCGCCTAATAGACACCCCCCTATTATGTTACCGTCGAGAAAACCGAAGACGTTGATTGTCGAGTAATTTCGAGGGTTCAAGTGAAGATAACCTAGTCGTTGTAACACGTTGACGATTATACTAGTTAGAAATGAGCCACTTCTCCTCATTAAATAATATTGAGGGAATAACAATATTCGGCATCACAGGGGAAAGTCTTACGTGCTAGTTCCAGAAGCAGTCAGAAAGGTGGTAACCATGTGCCAGTCTTGCAAATTCATCTGCCCAACGATAGCAGCAGGTTGATGGATCGCAGTTGCTGTCAGGGCTGCACCGAAGGCGGCGCCGGATAGGAAAGGTCTAAACATATTCTTAAGCCGCAAAATATTAGATGTGCCTTTGACGCCTGCCGGACACGATGGATAAGGGGAAGAATTGGCGAATAAGCGGCGGATGGAAAAAAAAATTAAAACCTTTAAAATTGGCGTAAAGGTGCTATACTTTAGTCATCTTGTATATTCAAATCGAGTCGCCGACTTGAATCCACCCATATCTCCTTTTGTCTCCATCAAAGAACGCCTCTGTTTATGCTTAGCATCCTAAGGAAAAGACCCGCAAGGACACCTGGGTATGGATCGGGTACCAAACGGGCGGTAATTTAGGAAGCATGATGTCCTCATCCATGCTCCTTAGCCACGCCGTCCCATAATAATCCCAACGGTCGGCGACGCTAGTGGAGTAGCATTTTCCTAATATCATGCTTGCCAAGTTGATCTCCTAAGTCCTTATTAACATTGTTACTAGGTAGTCATCTCCCTGAATGCCTAGGTACTGTTAGTTAGGAGTCTTATCTCCCCTTTTCGGAATGGGTATATCACGCTATACCGGAAAAGGGGAGATGGGGGTGACGATGGTTGCACGCGGGGAGCTTCCATGCGACTTCGAAATTCTCCCTGGTGCATATGTGCATATGCCCTACTCCTTAGAACACCACGATCCATGTTTCGAGAACGTTGTTGTGAAACGCTAAGATTTAAATCCTAGAGGCGGAACTTCCCTTAAGGCTGATGAGTAGACGGCGATCACTAAAAATATAATTTCTGTAGAGTCTCTCGGGGATCTCGCATGGATCTTGTCCGTGCGCTTCGCCGATGTAAGTGGAGTTCCCGTGGTTATATTATGGGCCTTCGGCTTTCAACCGAATTATGGGATCTTATGTTTCTCATGCTTGGGAAATTTGTTAATAAGTTCGCTTTAGCCCGCTTCATCCGTAACGTGTCTCTGTCGTATTAATGGCCCTATTACAGTCAGTAAAACGTCATGAAAAGTCGGTATTAAAGATCCGTAATCATCAGCGGTAGATATGGCGTAATTATTGGAATGAGACTCACGAGCCAATGACCCAAATACCTGGAACCATAGTCGATACTACAGCGCACACGTGCTAAATTGGTTTAAATTAGTAGCTCGAATCAACGCCGATTCCGAGCGCCACAATCCGTCCCTACTTAGTGGTAGGACCCTTGGTAGCCGATGAGGACTAGTCAATAGACACGTAGATGGTAGTACAACTGGCCAACCATCTTGGCGATCCTTACCATGACTGAACTTGGAAGTGTCATATGTCAGCCACTGGCTCGAGCCGTCTCGGACAATAAAAATGAACTAGTCCTGAGTGTAACCTTTCTGTTGGTTTGAAACTCGACAATAAACCCTAGAGAATCTATGACCGTTTTCGGCCCAAGCCAAGCCGGATACGACAACGCTGGGGGTGAGCGGGATTATTTCCGAAGTCTTTGTTCTGACTCTAAGAAGTGCCCATTAAACAAAGGATGTCATCGGGTTATCATTATTATGGTGGGTTCGGAGTTGTAATTATTGACAGTCCGGACGGCATGAATTTGTAGGAGATCAAGATTGCGGGATCAAGCCTCGACCTATTTAATTATTTCTAAATCATACTCTTCCTTTCTTTCATAAATTGTGGTAGGTGCACTTCTGTAATTTATGAAGCTGTAGCTAATTTCAACGGAATAATTCCCTCGATAAACTTTGAACGCACATGTATGCATGATGTAGATATGAACTCTATTAACATTAACTCCATAGGGCATTATTAAGTCCGCATTTCCAATGTTTGGAGGTGTAGTTACACCAGAGTCCCTAAGCCCGCACCCGTACCTCGGCACTATACCTTGTACTTTAATTGTTGCGGGGGAGAAATTTCCCCAGACGTGACGTTAACGCTATAGCTGACAAATCTAGTACTTGTGTACTTGACCCCATAGTGGGGACTTATACCTTTACAATATGTACACCAGCAATTACTGTCTATATATTCAATTTAAATGGAGGTGAGACAGTTCGGTACTATAGAACGAGTAATTTCATATATATATGGTGTAATTGTGTGGTACATATTCTTATCTCAGTAAATCATAAATAATCTCATTCAAAATGCCTCACTCTTTAACAGTCACTAAGGTTGAAGGCAAACCCGGTCAGGTCTATTACCCGTAAATGTTACCCCTATCCTCCCCTTTTCACTAACATAAAATTTGTGAGCTAATAAACATCCAGTCTTAAACTCAACGAAGTCCCTAGGCCCAAGCCAGGTCCTAAGGAGGTGCTCGTCCGTCTTCACGCAGCATCGCTTAATCACCGAGATTTTTTCATAAGACAGCATCTCTACCCAGGGATATCCTTCGACCACCCATTATTAAGCGATGGATGCGGAACTGTCGTTGAAGTCGGGTCAGAAGTACCCTCAGGTTCCTTGCTCATCGGGAAGCGTGTCATCCTAACTCCCATACGTAACTGGGACTCCGCAAAAGACGGACCCGAGGAACCCTCTAAATTCGGAGCCATCGGCGGTTCAGTAGGTACGTAATACCAAAACCACCCCTTTTCCTCCTTCCACATTTCAACCTACAAAGTACTAACTCCCCTTCAGCAAGCCCCATAGGCACAGCGTCCGACTATGCCCTCCTCACCCCCGCCGACTTCGAGCCCGCACCCGCACACCTCTCCGCCCACGAAGCCGCCGCCCTCCCCCTAGTAGGCCTAACCGCCTGGCGCGCCCTCTCCACCAAAATCCTAAACGGGGACCTTCAAAGCGCAGCGGGACGTAACATCCTCATAACCGGGATCGGGGGCGGCGTCGCCCTCTCCGCCCTCCAATTCGCGTCCGCGCTCGGGGCCAATGTATACGTAACATCCGGCGACCCCTCCAAACTCGAACGCGCGAAGTCGTTAGGCGCAAAGGGTGGAGTGTCATACCGCGAAGCGGCATGGGATAAACAACTCGCGGCCCTCTTATCCCCTTCACGCCCGTACCTCGATGCAGTAATCGACGGCGCAGGAGGTGACGTGGTAGCCCGCTCGGTGCGACTCCTACGTCCCGGCGGTATAATCGCGGTCTACGGTATGACAGTCGGACCGAAAATGGACTGGGTCATGACCGCCGTCCTCAAGAACGTAGAACTTAAGGGCACGACGATGGGTTCGCGTGCCGAGTTCCGGGATATGGTTAATTTTGTTCGAGAGCATCAGATCCGACCCGTAGTAAGTCGAGTGGCGCGAGGAGGTCTAGCGGATATCGCCGGGGTGGATAGTCTGTTTGAGGATATGCGACATGGGAGACAGTTCGGCAAATTAGTTATAGAGATCTCGGCGCCCGAGGATGAGAGTGGTGCTAAGCTATAGAATTATCTGCATAATACCAAGCCTGATAGGCTCTTAGAATACGAGTTAAAAATACCAGCATCACTTAGAAGTACGGAAGATCACTCTTCGAGATGGTGAAGACGGCGTACGAAGCATTTTATGAACTAGACGTGAACGGTGTCGTTGAATCAATCTAGGATCTAGATGAGACTAGAGCCGAGGCAAACTTTACAATAATTGTTTTGGTTATTTGTGCAAAACCCCCCTTTCCAGTCTCCGCCCGCATCACGTACCATTCAAGACGTCCGGGCTTTTTTCTCCTTTCGTCGGGGCAGTTCATAATAATAATACATTGGCATGACATTCTCCTGGCCCACGGATAATCCGTCCGGGGCCACAAAACACCGTCCACTACCTTTGCAACCCGAACCAACCACGTAGCATCGACAATAGCTTCCGGATAAGGCCGTAACGAATAGGTTTCTCTCTTCGATCATGATTTGAACCCTTGACATCCCGTTTCCTTCCTCGGACAACACGTTTGATGCTGTTCTTGTTTAGATATTCGGGTCGAAGAGATTCCCTCGCTAAACGCCGCCCTCCTTCCTATCATCAATGACGTGGCGGGACTGCATCATGCTAGTAGTAACCATAGTATTAAGAAAAAACGGCCGGATATGAGATCCTTTCATGCTTCATCATCCGATCGACCGTGACTCTGCCCATTACCACTCTTCAAGCCCGGAGAAAGACTAATGGCAATTTTCCTTGGCCCACCCCCAGCATCTCGGGCACTGGAAACGGATTTCTTTTTTCGGAGAACGCTGGAGACGCTTGAGCTATTAGAGCTTGCTGAACTGCTATTTCGGCGTTTATGTTGGATCATTTTGCTCAGGTCGTCTTCCTCGTCTTCCTCCCGTCTTCGCTTCTCGGATAAGCGCTCTGGTGGGGGGCCCACATCTCTAGGAGCTTCATTTGTTCTCCTTTGTCCTTCATCTTGTCTATCTTCGTCAGCCGAGATCGCCCCAGCTTCCATATTTTCATCTCCCTCCTCATCAGAAGCATAATCTACCAGCGGTTTGATATTTGACGCCTCTCCATTCACTGATGATGCTCGATGCCTAGGCTTTGCTTGCAGCTCTTCTTCATCGTCAGACGTGTTCCAATATTCTTCCTCAGCTTGATCCATAGCAAGGTGCTCCATCAACGCTCCGGTCTTTGGGTTTATACGCTTACGCGACTCCTCGTCTACCTCTATGTAGTAATCCATATTGGCGCTGAAGCCGCCGGTTTGATCGTAGCGAACAATCAGGGTCCTGAAGAGATCCAGATAGGCTAAAGTCTGTATTTTGTCTCGGTGGTTTTCGACAATGTGCTTTACTAGATCCTTGATATTTTCCTTCCTAATAAACTCGAAGAACTCTAAGCATGCAGAACTGAGCAGGTTGTCTTTCGGCATAGTTTCGATGAGAACATCAAGAATTGGCCCAATAACCTTCTTCTCTGACACGTGCTTCACGTAGAATTCGTCTTGTAAGCCGATCAATTGGCGCAGGAATCGGATAGCAACTGATAGAGGGTTAGCACGATAGTAAAAACCTACAACACTGGATCAACCAACCAAGTTTTAGAAATTTCTCCGGGCATTTTAGGAGCTGGCTGATACGCAAAACAATATCGTTATTTAGGACGAAGAATTTACTGCGATGTTGGTGTTGTCGGATGAAGAAGCAAAGGATCTCTATCAAGTAAGTGAACATAGAAGCCTGCTGGACAGAGAACTCCATATTAGTTCGGCCCTCTAAGTTAATTAAGGGTTGGAAGAGCTTGGCGGCTGAGCTTTCGTAAAAAAGATTCAGGAAGTTATCTTGCTGCGGATCCGAACTGGGCGGTATCCTTGTGTTTCTAACACCATATTCGCCATTCGCCTTTGCGAATGCCTCCTGTTGTTGCTGTTGCTGCTGCTGTTGTTGCAGCGTTGGGCCTTGATCGAGGAGTACCTTCAAAGCATCGGATATTTGTGACTTAACACCTAAGTCCACTTCGACTAAAAGCAAATCGATAAGCGAGTCTGTCAAAGGCGGTTGTTTTTCATGAAGCTGTCGATATATCATCGCTCGAATCATATGCGGGTCGTGGTCGATCATAGAAACCAATATGTCGGTAGCTCCAACTCGCACGGCCACATCACTGTGTCTTAGGCCGAAATTGATGACTTGAAGAAGACCGTGGGCGAGGAAGTTGTTGTATAGGGTTTGGCGGGCTGGAGGTTGGAGATTCTTTGCGATTGCGCAGCACTGTTGTATGAACAATACCGCCTCTTTCTTACGCTTCGGTTCGGGTTGGGAGTTTTTGAATATGCCAAACAGCTCGGCTAGGAAGTTTCCGTTTGACTGTAAGTGTTGTACGATGTCGACCTGGTTGAAGAAAATTAAAGAGTTCAATACGGAAAATGTGTTGTCGTCTAGGATGCGTGCTAACACGACATCTTTTAAATATTGGAGCCGATAGGTTTGATGGATCTTCTTCAATATTTGAGGATCCTCAATGCGTACGACCTCCTTATATCGACCTTCACCTTCTAACCATTGACGATGGTTCGCCTTATGGCTTGGGAAATCCGGGTCGTACTCCAACGCGCCCACAACACCAATAACACACTCGTCTGATACAGCATGTTCTATGATGCTCGTATCGTTGAGAAGAATGATGATTTTCATGATATTACAGAGACGATGTAAATCGTTAAGGCTTTCGAGGTCCTCCGCGTCACCAACTAGGGGGATTAACTTGCCGATGTAGTTCTCCATCAAGACATATTTTGTTAGGGCATCGCGACCGTTAGCTGTTCCACTGAAGCCGCGCATTTGCGATTCTATGTCAGCAAGATTGCCCATAGAAGCTGGTGGGAGGGTGATAGGATTCGGCATGTCCATAGCAAGGTCGTCGGAGAGACTATCATCTACTTGATACCAGATTAGCAACTTGTTAGCTGGTCGATGTCGATGAACCTATACCTGGCGCGTTTACAGAATGGTACTGCTGCTGAATACCATTGATAAACTTCCTGTAACATATTTAGTTAGATTTTCTTTGAAGATGTGTCTCGGGAGACGGGCGGTGGTGGTATGCCATACCATATCATTGCGCAACCCTCCGCCTCTTGAAAGCTCAGAGCCATGTCCACACCACTAGTCGGCTCGGTCCAAACGATCAAAGTTTCTAGAAGCGATGCCGGTTAACAATTATATGGTTCCCTATGTAGGGTTTACTGTCCTCCCAAACATACCTTGTTGCTTATGGAAGCCATCTTCTTTGCAAATTCTCGTCTCGAGCAATAGACGGTCAGGCTGGTCTTCGGATTCGACAAGGACTCGCGGATCTCGCTGCTGGCCATCTTCAGACTAGTACGAATGACAACCGTGTTAGTGACTATAGATTGATATAAGGAGTAAGAGATGGAAGGAGACGGCAATGCGACGATAAAAAGCAATTATTGGCGCAAAGCGCGTCGTCGCGACTTGGTGGAGAATGGGAGCGCTTACAACGCTGAAGGCGGCAGTACAGAATCCGGTACCACGATCGAACCAGTCATTGTTGCGCAGCTCGTAGACCTTGACTCGTTTCTTGTCCGCTGACGGATGAGGCACAGGCTGTGCCGCCATCGTCAACGGTGTGTCAGAGTCGAGGTCGGTGGCCAGTCGGTTGTACTGCAGCAAGTCGGGCGCAAGATCTAGATGTTGTTGAAGGGATAATTCGGTATCGGTTTGGCTGAGGAGGGTGAGCGCAGCCACTTTTCCTCGATGTTGGCGCGCTAATTGACGGGCGCGCACGCGACGACGAAAAAGCGTTGTGCGGTGGGCGGAAGGCGGAGGGGGGTGGAAGGCGAAGAGGGAATGATTATGACTATCAAATTAAAAAAAGGCACAAGCGCGGGCCGAAGAAGAAGACCAGGCCAGGTAGTACCCTCCCTATACCTAGCCAGCAGCTCTAGCAATAGCAGTAGCAGTAGCAATACTAGTAACACCGGGTGATTGATTACGTTGATTACATGTACGGGATATGCGACATGCAAAGATGGGGCTCTGTGGCTCGTGTGTTGGTGGTGTGTGGGTTAGATGATGCGAAAGCCGGGTATGGGTTGTGGTTGTGATTTGGTTTAGGATGGGAAGTGAGGCGACGTGAGATGGATCAACTTGCAACAGTGTATGTGAATGTCGAGAAAGAGTCGGGCTAGACAAGGCAGCCAGACCAGGTCAGGATTATCCTCTCTCCACCGTGCGGCGTGCGACAGGGTCTAGATTGGATTGTACCTACTAAAATTAGTGGGTCTTTTATACCTAGGGTAGGTACCTCTGGCTGGGGGTTCGGGGGGTTATGGTTGCGAGAACGCTCGGCTTGTCGCTTCCCCTGTGCAATACCTAGAAAGGGCTTAGGTATGTACCTCCAGGCTAACCTTAGAACTGAGTTAGAAGGTGTGGGTTCGCTTTTTGGGGCGTGCCCAGATCGGACTTGTGACGTATTTTGCCAGACTGCCTGACAAATAGGCAAGACTTTAGAGATAACAATACCTAGGTAGTCAATAGTGCAAGCAAAATATTATATGTCTAAAGAGGCAACACATGAACCCAGAAACGACTTATACAATTCGCAATTAGTGAATAAGTCAGAGAATGAGAAATTGTTTAAAGTAATAGTATAATGCATCTCAAATGAATACCCGAGCAAGGTACACTTTTCTTAGACTCAAGCTGAGGAACATTTGAAGATTATTGTATGATTTTTTTTTCCCTCGGAATTTTTTGGATGATGCTAAGTGATGGGACATGGCTCGTGCGTAGTGGGTATTTTCTACATGTATAGATCCCGGCACCTAGTGTACATTATACTTGTCTGAGATACATTACCCCTTAAGGTTATAACCCGCAAGTATTGATATCTTTTAAGAAGTGTGGCTAATCAACTTAATTACCTACCTGCACTCGTTTACTTATTACCCTAATACATATATAGATGTCTAGTGCCGGCATTTGTTGCCTATTATTACATTACTTGATGTTATTTTTATTGCCTACCATGCATTAACGATTTCATAATCCACGTAATATAAAAGGCAACACCAATCTCCCGTCAACATTGGATTTATTTGGTAATCACCTCTCTCTATTATTATACACATCTAACTCGAATTATAGAAGAACAAATATATAAATTAACCCTACTATCGACCTGGAATGAGTGAATTATTTGGCCTAGTTGGTATAGCGGGAAATACCATGGAGTCTGAGAATTTTGCCGGCCAGGCGCGCATATCTCTAGACCAAGTGTGTTTAAGACCAGGTGTATCGTTTAAGCGATTAACACGAATTAGACGTGTCAGATCGGTAATCCTGGTGTTGAAAGTGTTGAAGGTCGATGTTCGCAACGTTTTCCCAAGGTTTGCTTCGCTCATGATAGCTCGCAATGACAGGATGAAAGCCTTGTACGATTGATTTACGCTGTGTAGCATCGCTTCGTTCTGTCTATGAGCACCTCTTACGTTTCGAATTTGATTGCCACCGCGCTGTACTGACAGGGCATTTTGGATGGCTTTCCTGAGCACGTCCTGACGCCAGTCAACAACACGATTGATATAACTAATAACCCATTGGAATAAGTTCCTCAGAGACCCTTTAAGGTCCATCCAGCCAGAAAGGCACACTAACCACTTATATCAGACTCTAGTCACAGCATGGAATATCATAAGGTCCACTTACATAGTCGCCTACCCTCTTTGGTAGTTAGACCATACACATACAGGTATAACTCTCTATATTCGTCCGTAAACCATTTACTTTCTGCTAATTCGCAATCAATCTCAACGCCGCTCTCGTGTACAATGGCGTTCGCCCGAAGTCCAGCTTTACGCATGCCTCCTTCATCCATACCACCGTAATACGTTGGGTCATCACGCAGGTAGTGATGGAGGAATCGAAAGCGAACCTCGGCCCATCTATCAGCCCATTCCAGACTTCGTTGCAGCGTCACCTGGAGATTTGAGTCGCCGTCCAGTAGTTTATCTCGATATCGGAGCTCAACCGCTCCTCTCACCCAGTCATCTGCGTTCTCGACGACCGGGTCCTTCATGGCTTGGTCCTTGATGACTGGAGTCTCGTTCTCGACACTCGCGTTTCTCCTCGCCAGTTCGATAAGCTCGTCTAATTCGAGCAGAAGAGTCCCGGCGGCTTCGTTGCCCCTCAACCTCGTTTCCACCGCCTTCCCATTTTCGTCAAGGTTGAAGTCTGATGATATATCGATGGTTTTATCCAGAGTCGTATTAATGATTGGTCTAATGTCTCGCCCCTCAACCAAACCCTTCAGGAATATAAGTAGGCTATAACGGTCGCCAAGGCTATTCGGGCTTTGGAGCACACGGCCCTGAGGTAGCATATTCGAGCGAGAACCCGGTAGTTCTGCTACAATCGGTTCTGCCGGGCTATCCACCATACTGCGGGTAGGTTTAGCTTCAATAGGCATAAAGGAACTTGGGGATTAACATACATTGTATCTTTGTCGTTCCCCATGTTGTCGGCGCTCTCTTCAGATTTAATGCCATTTAAAAACTTATTAATAAGTGTATAATAGGTGATTCGATAAAATTTGACGAGTTATATTGGGGACTCATCATGAGTAAAATCGAAAATCAGTCGCCCATACATACCCGCCAAGGATATACAAAGGAGTAAAAGCCTAGCGGGCCACAGATTCTGTAATAATTGCATTCGGTCATTCTCTTTGTCGATAGACTATTCAGCATTCCTATTTTAGAACTTTCAGTATTTACCGGAATCAGAAATCTGAACCAAGTTTACATAGATATCAATCTGGGGGAACGAAATTAGGTATGAATTTCTATGTTTATCCTCACCTCGTGCCTAGGCTTGCCAACGTGCTTGGACTGCCTCCTTTATATCCAGACATATTTAATAATGCTAGTAACAGTTGTCTTTCGTCATTCTATAGTTAGATGTCAAGCAGCTTCGTATCTTCTCAGTCGTTGTTTTAAGTTTACGTAAAATCATCCATTTCATTTCATCGACGAATCGAAGACTAGAAAGCGATAAAAACCTCATAGTCTGCAAGTAAGCCTTTGGAAAATAGAAAAAGAAAAGGGGTGTCTGTCTCAATTATATGTGGGATAGTGTAGGTGCTCGGTTTACTCTATTCGATGGTAATAACAGAATTTTGACCGTCTTCAAAGAGGTAATGAAGAAGCCCTAACTCAGGCTTGTCCGATTCATAGACAATGTATATAGGGAACTATTACTATAAAACAGAAAGATGTATTTCTATATTCAATGTTGGCATGTAGAAATCAAGATGTATGTACCTACTTTAGTTAGGTACTAAAAGTGTGGATATATGTACCTGGGTATTTGGGTACTTGGAGACATGTAATTGATTTTTATGGGGCTAGCTATTGTGGATCTATAATGTATGTAGGTACATGTACGAAGTATTTGCCTGGATTATCTTTCGCCGGAAACTTTCCCTTTTACATTATTTGAGAAGACAAGATAATTTCTAGAATAACGACACGACTCAATAAGCTCGAGCTTCACCGCAGGTGGTAATTATTATGCTCGAGGCGGTGGCCTGGGGCTGATATATACCTAAAAGGTACATGTCAATATTTGATTATGAGCGGTAACAAATCTGAGGCTTCAATGCGCCAACTTTAGCACTGTATCGTGCGAATCCATAGGCTCGGATCCCTATCGTCGTCATTTTCGAATTGACTGCATGAGCTGAACCGATAAAATTGATAGTGTGTGATTCAAGGCGTCGATGCAGCTGTGGCTCTTATTGACAGGATAAATGGAGGTCTGTTTGGTCGGATTGGAATACGAGGCTTCACTATCTCTCATGCATATCTATCGGAGGGTTTTCATACCGCCCATTCAATCATTTTTCTCTGTATCGAAACCCGTATCAAACTACAAACTCATCTTGTCCCTATGTTTTCTAAGATTAATGTTATTGACATATTGGTAGGTGTTGGATGTTCACACTGGCCATTCAAAATATGATGGTCCTGTGCAGACTCTCTACCTTAAGTATCATACTGAGATACGGCAAAGGTGTACTATGGCGTATGCAGTAAATACAACCCATATGCAGCAGATCGTGTGGGTTGAAATACCAATGCGACCTCACATGATAAGCAAACAAGTCTCGTCTCATTGGGGTTACAATAAGTATTCATTGAGCGCCCACTTCTTCTCCTTTCCCTTTGACATGTCAGCAATTTAATCAATTTCGAGATGTACTACGCCCAGTCTTACTACTTGCGCAAATCTTAAGTTTCCAATCCCGTTCAAGCACCTCGACGAGCGCCACCACAGTCTAGAGTACCTACATATGTGGGCAGGCATGCCAATGCATGTATACCTAGGTACACTACATATACTTGGGTAGCCCCAACTCTAGGCTCGAGTCTGTTAACCTGCATGCATATGCCATATGTAAAGACGAACCCTCTTCAGAATTTAGCTCTGCCTTCTCTTTTTTAAGTTGCGGAAGTTGTTACTTGTTTTACTTACCCGTTAGCACCTGTGGACAATAGCTCTACAACATACTTGTATATCGATCCTCTGATACTTTTTATTTCCCTTTTTCATTGCGCTGTTTCTCTTATGGCCTAACCACCATCTACAACGATTAAAGCATATTTTCCCCCAGCCTAATCTATTGTCAGGACGAATACAAAGTGTCGTCGTCTACCTTCAAGAGTGTCAGTTGCTGTTATAGAATTATCTTGCCGTTCGATATTCTCTATCGTCCATTATTACTTCAACTCGTCCCTGTATCTTGAATGACGACCGACCTTCTGGCGTCCCGCGATCTAGGGCCCAGCTAGCCGTCTGGAGATTGACGATACCACGATCCGCAGGACTTAATGTCAACCCATTGACCTCTGTTTCATACATTCTGGTCCTTAATTTGAATATTAAGCTTCGTCACCTTCGCGTGGCTTAGATTCGTCATGTCGGTCATTTCAGTAATAAAACGAGGGAGGGAGCAAGCGAAGGAGCACAAAGTGAAGGAGAATAATGCGAAGAAGGCTGAGAAAGCGAAGGAAGAATCTGTCAAGCCACCGTATAAACATATCCCTACGCACGCTGCTGCCGATGCTTTATCCGGAGCCCCTGCATACTGGAGACAAACCGATAGGCCCAAAATCATAGAGCAAAACAGACGCAGGGCTGCCATGCTGGCAAACCGACCTAATATGGTTGGAATGCCGCGGGTTGGAAGTTCACCGTCTTATGCTTCATACGCAGCGGTCCACAACACCCCTATTGCTCCTCTCCCCAAGAATTATAGTCACCCCAACGGCCGCATCCCCGGACAAGGTCAACCGCCCAACTCCCAGGCATTGGACTATTTTAACTACCGTGGAGGTGCAATGAGTATCAAGGGGAAGGAATCCGAATATTTACGTCCTCCACCGCTCACAACTCGGGCTCCAAGGCCGCCATCGGGATTATCACAGGGACAATCTAGCATCATATTGGGTAAAGACAACGACTCAGCACCAAAGAGCACACGCGTATCTCTCAACGAGAGCTCGAGAAATTCTATTGTGTCCGACGATGGTCTGGAAATAAATAATAAGGCTACACATCACCAACCTTCAAGTGTTGGTTATCAGTCGAGCACTTCCCAGAAAAGTTCGTCTTCTAGCGATAAATCCAGTCGTACACTTACCGCCAATTCGCGGACGACTATCGAGCTTCCTACAAAGACCGATCGACACTACCCACCTCATGCCCAAAGCACGTATTTTTCGGCACCTCGTCCTATGCATCGGCGAACGCTTAGTGTGGACTCACCTACTTCATATAGCCCGGCTGTTATAGAGCGGATGGGTTTGGTAACCCCTTCATCAAATACTTCTGCCAATTTTTCCTCTACTTCCTCTATCGCATCAATTGGAGTTGCTATCGCGCCACCTCAAGCACCCTACCCTGTTGCTCCACGGTTTATCTCGCCGCCTACGGAAGATTACAGTGCTGCGGAACATGTGTCTACCGGGACAGAAGCTGTCGGCGCATCCCCTGTAAAGGCGCCAAGAAGATTTTCGATAGGGCATAACAAGCCCTCCCTAGACGCGGAAGCGGAAAAGCCAGCTGGCCAGGTTATAGCAACTCCCGCTCCGCCGGAACAAAGGAAAAGACGAAGGTTGTCTAAATCCAAACCACCGGCCGATAACGGCAGTGAGATCAAGATGTCGATAGAGGCAACACACCCCACTAGACAGAGTGTGACTGCTACCGCCATCACAACAGATGATTCTGTTCAACTAGATCATGCTATACAAGAGAAAATCAATCAAACTACAGTATCGACGTCCGAAACAACGCAAGACACGTCGGAAACGATAGCCCAAAAACCAGAAACCAAATCTAGCAAAAAAAGGCGATGGTTCTCTCGACTTGGTCGCAAGATACCCCTTATTACCACTCGCTAAAGCTATATCTAAACGGATGCTTCGCAATATACCTAGTTTACGTTCAGTGGAGGATATCCTACACAGATCCAGCAAAATGGGGCGCCGGTCTTGGGGCAGCCTTGATATATATTGATAGTTGGTAAGCCCATAGCGACAGACTTGTTTAAAATGAAATAATGGATGACCAAGATGACTTTTCGTCTCTTGTGTCCCTTAAAGCGCCCAATTTTTATTAATTCTAGTGCCTTACGGGTAGATCGTAATCGCTTTCGATGAGGGCAAAAAAAAGGATTTAACGTGGTTGGTAAAATCATCGGCGCCGAGCAAGGGGATCCTCGCTACATTGTAAGGGGAAGGTCGGGACGTTCCGAACCTATCCCACGTAACACGCCCACGCTAAGGTCCATGGTGTGTGGTCGAAACTTACTATGATAGGCTGGTTTTGACTTGACTGTGCACTACTGAAAATCTAGAACTCGGACATTCTAATCTTAGCTCACATCATTCTTGAAATGCCTCTTCAAACTTTTCGAATATTAGTCGTTAAAAGTACCTAGGTATATACCTAATAATTCCGAAATTCCACCGTCTACGTGTCGAAAGCCGACGACGGTATCGGGAATCGCGAGTAACAAGGACAAGCGAACTCCGAGATCCTGACCGGTCGACGCCACTTCGTAATTCTTGCGTACGAGGCGCCACAACTACTGCTAATATTCCACGCCATGGACACAAACACGGATATCTTGCTCCGGAGTATGTTGTTGTTGGTACCCCTCGGCTTGAGACAAAGCGCCGTAAACTCCAGCGCCACCTTTCTTTCTCCAATATTGAGCACCCCCACGGTAGTAAGCTACCTAGGTAGCCCGGCACGATGCAATTGCTCACTTTAGACCGTGGTAACAAGGCCTGTGCATAAAGTTGTCATTACCAAGTCCAAGGTACGAATAAGTTACTTCCTGGGTAGGTATCATCGCGGCTGGAGGTCACGCCTGCAAATTTGAACGCCTTATCTGTATGCATGCACCAAATCGATAGTCCCCTGGATATTTCCGGACTTTTGCTATCCCTCCCTCCTCCGTGGAGCTCTTCTATTCGTTCGTTTTTGAGACATTCGCGTGTGACCCCTGGGAAGATCCCACACTTCAAGGCCGAAACACGGCGCCTAGTGATTGGCGACTTTCTTGGTATTGTTATGGTGGTGTCGTGGGGGCTGGGTTATGGGGATTGGGTAGGAGAGGATTATGCTGTAAGAAGTCAGCCGCATTGTTTGATTTTGAGAATTTGATATGTGATATCTCGTGTGGAGTTTGTTCCAGTAGGGCAATCGATTGGTCTTTGTGTGTCGGATGGTAGGTAGCGCTCGGGATGTTTCTCGTTTCTAGATTGCCTCGCTTATATCACTACCTACCTAATCCTTCATTTTTTCTATGATATCACAAGCGTTACGGATAACGCGAGCTCCATCGTGGCGGGCTGGAACTTCTGCATTTGTCTTTTCAACGTACGATGGGTAAGCAACAGATAAAGTCGCGAACTAGATCGTTTTCTGGAGTTGACAACTTAACAGATGCGTCTTGAACTCCGAAAGATAGGAACTTCCTCGCACGTAGCGAGGTGGTATTCGGGTTTGGGCTGGCCTGCTTACGAAACGACATGGTTACCGGTTTCTCTTCGTCACCTCCTTTCCTCCAACAGCTCCGTATTGTTCAAGGCACGTGGCAGCAAAAGAAGTGCCCCAAACCAAATAGTCTAGTTACGCAGCAGCAACCCCCAACTTCTGGTCTTGGTTCGCCGCAGCTTGAACCGTACTTCAAACGGCTCGGAAGTCCACATATGGTTCATTATGCATCAAGTACAGGTACCGGATTTCTTATTGCGGTTGGTGGGTGATCGGGGGCCTATTATAAATATTAAGCCTCATTCTTTATAAATCGTTGCCACCACTCTTATTAATTGGTTTGCGCCACCATGATTCAAACTAAGCGATCGAGGTCCTATTGATTCCTCAGTAAGAATCTCGCATTGCAGGATTTACACTGCTGATGACACAGCATATTATTGAAATGATTCATGCTGTACACATCTTCAGGTGTAACAAGCGGTACCTCAATTGTTAGAGAATAAATGAGAAGAAGATAAGAGTTGGCCATTTAACTTTAGAGCACAATGGTGCTTGCAGAAGTGCATAGGAATTTGCAAGTGGTTGTTGAGAGTGCGAATGATTCTGGGGGTATAGAATGAGATGACTTTGTATAAGATACTTCACCAGTTCTACCACTGTGACTTATACGCATATACGTCTAGGTAGTTCACTGTCTTCCTACATGTGGATTTTGCGTAGGTCCTCAACCCTCACTAAAGTCCATTTTGGACTTCTTTTATACAAATGGACTTGGATCTTCATTGATCTTGTTACTTACTTTCGCACTATTAATTATTTTTGGAGCTACAGAGTAATAAGAGATTGTACTTGTATGAACATGGTTAATGAATAAACAAATGAGACAAGAGTTCCAAGGTTAAGGCTGAGAGCTGAAGTTAGGAGCTCTGCATGTTTGCGGGGATACTTAGCGTCGATCTTTAGGGGTCCTTCCATCGCTAAACTTCATCAGGGATGGGGTTCCTGGCACCTAAATTAAGTGCTGAAAGATGCAAGAAGTCTGATTGGTTAGCCCTAGAACCCTAGAGACGTGGCTTCTTTCCCAAGCTTATCCCGCCGTGACATGTGCCATGCCACTTTAAACTTCGAAGCTTAAAGTGCAGCCGCCGTTGCTGTGCAATTTCTATTGTACGGACGGTAAAAAGTCAATTTCGGATTTCAAATCAATCACCGGCGCATCTGAACTTTCACATCTTTTTTAATTGGCTGTCTACCAATCCCTCTTCAACAATAACCAACAAGAGGTGTAATTACTACCGTACCCCAACAAATCCCCAATGTGAACAACTACTTCGCCGACTCAATTCATTGTCGCGCCTCGTGATGGCAACTGCAATCATGGATCAGCTCCTATCAATTCTAAAGGAGACGCCTCCTCACACCCTACTGGCAGCCTTCATAGGACTAATCATATTCGCTTTCTATGCTGTACGAACTCAATTCCTAGCTCTACCCTCTACCTACCTAAGCTAAGCTAATTAAATCACAGCTCTACGCCGTCCTCCACCTCATAGCACCCAAACCCCGCGCCGTCCTCCCCTCCGAAAAGACCTATACATCTACAACCCCAACCGGCACCGAGCGCCGCCAACTCCCATGCTGGCACGACCGATGGCTAGCCGACCGTCACGCAAGCGAAATCCGCACCCTTAACGACGACCCCACACAACCCTCCATCGCCGACACCGGGTCCATCGAGCCTGCCGAAGTGCGCATGAGCGTCGTATTCCCGGCCTACAACGAAGAAGACCGGATCCTTCCCACCTTAAAAGAAGCAGTCGAATACCTCGATGCGACGTACGGCCGTTCCCCACGCTCGAACCCGAAGACACGTACCGCGGGAGGTTCTACTCGTCGGCACGTTAAGAACGCGCCTAGGGAGGATGTGGCTGGGTATGAGATCCTGATTGTGAATGATGGGAGTAAGGATAAGACGGTACAAGTTGCGCTGGATTTCGCGCGAGAGCAGGGTTTGCATGATATTCTCCGCGTTGTTACGCTCGAGCATAATCGTGGGAAGGGTGGTGGTGTGACGCATGGTTTGCGCCATGTACGTGGGGAGTACGCACTTTTTGCAGACGCGGACGGCGCCTCGCGATTCAGCGACTTGGGCAAGTTGGTTGAGGGATGCGAGGAAGTCGTTGATGGCGGAGGACGTGGTGTGGCGATTGGTAGTCGGGGACATCTTGTGGGCAGTGAGGCCGTAGTCAAGCGCTCGGCTCTGCGCAATTTCCTTATGCGCTCTTTTCACCTCGTCCTCATGATCTTGACGCCCCCCGCTACTTCACGTATTCGCGACACCCAATGCGGATTCAAACTCTTCTCACGCTCTGCTCTACCGCACATCGTCCCATATATGCATGCCGAGGGTTGGATCTTCGATATCGAGATGCTTATGCTGGCCGAGTCGGCCCCCGCTGTGCCGGTCCTTGGTCATGATGGCGCAATTATTGGCAGTAGCCCTGGTATCAAGGTCGCCGAGGTGCCTATTGATTGGCACGAGGTCGGTGGGAGCAAGTTGAATGTTATTCAAGACAGTATTAAGATGGCCGTTGGTCTAGCGGTCTTACGTGCTAGCTGGATGATGGGTGTATACCGCAGACGATTGACATGAGGGAAAAGGGGGCCGGATAGGTTTAATGGCAGCTACGCGGCAAGCCATAGTTCATTGCAATGCGTTGTATTTCCGGCGTTTGAATTTGAGGTTATAGATATCCATCTGGACGAATACAGAAAAAGTTCCACCATAAAATCTTTGGTTTTCTGCGTAATCTATGCTCTTCATGGCCCAAGTACTATTAATTCAAGATACCCATAATCCTACTAATCTGATTACGAGAAAATAGGCAAGAACCAGTGTAAATTTATATTGCGTAACATGAGCAATGTCCAATAAGAAGGAGGACAACACCGAAGAGAGACCCAGGTCGCGTAGTGGTTAACGCCTGGCCGACTCATCGAGAGTAGTGGGTTCGAATCCCGCCCTGGTAACCGCAAAAAACCGCTTCGGAATTCGAGGGTAACAGGTGAAGTCTGTTCAACGCTGGTGAAGGAAGTTACCAAGAGTTCGTCGCTGTTTCTCACTAGATTTTTTTTTTTACTGCCTATGTAGGAAACAATAGAACTGATTATCATGGTCTACGTAAGCTTGACTTGAATCTGAGTTGTGTATAAGAGGAAGTAGACAAGGGATAAATCTACATCAAAGCACTCATCAAGTTTAGCTGCTAATTTTCTAGCTGATGAACTTAAGTAAACATGTATGGATCTTATAATCTCTTAATCATTATAATTAAATAGGTATTAGGTGTATACGTTTGACCCGTATATCTCATTCTCGTTCTCCGTTCTATGTATGCCACGCCACGTCGGGTAGGGTAAACCAACCGACTTCAAATACAAGTAACGCGATTCTCCTTTTCTTTAGTTGGATATATCTTCTCTTCATAACGGGAGTTACTACAGTTAAGTAGAACCCCTTGCGAATTTTATTTGGTATTCACACCAAAATGTAAACCTTTACAGAACGCCATCTTCGTTTATACAAGTAACTCCCGATACATAACCGGCAAGAAGACACGGCTTGCGGTCCAAAGGACCCAAAATGCATTCCATAGCAAAACCGGCAACTTCCAGAGACCCGTCTGTTTGCAGTCAAGCCAAATCGCCAGAAACGCCACGGAGAAGAAGTGATAGGCAAGCACCAACGGGTCTGGTATTAAACCTCCAAGCATACCCATTGGGTCGCGTGTGACACCATTCCGAAAATACGCGAAGCACCCGCGTTGTAGCTTAGCTAGTTCCCGGTCTTGCGCCGCGAACAATGCGTATAGCGCCATGGCAAGCACGTTGATGATGGCTGTTAAGCGTTTGCGCTGCCAGTGGAAAGCGGATAAAGCTCGATTTATCGCGGCCGCGTCGGAGAGGTCGGGGATATTTTGGGGTGACAATAAGTCTCGGAGGAGAACAACGTCGTTTAGAGCTACTGTCATACCGCCACCAGTTAGGGGGTGTCGCATATTCATAGCGTCACCGAGGATGGCGAGACCGGGTGTAGATTGTTTAGTTGGTGGAAGCCAGGAATTAGGCATACTCTGCGGAATGCGGGGGTCGCGCTCGAGAGCGGCACGGAAGGAGGGCTGGACAGAGGCCGGGAGGGCGGGGAGTACGACGTTCATCATGTACCCGCGCACACCACCCTTAGCAGGGGCAGCTTCTGGTAGTTTTTCGGGTACGTCAACGAGACATCGAGTTTCGCGGGTGCCGATCTGGTAGAGTAGGACTGGGCTCGCGGCGCCTATAACGACGTGGCCGTAGCCCGGACTAGGTAGTTGGCAATCAACGAGTTCGAGGGCGTAGAATTTGGAGCGGACAACGGGGGCCTGGTTGATGTACTGCTTGCGGAAGCGGGAGGCGTAGCCGTCGGCAATGACCGTTAGCTGGCCAAAGAAGCAGTCGGGGCGCTTCTCTCCCGTAGCGGCGTCGACGGTTCGCGTTTCAACACCTAGGATCTCTGGATTGTGCGAGCCCTTGATGGTGCTGACGGCTTCGGTTTCGAATACGCTGATATTGGGGTGTTTGAGACAGGACCGCCGTAACTGCATAATGAAACGACCGTGGTGGAAACTTCGTCCTTGGGGTCTTGGTGGTTCTGTTGGTACTCCCTTTTTCGCGGATCCATTCGTCTTTTCGTCTCCCATGCCTAGAAGTCCATGTATCCGGGGGTACGGCATGCAGACATCTTCGCCGTAATAGAATACATCGAATCCATGACATGGTATAGCGTCGATATCTTCAAGACAATGTCCCAATCCTAATTTCCTTAAAGAGTTGACACCGCCAGGTTGCATCAACTCGCCGACAATACGGTTAGGTTCCTTCATCCGTCTTTCTAGGAGAATTACACTCCTTCCCTGTTCAGCGAGAGCATATGCAATTGCGCACCCGAAGACACCAGCACCGACCACGACGACATCGGCCTCATGGTATTGAGATCGCCGCTCTGCGAGCTCTTCTACGAGAACTGTAGTTTCGATCATAGGTAACGGTAGTATGGTATCCGGGATGCGGGATTCGCTGTGTTGGTTCGGGAACAATCGACGAGGGAAGGAGAAATAGCCCACACGTAAGAACGAGGAACGGAATTCGACGTGGTCTCAAGGGAATATCGCGGTAATGACTTCGACAGGCGGATCTTACAAGATGAACGAAGGAGTGAACTAAATAGATAGGCACTAGTAATCAGCAACTGGCGAATTGGGAGTATTTATTTATCACCAGCGGTTTCCGTAGTACTAGAAGTAGAACGTCTTCACTAGGTACGGGTAAGGGAATCAGGGGTCAAAGTGGACTAATGCGAAAAGGGTCCAAAAGTCGTGAGGAAGCAAAATAAAAATGGGAAGGGCTAAGAAAACAAAAACTAAACTGACTTTCTTCTCAGGTCATGATGGTTCGAGGTATCGTCCCATCCGCGCTGATATTCATTTCCAAACTTTTTAAACTTCCCAACTTTCTAAACTTTCTTACCCACCCCTTATCGGATTTTGTCAGGGTTCGCCAACTTAATTGCTTAAAACCTTCCTAGACATTGGCGGGAAATCTTATTTTTCTCTTTTTTCCTTTGTTCCTTGTAAGAGCACATGCTTGCCAAGACCCAACCTATCAAGGGTAAGGTACCTAGATATTAGGTAACCTTAGTCCCACTTTGAACGTCCTACCCAATTGACCAATCAAAATGAACTTGTGTTACAACTGCAAGAATATGCGAGCTAGAGCTGCATTATCCAATATTACATGTAATTAACTAATCACATGAACATTGAATGGTGGAAGCACTTTAGCCACACGTACATATGTACGGTGTACTTGTGTACCTACTTAAGTACGTAAACATACATATGTACATGTATGTCTAAAACATCAAGACTAATTTTTGTTACCGAAACATATTCCTACGAGGAACTTCTATCACGAGTCTATCTAGCTTTATGTGAAACCTCCCGCTAAATATATAGTTAGGCTGTAGTGTTACCCAAGAACAGCCACAAGCGGCAAGACATCTCTCCCAACCTGCTGTTTCGTTTGTTCCTCTGTGGTAGCATCGTTCTCCAATGGCACCGCAGTCTCGTTAATCTTCATATCTGCAAGCGCATTGCGCATGATCGTAAGGGTCTCGGCGGCCATCTTCTTCCCTTCCTTTCTCTGCTCTGCCCGTTTTCTCACCATCCTAGCAGTAGCTTCCTCCAGGATACCCCGTATAGTGTCAGCCGCTTTGTCATTTTCGTATTTTTGAACTATTCTCCTCGCCGATTTTAAATATGAAAGTACCGACGTATCGGTAGAATACCCGCTTGCGAAGAGATCGCGAATAAGGTCCCTCATTGCTCCTACGTCTCGTATCCGCGCGTAGGCCCGTAGCAACGCTCTCGTACTCAGTCTCGAGAAACATTGATTTTTGGTACCCTTTTTGTCCATTGCGAGCTGGCACAATGCGACCGCCTTCCCGGAATAATCCATTTCAGCACACACCATAGCCATATGGGTCATCGCTTCCGGTTGGATGATGATGCGTGATGATTCGAAACGGCTAATCAAGTTCCGCATGCGAAGCAAAACATTTTCTTTTACATCAACATTGATATTGCTGAGTTCATATTTGATGTACGTCGTTACCGCTTGGTTTACGTCATCACCCCGTTCATGGGCACTCCGTATGAGGTTCATAGCATGTTTGGAACTGTGACTGGGGTGCCTTAAGGATGCTAGCACCGCCAGACTAAGGCAACGGGGACAAAAAGGCATCCCGAGCCGCACAGCCCGATTATAGATTTGAAAAGCCGGCCAGGGCATGCCCTCGTTTAGCTCCTTATTCATAGCTTCAAAAACATCCCGCTTGCTTGTTATCCTTCCCGTAAATGACAGTTTTTTAACCGTAGAGACCCTTGAATGTGGTGATCGACTCGGTATCCTGATTGAGCCGGTAGTTGATGCTGCCTGGTTCATGATCCTTTGAGTCACATCGTCGGTAAGGCCTGGGCTCATTTTCGATATTTTCGAATGGAGTCCCCGTAATTCGGTATAAGAAAGCCCCCATTTAGAGCAATTGTGAAGAAGAACATTGCAAATACCCGCATCTAAAGCGAACCCAGTATCTGCACAGTACGTTAACCATGACATAAAACCTGACATGTCGTGGCAATCGCCATATTTTTTTGCTACTACCGTCACAATATAGCGATGCATCCGGACGCCGAGAACGCTTATATACTTGGATACGAAATCCCGAACCTCAACAGCCGAATGGCTTTCTGCAAATTCTCGCAGGACCATGATAAATGCATTGTCATACTGGTTTTCCTGACCATCCCTTGAGGTTTGCATCTCAATAAAAGCGGCAAGTACGCCGTCCCAGTCTCCAGCCTTCGCAAACGACAGGGCTATAAACCCTTTCGAAGCAACATCTTTGGCCATTTCGGGATACTTCTGGATGCACTCTTCGTAATATGTTCGCGCTATATCGTTCTCCCCAGCTTTGATGGAAATCTCCATCATAGCACGGTATATGCTCTGTGGGTGACCAATTTTTAGAAGCGTTTCCCGAGACACGATTTTTTCGTGTACAGCCTTCAGCTTTGGGAAGTCCTGATCACGACGCCAACAGGCTTGCAACAAGCGAAAAATCCACGCACTTCGCAAATGATCCCGCGGCAAGTGCATCTCCTGGAGTGCATCCAGGACTGATTCAGCTTTGTGGCCTTTAAGATGCTCCACCGCGTGTATGACGCAGTCAACGGTTTTTTGAATGTTCTGATTTCCAGGCTCCATCTTTGAGAAATTTAGAATGAAGTATTTAACGACATGCTTGTGGTCGCTATGTTCGTAAAGTTGTTGAATCGCCCACCCTGTGAAGTGCGCCGGATCTGCTTGATGAGAAGCGACTATTCTCCAGTAAATACTATGAGCAGCATTGTGTTTTCTTTTTTTGAGGTTCTGGGTGAATAAATGTCTCCCGATGAAATCCCAGTCTTGGTTATACAATCGAGGTTTTTCCTTGAAAGTTGGTAGATATAAATGTGTAGCTGCAGCGACGGCATGTGGAGAGCGATAACCATTTGCATCCGTCTGGCGCATAAAATAATTCACAATCGACATGGGGTTATGAGCCCAGTATTGGCTTTCGTCAAGCGGACCGGCACTGATAGTGGTAGCAAGGACCTTGTTAGCATCCTCCCATCTCTTTCTTTTCTGACATATTCTCGAAAGTTGCGCGGAAACGGCTATCCAATCGTCGTCAAATGATTTGAAAGAGTAGAGCGAATTACACCCGTAGAGAAACCTCTCGAGAGCTTGATCCAAGTTCATTCCACCTTCATTGGCTAGAATACTAGTAATGCTACTGATGAATGCTTCGGGATTCTTGGGGTACGATTCAGATATTGTTGCGTCGCCCTCCTGCCATACTTTATGTGCATCGATCTTCGTGTCGTCGGGTTTTATTTGTGGTGGGGATACTAATCGCGCACTAGAGTTCGGGAGCGTCGTATTACGCTGTACGATTGGGAGCGGCGGCGGTGATAACTGTGTATGGGTTGAAGTTGGTACTGAAGATTCGGACGCATCTTCGAATTTTAGAGGTGCTGTATGCCTCGCACCCAAACTTTCCTCGCTTTTTTTTCGTCTAAGATGTTTTTCGAGTGCGGGATAATCATCATAAAATGGAGCCCTTCTATCCCGCGGTTGTATGTGTAGTTCATCCCATTCAGTGAAAATGGCATCATCGACTTGGAATGCGGCGGCATTGGCCGTACCGTGATATTGCTTCGCCGATTTTAACTTTTCTTTATTCGAAACAGCAGTCCTTAAAGTATTGATTCTTCGTCTTCGGTCTTCTAGTATTACGCCAATGGCACACGAAGTACCTAAGGCAAGCCCTCGGAGGGCATGTATGGCAGCCTTTGACGGGACGGGTAAGAGAGGTGGCATAATTGTGAGCTAATTGTCGCCATGTCGGAGGAAAATTAGAATAGCAATTGGTTACCCCATAGTTCATGTATGTCGAATACTATGGTAAATGGGTGTTGCCCGCGTAGGTTCGCAATTGAAGTTGTAAGTTGTAGGTAAGAAAGATGCGAGACTTGATTTGAGTCGTACCACTTCAATTGTTAGCTTATCGACAGCGTGAGTCCTTACCTAAGCATACTTTTAGTTGAATATGTATTTATATAATTATTTGTATATACAATGTAGTACATCCACCCAAAAATCTATTCAGAACTACCTAAAAACTTCGTATCTCGTCTTCATAATAAATTAACAAGTTGGAGATTTCTATTCATCATAAGTCTATTCTTTTCCTCTTTGTCCATATATCCTTTCAACGCCATGCGGGATGTGTGCTGAGTTGTTTGTACAATGCCTGCCTTCTAATGCCTCTTGACCCTCCTTAAATCCAAAACCAAAGGCCTTCCCTTTCCTCAAGTTTTAACTTGAGATGTCGGATCTCTCCATCGGAATCCATACCTCTAGTTTTCGTAAAATGGTTTGATATAAAAACAACATGCAACCACTTTGTACACTTGTCCACACGAACCGTGGCCCTACTCCTCTAAACCACCCTCCGATTCCTTCTGTTTTATATATCAGTTTGAGACCTTTTAATATTGAATCCTCGTCTAATGGGATAGCGCCTGGCCTTGGCGTATGTGTCGAAGGTGATGATGTTGATATGGGTCGCTTTTGTAGTTTTGGTGAGGATGGCGATTGGACAGGTTTCGATGTCGTTTCCTTAGCTACTACCCGGTCTTTCGGCTTGTTTATGGCAGGAATTGGATCGATCTGTGTTTGTAATCTAGTCTTAACAACATCAAGAGGACAAGTGATGACACCAGCTAGCCCCCCGCCAGCTGCTCCAGTTAGAAGTTCCAATCGGGTTCCGATTTCTCTGCTTTTCTTGTATTCGCGGGCCCAGCTCTGGAATTGCTCGTAAAACATAAATTGCAACGCGGAAAATGGAAGATCTCGGTATAGTGTTGCTTTATAGCCAGAGAATAGTTCTGGAAACCCTTCTGTTCTGATGATGGTCCTTACGGCATCCCATGTTCCTCTATAGTTATATCCTGATTTGAAATGAGGGTTGTTGAACCGCCCTTGAAGTTGGAGACGGGTCTTTAATACCTCAGAAGGTACATAGACTATGGACGCGGCCAAATCGCCAAGAAAACCTGGTCATGTTTTAGCAACGGTTATCCGACCTGTGTCGATAATACGCTCGATACATACCAGCCGTCAAATATGATATATGCGATTGAATGCCATAGTCTAGCATATGCCGTTTGCTCCATTCATACGTTCCGAAAAAGAGTACCGTTCCGGGAAAAGAGCCCATCATCGCTGGAAGCCAACCTCCATATAGACCACGCGCAACTCCTTCTTGACGCCATATTGTATAGTAAGATGAACCTAACGAGGTATATTTGGGTGGGAAATGCGGGTCGCCTTGCTGTCGTGTCTTGACGGTATCGAGCGAGTGCATCAACATGTCACCAGTAGTTCCACCAAGTCCTCCGGCGATCATGGACTAGGGACACAAAGAATTAGTCTCGAAAGCTATCAACCCTGGCGCAGCGATAACACTCACGTGGATATAGGGTGGGCGGCCTTCCACCTCCCCATTGTCGAAGGTCATCTTATGACCATATGGCTGCGTAGTAGAAGTGATACCTGACAACAAAGATTTGTGCCCCGAAGGTCCATCGTTTCCTAGAGCCGAAGAATTTCGTGGTTGAGCCAGTCTTAGTGACTGTCGAAGGCGTTCGAGGTCTGTTCGCCGATAAACATCACCTAGTTTAGCGGAAAACTTGGGATTTGGTGTCGGACGGGGAGTATGCGCACTCTAGGACGACTGGGTATCGCAAATTGGATCCGAAAAGAGAAAGTTAAAAAACTTCAAGAATACTGGAGTTGGTGGGATTTTTTTCGATATAATATTAGCACTAGTTAAATCGGTCGTATCGGTTTTCGCGGGCGGTTTATCGAAAACTTGCGCCGACCCGCCGACCCGACCCAACTAAACGATCTTATCTGCTTATCTGAGCTTAATCTGCGCTGTAGGAATGCACCTAACCAGGAATTGGTCCTGGGCTTTTACGGGTACCTACCTAGGTACATGTATGAGACACTCTTTCATCGCGACTCATTACGCATCTTATTACGTCCATACAACAATGCACCAGGGTTAGGAGAGAGCATGGAGTCTTGTCGTGGTTATTCTTTTAATTTCTAATATTTCCCGCAAATTCCCACCAGCGTACCTTACCAAATCTATGCCATGGCCATATAACATGCGTGATCTTACCAACGATGAGGTTCGTCGAAATTGGACCATAATCGTGGCTGTCTCTGCTTAGGCGCTCACCTCCATCACCCTCAACCCAGACATGCCCAAGAGGCACTCGGACAGTGGAAGCAGGATACGGACTTCGCGGTTTTATGACATCCCCTTCCAGTCCAACGACTCTCTTGACCACTAAGCTCTCTGGGTCACATGGGTTCCTATGAAAGCATGAGAATATAGATGCATAGGCCTTGTATATTGGTACTCACCAAAAGGTAACAATCATGCCTCGCCGCAACCCGTATTGGGCATTGAGCTTGCAGTTGATAACTACGTCATTCCGTGTTGTTTGGTCTTTTTCCGCATTAAAGTACGGATACATCGAGGGGCCGCTAATCCACGCAACTTCTCCAACGTAGTGGTTGAACATGGAGATGACTGGAATCCATGTTGCGAATGCGAATAGTCGGAAGCCGAATCTACCGACTCGCTGCCGAAACGCCATCAAGCGTGAGTCATTCTAGGGACTGGCCTAGATTGATATCTTGACTTCGCAGGAAACGGAAACAAAAATGTTAAAATATGGTAAGGATTGATTTTTGATTTTTGATCAGTAAGTTCAAATAAGTTCAAATCTTTCGCGATTTGATGTCTCCACCGGCGAAAGTGAATAGTAGATCTTATACGCATATTCTCTTTTAAGAAGATATTTGTTTAGTCATAGTCGGAACATTGGATAAATAGATAAATGAAGTCAAACAGGACTGATTTCCAGAGCATCACTTCTTCGTGTCAACACACCAACACGTCTCAAATATCGAAATGCCACAATTTGCGTTCATATCAAGAATTAAACACTTACAAAAGCAACCAAGCAGGATACTAATTCCGAAGTATTGCGTATTTTATTTCATTCCGAAAACAAAATGCTCTATTCGCATGCTAGGCACCAGGTACTTTTATGTTCCATGAATGTCAAGACCGCCAGGCACCTATAGTACCTTTTACCTAGCCATATACCCCTTTACGGTGTAACCTATTGAAATCATACTACCAACAGAGAGACGACTTAGACAGTCTCGGGGATGTTGTCATCACTCTCACTAACGCTCTCGTCACCGCTAACCTCCGCGTTTTCACGTTCCCGCTTCTCCATCAATGCTTGTAGCTCGGCATCATCCGAGTCTGTAACTGCCTTCGGCTCCATCTTGACGACAAGTTGGCCACCCGCGCTCGTAATGCTGTTGCGGATGTCGACAATAGCCTCCTCTAACCGCTGGATACCGACATTCTTGTCTAGGCACGTGCTCGTCAAAACGTAGAGCGGCGGAGAAACAAGTCTAACCTTCACTTGGTTGTCCTGGGTATTCCGCGCCTCGGCTGTTCTCAATGCTGCCTTCACAGCATCGATGCCGTCGTATTCAAAGCATGTAACCTCAATATCGGCACGAACTTTCGTAGGCTGAGGAGTAAGACGCTTTCCGATGTACGATTTCAGCTCTTCGGCCACCGGTTCGCTAGGGAATGTGATATCGCTCCATACATCAGGGTTCCTATTTATAGGTTAATAATAATCAGGCAATGCGACAAACACAGGGGTGCTCACGTTATGGAGAGCTTAAATGCGTCGATGGAGTGACCGAATTTCTTGTTCAATGGCCAAGCTATGCTTTCGTAGAGGGTCTCGATAGGAGTTTGCGTCTTCTCGGCAACGTGGCGCATGATCGAATGAACCATCTTGCTCTTGTTGTATCGCTCTTCGCACTTGACAATATCTTCCGGAGAGACTCGGCGCTTCGAAAGATCGATATATCCTAACGTCCATCAGCGATTATGCCCTTGCGTGATTATATATTTCTTGCCGCACATACCCTTCTCCTTGTCAACACGGAGCACCACCACAACTTCATTGCGTCCGACTCGGATCAACTTCTGGATACTTCGAATACGACGTCGGGAAAGTTCGGAGAGTAGAATCATGCCGTCGATGTTGTCGTATTCGAGGAGTTTGACATAAGCACCCATATCGGCGATCTGAACTCAGTTAGGCAAACTCGAGATATTATGCGGTGGTAGTTAACAAACCTGCTTGACATTGACCATGACGAAGCTATCGATCTCCGGATACTTCTCCTCGTAGAAGCGACAGTTTGTCAACGACATCTTGGGCAACAGTAGCGGTAGGCAATTTCAAGATAGTCTGATAGAAAAAGCCGGTTGTTGGCCCGAGATCGCGCGCTTCGGCGGGGTTAAAAGTTGTTTGCGAGTCGTAAATCCAAGAGTTATTTTCTCTTTCGCAGGATATATATGGGTATCGTACTCTTTCCGATGTTGTCGCGGGAAATATGCGCTTCGTCGTGTCGAAGTATGCTGGTTAGTTATTATTTTTCGTGATGTGCAAGAGAGAATCACAAATTTGTTCAATGATGGAAATCTTTATGACCTGAGCGTGGGGTGTGGCTCCTAAAGTTTTTGGCGGGGTTACCTAAAAGTACATTGGGTTTGTACATCCATCCTAGTATCCTAGGCAGTTTCCAGTGAAATTCAACCTTGGATGGAACCTGTGGAGGTTACGCCGATTACCTAAGCCACATATCTAGGTACACAATAAACAAGGACAATTCACTAGCTGTGGCTGGTTCGGATTATCCATGGAAAAGAAATTTACCGTAATCATAGGTCAGGAGGAAGGCCCACATGAGCACCTTCAAAAAACCAACGAAAGCTCCATCGAAAGCACATGTCTCGGAGCTTTCTTTCCTCTAAATAATATCCTCGATTTATTATAATCTATCCCGCCCCGATGTCTCTGGCGCCACGAACCCTCTGGAAACATCTTTCCAGTTCCAGCCAGTCAATAGACAGAGCCAGAAATTGGTTATTACATCGTACCGGTGGATGATATTTCTAATCATGATATAATTCAGCTATTCAATCAATCAAATAGATTTTTTTTTCTCCCTTCGCTCGTCGCACACCGACGATCATGGATGCGTCCACCGTCACCAGTGTCGAGATGGCTATCTCGCAGGCCGTATCGACTATTGCGAATACTTCTTCAGCTGCTGTAGCTTCCGCTGTTACACAAGTAGATGATGTCGCACGAGCTCAAGGTTCCTCTTCGTGGCTTGGCCTGATGGCTCGATTTGTTCTCTTCATACTCCACATCCTCTCGACAATCTTATACTGGAGTTTGAAGCTCACAACAATATCGGTGCCCACGTTACTATTCACGCTCTTTTCTACGAGCTTGACAGTAACAATGAATGCCACGACATTGTAATTATTCACTTTATTCTCATAGCCTCGGTAATGCTAATTTTTCAAACCAGGGCGCTGATTTTGTTCCTCATGTTCTCGGCAGTCACATGGTTTGTGAGATATCGCTACCTGAACATGTACTCTCGCCTTCCCCCGGAACCACAACGCAAGGAGCCCGAGTTAGATCTTTTTCCAGAAAGCCACGAGGAAGGTGCCAAGCCTGGCCTGACTAATTATCTAGATGAATTCCTCAGCGCCATTAAGATCTTTGGATATCTTGAGCGACCCGTGTTTCATGAACTGACCAGGAGTATGCAGACCCGGAAATTAATCGCCGGCGAGACACTAAACCTAGAGGAGGAGAAGGGATTCTGTCTTGTCGTAGATGGACTCGTTGAAATTTTTGTCAAGTCTTCTAACTCGGACACATCTTCTCGGTCCACCACCTTTGCTCACGAGGGATTGATGCAGTCTTCTGAAGATGAGCAGTCTATCCCTGGCCAGCAACGCTATCAGCTTTTGACCGAAGTCCGAAATGGCAACCCAATGTCGTCGCTCTTCTCTATCATGTCGTTGTTCACAGAAGATGTGAAGCTGAAGCTACCATCCGAAGATGGACTAGAGCCTGGCGGAACTGGTGGGCCTTCTGTCCATCAACGTCAGTCTAGTGCAGGTTTTCAGCATCCGCACGATATGTCAATTTTCTTGACGGAAGCCACCGATTCTGATCATGTAAGGTTGGCAGGAGAATCGGAGGTTACAACGCCCTCTTCTCCAAATCAAACCACATTACCAAAGATCCCTCCCATATCTTTGGATGACTCGCCATTGCCTCGAAATATGCACCGTCCTGCTCTGAAGAGAACGGCTGTGTCTGTTCATCCCGATATCATCGGTAGAGCAACGGTTGACACAACTATTGCAATTATACCCGCGAGTGCTTTCCGTCGTTTAATTCGAGTGTATCCTAAAGCGACTGCTCATATTGTTCACGTCATTTTGTCAAGGTTTCAGCGCGTTACTCTTGCTACAGCTTATAATTATCTTGGTTTAACAAATGAAGTCCTCCACACGGAGAAGAATATGATTCATTACACGACTTGCCAGTTACCCAATCTCCTCCGGGGTGATGCTTTGGAACGTTTAAAGGAGAAGTTCAAACAAGAACGGGAGAGAGCTGGCGAGGAGGAAACTGGTAAAGGAATTGCTTTACATAATGCATCAGCAACAGCTCGTCGTCGTAGGTCCTCGACGACTCTGCGCAAAGAAGCAGCACTTCAAGCAATGAGTCGTGCTCGGCCCCAGTCCGTCGTGGCATCTACAATAGTACCTCCGCAGGAACGCCTCTCCATCCATACTCCTAGCCCTGGCGATCTGTTAGCCAACGTCCAGATAGCCCGTGGTGGAGGAGCAAGATCGCCAGGAACACTCGAAATCCCAATAACGCAGTCATTCCACCCAGCGGATCTGCTCCGGGGAGAGGAATCTAGTCCTTTGGCTCAACGCGCATTTAATCCTTTCGCGACCCAGAAACGGGCTCGTCTATCGATTGACCCTCGCGAATCTGTGGACGAAGACAACTTGTTTCGAGTGTCTGTTTTAGAATGTGTCTTCAAAGCCCTGGGTATGAGCACTAGCGGATCATCATCCAGAGGTCCTGGATCCACAGAAGGGTCACCAAGGCTCGTTTCATACGATCAGAGAAGACAGAAAGCAGTGTTCAGTAACAATGCATTCGGATTTATGGATCCCTTCGACGGTGCGACGGACTGGGATGCTGAATCGATGACTTCCGGAGGCATTTCAATGTCAGGTACGCCGAATGTCCAGTATCTCGCTTCAGAAATGAAACATGATGTGGAAATCGTCTTTTTCCGTCAAGGTTCTGTTTTAGTTGAGCAGGGTGAACGAAGTCCGGGTCTTTACTACGTCATTGATGGGTTCCTCGACATCTGTGTCCCTTCAGAAGATTCGGGAAGTAATATCCTTAGCTCCTCAAGCAGGACGTCCGTAACTGCGATGCATAGAGCAGAATCCCAAGGACCTGCCGGTCGATCATCTTCCTTCGGTCCAGCTAAAGATTCCGAGCGCAATAGAAGCACGCCTGATGCGAGGAGGAATACTAGGTCAGAACGCCGCCGTGTCGGACTCGTGAAGCCAGGTGGTCTCGCCGGTTACATTGGCACGGTTGCCTCGTACAGGTCCTTCATCGATGTTATCGCAAAGACAGACGTATATGTTGGTTTCATACCAAGGGCGACCCTAGAGAAGATTGTAGAAAGATACCCAATTGTGCTTCTAACAATGGCAAAGAGGTTAACAAGTCTACTTCCGAGGCTCATCCTACACATTGACTTCGCTCTTGAATGGGTCCAAGTCAATGCTGGACAGGTATTATTCCATAAGGATGAAGAAAGCGAGGCTATTTACCTTGTGCTCAACGGAAGATTGCGATTAGTAGAGGATCGGAAAGACGGTGGGATGAATGTTCGCGCGGAATTCGGCCAAGGGGATAGTGTTGGCGAGCTCGAGGTCATGACCGAGTCGACACGTTCGGGAACCCTTCATGCTATCCGCGCCACAGAGCTGGTCAAGTTTCCTCGCACCTTATTCAACAGCTTGGCCCAGGAGCATCCAAATATCACTATCAAGATCTCGAAGATTATTGCAGCCCGAATGCGATTATTGGTCGATGATCCATCGAATCTAAACGGAAAAGAGGCTACTTCTGGCACATCGATCAACAGGGTTTCATCAACGCTCAACATAAGGACTGTTGCTATACTTCCAGTCAGGTCCGGCATTCCGATCGTCGAATTCGCAAATCGATTAATGAATGCCCTAGCGCAAGTCGGTACTCCAAATGGTGCCACATCTCTCAACCAAGCCGCAATTCTCAGTCATCTCGGTAAGCACGCATTTAACAAGATGGGGAAATTAAAACTATCCCATTACCTTGCCGACCTTGAAGAGAAGTACGGATTGGTTGTTTATGTTGCCGGTAAGTCCATCGCTATTTGAAGTTTCTTTTTCCTTTTTTTCTCTCCCAATGGTATGATGAGCAATTCACATCCAGAGCGCCGTCGATGAAGGCTATAAAACTCTAATTTTTTCCTGACCATTTCATATATGTTACGCATTTCACCTCAATTGACTTCTTGGTCATGCTTGAGACTAACATAAATCTACTAGACACGACTGTGACCTCACCTTGGACCCAAACATGTATCACACAGGCAGATTGTATCCTTCTCGTTGGCCTGGCTGAAGGTTCCCCCGAAATAGGCGAATACGAGCGTTTCATGCTCGGTATGAAATCAACCGCCCGCAAAACGCTGGTCCTCCTGCATGCCGACCGATACTCACCCCCCGGCCTTGCAAGAACGTGGCTTAGAAACCGCGTTTGGATCAATGGTGGCCACTATCATTTGCAAATGGCTTTCGAACCAAACATTGTTGGGCATCCGCCTCCAAGGAAGGGCGGCCCGACCCTAAAGGAGCGTGTGCAAATTCTCCAAGCCGAGATACAAAAGTATACAGTTCAAAAGATCCGCCAGAGGCCCTATTACTCGCCAGACGCTCCTTACAAAGGAGACTTTCAGAGACTTGCAAGAAGATTATGCGGCAAATCGATCGGTCTTGTACTCGGTGGGGGTGGGGCCCGAGGTATCGCACACATCGGTATTATTAAGGCTATGGAAGAGGCCGGCATCCCTATCGATATCGTTGGTGGTACCTCAATTGGCTCATTCATCGGAGCTCTTTACGCCCGTCATGCCGATATAGTACCAATGTTTGGTCTCGCTAAGAAATTTGCTGGAAGAATGGCAAGCATGTGGCGTTTCGCCCTAGACCTAACATATCCATCTGCATCTTACACAACCGGCCACGAGTTCAATCGCGGAATCTTCAAGACCTTTGGCAAGCATCAAATTGAAGACTTTTGGTTGGAGTATTACTGCAACACGACAAATATCAGCAAAAGCAGAGCCGAGATCCATACCAGTGGGTACGCTTGGAGATATGTCCGAGCTTCCATGTCATTGGCTGGTTTGCTTCCGCCATTGTGCGACGAAGGCAGCATGCTTTTGGACGGTGGATATATCGACAATTTGACCGTGTCTCATATGAAATCTCTTGGCGCTTCAGTCATTTTCGCTATTGATGTGGGAGCTGTAGACGACGATACGCCGCAAAGTTATGGAGATTCGCTGTCAGGATTCTGGGCATTCTTCAACCGGTGGAATCCTTTCTCAAGCACTCCAAATCCCCCAACCCTGGCAGAAATCCAGGCTCGACTAGCCTACGTGTCGAGTGTAGATGCTTTGGAACGAGCCAAAAACATGCCGGGATGCATTTACATGCGACCGCCGATTGATGAGTATGGAACCCTCGATTTTGGGAAATTTGACGAAATCTACGGGTTAGGATATAAGTTTGGAAAGGATTTCCTTGATCATCTAAAGGAAGATGGCGTGCTTCCATTAGTTGAGGAAACTGAGGCGAAGAAGGCATTGCGCAGGACAATGGCGCCTCGACGTGCAAGCATATAAGCGCAGTCAATACAAGCAATCCACAATCGCATCACCTTATTAATAACCAAATATTCACAGTACATATCATACCAAAAAATATATAGCACAGATTAATGGATACACCCAGACCTCTACAATTTGATAAATATCCGGTTCATAACAGTGACCCCCGAGCATAGTCGCAAAGTGGAACCATGGACACGATATAGAAGAAAACTCCAGTGTGTAGCAGAACCATGCCACAACAGCTTCCGGTGGCCATATTCTCTTTCAGGCTATATGAAGACTTCATCGAAATAACCCTTGAATACCTTCAATGAATGCCTACCACCTACCCCGCACGACCGTCAATCATCACCATCCAAATTATTGCTCCAGCAACAAAAATGATGCTCGAATATCATTACCGGTTTTGATGTTCGGAGGCACCCGGAGCTCTCTGTGGTAGTGGGATACCCTCGTAGATTCAAATAAAGATGGCGACCTGATTCTCGAACTGTAGATCAGTTCAAAGTAGTAATAAAATGTTGTTGACTTAACTAAGTTTTAATATTCATCTTCTTATCGTCCTCGAGCTTCGATCGTCTTGTATACACGCACCCAGCCTGATTTTTCTGTCCATTTCTCGCAGCCATGAAATTCAGAGGCATCTTAGCAGCAGCCAGCTTAATAGGCGCCGTGCTAGCCCAGGAGAAATTAAAAATCAGTGAGGTTCATTCTACCCAGATTCTTACGTCCTCCTCAAGCGTTGTCCTAACGTGTCGTTAAAAGTGCCTTTAGGAGACAGTATTACCGAAATAACGTGCTGGCGAGCGAAGCTATGGGACGATCTCAAAGCCAATAACCTAACGGACAAAATCGAGTTTGTGGGTTCGGTGAACAATACCCAGAAATGCGATACGGCGGACTCGGATTTCAAGAAGCAACATCATGAGGGGCATTCGGGGTACCTTGCCATTGATATCGCGTATGATCATATCGATACTTGGCTCAATGATACACAGCCAGATATTGTTATGTTCATGCTTGGCACGGATGATATCGCAAAGGGTCGGAGATTGGAGGATGTTGTGGAAGCGTATACGAATATGGTCAAGAGTATGCGAGAGATTAATCAGTATATGAAGATCATTGTAAGAGCATTCAGACTTCCCACTTCAATCCGTAGTCTGTTGCTAATTGAGGTTCCAGGTCGACACAGTGGTCCCCTTACCAGCAAATATGAACCCGGTGAAGAGACTCAACGACATGATTCCGGACTGGGCTGCGGAGCAAAATACGACCGACTCGCCTGTTTACGTCAATGATATATACCCCTTTCCGAATACCTACTTGAAGGATGGCATATATCCGAATGAGGAGGGTGAAGATACCATTGCCGATACCTTGAGCTCGCTTCTGACATGGATTATTGCTTCGAATACGACTGAGAACTCTACTACGTCTACCTAGGCTGTTGACTAGAGACGGAGTAAGGTAGTAGAGAGAAGAGGTACACGTTCATATATATATATATACAAGTTGTGAGCAAGACTTACAGTCAGTTAAAAAGGAGGCGAAATAGAGCAAACCATTGCAACAAGACTGAAGTTTCTCTACAATAGACAACACAGGGAATGATACTTGTCCATAAACAGCCCGCGTGTCCGAATATAGACCGCTTGAGACAGCATTTTCCTGTTTTCAAACAATGTTGTTGTCGCCGAATTTTGTGAATGTGTGCACGCCTTGTCCCATCTATAAATGCGCTGCAGGAAACCACGATTTCTTGCTTTTTCCAGCAAGTCAAAGAACCCTAAAATCTAGTATCTTACAAACATCAATCTTTGATTATCAATCATCAGTATCAGCTTTACTCAAAGACTACGAGTTAATCTTAGTACGTAAGTACCTTTAGGACTTTCAAGTTACACACAATGTGTATTCAGGAGTACCGTGTCCACTGGTGCACCCTCGGTATGCACCAGGTAGGTAGGGACCCCAGTTTCCGATACCCCTGCTCCATGTGTACTCTCGACACCTTTGGATCTTGTGGCAACGTCTCTGAAGGACGTTCCTCTACCTTCTTTACGAAGTGTGATGACTGTTTTAGTCAGCGCAGGGACATTTACCTTCTTGGGAGGGATATCAGATGGATGACTGAGATCATGTCTACGTTTTCTTCCGACTTTCGGAAGATGACCGGGGAAGAGAATGTAGACAAGAACAAGGACAAGCGTGGTTAAGTAACAGGAAAAGGAAGGTGAGATGTTAGGAATGGTGTATTGGGGTGCTCATAGACAAGATTGTAGACAAGGGAGTGAATAAAAAACAATAAAACCCAAAGAAAGTGTAATAAATTCAACAATGTGAATTTCTAAGGAGACGATAAGTATGTCACCTCTTTGAGTGATTCGTATTCTAAGAATAGGGGTAAAGGCAACTCGACTAACTACTTGAGATATTGTTGTCTACAACTCGTAGCAACTCAATCGAAGGAAACTAGGATAGGTTCTGAGACCTTAATACTCTAGGTTTGTTTAAAGCGGCGGGGTTGATCGGAATTGCGGCCTCAGTTCATAGCATTGGTAATTGTAAGGCCGAAGATCGAAACCCCCTTTTCCTAACAAACTAAGTTATCCTTTAAGTGACAACCCGTCAACTTAACTTTACACTTGTAGTAGACAAAGGTAAGATTGAGGCTCTAGAACCTTTTTTAGTTGCATCGCTGTATAAGGGGACCTCCCTGCCAAGAAAAGTGATTGGCGGACGGGTCCATATGACGAAAGAATGAGGAATCCTATGCGTATATACAAGTCTTCGCCATGACGACAACGTCCTTGGAAGAAACTTTCCTTTGACAATAAACTCATTGTCGACTCGTAAAATCTATTAAATACTTGTCTGTCCCCAGGGGATTTAAATGATCATGTTTTACGAACAATCCGTTAGAAATAATGAGCCGAGGAACAAACCAAAACGGTGAAAGAAACCGAGAAAAGAAACTCAAAGACATGTATACAGAACAAACAACCAACACTTCTGGGTGTCATCTACCCGACTGGATGCTCTCAGGCGAAATTCCACAGACGGTGAGGTACGGCAGCCCGGAAGACTACACGAGACAACACGTCAACCCATCCGATTTTGCCAGTTGTTAATGGTTGGGTCCGAGGCCAATGCCGCCCGGCAGATGAGTATAATGATGTTGGCCTCGGTGGGTAGCCGGGCTGTCACTCACTAACAATTGGGTTGAATCCAGTGGGTAGGATCACGGCGTTAAAGAGGTATGTTGTCAATATGTGTTAGCCTTAACTTCACTAATCACAGCTAACTTGTGTAATTGAGCAGTTGTCGCATCTTTAGTTCTGAAAGTCCGGTTTTGAATATGACATTTAACAGTCTTACACGACTTTTGCTTTGATAGCATACACACCGCTTCATGGGTGGAAGCATATAATCATTGGCAGGTCATGCCGTGTATGGTGTATGAAGGCTGTTGGGTATTTTGAGTGTTACGACATGACGACAAGCGGCTGGATCGATGCTTCCATCGTCATAGGTTTTTTATTATGAGAGGTATTATGATGACCTGGGGAAACAGACGAAAGAGACAAAGAGGAAGGGAAAAATGACGGCAAGCAAGCCACCAAACCAGATCGGGATTAGGGGCCATCTACGAATAACATCGGATACATTGATAGTGGCTTTTTCCTGCGCATCCGAATTCCGGGGATGACATCATATGTCATAATCCCAGTTCCGCTAGTCCCCCAAGTTTCTCAGATCCCAGATCCCAAACCGGAGGGATTGCTACGGCTCGACCCCTGATCCTTTCGCTGCGAAATGTTATTCCCCTATCGTCGAATGAAATGGGAATTGGAGTTATGGCGTCGCTCGATGATGGCATCCCACACCTGTCCACGTATGTCCGTCTAGGGAGGCGACATACTCCTTACCAACAGGGCGATCCCTAGCTTCCTGTCGTGATACCTACCCATGGCTGCTATGAACCGGCCCCCTCTCCCCTTCGCTTGTATGTATCACGATCGAGACACATACGCACCTACATATTTAGGGAAGACGAACGCCGTTTTTCTTCGTCTAACCCACAAAACCAACCCTCGCCCCATTTTATAGGCATTAAAAGTTACCACATAGTCTCTATTTTATAGTCTTGATCTGAGGCTAGTTATACTATTAACTATAACAATTTCTATATACGAACCAACTTATATCCGCCCATAAACCTAGAATCAACTCCCCAAACCGGAAGAAATAAAAATGGCAAAACACCCAGCCGACCCACGCACCTATCTCCCGTCTCGCGCTCATCCCGAGCATCGCTCCCATCGCAAGCAACTCGAAAAAGAGCACCCCTTTAGCTGGACCGAGCCCCTAGTTTTGGGCATGCTTGGCGTAGGGCTAGCCTGGAATATCGAGAAACAAGTGAGAAAGCATGAGGAGCGAAAAGAACGAGAAGGTCAAGATACCAAAGATCGCGATGACAGACGCAGAAGACGGCGGGAAAGACAAATTCGTGACGGAAGCTTTGATCCCTCAAGGCAAGATGATGAAAGTAATAGTAGCGGAAGTAGAGATAGGGAGAGAGGTAGCGAGAGAGAAAGGGGCAGTGATAGGGGAAGTGTAGCAAGAGATACTGTGGACCTAGAAAGGAGCCGGAGAAGAGGTCGTAGCAGTCGACGTGATCGTGTGCAATCTGTCGATACAGGCCATCATGACGACCCGAGGTATATCGAAGATGACCGGTATTACGAACAATCGCGATACGACCGAGCGTCTAATGACACTAGATACAACCCATACATACAAGACGACGCCGAAACTGGGCGAGGCCGTGATACGTATAGCAGAAGTCGTCGCGACTCTTGGTAGTTGTTGGCGTTTTTCTCAATCTTACGATCACGACCATATGCTACAATTTCGTTTCATTCTTTCAGTTGTATTAGGCATTTCAATCGCAACTGAGGCGGCGTTTTTTAAGGAATACGGGAAGCATCAGACCTCGGGGTTTGGTCGTTTGGGATGCATCAAAAGAGAAGAGGAAAATGTAAGGCGTCAGGCATTTTCTATTAGTTAGGTTACATCATACGCATATCACGATTTTATGAACAATTCATCACATCTGTTGTCTCAATTGCTTCATGATCGACCTTTTTATTGTAATTTCGTCTACATCATAGCTCATGTATTTCTATCCCAATCTAACCCGGTACATTTTACCTAAGTGTCTTCTCAGCCGCTTCTACCAATATCTCGCAATGCTTCCTAACATGATGTTCCTCCACATTTACCGACGCCGGGTTATGCCGAATAGCGAATACATCGCCGACAACAGTACTCGACAAGAAAATCTTGCCTTCCTCTACCACACTATCGTACATTTTCTTTGTGAGTGCATTCTGCTGCTCAAGCGTCGTACCTGGCTTTACCAACTTAAACGCGGTTAGAGCAAACCGGGGACCAGTGACGATCTCAAACAGATCCGGTCTACTCCGCAACATCTTGGCGAATCTCTCGGCGAGCTTGATATGCTTTCGGATATGCGTGCGCAAGCCCCTAATTCCATACGAGCGCAATACAAACCAGACTTTCAAGGAGCGGAATCGCCGGCCGAACGGGATTTGCCAGTCGCGGTAATCAGTCACGAGTCCGGAGTCAGTATGTTGGTTCTGCAGGATGGGTAACGAGACGCTCAAAGCGTCGGTTAAGTAACGCCGGTTCCGAACCCAGACGGTGCTGCAGTCGAAGTTGACGAGGAGCCACTTATGCATATTCATATTAAAACTGTGGAAACGTTCGAAAGTCTTAGTGAGGTACTGATATTCCGGGCATATCAGCGCGGCACCAGCGTATGCAGCATCCACATGTACCCAGATCTCGCCGGGCTTATCAAGTGGCGCTAGCTCATCGAGAACTGCTGCGATGCCCTCGAAGTCGTCGATTGCGCATGTGTCTGTGGTGCCTAGCGTCGCTGTTAAGTAAAACGGCTCCAGACCCTTAGCACGTAGAGCTACGATCAGACGGCGAAGTTCCGGACCCGTCATCCGGTACCCGTCGGCTGCATGCACAGGCACGGCGCGATACCGTACACCAGCGATCTGCGCAGCTTTTTTGGTTGCGCTGTGCGTTCCTGCACTGCCAATCGCTACTAATTTGCTGCGGCGCAGGGCGATTGCGTCTTCACGCTCTTCCTCGTCGGTGATATCTGCTGTTGCTTCACGTAGGTACTTATCGCGAGCCGCGACTAAGACGGTGGCAATAGCCTCGGAAGCAGTGCCGTGGATAACACCCCCGCCATTGGTGGGGCCTGTTGAAAGATAGCAGTCAGGTAGAGTGAAGGCTTTGGCTAGCCAGTCCATCACAATGGTTTCTAGTTCCGTGACGGCTGGTGAGCATATCCAGTTGAATGCGGCGCCGGTGAAGGCGGTTGAGTACATCTCTCCGAGCATAGCCGGAAAGCTGCTGGATGAGGGAAACCATGCTAGGAAATTGGGCGACTGCCTGGATTTTATTAATTCCAGTTAACTTATAAATTCCCATCGGATTTTGAGAAGTGAGTAGTAATATATAAAAGGGGTAGCAGACCAATGCGTTATGCCGGGAATAATCTTGGCTTCGATATCTTTCTGGATATCAGCCCAGGCCTCCCCGAACTGAGGGGCCTCTTCCGGTATGAGTTTTCTTAGGTAACCGGGTTCAACATTGGAAGCGACACGTCGACCTTCGATTGTGTCGTAATATTTAACAACTAACCAACGTGTTAATGATGATCATCCGGGTTACCAGGGAAGGTCACGAGACTCACTTTGATCGATGGAGGATATGGCCGCTTCTCGGAATTGCTTGGAATCCATGGCGGCCGAATTGTCTTCTCTTTCTTGGTCTGACATGTAGTGAAAAGTTAAGATCAAGTTTATATAATTGGTAATAGAGCTTGGGTATGAATTACTCAGTGTCGATGGGAATAGGATTATTCAAGAAGGGGGTCTGGGGGGGGGGGGGGGGAGGATTATGACAATCCTTTATTCAATTCCAATTCTATAATTATGCACACATACCTAGGTACCTAAGAAGGAGGTGCTATATTATGAAGGTTTGCGACAGTGAACAGCGCTCCACCTTTTTATCCTTTTTAACTACTACGTAAATCTCGTGGTGCGGGACAAATAGAAACCGGTCGCTTCTTAGTCTCGCAACTTCCTTTTCTTTTTTCGAAGGGCGTAAAAATGGCATAAAATGTCATAAGATCCAAGAACTTTACATACCTGCGGACAAGAATGTTAATCGAGTGCCCAGTCCCAAAGAAGGAAAGTCCGGATGCAAAGTAAAGAATTATAATCTCCCGTTAGTATCTTGTACTCTTTTGCCTATCATGACTAGAACTACCAAAGTATTGAATATGTCGATAATTCGTAGGAAAGCACGTAGTCAGTAATGGGTCAGCAAACTATTACGTACGTTATTGTACTAGTACGGTAGCAAAGTTCAACTAGGTTACAACAACTATCCGATAAACTCGGAATCTCTATGGAGGAATTGTCATATACTGTTGTAATAGACCAACTTTTCACTATCAGACGGTCCCCGTTAAGCATGGTTTCGTGGTGTAGTTGGTTATCACGTCAGTCTAACACACTGAAGGTCTCCAGTTCGAGCCTGGACGAAATCATCTATTTTTGCCAATTTTATAGACAATTTGGTCATTTACTATCTATTTTGTTTTTTGAGGTATAATTGAATCCGCCTGCCCCAGCCTTCGTAATATTCTTCATACTTCTTTTTTTTTTTTTCCCCCTGCCCTCAACAATGCTCAAATCCCACCTTGCAGTTCCTTAGACCTTAGGAACAATTAGAGATAACACATAGGATGGCACATATGTGCAAATCAAGTAATGGCATAACTTTGTATTTAGATATCCTATGACCTAAACGACTCTCCCCATTCCCTATAATGATCCAACATATCCTGCGTGACCAACTTAGGCGTCTTCCGAATCGCTGCATGCAGCACTTCCATAGCCGGTTTCTCCCCTTCCCCATCCGCATCATCTGCATCCCAAAACGCTTTGTCGCAGATACGTGCAATCTCCGCACCGGAGTAACCATCTGTATACTGTGCCAACTCCGTGGCGTCAACGCCATCGGGAAATTGTAACTCCCTTGACTTGCTAACGAAAATAGCTTCTCGAGCCCGTGCATCAGGCAGCGGCACATAAATCAACTCATCAAACCGCCCCGGCCTTCGTAATGCTGAGTCCAATAGCTCCGGTTTATTCGTCGCAGCAAGGACAAATACTTCTCCAATGCGCTCGAAACCATCCATCTCCGTCAACAGGGTAGTGAGAGCTTGTACCCCGCCACTAGAACCGCCACCACCGGAAGCAGAACGCGATCCGGCGATCGAGTCGAATTCATCGAAGAATATGATGCTGGGGCTTGCTTCGCGGGCGCGTTTGAATAAGTTCCGGATAGAGCGCTCTGTCTCACCTACGTACATATTGAGAAGTTCTCCACCTTTGACGGCGAAGAAGTTGAAGTCGGATTCGGTGGCCATGGCTTGTGCCGTCATTGTCTTGGAGCAGCCGGGTGGTCCGTAGAGTAAGACACCTTTCGGCGGCTTTGACATGCGGGCACGGGGACCCTAAAATGACGTGATGTCGTTAGTAGAATTTCTCCGGTATTGGATGTGGGGGTAGACATACCGTTGGATGCCGAAGCACTCTTTGTAAGGCAATTTTGACATCTTCATAACCGCCAATATCACTCCAGCGTACTGTTGGTGGCTTGAGGTTGATGTCATGCATGGCGGTAGGCCGCACCTCCTGTAGTCCCTTTGTAACATCTTCCCATGTTAGGGGCTCCGTCTTTGAGGGTTTCCCTACTCGCTTTTTCCATGCTTTGGTAGCCTTGTAGAGGACTTTTCTTAAATCGGCACCAGTATATGCATGTGTACGGTCGCCAAGGTCTGAGACATACTGATCGAATACGTCAGAGGCAAAGGTTGGCTTATGATAACGGATAATTTCTTTGCGGCCTTGGGCATCCGGGACGGGAAGAGCAATGTGTTCCTCAAACCGACCAGGGCGCTGAAGCGCAAGAGGGATGTCATTCAGGAAGTCGAGACACGCCGCAACCACTAGAACATGCGGTCTCTTATTTTGTTGGCGTGCCTTATTTGTCAGAGCGTCAAGTCCCTCGCCAATAGTTTCGACCATAACAAGGCGATTTGCTTGGTCCTTTCCGATTAACCTCGTTATGTCATCTATCAAAATAATCGTCGGACTGCGTTGCTCTAGTGCAGTTTTGAAATGAGACTGAATAGTTGACGATTTGTCACTATAAGTTAACCGAATAACTCTGCCCCAGTTAGTGGCAGCAATATGATCCAGTAACATCGATTTTCCCGTCCCATGGCTCCCGTGGATAATGATGCCACATGAATAAGTCGGTATAGTAAATCCTTCAAATTCAACATCGAAGTCATTGAAAAATTCGTTAAGCTCATCTATTTGTCGGCTCATACCGGGGAGCGAGCTGACTTCTAACTTGCCCCGTGTCTGGCTCGCTTCATCATTGGAAAATTCAACAACGGTAGTTCCAGGGGCGTATTTAGCAACACCATCAGCTCTACCGTTTATAGAAGTGACTACGAATGAGCGCCTTGAGCCATTTAAGACAACGTCATCGAATGATAGGCCCGGTAAGATATATTCAGCTACCTCTATTAAATCTTGTCAGACTATGATACATGACTAGGTTCGACAAAAAGCATATAAAACGAATGTGAGATTTGAAATAAAAAGAATATATTATAACCCCATCGAATTCTCCGTATTCGAATATAACCATTCAGACCTCTGTAATCCAAAGGGAACTTATGAAGAATAAGGGATTGGACTATTATAACTCACCTAGTCGGCTTTCGAGGTGGTATTGCCATCTCGTCTGCTCTGAGCTGGGCAATGGAGCAGCTTCAGGGGTCGTTTCTTTCATAATAACGACCCCAGCGTCGGGAACGGGGCCATTGCCCGGGGTAACTTTAGCCACCTGGCCGAGTTCTAGGCTGGCTAACTTCTGGAAAACCCTACTAACTGATATAATGTTGTTTGCGACGTTTTTGTCTGGAGCCGGCCAGGCCACGGCCTCCCATCGATTGGCACTATCTGTCTCGACATTACAGAGGTATGCTGTAGTAAAACCTCCTAAGGCGAAAGTCGAGGGATGTATGAATATTTTGGCTGCATTCTTGTAATTTGGATTCTTTGGGTTGGCCACTTCTTGTGGCTGGAGCCGAACTTTGAAATCGTCTCTCCCCATTTTTGTTTTTCTGTTGAGTATTTCGTGATTTTATAAAAAGTCTTGGCTCAGGTATATGGGTATCCAGAGGGCAGGTACTTGACTATGAAACTCTCGGTAGAATTGCGGGTTAGATTTATAATATTCGCCGTAAGAATATTGCTCATTTTCAATATAGAAATTTTATATTCTTCTTATAGTTGCGAAAGAAGCTTCATATGATCGAACCAAGTATAAGTAAATGAAAAGAATTCGAGTGCTAGTATTTTGTGGGACTACTAAAACTCAGTGCAACTTCTCGTACCTAGAGGCGCTAATAAAAGCGCCTAAACTGCCCTATGATGTTGCATTTTTATAGCGCTACGTTAGGGAAGGTGCTGTATCGATAGCTATTCCCCTCCTAAATTACACACTAAAAACTCGATCGGCTCCAACTTTTTTTTCATCCCATACGATTTCAACTCCCTCAACGAACCCACGTTCTGCATTGCAATGCGTAGGGCATCATCACATTTTGTCGCCTCATGCTCCTACGACAGCTCCAGCGGCCATCTTCACGATCGGTAGCCGCAGTAGCAAAAGTATGGCGACCGACATTTACAGCCCTGCTGCACGGTAGCAGCCGGCAACCACAATTTACACACCCTTCATCGTCATCCCAGCACAACAGCGAAGATGACGCAAAATCCCCGAATAAACCCCTTTCCCTCTTCGAGCGCCTCTTCCCCGAGGAAGCAAAGCAAGCACGCAACTCCACTGACTCAAAATGGCCTAAGAAACCCCGCTCCCAACTTTCCAACACAGACGACGAATCCTCCCCTCTAACCGTGGCCGAAGACGAACACTTCTTCCAGCACCGCTTCGCTGATGCCGAGTACCTCGAGTTCAGCCTCGACGGTGAACTCGATCTACCCGAAAATGAAAACGACACTAACCCCGACACCGCCTCCCTACGCGCCAAAACCATGCTCATCCTCTCGGCAGCCAGCAAGCAACTCTCACTAAGCGACTTCCAAGGCCTAGGCCCCCGCGGCGCACACGTCGAAGGTTGGGTCGGCGTGGGCGGGGGTGCAGCGCGCGTCGTACCCGCTAGAGACCCGGATACCTTACAACCGCTAGGCCACTACTTCATACTCTTCGACAGTCATGACGCAGCAGTTGCGTACCGCGACGAAGTCGAGCGCTTATGGGAGCTCGGAAAAGCGCGGCTCGCTGAGCGGGATGTGTATAACGGGGAGCGGGAGAAAGATATGCGAGGTCGAGCCGTAGAAAGACGACCGTTAGTTCGGGGAGATGAGGATGTAGATGTTGCGCTGAAGTCGTTTACCCTAGTCCCCCCATCGCAGAGGTATCATCTTGAGCTTTCATCAGGGAGGGGGAATATGGTCGACGATTTAGACTCCGGTGGTGGGTCGTTTGTCGATCAACTTGCTGCGAGGGCTGGGTCGAGACATTTGGTTCTTGTTACTGTGGATGGAGGACGCATTTCGGTGGATACGCTGCGCCAAGCTATTGAGGAGGATGGTGTAGAGCGGAATCTACCGTGGCGGGTGACGGATCTTGAAAATGGTATTTTGCCGTTCGGGAAGAGTGTTTTGAAGAAACATGATAGGACTTTCGAGCAAAGTCTATTGGATCAAACTGGTCAAGCTGTAGGCGAGACCAATGTGGATGAGAACAGAGAGGGTGCGGAAGTAGTAGATGACAAGAAGTATAGACGGTATCCCCGGTTCATTATACCATTCGAGGATGCCGCTGAGGCACAGCGCTTCGTAAGGGGATGGCACCGAAGACAGTTCAAGCTACGCATGAGCATCGAGGAGAACGAGGACAAGCAAGTGAATTGGGACGAAATTAGGACACTCAATACTTCAGTGCTGTGGTAAAGTATATGTTAACTTCCTAATATTCTACCGTATACTAGTATATTACCCTTAATAGAGAACACTTATGTTTATATAAGCAATCACATGTCATATTCATCAGAATTGGGTATCGGGAATAAAATAAGTCAATTTTCCAATGCGAGTATCACGGCATTCCTTACATCAATGGGTACACAATAGGACAGACACAGCCAACGAAGACAGCAACAATGATAATGATGACTGGAAAATGTATTAGACCCATATCAACCAAACTCCGCCAATATAGTAAGTCGCCCTCACGTTGCCCCCCAGGCCTCATTCTTCCTATGTGATTGTGATGGTGTTGTGTGTTCGCGTCTCTGTGATGTGAAAATGTCTATCGTAAAAAAAGCAAGCAAGCAAGCTTTTGCTTAAAACAGTCCAGCCTTCGTCTTGCCTTGCCTAATCTTTCTGACTTTGTTAGCTGTCCGCCACCCGTTCCCCTCCTTATTCCCCGTTTCCAGAGGTAATACACTTCCACTCCTTGCTTTGCCTTCTTCGGTCCTTGAGGAGGGGGTTTCTTCTGTCTCCTCATTTACTCACTCTCACGTTGAGGGTTCCTCCATAAATCATATGCCTCGGTCTACTGTAAACTCGCTTGATAACAAGAAATTTGTGCTAAGCCCTTGGGTCTAGCCTGGCATCTGTCTGCCTGTCCCCTCGCCTTCTTCTCACCTTCAATAAAAACCCTGCTTCTCAGTTTTAGCAGCACTTCCCCTGTCCGCCACTGCCTTCTCCTTGGGATACGTTGACACCTGATGTTGCGGACTCGTTCTTAGAGGTAACGATGATGCGCTTTTTGATGTCGGCGGCTAGGCTGTAGAAGGCTTCGTCGATGTTGATATTGCTCTTGGCAGAAACTTCGAGGAAGGGGATGCCTAACTCCTTAGCAAGTGCTTCGCCTTGTTCTGTTGAGACGACGCGCTTCTCTTCCCAGTCGCACTTGTTGCCGATGAGGATCTTGTTTACGCCTTCGGTGGCGTGCTGTTCTACGTTTGCGAACCACGTTCGGATGTCTATAAACTGTGAATTAGCATGTCGATATTATAAAGCCCTAATCCTGAATTGTTGGCTGTTCTTGATTTGTCCGTAGCCTACTTGAGCCCCGCCTCCACTTCGATAGCTTATCTTTTGTGACGGACGTAGCGGTCGGAATAGGGAAGTGGCGGTAATGCTTACTCTCAAAAGACCTTTGATCCGTAACATCATATACTAGAAGGATACCCATCGCGCCGCGATAATAAGCCGTCGTGATGGTTCGGAATCTCTCCTGTCCGGCCGTATCCCATATTTGTAATTTCACGCGCTTGCCATCGAGCTCGATCGTACGAATCTTGAAGTCGATACCGATGGTGGTGATGAATGACGGTGTGAAGGAGTCTTCGCTGAATCGTAGCAGGCAGCAAGATTTACCGACGCCGGAATCGCCGATTAGGAGAAGTTTGATCTACATGGCGAGAAGTATCATCAGTATAATGTATTGAAATATTTGGTGGTATATGGCGAGTGTAATATGGACACGGCTGAAGATGGTATGGTGTCTAATAAACCAGGTATCAAGTGATCTCCATCCAATGTATCTATATGACCGTGGCAGGCAACTCGAAAGGAAGGGAGAGAGGCTGTGGACGTACTAAGAAGTCATAGTTTCGGTTGCCCGACATTTTGGCGGAATCGCTCGTCCTAGACGGCAGAGAATATTACGGAAGATTCGCTCGTTCGTTTATCGTTTCGTCGATGGAAGATACGGACGTATAGGCGGTGTCGAGTTGTAAGATTGGGTTATTTTTCTTTGGATATTTCTTCACTGGAAGCACAAACAAGACGTGTCGTCAGATGTGGCAGTAATAGTGATGGTAACAGTGGCGGTGGTAGCAGCGGTAGCGGTGCCGTAGCGGTAATACTCCAGCAGTTGAATACACTAGGTGGACAAGTACATGTAACCTTTCTCTTGGTACAAGTAATTCCTCTTGTCTAACTCGCTTTGTACTAGCCACCCTACCTAGTAGCCCTAGCAAAGAAGTTATGTTAGGCTGTAGGTAGTTGTAGGTAGTTTCGGAGGATAGAAACCTTTAAGGGTATATCTTTGGTTGATTTGGTTATAGTTCAGAAGTATGAGAATTGCCTGAGAGCATTGAATTGATTTAGATGGTGGATTTCTATGCATTTACTTGGGTAACAATTCCAACAAGCAACTCCCCAAAACGGTGTGCATTTCTAGAATACAAAGATTTAATGGAGTTGTTGAACCAACCGAGGCAGCCTCAAACCTTACCTTACATTAGGTACCTAGATACCTTCCTACTCAGGCTAGCAATATTATGCCTTGAATGCCCTATTACAATCCCAAGATGTAGTTGTAACCTTGTGATACCTCACTCAGGCACATGAATACATACATATATAGTTAAGTTTCTGCACCAGGCACATCTAAACTTTATATTTCTTCAGGAAGTTCAATGCACCATGAAGGAAGGATGGATTTAATGATATCTACCTACACCCTAGTCATTTTCGCATAGATGTCTTACGTAAGTTGGTGGAACCTTGAATGGGTACAAATACCGATGGAACGGTCCCAGTTTACTATACACGTACCTACATTATGTACACATACGTACATGTAGTACTCACCATGTACACACCAGCTTGTATCTGCTTCCGGAGCTGCCTCATTGAGACATACAGAAAAGGGGTATGTCAGGATTGCTTTTCTAAAGTTGCATGGTGTAATTCGAATTAGGCACTTCTTTTTAGACCGGATTTTGCGATGCTGCCTTAAGAAAATGCATGTGAGTACTGGTACTACCTAGGTAGCTAACAAGTTTATTTGACAACGTCAGGGGCTGCTTATGTATATGTATGTATGGCAATCGCTAAGCTGACAAAGAGGCTTCGCGTAGGAGCCATCTCAACTTAAACGACACTAAAACTCCGTCTTTGAGAGACATACACGTAATGCCCACTAATCTGATATGTCGTGCTACATGTACCCAGTTCAGTAGTTCCGGCTCGGACGAACTCTTCCCAGTAAATCGGTAAAACCCATCTGACTACCTTAACCACTTGGAATATGCCCAGTGTATCCTGCTCAGAGCCCGCGATTGGGACTGGATGCCTTTGAAATTAGCAAGGTCATCCAAATCCTCCAAGAAGTCCTTCTCAATGTCGGCCGGGAGGAGGTTATGTGCGAGACGTCGAAGAACATGCACCTCGCATACAATGAGACCATGGTCTTTGTAAGGCAAAAGGGTGTTTGATGGCGATCTTGCTTCAGTCAAGATACGGTCAATGTTTCGGAGAACTCGGACGCATTTGCCAGATTTTCGGGTTTCACGGAAACTTCTTCTGCCTCCCAATGCGCCACGAAGGTATTGGAACACACTGACCGATACAAGAATTCCGGGCGTCAGTCCTACGAAGCCAAAGACGAGCTCCTGACTCTTTAGAAGAGAGTCAATGCCGCTCATAGCAACTTCTATGTCGACCTTCGTCTTCTGGACTTGGATGAGCAGCGTTCGGACCAAATCGCCTCGGACAGTACCCTTTAATGGACTACGCAGGTCTTTCTCATAGGCACGGAGGATTGGTGTCACATCCCCTTCTCGAACCTTAGCTCTGATTTCTGCGACCTGGGATTCCGATACCGATGGAGCGCCAGTCGCAGCATTTGGTTTGTCGAGGGCAAAGTCGACCACCATACGTTCTAAACTCTCGCGATCCGCATTGAGACTATCCCGACTCATGATAGCAATTTCGCTATTGGAATCGTGACGGATAGTGCCGATGACTTTTCGAACGGGGTCGACAACCCAGTTAAACCAAAAGTCTCGTACAGTTACGCCGAAATCTCTAATCCAATCTAAGATTTCCTGCTTTCGGTTGACGAATATTCGAAGAATGGTTGTGGATGAGAGGAGGAGTGCTGTAGCGGGGAGCCAATATCTCACGAGTCTTGACGGTCGTCCATTTTCTGCTACTAGTCTGTCGGCTGTCCGTACGTGTTCTGGCAGATGAGTTCCGAGCAATTCCTGGAGCCTTCTTGCTATCAATGCCGCCCTATCAGATTCATTCTCTCCATTCAAATTCGACAACTCGGGATCCTCCTCAACGCCAGTAAAGACTCTATCTTCAAAATCGCTGATACCAACATCCAATGTCAAGGCATCTTTTAGGACCATGTCCATTAAACAGATACTTTTCTCCACGACGCCTTTCCATTCTTGTTCGTCCGACACCATGATATCGCTCTTGCCGTCCTCGTTCCCATTGCCACCAAAGTCAAGGGCCTCGTCGATTAAGACGCCGAGACCGCTGGAAGTTATTTCCCTAAGTTTCTTCAGTTTGGCTTGCTTTCCGCGCGCTTCTGATCGACATATGGCTACTGGCGACATAATCTTTCGTTGGATGTTGATGAGTGATCTTTCTCGTATAGTCTCTCTCACGATCCTATAAAATCGACCCCATCGTTGGGTAATACCGGCTTGGATCGACTCAGCATTTGCCGAAGCGCTGCTGGTTGTATACTGTTGAAATCTGGACTTGCTATCCACGTACACTTCTTTAGACCATGCCCACAACCGAACAGGGGATGTTTGCACCATGTACAGGCTGCTGTAAGTTGGTGACGATAATACATCGTCCCAATACCAAATATGGTCACTTAATGGGATAATTCGATCTAGCAATGTATCTAAAACGATACCGTATGTTTGAACGGTAGCTTTGCTAACCAATCTCCACTCGAGTTCTGCCTCGTAATGGCTGGCCGAGGTGTACTCGCCATTATCCGGTAACAGTTTTGATTGGGAGAGAAGAGACTGAATTTGGGATGCTGAGAGAACATTCTGTGACCCCGAGGTTGCTGACAACGCCTTAATGACCCTTAACAAATCCTTCACGCGGGGACTATTGAAATCTATGGGGGCTTGCGTGGTGTCATAACCGGTCAACTGAATAAATGGGATGCGGTCTAGTTGTGCGTCCAACCGCAGTACTTGACTAAACAACGACTAAGCTATTTTATCGATATTAATATGAGGTGGTTTGTAAACTTACTCAGCGACTAGGGACATTGTCGCCTGATTAAGCTTAGACAGGTATGTAAACTTGCGGTTTTCCAAAAAGGGAGGGAATATTATATGGGTCGATGCTCGGAGGTACGTTCGGACATAACTGATGATTTCTCTACTTCATGTCATGGCGGGGTTGTTCAAAACCCAAGAGATAGGATGCCTGTAGAATAGGTAGGTACCCAAAAGGAAGGCTTCCACGATGAGGACCGGGGTTTGAAGGTTGATGCTTAGTTGACCAATAGGATGAGGAACATTAGTTTCTGGAACTTGCCGCCTAGCAGAAAACGAAAGGCTATGCACAATGAGACGATATGGAATTGCGATATTCCGAGGCGTGGGATACTGTGGAATATTTCCACGGGTCGAACGTTGGTCAGTCGATTATTTTGCTGTAAGTTTGTCCCTTGTCGGATGAGGTCATTAAAACGTGTGTAGGAAAAAAAAAAAAAAATAAATCAATCAAATTCAAGCTGTGTTTACAAGCTATGAGCTACGATTGGTCTAAACTAAATGGGGTAAGGTTACACTATCGATAGAAGAACAGGTTCTCGTAGGTTGAGTTAGGTAAGAACTGACGAACGATGGGTTGATCGGGTAGAGCAGCTTCCGGGTCAGGTGACATGATTGGAGGGAATGCCGGTGTTGCCGTGGATTACCCGATAAAGTTATCTGATGTAAGTTCTTGCATTTCTGCAGCCACATTGCGCAGGTCTGGATCACCATACAATTTCGAATACGAATACGACAGCCACTCACAGCCCTCGTATCGCGCTTTCCCCCTTCTTTGTACCCACGCCGCATCGAAGCGGGAACGGGAAGAGCTAATTCCAGTGGGATCATAGTGGCAGCATCGAAACTAAGATTGGTCGTACGTCTAGTAATTTAGCAGGGGCAGCAGGGGCCCTTACTAGGTGAATCCCCTAAAATTTCAGAAAAATCTCCAATCTCTCCTTATCGTCTTCCACCGCCCTACCGCTCTCTTATTCTCCTGAGCTACAAACAAATATCCGTCCTTTTCTCGATTCTTTCCTTCATTCTTTTTTAGTGCCAGTACAGCTTCTTCACCTTTTCCCCTCGGCACACCAGGACGGTTCTAGACTACGGAATAGAGGTTTACTAGTCGACATTAATATTCTTTCTTTAATTCGTTATGGCTACGATGTAAGTTGGCGCCCATTACTCTACTCTCCGTTACACTACGCGCCTATGCGAATTTATTCAATTGAATACTAATACCTTACTTTCGCAGAAATGCCACCGTCGCGGGCGCGTTCACCCACCCGGACACGTATATGGGCGTATTCGAGGAGGTCACCAAGTACAATGTTCAGCTCAACGTCGTGGAACGCCTATGGGCTGTTAGTCTCCCCCTAAACATTGGATCGCAAGGTACGATCAGGTAACTTACTCAGTATATCTCTAGGCTTGGTATCTGTGGATGCAGAACGACACGTTAGCGACGGGAATCATGAGCTTCATGATGCACGAAATCATCTACTTCGGCCGATGTATCCCCTACATGGTCCTCGACCGCATCCCCTACTTCAACCGATTCAAGATCCAAAACCAGAAGATTCCTACATGGAAGGAGCAATGGGAATGCGCATGCTTGGTGCTTCTCAGCCACGTTACCGTCGAGTTGCCCCAGATCTGGCTCTTCCACCCGATCGCCACTTACTTCGGTATGGACTATGGTGTCCCCTTCCCGACAATCCAGAGCATGGCTCTCCAAATCGCGGTTTTCTTCGTTATGGAGGATACATGGCACTACTGGTTCCACAGAGCCCTTCACTACGGTCCTCTGTACAAGATGATCCACAAACTTCACCACACCTACTCCGCGCCCTTCGGCCTTGCCGCTGAGTACGCTTCCCCGATAGAAACCATGCTTCTCGCGCTTGGTACCGTTGGTAGCCCCATCCTATGGGCTTCCATCACTGGCGAACTACACCTTTTCACCATGTACATGTGGATTGTCGGCCGTCTATTCCAGGCCATCGACTCTCACAGCGGATACGACTTCCCGTGGAGCTTGCGACATGTACTACCCTTCTGGGCCGGTGCTCACCACCACGACGTCCACCACGAGAAGTTCATCGGAAACTACTCCTCCAGCTTCACCTGGTGGGACTGGATGCTCGACACCGAGTCCGGTCCCGAGGCCGCCAAGCGCCGCCGCGAGAGGAAGCTCAAGAACCTCAAGGCCAAGAAGGCCGAGTAAAGAAATCATTGACCTCGCATTAAAATATGGACTGGGGCATTGGGCGGGTCGGTCGGTGATATTCCGCTAGTCTTCAGGGCATTTGCATAGAAAGGCGAAATGAGAAATTGTGCGTACAACAGTAATGTACCAGCACGACAGCTAGAGAACGACATCTTACGATTTGCGTCAATCGTTGAATTCTATAGACTTGGGGCTGGCCAACTTTAATACACCTTGTAATTCTGACGAAGAAAAGAGAAATCGAAATTACCATAGATTAATATCAAGCTCAGCGTCCTTCATTGGAGCCAAAGCAAAATCAACAACACTGACCAAGACTTATGTAGCGCTTGTAAATGTGATCGTCTTCGTATAACCGGGGTTTCAATTTGCATTTCTTTGCTTATCTCGTAAACGACCAGGGCGCTTCGGTCTGAAATGGCTCCAAGAAAGAGTGGCCAATCGTAATAGAATGCTTAAAACATGATCTGCGTGGAATGTTGTCTCAAATTATTGAGAAGCAAGGGCCTTTTGTACCGAAACTCCTGGCGGACTAGAAGATAGCAAAGTAGTCCGGTGTGCTCATCTAAACCATGTATACCTGTAGGCAGGCTCTCCGCCTGAACGGACCGACCTGCAGCTTGATCACAGCGGCCTATGTGAACAGATTCAGATCGGCCGGGGGATCTGAAAGGTACTTTCGGCATGGCATGGATGACTAGCGCCGCACGATCTTCCTGCATTCTTCACTTTTTCGGAGTGCAACAATCGCCAGCGCTGCTTACTGCGCGATCAGCCACCTGTTTCAGGCCGCAAGCATCGGCGCCCGCAGGCTCCTCGATAATCTCGCCGAAGTCCCTGGCAAGACCGTCGCAGATTGCGGCCAACTCGACGTCTTTAGCGGACAGGCCTTTCGGGTTATGCGTTGTCCACCGGATATACGTTGTATTATAAACCTGCGCGGGGATGACGAATCAAATGAGTCAGCAAAATCGTATATCATCCAGCCAACGAAATGTCGCGGTTCGTGTGTCCATCTAGTAATGATCAAGGGGTTTTCGTATCAACTCCGCGTGCCAGCAACGTCTCTCCGCCTTTTTGGTATAATAAAAGCGGCGATTCACGGCAGAGGCTGACATGGAAATCTTGTGGGCTTGCACGTGTGCGAGATATGATTTTCGTTGTGAAGAAATGAAGGGGTACGATGGGGGCGAACCTTACGTTGGACCATTCTGGGTGGTGGTTCTTGAGTTTGCATTGCAGTGATACAGCGGTCATAAAGTCCTATCAGAAAAATCGTTAGTGCACGATGATCTTAATATTTTACTTCTAAGAGGGCCTCTTGAGTAATTCGGTGACGCAGTCGTTGGAGATCATGTAGGCTCTTTAAGCGTCAGATGCTACACGGGCTGGACTATCCCGAGCCCCGATGGCACCACTTCATCCAGTAAACGGCTATACGAAAACGCTTCGAGGACCGGGGCCAGCGAATTGGAATTTGTCGGTGTCAGCAAAACAAGGCAATCGTCCTCTCATGACTAGCCATGATATTGCTCGCTTGATCCGGCGCATCCCCAGGTTATGAGCTAAAAGCTGAAGTTCTAATGAAGTACGACACTCTCCGGGATTCTCGTTATAGCTTCCCGTGGTCGACGCCCAGAGGTCGACCGATCAAGCTAATGAGCACCTAATGGTAGCCCAATGTAGCAATGACTTAGAAAGCCTTGTTACCCAGTTGATAATTCAGGCTCAGCCCACCGGCAGTTCTCATTTTCCCCAACCTCTTCATATAACCCCATAAACGATGATGGAGGGTTTAGGTATAGACGTGACGCAGGCACGGCTCCAATGAAGAGGGTCCTCGGGAATGATTGCGGCCAAATAGAGCAAATGCCGTATCTAGACGAATAAAACGGGGGCCCAATGGTACGATACGACAAAGGAGAGAGGCCCGAGAACTCAGAGCTAACTCACCCACGTCTTCGCGAACGTCTTGAACTTGAAATTTCTCTCCAGACCCTCGCCTCCGGGTATTAACGCCCACCGCCCGCCGCGTCCTGCTGACGCCAGCAGAGGTTCCAGGCTCCGTGTCAGGGCCGTCTCGTCAACACCAGCTGAGAATTGAGCGGAGGTAGCCATGACTGCTGAGTTTAAAAATTTTCGCCGTCCCTGATAGCACCCAAATGAGGGTTGGTGAAACACCGCAACGGCCTGCCGAACACAGTGGTGCGTCGTCCCGACGAAATTTCTCGAACCTGTCGCCTTCACGGCGATACTGGCGCAGCGAACCAAAGGGCGCGTATATTGACGGTGCATTAGGCGCAATGTGACTATTATTAGATGGAAGATAAGTTATTTGGTGTAACGGATACAATCAGTAACCTCATAGCAGTGTCGCGTCTATGATGACCAGGTTTGACCATGCGCGGAAGCAAATTGCGAAGTATCCTGGTCTTGTGTAACGAGACACGAAGAAATATAGGATGGAGAGTTTGGGATGACTCCATCAACTCCATATAAAACTTCCCGATTTTGAATGTATTCACGGAAGTCACTTTTAAAAAAGTGGCCTAAGCGCTATTAGCCTACAACCCTAAATCTTTTGTATGTATACTTGGTATACTTGGGGGATAAGCTTATAGATTAATAACTTACATCACACGCAACATTGAAGATATTGTTACTCAAGGTTTATTATCCACATACAATAGTACATTTTCGCTATACTAGGCAATTGAAAGAGTAAATTGTTACTGATGATTTTCTAATCGTTAAGAAATATCCAGGGACACCGTTAAAAAAAAGAGATAAAAGACAAATATCGATGGAGAATAAGCATGAAAAAATATGGACGACAGAGGGAAATATCTAGTCAGAAAATGAAGACCCTCACACGAGTCTGCGACAGTATGTTCTAGATTGTATCAAAATCAAGGCAATTAAACTGCATGGCCCCGATGCTCTGCTACCAACACATAATTAAAAGAAGGAAAATAAATAGGTAGGCAACCATGATGACATTCTGCTTTGGGATATTTAGTAACCAACATCAAAGGGTCGCAGATGATCGTGTGTTTTATAACGCCCGTCTATCGCTCCATCATACCATTTTCGGTAATAATCTAGTCTCTGTATGGGGCCGTCTCCGTCTGCACATTCGTACGATGTCTCCCTCGGTTGTCAGCAACCGACCGTCTTCATGTGTTAGACCGCTACCAATTATTGACAAATATTTTGTCGACGCTATATACTAATTTCTAACAAACCCGACGTTACGTTACCCTTACCTAGTCGTTAATTTCGCTAATATGTCATGTAGCTTATGCCTCCGGCATGTTATGTATGTTATGACCCGGACGCCGCAGATCTTCCCACGTGTTTCTCACCTCCTATTCCGCTGAAGATATGTCAATCCCGCGGAGAACACATACAACCACGTACCGGTGCCATGGTTCAACCCTCCCCGTCCCCGGACTAAAACCTCCATCGTAACAAAGGAGCCAGTTATAATTCATATGTGCGATGTTGGTGATTCTTTGTCAATGCTCCCCCCTTGCTGGGAGTGATATTATCACATATCATCTTCAATTTTGCCTCGCTGACGCCCAGAGACCAGGTACGTCAGTATCTTCATCATCAGGGTTTCAGGATATGGCTGTGTGGGGGGTAACTTTTGGTAGGGATTCTAAGAATCGCGTTCGTCGTCCTCAAAACCCCGTAAGGCTAAGCTCCATTGAATGAATATCTTCCCCTTTCGGATTCTTCAGCAGCTGGGATGCCTTCCCCCACCTCGCTCTTCGGCAGGTTGTTTCCCTTGTCCTGGGTTATATCGGCTCAAGGAAGAAAGTTCTCAATGCCTCTTACTCTTAGCCCTCACCAACGAATTGCCGATGAGGCGCAGAGCTTTGTTGGCGTAAACGATTCGTACGAGAACTGGCTTAGGATGACTATCACTTTCCAGATCTCTAAATAGATCTCATATTGAGCCTTTCGCGATAACTTCCTAACTTGTTGATGTGCTGTGCATCTAGCCAGCCCCCATGGGTTGAAGCTGACTATGCTGAAGATCTATGATGTCTAGATTCACCTCGCTCGACAACTTTCTTGGTTCAGGATACACACCAGTGTAGCTTAAACTTCTCATTGACCTTGTTCATGAGTCTATTGACGTCGTTGCAAGCATGGATCTCTTGATCCTATCCGGGGAAACGACCCTGGAAGGAATAACACGTGAGTCTATTCCCAATGAACGCGTCTTGAAACATGAAACAAATCCTGAAGACGCTCGATGATCGATGGACGGACTATAGCTATCGGCCAATGAAACCCACTGGTTTAAGGGTCTCGTGGTGGAAGTTGTTGTCTAGTCGATGAAAATAGAAGGTCTAGACCTAACAATTAGCGTGTAGATAGATGTTGAGATTTTTAAGTCATTCCGCGAATATTGAAGATAGCACTGCCCATAACTAAATGCGACTATAGTCTCGCGTTCGGGTTAAATATCGAAATAGATATCTATAGCAACATATTGCCCTTCTGATAATTTACCGGGGCTTTATCGTGGGTCGGAACCGATTTCAGCTTGCTATAGATGTTGAGACTTTCCCCGTAACGCCTCCCGAGGTCTTGGCAGCGCCATTATGCTTCTTGTTGAGGGAGCGTAACCTCGACGTATAATTGCGGTTACCTTGGGACTCCATACAGAAGCATTGCCGTAACCAGAATAGAAGGGGGAGAGTTGTATGTACAAATAGCCATAGCTAGTTATCAAGTCACAATGCTACCTAAGTAGATCGTCCCTATACTCTAAAGTAACATGCATAAATTATCAAAGCTTACCGTCTTACGGACTGTCTATTACGCCGTACGGGGGGTGTGTGTCGATCACAACTTCGCAATGGGTATACAACAGGTATACAACAGTACGATCGGAATACATAGTATGTCAGCACCAACGTGCTCATGCCACTTTGAGACTTTTCCGCTCCGCATTCCTAATCGGGCTCACACAGACCGACGAATCGTAGTTCTTCCTTTTATAAGATGACTTGTTCAGCGTCTATTAGTCATTTGGTGTAATTGGCCTGCATAAGTTACATATGTATCATATGTACTTGTACTGTATTGTACTATGGTAGGCACTACATCTGCAACCTAGGCCTAAGCGAGTGGCCCTTCGCGATTAAAGCAGTGTTATCTCCGAAAGGGTCTCAATATTGGACATCATGAAACGGTAGATGCGAGCTGAGGGAGGTCGGTTAACCCATATTATGCTGGATACTTTTTATTGAAATCACTCAACTGCCACGGCAATGGAGGAAGAAATATACGATGCATACAAGCTCCGTGGAATATATATTGTTGATCGTCGCCCCGGGTTGAACCCCGTCTCCGTTTTCCAATGCTAAGTATAGATGTTGGTGCGCTGGTGGTTTAATGCTCAATTTCCCCAGCATTACCGGGCCGAGGACACACGTTTTCTGCATTAAAATGCTACGTAGAATTTGGCCGCTCCGACGAAACGTGAATGTTACTAATCCAATATTGATCGGATGGTCTAGCATACCCGCGATGATGCTAACATGACGTGAAGATCGGGTGTCAAGCTGACTTTTCAATCTCCGACTTAAGCCTATAACTACCCACCTACCTTCTTTAGGTACTCATAATTCAATCTATAACTCTCTCTCCATACGACGTATAAGTTGATGGCGCGTGCGAACATAGCGATAAAACGGTGAAATAGGATATTGACTTATCTTAGCTGACGTTGATGAAACTGAGATGGAAAACTGAGATGGAGAACGGAGCCCTTCCGTCATCAAGTTCCTCTTCCTCCGGCCTTGAACGGTGAGCGGACTTTGTGCGGCGCAGCAATCAAGCAGGAGGCTCTGCATGAACGAGAACGAAGGTATACACTGTAATGTTCAACAAGAACCTAATTTCAGGCATTGCTACCACATACCACCTCATTCTTGGCAAGCAACTCTCAACTCTCTGGTCGAATTTCGCGTCAGGGATCCCCTACAAGGTAGATACCTAGCTGGGTACCCCAAGAAGGATTACACGGGGAGTTACCAATCAGTTGCTTTAACCATCCGCGAAGGAATGGTTACACAAAGCTAGGTTATTTCTTCGTAAGAAGAGGCTTGTCCTGGACTTAATACTCTAGGTTGTAAATACTGATGATCATGTAATACCTTAAGTAAGTACCTCCATGTATGAAAGTCGAAAATGGTTTGGTGCGCAAGATCTGCATCGGGTCCCGTTTCGCTTTTACATATGATTGTCGAGAAATTCGTACCCGAGTACCTGACCAGCCGGGCGATTAATCACCTATCAAGCCGTGGCATTTTCCTGATGACCTGAACAAAACAGGCAAAAAAGGTGGTTGTAACAAAAGGGCCACGGCTTTTCAGGGTCTGGTGGTAGGTGCGGATAGTGGTGGGATGGGATCGACAAGATTACTAAAGAAACAATGTGATATGTACGTATTATGTATTATGTAGGTATATATGTGCGGGTTTATGTAGATGATATGTAGAACCGGCTTTCCGCTTTCCGCCTTTACATAGTACTTACATAGTACGAAAATAAGAGGTTGACTAAACCCGACGCCATCGTGTCTCTGCTTAGCATAGGTTAGCATCGAATAAGAGTAAGCCGTATCCAGTTAAACGACGCGCAATTTAAAACCAGTCCAAGGGAAATCGTCGATTATCGACCGAGGAGAGAGTACCAACAGACACACACAAAAAAAACACCTTGTTGCCGATGACCGTCCGCGGAGTACCTTTGCCAAGACCTTACTAGGGGGAGTTGCGGAATATATTGGAGTGCGAATCAATCTCGATTATTCTGGAGATGATTGGATTGGACGATTCTAAAGTGAGATCCCACATATGTCATCAAAAGAATACCTACTTACATTTACTGTATGAAAGGGGTTTTCCTTGACCTCCAACAAACCCCTTAACAGGAGTAATGCTTGTTGTGTAATGCACTTGTTCGCATTCTTTGCATTCCTCGGTATGCGCGTGAGATATTTTGTAGATGGAAGAAAAAGAATTGAGGGCAACAGATTCAATGTTACCATGTAGATTATTACCTAATGTTCCACTAGAATAGCGTGGAATAACGTATGATTACTTAATTGTGCTACCATCTGAACCCGAACATTACTAATACTATACGATAAGGTATTTTAACCTTCGGGGTTGCAGGAGTCGGATTTTAAAAATCCTGACTAGTTTGCTCGGACTTGGATAATCTCTACCGTTTAATATGGTAGAAAAAAGAAAAAATACTCAACGGCAAGACTGCATCACAGAGACAACCCTGGAAATTCCCTGTATATTCTCATTCTTAAACCGCCTAGGTAAATGAACTCCCGTCGTGTCATCATCCAATCAACAGGGCAATATACGGGGACCCTGCACGTATATCGTACATCTCGGTACTAAGCCGCCAAGGAGGACCGGGGGAGGGTTATTAGTAATGAAACCGTATGCTCGGAGGAGGTCCATCTTTAGTATCTTTAGCCTGTTGTATTACGTAAGTGCGGCTTTGGAACTTTTGCAGTGAATCTTGGTTGAGGGTTAATCAAAAGTTGATGAATCGTTCTATACCGAAAGTGTCCCATGTTGCTATCCATTCTGCGACCTTTCATTTATCCAAATCTGTGTGTAACGTCTTACGTAATAATCCGAGCACGAAAAGGATTCAAGATGCGAAACTTTGATTCTAAGACCTGCTGGACCTGTACCTGCCACCATTATTATTACTAGGCCCGCAAGCAAAAAAAAAAAAAAGAGCAAGAGCAAATGTGTTTAGTCAACATCGAAACTATATCAAACCGATACCCCCTGGCGTATACCTAAGGTACTTTTTTATCAGAGTTGGAGAACCGTATTTATAGCCGAACGTGTTCTAAGATCCGATACTAGGCCACTTTTGCACACAACAACAAAAGAACAAGAAAAAAAAGAAGGCGAAAAAATGCCCGATCTTTATTACTAGTCTTTTCATCACTCAGCTCATCTGTACTACACGCTTCAATTTAGGAATTATACAGTGCGGCAAATTTAAAAATCTACCCGCTCTCGTACATGGAAACAACAGCTTATGTTCTTATGTAGCTTCTATGCAAGCTTGCATAATTCAGATGCACCTACGTAGTATACATGTACATACCGAAAGACATCTGAATTCCCTACGTGCCGCCGGGGACTAGTACTAAGCAAGTAAATGCTACCAATGCGACCTACATCATGTATGTACGGGCGTAAGTGTGGAGTATGCGAAAATTACTCAGAAGGGAAAGGGCAGTCATAGTCGTGTGCGACGGCAGATGAATTAAAAAAAAAGGTACATGAGAAAGTAGATATATTCGGGAAGTACCTTATGTAAGTACCTCTACATGCGTAGTCATCACACAGAATTGAGTTTTGCATACTCTTGTAACACCTTAGGGAAAGGATGTTGCTTCGGCCGACAATGCGGAAACCGAGAAGATATACATATATGTACTCGTGATGGGAGATTCGAGTCGTAGAAGGTATCATTGATCATTGATAGCTGAGTAACTACCTTGCAACATAATAGGCAGGCTGTCCTTTTTTACCTGAGGTTAATCATCTGTTTCGGGTATCATTTTGCAACTTCCCCCATTATTATTGTTATTATTAATTGCATAGTACTACCATTTTACCCTACCTTGGGTACCTTGTCATTGTTACACAAATGACAAACCAACAGTGATTACGAAAAACGAAAAGGAAGTTCCAACCACCTAAATGTTATCATTCCATTGCATCCCAACAGCATGCATTGACCAAATTCTCCCGCCGGCAGTTCACAGCTGCCCTGTTTTGTCCTGTTACGCAAATAACCACCTATACCTTTTTACCATTTTTAAAAATTAATTCATGTATATTATATGTATGTAGTTAGGAAATTGTTCTGTTTGTACCGTACTATTACGTACTGTTTGAGTCAGCTATTGAAGTTAATATTCCCCACATTCCGATTAGGTTTTCCAATTTCCATTTGTCCTTTCAAAATTGGTTACCGACCTACGCTAGCTGCCCCAGTATACATGTACCTAGATATACGTGAATACTTAGGTACATGCTTGGCCTTGGTAGCACACATTTTTAGGGCGAGCACAACTTGGAAGCTAGCTGCATGTGCTGACAAAGCCGCGTTCCGTCTGATCAACCACCCGCGTTTTCATGTTCGGACATTTCGGTCATCCGTCCATTGAACCAACAAGCAACACTGGCCGACTGGGAAGCTCTGAATACCCACCAAACGGCTTCATTCTTTGTTGGCGGCAACGCTGGAGGTTCGACTATTTCCACACTAAGCACTGTGTGGCAATTTTAAAACATATCTAAGCACGCACCAGCCACGGGACCGAGTACCTAACAAGTGCATTGCTCTGCATCTGTGCCTGTTCCAACTTTTTTTTTTATTCTCTCACGAGGTATTTTGTTTCGCATACCTAGTTTTTCTATATTATTACATATACCATTCGGATGGAACCTGCCTCCTTACCTATTTGACCCGCGCTGATTAATATATTACGATAGATCCGTCACGTGGAATCGCGGGTATCATTGGGTCCTAACGCCGTGAGGTCACCTTGAATTCTGCCGACACAGCAAATACCAGGTTGGGTTGGCTCTCTACGACAAGAAATTCTGGGACCTCGCATTGGTTTACCATCCTGCCTACCCGTTAAAATTTCGCCAGGAATAAGGAACACACCCTATTACATACTACATACTCGACAAATATCAAGCGAATTTTCTTGTTAATTGACAACTACTACACTGCTACCTCACGAGTCAGCAACTTACGGCAGCCACTCCCGTATAGCTGCATTCAATCTACGGAGGATCTACCCGCCGCAGATACTAATCATACATTGCACGATATTCTAGCAACCTTGGAATTCGCGTCGCGCAGCTACCTAATCAACAAGAGTACCATCCCTTTGTGCTAATGGAGTACGCTACAGCAGCCGCTACTATAGTCGCCGGCCAGGTCAGCAACTAAACCCCATTGTACACACCCGCCTATCGATTTACACTCCAGCCACATTGTTTTTTTCTTTCTTTTTCCCCCTTGAACCTTAGTGTGAGGTTCGATAAACGTTGACCGGGGCGGCGAGGGAAGAGAGAAACCGAGACGAGCTTGTAGCTACAGAGTACTTCGGTACTTAGTTACTCGGTGCTCAGATTGACTTTCCCACCCCTGCAGCGACAAACACCGTCCTTATTCCGAGCGGAGCCGTCGCGCTCCTCCCCCTAACACTAATAGTGCGTTTTGGACGGAACCGTTTCCGTCCCTACCACTTTCCCCTCCGTATCTTCGGCGCAATTTTGCGTTTCCTATTTCATCTTTCTTTTCTGCAGCACACGCGCACACGTACACACGGGACACTAGACAAAACGGTACCACAAGAAAATCCATCAACCATACAAAAACCTACTACAGACAGAGTATCGTAATCTTGATGCTGACTCAGATACGCAAAATGCAGAATCACATTGGCTTAGGTGGTAAGTTAGCTAACGCTCCTCTTTTTTAGTTCCAGTTGTTTGGCGCTACGCTAGAAGCAACAATATTTCCAACATCCCATCATCGCCATCATCGAAAAAAGAACATTAACCCCCCACCTCCTCCACCCCTGGAGATGTAGGTACTAGAGTACTGGAGTACATGGAGATGTACCTACCTCTACGCTACAGGCACCCCTCTATTGTGACGCCGCATTACTGCGCAAGGCGTACCCCCTCCCCTTCCCTTCACACCCCCCCAGCAACTATGCCTTGACCGTCTAAGTTGCCTAAGGTCACCTTCTGCTACGAACATGTAATCAGACATACCTCATATGCTGGCGCCAGGAGTAGTTTTTCCCTTCTCTCTCGCTTTGCTGTTGTTACTTTTGACGGCTTCGGGGTCGCGTTGCAAGGTCTAATCTGGGATCCATCCACTTGCTTTTCCGGTCTCCATATCCCTCCATTACGAAATACCCGCCTTACACCCTTGAACAAACTTTCCTACATACATATACATATTCGGTCTATGGCCCGCCTCATTTGCCTCGTGGCTTAAGTTCGTTCCAATACCTACTCTTCTTTTTTTTTCTTTTTTTTTATATTATATATCTCTTTATTCCCAATTCCTGGGCGCACACACCTCCCTCCCCCCTCTCTTCCTTAAACTTCGTAACCATCGTCTCACTTAGTTTACTGACTTCATCACTTGGTTCTAGACGAACCTGAGTCGCGCGCAAAGGCCGAACAAGGATCTAGCTACCTAACTCAGTCACCACCTACGCCGGCGCAAACCTCGACAACCTCAACTGTCGCACCTCATCCGGGTCTCAAGCCCATACGACCGTCACCACAGACGCATGGATACGGCGGTTTAAGTGTAGAAACACAATCGCATATCCATCCTCAGCTTAGAGCGTCGTCGACGACGGTGGTTGCGCCATCTGATATAATGCAGAGAGGAGTGTCACCTCCGTCTGACGAAGCAGGACCTGTTTCTGGATCTCCCGTTGCTGGTATGGCTGCTCAAGGCCTCCTAGGGCATGACCCTGATGATTCTGTAACGGACGGGCGAAAAGCAAAGCGCGAATTATCTCAATCGAAAAGAGCTGCCCAGAATAGAGCCGCTCAGGTGAGTGGGGCAATTTTTTTTCATCCCCTTGTTGTGCCATGATTTGCAAGCTGCAGAGTCACCGTTAATCAGAACGGTTAAAAGACCCGAGCATCCTCTCGTACCCTCGGTGTAGATGGGTTCATATACACGCTAAGCCGGGGGGTCTCCACCGTATCATACATGGTATTAGTGCTTCTCATTACGTAACTGACTCGTCTCTTTAGCGTGCGTTCCGGCAAAGAAAAGAACATTACATCAAGAAACTTGAGCAGCAGGTTCGCGAATATGGAGAGATGGAGCACAATTTCAAGGCGATCCAGAACGACAACTATGCGCTTCGCGAGTACGTCATACAATTGCAGTCGCGCCTGCTGGACCTGCAGGTTGAATTACCTCAGCCACCACCGAACGTAAACATCACACCCCCCACCGCGGCCTCCACTAGCGCTCGTGCTGCGCACGCGACCACCACTTCGGAATCCGGGTCAAATAGCAACAACGCCGGGACCCTAGCAGACGTTGCCGCGGCAGTCGCCGGATTAAGGGCGAGAGAACCCTCAGCTGATGGATTATACTCGAAGCCGGCTTACAAGGCCGAATCCGCCGAGGATTCGCAGACAGCCGAGGAAATCCGTAGACAACTTCAGCAAGACGGGCTACCGGCCCCCTCTTCTTTACGAGCCTAGTCATCTCAAGACAGGGTACAGGATTCCGATCAAGCTGATGGACAGCATATGGAGGGCGACTCGTTTACCTCATATAGCTATCCCTCTTACCCGAGCCCGGTGCGTTCTTTATTCCCAATGGAAAGTAATGGGAATGCGTTTTACGGTGCCTCATAAAATCATTTTTACGATGCGAAATAACCGAGACTTCTGAATCTGGGATGGGCGAACGAAACAGGTTATTTTGGCCTCATGCCTGGTTTCATTTCTGTCATATCGCGGCGTTCCGGACTCGCATGGTTTTCAACAATCGATGGATTTAGGCGTTCGAGAGCATCATACCTTGACTTTTTGACGGCCGTGCTGAGACGGTCGTTGATGCTGGATGTTTTACGATGGTTATAGATGGTTTTTTTACTACTGCATCCCTGGCACCGCCGAAGGGTTCTGAGAAGGGACGAGTTTAGGGGGTCTTCGGGGTGGGAATTGAACATAACGATAGTGCGCTGGTGTGAGCATGTTATCACTGTCTATACGTGGATAGACATCATGGCATAGGAGTCAGTTCAAGAGTTAGCTAAGGTCTACCAGCATCGAGGCTGAATAATTACACGGTATTTGCGTGGAAGGCTTTGAGTCATTCCTGCAAATCCTGTAGGTCTGAATTGATTAATTCACACAAAAACTTACCTACTACGATCCGTCTTACTATCTATGAAATTAAACATGCGTTGTTCTAACCAATTGATTTGGTTGGTTGCCTTGGTTCCCTCTGAATGTTACGATAAGCTATTATAATGCAAATCAATAAAATAAACTACCTAGCTAACTTAAGCTTGTTCGCCGTATAAAACCCCAATCGTATGTTTTTAAAACACCAGCCCCCCTAACGACTACATAGAAGATAAGCACAAGGTAGGAATGTCATTCATTCATTTATTTTTTCTTAAAACTCCCATTGACCAGTCACCAACCAAGTCCATTCGAGTAGCACAGCCAGTTACCGAGGTTCCATAATTTTCTTTTTTAAAATAATCTCGTTCTTGCCTTTCGCGTAACACAGCATTTAAAATGATTCACCACGGTATAACGCAAGTTGGGAAACAAAGAAAGAAAGATAACAGCAACAAAAATATTGGCCACACCGCCGCCGCCGCAGCATCATACGTACATTAGGTACCTAGGTTAGGGTATGTAGCTTACCTACATACATACATACATATATGTACGTAGTAGTGTAGCGCATGAAGGATTCTTCTCCCCGTTCCCTGCCCCCCCAAAAATGCAAAATGCAATGCGCCAGCCTTCCGTCATCGTTGTTGTTGTTGCTCTGCCAAGCCCATAACAAGCATCACAAGAAGTGACAGATCCCGCGATCCGCCCCCGCCAGTTTGCTCGCTTGTGCTATTCCTCCGGCTCCCGTTTTCGCGTCTTCCCCCCCTAGTCAAGTCAGCCTTAGGCGAGGTTGACTACCTAGGTAGGTCATGTAGGTACTGGGGGAGGTAGGTTAATCGGTAGGTAGCTAGGCAAGGTTTAGGTGAAGTGAACGAACAAGCCATCATCTAACTACACACCTCCAGGTCAAGAGGACCCTGGTTTTATTTTGGTTATAATATCCCGCATTTCTCAATCCATCGATCAAGGAAGGAGGAAGGAAGATTAAGTAGATTAGGTAGGTGGAAGAACATGGTAGATGCAGTACGTAATGTGAGGTCGGGGCAAGGGTATGTAACTATAACTCCACGAATCCACAGGGTGCGTTCAATGTTCAGAATCCTCTATCGATAGCAGCTTGTTTTGTTCCGTCTTTTCTGCGAGCTCCGAGCGGAGACCGACCCGGAATGGTGGAATTATCTCGCCGGCGGCATCCAATTATAGTAATCCTATCGCGTGTGCGACAGGGTGCTTAGTTTTTGGCGGGGAAGTGGTAGGGGGGCCAAAAGGGGGCCAAGATTCGTTCATGATCCATGTTCAAGGATAAGAGTTGCCCATATCGTGCTCCTATTTTAAAAATAATAAGTTAGCGATCAATAATAGTCTAAATCTGTGGCTATCTGTTTCATGAAAGTACGGCGTATGGCGTATACATTTTCACGTGAAAGGTAAGGATTTGAATCCATAGTGGAAGTTGCTTAAATCCCACGCCAACTCCACACTCGTGGTCTCGACTATTTGTTGATATGGCCCAACTTTTTCAGATTTTGTTGAGCCTCAAAAACAATAGTCATCAATCATGAAACATGAAACATCGAGGCGCTGTCGCGATAGCTAACTAATTGTGGCTATGACAGTTTCGCAATAGATCATCGTTCCGCTAAATCGTCTCGTATGGTAGCGTACAGGGACGCCCCCATACGATCTGCGTCATGGTATAGAAATAAAAAAGGAAGTTAGATAACCGCTAACGTACCTTTAAATAATCATGACCCTTCTCTTGGTACTCCGCCTTCGTTATCGTAGCTGTTTTCCAGCTGGGAGTTCCCACCCATTGAGCAGCGCCTTTCCACGCGTCGAGTATAGGGTCGTTAGCCCTGCGAGTCTTGAGGGGTGAATCTATGGGGAGCAGGGGCGTTAGACCTTGACGAAGTCGTTCGTCAAAGCCTTCGAAGAGGGTGTTTCCACCTGTCAGGAAGATATCCTTGAGGAAATCGTCTCGGTTTAGACCCGCAATGCCAACAAGTCGTTGCGTAAGAATATCACCAGCAATCTCGACGAGCCCTGCTTGGTCTACTCCCGCAATGGAAGGTTGAAAGACGACCTCCGGCACACGTATCCGTTCGACGTTGAGGTGTATTTGGTGAATTTCTGCCTGAGAGGAAGGGTCGAATGGCCGCGGCCCACGCATGAATGCGTGTAAAAGACTCTTATTCCAATCGTTCTGTGCTTCCCACGTATGCTCGTGCGTAAAGCCCTCGTCGTAACGGAGTAGATCTTCCTCGAGTGTCTTAAGAGTTCCCTCGAGGTCTTCTTCGCCTTCTTCATCATCACTTCCACCTTCTCCCACCTGAATCTGCCTGTATACCCCCCAATCGTCATCATTGGCACCGAAGTTATCGTCGTCTCCGCCACGACGACGCTTTCCTCGTGGGTTATCTGAAGCAAGATTTGCGATAGATTTCATCCGAATCTGAGAAGCCAGAGACTTGCGGTTTCCGAGATCAGCCTTGAGGCGATCACGCTCCTTCATTTTCTGTAAGGTAAGATTGCGAGCGACTCGCTTCTCCTCAAGCCAACCCTCGAGATCATTCTCACGACGTTCTCTGTCTAAACGTTCTTCCTCTGCGACTCGCGCCTTTTCGGCCTCCTTCTCGGCTTTAGCACGAGCACGTGCCTCGTGGTTTGATTTCAACAGTCGTTGATGCCGTTTCGCTTTCAGGCCGGCTTCGTCGAGTTGGTCGTCCGGTACTTCAAGAAGGCTGAAATCAGGAGCTTCTTGTTCTTCCTCCGGATCACCACCCACATCTTTTGTACGGGCACGCTTGATCGATTTATCCAACTCCTTGATTCTGCGCTCGAGCTGTGCTTCGTCCTTCATGTCCTCTGCGTCGAGTAGGCGTTTTGTGTCCTTTTTGTTCGCGTCGTTAATCTTCTCCTGTAGCTTCTTGTAGTATTCCAACTCTTGCTCCTTGCGCATTAACTTCTCTAGTCGCATTTTCGCAGCTTGCTCCTGTAGTCGTCGACCACTCTCCTTTTTTCGCTCGGCTATTCGGGCGAGCTCTTCTTCGCTCTTCTGAATTATCACTTCCTCTGTGAATGGATATTGAATTACGACATCCCGGTCTTCCAACCCCGTCCAATCCAGATATGATCGTAGCTCTTCGTCATATGATTTGGATATGTAGCAGTGGTCTCTGATCATGTTCTCGGCCTGTGAAGCGTTAAGTTTTCCGGGGAATGAAGGATATTTGAGACGGATGAGTTTGAGTAAATATTCTGCAGCGTGCCATCCTCCCCAATTCAGTCGTATGGCCTGGGATAGGATGGCCTTGGAGTCAAATACGGGTATAACATGGGTTGAACTATACGATGATGAGACGACCAATCCTGTCTGGCCCTTATTGTAGCGGTAGGAGAAGAGAGAATCGATGCCCGTGGCAAGTGAAGGTGCCTGGTAGCATTCGAATATGATCTCGTTCATAGCTATACCAATATTAGCCACATATAAGGCAATGTGAAGTGAAAGCACGTACATTTTCGCGAGTAAGGTAGATTTGCTACGGCTTCGGTCATGACAATGGGCATGTCAACCGAACCATCAGCATTGTTCAACCCTAGCTTCAAGAATGTCCAATCCAACACATGCTCTTCAACGTCCCAGTTGCTTACAATGCCTGTTCCAACTTCAAAAGCATTTCTGATATGTCCTCGAGCGGTCGTGTCGGCGTAGCAATCGAAGCCTGCGAAGGAATATGTCTTGCCCAGTTTTCTGTCTCTGTATTTGGCCATTATGGGGGGGATGCTTAGCCTCGGTTTCGACTCGAATGACCATCCCGCTCGGACAGCAGATGAGCCTAATGATAGAGGAACATATTAGTAACTTGACATTGGAAATAAGGGCTGGGGAGCATACCATTGTCAATGACGATTGCGACGCTGCCGGCGGGTTTCGATTGAGCTTCTTCCAGGCCATCTGCTTGAGTGGGAACGGGCTTATCAAACTTGGTCTCCTTCACATTGAAGATTCGTGCGGGTGGATAGGTCTTTTCCTGGCGCACAGGAAGCGCCGGGATGCCGATTGCTGACGGCGCCATGTTGAAGGGATACGCAATCGTGATGTTTACGGGAGTTGAATTTGTTGCATGGCTGGGTTGTCTCGAACTATTTATTGTATGTGATTATTTGTGCGCGGAAGGAAATCAGGTGTGAACCGCGTGGATTTATTTGTCCCCGCCGCGTCGAAAGATGAATTGGTTTTAAGTTCAAAGGATTGCACCGTTCAAACAATTTGAAGATACAAGGCTGACTGCTTTAAAAGCAAGCAGCTAAGCAGCTGGCCCTTGCCTTCCAACGGAATTTTGGTAGCGACGATACGGCGCTATGGACCGCTAAGGCCCAATGGATAACATGCTGATAAGATTAGAGCTAGCGGGATCTGGGGGTGGAGCCGTTAACCTTGAATACTGCAGGCGTACCTAGGTACCTAGGTACATTTCCAGATCCATTATATACATCCGTGTAAGCATTGCATTTCACAACAGGAAAGTTACGTCTTTACTATGTGTGTTGTAGGATAATAATTCTCATTGTGCGGAATCTACACTTCAAGTAACCCCTCTATCGCAGTTGTGTTGTGTTGCTAAAAATTCCTAGGATCTTGTCTTCCGTGGACTTTTCATCATGATGAAAACCATGCCCACAAGAAGTATCCAGATAGGATACCTAATGCTCTGTCAACCACCACATACCAAGATGTATTTCACGAAGGCTCTTTGAGGTTGTCCGTAGCTAGAAAATAAGTTTAGCATGAGCTATTGGTCAAATGGAGAATGGGGGTGACCTACCTTCTAAATGGAAGAGCACGTTGGATTGGTAGTTCTTGAACATCTGGGCGACAAGCTCAATATTCATATTCTGAATGTTGATCTCCTGGAGGCTTTTGTTCATAACGACGACCGCCTCATTGAGTTTCTCCTGTAGTCATTGTGTTAATTTCAGGGTATCAAGCCTTGAGATACACGCCACTTACAACATTGGTGATGATACGCGATAAGAGGAGATTTTGTTGATGTTCGTGAGGGCTCTCCTAAGATATACATTAGCTAACTCTAATTCATTTCACTCATATTACGAGATCCATACCATCTTGTCGTGTTTTACTTGTTAACTTGAGCCAATATATTTGTGTTGGATGACTTGTTAACTGGGTGTGAGAGGTACATTGATAATGTTGTAAGTGGTAGCAGTGCCAGGGCGCGATTGTGCTAAACATTTAAGCTTTGAGCGCGGGCCACAGCAAATCCTAGTAGCTTTTAGTGCACCTCAGGTACCTACCGATATCAATTATTAGGAACAATTCATTCCACTAAGAATATCCAGCCTTCAATTCAGACAGAGCATCTCGTCAAATACTTCAATCGAATTACAATCAAACTATTGCCTCTTAAAATACACATTAACACAACCATAATTTCGACGTCCCAAAATGTCTGCCCCAACAGAAGCTCAAATAGCCCACCAAGAGCTAATCGACGAGCTCGATATTCACTCCGTTCATAAGAGCTTCCGCAACCCGCACTGGCGACCGAACCAACGACGCAACAAGAACATCAAGACCATCCTCGGTGACGCCTCGCGTAAAGAAGCTTCCATGGCAGCGACACCCCAAGATAACAGCGGCACCGCAACGCCCGCCCAAGCAGAAGGAGATGGTCTCTCAACTAGTGGTTCTTCGACACCAGTTCAGCAATCCGCCGGCGGTAACTCGAATCTGCAGCCGAACCTCGCGCAAGCCTCACGTAGTTTGTCGAAGCTTGTTCTAGAGAAGACGCTGCGCCCCAACGGAGCGAATAGCGGTGCGACCGTATCGGCGGCACCTAGCGCGACATATACTAATATCGAGTCGGCACCATCCCTTGCGCATACGAAGCGATACTGCGATGTCACCGGACTTCCTGCTCCCTATCTTGATCCAAAGAGCCGATTACGATATCACAGCAAGGAGGTGTTCGGTTTCATTCGTACACTACCACAGGGCGCGGCCGAGTCATATCTAGAAGCCAGAGGTGCACACACGGTTCTGAAATGAACAGAAGCGGATAATTCATGGAGACGACAATTGGTTTTATTCAGCGTTATGGCGCTATGGGAATTCGCCATGTCTATTTTGACTGGCTCAAAAAATGGCTGATTTACGGAGGACTACGGATGATAGTTCATGATATCGAACAACAATATTCATCTTAAGACGATAAGAGTTAAGAAGTTGGTCTCACTGAGGAAAAGGAATACATGCAAATGTTCGATCAACGAAGTCAAGCCTATCCTATGCATCAGTCACCTCTCGGCGACAAATGGTTAGGTTACGCTCCGGCTTAATCGTGATCAGAAAAAGGAGTTTATTCTCCGCCTGTGACTGACGGATACCGAGAATGAATGGGGGAGGATCAATCTCAGTGACCATAGCTCCAGAGCTACGGACGCCGCGGCGGAATGTCATTACGATAGAGAACCTCTCCGACGAGCAGAAAGCTAGCAATTAATTAACTAATAATTATCCACGTTACCTACCTCTTCAATATCCTGTCTTTAAGTCTACAGGCAGCTTCATGATGTTTAAACTCAAAGGCTTGCAACAGGATCAAACTAGATTCGTAACCATGAGCACAATTTACACCAAGGGTGAGGAAAATGATTGTGTTGTAACTCGAGTTTAGCTAAAAGAGGGTGATGTTTGAATTGTGAAGAATGCGAGGGAAAATCTAAAAGCTCGAAATTTAGCAATCCGTTTTAGATTAGGTACATTCTTATCGGCGCCAGCTGACGACCAGCTGCTTATTAAACTTACAGACTGTCGCGTCGGGCGGGTTACATTCCGCGATTCGTGTCCCGTCCCCTGATGCAGCTTAATGAAATAATTATCTTAAGAAAACGTCCCCGTTGCAATATTTAGTCCCAAATCGTCGACCTGCGACCCAATTGCGCCGATACCTTTCCGAACGAGCCACACCTGTTGTGTTCGGTGATAACGACGCTCCTTTAACCATTAAACCAGTCATCTTCCTTTTTCTACCCCTTCCTCTCGCTCGTCGTTCCTAGTCAGCCGATTCGAAGATGCCTACGATGTGGTTATCGGATACCCAAAGTAAGACCAGATTTGATTTTAACACTTAAGAGTTGGGGATTGTGTCGGCTAACCGTTGAAATCATATAATAGAAATTGGGGTAGCTTTCTGCTCTGGCGGTACGTTAAGTTCAAGATCATGCTCTGCTCGCGTGCCGTAGTACCGGTCCAGGTAGCTTTGCGCGCGAGCGCATGTGAGTTTGAATAGGAGCACTGATGCGCTTTAAAGGAGGCTTCTTCCTGATTGGAGGTGTTATGTTATTCTTTGATCGTGCTATGTAAGTGTATACTCCTATTTCCGTCTGCGCACATCTTTTCATTCGTCTAGCGTTCGTTCACTCTAACAATGTCGCAAAAACAGGCTCGCGATGGGAAACGTACGACCCTCATTCCACCCCCCTCACGCATTCTCGAAAAGACACCCCCTAACGACGTATTTTAGATCCTCTTCCTAATCGGCCTAACGATCATAATCGGTCCTCAAAAAACCCTCCTCTTCTTCGCACGAAAGCAAAAAGCGAAAGGCACCGCCGCCTTCTTCCTCGGCCTTCTCCTAATTCTCATGCGTTGGGCCCTGATCGGTTTCTGTGTCGAGCTATACGGTATCTTCGTGTTATTCGGCGACTTCCTAGGCACTATTGCCAGCTTTGCGCGTAACGCTCCCGTCGTCGGTCCTTACGTTGGCCTTGTCCTCGACCGTGTCCCCGGATTGGGCGCCCGTCGGAACGCTGAGCTTCCTGTTTGAAAGAGGATTTATTGTTTATACAAGCCTTTAAGAGTTCTCTTGAATGGTTGACAGCTAGGATTCATGAACCACTTCCTTCACCTCCCCATTTTACGTCGAACTACGAATTTCGAGCCATGGTCCTCGGAACGGTATGAACTGGACGGGATATGGAGTTAATAGGAAGAATACAGACAGGTCTGTATGTACAATATTGTATATATGGCAGCATGAAGGATTTTGGGGAAGAAGGATAGGGCGTCAAATCAGGTTCAGGGATAGATACCCAGAAGCACGCGAAGTTAGAAATTTCAAGCCCGCAAGGCTGTCAAGAATAATAATTCATCACGGGCAAGAAGTGTGTTTCATATAGGTTCATTTTCTACATATGAAGAAAAAAGGCCATTGTTCATTTTGCCTATGCAGAATCTAGGGGTGGAAAAAAACGGCAGGATGATGTGTCCCGGAAAAAAGACGACAAAACAGTCTCAGCCGCCGTCGTAGTAGTATGTCATCATGAACAGGAAATTTGGTAAACTCTCCTAACCCCCTCGTCTGCAGTCCTCAGAAACAGCAAGCATGCTTGCTCTCCTTAACCAGCCCGGCATATCTCGCAGACGGGTATGCACTGTCTTGTCTACTGCTCCTCCTCAACTAGGCACGTATAGGACCCGGTTCAACAAATACCGCTTAGTATCCAGCCTTGATGAGGTAGTCCGCCAGCGCCTCGGTGGTCTGGGTCGCGTTACCAGCGATTTGGGCTTCGCCATGGTGACCGACGATGATCGCTTGCTTCGTCTTGACAGCAATGATACCGGTTCGTCCCTTTAACAATGGCGCGTTAGTAATTATACTCATGTTGGCGTCAACAGGACAGAGCGTTTATTAAATGCACCCACCTGTCGTGCATAGAGACTTCGATCCTCGGCACGGGCAAGCACGTATCGCTCGCCATCAACGTGAAGGCCATCCGCGAAAGCTTTATCTTTAGCGCCACCGCTTTGGGTCAAGATGGCAACGATGTTCTTCATCTCCTCGGGCTTGATCTATAATTAGAAAATAGGAGTTAGTCACCGCTACTTATTTTACAAGACCGATAGTAATAACAACACATGTCCATATGTCTAGTAACATAGTATGTGTAGTTTGCGACAAGACGAATAATGACGAAATAAAAGGAGGTAGCAAAATACCGTAAATCCAGCGGATGTAGCCCAGACGCTGTCACCCGCTACACTAATGATAGCACCTTTGTCAAGGTGACCGCTGCCAACGAGGCTATTGTTAAAATCGATTAGTAAATATCGTAGTTGTGACGCCGTCGTTCGCGGGTGACGATAATTACCTGGAGTCAACGTAGGCTACGCCGGAGAGTCAGTCAGCCCTATCCCCTAAACAAAGGTGGGGTTATCTCCAAAGAGACGAGGGATGTATTTATTTACCTTGCCACGACATGATTGCTTTTCTTGGATGTGAGGATATCTGTAGGTATGGTTGGAAGGAGGATTGAAAAAGAAGTGAAGGGGAAAAAGAAACGGCGGTTTATGAGTGAAAGTTGGCGACGTTAGGGGGAGGCGCTTTTTTTCGCCGAGCTTCAACTATCAAAGGGGAAAAAAAAATAAGGATAGGTCCTTTCCCAAGCATACAACGGATACGCGGTCAGAATGAGGGGCTCCTGCCTTCGGGTTGGATTGTTCTACTGCTGATTGCTGCCCACCTGCCTACAGCCCACTTCTATGGCGATGCATTTGTGGCTTTAATACCGTTAAACCTGGTACGCGGCGTCTTGGCAGTTGAGAAGGTGGGGTCCATCCGTTAACAATCCCACCGCTCAGTTTGTCAAGCCACAATTCAACTCAAACTCATCATCACCCCGCCATCGTACGTCAGATGTCCTAATTAGAAAAGAGAAAAAGCATCCATTCACAAATTTGTACCTTACATGTACATCAATCATCAAACTAAAGACTTATTATTTTCATGATCGCGTGCCATCCGAAACAAGAACAATTATGCAAAATCAATAACAAACTTTTCAATGCTATATATTTAATATCTTCAGATTATTGACATGAGACAAATTCTTGTCTCACCGTCAGCTTAGCAATTGTGTCCTTTTCATAAATCCTGATGTTCTTGTATCAATTTATGAACTACACGCCACCATCTACATCCATCTTCATCACCCAACTTCTATACCATTTGGATACTAGATTCCTGTAAGGGGTATGACTTAATATCTACCATCCTTTTTGGGACCAGCATGATTTCCACGAGGTGTCAGCTATGTTGGCTCCCTGGCTACTGATTATGTGCATGAAGGCGATCCGACAATCTTTGTCAGACCATATGGTTTTTAACTTATTCACCACCACCACCATTTATCAAGTTGGGGTATTTCACGACTGGGAACCCAACTGTTTGTATGACTACCTAGATAGGTAGGGGATCTCGGTAACAATGACGTTGTTACAATCCCTGCTTCTAATTCTTATGTCAACCACCCGCGCATCTTCTTGGGTTTGGATAGATACGGGCCGATATAAGAAGCGGGTGAATACATGTATACTCTTCTCGCGAGACCATATAATATGGGTTTCTGGTGCACTACCCTCGGTCTGAAACACTATCACAATTTTTGTTGCCCACCACCTGTGAATTGACCGCAGTTCAACTTGTTAGTCTAGTTAGGACTTGGCTCGTAAGCAACACCTGAATGGGATTGATGTGATTGTAGCATAGTAAGCTACAGTAGTGGCTTGTCGACCCCAACTGAGCCGATCCGGGGAATTCAATCCCAAATTTTAACCAAGCTATATAAGGTAAGGCTCTAGGCTATAATAACTATTAGAATAGCTCGCAGTTAGGGATTAGTATAGAGAATTGAAGCACCAACTATACTATGAACGTAATTACTTAGGAAGAATTATAATAAGATGACGGCTTGGAGAGTTTCATTTACCTATATGAATTATGAGGCAACACAAATTCATTAATTGCGAACGTCTGATTTATATTAGCCGTTGTGATCACCCTAAATGAGCAACTTGCTTTTCGTCAGCTTGTATGGATGATTCAATCGTGGCTTTCGCAACTTTATTAATTCGAGGTCAAAGCCATACCCTTAAAAGGTGGCGTTGATCTCGTAACCACCTTAAACCATTCTATTATTCCAATGGTTCTAATGGTAGAAGGGACAGTGATGCGGACTAAGATCACCTCGGGCGATCTGGTATGTCGATCGCTAGTGATCTGAGGTAGATAGATCGCCTGGGACTCTATCCATGACTCTATCCATGTCGCACTGACGGAACGGGTCGCAAACGATATTTGGTGGCTTGACGCGTACCAAACGGACTTAAATTCTATCGATGGTAAGGATCGTCATTTGTCTGGAATACATTACTATTATATGTGTAGAAGATGGAGTAATTCGTGTATACTGTTAGATATTTGTATAGGCTATCTTGGTGCCGGGCCTACTTGCCGCTGCCACGCGTCGAGGAGTATAAAAGTTCCGGCGGAGTTTTAAAGTGCTTTTGTCCGTGGGCAGAAATACCTCCGAGTCCGTTACCTTCCATGAGACCCGACGGTACCGAAGAATTGAAGCACAGGCCATACCAAGGTACCCTGATTCCAACTCTAAAATGGTTTGCAGCTTTCGCGTTTCAAAGGCCAGGCTTAACCCCTTTAAGCCCTATGAAACTAGCAGGGGGGTTCCTAGACCCCTTTTCTTTTCCGGTTTGCTTAAAGGGAATTTAGCTAATCAAATTACCCGCAAAATACCCGACCAGTACGCAGGCGAACTTTCTTAACACGCTGCAAATATTGGAGCTAGTCAGCTAGTTAGCTCAATCAACCATCCGCCGTTTAGTCTGTCAAGAGCTTATTTCATGGAATCTTCATCATATCCACGCGACTCGTCATCAAAATAATCCAAGAACCGTTCGCGTAGGAAACTAAATGATATCTTACTATAATCATGGCCACGTCTTTATTTTTCCAAACGTCCGGCATGATCATTTCGAATCTTATTGGAACTCCTAAAATGAGCAATTGTCCAAGGGATCGTTCCATTGCAGGTCCCAGTAAACAAATCCTGCTGAGAAGCAAGTGCTGGCTGGTGGAATCTAGAAAGTCGGGAGTTGGACCAAGATTACCTGCTGATTGAACATGATTCCTCATCCTATCAGATGGAAGACTGCGACGTAATAATATCGAAATATGCGCGGTTATGGGACCCGATGTAGCGCTGCAAGTCCAGGATCAAGGGAGCCTCCTCTCATTTCCTAGCCTTGCCAATCATCGTTGCGTCCCAACACCACCAACCCACTTGTCATCAAGAAATGCGCGCACATATTTTGTCTACTGATGAATATTATAGACTTTCTAGCCGATGACTCGTCCGAGACTCTGTCGATTCCCCCCTATCCATCGAGCCATCTAGCCATCGAAAAAAAGGACAAACAGGGGCTCCACGCCAAGGGTCCATTGCTTCAGGAGTATCCCTTGGGGTACAAAAAAGCAAGTCATGTAACCCCGTATCGAAAATGCTTCTCGAACCTTTCCGATATGGATACTATGGTCACTGCGTCTGTCTATTCTCGCGTATATAGTCAATTGTTTACGAGGGGAATGTGTCAGCTTTTGTTAAGAAGGCTGCTCTATTATGGACAAGCTACCTTAGCTTGAGAACTCCTCAATGCTATACTAGGACTTGATACACGACACCATCACTAATCCCGCAATTCCCCCTGGTTCTCCATTCACCCATCATTCCAAAAACACCCCGGTCAAGCGAAGAACCCAGGACGAACCAAGGCAACAGGGGTACCCCTTGACTTCTTCTATCATGCATTCTGGAGCTGAATCCTAGGCGTTGATCACCCTCTGCAAAATAACCGTCCCATGATCCATCAACCTCAAACAGTCGCCAACGTTGTTGCCATTCTGTCAATGTCTAGGAGCGATGGAATCTTCAGACCGCCACAAAGTGCCATTGGCAATGGTACCTTTATGGCGTATGTGGTAGGCATGCCGTCAATATAATCGAAATAGGTAGGTGCCTAAGGCATCATATCGTGTCAGAGCCATTGATCGGATATTGATGCCTCTCTTCAGTATAACATGTACCTACCTACGTAGGTATATGCGCTCTATACATTTGAACCTTGTTCGTTCTGTCTTTTACTCTTTCCAGTTAATACCACGAATGAAGCAAAGCAAAGCACACCCGTCAGTTTCGAGCATCTTGGGAGTCTGTTTTTAGAAACTACGCAAAGACGGTAAATCAGTTCTTGTTTGGCCTTTGAGCATCCACAACTTTAAAAGTCTGTCTCTTAATACCTAAGGACTATACACGAATCCTTGAGGGATTCCCAATCTGCACCTATGTACCTGGCTAGTGCCGTTGCCAGACCACCGATGGAGGGTCATGCAACTCTGGCTGCGTTCGTGACGCACGCCCCCGACTACCCCGTTCTAAGAAGACCGGGTTGTGTATCAGATCCCGCCCTACCACAGCAACAGTCTTATAGTCATAATGGTGCGCTTTACCCGGACGTTTTTGCGAGTGCATATTCGTGCCATTTTCGTCCTCAACTTACTACGCCTCCCCCCAAAGTCAAAATGTCAGTGAGGCCGAGCTCATCTAGAGGCCCGGGCTCTCAGAGCTCATCCAGCAACAGCTTTAAGTACGACAAGAGGATCTCCAGAGACGATTCCTTCGTCAACTTCAGGTCAGGGGCCGGAGGTGGAATTAAACCGTATAGTCTAGCACGAGGGCAATTACCCACCCCGGAAGCCAGTCCACGGCCGTCACCTCCACGAAAAGCCTCAATTCCAACCATCAGGATGCCTACCCCCGAGTCTCTTAACGAGAGCCATCCCGCAGAGATCGGCATGGCTCTCGGAAGTCCCACAACTACACCGGTGCATGGCCTGCGAACGCCGCAGAATACTCTTAGGGTCCGAAATGCTTCAAATCCGTCTTTAGTCTCACCTGCATCTGGTTATAGTACTACAGGATCTCTACCTAGAAAACAGTCAGGGAAATGGAAGTTATTTAGTAGGTTCGGGAAGAAGCAATCAGACCATTCACACCCAGGACCGAGCGAACAAAAAGCCACCCACAAACCAGAGCAGCCTCAGGATATGGCATCTCAACATTGGTATGATACGAAAGTGGAGAGAAGTAACACTACTGCTACACGGGGGACACCGAGGCATAAACCGTTGGTAGTAAGGTCTCAAACAATGCCCTACGATACGGAAAATCCAGCACAGAAATCGAAGTCGACTCTAAGTGAAAAGAAGTCTCAAGAGACATTTGGCAGAATACCTATAGCGTTAGACACGCATCAGAATTCGTCTGGTCCTTTATTGGATGTTGAGATACCTAGGATCACCATGGAAAGATACAGCGTAATGTTTGGAAGCGTGTTGCAGTCGCAACCTTCTTTATTAGCCAGACGGCAAGCTACAGTTCAGAAGCTCAAAAGTATTGACGACGCGATAGAGAAAGAAGAGGTAAGAAAACATATCTGCTGATTATTGTTGAAATATTAATTTCTTGAGTAGCAGGAGGGACACCACGATATTCCAAGGAGAGCATCATCACCCCAGCCGACGACGAAGTCACCGCCGCTCGCTTTATTTCCTCCGACTCCCCCACAAAAGCACGGATATCACCCGTCTTCCAATGCATCACCACGCTTAAGATCTAACACTTCTCCGGCACATCTTCCGTCACCATCTCGAGAGACTTTTGACCATTCAAGGTCTAGGCAACAGCCATCCCACGATGTTCAAAAGGCCTATCACCACAAGGGGCATTCTATCCACACTCATCCAAGGGGAAAACTTACTATTGCAACTCTAGCTAGAGCAAGGGAGCAACAGGCTGCCGAAAAGGATGTTCAATTCAGTCCGGACTCATCAAAATTAATATTAGAATCACCATCGGAGATGTCATCCCCCGAATTCGAGGTAGTCAGAACAGAAGGTTTGCGACCAAGGCCTACTTATACACAAGAGCCAAAATGGCAGATGATGACACCGCCTCAACATACACCACCTTCAACTACATCTACATCCGCAACAAGTGATAAGAAGCCTCTGCCTTCATCCCCAGAAACATCTGCGCAGTCAAACCCGAGCCAAGTATCGGACGATGAAGATGATATAGTAGACAGCTCTAAAATGAATCCGGTGGAGTTGTCGATCGCCAGACAAATATCGATATCTAGACAACAGCGGAAAATGCTGAAGCCATTACAAACCGGTTCCGGGTTAGCTCGAACACAAAGAAGCCCCTCAAAGACAAGCCCTGCGCCAAGGATAGCCATGGGCAAGAATGAGAGGCTCGCGGAGACGAAATCCTCAACACCGACGTTGATTACCCCCGAGGAAATAAGCCCTGGGGGTCACTCACCCTTAGCGCGTCATCGAAAGAGCGAGCGCGTTGTTCTAGAGCGAGCGTAATATATCGCTCGAGGCACATTTATTCGCGTATCTATTCTGCCTACATCTTTACAGTACCATTTCATTACATACCCTATCGAGATCGGATTTGGCTTCTACCAGGCGTTATTAATGACGCCTACCATTGGAAATTAGCATGTTATAGACAGGCTTGGAAACATTTTTGGAAGGGGGGAATTTATTTGCTTTTATTTGTTCAGGATATACCCCCGGGAGAAGAAAGAAGAGTCTGCGACTCGCATTGTCATGCAATAATATTTATTTTGTTGAAAGAGAAGAATCAGAAAGGACCAAACGCACAGTATGCCTTGACGGTAGTCGTTTGGGATCTTAATTTGCGGATGTTGAATGCAGATAGAGGAATAATCCAGAAGATAGAATGAAACAGGACCATGGGGAGGATAGGGTCGAGGTATATCCTCTAAATCTAGATACCTAGTCCTCGGTGGTTAAATACAAACCACTTCTACCCCTATAAATATTGAGTGTTTAAATCGACGTGTATGAGTATATATGTGTGATCATTCATATTATTCCAGCCCGTGTATTTCGGGTTCGTCTATGTAGTAGCCGTGTCTGCGTTAAAACTTCCCCTTCCAATTCATCATTTCACTCTCTACGTCGACAGTAATGCATCCTCCGATTTACCAACGAATGACTCGAACCGCTCAGTCTCCCTATGGGTTATTTGGGGCGATCAATGGATGATAATGATACGCCCGTGGATATAGATGGATAAAAACGAAAATAAAATGGCCATTCACATTAGATAGCCTAGCCTCCAACCAGTCCAACTTTGCTGCTGCAAGTTTTCTCACCGCTACGCTGAAACGGGGATTACTTGAAGCTTATCAATCAACCAATTTCTGTTCCTGCTGTCGATGCAATGTAATGATAGGTACGAGTTTACATGAGGATGCAGCATGAGTTCTGCTTTTTCGCTTGTTCTGTAGCACTTATGGTTAGTACCTCTATTTAAAATTCACATTGAAGGGGACGCACGGTAGAACATCTTGCTCTGGTTGGAAAGACCATCACTCTTGGCAACGAGGTCGTCGATCTTCTCACCGCGCTGGAGAACGGACTCGATGGTCTTGTGGAGGGTGATCTTAGTCTCGTCGAGCTCGCGCTGGATCTTGAGGATGCTGTCGGCTTGGTGCGGGTCCTGGTATTTAGCCAAGTAGTCTTTCAACTCCGGCATGGTGACTGTCTGTCCCGACGCCCATGATGAGCGAGGGTGTGCTGCGAGGAATTCATCGACGACTTTGGAGAGGAGCTGGTGCGCTACTAGAGCTGGGTATTGGTGGTCGGAGATGATGATCCCGCAGATGCCTTCTGTGCGTCCGTATGCGTGGAATGTGTAGTCTGGTTTTCGTTAGATTCTTCTTATCCGTGGGTAGCCGGTGGTCGCACCTTGTTCTTCAACATCCTGTCGTTGTCCCGGCCTCGTTCGTTCGGCTACCGTCTTCGCGAACATGGTCATGAATTCGCCATAGCTAGATAGATACAAGTCAGCCCTCTGCTTTTCTCCGTTATATATCACTCGAAAGTAGCGGGTTTGGCTCGTACTTGGCACGTGTGAAGCGCGAGTAGGCGCTTAACTCCTTCTCAGAGCATATCTCGACACCCGGCTTAGCCTCGTTCTGAATGATCTATATTCGTACAAAGAGTATAACGTTAGTCACTTTTCCCATGCCCCATTATGCAGGTGTGTAGAGATTGTTTGTCCGGTATGTCCGTCACCGGGTTTCAATATTGGCGACCGGGATATGTATACATACACCGATGTAATGCAGCTTCATGATGATTACAGATTGATAGGAAACTGCGAGTACGCGGGGTAAATGCGACGAGACGATAGAAGAATTCGGATTGTCGTTTCGGATTATGCTACGATACGCTGGTCGGTATGTATTAAGAAGATGGAGTGTCGGGAGAGAAGCGTGGATTTAGAGGAGCGGTCTCGAAACAATATAAGTTAGGGATCAGTCTCTATAAGCAGATGGATTTGGAGGTGAGGTCAGTCCCTAAAGTCTTTGTCACATGTACCTTTTTAGCTTCTAGGCTGCACCATTTTAGGAGTATTAATAGGTACCTCAATGGCTATAATGTGGGGCACGTAGCACCTACGTAGTGCCCTGTGGCGGGACGTTTTACGCTCTGGGGAATCTGTGCTAAGGCTGCTTATAGTGAATTACTGAATTACTTACGGCAACTACATCTCCTAACGTAAGCTTGCATAGAGCTAATAATCGGCGAAACAGTCATCGCCTACATCATTTTTTTCTTCCTCTCTTAGAGTTTAAAAGGAAGGGACTGTGTTCAGGACTAATCATTTAGATAGATATATTCTATTTTATTACACTTTTCGACAAGCCTTTTAACCGAAAGCTTCAGCCAACTTATTATCTCCTTTACTGAAGTATCTCGCACGAATTGCCATACCGCAAAATGGCGTCTATGAGCGACGCAGAAGCCCAATGGCGTGAACAATTTGCTGCCATGAAAAGTGCACTGGCAGACTTAAAACTACCTGGAAAATACCAAGCCGTTGAGACTGAACTAGATGCCGACTTTGACTTGGGTGACGATGAATTTACCTCCGGCAACAGCGGCGACGATATTTGGGATTTCATAGACGAAAGTGAAGAGGATCTGTACGGTAGCGATTTCACCGAAGAAGTGGGCGACCAGCTTAGCGGGGAAAGCCACGGCACCGCATGGTTTGAAGAACAATGTTCTATCGTCGCTGCTAAGAAGGACGGTCTATCCCCTGAGGCCTTCGAGGCACAAATTCTAGATATACTATATTCCCAACGTTCCGAAGATGAAGTACAATCTCTACTTACGGACCTTATCGGGTTCGACGATCTCGATTTCGTCATTGAAGTGCTGTCGCACAGGCATGAAATTACCTTAAGTTTTGCCACCCAAGAATCAAACACAGCGCCCGGCCGACTTCTGACCAAAGCCGAGAGAGATGAAGCCCTCCGCCGGAAGGACCTAGAGCATAAAAATGCCGCTCTGGCTCCTAGCATGCACAAAGAAGCCCAGTATCCACATATATATAAGGCGTATAATGCTGGCAATACTTTGAGTCACACGGGAAAGTCATATGGTATGCCAGTCGGTACTGAGAGGAAACAACATGAGAAGTACGAAGAATTCATTGTTCCTGCTGGAAAAGCTGGTAAACCTCGTCCCGGTGAAAAGCTCGTTAAAATTTCCGATATGGATGGGCTTTGCCGGAGGACGTTTAAGGGTTATAAGACACTTAACAGAATGCAGAGTCTGGTCTACCCGGTGGCTTACAAGTCTAGCGAAAACATGTTGATCTGCGCCCCTACCGGTGCGGGTAAGACGGACGCAGCTATGTTAACAATACTGCAAACAATCGGTCAATATGTAACGCCGAACCCCATCGAGAATACGGAGGCAACGGATTTCGGTGTCGACACCCAGGACTTCAAAATTGTCTATGTTGCCCCGATGAAAGCACTTGCTGCAGAAATCACCGAAAAACTAGGCATGCGTCTCGCATGGCTTGGTATCCGCTGTCGCGAGTACACTGGAGATATGCACCTCACGAAATCTGAAATTGTGCAAACACAGATTATCGTCACTACGCCCGAGAAGTGGGATGTTGTCACGAGAAAGGGTACCGGTGATACTGAACTAGTGCAAAAGGTGAGACTACTCATTATTGATGAAGTCCATATGCTTCACGATGAACGAGGTGCCGTCTTAGAATCACTAGTGGCGAGAACAGAACGACAAGTGGAGAGCACGCAATCTCTAATCCGAATTGTCGGACTTAGCGCTACCCTTCCAAATTATGTCGATGTCGCCGACTTTCTCAAGGTAAACAGGTATGCTGGGCTTTTCTATTTTGACGGTTCGTTTCGCCCGGTTCCTCTTGAGCAACATTTTATTGGAGTGAAAGGCAAAGCTGGCTCTAAGCTATCTAGGGAAAATCTGGACATAGTAGCTTTCGAAAAAGTCAGGGATATGCTAGAAGAAGGCCATCAAGTTATGGTTTTTGTTCATTCTAGACGAGATACACATCTTACCGCTAAGATGCTTTACCAAAAAGCTATAGACCAAGAAGTTACGGATCTTTTTGACCCTATGGGACATCCGTATTACGAACAAGCAGTTAGGGATATGAAATCCTCAAGAGCGCGTGAGCTTAGGGATCTCCTACCAAAGGGGTTAGGCATACACCACGCCGGCCTTACTCGATCTGATCGAAATCTCATGGAAAAGCTGTTTGGTGAAGGCGTTCTCAAAGTACTCTGCTGTACGGCGACGCTTGCATGGGGTGTAAATTTGCCGGCCGCTGCAGTTGTCATAAAGGGAACTCAAGTTTACAGTGCCCAAGACGGCAAGTTCGTGGACCTAGGTATTCTTGATGTGCTTCAAATTTTCGGTCGCGCTGGAAGACCGCAGTTCGAAGACACGGGTATTGGCATGATCTGCACAACCTACGACAAGCTATCGCATTACTGTATGGCAGTCACTGCGCAACAACCCATCGAGTCTAGGTTCTCATCGAAGCTAGTCGACAATTTGAATGCCGAGGTTGCTTTAGGTACTGTAACTTCCATCCCGGAAGCAGTACAATGGATTGGATATTCGTATCTCTTCGTTCGTATGCAAAGGAGTCCCATGAGTTATGGCATTGAATGGGCCGAGATCAGAGATGACCCAACACTTGTCCAGAGGCGGCGGCAGCTTGCCATCCAAGCGGCCCGGACCTTGCACAAGAGCCAGATGATTATCTTCAACGAGACAACCGAAGTACTCAAAAGTAAAGATATTGGCCGCATTGCCAGTCAATATTACATCCAACAATCGAGCATAGAAATCTTTAACAAACTAATGCAGCCCCAGGCCACCGAAGCAGACATATTGAAAATGATAAGCGAGAGTGGAGAATTTGACAACATTCAGTCTAGAGACACCGAAGCCGATGAACTAACTGAGCTCCGCGAAAAGGCGTGGTGTGACGTCCCTGGCGGGATCGATACACCACAAGCGAAAACTAATATCCTATTACAGTCCTACATCTCCCGGGAGCAACCAAAGGACTTCGCTCTGTCTAACGATCTTAACTATGTAGCCCAGCAGTCTGGACGAATCTGCCGTGCCCTATTTATGCTTGCACTTAACCGACGATGGGGACATCAGTGTTTGGTCTTGCAGACACTCGCAAAATCTATCGAGAAGCGTATTTGGCCCTTTCAGCACCCCTTACATCAATTTGATTTACCCAAATCGGTACTTAATCAGATTGATGCGAAAGAGGCCCTGAGCATGGAGACGTTACGCGAGATGGATGCAGCCGATATTGGTAATGTGGTGCAAAATAACAATGCTGGCAAAAAAATAGCTAGGATCATCGATCATTTTCCGACTGTGTCTGTCGATGCCGAAATCGCACCTTTGAACAGAGACGTGTTGAGAATAAAGCTTTATATTACACCAGACTTCAGGTGGAGTGATCAGATACATGGGACATCTGAATCTTTCTACATCTGGGTTGAAAATTCCGAGACATCTGAGATATATCATCACGAGTTTTTCATTCTGAACAGGAAGAAGCTATATGATGACCACGAGCTGAATTTTACGATCCCTTTATCAGATCCTCTACCCAACCAGATCTACGTTAGGGCTGTGTCGGACAAGTGGCTTGGAGCAGAGACGGTCGAACCGGTCTCCTTCCAACATCTTATTCGCCCGGATACAGAGAGCGTGTATACGGATTTACTGAATTTGCAGCCATTGTCTATTAGAGCCCTCAAGAATCCAGGACTGGAAGAACTCTATGCGAAGAGATTTCAATATTTCAATCCTATGCAGACGCAGATATTCCACACACTCTATTATACGCCAGCCAATGTCCTCTTAGGGTCACCTACCGGTAGTGGTAAAACTGTTGCTGCAGAGCTAGCTATGTGGTGGGCATTTCGAGAGCGCCCGGGCTCTAAGGTGGTTTATATCGCCCCAATGAAAGCCCTGGTTCGTGAGCGAGTAAAGGACTGGGGCTCTCGGCTTGCCGGGCCCTTGGGTCTTAAACTGGTTGAGTTGACCGGTGACAATACACCAGATACGAGGACGATCAAGGACGCTGATGTCATTATTACAACCCCCGAGAAGTGGGATGGTATCTCCCGTAGCTGGCAGACCAGAGGGTACGTTCGTCAAGTATCGCTTGTGATTATTGACGAAATTCACCTGCTTGCTGGAGACCGAGGTCCGATTCTGGAGATTATCGTTTCTCGTATGAACTACATTGCCCAGTCCACAAACAGCGCTGTCAGACTCCTTGGTATGTCTACTGCTTGCGCAAATGCGACTGACCTTGCAAATTGGTTGGGTGTTAAAGAGGGATTGTTCAATTTTCGACACTCTGTTAGACCGGTACCATTAGAGTCGTACATCGAAGGGTTCCCGGAAGTGAGAGGGTTCTGTCCATTGATGCAATCCATGAATCGGCCAACCTTCCTGGCAATTAAGACCCATAGCCCTGACAAACCTGTTATTGTTTTCGTGCCATCTCGACGGCAGACAAGATTAACCGCGAAGGACCTGATCAATTACTGTGGTATGGAGGATAACCCGAGGCGATTTGTGAATATGTCGGAAGAGGATCTTCAGCTTAATCTTTCTAGAGTCAAAGATGATGCCCTTAAAGAGGCGATAAACTTCGGGATTGGGCTCCATCATGCCGGTCTTGTAGAATCGGACCGGCAACTAGCTGAAGAACTTTTCTTAAACAACAAGATCCAAATCTTGGTTGCTACGAGTACATTGGCTTGGGGTGTCAACCTTCCTGCTCACTTGGTCGTCGTTAAGGGAACACAGTATTACGATGCGAAGATAGAAGGCTATAAGGACATGGATCTAACTGACGTTCTACAAATGCTGGGTCGAGCTGGTCGCCCACAATTTGACAATTCGGGTGTTGCGTGCATCTATACTCAGGACTCGAAGAAGGATTTCTATAAACACTTCTTACATACTGGGTTTCCGGTTGAATCATCTTTACATACGGTTCTTGACAACCATTTATGTGCAGAAGTATCGGCTGAAACAATCGCCACCAAACAAGATGCGCTCGACTATTTGACCTGGACTTTCTTCTTCCGCCGATTACATAAGAACCCCTCGTACTACGGACTCGAGATTTCCGCCGAAGAACACAACACTGTCGCTGCTCAGCAACTCGCTAATGACTTCATGATTGACATGGTCAATAAGTCTTTGGAAGAACTTGCCAATTCGAAGTGTGTTGAGATTTACCCTAATGGTGATGTTGACCCGACACCTCTGGGTAAGATCATGAGTTACTACTATCTGTCACACAAGACTATCCGTCATCTTGTCAAACATGCAAAACCAAAAGCAAGCTTCTTAGATGCTTTGAGCTGGATGTCACGTGCGACAGAATATGACGAACTGCCGGTCCGACATAACGAAGATCTAATCAATGCAGAGTTGTCGAATAACCTTCCATTCGAGGGTAGTGCTTTTGGCCTACCTATGTGGGACCCTCACGTCAAGGCATTCCTCCTCCTTCAAGCGCATATGGCTCGCATCGATCTTCCCATCACGGATTATGTTGGTGACCAAACCAGTGTCCTAGACCAAGCAATTCGTATCATTCAGGCATCAATCGACGTTTTAACGGAACTTGGCCATTTATCTAGCTGTCTCGAGATGATTAAGCTGCTCCAATGTGTCAAATCAGCCCGCTGGCCCCAGGACTCTCCTCTATCAATACTCCCAGGGACCTACCCAGATAATTTGGAAGACAATAAGATGGCTCTACAGAAACTTAGCAGTCTGCCTCGCCCACAAGTTGAAGATCTGGCCCGAAAACTCAATATCACTAACACTCAGCAATCTCGTTTCGTACGAGCCGCCTCCACCCTCCCGCATGTTAACATTAGAGTCGAAGATGTAACCGCACAATCCCTAACAGTCTCGCTGAAGCGCCTGAACCCTGTCGTCGAGCGCGATGCTCGCATCTACGCCCCGCGATACCCGAAGCCGCAGACTGAGGGATGGTTTGCGGTAGTGTGCGACGTTGCACGCGATGAGGTGCTCGGTGTGAAACGTGTATCCTGGACGCAGAGTCAAAAACAGAAGCAGAAACAGGGATCCGGTCCAAACAATTCTAATGGTGTCCAAGTTGGTGCTAAACCAACGGCGAAAGCTACGCTCAGGCTGCCCGAGCCAGATAAGGAGGGCAATGCGAGAAAGGTTGATGTTTTGTTGCTAAGTGATGCGTACATAGGTATGGAGTACAAAGTGATGGGTGTTGAGATACCGGCGCTGCCGAAGGTCGATGATGATGTGGATAAGTCGAAGAAAGGAGGAAAGGGACAAGAGAAGGAGAAGGGGGAGACGAGCGCGGCATGATGCGATCTAGTCATGAATACATGAAGCATATACGCATCAAATTAAAAACGATCAAGATTTGCTCTGGGTTAGTAAGCCACTCACATAGATCAATAATACAGAATAAATAAATCACCAATTACCCAACTCGTGAAATGATTGTAGAATCAGGAATGAGAAATAGCAATTGATTCCGTATCATTCATATCTCGTGAGAGAAAAGAACAAAAACCAGGCCGTATACTCGTCTTCATCGTCACCATTGTCACCGCCACCGCTACCGACGCGGTGAGATAATGGGTACATACATATATACAAATAGTACTCCAAGGGCCCTGATAATATCAGAAAAGACAATCCCCAAACCCCATTCTTATGCCGAGATCCGGGATATGCAAGTCCAAAAACGCCCCGTTCCCTTATGACCTTGATGCGTGAACAAGAAATTGTATGCTTCCAGTTATTCCTTTTGAAAATTATTACCATCGTCCTTATGCCTAGTCTTTGCTTCGTTCTTTGCCCTTCGATGCTATGTTTGGTAAACCGAAATTAGAATCCTCGATCTTGCTAGAATTATTCCTTCCCTGGTAACTTGGAGAATGCCATTTTTCAGGACATCTCGTACGCGCAAATCGCTACCCGTGACGTATCACTAGACGCCATAAAATGGAGGTTGACCATGATTAACAACACTTCCGTCCTCTTCTCTCGATATCATCGTCCTGTCGTCCCAGGTGTTCCGCTCCATTCACCGCATTCTCAACGGTAACAGCAGGCGAGAAACCCGGGGACGAGAAAAGCCAACTACGGCGGTCCCTTCCAACTCGGAAACTACCTCCACCGCCTGGTCCACTACCGCCGTAGCCGTAACCACTTCCACGGGGGTTTATGCCGTCAAAGTATCCGCCACCGTCAACTCCACCGCTGCCACTCTCGTAGCCTGGCGTACCGGGTGTAGCGGTAGCGGCCAGGACAGCTTGTTGGATCTTGCGGTTCTGCTCGACGAGTTTACGTGTTACGACCCGGAAGACCTCCTCGACACCCTCTCCGCTCTCCGCACTAATCTCATGACATGCATCCCAGCCCACTTCTTGTCCCCAGAAACCGGAGCTCCGCTTGCTACTAGGGCTCCGCGGCTCCTGGTTGCTCGACGCTGCCGGTGTGCCACCCACACTTGATTGACTCGCTCCCGGCCCTGGCGGCAGTCCCGTAAGGCCACTCGGCGTTGCAGTCGGCGGTGGTGTCGAGCCCAATCCGGGGGCTAGGTTCTCCGCAACGTATGCTATGCAGCGTTCGAAAGGTACTTCACGACGCGTGGGGTCGCGGGCGACGATATCGGCTTTCGTACCGACGACGTGTAAGACAATATCGGGCGGGAGGTTGCGTCGCAGTTCGGTTAGCCACATACCCATCTCGGCAAAGGACTGGGCGTCGGTTATGCTGTAGCAGAGGATGCAGGCATTAGCGCCTCGGTAGTATAACCGCGAGATCGAGCGGAAGCGTTCCTGTCCGGCTTTTTTGCGGGGGTGCGTAGTTAGCTTCCGAAGTGATATTCTGGTAGGTAATACATAATAAACGGATGTGGAGAAAGTAATTACCTGTGTCCCATATCTGGAGACGGACGACTGTATCGGTGTCGCCGTCGACGACTCGCTTCGTCATGAAGCTAGCACCGACGGTGGATGTTGTTTGTGCGGGATTGAAGGCGCCTTTACAGTACCGCGTTACTAGGGACGTCTTGCCGACGCCTTGGGAGCCGAGGACGACGATCTTGGCCTCGAGAGAAGACATATTGGCGGCGGACGAAGTGTGAAAGATTGTAGGTTAGGGTAGTGTTGAATGCCAACCTACAATGGGGCGGAGAATGTTGAAATGCACCACGAGGAAATATTTTGGTGTTTGGGTAGGAATATTATGCAAGTAATTGATTATCTTGGTGCCTTCCGATGGAGGGTACTGGGGTTTACCCCGGAAGGATGCTAGGATGAGAGACTTCGCCGCTCGAGGTTTGGATTGCGGGTCTGGATCGTCATGCTCCTTCTCAAAATTGGTTACGTACGGATGACTATTCCGAAGCAAAGGTCAAGCTTCGGTAGGGATGATATATTGTTGAGACACCTGTGCTGTACTGTGCCGTGTCGTGGCTCGAGTACGTGTATAAACGTCGGAATATCTACTTCTGATCTCGATCGGAAGCAGGAGAAGCTAAGTATGCATACTTAATGTAGGAAGCAAAAAAGGATCTTAATGCAATGTTGAATTATAAAAACTGAATGAAAGACGGAGATGAATGACTGGAAATAGTGATGCGGATTTATTATAATCATGCGGCCAGGGTCCTGAGGCTCCTTCGGGGGGTCCCTTTTTAGGCTCTAGAGCTTCGTTGCTACCCTCTGCCACTGTAAATAGTGCAAGCTGACTCGTCCTTAGACCAGAGTCACACCGCTGTTTAGCGAATGACGAGCAGTTTGGTAACCCAAGAAGTTGGGGTAAACAGCGTGAGCTGGGATTGGGATGTCTTGGGGCTTGTGGATGAATGAGTACTCGTGCAAAAGGATGTAGATCATAAGAAATTTAAAAAGAATGCAACTACTAAAACATGAGATAAGAAATAGATATGATGTGTAAATGAAAGACGACAATTGCCCTTTGATTTTACGTCTTCTGTGACTCCATTCCTAGTCAACGCTGTACACAACTTGGTGAAAGAAAGATAAGTTGACGTAGAAACTTTTGACTCGATGCGGCGGGATAATCATGTCATGGGCACCTGAAAAGCCACGTGATAGATAAGGTAGTACGCTAAAAATCTTAGCTATCCCCTATAATATGCACCTAGATTTAGGTGCATATACCTTATATTTCTAGGTACATATATACAGCCTCCTCTGGTTCACCTAACACACCAACATAACATAGAAGATATATATTATTACTGTTACCATAAACTCTAGTCAGTCTCTGCATACCTTCCTTGGGCTTAGTCGTCTAGTTGTAACGTAGAAGAACAACGATTCATAAAGGGGAAAAAAAGGAAGCCCTGATATCTGCGGCCCATTTATACACCACTTGTCTGACCGGAAGCTTCCCCTTGCTCCTGAAGATGTATAACCTCGTCTGCTTTAGTTGCCGAGTCCCTTTCAAATAAATATCCCTTCAACCCACGTAAGTTGGCAGGCCAGTTTTGCACATTCGTAGATCCTTTTCCAAACGCTCGCGTATCCTCGGATCTCCTACCCACAAGTCCCCCATCACCAACCATCCTAACCCCGAACCTCTCGTTATTAACGCTCTCGTTCCCTGGCCTCCCATTGGCAGATTCATCGCTCTTTGGATCTTTATTTTTTAGTTCCTTGTCCTTAGAATCACTATCGGCACCAGTTTCCGACCCCATTCCAGACCAGCGCCTCCTAAACTCACGTGAGTCGATGCGCCAATGTCTCTTGACCATATGTACAACATCCCTCATTTCTTTGCTTTGAGTGAAGGCAAGCCACAATATAATAATTATCACGGTGGAGGGTGCGGTGAAAGCCCAGTATACCCAAAAGTTTCCCCCTATAACATGATCCGTGTTTCTCCAGTCTAGAGACGGCACCGCGAAAAGCGTCGCGAAAAAAGTTCCCGGTAAGAATACCATCGTAATCACCGTGATGACTTTCATCGAGTTGCTGTCTGCTTTAGCTGCCCTTGCTAGCTCGATGCTGCGCTCCGTCAGCTGTTTGCTTGATTTCGCAAGCTCTATACTAAGCTGCGTGTCCCTACGCATCAAACCTCGCCCAATCTGAAAGAAGAAATTAGCTAGTGATATTATTGACTGGGAAATGTAAGGGGACTAGAGGCATGTGCCTTACCCGAGCCAGTTGGTCGTCGCTTCTTTGCAGCTCCCATTCAATACTTAGCTTCATGGAGCTTATACCTGGCTCGAGCACACCAAACATCTCCATTATGGCCGCATGGTCAACAGTGGCACCCCTGTATACCGTATCGGACTTCACTTGCTCCGCATTCGTGGCAAGGTCCTTCCGTAAGCAATCGGCGATTTCTCCGGCCAGTAGAATCGATCTCTGGGCGACGCGGAGATAACTTCGGGCGTCCTCCCAATTCTTAGCATTGGACTCGTTAACAATGCCAACTTTCCCGCTGAACGCCCCGTCCATTGCAATACTACATTCGTTGATCATAGCTCTTAGAAGTGAGAGTGGCATGAAGCGACAATTCTGGAAAAGTCTCCTGTTTTGCTTCAAGGACTTTATTATGCACGGATATAATTCTTCCAAATCAGCGGGGTCTCTCATAAAACAGAGACACGTCGTACATCTAGTTGCCGGTTTATAAGACACTCCTAGGATTTCAGCCAAATTCTCATAATCGAGTTGCGTCGTTGGGTCTGCCTTACCAAGTATGCCAAGGGTGAAACATTGAATTAAGTATATACTAAGTGCTTCCCTCCCTTTATGACCACAGCTTACCGCCTTAAATTGCGTCGTGAGTTGCGCTATCGACGCAATCAGATATGGCTCGATACCTTGCTCAGCGGCTACATCTACGAGCCAAGTGAATTGCTCAGATCGGACCTTTTGAGGTTTTTTCCAGAACGCAACGTGAACCTGAACGAGTTTTAAGGTCGGTTCACCTGGATCTTTTCGAAGAAAGCTCTCTACTTCACTCAGAAGTATTGTTTTTTCTAAGGGTTCTCCATCGTTATTGGAATCTTGAATCTCGAGTACCTGGCATTTTGAGGATTTGCTAGTAACTTTACGGAGAAAAAAGTCGATGTCTGGGTGGATGTCGTCCATCTCCTCTACTGTCTATGAAATAAAGACGAACGAGTGTACACGCACGACGAGAGGACCAAGGAGAGAAGAACGGGGGAAGAGGATGCGAAACGAGCAAATTCATAATTACAATAAAGCCGACTACTACAATAAAAGATGGCTGTATCAAAAATGGAAAGGGGGGGTTGTGCATATTCTCGGCTGCGACCTCAATCAGACTCGAGTAGCAAATCAACCTACGATAAGACAAGGGCCTGTCTGATGTAAAGACGATCGTGTTTGGGGGCTGATTGAAAATTGTGACGGTAAGGCGCTTAATGTTGACATAATTAGTAGGATTGTTAGTATCCAACATCGAGATGGTATAAATAGGCGTCCTTGATATACATAACAAAATAATTTTCCACTTCAACTTTGTTCGTGCATCTAATTCCTATTATAGCTTCGACGACTTAGGAGGCTTGAAAGCCGGAGTTACTAGGGGGTCGTAGATCTTGCGACCGAGGTAATCTCGGGGTACACCGGTGACGTGGCTGCCCAAGTTCTGTATATCGACAAGCGATGGGTTTAGCTGGTCGATACGCGTACATCCAATCAAACGCATATTCATCTCCATCTCGTCGCGCAGGAGCTGCATGGCACGGTCCACGCCTTCCAATCCATAGGCTGACATCGCATATATGAACGGGCGACCAATTCCGACGCCCGTAGCACCAAGACATAGCGCCTTAATGATGTCGGTGGCGCGCCTCACTCCGCCATCCACGAAAATCTCAATTTTCCCTTCGAGCCCGAGCTCTCGCAGCACTGGCATAGTCTCAGCCAGAACTTCCACACCAGACCGCGCGAAGTCAAGTTGTCGTCCACCATGGTTAGATAATACGACACCCTGAACGCCATATTCGATGGCCTTGACTACATCCTCAACACGCTGAACACCCTTCAGGACGATGGGCATTTTGGTGATAGACTGGAACCACGGGATGTCTTTCCAAGATAACGACGTATCGATAAACGACGAGATGGCCCGCGCCGCGCCTTGTGAATTATCCGTCTGTTGGCCCGATTGGACGTTGGAACCCTTATCCGTAAACTTGGTTCTCATATCTTTTTCTCTTCTGCCTAACTGTGGCGCATCAACTGTAATAAATAATCCTTTACACCCCCGCTTTTCAGCGTGTCTCACAATACGCTCCGTAATGGCCCGGTCTGAGTTAACATATAGCTGCAACCATTGGACCTGATCCCCTTCCGCTGCATCTACAATCTCATCGAATGAACACGATGCTAACGTGGGAATCATTTGTATGACATTGTGCTTCTTAGCAGCCTTTGTTAATACAACCTCACCCTCAGGATGCCCCAACTTCCCTAATGCTGTCGCGGTCACATAAAAAGGCAGATCAACCTTGGTGCCAAGCATAGTGGTGGTGAAATCAACATCCTTAACATCAACCAAAATCCTTGGCCTAAACCATATCCTATGAAAAGCTTCGTGGTTCTCTCGCAATGTCTAATTGACCCAATTAGTTCACAAAATCGCATAAAATCGCAGAAAAAACGTACTATCTCATCATCCGCGGCACTCGAATAATAGGCCCAAGCGCCTCTCTTCATAACACTCTTTGCGACCGACTCAAAATCCATCAAATTATAGCATTGTGACACCAATGGCTTATTTTCAATCCGCTGTTGCCTTCCGGCTTCTTCGGGGTCTTCTTGCTCCTTAATCTTCGCAACAGTTTTCAAATCAACGGGGCCTAGGTGTTTCGATTTGTCTAGGTATTTGTCTAAGGTATCGGGAGGATGTATAGGTTCGAATTCTTCTGTCGCGTCTTTACCCGCATACTTCAAGATAATTCCCATCCCACCAGGATGTTCTACATAGCAATTAGTACACCAGATACATACACACGATCAATTGGAAGCTACTAACCTGGCAGGAATTCCGTCACATCGTAAGCTTTCCCCTTTGAAACACAGTTAGTACAAGCTCAGTCGCTTCGAAACCAAGCGACTTACATGAATGACCACCCAGCAAGACTCCTTGCTGTCGTGCTTAGAAACTTCAACCCCGGAGAGCGGCATCGCGAACACACTCTCTAATGACGTACTACCTAGAACCAAGGAACCAGATCTCGTGACAATGTCGCTCGAGGAAGTGACTACGTATCCAAACGTTAACAAAGATATACAAAACATACAAAGAAACAATTGCAATTCAACAAAAAATGAAGTCTAAAGAGGAATTGGCCACTGAGGCTCTTCCAGGATTAAATAATGCCGACATTGGGTCCCCTAGCGGTATAACGACTTAAGTTTAGCGTCCACGACGCTGCAACGAACGAAACCGAAAGCTGTTGGAGAAAACCTGGAGGCAGTGGAGCCCCTCCCGTGGAGCTGCCTCGGGCGTCGGGAGAAAATCTAGCGGGGTGAGGCTACAGTCGGTAACTTTTTGGAAATCTCTTGACCGTAATTCGTTACTGGTACCACAGCTAGCCGAAACCATAATACCGTGTTAATATATCTCATACGGTACGGTTTCATACCGTACCCTTATAAATCCTTCTATTATAGGTACCATCTAGTATTAGATAATTATGAATTAAAGACAAACAGTCATATACAATTACTAATTCGGAACCTCCTTCTAGAACCCTTCGATGCTAACGACCCCGCAATATGGAACACCTATATTAGATGCTGTACAGCGCCGTTATGGTGTCACCTGTCAGCATACCGTCGTCCAACCTTACATCTATATGTTTGCTTTCAGTCTCAGATCTCTGGTAACAACAAAATGCCATCCGGACATGTCGAAGCAATCATAGACGGCACTGTAGTGGCTGCGTCTGATACCTACGAGTTAGTCGAGGGAAATGTGTATTTCCCGCCGTCATCCGTCAAGTCCGAATTCTTAACTAAGACGGATTTGAGCACTTACTGTGGTTGGAAAGGCGATGCAAGCTACTATACTATCAAAGTCGGAGGTGTGTAATCTCGTATGACATAACAACTAGTTAGCTACTTAGAATCAATGCTCACAGCAATGTTCTTAGACAAGGAATTCGCGAATGCTGCGTGGTACTATCCCGAACCCTTCGAAAAGGCGAAGCACATTAAAGACTATGTCGCTTTCTGTAAGCATATTCCTCAGTCGAGTAATGATATCTATCGTGGGACTAATTCGATTTTAGATAAGACGAAGGTGAACGTGACAGGGGTATGAACCGGGGTGGGGCAGACAAGAGTCGAATCGCGAGTACTTGTATGAAACCGAGAACGAGATGTATTACAATATGGATCTAAGTACAATCTCATGGCTCAGTCGGCTATTAAGCGACTGAGACACGAACGTTAATAGCTTCCTATCACGTAGCATATACACACCAACATATCTCAGGACCCACATCCCTCATCTCGCAGAATCGCCTCAAATTTAGGATGATCCTCAAACTTACAACCAGGAAATACTACCCAAATCAGTATCAAATGTCATTCACCGATAATAATTCAAGTTTATATTTGTACATAAAAAGGCATAAGAGAATGAATCGAATAGAAGGAAAAGTTTCAACGATTGAACCGGGTATATATTATGTGAGTGAGTTTATGTTACAAAGACATAAAGAAACTGGATATTCGTATCAGCAAATGTGGTCGTTCCAGTGAGTTCCGATTAAGGCCTGCGCGGCAAGCTCCCGTTACACCGTACGTACGTATACACATACCATACATACGTAGCTCTAAGACTTAGGTAGGAAATGGTCCCGGACCTAACCGTCAAGTTCCCCGCGACTTTGTCACACGTTCTCCACATACAACAAATTTATGAATTTTCCTTTCGCACCCACGTGAAGTCGGTGATATATTATAGGGAATCGGTAGTCTTGTGGTTGCTGCCTTCGGCAACGGGAGCGGGGGCGGGCTGGTCCTCGCCTGAGAGCTCTTCTAACGTCTTGCGCTTGGTCTCGGGGATGAAGAATGTCGTGACACAACCAAGCAACATGAATAGAGCATAGATCTCGAGGACGTGGTCCATCCAAGGAGCCGCGTTATCCGTAGTGGCGCCGCGTGTTCGCAGGGTAGAGATGGCACCCTGGCCGATGATGGAGCCGATCTTGCCAGAGGCGGCGGAAATACCGTGCGAGGTAGACCTGTATCGGGTCGGGAAGACCTCACCAGGAACAATGAAAGTGGTCATGTTGGGACCAAAGTTGAAGAAGAATTGAGCAAGGACGTAAATAGCTAAAAGAGCGTTGCTGGAAATGTGGAAGTAGGCAAAGCCCATAACAATGAAAAGAATGGTAAGGATGATGAAACCACCCATTTGGATAGTCTTACGACCAAGTGTGTCAAGCGTGGCGACCGATACCCAGTATCCGGGGACGGCACCAGCTAGGACAATGATAAGGTTGCCGATGGCAGTGTTGTACAAGACCTCGTACGTAGAGGCGGCGTTCTTGGTGGAGTAACCAATAACATCGAGGATGATAGCGTTGTTTAGGGATAGACCGTAAACTATTAACCGGTGTCAGTTTTGGTAAGCCACTTAGATTCTGGATTTAACTTACAGGCAACGTCGAGCATAAACCACGAGCCAGCAGTACCAAACAGAAGCAGACCATTCTTGGGGATGGAGTAGTGGCGGATGAAGTCATTCCAGCTGGCCTTGGGGATTTGCATTTGGGTCTGAGCGGCTTCACGGGCTTGGATGCGGGCGACATCATCGGGGTGGCCCTCAGACTTGCCGGAGATGTACGCCTTAACGTCGTCGGCAGCCTTCTCGACATCACGGCCAATATCGAAAGTGTATCGCTACGGTTTCAAATTAGTTTATGCGCCATTCCTTATATTCAGATATTCAACTTACGGGTGTCTCGGGAATGGTCAAACGGTAGTAGAGAGCAATGCAGGCGGGGACAGCACCGAAACCGATCAAAGTCCTCCACATCTTGTCGACCGCAATTGCGCAGTAGCCGTCGCAGTTAGCAGGCTTCGACGAGGCTGAAAGCGCCTCCTTGAAACCGAGGGTAACGAACAACATGACGAAAGCGCAGACAAGCTGACCAATACCTTGCATGGCAAAGACAGCACCCATCATAGCTCCTCTCCATTTGGTAGTAGCGAACTCGGAAGTAATGATACTGGAGAGCGGGTAGTCACCACCAATACCAACTCCGAGGAGTACACGCCAGAAGATGATAAGACCGATGATGTTAACCGAGGGAGAACCGGAGCTGAGAGCCTGACCAAGGGTAGCGAAGATGATGATAATCAACTCTAGACCGTACATGCGCTTTCGACCGACGTGATCCGCGAGATAACCGAAGACCAACTGACCAACGACAGTACCGGCGGAAGTCGACAATTTAATAGCGTTATCCGAAGAGCTAGGTAGCGAGCCCTTGCCGGGGTAGTAGACAATTCCCAACATCGTGTTTAACAAACTGACAGCGAAGATATCGTACGAATCCGTGAAGAAACCAATACCTGCAACAATGCAAGCTCTACATTTTCCAACTCGTTAGTTTCTCGCGACGATATTCGCGATGCGAATTTGTGCTGGGTAAAATTACTTACCTGACATGGTACCATCCGAAGGGAGCCTTGTCAATCTCGGCGAGGGCGAGACGACGGCGCTCGTTAGGGTCCTGAATGTGTAAGAAGTCATTGTGGAAATTGTGGTAGGCATTGTTTCCACCAGAAGTCTTCTGTGTGAACGCCTGAGGAGGCGTGTTTGGCGCGGCGTCGGCCATTGTAATAATAGCAGCAGATGTTGTATTGTGAGATGCGTCGTCTGTGCTCTTTACTTTTGTCCTTGTCTTATGTTAAAAGTAAGAAGAATGGACCCAGGGACGCGGGATCTGCGGTGCGATTAAGTGATCTCGGGAAGGGGGAACGTGCTGGCTGCCAATCCGTTTATCTATGCGCGAGGAGTACGGCAAGCAATAGATAATAAGCAAGGGATGCCTGTCACCCTATAGGGATTTGATGATGACAACAAAAAACCAGAAGAGCTGAATAGGAAGTCGAATGGGACGTGCGATCCCTTTTGTAGGACCTGGTTGCTCGCCTATGGTATTATTTTCTGGGCTGGACCTTGGCCGTGGTACATGTACGTGGAGTGGTACAATGTGCAGAGCACGGAGGAGTACTGTAAGCAGATAGGTCGGGTAGGTCCATAGGCCCATGAATGATTAAGGGAACTCTCTTTTTTTTGTTGCAGGGGTGGTTACACCCCCGAGTGGTCCAACCAACGCCAACAGGCGAGAAGTGTAAACTGTGGGCTGCGACGATTTAGAAAGAGGGACCTAGGGGAACCTAAAGAAACCTAGGCAAGTACAATCCCACCACTGTGGGCGGTCCCTCCGGTCTCACATGCTCATTGGTAGCTTGTTTAACATGAGGTAAACGCTTTCCGCATGGATCAAAGCCTAACATCTCGGCGCGGGAGCATAAACTGGTCAAAACTAATCTATCACGTCGGTGTCCACATGTAGTCCCAGCTACTACGTAACACTTTTTCTTCGCATATACCTATGCCTATGCGAAGAGTATACAAATACGTTCTGGGCGTAACAAAGCCCAGAATAATTAGAGTGTGGTACCCGGTAACTAATCCGTTCTTTGCATCATCTTCTTTTGATGGACAGGCAGACTCGAGATTACCCTTCCTTGATTTCTGCTTGTATCATACATCATTTACTGCGGAGGGAAGACGCAACTAGAGGCGCCGCGGATGTCTATCGTTGGCACGTTTTTTTTTTGCGACTAGGTACGTAACTTCCATGATGTAGTACATAAGGCGATCCGACGCGTGCGTAGGCTTGTCTGAAGATATCGGACGAGTCTGGTAAGATTGGATACTGACTATTGCTCAGCTATGGAGCACCTAATTATGTAGCTCCGGTCAATGGAAAACGTCTGGATCGAGATGGAAGATGATTATGGACCTTCGAGTCCAAGGGAATTCAAGGCATACTCCATTTAGCGTCATCAAAAGGACCGGGCCATAACGGATCAAGCGTTTCTTTGATATCAAGGGACCAAATGCATAGAAGCTAAATCGAAGTGGAACGGAAGCCGATGAATTTCTCGACCCCCCGTTACTCACACAATTAATGGGGGTGGAATGAGGCTAGGCTGATAAAGAGAAATAAGAAAAAAAAAAAGCTTTCAGAATGTACTCAGCATAGGGAGCCAAGGAGGCGTAGCTGGCATAGCTGGCAGGTTGGTGCTAGCATTACTTGGGCTAATTAGGGACCTCACGGCTGTCACGGTCCTTTACGAGAAAGAGCTTTTGACGGTCGTTGAAGACGAATTAGAGTTGTAGCTTAGAGCACATGTTGCGGCTCCAAGCATATGATTGGTCAAATAGCTTTAGTGTCTCGATTCGTAAATCAATAGGAAATCAGTGGAGAGCGGCAAGGGGAATAGGCTAGGACCCCCGACGAGGCCCCAGTAATATCCTTGTAATGTGGGGTCCCATCGCATGCACGTCGTCCTTACAGGGATCCTCGAGGAATCTGCGATTGAAGATTCGCATTCCACCCACTCATCTAAAATATCTAGGTAGGTACCCTCCACTATGGATCTCTTTAGCACGTTTTTGTACCTATGTAGACGACCCTGGATGACTCTTCTTGGTACGAACGAATCTGAACGTCGCCAAGGTATCTAGAAGTCCAAATAAGACTTCACAAGATTTCACTAAGATTCCAAGACTCGATTATGGCACGATATCTACCGTCTTCGAAGCTTATTTGAATGCGTTCGCGTCTTGGTACGGGTAATGAGTGTGGTTCGGACTTGGCCCCTATTTGAAATAATATATATCAGGACCCTTTCCCATCGTTTCAATTCGCATCGGCTCAGCGTTCACGAATTTGGCAGACACCGGGGTGTCACCGAACTTGCCCCAAATCGCAGGTGGATCGCATAGCCGTTAGTTAAAATAGTATCGCCCTTTAGCAACATCTAACGAGTAAGAAGCTATCCCTCACGTTTAGTGGCCAGCTAGAAATTGACCAATCACGCGTCAGTATTCGTCCACGCTCTCATATTCTGAACGTTCCGTTCTTCAGGTACGCTTATACGTACGACAATAACTTGATCGAGCTGGATCCTTCTTTGGCAGGTAATGGGGCCAGTTCTGGGCCTTTCATTAAGGCCTGCTCCCAGCTGAGACCGATCCTATTGACCAATCACGAACACTAGTTTTACAGACGTACGATAACTTCCCTCGGCTTGACGACAATCTAATAGTCATATTCTTCGTAAATTCTCGAACACGGGTTTCTATTTCGCTCAAACTTCGAGATTATAAAAAATCCTTGTGTCTAAATGTGCCAGTCTCCGGCCTAGACGCGTTCTCCTGAACCACCGTTCTTACGCCAAGCCGGTGGCTAGATCCCCTGACTACTTTTCACGTGGTGTAGGTCGCTTTGATTTAAGAAAAAAAAATTTCGGTATCGAGTCTGGTATTATGATCGTGGCAAAGACCCGACGCTAGCTTCCGCATCCACTCGGGCTGGCCATCTGCAAGAGAAGATTGGCAGCTATCAAGAAATCGGGAACAGCGACTAGGACTGTGTGATTCGCCTTGGCTGATGCAACAGAGTCTTCCATTTCTGTATGGTCGATGGTGCCATCCCTTCCTTCAGCCACACTTCCCGGTTTTAAAATAATCATATCAGGCAAATTGTCTCGAGGCTATGAATATTAAAATCCCAACGTAACATGGTAGTTTGGAAGGGAGGAAATATCTAACTCGGCGGCTAACTCCCAAGGGATCTGCGGTGTTCATATCTGCATCGCCGAAGCGGCTGAAGCGATTCTTTAGGTTCTATCGATTTCAAGCAGGAATGGGATGGTAGTTTGACCAATAGCATGCGTGCGAATACACACAGGTTATGTTCCATTACACTTCGACAATTTGATCATCATCATCTTCTTCGTTGTTGTCCTGACTGTCGCCCTGCTCGATTGCTTTGATCTGATCTACCTTGTCCGGCTCTGCCTCGTCTCGCATTAGGACTTGGACTAACCGCTCGCAAGCGTCTTGGACGCCTTCGTTATTAACACGCAAGTGGGTTTCCCGGATGATTGGATACACCTTCACACTACGCATCTGATCTCTACCTTCTCTAGTACTCGATAAAAGTAATAGTGTTTCCACGTGCGTCTGGATGATGTTCGGATCGGCATCGCGCTCTTTGTCGGGCGGTAGAAGTTGGAGATCCGGAAGCATTGACATCATCTCGTCCTCGTCGTACTCCTCGTTCCCCATGATTGGTAATAGGACGTAGGGCAAGATGTTGATGTCATCCTCTGATAGGAACAGGGGATGTGAAGGTACATCAAAGGCGACGTTCTTGATAGTAGAAGCGACTCCCTTTCGTCTGACATCTGATTTATACTCGGTAAAGACCTTTAGTTTCGTGATGGGTATTATCCCGTCATATTCTTGCTTCCGCACAAAATAATGACGGATTTCGGCATGTTTTGTTAGATCGGCGAATAGGTACGCTAAATGATCGAAGTCGGCGTTTCTATTGTAAGTCCCGTCAGCCCCCTTGACGAATAGGTCAACCAGTTGGTTTATGACCAAATCGCTTGATCCAAGTTCATTTGATGATGGTTGCTTCTTGTCTAGTATTCTCTTTATAGAGTCCCACTTCGCAAGGTTTGCCAGAAGCATGGACAAGAGATTCGCATTAGGCTCGGTTGCGATCTAACGCATGCATTAGTTGGATGTCACCTTATTAACCAGGATCTGAGTTGAGATACTAGTCACGAGTCTCTACTAACAATTATTTGCCTTAAAATCTCATCTAGAAATCTCTCATCTGTTGCGAGGTTTTCTAAGATTTCTTTATCAGCCGCAAGATTGATGAGTATGGTTATAACGTGCTCAGCGATTTTCTGTAATCGCATTAGTTTTGACAACGATAACCCAATACTAAGTGAATAGTGATATACCGGGTGATCTTTCACTAAAAGTTTCAAATTTTTGACAGGCGTTAGATTATCCGATTTGAAAAGGCTGGGTTGAGAAGTCGAATAGGGGACGAGATGTTCTGTTGCAAGAGCACGGATTTCCGGCTTGGGGTCGACGATGAAGCCAACCAACTAAAGCGCTATTAGCAAGGGGGGTTTAAAAATATAGTATTGGGTTTATCTTACTTCCTCTAATTCTGTAGGCATATTGAATTGTGTGTATATGTAAACCTCGTCCGTTTATAAGTTGGAAGTTCGGGTAGATTGCTGTTCACTAAGAATTTTGCGATGGGCCAGTTTGGAGGGGTGGAAGGGTTGTGAAAAATGACGTTGCTCCTAGTAAATTTGTGTAAATTTGTGCAGTGAGATGCCACAAATGAGGCTTATGCAGATATGAAGTGCATAATTAAGGTTGCTTGGTTCTTAGCGTGGGGGTGCCATAAAATAGCCTCAGAGATTTTGATTATCGATTAGATCGTGTCTAATACATTCAATGTTGTGAACAGCTCCCCTGTTTTGAAGCTTCTATTCAAAATTTTCATGGTGTTGATACCGGTGTAATTGGGGTAGGTAATGGAAGATCTTAAAGATACATCAGTTATGTGACACAATACTTGCAGATGGGTGTCATTCGTTCTCTGAACTATTCAAGTCGGGAACTAACCATGCAAACTGCATTCTAAGAGAAATTAATGTTCTGACGGCATCTGTGGATATTCATATCCGTCCAGCTTTTAAGTGTACCTACATAATCTATGTAGATTTCATAATCTGCTTACACTGTCCTTCAACCGTAAATTCGAGAAGGTACGTACCCTATATGCGCGAATCTGCACTCAGCTCAAGCCTCGCGGAACTAATTCGCTTAGCGGAACAGTTCCGCCCCACCCCTCAAAATTTTTGATTTTCTAAGAAAATCATTCAAACATTCATGTGCGCCCCACGTTGAGAGGTCGATATTTTGAATTGTGCATCGCCAAACCTCAATCCCTAGACATCATGCCGAAAGCGACTACCCCGACCGCTGTTCGCCAGACGCGGCGACATAACCCTCTAGAAGATGACCTTGTAGCGACAGGTCCCCTGCGCACAAAAGCGCCCAAGAGAAAGTCGAAAGGAGGTGATGAGGAGGATGAGCAAGAGAATTACATAGACTCGAAGGCTTCTAAGAAGATTTTGAGAATTGGTCGAGAATTAGCTGAGGAAGTCGATGTTGCACCCCCGCGACCGCCGACCGAGTCCAATGCATTTGGTTTCGAATCTAGATTTGGCGACGATGGAGAGGATAACGATGCTTTTGACGAGGAAGATGTATGGGGCGACGAGGACGAGATCGTGGAGGAGATTGAGATCGAACCCGAGGACTTAGACACTTTCAACAAATTCCTACCTACCGATGACGACCCGTTATTGACGCACGGCTGGGGAGGACAAGCATCCGGCGAGGAACAAGGTCAAGGGCAAGGCACCAATCTCGCCGACTTGATTCTGGCGAGGATTGCGGAACACGAAGCTGAGCAGAGCAGAGGACAGGAGGTCGGCCCTGTAGATGACGATTACGAATTATCGCCGAAGATCGTGGAGGTGTACACAAAGTATGTTTTTCCATTTATGCGAAACACTATTCAGCCCATATTAACATTATATAGGATTGGCTTAATACTCTCGAGATACAAGTCAGGCAAACTGCCAAAACCCTTCAAGATTCTACCCACGGTTCCCCATTGGGAGGACATCATCGAACTCACAAAACCCGACCAATGGACCCCAAACGCATGTTACGAGGCGACAAGGATATTTGTATCAAGTAAACCAATCGTTGTCCGAAGGTTCATGGAAATGATCCTACTCGATCGCGTGCGAGAAGATATTCACGAGACGAAGAAGTTGAACGTACATCTGTTCAACGCACTGAAGAAGGCGCTATACAAGCCCGCATCATGGTTCAAGGGATTCCTCTTCCCGCTTGTCGAAAGTGGTACTTGCACGTTACGGGAAGCCACCATCATTTCCGCTGTCCTAGCTAGGGTATCCGTACCGGTCCTCCACTCCGGCGCGGCTATCAAAGGATTATGCGAAATTGCAGCACGAGAAGCTTCCGCAGGTACCGAGGGTGGAGGTGCCACGAACGTGTTCATCAAGACCCTTCTTGAGAAGAAATATGCGCTCCCGTACCAAGTTATCGATTCCCTCGTATTCCACTTCCTACGCTTCCGAAGTGTAGACCCCGCGTCTATTAGGGAGGGTGATACTATGGATATTGGTGGGGAGCACGCGGCTACCCGAGCTAAGCTCCCGGTTATTTGGCATCAATGCCTATTAGCCTTTGCGCAGAGATACCGCAATGAGATTACCGAGGACCAGAGAGAAGCTTTACTGGACTTACTTCTAACACATGGTCACCACAAAATCGGACCGGAGATCCGAAGAGAATTGCTAGCCGGACGTGGGCGCGGAGTCCCGGTTGAGCAACCGGGCCCGGCATTTGATGGCGATGATACTATGGTGGTAGACGGTTGAGGAAGTACCTCGGAGGGTCGATAATTATGCTAGACGTGATACCAATGATGATATGACCGAGCATATTGGTGTTTGAGGCGTTCTTCCGGGTTCATATCTAGGTACATCAGGTCCAGAATACATTGCAGCTTTTATACTTCTATATATAACAATTGCGCCCACGTGTTGCCTTAAAGAACGTAGCTAAAATTATTGCTCGTCAATATGATTCTTCTCACTGGTGTTACAAGGGGATGTTAGGTAAAATATGTGACGTAATGACGCAGAATTGTAGGCTCGTGTCATGCTCTGATGATTTCGTGGGTATCGTTATTTTTTTCTGGTCGAAGAAGACGATAGTTATATGTAGTACAAGATTTCCCTTTCTGGAATTAATTACTCGCCACCCTTGCTCTTCCGCTTTCTTTTCTTCCCCTCGGCGCCATTTTCTTCGGGTGCTACGAAGTCTTGTTCTCGTTGTCGCTTCTTCTCCTCTTGCTTGACCTTCTGCTTCTCCATCCTTTCCTCTTGCGCGATTCGCTTTTTTGCTTCCTTGCCGATATGGTACTCGCCAGCCTCGATCTGCAGATCCACCTTGCTCTTCTCCTGCGGCGGTGGGAATGGTGTGTAGACCTTCTTGCTCTTGTCGGTAACCTTGTGAGGCACCATTCTCTTGCTGAGACTCCTCTTCTTGTAGTTCGGTAAGAATCTTTCCCAGTTTTCGTTTGCAAGGTTCGGGTCTTGCGCTAGCTCGCGCTTAATCATGAGTTCCTTGATTTGATATATTGGATGTACGTTGGCCATGCAGTCTGTGACCACTCTACGGACTTCCTTGAGGCCTTTGTATGGACCGAGTGCGCTGACGGTATTTCCTTGGACGAGGATGTATGTCTGTGTAAGTAGCTCTAGAGCCTTTAGAGTCTGACCTCCTGGACCAAGTATTCTTTGCCGTCGCTTCACGAACTTCTCCTTATTTCGTACTAAGTTTCTTATCTTGATGATATCGCATGCCATATCGTCTTGGAGGATTCGTAAGGCTTGCGGCGCAGGGACGCTACGCGCTAGCAACTTGATAAGGTCGCGGGCTTTAAGAATCGCGGCGGGGTCAAATGTTTTTCTCGTCGTTTTGACAGTCATACATCCTGTAATCAATTAGTGACGTAGCGAAGCGATAATGATAGTAGTTTCATACCTTCGACAAGATCTAGAGTGCATGCGATGCCATGTTGTTGTAGCGCCTTGGTGACACCAGGCCAGGCTTCCTTCAAGTAAAGTTCTCGGTATTTAGGGAAAAGACTAGATGTTATATTGCGATTAGCTATTACGCATCTTTACTCCTCAGCCGCACAGGGACTCACACTGCGAATGAAGACTCTTCTGCGAATGTACCACCAGCATTATCTGAGGGCTTGAATGGTTCTACCTTCCATTTATCTAGATCATAAATTTCGTTAGATTGATTCAAAACCATTGGCATATGAGTACGAACCTATATCGTCGGTATCCCACGGCTTGTCTTTCTTGTGTGTAGACGGCATACTGGCGATTCGTAGCGGTATGGTATTTTGTGAATTGAATTTGTAGGAGTTGAAGGTTGATTCAATCCGTTAACATGAGCGTCTGGAACTTTTTTTTCTTTGGCCATCGGTAGTCGGAACTTCGCATGTGGGTCTTTTACGATACGCCCCTCCACCAGTCAAAGGGCTAGGAGCTTTGATTATGTAATTATCTAGATGGGTCCAGGGTCACCACCAATGAGAAGCTACGCAGCTTTCTGAGTATGTTAGAGCTCCTTCCATGGGAACGTAGAGTAATGATTTGCATATTTGCATCATAAGCCTCAATTTTGAGGGGCCTAGTTATGTAATCTAATCTCGCTGAATATGTTTGGAAATGGCTGAGATTTGGGGTTTCATTGCTATCACTTATTTTTTTATTTTTTTCGCAGGTGTCTTTTTATGATATCTCCAGCCCCTTATGACTTGTGCATAACAAGCCAATATATGAGGCACGTCAATGGACACTTGGACAAAATGGGATATGAATAAGCATTTGAAGGTGAAGATACCTCCTCATGCTATCAGCTCAATTCAGCTTGCCTCACTCTAATATTAATCTAACTTATCAATTCGTCACTATGCCTATCCCGGTTAAACCTCAAGGTCCTTGTACATATTCGTAAATTATCTGCCGTTCCATCTTATCATAGCCGTACTGCCGGAGGTGTGCGTGAGATCTGCTACGTAAAGATTACTAGAACACATCCTGTTGAGGTTCTATATTTAATCATGATGTCTATCAATTATTCACACAATTACTTACATATCTAATGACGAACTAACCTAATGAGTTCCAACTGAGCAGAGCTGACCAACATGAACGACCAACGGAACCTACCCGTTCTGCCCGTTCTAGCGTAGGGCTGTGCCAAAACCCCTATCCCTACTACAGTGATAAAAAGTGATAGGTGCTTTTAATCTCGTTCTCCGTGGACAGGGGGAGATCAACCAATTGCAACCCGGATGATCTTAAAAATTCTAGGTATCCAGATTAGGTACATACCTAGGTACGGTATTGCCGTCGCCAAGAAAATAGGATCGAATATATGAATGTTAAGGAAGAAAAAAAAAAAAGCATAGGAAGGAAATAGGTACATCTATGTACTTATTTCATATAATTTCTATGATAATGGTACTTCGTACTTCTAAGATAACAATAATAATAATTTTTTTTCCTGCAATTTCTACGTGTCTGTCCTACATCTGACGGCTCTCAGGGGATTTTCTAATTTTTTCCGATTCTGCATTTTACATGCCGTGCCTATGCCATTGATCCATCTTTACTTATCTTAGTTTCTCTATCGTTTGATTTTCTTTTTCTACGTGATTTCTTCTGACGTTACCTACCTGCGTAGAGGACGAATTTCACGAGTGGTAGCAATCTATCTTCAAGCCCTCCCTTCTAATACTCCACTCTCTAATTGCCAATCGGCTTATTTTGATTTACGATTTCATGGTCTTTACCTATACATACAGTACATACAGCGGGTTTTAAGGAGGTACACGCATATAATACCTATACACTGTATCATAATTTTTTTTCTCGCCATACATCGACGGACCTACTATCGAATTATTGGTTCTCTACGTGTGACGTTCTCGTTACCCGCACCGTCCTAACACAATACCCACCCGCTGCCTTTCGAGTCCTCCCCACCACGATCTTTAGTTCCGAGTTCTCTCTCGGGACCTTAAAATTATTCATCACGGCGTCCTCCACAGTGGCATCGTTACAAGCAGATGGTAATCTGCCACCAATCAACACCTCTCCGATCCCGACACGTACAGCTTCACCCGCATTACCGCCCATTCGATCAGTCATGGAGGAGGGCGCGGTGCCGTTACCGGCCACCCTCGAGCCAATATCACGTCCGAGTTCGACTTCTTCGACGACAGCCTCGGCAGCACAGCTCCCTGGAGTTTCTGCGTTGGCGGCTGCAGGTTCAGCAACCAGTTCACCACAACTAAGGTGGGTTTACCTGAATAAAAATATAGCCGAATACATTACACCGCATATCATTTTTCGATGGTCGCAATAATTTTCATCGGTGATGGAATTTTCATACGTTGGGGACAGCTTGCGATTTCTTAGCGCGTCGTGTCGGAAGAAAAGAACGAATGTTAGGCCTCGACCTTTGGAAATTGTTCTTCGATGTGGCGTTTTGAGAAAAGCCATCTCCGAACGAAGGCGTTCTTGCCAACATTGAACGATGCAGACCCGGATACCTGGTTTAAGTACCTAGGTATTCTACATGCTTCTTGCCTACTATGATGGTTCTTTTTGGAAAAAGCCACAAGTGCGGAATATTCGACGGTTTCTTCATCTGCGACTCCCCCAACCATTGACAAAAAGAAAACCTTACACCTTACCAACAATAAACAACACCGAACTTCTATACGGTCGAGTACATGATGCACATGTACCCTATCTGCTACACAACATACATCCATATATACTAAAGGAAAATCGGGCTGATTCGTAAAAATATGAGATTTAGGGCAACAAACATACCAGTAAACCCAATGAATACGGGTTCCTCTCCTGCAGCGCATGCTCCGACACCGTCGGGCAATTTGGTAAGTCATCAGGAAATTTTCTTTCTATTCTGCCTATCTCGCGCCCGTCTTTCTTTTTTTCTCTAGCAGGTCTAGCAGCGATAGCGCATCATTTGAATGCTCTAAAAATTTCCACTACGTCAAACGAAAGAGGGGCTAGCACTACAGTACAAGCGCTACAAGTGGTATCTGTGGTATCTGGTATCTATGGTATCTCCTACTTGGTTGAAATTTTAGGTTCGATGGGGGGCACCAAAGTAGCTGCTGCACCGAAAGCTTGCGATTGACATGGGAAGGTGGAAATTTTTCTCCCCATTCCAATTCGTTGCATGGGCCTTGATAAATGGTTTGCACTGTGGTAGTACCTTGTACCCTGATACATACAAGGTCTGTGGTGAAACTTGATTGGCTAGGTTCTTATCAGCACCCACTTTCTGGAAATTCTTCAATCTTCCCGTTTATCAATTCTATCGATCCCCATATCAATACACCTATCCTTCCCTATCGATATCTCCCCCAGTCTCTCATCGCCGACACGCCATTCCACCGCCGACACAACCCATTTTCTATTTGAGAATCCTTCTTTTACCTTAAATTCAAGATGATGGCCTCACACCCGACCGTGGCCTCGGCAGCTAACAATGAGAACCCATCTACCCAGCCAACCTGTCAGAATTGCGGCACTTCAACCACGCCGTTATGGCGTCGCGACGAGTCAGGATCCGTCCTATGCAATGCCTGCGGCCTATTCTTGAAGCTGCATGGCCGCCCGCGCCCGATATCATTGAAGACCGACGTCATCAAAAGCCGAAATCGTGTCAAGACAATGCGACCGGATATGCAAGTTAAGAAAAAGGTAAGAACCATCCCCCTTTCAACCCCCGCTTGTCCTATCGCGCGTTATAATTCTCACATTTTTCGTACAGCAGAGCCTTCCTGCCAGCACCAACGGAAATAATTTCCAGAATCATGACAGCGCGACCGCTGCTGCGCTTGCCGCCGTTCGCGCGACTCAACAAAAGGCAACCAACGGACACGGTACAGATTCGCCCGTGTCGCGCACTGCGACCCCGTCTCTTTATGATCCCCATCTGACTGCCTTCCAAGCAATGGATCATTTCCAATCGGAATCTCTACAACAGTATCCCATCCCCGGCGGTTCCCCTGGACATCCTCAATCGCCTATGAACGGCGACCAACAGGGCCTAGAAGTCCCCCAGACCCACGAGCAGCTGATTGCTGCTAACTCGAGCCTTAAGACGCGCGTCAGCGAGTTGGAGCTTGTCAACGAGCTATACAGGGGCCGACTACAGCAATTGGAGCAGGACATGCAGACTGCGGATAACTACCGCCATTCTGCCGAGAGCGCTGCGAAGGACGCCGCCACGGAACGTCTTCAACGCGAAGAAATCCAGCGACAATTGGAGGACAGCCACAGACGAGAGAATATCCTAAAGAGAAGACTGGACGAGATGGAACAGGAGAACCAGGATCTTAAGAGCAAAGCTGAGGAGTCCGAGTCAGAACGTGCAGCAAAGAGGCCAAAGCTTGATGAAGAGGCGAAAGCCGAAGAAACAGAGGTGCCTACACCGCAATCCGCTTCTTAGGAGGAGGGGCCATACGACATCACTTACTTTCTGCCACAAGCATAATTACTTCTAGCTGCGATCCGTCCCTCCTTTCTTATCTGTAACATTATCTACTCACGACTTTCCTTGCGTCTATTTTGCCTTTTTTCTCTAATCTCGGAAGCCTGGCGATAGGAGGCTGTGGAGGCCTTCGGACTCGGATAGGTCTATTACGGCTTCTCTAATCAATAGTTGGTGTGGTATGGTGAGTTGGCCGAGATGGCTCCATCGGATTGGCGCGGTCAAAATCTTGAGCAGTACGGCGAGGTGGATAACTCATCATTGACGACGGTACGGCTTGGTCTTTGCGGCTACTGAATTCCCCCCCGCGGTAGCCTGCTGGAAGGGAACGGGGACAACGAAAGGAGTTTTACGGAGTCACCAAACTTGCTGGGCGTTGCCGCCTCTAGCTAATGGTCAATAAAAGTTTGATTTGCATTTCTTATAATGAATGATATCAGAGACCTTCCGTAGTACATAATTATAAAAGGCTCTTGCAACCAGACCGCTTGACTATTTAAATGTGATTAAAAAGGACAACATGTATTGAAGGAGACAGTTAAATCTCATAGAGTCGCAGCGGTTTTACAAGACCAACGTTGCACTCCACTTATGGGCCTAAATCACGAAAGGAGTTGGCTTCATGGGGTATATTACTTGACCGACTTCCTTTTCTTCTTTTGAAATGATATGCAGTGTAGAGTGATAAGGTCTATATGCATCCCTCGTACAAAAGGTAATGTATACTCTAAGCCCGAAGTTTTCAAGGGCTTCCAATCGCTTCTCATCCCTTATAATGCTGCATTTTATGTTATGTATCGTCATCCGGCCCCCTCTTTTGTTTGACTTCTTCTGTCTTGGATTTGCTATTGAAACCCATCAATTCACCAATAACTCCACCGGGTTTCGGCACAGGGCATTCCCGCTCCCGCTCCCTCCTCGCTCTCGTAGCGGCTAAAGCACTGACTTTCTCTAGATCTTCGCTCGGGCTTTCGAATTGTGCTACGCCGTCCTTCACTTCGGTGGGTTCGGGTCGCCTTCTCCGTCGCCGCTGCCCTGTGCCGTCTGCTGTGAGCTCCGAGTCGGCGTATGCTACGCGCGGCGCGGGGCACGGGAGTATGTGAGGAAGGGCTACGACGAAGAAACTGGCGGCTACGGTTGTGGCGAAGAGCGAGGATGTCATGCGCGACCGCGGGTGTAGGTGCGGCGGCATGGTGGGTGGGAGAGCGGTTTTTTAGTTGAGGAGGGGAGGGGATTCGTTCGTTGGAAAATGCTGCGATTGAATTGTTGGTTAATTGTATCAATTGAAGTAATTGTAATTGGACGCAATACATACCTATGATATTCCTTTATCTTCTCGCGGCATGACGATAGGAGGTTGGAAGGAGGAGGGGAGATGCGGGAGTGTATGTTTATCGTATTGTTGCCGGCCAAGTCCGCGATGACGGAAATTCGAGAGCTTTGCCGCAGCCAAAAATCACAAATTCAATTGACATGATTCGATTGAATATCCGAAGATCTCCCATATATAGGAATTATAGGGCGATGGGGAATTCGTTAGGCTAGAGAAAGCTCGAACCAGGAGTTTAGGTGATACAAGGATAATAATGCAACTGCAAGCCACCGATAGACCCACTGAAATGACTTCAAAAGTTTAGTCTCCAATTCGCGTCAAGTCTAATTTTGGCAAGGGGTCTCTGGTTGTAGTATCCCGCACACGACGAACCCCGATCCCGACTTTGTTGCGAAAGACTAAAGACTATCTTATCCATTAATTATTTTATTCTATCATATTCAAATACCTACATACAAACGGATAGGTAGACATTCAATCCACCAACCCAACGTTAAATCATCTTGATTAGTTTACCAATCAAAACAGATAATATGTTATGATCGATAACGAAGTAGCTCCAACACAACGACTCCTGTCTATAACTTAGCCTACCTCGACAGTATCTAGGCTTCACCTCCGTCGACATGAGCGACCTCGATAAGTATGTCTACTATAAACATTTCCACAACGCGATGTGTTTGCTAACACCTTGATCAGGGCGATCGCTCAACTCCGAGCATGTCGTCCGATACCCGAGGCGCAAGTAAGAGAGCTTTGTCACAAGGCTCGAGAGCTCTTAATCGAAGAGGGTAATGTTGTAACAGTCACTGCGCCAGTAACAGTACGTCTCGATCGCATTATGCGAAAATCGATAAACGCGAGTAACCTCTAATTGATCGATGTAGATATGTGGCGATATTCATGGACAGTTTCACGACTTAATGGAGCTCTTCCGAGTTGGTGGCGATCCGCCTGACACCAACTACCTTTTCATGGGTACCTATTCCGAGCGCATCGCCTATCTGCAAGAGAATATTACTGACCAAACCTATCTATGTAGGCGACTTCGTTGATCGCGGCTTTTACTCGCTAGAATCCTTTCTCCTTCTCCTATGCCTTAAAGTCCGCTATCCCGATCGTATGACCCTTATTAGAGGTAACCACGAATCTCGACAAATAACGACAGTTTACGGCTTCTACGACGAATGCCTTCGAAAGTATGGCAGCGCTAATGTGTGGAGATATTGCTGCGACGTTTTCGATTACCTCGCTCTCGGAGCTATTGTTCTTAACGCCTCGAATACTTTGTCACCACCTAACGATATGACACCGAGCGAGGAGTATACAGAGCAAGATATTGAGATCGAAGTTTGTAATGCGGACGGAGATATCATGAGTCGCTTTATGAGACGAAACAGTGATCAGTCAACGGACCGCGAACGAAAGAGCCCCAACGGGACACAGAGCAAGACCGGTCCTCCCGGGTCGGGCGCATCGGGTAGTAGTGGAGGTACCATCGGCAATCCGACAGGCGCTGTATTATGTGTGCATGGCGGTCTATCACCACTTATTGATACGGTAGATAAGATTCGACTATTGGATCGAAAGCAAGAAGTCCCCCACGAAGGCGCCATGTGTGACCTCCTATGGTCCGACCCAGATGAGATTGATGGCTGGGGTTTATCACCACGAGGTGCCGGGTTCCTCTTCGGCGCGGACATCGTCAAGGTCTTCAACCATAAGAACGACCTTTCCCTCATTGCACGTGCACACCAACTTGTGATGGAAGGCTTCAAGGAAATGTTTGATGCGAGTATTGTTACCGTCTGGTCCGCTCCTAACTACTGTTATCGATGCGGCAACGTCGCAGCCGTCTTGGAGTTGTCCGAGGACCCTACCGGCGAGAGCTTCTTTGCGCGCAGTAACGGCGATGTAGGTCGGAGCGACGGCGGCGTTGGTGGAATGGAAGGCGTCATGATGGAGAGTGACAAGAGACTTAAGAACGGCCCTGCCAGGAGATATCGTGTCTTCCAGGCAGCGCCGCAAGACTCAAGGGGAATGCCAGCCAAAAAGCCAGTGGCAGATTATTTCCTATAGGAGTCTAGGAGAGAAGTTTTACTAGCATTGTATAAACAAAAGTGAGTAAAAGGTGGTGCATTGTTTTTTATTTTCTCCCTTGGTATGATACCTTTGACGGAGTTCCGGGGAATAAGAGGATAGGAAGGGTTTATTGAGAAATGAATGGAAATTATTCAGCTTCGGCTTTGGAAATGCATGACTAGGTGCGTCCATTCTTATACAAATCTTTAAGACAGAATACTGCATGCGATGCTTTACAGGGAGATGTCAAAATGTCTAATCTAGGGTATATGCATCTTTATGTCATGCTTGTATTCCATCATAGATACTCTTCACAGCGGGGATAGGAGGATAAAAGTTACATGAACGGAGGAATGCTAAACACTTTATTCATTACCTAGGCACATAAGGTACAAAAGAAACAGCCAAACAGTCTACTCTGTAAGTCGTGTGTCCGTTTTCTTCCCTATTTCAGACCTAAAACAGATATGCTAAAACAAAAAAACATTTACAGCATCCACCCATCCCTCTTCTCTGTTTTCCAAATGAGCACTCCCTACTTATATCATATAAGCGGGTGAGCCACATAATCCCCTAACCCCTATTCTCTACCTAAGCAGATAGTTCTCCCCGTCTCCACAACGGTAATAACGAAGAAGTTGTAACCGGTAAATTCTTACCCTATCGGCCCTTAAACTCATAGTATGGCAACACCATATTCGTTGATGCGCCTGGAACCGTGAATAGGGACAGGATACCCCGGAATCTCCTTTTCGTCTTTCACCCATCGACGATCCTCGCCTGGCTTAGACATACCGCGTTGTCGGAGCACATGGTGCGCGATGTAGGCGCGGAAGTAGGCCTGGAGCACGTATTGTAGATCTGGCCATCCATTAGAGCCGGGGATAGCTTCTAGATCGTCCTCAGCCTTCTTGGCCCCGGGTTGCGCCTTAACATTACTGACCCGTTCGTCAGCAGGCCCCTTTTTCGAGGTGACGCCAGAAGTGTGGGTGTTGATGACGTGCGAAAAACTTGGTGACCTTGCGGCTCTGATGGGTCTTGTCAAACCTCCTCTTCCGCGCGTGGCGGCCGACGCTCCCATCCCCTTTGGCGGTGGCTTGACGGTTTTCGCCGGGTCATTTCCCCAAGTAGGCCTGGGCTTGCCCGCAGGTGCTGTCAACTCCTGGATCAGTGCCGACTGCCCGGGTGCTTTCTTGGTGGGCACTATCGGTACTTTGGGTATTGAACTTAGGGGCTGCCCCTGTACTATCGGCTTTGAGCTTGTCGCTTTGGGTTTCACCGGTTCAAACGGAACATTCTTCAAATATAAGAGCTCAACGCCCTTGGGTTGCTGTTGCTGTTTCGTGTCCAGAAGCTTCTGTACATGTGGTGGAGGTGACCATCCCGGTCCAAATAAACCTCCTTCCAGGCTAGACTTTGGCTGCTCGAAGTTAGTAATGGTACCAAAGTATGGATTAAGGGGATCTGACCTTTTGGGTTACAGGTTTTTCACTCTTCCCTGCCTTCGACGCCACAGGAGCCGCTCCGGTGCTCTTTTTCTCTGGGCTAGGCGGGATAATCTCTATCGCTGGAGCTTCGCTCGCCTTCGCATCGTGCTCCTTCATTAGCCTGTCAAGCGCATCTTCTCGCCATTCATGATAGCTGTCAAGGGCGTCATCCCGTTCCGTAGGCGGCAACGCGTTCACGAATCTTTCGTAGTTGCCCTTGTTCTCGTCCCACTGACTCCATGTCCACTGCTTGGGGTGACCGGGCTTGTCTTCGACCTTCTGTCGCTTCGATTGGCCGCTTGGTTGCTCCCGGGGCCGCTTCGGTGGCGTTGGCGGTTGAATCTTTGATAAATAGGTATTTGGAATCGGTGAAATTTTGGGCGGCGCTAGCGGTTTGGCATACTTTGCCCCTATTTTCCCTATGGTGCCCCTTATAATTCGTGCACTTGCCTTAGCCTCGTTCACAGGTATTAATTTCCTCTGCTCCTCTGGCAACGTGTTATAAAACTCTTCGAACTTGAGGTGTTCCAGCTCTTTCGTATTCCATGCACGTGTTTGCGGGACGGGCGGAGGAGTCTTGGCGCCTGGCGGTGGGATGGGAGAAGGCCCGGTCCTGCTACCTGGCACCTGGGGCTTTCTCGGGTCATAAGGCCGTTTCTTTGGTGGGGGCTTTTTCATATGAGCCTCTTGTTCTTGCAAATACGCTGGTTTTACTGGCTCATCCTCGAATTCTCTAAGGTTATTGAAGAATCTCGCGATCGCTATCATGTAATCGTGGAAATGTCGCTTGACCTTAGGTTTCAGAATATTCCATCCATCCTTTATCGCTGCAACAGTCCAGCCCGTCCCTTCGGCTTTGATTTTCAATACCTGAGCTTTTACAAACTCATTCATATAGACTTCGACCTTCCTATCGGGGTGCGTGGGTCTTTCACGTTCCCTAAAAGTCTCATAAGTCCAGCCTGCTATTGGCGGGTTGAATTCACGAGATTCCAATTTAGGCCAAGTGTGGCTAAAGACCCTGATCCATTGCGCACGCCTATCCCGTGAGCTCGGGAACTGCTCGTGTAGCCAGGTATTGTACTCCTCTGGAACCTCCAAAGCATCCCATGGATCAAGTTCTGCCTTATTTTTTGGTTGTTCTTTTGGTTGTTCGGGTTTCTTTAGGGAGTGTTCAGGAACGCTGATTCCGCCGAAAAAGTTGGTTATCTCAACGCCACTGTCATCGCCTTGGCCCTGGTCCTGGTCCTGGTCCACATTCGTACTATCACCACCAGAAGGCTCCTCGTCATAGCTCTCGCCTTGGTCGGTTGGGTCACCACTACCCTCGTCAGCATCCGTTTCCTCGGTATCATCTCCGGTATTGGATTGAAGGGGATCCATGCCGAAGTCTCTACCGTTAGCACCTATGAGTACTCTAGGAATGCCCACGTTCGGATGATTACCGGGCAGATTACCGGGTGCATAGCTTGTGATATTGGTAGGGAGGTTTTTAGGCAATGGGATGGTCTTGGTATTTGAAAATGCCATTTGGAGGTCTGGCAGCGTTTGCAAGGTCCCCGCCCCGGAGGATTTTCCATTCGAGCTTAGAGCCTCGGCTATCTTCAATTCTAGCGCCTGGATTAGGTTGTTTCCCGCCTGGATGGCCTCGTTATTAGCGTGAATATCAGCAAAGTTGCCGGGGTCGCTCTCGTCGAGCGCGTCGTTTTTTTTCACGACTTCGTCTACTTCCGCCTCATAATGCCGCCTCACTTCCTGCAGATGCCCAACTACGATATCACGGGCCTGAGCTGCTACTTGTTGCGTAGAGGTTGCCTTGGATGCTCGACTGCTCGACTGTTTACTGTCGGGAGTCTCGACTGGCTCCTGGACAGGCGGCCGGTTCTGGCTTTTGTGTAATTCCCTCCGCTTGTGAGTCCTCTCTCTTCGCCTCACTCTTTCTTTTTTCTCCTCCTCCTTGTATAGTCGCTGCTGTTCCTTATGCTTCTCTTCCTCTTCCGTTACCGTGGCACCCGCATTTTCTGACCAATTCTTAAGGTGCTCGGCATTTTTCTGCCTACGCATGGCCCAATATTTATCGAGTCCTTTCCGTAACCGCATCCTGCGAATGACTACATCCATGTGCTCGGTCTTAGCCAACACTTCCTTCGAGCGGTAGTTATCAAGCTCGTACCAACATTGTTCTTGTAGGATCAGGGAGAGCAAATATCCGTCTTCCGCAGCTACCAATTGTGCGAGCCCTTCCTCGCCTCTGGCAAATAAGATTTCATAGGCGGAGAGTTGAACAATTACGAATGCTCTATATTCGGAAACCGCAGAAAACAAGTTTCTAAATTCGTTATAGGCTTCCTCCTGGTTCTTGGAGGCGTACTTCCCATGATTGACAAATCTAGTGAAGATTTCGTTTAAGACTACCGCTGCCTTCTCGGCGTCAACTCGGATGTTCGCCAACACTTGTCTTATTCTTCGAGTTTCGGTCGTCTTTTTCATAAGACCGTAAGAGCGCCTAAATTTATCCACGGCGGCTTGAAGTACAGTCTTGAATTTGTCGCGGAGGCCGTCGGTCATGTCCTTGGAAGGGTACATGAGAGGGTTCTTCGGCAAATCCTCGAAGCGATCAGGTATAGTCTTGGTCTTAAGCTCTGCATCCTCTTTGAGGAGCTTCCATGCGCTCTGGGGCGAAGACCACTCAATACCGATTGATTCTTTTCTCGTCACGAATCTATCAACGCGGGGACCACTACCCTTAAGTATACCGTAACCACCTCCTAATAATCTTAGGTAGTGATCGAATCCAGGGAATACATCAACGCCCTCGTTTTCGTTCTGAGCATTGTTCAATACGAAGCGAGGCGCGTACCAAATGTCCCTTTGATTATTGATGGAGCACTTTCCATGTATATTGTAGATTGAATCGTCAGGCTCTAATCCGACCAACTTGTCTTCTAACCCGATCGCCTCGAGAGCCGACCTGAGAACTTCTCTGAATTCGTTCAGCTGCTCTAACGACCCATCAAAGCCCTCAAAGGTGCCTTTGTTATACTTTGATTCAAAGTCTCTAACAATGTTTTGAAATCTCTTGTTAACACAAAGCTTCCTCCTGTCTTTGCCGTACCACTCTCCCACCCTCTCGGAGCCTTGTCCAGCGCCTCCTTGGGCGGCAAACCCTAAAGGGTAGGCATTGTGGGAACCACCAACCAACTCGTGGGGGTACGTCGCGTCAGGAAATGAAGGGTCCTCCGAGTCACTACTCTCAGAACGGTCGGCAGTCGACGCGGGGAAACGGGGGTTTAGAAAGGCTCTCTCGTCTGGAATGAAAGTGTTAGCAAAATTGGCTTGATAGATACTATTGTCAATAATCCTACCAAGTACCTGACCCGCACGCGGGTATTTAATGGATTCAGACATTTCTTTAGCTACTAGCGCTTATTTGTAGATTTTGTTGTGATGTGTTTATTCGTAACTTAATGTCTGCGGCGTCAACTCTACTACGGGTGAGGGCAGGTAGTCTATTGATATACCCGTCGTTGAGGATGTGCCCGTGAAATGCTACAGTATAAGCCAAGCCACTGCTGCTTATGTATCAAACCAGTTGAAACAATGATGAAAGGTGATTGATAGAGATTACTTTACGATTGATCAACAAGTTGTTAGATTTAGTTTCATAAAATCTTCTAGCAAAACACAAACTGCCATGAAGCTGCTTATGACCCCGCGTATAAATTAAAATAGACTTAGACAAAGACTGCAAATCTAGCTTTGTATTATACAGAGCCTTGTCGTACATTCTGCAAACAGCTGCTTTCATCGCTTGCAGTAATACCGGTGTGTTTATTGTAAGACAAAGACCCGTGGCTTTCTCAATCGATGGGATTCCAAATCCGGCCAGTGGTGAGTAATGGCTCTGGAATGTGAAAGCAAAGGTAGAAGCCAACATCACAACTAGGTCATTCACTGCTAACCAATGTAATTTAGCCAGTTGTTTCGAATTCTATAAAGGACCTCTTACTTTGTTAAATCTGACATTTAAAACAGTGTGATAAGTAATTTATTATTCTACTAGGGACAATGGTAGCCTATACTGAAAGAAGGCGACGTTACCGCTGCGCCCGCTACGCCGACAGGCAGAGACACTATTGAATACCTTGCTATCTCCATGTAGGGAAGGCGAAAATACATCCTCAGCCACCGAAAGGGAATAATTATTTCCTCCAGGCGTAGAAGGTAACCCTGAGTACGAATCTCCAATGGCATACTCCCGCAGCTCCTGTCCCATGTTCGCGTAGTCGTCAGGATACATGATGTCTCCGCAACTCGGGTCGGCGCCACACCGAACGTTCTGGATAGGATAAGTATTTTCAGAAATTGAGTCAAGGTAATATCTTGGAGTATCGGATGTCGAATATTCCAAATATGTCTGTGCCTCTGACTTGAAGGTACTGGGCTCCAGTGCTACCGAGTTGTGGAGTTGAATATGCTCCTCGAGAGCCGCTACTATAGTTTCTGATTCAGTCTGCTTTATTTGTCAGAGGCTGTGATAAAGCCAGATCTACTGTTACAGACAACAGCGCTTTGTATAGATGGAGTTGCATGGAACTCGGGCGTGGAAGTAGTTGGGTAGCGAGCTACTAGAAGCTACTCTAGGAGCTCATTATTGTTGTCTCGATCGCAGGTAGGATTCGGAGTTGTAATCCCGGCGGGATCGAGACTGCCGGTTTGAAGGAAACAAGAAATGCTTCCGTCGTCAAAGCCTATCCTGTTGAGGAGCGCCCGCATCTTTTTGTTTTCTTCGGCAACTCTCCGAGCTGCTCGCTGGATCTCGGCAGTGCTCTCAACCCCCCGACGATGGTAATCTCTAAGCTGTCTTTCGATACTATTCACGTATTCTTTGCGCCGGGCGCGGGACTTCCTCTGATTATCCCTTAACCTGGCAAGATTCGCGTCATTGGACGATCCCATGTTCGCTAGAGCGTACACTGACTACCGTAGCCTAGTAGATGGACCGGCACCGGCGGGCCTTATACCTAGGGGCTTCTGTCGCTTGCGGGTACTAGCAAAGACTAGCTAGGTTATATAGGAATGTAATGGATCACGCCGGCTATGAATAGTGTTGCTGATATTGACGTAGCCTCGATAGGGTCTTCTTAATTTTGATATGAATAGATCAAAATGCCAAAGTCGATAGTTGAAAATGGAACTAATATCGGGAGCGAGAGACAGATAATGCCCAGGTAGTTATAGGGGGGTTAAATCCTTTTCTTCTTCGAAAGCCTCTGGGCGGGATTGTCTTCTCTGTGGTAGCGCGGGCGCCCTACCTAAATTAACCCCCTCCCCCCTCTTCAATGGTGTGTGGTTCGTAGTGACCTCTGTACATTTTAAGATGCTTGCGAATGGCGGATATGGGTTTGGCTACAGACGGCAGTGAGAAGCCAAAACGCACCCTGGCATGCATTGAATTACTCGCATACTCAAACGAAACATGGCAAGTGCAGATGGTTAACTAATCGTCTTGCTCGACGCGGCTTAGGTTGTAACCACATCGCAGCTCGCCCGTGTGCCGCCTGCACATACTTCGGCGGATTTGCCTTCCCGAGGTCTCATTGCGGATGTGAACCTCTAGGTGTACCGATGGCATGTCCCGTTAATGCTAGTCCTTCTGCCTGTGAGCCACAGCTTCATGGGCGACAAGCATTTACACAGGAGCTCCCTCTGGCTACTATAGATCAACATTTTGAGCCCGCATTGTAAATGTCTTCGTTTATGAACCCGCACGTTGTGCCAATGTGGCTTGGGGTTTGGTGGGGGTCAGATCTAGGAAAGGTAACCTGGGATATATGTTTTGAACCAGATGCGTTGGTCTTTCTGCAAGAAACCCTGTGGGTTAAACGGGAGGTTGGGTCAGTAGGACTTGGAGAAGGTGTGATCGAGTACGACAGCGGCGTACAAACGTGCCAGCTATGTATCGTTGAAATATTGAGCCCTATTTCCCATGCCCGTGGCCCGTGTTGAAACCAACCTGGGTACCTGGGTTCCCGTGGGGTTACACGGCAGCCGCCCTGTGATCTGTTATTTTACTACTCGATTCTTCAGTAAGATCCGCCGTACTCATCCTAGCTTCTGCCGACAGGGAATGTGATCATCAATTTGATGCCTCGGATTCGTCGAAGACTAATACATCAGTTTGCCAACGGTAAAACACACGTGCATGGGATTTAACAATCCCCATCCGACCTATGAATCTTGTCGATGCTGGAGGTGCATCTGGCCTACATCAAATGACACAAGCAAATACTTCGTTCTACGATGTTTTGATGAATATTGAGGAGCGGCGTTTTAATAATTTGAACCGTGTTCAATAATAAGCTGGCCATGTAAGCCTTTGAAACTATAGAGGACCCCCCAAGGAACAAATTAGGTGTGAACTGGGGAACAGATAACAAATAATGTCAAAAATAATACCCATACATAACGAAATATTGCTTCTTTTCATAAAGCGGCATATTCATTCAAATCCGGTTAGAGATTCTGGCTTAGCTCCAAGTCAGATGCTAGGAGTACGTAATCCGCCATAGCAGTAGAAAGGCTGTTTCACAATCTTCAAATGGAGTAGAGAGAGTAGAGAGTAGAGAGTAGAGAGACCTTTACCTGAAGGCTTCGAACGAAGCACAGCCAATGGCTCAATTGAAAGACTAGTTCATAAGGAAGACACTGCATAGATGACGTAGTCCATTTAGGCCAAGCTTCAAATCCCACGGCTATGTCTTTTATTGATTTGCTTGGGAACTCCGTACATGTCTGGCTTCTAATGACGACTCCTGATAGGCTTAATACCTGATCTCCTTGCTTTCTTGATCCCGCGTTAATTAATAGGAACACAGCTGCCGGCGATCGACGATCGATTACCGCCCTTAATAGGGGATAGGCTGCATTGACCAAGACACGCCACCTGTAGCGGAGAAGAGGATAACCGAAAGGTCGGTCCAAGGAGCCTCAAATTGTTAGAATGGATACTATCGGTTGATTAATAATGAATTCGACCATGCCTGATCGTGGAATTGGAAGTTTTAGATGTAATGAATGCAAGAACTATTGGTTCGAGGTATATGCAGAATGCTAAAAGTGTAGATGGCTACAGGGGACCCAGCGCTTCTTGCTTGGTGGCGGCCTTGTTGGAACTGTAGCAGCTTTGTTCTTCTAGTGGCGACGGTTTATTACTATTTCATAGCACGGCCCTGGCTTGAATGTCAATAGATAAAAGTCGAGTAAAAACAAGCATAAAATATGATATATAGCCTGATGGAGGACGCCGAAAAGATCATTAAAATGAAGCCCGTATGGAGCTCGCGAATACCCTCTGGATTTGTGGGTGTGATGAGGATATTTAAACTGGAGAGGAGGGGAGGGCGTAGGCCATGGATTATAAGAAGCATCTGGATGAAATAGGGTATTCCCGATACAAGTGGCTGCTTGGGGGCGTTTCTAGTCAGTATTTGTGATATGGCGTTCATTGGTGGAATATGTACCTAAGGCTTTCTTTTTGTCTTATCAAGGGGATACCATACGGGAGGTGGGGGCCATACCTGGGTAGGTATCTTTGGGATGTGGCTGCTATTTTAATTAATTGTTGATGAGTAAGAGGATTGTCGGGTAAGAGACGGCAGATGTGTAAAAACAAGAGAATAATATAGGTGGGTTAATTTGGAACTGATGATCTGCGCGTGACTTGTCTAAGATTGGCCCACGGTAAACCTATGGACTGAGTCTCTCGAGAGTCCAATCCTGCACGCCGTCCTTCGTGGATGTTTTCTTGTCGTAGACAAATCGATCATGCAGTCGGCTTTGCCGTCCTTGCCAAAATTCCACAGATTCAGGTATGATCCTCAAACCACCCCAGAAGTCCGGCACGGGGATAATGTCTTCTCCCGCAAACCGTGTCTCAGTCTCTTCGACCCACTTGTCTAGCATCTTTCGCCCGTCGTCGTCTTCTCTGTCGGTTCCATCTCCGGACGGCTTTAAGACCTGACTCTGGCGACTGGACCAAGCACCAATCCGACTACCACGGACTCTCGTATCGAAGTATGTCTGGCTCTCCTCGTGGGAAAGCCTGCTCGCTCGACCCTCGACCCTTACTTGCCGTTCAAGTTCTTCCCACCAGAAGGTAAGGCTAGCCCACGAATTTGTGGCGAGATCCTGAGATTTCTTACTTGTCCCGAAATTGCTATATATAACAAAACCTTGGGTATCTAACTCCTTTAAATAAACCATACGGGAAGATACACGACCGGAGGGTAATGATGCGGTAGAGAGGCAGCATGTCTCGGGATGGGTAACTCGGCCTGAGCGCTGTGCCGAAGCAAACCATTTATGAAACTGACGGATAGGTGAATTTGGATCAAGGTCCGAGCGAGTTAGGACACCCTTAGTGAATTGTTCAGCCTGTCCGTGGGCTTCCTTGCCTGCCGGTGCGACTGGGTTGAATGAATTAAATCAGCATTTGACCCTTTTCATCGTCAATCTAGATGAGGCGGCGCCACATACATATGAGTTTATTGTCCACATTGGCGGAATGTAAAGCCATTCTGCATGTCCTAGTCAAAAAGCGGGAGAAGTTCAAGGGCATGAATAACTATAGATTATTGTATTCTCGATGCTAAAATTTTAGATTAAGACGAAGATGAATGAGTGGACATGGGAATCGAGTCACGTTATACTCGTGAGAGGAGACTTGATTATAAAAGATACGTAGGTACTTTAGAGATTATAGTTGCGGGATTCGCCTTTTAGTGAACTTAAAGCACTTCTATGATGTACCGAGTTATAGTACATACATATACGTGCATCAACATAGGTATGAGGGAGTACCTACTTCGATACATATGTACATGTTGGCTTTTCAAGTCGCGCCTTCTAGTCAACATTGAATGGTTATGCCGAATAGGTACCAAGGTACATAATGTCGATGATTAATCCCATTGATTCTTTCACTCCGGATTATAGTTATTTTGGGTTGATGGGGAAGGCAACCCCTCCAAGAGATTGGAAAGAACAAGAAAAAAGGAAAACAATTTCCTGCGATGCAAAACAAACACGGGCAAAAATCTAGGTCTCCCTGGGAATCGAACCCAGATTGGCGGAATCAGAATCCGCAGTGCTAGCCATTACACCAGGAAACCAATCATTTCGGATAGTCAAATGTAAAAAAACTGAACCTATATATTAGAGCTTGACTCACTTAAAAGCCTGACGTATCTTGATGATCGGTACTTCGATACTTTTACTGTGTGGTACGGATAATTTTTTTCCTTCTCTTTCAGGGATCATGGAGGGGTTACTTGCGTTATCGTGCGGCGCTAGATGAGGTACTTAAGAAACTTAGGTGCGTCAGTAGCAAACTTTAGGGAATCGTTGCCCAAAAATTCCCTATTAGGTGCCTACCTAGGTAGGTTGTTAGATAAACTTTCAATTTTCAAATCTATTATCTTAGGCACCCGCCCGATTTAATACCGCCTTGACATACAAATCCGCCTCTTCATATATCTAGCAATCCCGGGGTTATTGCGCAATTCGGAACTCGTGTTAACCCTGCCCGCCATGGCATCCGATGCAGACAGTACAGCGACTATCGCAAGCCTTCGCGAGTCCCTCTGCTCCGAAGTTACCCCACTACCCGTCCGATTCCGCGCCCTTTTCTCTCTCAAACATCTTGCGCGCCACGAGACGGGCGACAACGCTCTTGCTGCAATTGACGCCATCGCAGCCGCTTTTACATCGCCATCGGCGCTCCTTAAGCATGAATTGGCTTATTGTCTCGGCCAGTCGGCTAATATGGCTGCCGTTCCCTACCTCCAGAAGGTTTTAGCGGATCTGCAAGAAGATCCCATGTGTCGACATGAGGCCGCTGAGGCTTTGGGCGCTTTGGGTGATTCTGGAAATTTGGATATTCTACGTGAGTTTAGAGATCGCGAGGGAGAAGATGTCGTCATCAAGGAAACCTGCGAAATCGCTATCGACAGAATCGACTGGGAGAATTCAGCACAACGAAAGGCTGAGAAGCTACGTCAAAGGTATGCATATCGCAATCATCGGGAATCCATTTGTATACGCCAAGTCAATATCTCTTCTAACTATGAGAATATAGCGACTTTGCTTCGGTAGATCCGGCTCCTCCGATGCCTAATTCCGACTCCGAGCAGACGGTGGATGACTTGGAGAAGACCTTAATGGATGTAAACCAACCTCTCTTTCTCAGATACCGCGCAATGTTTGCGCTCCGTGATCTTGCATCTCCCCCAGACCTTCCAACTGCGGTCCCTGCTGTCCTTGCCTTAGCTAAGGGTTTCGCCGATCCGTCGGCTCTTTTCCGTCACGAGATCGCTTTTGTTTTTGGCCAACTCTCCCATCCGGCTTCAATCCCGGCTCTAACGTCTGCGCTGAGCAATCTCGAGGAAGCTAGCATGGTGCGACACGAAGCGGCCGAGGCACTCGGGAGCCTCGGTGAGGAAGAAGGGGTCGAGGAGACGCTGAAGCAATTTCTTCACGACCACGAGAAGGTTGTACGCGACAGCATCATTGTAGCCTTAGACATGGCGGATTATGAACAATCGAATCAGGCAGAGTATGCCCTAATCCCGGAGGCCCCAAAGGTAGCGGCATAGATGGTAGCATGGGATTGGCGTTACACTTAGGGTTGGTGAGGGATACCAAAAATTTATGCGCTTGATTTTTAATTCGCACGACTTTGTCTTGGGTTCACCGTCACATTGGGGATATAAAAATCTACGGGGTAGCTTTCTGTTGAGAATTCCTTAATTGTTGGTATTCCATCTAGATCGAGATTCTCAGATTAGTCGCACCCAATGAGATAAATGATAATAGAGAAAGAAATAACGTACTTATGACCGCATTCACACATATAGAAAATTGTACTGCCTTCGTCGGCGCTACGTAATTGCACTGCTGTATATCTAACTTCTGTACGCCCGCACTTTTCGCATGTTTCGTTGATGACGGCTTCGGTCTGTACGTTGTGACGTTTGACGGATTGGACGATAGAAAGTTTTTGGCGAAGTAACGAAGGGAAATCCGAGGGCTTGCTTTCGGTTATAGTGGTCTTTGATGCTGTATCTATTGGGAGATCACCTTCATGTTAGTAAATTTTATGGAGTGGTATGTGTAGGAGGATAGGATAGATATGTTGATAATATCGTTGTGTTGTTATGACGAACCTCTGTTTTCAGCACCGCAGCACTCGCAATTCAGAATGTTTTTTACGTTGCCTTTTGACGCGGGGAGGAGATTCCCACAGTCGGTACAGAAGACCAAAGAACCGATGGCTGCCATAGTTAGGTTTTGTGAGGACCTCGGGAATTGATGGTTTGTGTGTGCAATGCTTTTTTCTTTCTTTCTTGGAAGAGAAAAGACTGCGATCTTGATGTTGCGCTGAATTCCTCGCCAAGAATAAATCTTCAATGCAATCTTTAAATGTTGAAGCTACTGTTATCGATAAACCTGCGTACCTGGATACGGTACCTAGGTACTTACAGTACATGCAAGTACTTACATGCACGTATTGTACGTGGGATGTGCGATTGTAAGTACATATGTACATCATGTATGTGGTTAGATCGAACACAACGCAACGCGGACCCCCGGTTTTGGGCAAGCGTGAATCCACTTCTACAAACGGGTCAATCAAATTACCTAAAGCTTCTTGAGTTGCGCAAGGCTAGCTGTCAGGCTGTTCCTGTTTAATATCTACACATGTATATTGCACTTCCCGATTCCTATAGCTCCTTCTCGAGAATATCGCCTGCCTGCCTACCTACGTGTGGAGCTATTCGTTATGTACCTGTAGCTCTTTCCTGTACCGTTGCTTTTGTTATTAGTCTCAAGTTTCGAGTCGATCTCGTCTCGTCATACTACGTATGGCACGATTCACGCTCCCGTTCCATTCCTCACCGACCAGGTGAATTGCCATGAGGTACCATATCGAATTCGGCGCGGCCAGAATTTTGTATGCAGCTTGATCGCTGTGATTATAAAGAGGGGGGAAATACTGCTACGGCAACAGCGACCATGGCGAACCATCAGTCTAGTAATCAAAATGGCGTCGCGCCTCATTTCGACCAACAAGCCTATCCAAGGCCTGGCCAAGGTGTCTATCAATCTCAAGATACCTCGAAACCATTCACTCTGAACGAGGCCCTTCCCTATACCCCGTTCACATCGGTCTTTCCTTTTGAGCCTGGTGAGTTGGCACCCTAGTCGTTCCTTCCAGTTAACCCATCGCTACTGCTTTTTCTATGCGATATCTAGACACTTTTAATTTCCCCCCCTCCTCTTCGTTTTCGCATGACCTGAACCTAATGAAAACTTTAAAAACCTTCTAGATATCATTAGCAATCCTACTATCGGCTCTGGGCCTCTCGCACCGTCACTTGCGAGCTTCGTTTCTAGAGAGGATTACGATGCGCTGAATAAGGAAGCCGAGACCTCTGGCCACTCTAAGCGTGTTGAGGGAAGCCTTGAGTTTGTGCAACATCTTCTTAAGGCTGAAAAAATCACAAAATTGTATGTGCTTCTATTTGTAATATGTTGGCGATGAGGAAATGATAGAAATACCGAGGAAGCCAGATTCTCGGTTACGCGCAACGAGAGCTAACAGCAATCATGATAGCCAATTTAAGAACATGCCGAAAACCACAATACCGACCAACAAGCTACCGAAAAACCTTGCTGATGGGATCCCACCGTTTGCGAGGATGATATATGACAATACGGCTGTGTCCTTCCGTCATCCCACTGCCGACGCTTCCAACGCCTCGACACCAAATGGCCACGGCGTGTCACCTCGGATCGCGAAGAGATCCTCACCCAAAGCTCGCAGACAGGAGACACCTAAGATTGTCAAGCATAACCCCGCTACTACAAACATGCAAGCAGTTGCTCACAACAATTCCCGTATAGAGATCCATCTTCCTACAAGAAAGGAGCTAGACGCTGCTACATCTTTATACACACCAACAAGACCTCTCGCTTCGTCACCTTCTCCGGCAACCCAAGCTCAGTCTCAGACAGTCTCACCCGCGGACCTAATGGTGGCACCTAGAACACCTGTTGTACCTCCTTCACATATTGGACAAGTGCCTCTTCCACCAATCACCAAGGTGGAACCTGACGTACCACAGTCGATAGAGGCTGTGTCGCCGAAGGTGGAGGCAATAGAGTCTCTGAAGCAAGTCCCCTCGTTAACAGACCAAGCCCAACACGCACGTTCGTCAACAACTTCTAGGCAGGGTATCATTAGGGTTGAACTACCTGCTGCGAGCTTTAACAAAGACGAGTTTGCTGTAGTTCCCAATTCACCTGACACTCCGACGCACTTGTCCACAAAAAGGAAAGGTGTTCCTCACGATGAACTGGACGATCCTCTGGGTGGAGAGCTCAACCAGCGCGAGCTCGCCAATGCTGCCTTTACGGACCTGCGCAGATGTATTCAAGAGATATTTACTGCCGAGGACCGCTTATCGAGTGAACATGGCGCTGCGTCGCATCTGGTCACATGGACGAATGAGCAGGAACCTACCATGACAATAGCTGCCCATGATAAAGCCCAGAGACAGATAACTAGAGCGATTGACCTTGGGTGTTTCCGCCAAGCGCCCCTAGACGACCTCCTTCGCATTCAAAATTTGAGCGAAGGATCTTTAAAGCATGCTGACACGCTAGATTTCAAGATAGACGAGTCGTGGGGCGAGACTGAAGTTGGATTTTGGGTTCAGCAACTCCTATTCATTGAAATGGGCCTTAAAGCTGCTCGTACATCACTCCGTATTATGTGCGGTGGACGAGAGGAGAAGCAGCTATACTCCGAGGACCTCATTCAACAAGGGTTGAACCTATTCAGAAATGTTATTAGTGACATTATTATTCCCACGGCTGAGTTGCGAAGCACTGGGTCTACAAGCAATTTATTTCGGCATCTGGCGACATACAAGAAGCCCATTGGCACTCTTTTCACAACCTGTCAAAAGGTCTTCTCCTTGATGTCCGACCTAATAGCCGGGATCGACCTTTCTGAAACTGTCGTACACACTCTCGAGTACGTAGCTTCGCGTCTCATATTCGTAGAGAACGCCCATACAGAGAAGGATTCGGTCGTTGGTGTGCAGAAGTTTGATGCGCTCCGCCTAGTTGCTATGAACGTTCTATCGCAGATATTCTTGATGAATCCTTCACAAAGAGAAGGTATCTTCAATGAGATCTTAACATCACTTGAGAAGTTGCCTATTGGCAAGCAAAGTGCGAGGCAGTTCAAGCTGTCTGAAGGCAAAAGTATCCAACCTGTATCGGCTCTGATTATGCGATTGATACAAGCAAGTGGTGGAAAGGTAGATGATCGCAAAGAGAAAACTCGTGGCCGAATGATGCAAACCATAGCAGAGGATGACGAAAATGGCGCTTTTGCTTCCACCAATGATACTCATGGAAAAGGGGACGTTACTTACACGGTTAGAACAGAGGAATCCGCTGCGATTCAACACTCGACAACGATTCAAGAGCTACAAGCTCTTGGGAAGACGCTTTCTGATGGTGCTTGCCGCAACGCTACTTACGTTGTGAACTTCATAGTAAAGCGAGCATTAAAGTCGACTAAGTCTGGGGATACACCGTATCGCAATTTGCTAGATTTGTTCATCGAAGATTTCACCACATGCCTCGATTCGCCAGACTGGCCTGCGGCAGAGCTACTTCTTCGACTGACAATGTACATAATGTTCCAACAGGTGGATGGCGACAAGAATGCGGCACCCGCAAGAAATATGGCCTTGGAACTTCTTGGTGTTATGGCCGCGGCCATTTCAAAACTACGATATCATGTCCGGAAGACCGCTTCCAATTTTGAGGGCAGCGATCCGGATGAGCTCGGCCGGTGGTTGGCCGACCTAACCTTGAATGTTCTTGAGGGGAACATGTCCATGGACAAGGCAGTCAGCTGGTTAGGACCGTATCGCGTGGTTCTGGAGTATCTGCAAGATCGCTTAGGCGACGATCCCTATCTTAAAGGCGCTATCTCATACCTCATAACAGATTGGGGGGTACAGGTCAGCACTGGATACGACGCGGTTGGGGTGGAGGAGTCAGAAGAGCGTGATTCCGAGTTCGGAAGGATCGCGTTTCGTCTTCGCAATATGATTGAGGATCCGAAATGGCTATCGCGAGAGTATAGCTTCAAGTCGGTTGTCTCCAGCCATGCTAGGCTCTCCTACTCGATCATTCTACTGCGGTCGAGTTTCTGTGCGTCGTTCAAGAATATCCTGAATATTCTTATGGGGTCAATGACTACCGATCAGGCGACGGTGCGTAGTCGAAGTCTCAAGAGTATCAATCTTGTGCTTGACACGGACCCAGCCATTCTTGATGGCGAGAGTGTCTTCATACAATTGATCCTTCAATGCTCTAGTGACTCCTCGCCTCAAGTACGCGATTCGGCATTGGGCCTTATTGGAAAATGCATGAACATGCGGCCTAAGTTAGAAGAGAAAATGACACCCACTGTCATTCAGAGGTTCACCGATACTGGGATAGGTGTGAGAAAAAGAGCAATGAAATTAGCTAAGGATATCTACCTTGGCAACGATAGTAAAGCAGTTCGGAGTACTATTGCAAACGGGCTCCTGCTCAGGACGCAGGATCCGGATGAGGGTGTGCGAGAACTTGCCAGACAGATGATAGAGGAAGTCTGGATCTCTCCATTCTACAAAGAGGACGATTCAGTCGCGTTCAAGCAATCTTTGACTGACCACGTTACTCTCATGGTTCAGACAGTTAAGTATGGGAATACTGCGCACGTCCTCGATAAGGTTTTCCAAACAATACTTTCACCCGAGTCCAAGCTTGCCGAAGCTAACTCTAGGGTTTGCACAAGACTTGTTGCTAACTTAGTCGACCTGATCGGCAACCCCGAATCCGACGATCCATCAATACCGTCTAGCAGGGACGCATTTCAAGTTCTCTCGATATTCGCAAAAGCCGATCCCAAGCTATTCACTTTCGAACAGATCCGGCAGTTAGAGCCTCATATTGCTAGCGTCGGCACAAGCGAGGATCTCGCAGTTTCAAGAGCCGTTGTCGTCATATATCGTCGTGTGCTCCCGCGGGTATCCAGCGTACACTCGAAGTTCCTTGCCGATGTCCGGAAAGTTCTGATGCCTGCTGCCTCAAAAGTTACGAGAGCACTTCTTGACGATGTCGTTGCCTGCCTTTGGATCATCAGCGAGCTTCTTCAGACGTCCGAGCCTCTTGCACGTTTAGTTATATCATGCCTCAAAGGTATCCAGTCAATGAGTGGGAAAGTTCAGCTCGACCAGACGAAGATCAGGAAGTTTGATCGGTACTCTCTAATCACCGGAATGATCGGGAAGCACTGCAATTTAGACAGTCATGCGGAACGTTTCAAGTCTGAACTTAACCTCCCGAAATGGAAGGACTCTGTCTCAAAACTTATGGTGGATATTCTAGTCCCTTTCGCGAGTCCTTCCCAACCCGTCGATGCAAGGCGGCCAGCACTGGATGCCATTGGTCTCATCTGTCAATCCAATCCTAGGAATTACGTTGCCGCTAACGTCTACACGACATTCCAATTTGCATTTGACGAGCGCAAACCAGTCTTGGAATCAATGGTCCTCCGATCCTTTAGGGAGTTTCTTCTAGTAGAGGAGCAGCGATCCGAACAAGCGGCATCATCAACAGGCAACGGCAAGGAAACCGTTAAGAAAGACTTGAAGGTAATGGGTAGTACCAGCTTCGACGATGTTGCGAGCGCAACCACTCAACGGTTTCTCAAGGATATCACTCGTATTACACTATCCGCCCAGGATGAACACGCCTTTCTAGCCATGGAAGTGTTGGCAAGTATAAATCGACAGGGTCTAGTGCATCCAAAAGAGACCGGTGTTACTCTCATTACGCTTGAGACCTGCCCAGTGCCTAGAATTTCGGAGCTCGCATATCATGAACACAGAGCGCTTCATGAGAAATACGAGAGCGTACTCGAGAGGGAATATGTGAAAGCCGTACAGTCGGCTTTCCAATATCAACGAGACGTTGTTAAAGACCTACGAGGTGCAACCGAATATCAGCACACTTTCACATCCAAGCTACATCTCCTCATTGAAGTACTAAAGATCAGCAAGTCGAAGAACCGTGTTAAATTCCTCGAAAAGCTTGTTGGACAAGTTGACTTCGATCCCGCTAAGTTACCGGTCGATGAGACGCTGTCCTCGCTTGTCGAATTTTCTCGCTTCATCATCGAAAATCTTGCTTTCTTTGAATTTATTACGACTGGCGAGCTGCAAACTACAATTACTGGGATGGAGAAGATTGTGACGGGGACGGGGTCGGCTATAGCCCAGACCATTGAGTCCGAGATTTTCCACGTACGGATGGAACCGATCTCTGCTTCCCAGCAGCCAATTGGTGCCGAGATGCCACCCATGGCGCCCGCACCTCCCCCTATAGACCATAGTCGGCTTCGCCAGTTGGCAGCCGGATCAACTATTCTCCTTGCTCTTTGGGAGGTGCGCACTTACCTGCGTCGGTTGTACGGATTAAGTTCTACCCGACGCGAGAACCATAAAGGCAAAGGCGCCTCGAAAGATCTAACCAAGACTCCAGTTAAAATCCAGGGAGTCACTGGAGATAAATTCTGGGACGACATCTCTAGAATCATGTCTGCGCTGGATACGCCAGAGCAAATGATGGAACAGTGCCGTGCGTTTGTAGAACTCTTGAACGTCGATAATGAAGTCAAGGTTCCAGACGAGGACGAGGAGTTTGATCTTGAGGAAGACCCGGCGTCTCCAGACGCTGAAGGCGAGGAAGACATGGGCGAACCTGATCCCCGCGGTCGTAAGAGAAAGGCAGGAGGTGCTCCTGGTGGACGGAAGAAGCGAGCACGATCTAACTCGAAACCCAGGGGTCGAGGTCGGCCCAGGAAGCAGAGTACAGAGGCCATAGAGACGGAATATGATGACTAAGGTAGACGACGATCCAGAGTAGGCCCGATCAAGATCGACCGGCGTCGGTATCTTTTCATAGTACACACCCAAATTCGGTCCTGTGCATTTCCCTTCGTTGTTATGCGAGAATACCGAATATGGGTAACTCCAAATGCACGCATGGCGATGGAGAAATGGTTGCTTTACATCAACTGCATGGCGTGGTAGAGCTGACATTTACGAGCATGAAACCGGCGTTTACGAAAGGAAAAAAGGGAGAAAGGCGAATGAGGTACCCGGAAATTTGGAGGTGTGTGTTATTTACTCGACAAGGGGGGGCAATGATGATGAACCGGGACTGGCTGTTCGGACTTTGCTTTTTTTACAATGATACCTTGGTCTACTTTCTGTGAAACCTAGAATAGGTTTTTGTGGCGGGTAGCTATCGCTTTTGTGTGTTAGATAAGTACCTAATACCTAGGTATCTAACTCCGCAACACTTGTGGATGTGAAAAGTCCGAAAATGAAAACATCGGCTACTAATCACCAAATCAAGGCTTCCCCTCTACGATGGTGATGGCGAGTAATGTGTGCAATTGTGTGACCCTAGCTAGGAGGCAGGTACATACCTATGTACCTAGGTATATATAGATACATATGTACTGGCCAACTGAAAAAGAAATAATAATAGTCACAGCTGATATGTAGGCCCCGCTCACGACGATAATAGCGACGCCATCTAGCAATCCAATCCGAATCACGTAGTATTAACCTCCCGATATGATATCGTAAATCTTTACCACGCGATATGCCCCCAATCCTTTCCAAATGAAATATATCCAAACCCTCTGTGTCATTTCATCGTAGCTCATTCTCTTGTTCCAAACAAATAGCGGGAAAATATCAGACCGCATATGCACGTAGATCGCATTTTATCCATCCCATCGCTACATTCGCGCATATATCTAATCCCCTAAGTAGATATATTCCCCTCGTGAAACTCCTGTTACTTGTTGACACAGCAAGCGCCCAGAACCTTCCCATATATGGCCAACTCTAAGGTCCCTCAACGTGAGACCAGGCTTCATCGTCTGTCGTATCACTTTCTTCATATTCGAGAAACTCGATATCATCGTCTAGGGTAGCCGTAGACGCCGCCGTAACGACCGAGTCTATAGACATGGCATCGTTCCCTCCTACAGATTCCCGATCGGACACATCAGGTATGGTACTAGCCCCTACATTAGAAGGCACAGCCGCCATTGATCGTCCAGCAGTTAGGGTAATGGTGCTAGCCCCACTCGGCGTTCGATCAGATGTCTCGCTAATACTCGAGACGTCCGTTCCAACTGTAGCGCCGCTATGGTAGGCTGGGCCAGGGCCGATCGGTCCCAGATCCGCATCCGGCACGAGCGGATCAAATACGCCACCTGTTTCATCGTTTAAGCCATCCGCCCAAAGCGGAAGGTATACAAACTCATCCTCGGATAGTGATAGAACTAGGTGATTCGTTCGAGTAAGAGGGGTTTCCAGAGCGCATTTTGTCCATTTCAGATACATATTATCCAAAGAGGCGGCGAGTTCTTCACGAAATTCCGGGAGATGGAATCGGAGATCTGCAGAATTAAAACTGCCCGTCTCGAAGTGTATATATGCGATTGCTTCGCTTAATCGGAAATTGTAAGTCTGAACGTATTCACTCAGAAACCGATCCGTATAATAAGGCTCTGTATATTGTTGAGGATATGCTGCTAAATTCTCCCAGAAATGCGGTTTTAGCAGATGTTGCGCATCGGAGAACTCGCGATACAGCACTATAATCTCAGCCCAGTTGTTGTGAGGAACGTAGCATTTGCGGTCACGATCGAAATCCACACGTTGCTCAATCGTTGGATCGGATTCCATCGCCTCGTGCAAAAGTAGGTCTTTGTACTCTAACAGCTTCGTAGAGAGAATTATGAAGGCGCTAAAGAGTTGATTTAACTTGGTAGCACGACAAGATTTCGCTTCCGAGTCAGGAATGTTTGAAATGGTAATGCGTAGAATCTCGCCGACCGCGACAAATTTTCGGTACTCCACTAATTCGACCATATCATAGAATTTATCGGATTTCATCACATCGAACGTGTACTGGATGCGATCGGCGAATTTGTGTGTGGCATACTGGACAACAGTCTGTAAATCGTCAGGGAGGTCAACACGAGGGCGACCGAATACCGTATGACGAGGACTTCGCGCTGGAAATCGAACAGCAAGCGTATCGAGGGTCTTCTCAGCTACAAGAATTCGAAAAGCAGCTCGAGTAACGTTGGGTAGTTTCAACGTCCAGGCAACTTTGAATGCGGCTTCGGTATTGATATCAATGAACTCGGTGTTGGGCTCCGTCATGAACCAAGTGTACACAGAATCTGCCTATTAAGTTGAGTAGCCAGGTTAGTTATCAATACTCGCGAAACTATACTACAAGATAATATTTACTCACAATGACACGCGAACAATCTAGTATGTTGGCGACTCCAGTGAGTGTGTATACTCGTGGTGCAGAGTTCAAAACCAGATCCTGACCCTCAATGGCTAAGATGAGGCGGATGATATTGGCACGATGGCGAATGGGGCAATAATCATCGATATTTCTGGACTCCGGGGTTTCGATATAGGCTAGGTCGATATTTGGAAGTGGAGCGTCGCGTTTCGTAAGACACCTGGTGGTTTTCTTGCAATCAACGAGGACTGTGCTATGGAATGGGCAATGGTCATCATGACCCGAAACAATGTAAGGTGATATGCCCAATCTTTCCTTGGACGTCCACCAGTCTCGGACGCCCGGTGGTAGGGATAGCTCTATTAGTTGAGCAGCTAGCTCATCTCCCTCAGTAGAAGGTGTTAGGTCGACGACATATCTTTGGGACACTGGTGCCTTGGCTCTTTTTCGGGCGCGAAGTTGCATTTCTGGTGACAATAAACGCTCGAATACCCTTGAACCAGTAGCTAGAAGCTTTTCTGAATTGACACAGAACTGTTTCGGCGTCCACTATGATATATTATGGTCAGCTATGCTTCGAAAACGCCTATTTCCACTCCTACTTCTATAAGTAAATTCCAGATAAAAGTAATGAGGTCGCGCGGAATAAAGGGGAATTACTGATGTGAATGTCGGCTAAGGTGCCTTAAGTATTAACAGAAAAAACGTACCGGATCTCCTTTGCAATCTACATAACCCTGGGGGAATTCCACGATTACCAGCGTATCCCCCGAACGGTATTCGGTATCCACGCGGCGAAGTATACAGATATCTCGATGTTCCCGATACTCAGAATTGTAGCTGTTGTCGTTTGGGTCGGGTTTTTCTTTAAGTAGCTGGCTGATAGCCGCATCAAGCGGAGAGCCTTCTGAGGAAGTAAATTCGGTTGGCCTCGCGGATCGCATAGGCCGAGGACGGTTTGTAGAGATTGACGGGGAGCCCATGGGATTCCATTCTTCCTGGTCCATAGCCTGATCTTCCATTATGGGCGAGAGGGCATCTAAATCGGGATCGAGGCAGCAGGAGAAAGGAGCGATACTGGTTCGTATATCTATGGGGATAAGGAACAATAAGTTATCTAGGTATCAGCAAGATCAGGTTGTGTGTGTTGCGATCGTAAGCTGGTAAAATAAATTAAAATCAAGATTAAAAGCTATGAATATCTAAGAAACGAAAATAGAAGGAGGTGACTGATATCAGGCAACAAAGAGGTAGGTGGGAAATATGAGGCTGTGGTTGCTGCCTTCCCTCTCTTCTCTCTTTTCGTGTAGTTCTTGCATTTGCTGATATAGAGCTAGCTACCTAGGTAACCTTAGAATTAAACAGCCTACGTGACTGCCTGCCCTGCCTGCCTTACATGCAAGCTTCCATAGCCATAAGACACACGGCCGCTAATGTAGGTACTAAATGTACTCAATGTACCAGACACGGGTGGCAAATAACATTTCGACTTGCAGGATAATATGAATTGAGGTTACACCTAGGTACCTAGGCTGCCAGGTAGAAGGTCGCTGCCCGGATACCCCATCACATTGCGCCTACTTAAGCCACAATGCTACCGTTGCTGATGCCATATAGGTACCTAGGTATACAAGCGTATACTTATACACGTGTACCTGCTATTGGCTATGTAGCTTTGTAGGGATATGGACCCGTATAGGTATCCAGGTAGCCGATACCCTGACGATCTTGTTTGAATGCTGATAAAGATGTGTCATATGAGGCTTGGAGGTTGGTTAGTACATGTTGAATAGACTGCTGTGCTGTTTGGTATCCTATTGGATGAGTCAAAGATTAAGTCTTGTGTTTGGAGAGTTTAACTAACAACACATAACTCATGTGTATGTTGCCTTATCTTCAACTTAGACTGTACTAACGCTTGTCAATCAATAGGTTCCGCCTGGAAAGGAGGTACTCTTCTATTAATTGCCTTGGCGCTTAGGAACTTATTTAAATATGTAGAGACCTAGGTATACCATAGCATATAAATTGATAGATCAGGAATCCATGTAAGTGTTGGGCAACCAGTATTTCAATAACAATGCATTTATAGTAACATCCAAATGCCTCGGTTGTGTTTGTTTGTTGGAAGAAAGGAATAAGAGTTTCTCTAATACCATTCGAATATGAGAGGGAGAGCTTAATTGCCCGCTAAAGATTCCCCACGTTTGTTTAGGGCATAGCGGAACACTTTAAACCCCTCTTTCCCCCTAAAGCTGTGGAAGCTAAGTAACCTTGGAAGCTTACCGAGGGGGCTGGTTAGGGTGACCTTTCCGGGATCCATCAGGTAACCCTCCAATTGAGTGTTACCCCATTCGCTCGCGTGTCCCTTGTCCCGTTCCGGGCAAGTCCCTAATTCCCAGCTTTCCTTAAAGTTTTCGTTTCGCATCCGATCGCACCATTGACCTCATCAGCATCTGCCCACTGTACCGTAAATCTGGGGAATCTAGACCAGCTAGCTGGCCCCCTTGTATGACATAAAGATGGAGAATACTAGGTCTCTTAGCAGTTTGGTTGGATCGTTTTGGTGCTAACCCTTACGTTAATGGGTTCGTAGATGGTAGGCAGGTGTGTAGCGGTCAACGACAGGAAGCTTTAGGGTACCATGGGTACCTGGTCCGGACCAAACATAAAATCTACCTTCATGTCCGGTCTGTTTTCGAACCTCTCTTTTTTTTTCTTTTCTTTAAATTGGTGCTGTCACGTTCCAAATTCTACCCTCCAAGTCTCGATAACTACTTCTTACTGATAAAGAAACCTCATCTCGAATATAAGACTCGTGATATTCTAGAGGGTTAGCGAGAGAAAGAGCAAAACCCATCTTATAGCAACTCTAAACCAGCCGTCTAAGGTTGAACGCGAAACCCAAACAAACAGCAATCATGGACCACAGCCGAGCATCCAGAATGACTACCAGTGGACGTCTGAGCGTGTAAGCCAAACTAAACACATCTCAATTCTAATCTCCAGCTCAAACCAAAGCCACTAGTGCCACGTCAAGGCTAATCCCTAACCCCAACAATAGAACCCGCCACCCAGCCATAGCTCTCGCAGCCGTCGCCGCCACGGGTATCTTCGCCGCTGTACGGTACCAGCGATCCGCCCTAACCCGCAACGAGCGTGCCCAAAAGCATTCACCCGAGAACCCCAACTTCTACGTCAGTGTCGACCGAAGCGGTGGCGGTATCTAATCGATCTAAAATATCGTACCAACAGCAATATTAAAACAAATACAAAATTGGCCAAGTGAAGGGTATACCCAAGAAAGAGACTAGCAGAGACAAGGCCAAGTTAGACGCAAAGTCTACTTAGGTTATGTGAGACGTACAAAATTCAATTTTGGGAGTCTTTAGAACGCTAGGTTCAGCGGGTTACTTGCTTTTTAATGAGTCTTATCCACGCTTTACGACAATGGATGGCGGATGCTGGGTAACGGCTTCAAAATTGGACGTATATTACGTATAGGGTGAATAACGGTCGGCGTTTTACTTGTTTTTAGATACACCACTGTGATATGGTACGCAGCAGGTAGAAGAGACAGCAAGACCTAGACATGGGATACAAAGAAGCAAAACGATATATCTTTAACTCAGTGTTTTATGTTTGTTACTTTGGCTCTAAAAAGCCACGTTATATATAGTTTATCTGAGTACATGCTCCCCCACACAGGATATCATATCCTAAATCCGGCACATGGCGGATGTATATGCTCTCCACTGCACCCCTAAACATCGTACCGGAGCATAGGCTCGTTCACCTTTTTGCCTGCCGAATCTTGAAGCAAAATCAGAAACGCCAAAATGCATGATTTTTGCCGTGCCGATGAAGCCACCTACAAAATAGAAACCCGGCCAGACGCAAGAGCAACTTAAAATGAACTTCCCCTTCTCCTAGGAGTTATTTCAGGTTCCACCTCGCTTCCAGATTTGACGGCTTCTTTCCCTTTCCCTTTGAACCGCTGACTCCTAGGGGTGGCGGTTCCCGAGGCGGCTTTTCCTTTAGAAGTTCCGGGTCGGCTCGTCTCACTCTTAATTTTCCTTTCTGGTTTCCTCTTGCCAAACAGCTCGTTGCTCGTACCGGTCTTCCAACTTCCCTCATCACCCGAGTTCTGCGCCGTTGCAGCTGCACTCCTTAAGACCCTCATTTCTTTGACAACGTCTGCGAAACCCTCTTCAAGGGTCTTCATCCTAGCTAGAACCAGTCGACCCATCCTATCCGAATCATCACGATCTTGTTTGCCTTGATGCAGCGCCTTCAATTGGCCAGTGGCCATAGCCATCTGCGTCGCGAACGATGATGGCACGGCACCAAAGTCATTATGTGCCTCTAGTCCCATATCAGAGCTAATATCTATATCAACGGAAGAAGCCGCCCGGATCCTCGGGTCAGCACCATGAAGGGCTGCACGGGTAGGCGCCGATTTCATGGGAATTGGTCTCGGCCGGATCGGGATAGCGAGCCCATTTTGAACTTTTCGGGGGGAACGCGTGCCAGTTGGTTCTGATGATTCCATCGTTGTAGCCAATCGGCTCGTTCGTGGTCGCGAACGAATTCCCGCAGGTTCTTCCGAGATCGAGGATGGACTCGGCCCATGACGACTAGGTCCCTGTGGGGCGTATAGAATCGTATTTGTGGAAAGCGTACGATTGTGCAAGCCTTGACGACGAGGCTGGTTATTGGTTCGAGGCGATGTAACAACCGGGCTCTGGTGATGAGAGGGAGAACCGAGGGATGATGGAGCCATACTTCCACGACGCAATGCTGGGGGGCTATTGAAGTAGTCTTGTGCTTGTTCTTGCTCTTCAATCTTACCGCCATGACGACTTGCAATCCCGTCATCCTCGTCCTCGTCATTTGTTACAAATTCATCATCGCCATCTGCTTCCGTTTGGTCCTTATATCGTTCTTGCTGTTCGACTATTTGGCCATTTAGTTCCTTGATGTTGGACACAGGAAAGGCGCTATTCGACACAAGGTCTGCGGGATCACTTGCGGCCGATCGAATATCAGAGACATGTCTGAACCTCTTAGGAATTTCACGACCCACGCTCATCCGACGGACTGAAAAGCTCGGACGGCTATCAATCGTAGGCCAATGCGTTAGGCGTTCTCCTATATCATCGTCATGTTGTTCCATCCAGTTGCGAATAGCTGTATGTGTTTTTCTTCGTTCTTGTCTTCTCTGGCTTCGTAGTGTGCTGACATCTGGTGGGCGACGGAAAACCTCATCTAGCGCACGGTCCTTCTGGAATCCAGCAACTGATTCTTCCCGCGTCCGCATACTGGGGCTGAAGAGAGCCGTTCCTCTACTGGCAACATCTGTAAAAGAAATTCCTCTATTCCTAACCCGTGAATGGTGCTCGACTAAATCTGTCGGCTCGTATATCGAGGGCGCTAGGAAGTATTTTTCGTAGATGAATATGCAGAATAGAAGCGGTAAATGTGTGATTTTAATGACCGTTCGGTTTAAAATCACAAATTGTCTAATAGGCATAACATATCGCAATGGCATCAAAATCCAGGCAAATATATTTCCTGGCGCAACGTACGAGAATAGCGCGTCATTCTTAACCATGGAAATGGTATTGATCGCAAATAGGAATCTAAAATGTATAAGCTTAGTTGAAGCGAGGGTCGAAAAATTACCTACTGGTGCTCTTCATTCGCATTTGAGGCGATAGCCATGAATGAATTTGTAAGAACGGTAATCAATATTGTCCTATTTCATGTTAGAACTGTAGAAACCCATGATAGGGACGAACTTACACGACGAGGAAATGACACATAATTAGGAAGACCACTAGCAGCGTCCTGCCTAAAAAGGTATATTCAGCCCATCTGGGAATTATGATCAGTAAACAAGCCCAATGATTATGAGGTATCTTGAACATACACATCCCAGGCAGCTGGTGTGAATCCCATGAGAATTTGAAAGATCTTATAGGCTACATCCGCAGCATCACTTTGGGTTCTGGAAAGGGTGAAGAACACAAAGAATCCGGAACAACTAATGAGGACGAGAACAAATACAGCAGCAAGATCTACTGCCATGAGCCGAAAGGCAATCAAAAGTTGCGAAAAGTACCGATAATGATCCAACACACTGAAGATGCGTGGTAATAGGAGGATTGCATTTGCCGCAAGGACGTCGTAGGCCATCTCATTCCAGTGATAAGGATCGACAAGGAAGACACCGTAAACCCTCATACAGTAGTAGATGATGAGCAATAGTAGAATACCGAGGTCGAAAATGTTCCAGAAACTCATAATGTACAGAGAGAAACCCTGTTCATTAAAGCCTACAACCTCGTCAAGCATGAAGCCTGCGCTCCAGAACCAAAAAACCAATTCTAGTTCAGTTATGCGACTGGATCGCTCTATCAGGACTGCCAAGAATAGACATATCAAGACAAATAAAGAGCATGTTGACAAGAATTGCCTATAGCGTGGGACACGGAGACGAGATAACTTTAAGGGAGAAGCTTGGCGAGGGTCGTAAAGGTTAACAGTTCGCCGAACAGGAGCTGCATGTAATGGCAATTGGGATTGCTGTTCTTTCACAGGCTGTTGGCCAAGTAGTGGCGTCCGAACATCGGCAGAATTGGGTTGAGCGTTTCTGCCTAGATTCGAAGGCGCAGACGGCGCACGATGAAGATTATCTTGCGATGAATAGAAGCTAATTGCACCATTCCAAATACCATCTAATTGTTGGACTACCAGCGGGTGCGCTAGGAAATGCTTGGCAGAAGCACGGATAGCTACTTCAAGAGTCGAGGATCGGGCCGCCGTTGGGCGACCTTTGCCATCTAAAGTCTTCGCATTAGGAGGGGTCGGTGTCTCGGGAGCTCCCTGAAGCGGGTAAAAATCGTAGGACAAAGCGTCAATAAGCTCCCTTGTACCATATTCCTTCAACAATTTCAAAGCCAGAAGTTCGCAGACCCTCGCTCGTGTCACACTGGTACCTGCGTTACCAGGGTACAGCCGTCCTTCCTTCGCAAATTGTAGGCAATTCGCCATCAAGGCATACAGCGTCACGCGACTGAAATGTTGGGTTCGAATTTGCTGTTGCATGGGTTTGACAAGAAATTGGGACACCTGAGGAGACCGAATTTGGTCCCAGGTCAGTGTGGTCTCAGTTCGGGTTTGAACAATTATTCTGATAGCATGGACAACATTGTAAACGGGCAATGTATCTAACTCTATTGTAAGCATAAAATATCCAATAAGGAACTGAACCGTTAAGCTTACCAAGGTAGCTCGCAGAGAATAGAGGTAGAAGAGAAGGCGAATTCCTGCGCGGATGGGCTTCTTGTAAGAACCGGGTTACTCGTGGTCTAGATGGTTCATCATCAATCTCGACGTCATCCCCATCCTCTTCCTCTTCCTCATTATCATGTATTTCTTCATCTTCCTCTTCCTCGTCGTCATCGTCGTCATCTCCCTCCGTGAAATCGGCAGTGGCATGTCGTTGTCCACCATAATTGCGACCCGCTGGACCAGGCGAAGGAGTATTAGGATTCGATTCGAAAATAAGACGCGCTGATTCGGCGCGTCGAGCAGCCTGCCTCGGTCGCAACAGCGATGAAAGCATGTCCTTAGCGGGAGGAACCATCGTCAACTCCAATTCCCCCTACCTCCACGCCAGCAGCTAAGAAAGATATAAAGGCATCGAAGAGACCAAAATTGGTCAAGTACAGTGGGATGGGATCGCCGGCCGGTCTAGTTCGTTCGGTCGTTTGCGCGCGTGACACGGCACGGGGGGTGAATTGGCCGCGATATGCGGGAAACACGAAAGTGAGGGACACGGAGAAGTAGAATGGGAAAGCAACGACAATGGCAAGGTGAAGAAGATCTTTTGGCTAGTTCTAACTAGCATTAGCATTGAGTTTTGACAAGGAAATCAGCTATCCACAACAAGCCTTCGGTACGGGGGTTCAAAGCAGACAATAAGCAGGGATATGACGAGTAGCTCAAGTGGAACCGTCCACTACTGTGCGTACCATGTAATAGAGGCGTTGGTAGGCTAGTTCACACCATCACGATCTCAAATGACACACCCATTTGAAAGGGCCTCTCGAGTCAGGCGTAACCGCTAGTCATAGTGTAATAGACTTTTAGGTAGCACAGATGAACAGATGGTAAAGTTGTAGTATAAGATGGGGGAAAGTAACAGCAGTAAGAATTCCATGTTGATAACGGTGTGCATTGTGGTTGCGCCCAGGCTACAAAAGACGTAATAGTCTAAATAATTTTTATGAACAAGGAATTTTATTAATTCTACGAAAAAAAAGGTTCAAAACTACATATGTAAGACCAAGAAGAAATGAGAGATGCAAGTAAAATGCAAGTAAGACAACCGAAACTCAACCTAATCTACCTTCCTAGCCATGTACATACCATATAATCCCCATGTCACTATGTACATATGTAATGCACCTTCTCTCCTCAGCTTCATGCTTGCATGGAGCTTGCAGCATGCAGGTTGCATCATGGGATGGTTTGAGTACGTACCTCGTAACTCGCCTATGAAATTACCGCATTAAGCCTTCTACACCATGATAATCGCCAACAATTGGTCGCTTGGTGCCGCTATCGCAAAAACTTCCCTCCCAAAATGCTCCACCGGAGTCGATCCTGCTACTGCAAATTCCCAGGCATTGGACATTCCTTTACACCGCTCACCTCCAGCTCCAATGGTTTTTATCTTCATCCCACATGCTTCATCCAACGACGATATAATCTCACCTCCTTCGGTTATCTTTATGGATTATAATTAACCAGGGCAGCCCTGCTTATTGCAACTCGCACGCATGATCCCATCTGCAGACTGATCATACATAATGTATGTAAGAACCGAAGAGGCATCCCGCATACCTCCCCACCCGCGATTGGCGAAGCCCACTCATAGGCCGAGCAGCCTAGGCCTTCTCTAATGTAGGTGAGAGACTTCACCACGCTGATCGGCAGCGATATCACTCTCTCACCCACCATCACAACGCCATCTTTATACTATTGAAGTCCGGTGCAGGAGGCGCACCACTCCGCCTTGGAATTGTACCATTACATTAATGAATAAGAGAACATTGTTACACATATAGGCTACTCAGGTACTTGTATTCCAAGCCACTTACACAATAACGGCATCCCCGTCTGCGGTGCGCTACCTGGTGTTTGCAACTATAAGCGGCTGTGTTGACAGCGCGCTTCTATTGGCTAGGAGAATTGTAGTGGTCATCTTCGGGGGTTGGCACATTCCAGGCCTGCGCGCGTTAATATCTTATAGGTATCACCAGATCTTGCCAAGCAGAACACCAATGCTGTGAAGACGAACTTCCCTCTTTTTCTTCCGGTCAAGAATATTCACCGCTCCTTCAACGCCTTCGATTCTGATATTCTGATTGGTACAATGTTTGAGGTTACACTCATCTAGCCTCAAATAGCCGGCGGATGACACATGACGAACCTGTTCCCTTGCATTTTCTCATGTATACATCTGGATATATAAACCGCTATTACATACACTATCTCTTACCCCACGTATCTCAGATAATGGTAGTCGGGATCCCGTAGGAAGAGCGTGCATGCGGCATGTACAGAATCAACTCCCGCAGAGTTGAAAGACCCTTGGATTCGGGTTGATTTTTCTATCAGATGTCAAATCGTGACATAACTATATCCACTAGATCTCCATTTAAACTGTATTTTATCGGCTGACCTAAGCAGTGTTCTTTATTTCCATCCGACTATCCAGCTATAAGTTCAAGGTCTCAAGTGTACTGCACTGTTTTTGCTTCAGATTAATGAGTATTTAAAAAGAAGTAGCGTCTATGGATATAGTCAACAGCTATATCTATAGGAAGTCAGAAGAGCTCTGACAAGCAATACAACCCATTTTTGGAGAGAGAATACTTCATACGCAACTATCGTCATAACATCTTCGGACTTAATCTGTGGCAAGCTCACAAACAGATAACCACAACATAGACATAATCGCATTGCCTATACCTTCAATAATTCATTGAAGTGCGAAAGATCCAGGCCTATATCACCTAAATCTAGGGTGTATATACAAATATTATCATCATATGCGAGATTCTAACAGTTCAAGCAAGAAGAGGAAAAAAACAAAGATTCTCGAATATTATATGTCGAATGAATGCATCAAGTATCATGAATGTCCCATCAGAAATTTGGTTCCCCGTCTCCGCCTAGAAAATGTATCTAAGCTCGTTCAAATCTAAGCAATTGCTTTTTCTTCGGGTGTATGGAGGAACGTGTCCTACCCAAAGCCGTCTCATGTGGGCTGGCGGGGTACTCTGGTAGCCACAACGAGCGGGGTGAGGACTTAATAAAGTGTTGGGTAGAACTTCTTCCATTGTAGAAAAATAGAGTAGATTTCCCTTCTCATGGAACTTGTTCTGTAATAAGGTATTATACAAGGGGAAAAGTAGGTGGATAGAATTATATGATCCCTATACGCATTCCGCGTGTACTGGAGACTTCTGTTTTAAAGATCGAGTTGAGGATGTGTGGACCACTTAGAAAAGGCGAGCTTTTATGTATTTGACGAGTTATGGGCTAGATCCCTGATCCGCTATTGCTTGATTCAAGATGCTCATCGTTAATTGGACCCCGCGGGACTTCAATGTGGGGCTCTTACGTAGTATTGCATTCAATTGTTGCAATTGGCAGCTTCACAAGCCACTCAGAGCGGGAGCTTCTACAATAGTACAAAAAAAAATTACCAAAAATTCTTGGTCGGTACCTGCACGGCGAACGAATTTTTCTCGGTCAGAGCTAAATTTTTTTTTTCTTCTCTTCCAGCTTCACATCTGAAGTTTTGTGGAAGACAATTCTCGTGAAATCGTCAATTGTGTTCCACGCCGATATGATATTCTGATCAGATCACAGTTTTGCGGCCTTAGAAAGCTCTGCTCGTGAGCTTCCTAACTGCTGCTCATCCAATTGACCCATCCCCCTCATCGTATTCCGGCTCTATTCAGTTCAAGCCCTAGGACCAGACACTACCTCCCACGAGCTCTTAATCAACCCTCAATAGACATTATGGCAGCTCCTATCCACTACCAGCCCGCCTCTGCGCGGATTGTCAACTCAGAGGATGAAGGCCTCGTGTGTCTTGATCTTCAAGACCATTCCTCCTACCAAGGCTACAGCTTCGGTGCCAAGAAGAGCATCGCCGGAGAGCTAGTTTTTCAAACTGGTATGGTAGGATATCCAGAGTCGGTAACAGACCCTTCGTATCGTGGCCAGATTCTCGTCATAACATTCCCTCTCGTGGGAAACTACGGTGTACCTTCCAGAGAGACAATGGACGAATTACTTCGTGACCGCCCCGCACATTTCGAGTCCTCAGAGATCCACATCGCTGGTCTTGTCGTATCCTCCTATGCCGGTGAAGACTTTTCACACTTCCTCGCGACCTCCTCTCTGGGAACATGGTTGAAAGACCAGGGGGTCCCTGCCATGTATGGTGTCGATACAAGAGCTTTGACGGAACGTATCCGCCAGGAGGGTAGTATGCTAGGTCGAATGCTGCTACAGAAGCAAGGTATAATAAACGGAGTAACAAATGGTGTCAATGGCGCTTCGAACCATCAGATTAAAGATTGGAAGCCACACTTCGAGTCAATTGACTGGGTGAATCCCAACACGAAGAATCTCGTGGCAGAGGGTGAGTGCCCACATAGTTGAACCATGAATATTCATTTGCTCATAGGTTTGCAGTTTCTATCAAAACGCCTCAGCTATATAAGCCACCCCAATCTTCGGCGTTAAGACATCCTTCAGGGCGCCCCCTCCGCGTGCTTTGTCTAGACGTTGGCATGAAGAACAACCAACTCAGATGCTTCTTAAACAGAGGTATCGAAGTGCTTGTGTGTCCCTGGAACTATGACTTTGCCGGCAATGCAGGTGAAGAATATGATGGTCTCTTCATCTCAAACGGACCTGGTGACCCAGCTGTCATGCGAGAACCCATAGAGCAGATTGCTAAGACAATGGGAGCTCACCGAACACCAGTCTTTGGTATTTGCCTCGGCCACCAGCTTCTTGCACAGGCGGCGGGCGCGAAGACCATTAAAATGAAATTCGGAAATCGAGGACATAACATCCCATGCACAAGTATGGTTACTGGGAAGTGTCATATTACTTCACAGAACCACGGTTTCGCAGTCGACGCCAAGACCCTTCCGAGTGAATGGAAAGAACTGTTCGTGAACGCCAACGATGGCAGCAATGAGGGTATCATGCATGTTAGCAAGCCCTACTTTAGCGTCCAATTCCACCCGGAGAGTACTCCTGGTCCTCGTGATACTGAATTCCTTTTCGATGTTTTCATAAACGCTATTGTCAACTGTGCCAAGAATCCAGAGCTTCTCAACGCCCCGGTCAATTTTCCTGGAGGAACGGCTGGGGAGAATGAGAGACTACACCCACGTGTTAACGTCAAGAAAATTCTTGTCCTTGGAAGTGGTGGTCTTAGCATTGGCCAGGCAGGTGAATTTGATTACTCTGGGAGCCAAGCTATTAAGGCTCTGAAAGAAGAGGGAATTTACACTGTTCTCATCAACCCCAACATCGCAACGATCCAGACATCAAAAGGCCTCGCAGACAAGGTATATTTCCTTCCAGTTACCGCCGAGTTTGTCCGCAAAGTCATCGTTTATGAGCGACCAGACGCAATCTATGTCACATTCGGTGGTCAGACCGCTTTACAAGTTGGTATTCAACTCAAAGATGAGTTTGAAGAGCTTGGCGTTAAAGTGCTTGGTACCCCCATTGACACAATTATTACAACAGAGGACCGAGAACTATTTGCTCGCAGTATGGACTCAATTGGCGAAAAGTGTGCTAAATCCGCATCTGCCAGTAGTGTGGACGAGGCGATGCGTGTCGTGCAGGATATTGGCTTCCCTGTCATTGTGAGAGCCGCTTATGCTCTAGGTGGGCTGGGCAGTGGCTTCGCCAATAATGAAGCTGAGCTTCTGGACCTTTGCAACAAGGCTCTAGCGGCAAGTCCTCAAGTCCTGATTGAGCGAAGCATGAAGGGCTGGAAGGAAATCGAATACGAGGTTGTGCGTGATGCCCAAGACAACTGTATTACTGTTTGTAATATGGAAAACTTCGACCCTCTCGGTATCCATACAGGTGATTCTATCGTTGTAGCACCCTCGCAGACGCTCTCGGATGAAGACTACAATATGCTACGGACAACAGCTGTCAATGTTATCCGTCACCTTGGTGTAGTCGGCGAGTGCAACATTCAATATGCTTTGAATCCGTTTTCAAAAGAGTATTGCATCATTGAAGTCAATGCTAGATTGTCAAGATCATCTGCATTGGCATCTAAGGCAACTGGTTATCCCCTTGCCTTTATTGCTGCCAAGCTCGGACTTGGCATCCCACTGAAGGAAATCAAAAACACAGTCACAAAGGTCACTTGTGCCTGCTTTGAACCATCTCTGGATTATGTCGTCGTCAAGATGCCTAGATGGGACCTGAAGAAATTCACAAGGGTTTCGACGCAACTTGGATCATCAATGAAGAGTGTCGGTGAGGTGATGAGCATTGGAAGGACCTTTGAAGAAGCTATCCAAAAAGCTATCCGAGCTATTGACTTCCACAATCTTGGCTTTGGTGAAACTAAAGCGCTCATGTCAATTGACGACGAGCTTCAAACTCCTTCAGATCAGCGTCTCTTCGCCATTGCCAACGCTATGCACTCCGGATACTCGGTGGAAAGAATCTGGGAGCTCACTAAGATTGACAAATGGTTCCTACATAGGCTCATGGGTTTGAGCCAATTCAGCAAGGAAATGTCCAGATACAACACCAGCCAAATTTCCAGACGTCCCGATCTGCTTCTCCAAGGCAAGCGACTTGGATTTAGTGATCGACAGCTAGCAAGGTTCTGGGACTCCAACGAATTAGCAGTCAGACGTATGAGGTTAGAAGCTGGAATTACTCCCTACGTCAAACAAATCGATACTGTTGCCGCTGAGTTCCCTGCTTATACCAACTACCTCTACCTCACATACAACGCCTCGCAACATGACCTCACGTTTAATGATCACGGTGTGATGGTTCTTGGATCGGGTGTCTACCGTATTGGATCCTCCGTTGAGTTCGATTGGTGTTCAGTCAGAGCCATCCGAACACTCCGGGAGGCCGGTTTCAAGACAATCATGGTAAATTACAATCCTGAGACCGTCAGTACTGATTATGATGAAGCCGATCGCCTTTACTTTGAGAATATCAATTTGGAGACTGTTCTGGATATTTACCAAATGGAATCTGCGGGCGGTGTTCTCGGCGCCATGGGTGGTCAGACCCCCAATAATATCGCGCTACCCCTATTACGTTCAGGTGTTAAGGTCCTAGGAACGTCACCAGAAATGATTGATAGGGCCGAAAATCGGTACAAGTTTTCGCGTATGCTCGACGAAATCGCTGTTGACCAGCCGACCTGGAAGGAACTTACGAGCTTTGAGGATGCTAGAAGCTTCTGTCGAAAAGTTTCATATCCAGTGCTCGTTCGACCTTCGTACGTCTTGTCAGGTGCTGCTATGAATACTGTTTATTCAGAAGCGGATCTTGAATTATATCTACAGCAGGCTGCCGAGGTCTCACGTGAACATCCTGTGGTGATCACGAAGTATATCGAGAATGCCAAGGAGATTGAAATGGACGCTGTCGCAAAGGACGGAACTGTCATCGGCCACTTTATCTCCGAACATGTTGAAAATGCCGGTGTTCATTCCGGAGATGCGACCCTTATTTTACCACCACAAGATCTTGAGCAGACCACTATTCGACGCATTGAAGAAGCCACGCAGAAAATTGCTGCCAAGCTCAATGTGACTGGTCCGTTCAACATTCAATTCATCGCGAAGGATAATGATATTAAGGTTATTGAGTGTAATGTGCGGGCGTCACGTTCATTCCCGTTCGTATCGAAGGTCATGGGGGTTGATTTGATTGAGATGGCCACCAAGGCAATCATGGGTGTTCCATTTACTGAATATCCACCAACCACCATACAACAGGACTGCGTCGGAGTTAAAGTTCCGCAGTTTAGCTTCTCAAGATTATCTGGGGCCGACCCAGTCTTGGGTGTAGAGATGGCCTCAACCGGAGAAGTTGCTTGCTTCGGTAGTGACAAATACGAGGCCTATCTCAAGGCATTAATTTCAACGGGCTTCAAAATCCCCAAGAGCAACATCCTCCTATCGATTGGTTCTTACAAGGATAAAAAGGAAATGCTTCCGTCCGTTCAAAAGCTGCAGAAGATGGGATACAAGCTCTTCGCCACTGCAGGTACTGCCGATTTCCTCCAGGAATACGGTATTCCTGTTCAGTTCTTGGAGGTTCTCAGCAATGAAGAAGATGACCAGCGGTCCGAATTCTCGCTCACGCAACATCTTGCAAAGAACATGATTAACCTCTATATCAATTTGCCATCCAACAACAAATATCGTCGCCCTGCTAATTATATGAGCAAGGGGTACCAGACTCGGCGAATGGCTGTGGATTACCAGATCCCATTGGTCACCAATGTTAAGAATGCCAAGATCTTAATTGAAGCGATCGCAAGGCACTTCGAGTTAGATATCAGCAACCGCGATTATCAAACAAGCCACCGCACTATTGTGCTTCCAGGTTTGATAAACATTGCCGCCTTTGTTCCCGGAATTGGCTCTCAAGGCAGCCATGACCTCCAGGCTGTAACGAGAGCTTCTATAGCCTCCGGCTTCAGCATGATACGCGTCATGCCAATGGGCATCGATGGCTCTATCACTGATGCTCGAACACTCAAGATTGCTCAGCAGAGCAGCAAGCGAGGTGGATATTGCGATTACAACTTTTCCGTCACGGCCACCTCTAGCAATGCTGACCAGATCAGTCAAGTGACGGGAGAGGTTGGATCACTTTTTATCCCATTCAACCATCTATCTGATAACATCAGTAAAGTCGCTGCGGTTACCGCACATTTCGACTCATGGCCAACTCATAAGCCTATTCTGACAGATGCAAAGACAACGGATCTCGCCTCTATCCTACTACTCGCGAGTCTACATAATAGGCGTATTCACGTCACTAGTGTTACTACCAAGGAAGACATTCGACTTATCGCTCTTAGCAAGGAAAAGGGCCTAAATGTCACTTGCGATATATCAATCTACTCGTTGTATTTGTCGCGAAAGGATTTCCCCGACTGCCAGTGTCTCCCTGAGCCCAGCGACCAGCAGGCTCTCTGGGACCACCTAAGCACAATTGATGTCTTCTCGATCGGCAGCCTTCCGTATCAGCTGGCACACTACATACAGTCTAACACAAGCTTGGATGTACAGGCAGATGCTACAGTTGGCATTGCTGATGCCTTACCTCTTTTGCTGACATCTGTTACAGAAGGCAGATTGACAATTGAGGATGTCAAGACACGCCTTTATGACAACCCTAAAGAGATCTTTGAACTCCACGAGCAGGTTGGCACTTCTATTGAAGTTGAAATTGACCGTCCGTATATCGTGAGAACATCATCATGGTCACCATTTGCCAACAGGACCATGCGCGGGGCGGTGCAAAGAGTTACTTTCAACAACAAGACAGTTTGCCTGGATGGAGAGCTTCTCCCAATCTCCCCGCTCGGAAATGATATGTCTACCCACGGCAGTGTACCTGCACCCATGTCACCACCAATGAAGTCGATGCCTCAGCCAGCGCATCCTCTGGACCCTCTTCGTACTCGACGCCTTTCTAACCTAAGCAAACCATCTGGTATACCGCGGCTGACCGATAGTGAGGGTGACGCCCTACGTCCTACATCGAGGAATGCACCAGCTACGGAAGAATTTGGACTGCCAGCACCTGCACGAGCACCATTCGTTGATTCCTTGCATGATCTTCTTATGCAACCATCTGCATTCAAGGGCGCGCATGTTCTCTCAGTCAAGCAGTACACACGGTCCGACCTTCATCTCCTGTTTACCGTGGCCCAGGAAATGCGCCTTGGCGTTGATAGAGAGGGAGTTCTCAATATTCTACGTGGTCGAGTTCTATGCACAATGTTTTATGAACCATCGACACGTACTTCCGCGTCGTTCGATGCCGCTATGCAACGTCTAGGTGGTAGAACAATTCCCATCACGACGACACATTCATCAGTTCAGAAAGGAGAAACGCTTCAAGATACGCTCCGAACACTTGAATGCTACGGTGATGCTATTGTGCTACGTCATCCTGTGGAGACGTCGGTGGATGTCGCAAGGAAATACAGTAAGGTTCCCATTATCAACGGCGGTAATGGAAGCAAGGAGCATCCTACACAAGCCTTCCTTGATCTCTTCACAATTCGTGAAGAGCTTGGTACAGTTCAGGGTTTGACGATCACATTTGTGGGAGACCTTCTTTACGGACGACCCGTGCACTCATTGGTGTACCTTCTACGGCACTACCAAGTACAGGTCCAATTGGTCGCACCAAAATCATTGGCGCTTCCAGCAGAGGTTCGCAGCCTGCTCAAGGAATCTGGACAGTTGCTTTGCGAATCTGAAGAGCTCACTCCGGAAATTCTTTCGAGGAGTGACGTGTTGTACTGCACAAGAGTGCAGAAAGAGCGTTTCCCGAGCGTGGAGGATTATGAGAAAGTCAAGAACTCGTACCGCATTGACAACGCCACGCTCAAGCATGCGAAGCAGACGACGAGGGTATTGCACCCTCTACCTAGGAATGAGGAGGTCGCGGAGGAGGTTGACTATGATCACCGGGCGGCTTACTTTAGACAGGTGAGTGTTGAGGAGCATCTTTGGTGATAATGAGGAGACATGCTAACAGTTTCATAGATGAGATACGGTCTTTACTGCCGAATGGCCTTACTGGCTTTGGTCATGTCAGGTTAAATCATTTCGGTCGTATTTTTTCCACCTTCGCATTCGTAGTCAGTCTCTCCGTAGATTGATGATACATTAAGTACACTATGATTTATGTGGAGGAGCTTAAAAGTTAGATTAGTCACTTATTCTCCTTACCAAAAAAGTACTCGACGTATAGATAGGAACACTTGCATCAGACATTGATTAGGCTCACGCCATTTATGAGTGAATGATTTACGTATAAGGCTATGTATAAGGCATTTGGTACGGCGTACATGTACTTTCTTTTTTTGTATATTTTTGGATGTATGTATATACGTATGTGTATATATGTATACGTGTATATAGTAAGGGGTATACGTATATGCGTTTTTGTATATATTAAAGCTATTTGAATTATTCTATTTCGCTTCATTCCGTTGTGTGTGTGTGTGTGTGTGTGTTCCCTATATACTAATTAGTGAAGCACTAAATTGTATGCAGGCTCTTAGACATTTAAGTAATGATGTCATCTTTCGATTTACACACATATTTCAAATCTCGATAATAAGGAAAATAAATTATCGTAATTGCTCCAATAGAAGTGTTGAATCACCACCAATTGCCCCTTATAGGTAGGCGTTTGTTTACCTACCCTTTCGACCTGTAGACGGTTTTCGCGGGGTCCCGCTGTAGCAAATTTATTATCTCATTTCTCAGTGGGGACAAACGACCAACTTCAGCTTACACAAACATTCATATCACCCACCTTGAGAGGCAACTCGTCAGCCCCTGGTTTCATCTATCTGATGCACTACTGCATCCGCCACTTTAACATCCTGCCAATACTTTTACAATACTCACAGCGACAGTTCATCGTTCGTCCCACTTGCGGATCTTTTCTTGTTCGAGGATATTCCGCGATGGTGACTCCGTCTTCACATACTCCAACTCCGGCGCCCTGGCGGCACGCCTTCTTGGAACATATTCAAACTGTGCCGTCGCCGGAGTTCACATTGGCTACGGTCCGGAAGAGTGTTTCGCCGGCTGGCGTTACGACATATGCCCCTCGAACACGGACTTGTGCGTTTCGCGGCTTCTTCGCGGGACTCCCGGTGAATCCTAAGAATGATGCGGAGTTAAACCCGGATGTGTATGACAGCGACTTGCTGGCTTTCACGACGGACCGGCGTATGGAGAAGCTAATTGAGCTATTCGGTATTGAAGCCGGTAAGGAAAAGGAGAATGAGGACCGGCTTAAGGGATCAGGGGGCGGGGCACCGGTTGAAGCTGTCTTCTGGATTAAGGAGAAGAGCACCCAGTGGCGCTTTAGGGGTACGGTGTACGTCCTGGCACCGGATATTGAGACTTCGGAGGCTGGGGAGGAGGTTAGGTCTACACTTTTATCGCATATAAGGCGGAAGAATAGTAGTGGTGGTAGTGAGGGCAAGGAATGGAGTTTTGCACGAGAAATTACGGCGCATTTTGGGAATAATAGCCCGGTTATGCGCGGCTCGTTTCGGAATCCACCGCCTAGTGTGCCGGTCGCGCTGCCGGTGGATGATGAGAGGTTGAAGCTGGGGCAGAAGGTGACGGATTTGAATGATGAAGTAGCGAGGTCGAATTACAGGGTCGTAGTCATTGTACCGGAGGAGCTGGATCGTGTGGATTTGAGTAACCAGGAACGCGCGAGGAGGTGGGTGTATACGTATGCTGGGGAGGAGCAGCAGCCGCAGAAACCCGGAGGAGTAATAGAAGATGGATGGGAGAAGGTTGAGGTGTGGCCGTAGATGAGATGAGAAATGAATGATCAATACAACTCTTACGAGTATAAAATTTCGAGATATCATGATAAAACCTATATAAAACAGACACTTGCGTACTTTGCTGACTGTTTTTGACTAATGAGGAAGAGTTTGCGGCCCGTCTATCTGCAGTATCTACTTCATCTAGCTACGTACAGATCGATGCATACATGCATACATTAATTGCTTCCTTACTTACTACCTGGTGACGAGAAAGGATTCTCGCATTCTGCTGTTGGTTTGCTACCCCTACCCAGGAACCATTACTATATCGAACGATCAATGAACGCACATGAAAAAGCCTTGGCATCAACATAATTCCGCACAAAATCCGTCGTAGCCCGGTAATTACGTCTGAGGCTCATCTAACCTAACCTACCTACCTACCTACACAGGCAGTCAGTGCATGTGGTCTTGGCACGTATCCGCATCCGTAAGAATGTGTGTGTGGTGCCTGTCTTGTCGCGTGTGATATGTGATCTAGGTAAAATTTTGGGGTGTTTGTGTGTGATGTGATAGATAGAAGAAGGTAAGGGAGGGTAAGATTCCTTGCCGAGTCGACCACATGGCAAATCGTTTTTGTGCTGCAGCCGAGGAGGATCACTTTACACAGATTGACTGACCTAACCCTGTCCTCCCATCCATCCATCCATTTGCATTTTTTTTCCTTCATGGATTAGAAGTTCAGGTAGGACTGATAGGTAGTAAGTAGGCTTCATAAACTGACTGATTTCGCGCTTTCGGCCTTACTACGTAGCTATTCCTTTCACTTTCGTTTTCTTGTCTTGTTCTTTCAGATCGCCGAACTCTGTGTATTGCGGTTCTCCCTTTACAGCTATCCAAACATGTACCTCTCTAGGTACATTATCGAGATGAAATACTACTTGTGGGCGGAGGATGCCGCAAGTTTGTACTCCGCGGAGGTTGGATTTTTAATATTGATTAGTTACTAGAGGTACTTGACAAGCCACTTTTTGCTGTTACACTAGCAAAATACTCCGTGCTGTTTCACCGAGGCATACGACTCTTGCTACAATAGATCCCAATAAAGGAAAAGAGATGAATGACTTCTTACACCTTTTACGTACAATCTATCGGTGTTTGAAGCAACGACCCTTGAATACTGGCATCGGGATCTAATCTGATGTTTTATGTAGTGTGAGTTGCGAAAGTGTGGGGGGGGAAAGAAGGGAAGAAATGCTTCTATTTAGAAGCTTATGGAGACCGGAAAGGGAAGCCGTTCAGGCTAGCAGACAAACTAGGAGGGAAGCTAGGGAGTAACCGTCATGAATTTTCCACGTGTTCGTAGCCGGGGGTCCACCCCGAAATGGGGAGGTGGAGTTTAGGAAGGGAAAGAAAGACGAGAATGTAATTCGATTAGGGTAGTTTTGACCGCTTTTAATTATTTTTTATTCTTATTTTATTGCATTTTATCTTATTTTTATTTTATTTGTCTGGGCGAAGGTACTGTACCGTACCTGTACCGTGCTTTCGACTCCTTGTACGAAATACGTACTATATAAAAATGGATGATGCTTTTACGTACATATGATACATAACAATGATGAGGCTGGATCGTTGGATTGTCCGAAAGAGCCAATCTCCGCTCGAGTCTCCGGTATCGTGATCTGATGTCGGTATGTAGATGGGTATACCTTGATGATTATGGATGGATTTTGGCTGCTGGCGGCACTGCATGCGGTAAATCCCCTTAGCTTCGAGGGCCTTCCCGTCATCCTATGGGGCTCAGAAACATGAACTATCCGTGTCGTACATATGTGCTACTGCAACAAACCGCCCAACTAGACCCAACTAGATTTGATGTCAGCTAACAGATGTTCCCTTCCCCCCGATCATAAAACTGTCGATGCCCTTGGATGACAGGCACTACATGGACGCAAGCTTACTGCGGTGTAATAAATGAGATGATTAAGGTTCCGTGTGCATTTTGTGGAACACAGCCTCTATGCAATTTGTTTCGTACTGTAACTATTGTACGATGCCTACCGGTCTTACCTAACTTGTCATGCAAGATGAGAAGATCAAGTAAGGATATTCATACGGGGAGTCGCATTGTCAGAGTCCCACAATCCGATCCCCCTCGGCTACGTCCACCTTCCCTATACGGCAACTATCGTATATACAGCCGAGCAGTGAAAGTAAGGAGGTCCTGTATTATTGCCTAGGGATATTTTATTATTATTAACGAATGACAGGTAGTAGTATAATGAGCGCCTAGATAATGTGCCCGTCTACGCTTCTTTAGAAGTCTCAAGCGGGGGCTTTTATACTCTATATGCACTGCTAGGTCATGTTTCAAGCATGATAAACCAATCTGATCTGAATATGAAAGCGAATGGACCGAATCGGTTATGATATATGGTGCATACCTCACCGCTTAATTCATGTATGCAGATGTATGCAAAGCCAAGTGAAAATCCATGTTCTGTCGAGTCCATTGGACAATTGGGGGTCGATAATACAGTATGGATTTGTATGAGTTCATACTATATATAAACAGGGAATATTATCTACACTTGAATACTTAGTAGACATTACTAAGGATGCCCTCTTAGTTTGCCTACGCTAATATTTAACAAACACATCAAACTTCGTTCGCGCTTTTTTCTTAATGAAATTAAGCAACTTGTCAGTTCTCAACTTCTGTCTATCGTACTTCTGGAGGACATAGCCGTGGCAGAGGGTTCGTCGATCTGAAAGGTATGCTATGTACCGCTCATGCATGCCAACGCATTGTGATGTCCCAATCAGGTACTGTATCTCCGGTCACCCTCCATCTCAGACGGAGCTCCATGTACATCACATAGTGTTTAGTACTACGTACAGTATACGACGTACAGAACATGACTTAAGGCTATTCCCGCCTGACCCGCTCGTACCCTATTGCGCCCCCAGCTTCCAAACCTCTTCCCAGCCGCTCCCGCGATGGCTACAACCGCTAAAAGCAGTCCTACGTGCAGCGTACATGCGTCCTAGCTTAGAACCTTTGCGCCTGTAACGAATCTCCTCTCTTTCTTTCACGCCTATCCGAGCGACTCAGTGGACGGGCCAGCTGTGACCTGACCAAGTTGCGAAAGGCAAAATGCGACTCGGCTTGACTCCGAAGGTACATAGGAGGCGCTTTTTTTTTTTCTCGTCCTCTAACGAGACCCGTAAAGTCTTGTCGTAAGACTGATACGGAAAGCTTCCCCACTATCGACTCATTATTTACATGAATGTGTAGGGGATCCGCAGTGTATTTCTTGTTTCTATCTGCGGGAAAGACCTTGTCGCATGAAGCACCGTATGTATGTCAGAAACCCCCAACAGGTTTTGGAGTCCATGTAGGAATCTAAATCTATGTAAGTGCTGATAGAAATAGAGGTAATACCTTACCTTATAGAGAAGGCAAAAAGGCAGTTTTGACGTTTCGGCTCACTCAGCAGGATACGTGTATATGACCTAGAATAGGAATGGATCTTGAAGGGATGAAGCAACCATTCGCATCTTCGCATTTATTTTTGATAGACAGAGTAGGCCGGTACATAGGCCGGGCCGCGTTGATACCCCCCCTTTACGTTATACACCCTTCTAAAGTCGTTTTCTTGTGCAAACATACATGATGTAGCCCATTTAAACATTCCCCCATTGAGATGGAAAGCCGAAAAAGTGACAAAAGAACATCGCATTTCGGCTCCTTCGTGGGCTTGTGTGACCCGAGATGATGTTTTCTTCCATATTATATACGGAATCACCAACGAGATCTTTTTTTGGTCTTTTTAGAGAGAATTCCCAAGTTGAACTTCGATCTTGCATTCGAAGGGTCGCTTTTTTAATAAACCAGAACGGGAGCTTGTTAATTAGTCGCCGATCAAACCGTCAAAAAGAAAAGACATGTAGATTCGCACGCGACGACGCTAGTGGTCAAGGGCCCGTACCGCTATCCTTGCTCGTGCAGAATACTGTGCTGGACTTGTGTTCCTGTACATATTGCGCTACGTAAAGCGCTGTATTATGTAGACTTTCAGCGCTGTGGTAGGCTCGCTGGAGTAGGTACAATATAAAGACCCATGTACCTAGGTGAACAAGGTAGGTGAATTAGGTAGGAGAAACTAGCGAGCATATAGTACGATAGTACGCTACAGAGTTCCCCTAGCCTGCCGGAGTGGCCCTGTCTAGGGTACTTATGGTACCGGCTTTTCTGCCCATGGTGGCCTAAGTCCGGTTAGGTAACGCTTCGTCCTCGGTATCCGCACGTATCCGCACAAGTACTACGTCTATGTATTTCAACGTAGCATGTACCGAAATATACCTAGCTACCTGGGTACATATATACATATATATGTACATCGCGGTTTGAGCCAACAACGGCCAACGCACCTAAGTACTGTACATCCGTACATAGACATACATGTAGTACCCCACAAGCTTTGCAATTCAACGTTCTCTTCTCTTTTCGCTCTGGTCTCTCTCCATCTGCATCTCCATCTTCCCTCTCCATCCACTTTCTCTTCAATATCAACTCTTGTTTCCACACAATCCGATTCCTCTCCCGTCTCTCATCCCCCATTGCTGCCCTTTTTCTTCTCCCCGCCATATCCGCACTGAATTTCTATGCATTCTTTTGATTTGAAGAGCAATTGATCCTGTTCTTCATCCAATTTTATTGTGCCGACTAAATGTTTCTAATTGGCTAATGTTTTGGGACACCTCATACGAATAAAACGCGCCAACCTGCCCGAGGTCGAAACTGGAAACTGCTATATCGCCACCTCCAGTTCATCGTCTGGTACCAGTTCACGGTGCATATCCTTGGCCCAGCTTAACTTTCAATGACTTATTGACTTAATGTCATTGCTATTGGCACAATTCTACTTATAAAGTCACCTAGCCGTCTGCTTACTCACACACCTTCTTCACCTACACTACCCCGAGTAGACACCTAAGAAAAAGTTGGATTAGCTTCGAAATTCAAGTAACACTGCGGTAATCTTGGTATCAAAAATGGCGACGGACTCGTTAAGGGCTTTAATTGTCAACATACCCGATTGGCTCAAACGCCTTGAGGAGCTTAATGGACAAATCGACCAACGCCAGCAGGATCTGGCTATGCTACCCGAGAACCGACCCGGCTCTTCTGCACAGTCCATGAGGAATCGGGGTTCAACCGAATCCCTGAAGCCGCGTGACGAAGGTGCCCTAACTCAGCAACCCGACACAACAGAAGTGACACCGCCTCCGCCGACGGGAAGCAGTGCTTGGCCGAAAGATGGCACCGACGCTCCCATAACCCCCGTACACGAACTAAAGAAGAAGACTTCGAGAACATCGTTTCAACAAACGCGTGAGGTTATGGCAACTGCACAACGACGAGCACGAGCGACGGTCCGCAAGCGGCAGAAGACAGATTCCATGCTTAGCCATGAGAATAGCGTGCAGAAGTACAGGTCGCGGAACATGATCATTGTCTACTATGATAGCTACGTGCAATCATTCTTCGAAGAGTTGGTCAAATTTGTATCGATACAGCGGAACTCAATGCGTAAGGCTAAGATGGCCGCTAAGGTGGCTCGTATTAGACGGTTGGCTGAAATTGAGATGCCAGACGAGGAGGATGAAGATGAGGGTCACGAGCTGAAGCCTAGGGACACGCTCGTTGCAGCTACAACCAAGGCCATCGCTTCGAATTACAATGATGATCCAGATGAGCCCAAGTTGCATTTTATGAGTACCCAAACTATGGGCTCCCGAAACATGATGGCCAACAGGAGAAGTGCGAGGGTAACAAGAAGCGGTCTCACTGGCGGATTGGGATCCTTCCAAGACAAAGGTGATATCTGGGAAGAGTTGGATAAAGGCCTCGAATTTGTCCAAGGTATGTGTGAGCACGGAGCGCATCAATTCCTACGGGATGGAGACTGCAGCGAGGAAGTGGCCAAGATTAAGGCTCGCCTTGCTCAGACCAAAGACACCGCCGACAGGGAATTGGCCCGTATAGAGGCCGGTGTCCCTGATGATATGGACGCGACCGCGCCTATGAAATCACGCAGCTTCCGACCGATGACAATGCGGAGGACCACGCCGAGTGCCAAGGCTGCTGCTAAGCAAAATGTTGTGGAAGTGGAAGATGAAGGTATTCAAGATATGGACAATTTCCAACCGGCCTCGAAGCCGGCAAAGCAGGAGGATAGAGTTACGTCCTAGAGTGACGAGGCCTCTGTTTTATACCATGCGTCTCACGCATTCAACAAATCTACACGTACTTTACGTACCATTACCAGCCGACGGCATTTTTTGCGCATATATACATATCACATTACCCATACAAATTTTTATTTTACTCGCATACAACATCGCGACGGAGTTTGCTTACACAGAGAATGACGACCTCATCATAGGTGCCATTGCGACTGCACTATGTTTCACATATCAAATCCAGAGCTGGCGCCTTTTCAAAAATAGTACTCGTTTTTTTCTCCTCTCTCGCTTTGGGGCCCCGGCAGATAAAAGCACGCATCAGCACTTTCTTACGATTTTGACACGTGCTTGGAGTTTGGTCTTTTTTTTTAAGGGGGAAGCTATTGGACATTGATATCAACCACCCGAAGAGGGAATCCTTGGATAACAGTGTGGAATCAGCCCACTGCCGGTGCTTAGCACCTGTCACGACTTTATGGGAATGACGGCCGAGAAGGGACAATATTTTGTATATACAATGGCTATCTCTCAATATGCTCCCCGAACCCCCAACTTAGAAATGGGGGTGGTCCGACTAATGCTAGATCTATGGCCACTTTTCTTCGCATTGAAACGCCGCCCGCTATGTTATTTAGGGGATTAATCGGCGATTTTTGCAAGCTGACTTGCCAATGCTGACATGAAGGGCTGAATATCTTTTTGAGTGGTTGCGAAAAAAAGCCTACATACCTAATAATACATTTACTATGTAACGTATTTTACTATTGACACAGTATATTGGTCGCGTCTATGATTCCTGTGTGGAGCTGCTCTGATTGAATTGACCTGGTATTATTAATTTCCGCTGCTCGTGGGTAATTAGTACAATGGCATGTAACCAGTCCCTTATGCCTTGTATTGGCACAGTGCACAAGAGGGGTAAGAGTGCCATCGTAAGGTGATAGCTGAAGACAAAAAGCAATTGGGGGCAAATCATTCGTTCAGAAACAATTGCAACCTCCTTATGTGCGGCACAGTACGGATGTTATTCGCAAAAGCATACGCACGATACCAGGCAATGTGTGGGAAACGAGTTAAGTTCCGGAACCAACAAGCAGAAACGGGATCCCCTTGCCACGAGAATACAGCTTGAGCTTTTTCCGCGGAGAAAGATTGGGGGGGTGGTTGGATAAGAGAAGAAAAATAAAATAAAAAATAATAATACCGATGGTATTAAGAAGGATTAAACCAATAAACTCACAAGACGAATACAAATGCAGATAAACCGGTGTAGGTACTTACGTACAGGGGCACCCATTTAAACAATACCGAGTCAGTCGGCCCGTCTGAAGGCTTACCGAAGCTCGGCTACGGGATGTGTACATTGACGTATGTACCTAGGACAAGACAAAGGTACGTCACGTCAGGGGGGTAGGAATTGCTTTTACTGTTTTTCTTTTCTTTTTATTCTACAGCGTAACACACCATGATGCATGTTACAGCTAGTCGTTCAATCTCCCGAGACATTGAGCGGGATCAATACCTAGGTACGGCGAACTGCGGAATTGCTTGCGCGGTCGCGGAAGAGGGAGAATTGAGAAATTGCATTCACGTATGGAATATATAGTATATACGTATCTATCTCTTTATATTATATAGATATGTCGTAAGTCTTGATGTGAAGACGTGTCAGCGTACATACATACTACTCTCATGATATTTCGGCTTTTGGACCGGGGTTGCTCTGCATAGGGTTGCATTTTGATTCCTCTCTTACGCCTCACTCTCCTTTATTGTTTCCTATTATGGGAGTCTGGGGAAGTAGATCTACGTTACTTTATCAATTTAAGAATTCTAAATGCGCTACCGATTATCTCATTGGGAGCTCTTGTAATTGAGGGGAAGTATATTGGAAATATAGTATCAGATAGAGAACGCCAGCTTGCCAGTTACGGATGAATGAATCTCGAAACAGTACTCTGCAACTTTAGAGATGGCCAAATCGGTACTGTCACATATACATCTCTTCCCTAAGGGTTACCTCCTATCACAACCATCATTCAACCAACCGACCAAAAATAGTATCTCGGTCCCGTCTCTACGAGGTGGGATTATGAATTCTCATCCAATAGAAAATCAGCGCCACGAATACTTGATCAATGGAGCACAACCTATTGCCTATTCAACGCGACATCTTGCATCGTATCAGGAGGCGTTAATGTCGATATTAGACTTGATATAGGAGAGAAAAGGAATTAAAGGGGGTGGAGTGTAAGAGCGACAATGAACCAAAGATGGAGTTTGGTAACATCTACGGTGGCTATCCAATGTTGCCGTCGTCTTTTCCTCCCTTCCTCCGAAGTCCACCTGATCCGAGGAACCCACGAATCGGCGCTCGCGGGTACCACCGTCGCCGCCGCGAACCGCGCTTCGCGAGGGTCGGATCTACTGTCCCGAGAGGGAGTCGTATTCGCTGTTAGTAGGTGAAACGCGCGCAATCTCCTTCCTCGCTCGCTAAACACCTCCTTGTGAGGCTCTTCGGGGAACACGCTATTTTTGACTTCCCTGACCGATCCCGTGATATGTTGATTTTTCCTCAGTTGTTCTCCGAACGGCCAAAATGTCCGGCCCGAGATAGAGGTGCGGGCGAACGTAGAGTCGTCGCCCGAAATACTTTAGGTAATTCTAACTCCCAACTTGTGTCATGCTAGGGATATCTTGGTGGTACGTGTGAAAAGAACTCCTATTCGAGAGGAGCGTGCGAGACAGTTATGCAGTTGGTTCAATTGCGGGATTGTTGAAAGAGTCGGACGATTTCCCGCCTCGATGACGATAAAATTTCGAGTTTTCCATCACTTCCATCTCATCGGAATTTAGAGCCTGGAGGCAAGGTTTTCTGCCTTGCGTGTCTGTACACGCCACTCACAAGCATGAGGCCGCGAATATGTAGGTTCGGATACTTCTCACGCTTGTAGATATATACCAGAGCGAATACACAAGCACCCCTCCCGTTGCTAGCAAATATACCACTCAGATTTATAATGTCACCGTGATGATTATCGCTCTTCCCCCCCTTAGGATTTGATCATTCCTTCTCGGGTCCGAGCTTATTCAAACGATACCACAGGCAGCCGGATGAGAATTTGCAACCCTTCAAAGTGTATAGGAAAAGTCGAAATATGAAAGTAATATGAGAGATTCAAGCTACCCACCTCTTTCTAACTCTATTTAGCGTGACCTACAATAGCCAATACCAGGAATTTGGACGCAGCGACAAACCTCATACATAGGGAACAAATGACTTCATATTGAGCGACAATGGAAGAGGATGAAAATTCTCAAATGTATCCCTATTTTACGATTTAGGATATCACTGTAGCCGTTTATTTTATTTTTGTTCATTTTTTCCCACACAAAGTATTGGCTCGAGGTCTAGACACCAATGAAAAAGATATGAGCCAGCTGAGACACCTGAAGCCTTTTTTTTTTTAACGGGCTAAGCGTACATTAACGAAAATCGGCGCCGATAGTCGACGCAATAACTAAAAGTGATATTAGAAAATTTAAGTCAAGTAAAGGAGTATTATGGGCCCGTCACACGCCTGCACGAAACGAATGCGTAGACATATCATAAGTTGCTCTGCTTCGTGTAGCAAAAAGCGATTCGAATATCTGGTCTCTCGCTAAGCGCGATGCGCATTTGCATTTATATCCAAGACTACTGTTTGATTTACTTTTATCATTTCATTGAATGCTTATTGAATTCACTCTCTATCTAAATCTCTAGAGTCGCCTCTGAGGACGCCGAAATCATATGTCAATTGAATGCGAGTACCTAGGTACATCAGTACGTCATCAATCACATGTAGGCTAGCAATTGATTGAATACATCCAAATGTACATGTAGGTAGCCAATTAGGCTATGACTCGGTACTTGGCCCCACCTTTAACCTTAGGGCCATGTGGATCGCGCAATAGTTCCGCAAACGTACTAGTGTATTCGAGCTTGAGCCACGCTGTGGCTCCATGTTCGCACCGAATTCTGGCGCAAAAATGGACTTGGACAGGGCCAATAGAACGGCCCTTTTACTCTTTTTGCTACATAAACCAGTCTAAGCAACTAATTTCCAACAAGCAGAAACACGACTGCTGGCGCAGAGCCGCCAGAAGACGGGGTAATACTGCACGGGGCCCTGCTGGCGCAATGGTAGCGCGTCAGACTTCTAATCTGAAGGTTGCCGGTTCGAGCCCGGCGTAGGGTGTACAATTTCGTATAATTTTTGTTCGATTGCATGGGATTTCGTGTTGGAAATTGGGAATTATTTTTGTTAAAAGAAATTACAGCTGGTGCTGCTCATCCTAGTAGTTGTCGCAACAAGGGTTGTACCTTCCCCCGTATAATTACTTTTTGACCCCGCACTAGGGTATCTACATATTGAGGCCTATTTTTAAATATAGTTTTCTATTGAATCTAGTTCCCAGCAAATCAATGTTTTCATCAACTGCGACAGCAATGCGCATTTGTATATTTCGTCGAGACAAATATTTTTATCTAGTGAGAAGATAGCTGCGTTCTTCGAGAAATATATGGGGTTATTTAAGCTGATGAAATTCCCCTTGGGAGATGCACGAACCTCCAGGAACATGAGAAGAAAACATTATGTTCTGAACTTTAGGAGAAGGAGACGCGAATGTCGAAGGCTGGTATTTTCGACACGACATAATCGGCGCTTCTAGTACCGGTGTTAGCGATGTTTTCAAGAATGGCGATGTGTTGATTGGGGTGGTAGCTATAACTTAAAGCTAAAGCAATAAGCGCATTCCTTGAATTCGCCGACTCAGATTCAGTCAGAAGCCAAAGAGTAAGGTGATGCGAAAAGGAGAAATGCGATATCGTATCCCCCAGGGAGCTGCCAGCCCCGGTCAAAGGCCGCGCAACAGGTATGTTCTGAAATGTAATTGTCGCAACAACTGAAGATCAGGAATACCCTTATGGCTCTCGTGTCTAGCTTGATACCATTGTTGAAACTCGTTACTTTTATTTTATGGATAGTCTCGACGTTGGGGATGTTATAGGCACTAGTCTCGCCGGACGTGTGCTGTTTTGCATGAGGGAGGGCAACGAAACCCAACCCCCAGGAAAACCCCAAAATCTACGGAATGAGAAAGAGGTGAGGATCCGGTAACAGCGGAGCTTACTAAAACAGAGATTCCAATCTAGCGATCACCTGAGTCGCGATGCTAAAGTTTGTTACAAATGGTTCCGTATGTAGGTTACGGGATAATTATCGCGTATTTCATTAACATACTCCAGGCCATTCCCTCGTGCCACTTGACGCCAACCTCCGTAGTCTGTACCGCCCCCAGCATAGAAATCATACGAAACACTTAAGGTGTATAGAAATCAGTGTTTCCATTGACTCCGGTCACGAGATGAGTGTCTATTTCAATTGCCACTCCATTTCCCCTAGGCGGTATATAAATTCGGTCGGGAAGGTAGCATCGTGGAGAGCTGGCATGGTGACATATGGTAGAAAGCTTATTTGATGCTATTCTGAAGGAAAGGACGTGATTCTTACGCTACTTCCTAGATGTAGGAAGCAGGGCAGGTGCTCCCATGCATACCGAGAAACGTAGAGTTAAGTTGTAGGACGATTTAATTTCAATAGTGATACACTTGGGTATCTATAAAGTACACCTCATGCACCTAACTCTGCCCCAGGTACGGGAAGGTACTTAGATAGACGTGAGGTAGGTACCGAGATACGCACTTTCCCATTCTCACGATAGCTAACCTTAGACTTGGAAGTCACCTACCTAGGTACTTGACTACCAAAAAATAAGGAAATCGCGAAGGACATGCAGTAACTTTACGTGTCGGATGGGTTCCCCCAGAAATTCTGCTAGATTTTTTCCCTTCCCTTCTTCTCTTTTATCTTACCAACAACATCCAACCTTTTTCGCGGTAAGTAATCCTCTCTAGGTAGTAATCTATATAGCTATGCGAATGATGACTAATTGAAGCCTAGATGACACGGAAGATAGTACAACACATCTACATAAGTTCCGGTGGCCGCGGCGGTGGTGGTGGAGGGAAACCTCTCGTAAGTGGACCGCTCTATTAAGTGAACAACATCTTACTGATTTTACTTAGTCCAATAAACAGAAAAAAAAACTCGAGCGGCAATTAAAATGGCTCCGGCGCCGTCTCGAAGGTAAAAATCCCCATTCGTAATATATCTATAAGCCTTACTGATTATATATATAAGCCGACAATGCCAACCCAAGCGGTGGCAGCAATGCCAATACGAGCGGCGGTAGTGGCAGCGATGACAAAAGCCAAGTCAAGGTTGAAGCCAAAGTCAAAGTCGAAGAATAGGTGGTTATGTACTTAATTGACAAATACAATACATTGCCCGTCCATCTTATAAGAACTCACTCAGGACCTCTACTCTCGTCCTGGCATCTTCGGAGCCTTGGTCTCCATCGGCGATTATTTTCATGATTTGGATCATACGAGCTAAGAAGGCATCAGAATCAGGTATAACAATTGACTGAGATGAGTATCGGAACTGTGAACGTACTTATATCTGCCTTCGCCCTAGCGAACAGCGGGTCCCTCAAGAACTGGTCTGCAGTAGCTGGGTCTCTACCGGCCTCACGCAGAACACTCCCTATGCACAATGCCTCTAAGAAAGCTCTGTGGTGGAAGACCCACCATACGCGTGCCTCGGGATCGAATAACGTAAACAAGACGAAGAAACAGGATAGCGCTTCGTGAGCGGCTTCGAGGGTCGCTCTAACGTTGACAGGTACGTCGGGGCTCTCAGAAGCATGTACTAGCATGAGGTTGTGGTAATAATTACTGCTTAAGAACAGCGTTTGCCTCACGACACGCTTATTACTACAGGCGAGTTGCGCAATGCTTTCTTGATCCCACGACCGAAAGACGTCAGGGAACGAACGATATACGGCGCGGAAGTCAGCAACAAGCTTCGATTTCTGCCGTTGAGTAGAGCAGATAGGCACGTCGAGGGACCGAGGACTGGAGATGGTTTCCTGGACCAAATTGGCCAACATCCAAGTCCCTCGGATGTACGCTATGTCGATAGGGTCGGAATCACCAAAGCCGGATGGGTCGCCGACGAAATCGTCGACTTTGACATCGGTATGTGTGGCATTTGGGGGTAATGAGAGTAGGACTGTTAGGAAGGTGTCTTGGACGAGGACGGCTTGCCAGAGCTTACGCCGTTGTTGTTTGTCGAACTCGCTTGCGTTGGGGATTACTGTTATATGTTAGTCTGCGGCTTACTTGTCGCTGTCAATTGCCCCGACCTACCTATATTTGGGTCTCGATGAAGACCCATCGCATAGGCTTGCCTTACTACAACATCAAATTAGCGATTCTTAGTCCGCGCGCTTCATTTGGCGCGAGCCGTATTCAATGCGAAGAATGCCTCGCTAATGGATTCCTAGCATCTTAATTGGAGCGTGTCGCTTGCGGGAAGAGACAAAATGGGGAAAGAGGGTCGATTGTGGAATAGACATACATAATAGGCCGGAAAATGCCCACCCATCTGAGGCGTGGTTATCATTTATTAAAAAGTAGCCGATTAAGACCATAGCTTGAACGGAGCTTAGCGTCGCTGTACTTAGATAGGAGGACATACGTAAAGCCTGGTTGCCCGCCGATGCGTAGAATTCGGAGGTTTGTTTGCGATCCTTAGGGTTTGTTGTGGTAACAAATTGGGTTCCTAGGGCCATCATGATGAAAATCAGACCTACAAAAGCGGCGTCGGTCTTCTCCGCATCTCGAAGCGCCCAGAAGTGTTCGTATTCCAGGTAGAAGGTATGACGGTCGACGATAGGGTAAACTGGATCCACGCATTCGTAATATTGGCTAAGCAAGATGTCGGCTTGCAACTTTTCGGGGAGGACGCCGATAACTTCGGGTAATCCGCCCTCGCATGTCCAGTAATTGGCGAAAGGGTGTTCTGTGCCTACCCCGAAGACATTGGATGCTGCTGGGCAGGATAAAGATACGTTAGAGAGGAGTCCTGTGGACGGTGCGACAGACCCACGAGATGCGATCCGGCTAGTAAGAATACCTCTATCTGCTATGTTTGGGATTGCGGGCTTCATCCCGCTCATTGTCACCTTCTTCTTGGGTGGTTTCGTCATCCGTCGGCCGTTGGTGGCTGATCGTGATGTCTCCCTGAGAATGATTAGTTATAGGGTCGCATCCGAAATAGGGGAGCAACATACTCAAGGAGATTCGCTACGTGGGCATATTTGCATTCCGTTTGTCGTTTTATACCTAACCACATATGATAAGTGTGTAACTTGGCAAGACTCATATGGGATAGTGTTGTACTTACATGCTAAACAGTGAGGTCTACCTCTATCGCACTAAACTCGAAGAATTAGACGTGTTAGTAGCTACTGAAGTAGAATATCACTAGCAGTCAAATGAAAGTAAAAGGACATCCTAAGTCAAATTGCGATTTGATTCCAATCCCAATCCACTGCATGCACCCTGCTGAAGACTGCGTAACACAGGCATTCTCCGACTTCGCCGTCTGTTGCCGTAGCACATAGACCGGAGATTCTTGCAAGAAACAGTATTGGACTCAGTTGCCAATCATTTTGAAATTTCCCTCCTCTTTCTTTTCCAAGACAATACCCGCATAGAATTTTAAAGTCGGAGAAATATAAAAAGTAATTGTAATAAATCTTCAAGTAAAATCTCCGAAGTTGGTGGTACGTGATACTGACGCAGCTGCGAAAAAAATTAACTGGTCTAACGCTGGCTAGACATTAAAAAAAAATACACGATAAATAGCGAGTGAAATTGACAATTCGTCGATTTTTAAGTGAGAAAATTGAAAATGTTGATAAATTCAAGTTAAAATTGGTGTATTGCAAACTTGCCTTCGTTTTGCGCTCGACGCATTCGTGACACGACAGCGTGGGTTTGTTGCGCTTTTGCTTCTTCTTGGCGGGTTCGGCAAAGGAAGAAGCGGTGGCGACGGAACCTACGGCGCCGTGGCCGAGGTGGTGGTGGTGACCATGATCACCAACGCTATCCCCGCTGCCGGCGCCGTCGTAAATATCGTCGTCATCGGGTTCAGACTTGGCGCTGCTACCACCACCGCCGCCGAAAAATGTCTGTCCCCCGGCCGAATCGGGGGAGGCGTAGAGGGTGCTCGCCGAGGTTGGAGTTAGGATCGCAATTGGCGATAATGCGGAGACCACAGAATTGGCGGAATTGGAACCAGTGGTGGTGGTGGTACTGGTGGCAGCAGCAGAACTCCCCGAACGCACTCGTCCTACTACGACTCCGTTACTGCTGCCGTACGACAAATCCGTCGGGAGGATCTGGGATGACGACATGCGCATTTGCTCCCTGTACTTGGTATTGTTCCAATTCCGACTGATACCACTGCCGCTGCTCATATGCGTGTCACCCGCCTGCGCGTACGTCGTCGTTTCAAACCGCATGCAAACCGACTCCGAAGGATTCAATTGAGGCTGAAATGAACACAAGACTGCAGGATGGCGCATCCGGGAATAAGTGCCGGATCGTCCGTGTGTGTGTGTATGTGTGTGTTAGCTAATTGGAAAATGGGGGGGAATTGTTCTAATTGATTGCTACTAGGTTACTAGGCACAAGGTCGGGGGACCCGCGGCGGGAAATGGGAATGGATGGATATAAAGAAACACTCGGTTGGTAATTGATAATAATAATTGAGGGGAGAGAAAGAAGGGTGCCAAGACTTTTTTTTTTATCTTTCTTTTTTTAATGAGGACCCTCGACTTGTTAAGCAGGAAAATAAAAAATTTAAATTGGGGAATCAAGTAGAAGAAGAAGAATTGATACGAAGTAACGGATTGTTATGCTGGTATGTACGTATGGCTGTGTTATGTCGTGCGTAATGTATGTTGTGTGTTGTATGTGAGTGGGAAGCAAGATAGAATTAGAAAAAGGGTATCATTATATTATTATTTTTTATTATTAGAGGAAGATAGATCAGTTGACCCCCCTTCGAAGTAGTAGTTACATATCTACAAGTTTACATGCTCCTTCAACAACTACAAAATACAAGGAATGGTATAATATATTGTATGGTATGGTATGGTATCGTAATTCGTAATTCTGCAATTCTTGGTATCTATGTATTATCGTATAATAATATTCAATAACCTGCCGTATGTTTCTTAGTCTCACTAAGTATATTACATGGTATGGATAGTTGGGGATATGAAGAGCGAGAGCGAAGATGGAGCAAAAGTAGAAGAAAATGTGAAAAGTGAGCAACTCCACCATCTACATTTACATGCATCTACAACCTTTACCAAACTGACTCACACGCTGCAACTCTTTAACGTCATGTCATCAACCGGACCGGTGAGAACTTACATACACATGTACATAAATAAAATAGAATAAAAATGGCATGGGTTGTATGGGATAAAGACTCGTCCGTTCGTACCCGTTAGTTATGGAGCTCATGCTTGTACATCCATATATATACGATTGTATGTAGATGGGGTATAGGAAAGTAACTTAACAGCCGAGGGACCAGGATATATACTACAATTATCTCATTATCTATATTGACCACAGTGATTTTTTGTTAAAGAAGCTTCCTTCATTCCGCGTTGTGTCGGTGTAAAAGTAATAGACTTAGGCAGTACATAATGGAAGTAACCTTGATGTACTTGTTCAGACCCAGCTATTAGAGTAATAAACTACTTAATTGGATACCCGATGGGCTAAATGTCCCCGCAAGCGGTCTAACTAAGCTCTTTAAAGTGCCGTAGCGTGAACAGGGGGGGTTATCCGCGGAGTAGGGAAAACGGATGGCTACGGTACCTAGGTAGGGATGTAAAGGTTGATAGGGACGCAGTAGGGATGTTAAAGTGTCGATGGTTTGGTAGAACAGAAGAATCCTTGAAATTCTTGATTTGATGCAACATTTTAGATAGAAGACAGTTGCACATCAGAGCAGCGCATGAACATGCGGACATGCTGCAGGCACCGCCGCTACGCCCGCTATGATTACAAATGCCGAAGTCGCGGTCTCGCTGACCGAATTAAGGGCGCATTCGTTGGCTGGATTGGGCTGGACTTGAGCGAATAGAATTAAGTCAAGTTGTCAACTCACTTATAACTTTGTGCAAGACGAACAAACAAGAATTTACCTATCATATTTATTATTTTCTATGCGCATTTCATTCCGAACTAGCCGGAACTTTTGATGATTACATATGGAGGTATTTATGTATATGTATGTATCGACCTAGACATTTATATAAGTAATTACATCATGTACACTAGATATTCAACATTAATCATTAACTTGAGAGCATTAAAAAGAATAACATTTATGGCTGTCATAACTATCACTAGGGAAGGAATAAAAAGCAAATTCAAACGCTAAAATTATGAACAGGGGCCGTGTTGTTCATTTTTCTGTCAAGTTAGGTAACTCCAGGCGGCGTTCCCCCTCCCCCTCCTTTTCTTCTTTTTTTTTTTTTTTTTTTCTTCTCCCTCTCACAACCCCCAACTTTTTCAAAAACTCACTCCAACACCCCAGAATTCTTCAGCAAACCCCCAAATCCTAGTAGTAGATCAATGCGCTCTAGAACTCCTCGTTACGTCAACCCATCTCCGACACCATCGTGATGTAGGTAAGATATACATTGGTTGGTCATACAAGTAATACAGAACTTCTAACTTAAGTTCTGACTCTATTTATTAAGATGATTACTAATGCTTCTGCAGGAAGAAGCATCCGACCATCTTACATCGTTCTGCACGCCTCATTACGAATGGTACGAATGGTACCAATGATACCAATGGCATAAATGGTCCGTGACGGTTGTGGGAACTGTCTCTGTGTGACCTGTATGTCTCGGTTCTCTCTGCCGTGGTGATGAGCCACTGTAAACCTCTCCCAGTGCGACCTTGCCATGCATGTCATGGTAAAGAAATGCCCACGCGGATATGTATGCGGACCCCCGTACCTAGGTACTACCTAGGTACAACGAAGATCTGACAGGCACAGCATAACATCTTTCTACAAGTATTCCATGGTTTTCCCGAATTGGCTTTCCTTTGGCGGGCTTTGCTCTGTCAGCTTAGTCAAATCCCGCTACCTTGTTCTATCCTGCTTGTCTGATCGTGGGGAGACTCCAATAAGACGCTTTGGGAACCAATGGCTTCGTCCCGAGGATCTGGTATAGTGAGACGGCCTTCAAGGGCAAGTCATACATATAATTGGTATTGTCGGGAAGACTAGGCTCGTTTCAGCCAGCTCGTTCTTGGTTCTGCACCCCGTCTCTGCATTTCGCCTAGGTGACTAACCAAGGCGCCCTTGACGAATTGAAGGTCCCCTGCCCATTAATCAGCATTCTAAAAAAAACCACCCATATTAGATGCTGAATAACACCTTCCCACCGGTTGCGAAAGCTTATCCATTGACTCAAGACGACTTCATCGACTGTTGATTGATCGCATTCTGTTGCCTTGCTGAGGGGCTCAGCGTCGTTTTTTCAATTTAGAGCGGAATTGCGAGACTCAGGTTTTTTTTCTTCCTTTTCTCTCTTTCGCCATCGGGAGATGAAATAGTCGCATAAAGTTATTTTTTCGCCAAGACCCGGCCATCATGAACCCGTAAAGTCATCGTAACTCACTATACCAGGGCGGCAGCGTTGCCACTCAGCGATATATCGACAACGTTTTGCGCTCGGCCTTTCATCGCCGAGGCGCCTAGCCAACACTTAACATAGCCACTCATAATAATTCTATAATATGATTACGCCCTGCAAATGACAGGCAACGCAAATTTTACTCTCTACACCACTCTACGCCCCCGAAGACGCTGCGGCCAGAAAATTGACCCTCCTGGTCCGAAAAATCATAACGCCATAATTCAATAGTATATATCGCTGAGGTTTTTTGCTGACCTCCTAAGTCGGAGAAGGGAAGAGATGCCGAAAGTATTGCGTGAATAGCGACGTGGAATTTGATGGAACTTGCCACGATAGCGGTCAAATGCACCAGACCGTGGAGTTAACGTAGTTGCCGAAGAAGGCCCTTAGAACTTTACGTGTTAAATATTATAGTCCTTTAATCAGCGTAGAATTAGGAATGAAACTATGCTCGGCTCAATAATTACATTGCTATTCTTTTCCCTTGGAGGATTAGCTCGAACGCCTGAGCAAATCCCGTTAAAGTCTTTAAAATACTACTGAGTCTTGAAACCCTAAGTAGCAAAGTAGTGAACCCAACATCAAAGTATCCAAGCCCTATAAGAAACTATGCCTTCTAGTCAGCCTTTGATTGTCTCTAGCAACCCAATTAAACAACAGTCGATTATTCCGCCTATAGTGTCAGCAAGTTACCACTCATTAATCCAATCCTTTTAGATCACGATACTTGAACTACACAGCCTCTACGAAGCCTTAAAATGGTTACACAGAAGAGCTTAGGATACGTACGTAAACGAGATAGCCTATATAAAGTTTAAAGCATTGGATATGAAGTTCAAACGAAATATGTACACGTATACACTCATAGCAATATTCTCTGATATATGTTGATTCTGCTGATAATGCCCGCGGATATTGTAAAAGGTGGGTTTGAAGACCACGAGCTAGACCATCAGATTCTCCATAAAAGAATAGGAATAAAATATCTTACCTCTTTTTCTCATTACAAAAAGAAACTATAACAGCAGTAAGCATTAAAGGTGATTGATTATATCTCCTGTATCTCTCTTACTCTAGTATATTGAGCTGATTATCAGTATGGAGGATCCACTCCCAGCATATTGGGTCGTAGGATTTGGTGTTTAACCAAAAATAACGTATCAATAGGAACATCCTTTATTGGAAGCTGAGTTACGATCCCACGCTCCGGGGGCATGCATGTAAGATGGCCCGCGGAAAGGTTAAACTCGGAGAGAGCCAATATATTGGCTGCCTAGATACCAAGAGTTCCAAGACCATATCGACCCCCTTGGGTATGAATGGCCGAGGCAAAAAGACATGGGACGTGAAATAACTCGTTGGGCCGCAATGGTTGTTTCAAACCCCGTCCGGGGTATTCCGCCGAAATTGACCACAACGAGCATCGCTGATATCCGATGGAGGCTGGACTCCCCCACAATCGATCGACGTCGGAAGGTAGAACTCAAAGACTTAGAGGCCATTGTTTATGCATCTTACGCTTCCATGCTGACCGCAGCTGCAGTTCAGTTTGCCTCCTGAGCGGGGGTCGTTGAGACTATCTTAACCTCCACCCTCGCTTCTGTATGTGCGATTACGCAAGTAGCACCGAGATTAATAATTATCGGCATGAGAAACAAGGACAGGATACATATAGCTTCGTATGAATTTCTTGCACTACCCTACTCAACCAAAAATACGCGAATTAGTCACCAAGACACTGCATATGGAGACGACCTCCAAGCAGGGATCTAGAGATATACCTTACTACGATCCGCTGGAGAAGCTCCGAAGATAGCCCCCCGTCAACGAGAGATATATTCTAAGTCTTATTAGACCTTTCTAGACCGGCGGGGAGCGGTGGACTGCCACACACCCACGATCCCTTTCACATGTTCTAGCGATGCCAATTCTAGTCATCCTCCCGATGCGCTCATGCGTTATCTGTATAACTTTGCCGGTTTTCCGAGTGACTTTACGGTCGCATTCCTAGTAGTATTGTGAATACATAGTCTTCATATTCGTATTCATAAACAAACATTATAAATTCTTCGCGATAACTATATCATGTTACACAATTGTTAGCTATCCGGCGCCCTACGACATGTGAGTGGGCCCTTCGTATAATTGAGAAAAATGATTTATGAGTAATTCTAGACTTATAGCTTAGACATAATTGAAAGCAATACTTCGTATTAGGTAAGTGAGGTCAGTAAGATGGTTTGATGGGAGAGGCTTCACTAAATAGGGGAAGTCCTTAGTAATCCGCCCCCTTTTTCACAGCCACATGTGGCTTAGTATTAACCCCTTTATCCCCAACACCGACTTTCTTTCTCTATCCTATTTTGTCGAAGACGTCAATATTCTATCCTCATTGCACCACAAGCGCCTTAGAAATATCAAGTAACAACTCCCAGAGCATTTTACGGCTTTATTCCTAAGACGCCCGAAGAGTAAATGCCAATGAAAATGACGATGAGCATCCTATCCCAGAGTTAGGAGTTACTAAGGCGGACTCGGAAAATATCAAGGCTTTTCTCATTGCTTTTATTTACTCCCACGCGTAATGTGGCGTGTTTTAATCCTATACCCTCTCGATCTATGTGTACCTGCGTTGTTGTATCCATCATGTGTTACCATGACTGGATGTGTTGATACTTCATAGACCATTTTGAAAAACGGGTAGACAACACTCTTCATAACTCTAACCCGTTAATAAGAGTATAGGTGTGGCCATTTCATTTATAGAATTGAGACAATGTATAGGCTCAAAAAGGTGGTGTATGATTGTGTTTTCAACCTGGAGCCTACATCCGCTACAGGTCTTAGGACAAGGATTTCCCCCACACAATTACCATGTTCATGCCACCACAATTCAATGTGTAATTTTAACAAAGACAATGTAGTTACTGACAATGGGAAGACCACACGATTTCATTGCTATCCAAGACGAGAATTTCTCTATATAACATCTGAATATTGCTTTTACAAGTTATGTCTAATTCACCAGATCTTCATCAAATATTTACCATTTATCAAACTTATCAACAATCAATAACCAAAAAGAACCCAATTAGTATTAGCTTATCCTTAACATCCATCAAGATGCCTGAGGTTAACTCTATCGGTTGGACAATGACTGCGGACGGTCAGTGGGTGCCAAAGCCTGACGGCAAGGCCGGCTACGTTCCGTCGAACACTACCACCACCACTCCTTCTACACAGGTGCAGAAGGACGGTGGCTACGGTGGTAGCACTGACGTCGGCCGAAGTGCCCCCATCAACATTCCTCCCAAGAAGTAGATTAGCTACTTCTACGTTTACCCACGCATGCCTTTTTTCCTACACTGGAAGAGGCTGTAGATAAAGTTACATAAGTAGAAAATGAATAAAAAAAATTGAAAACCATTATACACTGAGCAATTTATATGAAAAATGGCTATCGTGGATTGATATAGTCAAATCGTTTAAATTACATGCCGGGATTCTAATAAATACGACGTGGTCTAATAGTGCTTTCAAACCAGTACACTCACTAGAAAGGTTTTGTCGTCAATTTTAGCAATTTACTTGCTAACAGAGCCATTCAAGGTTAATCTCTTATAGTTTATTCAACCTCCTCTGTCTTTTCGCGAATATTGAAAAAGGTAAAGACTCACTCCACAAGCAGTCAAAAAGTCTAAGTTGGCAAAGTTGCCTACTAAATACACAATACAATGAGATAGATGCGTCCTGCTAGAATCTATATGTTACGCAATACATTATCCCCCTGCCTACATGCTTCTTTTTCCGCTCTCATTATTTTTTGTGTGTTATGTTATATAGTCATATCCACCCTGCCATCAGGCCGCAGACAATCCTATCATCACCACTTTTGTTCAAAAGCTTCACTACCGTAATACTTGAATGCTCTGCTGATTTTAAGGCATATAGTGGGGTTTATTTGGTGGGGATGATACTTATTAATAAACTTATTTATATTTTCCCCTTCTCTAGCAACAATATGATCCCATGCCGCCTCCTAGGAAGAAGTCCACCCTCGTTCATTTGAAGTTAGGGATGTAAAAAGTGACGGCTCCTATTACAAACAAGAACTTCATATAATCGAGTTTTCCTCTATTTACTCTTATTCGACCCCTACCAATCGGCTTGTCTATTATCGTTACTACTGTTTGTATCCCATCACGTTGTGTATGTATAAATGTATCGGTTTGAAAACAATCATATTGTATTGAAAACAGCATCTCTTAGATTATTGTTTTGGTGGCTATATAGAAAGGAGAATTCCGCCTTAAATGTCCGACTTGACTTTCTTTGATATACTCCATTGAGAACTACTCATTGCATACATTCCCACAGACACGAAAACCCAACCCTCACTAAAGTAGAAAGAAATTGTTGCACTTACCTAGGTTTTAAACCTCCTTCTTTCATAAGACATAATGTCTGTCACCCACAACCGCAACCGCAACCGTAACCGCAGCAGCAGCCGCAGTCGCAGATCCTCTGCAACTATTCAAGGGCTTGCCAGGTCGTTCACCCGTCGACTTAGCTTGCGCCCTTGGAGACACTCTGCCCCTCCTCCACCGCCCCGTCCTCGGCAGCCTCATTCTCGCCCGCTTGCCCCTGAGGACAGGCATGGAGTAGTACTCGAGGATGCGGAGTCCATCCGAAGACGTGCCAGTCACTTTTGGGACAGGCGACAGAAGCTCCCAGCGGCTGATATTTACCGATTAGCCATTTTAGAGGATGTCGTGTTGAACCCTCCTGGTGCGCCCCCAGTTCTCTCTCATGGCCTAATGGCGCGCTTGAGAAAGTATGGGCCTTCGTGGTACTTCCTTGGATATGACAGCTACTATTACAAGAGCAGTAATGAGTACGGGTTTGGCGACGACCTTAGCTTTGTTGTTGACACTTACGTGCCCCTCGGCATTAGGTTATTCGCCGCTCCGTACAAGCATCTCTGCCGTAATAGAAGGTAAGCGATATCCTTATATCTCCCCCCTTTTTTGTGTGATGTGTTGATCACGGTGTTTCGTAATTCGTAACATCGTAGTCGTCTGTCATATGTTAGCAGCCCAACCAAAAACTGCAAACCTATTAGGTGTAGACTTTGATGTAGACTTTGATAGCTTAATAAAAATTTCGAGAAAAAAAAAAAGAACTCTTCCCTTGAACTCCCCGTTTGAAACTTAAATTTGAATTCCTTTTGCTCCAGACCGTATATGTCCACTTCCAGAGTGGTTTCCCTTATTCCCCCTTTGAACCTTTTCGATTTTGATTTCGATTTTCCTTCAGGACAATTTGCCAAAATACCTGCATGCCATCTGTTAGAAATTAAATAGTACAAATGAGAGAAATACTAGCAACTTGTAGTATAGGAGAATGAATTTTCATGTCTGCTTGAAGCAGTGGCTCATAATTTAGCACTTGCTAAGGTTAAGACGCTCTAAAGTTATATATGTATATATACCCAGGAGGTATATGTAAGATATATACACTTAATGGAAATGGTAGGTCTCTCGTTCTTGTGGCAGATGCCGGCCTATTTATCTCCTCGGATACTAAGGCAAACAATTCCATTGACATTACGTACACAAAGGGTTTGTACATATGTTTTAAGGAGTTCTTCTAAAACCAGGACCTTCTTCACTAGAATAGATCCTAGTCATGGGCCTTGTTAAAAAGAACAATATGCCTACCAAAAAAGAGATCCTTTATCAAACCCGAAAGCCGGGTAGAAAACTTTGCCTTTACCCTAAAAATCAAGTTATTAGAGGCGAAGAAAACAAGACGACTACACGGCATACCGAAAAAAAATGCAAGACATATCCCAATGTAAGGCTTTGTCTAACTTATTTTGTAGATTGAATTACTACCCGTCGAGGAATGGAGATCTATTTAACTATTGCGAAGCCCCTCGATCCATTTTTGATCCCTTCGATGAGGCCGCATATCCCTGAAAGTCCTTCGTGCATTGTCATCGCCCCCCTAACTCAATCGTTTGTCTATTTCGCAATTCCAAATGGCCCTCGCGAATCGCACGGGGCTAGGCATCGAGGGAAGCCTGCATAAAAACATTCCGTCGAAAAGGCTATGCTTAAATTCTGTTTTATCGAATTAGGCGGAAAAGACCCCATCGAAACTAACGAGCATGCCATTATTGGGGTAATGAGTGATTCCATGATTCATAAATTCGTTACGTAACAGTGCTCTTCGGAAACAGGGTACTTGCTGAATGTTCACTGTTTATTGCTACTTTGTCGACTCATGGCGGAACACTGCCTAGAATATAGTAAACGACCTAAAGAGTTTGTGTAAATAAAAGGGAAAAGGGGCTTAAGTACGCCTGTCTCCTCCAAATCGATCTCTAAGCCAATTAAGCGGACCACTACTAGAGGAGCCTCTATTATCTCGAGGCCTCTCACTCTGTGGTGAGCGACGACTAGATGGAGAAGGGCTTCTCACTCTGGACGGTTGTCCTGATCCAGAATACATCGGAGGTGAGTTCGAGTCTCGTCGAAATGTACTTTGTCGACTTGGACCAGCTTGGTTGGGTCTCTCGGACCTCTCGGGTCTCATTTGGCTTGGCTGAGCTCTCCTGAGAGGAAGGCTGCTCGAATTACCCTGTGTATTAAGAACTGCAGCGCCAGGGCGACCGGCAGCTTCGCCATCAATGGGGGCACGGCAGATAGGGCATGTGTTGTGTTGCTTTAGCCATAATACCACGCACTGCTCGTGAAACCAATGTTTACACGGTAGGACAACGGCCTCATCTCCGGCCATCATTTCATCAATACAAATGGTACATTCACCCTTTAGCTCGGGTCCAAGCATAGCTTCATCTAACTTCTTCCTCGGCAACTTTGCAATTGCTTCATCTGAAGCAGGCGCAGGAGCGTTCGATTGAGGGTTAGCCTCCATTAGATTTGTGATGATACGATCTAATGCCTCTTGTGAATAAACTGCATCGCCATGAACCATTTGAGGGTTTATGAGACTCGCTATAAGTTGACTTAAGGCTAACGAAAAATCCGCTGGTTGACGGTTATTGCCATCACTACCTTCTTGATTCGGGGAGCGAGGACCATCAGGGCCCATAGGCGGAGGACCCATTTCTCCCATAATATTTCCAAATATCCTGTTTATTGTTAGTGACCGTGAGAGTAGATACTATAACTCCAGAATTGATTAAGAAAAAAAAAAAAAATTCAACCGCACCTTTGAAAGGGATCTTCGGCGCCTATTCCCGTTGCTCTGGGGCTAGAATCGAGGAGGGTCCTTCCGGGACCTGTGGTAATAGTAAAGCTGCTGACACCACCGGTGAATCCAGGGCCGTAGAATCTCTGGTGTGTGACTCGCGGGGGTTGACTAGCAAACAACGTCTCCGGTCCAGATCGACCGGCCATAGAAGGACCTCCGATATCCCCCAATAACTCGGTGAATCGACGAATTATCTGGTCGGCATTATTGGGCGCAGTTCGTGATCCACTTTCGGGGCCTTCACGTTCGGGAGATCGATAGACTGTTCGATGGCTAAAGAAGCCACCGGGGCCATGTAATATGTGCTCCTCAATATCGTCGTCGTCGAAGTCGTCATCTGAGTCGAAATGATGGCGATGATGATGGTTATGAAGACGTTGGCTGGGGTGTTCCAAATCGGGTAGTGAGTCATGATCATCTTCTCGAGGGTCGTTTTCGGGTGAGATCTGAATGCTAATTAGTAAGACGCCGCGAATGCGCCTTGGTGGTTGTCGTTGACGTACAATCTCCGTGATATCTGAATGGCATCTGGGGCATTCTAAGGTATTCGGGCGTTCATCGCGGTGCCATTCATTCCGGCAACGGTGGCAATATACGACTTCACGACCCGTAGTGGCGTCGAGATGCTGGTTTCTAGACGCCATCTGACCCTGCCTTGTCTGTCGATATGCGGCGAGGGCAGTGAGTCCAAGGCCAATAACTAGGCCTGCTGCTCGAATTGCTCTGAACGCCAGAATGACAAATCAAGGTTGAAATCACGATATCAACCTGGAGGCGACTCGGGTACTATAGAAAGATTGGGCGCGCAAAGGCGAATGATCGAATGCGCTTAGGTAAAATGGCGACCGAAATCATAAAAGGGTTTGTAGTTGAGTCGGTAAGGCTGATGTGGGGTGTTCGGAGCTCTTGGTATGTTAGAGTAGTAGGGTCGAATATGCAGGTATGTAGTCGTGGAAGGTTGGGTTGTGAAAATATTGATCCGACAAGGCGTTTTTTGGTGGATCGGGAGATGGTCTGGCGAATGCGAGAACGGGAAATCCGCAAAGAGATAGACCTGCAGAAGTTGTTATACACGAGTTAGCAGCTGAGAAGTGACAGGTTAAGGTGAGGTGAGGAGAAAGGTACAATGGATATGGTATTGATTGCGGCGCAACTTTGCGATCTAGCAACGAATGCGTTGGTGCAAATCGCGGGTTGCTGAGCAATGTGAGCGCGGGCCACACTAATTGATTGACCGTGGAAAAAAAAAAATAAATACGTATTTACCTAGTAGTGAAGGTTGAGATGTATCCCGTTCACCGAGTAGTTTGGCGAATGGTAGTTGAGATGGGAATCCAGTAGAAGGTCAGAGATCCGGACTCCTCCATAAGTAGCAGCAAGATCTATCCCGTCCAAACCATCACTTTTGTAACCCAGCACGGGGAAGAATCTTCGGAAGGTCGGAATTTGTAATTAAAGATGTATGTTGATGCTAGGAACGTCTTTGTCATCTGGAGAGTCCGATATTAAGGTAGAAAGATTATTGATGTTTTGGTCAAGCTCTGGCAGATGGTAGATGAAAGTCAAAAACGAGCCATCGGTCGGGTTGCTTTCGTCATTAAGGCCCAGGTTCACTGCTAGCTTAAATCCACTATCCATGTAGGAACCCACGCATGGACCTAGTCATGTACATGCGTTATGTATCGCGGGGCAATTTATGGCTTAGTCATAAAACACAACCATAGCTCCAGGTTTATGTTTGTGCTAGTGTGGCGTGATTACACGCAAGGAGATACTCAGGCATCCCAACTCCTCCGTGTGAGCCGACGAGGATACAATGAATTTTAGGGAACTGCGTACGATGGGATAAAGGCACCAAAAACAAACAAACGAATGAACGAGAGGAAAAAAAAAAAAAGGGCTCCACCGGATACCATCATAGGATGTAAATCACATTATATGACTTATTCTGTTATGGTTTGTTGAGTGGTTTCTATAATTCAACAATACAGGTAATTGATGCAAAGGCTCTAATCCGTCGCGTAAAATCATAAACCGTGTATGGTGCCCTCAGAAAATCCGTTCCTTTGTCTCATCCGAGAATGCGTCTGCCTTCTAGACAAACAGAACAGACAGTGCTAGCACGAGTCGATAGGGAGATGTTCCTCCGACGCCAGCCGGTGCAACGCCATCATACCCGATACAACCACATTAGAATCCAATCATGTTTGGATGGGATACCCAGCCTTTTCTTTCCGGGCATGATGTCTGCTTTGGTTCTACCGCCTCTTGCCCCGGAATAAAATGCCCCCAACTACGCCGGCGGCAATAGCTACACCACTTATGATAGCAACACCCATAAGTCCCTCTTTGGTGACTTTGTCGTCTATCAGTCTTCTTAGGTCTGCTGCTTGGTGATTGGCGGGTTCCTTATCCAACAACAAATCATTGTAACGTCTCGCCTCTCCATAGTTCCCCAGTTTGTAGTTGGCCAAGGCTAAGTAATAAAGGCATTCACGGCGTCGGTCGGGCGATACTCGGAATATCTCCGAAAGTAGTTGTACTCCTAACTGTTGGTCACTTCGGGCGTTGGATTTGATTAGGCCCTGCGAAAGAAAGAATATGAGCGAATCGTCACCAAGAGGGGTCGCATAGCTGACACAACGATGAATCACAATCGAACTCACCCATGCGTAATTAAATTTCGTTTGAATACCGGCCATGTCGCCTTCTTTTTCATATTGTGCGCGTAGGGTTTGTAGTTCGGCTTCTCTAAGCGGGCTACTCCAGCAAAACTTAGCTCACGGGACCGGGCGGGGGAAGAAATGTTGAAGAGGTTCATACCTTTCCGCGTCGACGGCATCTTTTAATAACAGTTATACAGTTAGCTCATATAGATCTTATATTTATCTGAACGTCCGAGTACTTTGAAAGCGAGAACCCGGGTATGGGATGTACGTACATGGTAGCGCCGTCATCTTGCTGATATTGGTCGGATTTGGATTAATACAAGAACTTTAGGTTGTGTGTTGTCTCGGATGGAATCGCGTGGGAGAGGATATGGCCACTAAGTAAAATACTATTCACGATGCAAATTATTCGTGAACTGTTTCTCTTCCTGATAAAAAGTAGTTTCGTTGTTCGGAAATAAGGTAGCCTTGAGGAATTGTCGTACCTAGGTAATGGCGATAGAGTCTTATCCAGAAATCTGAATGTGGCGGGAGCTCTCGAGTCACTCCATGGGCACCCGTTAGTCAGTGGACCTTGTGTGGCGCTAATGACGCAGAATAGTCTAAAAAGGCTAGCGCATATTAGGTAAGGGAAGAAGGTCTATTCGTAAATATTCTATATTACGTAACATAGTCGTCCCGGTGATACCCTGGTTTGTTTTGTCCGCTGCCACATTGGGCCATCGTTCAATCGTCAATTCAGAATCTTGATCCAATACAAAGACAACCCCAATTTTGTCTCGCCGAGTGAGATTCCCTACCATATCGAACCTACGATAACATCTAGAATAGCCACTACTTTAAAAATAATCATCATGCTTCTCGACGAGGATCCCGCTACTGTATGATATCATATTCATTCAAAACTCTTCCCAGTTCATCACTAACATTTCGTAGCTCATCCACCACACTATCAACAACTTCAACATTGCGCCCGACAAACTCGCCATCACGCGTGTTAACGATGAAATATCCACATTGAAACAAGCACGAGAGCTACGAATCAAAGATGCCGAATCATCACTGAAGAGTATGCGACCCCAGCACCGTCTCATTTCTGTTAGGTCTATGATACTAATAGATTCAAAAACATAGAACTCGCTCGTACCCTCAATACTCTCCAGTCCCAACACGAAGAACTCACATCGGCGCACTCCTCTTCCGCACACGCATCCGAGATTTCGCGCCTCGATACACAGAAATTCCGCATCGCGAAAACAGTTTCCGATCTTGAAATGGAAGCAGAGCGGCTATCCTCGCAGCAAGCCGATCTCGCAGCGCGTCTGCAAGAACTAGAGTTGCAAGGATTGGAAGGCTCGCCAGACGATGCTGCGAAGCGAAGAGATCCGGTCGACGACGAGGTGTTGTTACGTCTTAAGGTGTATCGAAGTCTGGGTATTGATCTAGAGCGAGACGAGAAGGACGGCGAGTTCTCGAGGGCAATTGTGCGAAACGATCGCAAAGGAGATGTCCATGTTATCAACATGGATAAGAAGTTTTCGCGCTTCTTCTACGCCAATTACTTCTGGCAAACGCTGTGAAACCAGACCTGCATTGAATCAATTGTTTCGGCGGACTGGTATAGGACGGCGCGGTGGAAGTTACTGCAAGGCGTTAGGAGTTTTTCGTCATAGAGATACCACAGTTTCAATTTATTGGATTCCACGATACGCATTCATTATGAGTTCAATTACGAAGCATGCTTATGTTATGATGATGTGGGGAGCTTCCGTATAAGCTAAATGATTAAGATCAAGCCGCCGTCCGTGACCTTTGATCTCGATTACAATCCTGATTTTCCGAGCGACCGTGCCGACAACCAGGCAAACAAAGTCATGTTACAAAATCGCCGAACCCATTTCTATCCAAACAAGGTGATCTTTACACTAATCGTTCATCTTTATCCAATCTGTTTCACTACACATTTTCGGGTTCGCTATAATATTCTCGTCTTCAATTTGCCTTAGCATTGAACAGCTTTTGCATGTCTCCCATTCAGTGCGGGGAAGTATTCATCATCGTCGAGCTTCGTAAAACCACGTGGCCTGCCATTCGTTGGTGTCCTCGATCTCGAGCTATTGGGTGATGCATGCATTCTTATTCCTTCGGGACTGTACGCAGTCCCCGTGTTCTGTGTATTCTGTCCCTTCATATAAAGACCCAAACCGCTAGCTCCGGCTAATACACCGCCTCCACTCTGCGATCGGAAGTGATGGCGACGGTCGGTAATTTCGAGTCGTGAGTTGAGATTGTACCATTGTTGATTGTCCGTGGCATTCGCACCGACATCCACACTGTCTAATCTCCATCCTCCGACACCTTCGAAATCTCTCTCAAGCCCGATGCTAGGTGTAAGGGTGAATCCGTCGAGACCACCGACAGGAGTTACTGAGCCACTGCTCACACTGCTTTGTCTCTTGCGTCGGTATCTGTGTCGCGCTTCGGGTGAGGATGGTGGGGAAGAGCCTGATGAGCTTGGTGGGGTGACGGAATCCGTGCGTTGCGATATGTAACGGTTATGTGCGGCATGGCCGACCAGAACATAGCGTAAGGTCTCTAACCCAACGTCAAAGTAAACGAGGAATAGGCGTAGGAATAAAACCATAAAAGCTAAAATGGTCGTAAATCCGGCGCAGAGGGCAAGTGGAAGAGCGACGAGAAAGAGGAATGGGAAAATGAAGATTTGAAAAGGATTAAAGACCGCCATTGGAATATTGTTCTGGCTAATGTCTCGGACAAGTTTATTCGCATCGCTTAGATGATTTACGAGTCGAGGAATAATAATATTGGTTCACATGGTGATTGAATCGAAGATATTTAGGACCTGCCCGATTGTCCCAATCGTATTTGCATCGGTCGATGATATGAAGAAAGGGAACGTAGTAGAGAAAGAAATTGGAGTAGATTAGGAGCTGACCGACGGTAACACAAGTGAGGAGTTATCCATTTAAAGCTACGAGGAAGATGTAATTAAACATGAAGAAGCTCAAGGCTAAGACACTCTATTCGTTGTCTGGACCATGATAGGGTATTATAGCAAACTTTCTCTCTCAATCCATGCCCGCAATAAGTTACAACGGCGCCGTATATGCCAGGTAGCTTTCACATGCCGAATCCCAACGGGGGGGAATGGATGGAGGTACCTTGGTACTTAGATTGGAATTTCAACATCTTCAGCTGTCATGCCGAGGGAGTGGCGGAGGTATATCTTACTAACCGAACCACCAAATAGGTACATTTATACCTATGTATCCATACACATATCTAAATTGATCTTGCGCTATTAATAAGTATGGAGAATTGGTTTGGAGCTGTCTGTCTGATAAGATCCAGATTTTAACATCATCTCGAAGAAGACTTTCATCGACTAGAAGATTAAGAAGGTTAACAAGGTTTAGTTCATCATTAGAGCCCGTTCTGCCCCGGCTTTTCGGAGCTGTGGAGTAATGTAAAAAAGCGACAGCGTTGGAGATCTATCTTACTAGGTAGAGTACTTAGCCCACTGTTACTACCGTATTATTATGTATGTAATTTTGGAGGGGAAAGTGTGATAGATAAGGCGGCAGCGTTCTCTGACGTCACCAGGGTCCTCTCCAACCTTGGAGATCGCCAATCAATTCTACGTATATCGAACGTAAACGCTCATTGGCGAATGTTACTGCAATTCCTCTCTGAATTTCTTCTTGTTTTTCGAATTGGGTTTGTGATGAGGGGTCTATGTTAGGTCGTACAAACAGCTTTCGATTTACACACCAAGCAAAGGTACCAAGATTAGGTCTACCGTCCTCTAAGAACTGTATCTCGAATTAACGCTAGCATCTGCATACTATTGCATGCTGTACTCTTAAGTGGCTTGCTACTTGTTTCTCCGTGCTTCCATTCTGCGTGAGTCACAACTAGCCGCATGATGGATTGCTGGCTACTCAATTCCCTCTAAATTACTGACCTGGAAAAAAATTAGCCTTGTTACGATTATATCATTGAAGGCAGCCCTGGAAATTCGAGTATCTGAACCTCAAAGGCAGCGGTCTTGCTATATTCCACCAGCGATCCAAAGCTGCTGTTCTTACGAAATCCAACCAATTGGTTGTCCCAATTAGCTCGGCTTAGTTAATGAGTTGATAGTTTGCATTCCATATTGCGCAAGACAGTTTAAACGTGTCTCCACGTGCATGCTAGGGCGTCGGATACTAAGGAGAAATTGCATCAAAAAGCCTTCCAGAAGCTTAGTCGAATAGGATGTGCCAACAACATTCGGGGGAGCATGACCCCCCTGCTTCGGAGGTATTACAATCGCAAAATGAATCGGGTACTTCCCTGGAACCATTCCCCTGGGATGTTGGTGTCTTCGATGCTCATTGCCATCCAACGGACACAATGGCGTCAATAGCAAGCATTTCAGATATGAAAGCACGTGCCCTAACCGTTATGTCCACACGATCCCAAGACCAAGGTCTCGTGTCCGATGTGGCCTCACGACAAGGCTTGAAACCTGATGACGAGGCTTTATCACACGCTTCTGATCAGGGACGCTTAGTTCCTTCGTTTGGTTGGCATCCATGGTTTTCTTACCAACTTTATGATGACCTCTCTTCTAACCCAACATATGATGGGACGTCATCTGGAAAAATATCGCATTATGATCACATATTAGCCCCATCACCTTCGTCGAAAGATGTATCATTCAGTGAGGGTCTTCCGGATCCACGACCCCTCTCTCAATTTCTGCGCGAGACCAAATCGCGTCTAGAGAAGCACCCACTGGCTCTTGTTGGTGAGGTTGGCTTGGATAAAGCATTTCGGCTTCCGCAAAGTTGGACCTCGGCTTATGAAGCTCGACGTGATGAAGGACTTACCCCTGGTGGACGAGAAGGTAGACTCCTGAGCCCCCACCGGGTGCAAATAACACATCAGGTTGCAATACTTCAAGCCCAACTGCGACTTGCAGGAGAGATGCAACGCGCGGTTAGTGTTCACGGAGTTCAAGCTCACGGCGTGTTATATGACACCTTAGCCGGGTTATGGAAAGGATATGAAAAAGAAGTAACCTCAAGAAGAGATCAGAAACGAGTTGCTGCGGGAGCAGAGGATTTCTCGGATTCATCCGAAGACGAAATCGAAGATGGGAGCGGACCCAAATCTACCAATAAACGGAAACCGAATTTAGATCCCGACAAGCTGGGACCGAAGCCCTATCCTCCACGGATCTGCTTGCATTCCTTTAGTGGACCCGCTGAGGTTGCCAAACAATATCTTCATCCCTCTGTACCGGCGAAAGTCTTCTTCTCGTTTTCGATTGTAATAAACTGGAGTACGGGAGGTGGCGATAAGGCCGAGGAGACAATTCGTATTGTACCGGACGATCGCATCTTGGTCGAGAGTGACCTTCATACAGCAGGTGAATCGATGGATCAATATCTTGAAGAAATATGCAGGAAAATCTGCAAGATTAAGGGATGGGATTTGCGTGAAGGACTTGAGAAATTGGGTAGGAATTGGAGGGAGTTTATATTCGGCTAGGAAAAAGTATTTCTTGTGTTCCATCGATCATATGGAAGAGGTTGTACTAGCCAGTCCCGTTTTACAGCTGGTTGGACCACTGTAGTCTCATGAATAACATTATAATCTACCTCACTACCTACGATGGCTTCTTGTATTCGCTTGATTCGATAAGCACCGGATCAAATTCAATTTTAATAGGAAGATATCGTTTGGCATATGCGCCGGTCTTTTGGAGTTTTGCTATTGCCATTGATTTTGTACTCGATAATAATTCCAATGTTAGGTAGGAGTATGCGGATATTTGAAGGTTGAATGAAATTGGGAAAAGTCGATTATAAAAAGCGGATACTGTACAGGGTGGATACAAGGTTATGGTTTATGTTATATCCCTAATATGTGCAGATACATAAAGCATAAGCACAATTGGACCCCACTTTCCCATGTGTGTCTTCCACTAATTGCCTCTTACACTTTCTAGAACGCCTCTCTCTCATTTGCTCTCATTTGCTTTCCCCGTTCAATCTTTTCCGATTCCTCGCATATTTTCTAATCTCTAGTCAACCAACCTCTATCTAAGCCGACTAACTTCTAAGGTTAGGCGCACCCACCAGCGCCTACACGCCCGAAAAAATTGTTGATTGCTACCTACGGATTACATTACCTGATTTTATCTCCCTTAGCCTTGCCTATCTCTTCCCCGTCTATTTGCACCTCGTTTTTCTGATCTGACGGGAACACAAGCCTCCGTCATTTTGACGCATCCTCCCATCCATCCACAGTGCCATATTGTCCCACAGGGCGAATCCTTGCTACCACCGCATAGGGCCGTCCTGTCACAGCCTTTCCCACCCCTAACCGACTCTCATTAGTAGTTTTTCTAGTCGGTACCTGGTCGATATACCCAAGAACGGGCGCTCGATACATACGCCCGGTGTACATACATACATACATACGTACACACGGCTTAGGGTCTTGTGGATGCCAGCATTTGGCCCACGCGGGAACTGATCAGATTCGCAGATTGGCGAATTACCATCATCCCATACCTATAGTACGCTTACCGCGGTCCCGCACTCATTAGCTGCCTTGTCCAATTTTGACTCATCCTCATCACGGATCCTTGGCTTTCGTCGTAGAGAATACTACGTACGGGAGACAATACCCAAGCTATCTTCTCAAGAAGTCAAGAAGAACGGAGAAACCCTGGGCCATACCCGGCATTAGCTTCCCTCCTCCCTACATATATATTCGGTACAGTTTGCTTTGGTTTGGTACAGTGCAAGTACGAGTACGTCTGACTATTCGGGCCTACCTACCTACGTCCCTCTACCTAGGTATCCCCTCTAGGTACAGTACCTGCGTGTTGTGCCAGCTTTTCCCCGGTTTAGTCGCTATACGCACGCACATGAGACGGTGCTGTGTACCCCCTTTGCAGTTTTCGGATTGGGTGGTATACTCGGTACCAAGCCGACCACGTTCTACTTATACCAATCGATCATTAGAAAGAAGAATCGCAGTACATTATAGGTCCGGCGGAAATTTGGTGGCCCAAGGTTCTTTTTAACGTTTTAATAAAGTAACACCGACGTCTTTTTGTGTGGCTCGGGAAGAGTGCTTCTCGGGGGCGACGGGAGCGCATATAGCTGGCATTTGATCGTCATACCCCCTTGCTATTCTCGGACGCACCCCACACAAACGCGCGACACACCACATTCGGTTCAGTGGTGAACAAATCTGAGCCCCAACGAGTCCCGTCCAAGATCTGCCCTCGCCCACGTCACGCCCACGTCGCCCAGCCCTGCCAGCTGTGCCAGCGTGGTGCTAGCCTATCGCGAACCATGTACGGCAACTATGGTGGCCTTCCTAATGCTGTCCCTCCCGCTGGATCACAGTACAATGGCGGCGCCCCACACTCAGCTGCTCATAACCCTCATTTGCAGCCCGGTCAAGTTCCTCCCAACCAGCCTTCGATGTACAACCATCCGCATCAGCAGTTTCCCATGGGCGCGCAAGCCGGAGTCGGGTTTCCTGGTGCTCCTAACATGATGCCGGGTCCTGGACCTGCAGGAATGATGCAAAATACCGGTATGCCGCACATGGCCGCGACCAATGGACCGAGTAAGCACGTTTTCTTCCTGTCAGGTTTCTTTGTCCTCTTTGGCCACACATTCCATTGCCCGTAATCTCCCATGCTGGTTGCCTAGAGCGGCTACTGGCAGTTCCTTACAGCATTTTCCCGTCGGACGAGGTGTCAATCATCCTATAGTCTTTGACGTTTCCGCGTTGTGGTTCTCATTCTGGTCCAATAGACGCGTTATTGCTGTCTTTATTATTATGTTTATTATGCTAATGTCTGGTTTTCTAATTAAGTGCCCAACTACCAACCGCCATATACGAACTCGCCATATGGCGCTGGTGTTCCTAGTTCCGTTGCGCCCCAATTGAACGTCCCTCCCAACTACGTGATGGGAGGTGGAATGCCTATGTCAGGCTATCCGATGCACCCTGGGATGACTCCGCAGCAGCAACAGCAGCAACACATGATGCAACGCATGCAACCGCATCAGCCAAATGCCTCAGGCATGTCGACTCCTACCCCTCAACGAACCTTTCAAGGTCAACCTCCCCAGAGTACACCCACTCCCAATAATGCGCCGACCGGACAACAACACCAGATGTCGACACCTCAAAACGCTCACGCCACGCCCCAAAGTCAGACCCCAAATAATGCGCAACAACAAGCGCAACATCAACCACCTTCCAGTGCTATTCAGACACCTCAAACTCCAACATTTCCCGCGTCCGCCCAGAGTGGCCCCAATAACGCGTCGTCTGGGCCAACACCCTTGAGTCCCGGATCTGACTCCCGCGACAAGGAAAGGGTTGGCGTCATCTTGGAGATTAACAATGAATTATTGGTCGAAGCTATGCAAATCCAAAATACCCAACAAATATTAAAAAAAGAGAAGGCAGCTTCCAATGGTACCGATGGTATTACGAATGAACCAGAGAAAAAGACCACAGAGGAGGAAGATATGTTGGCGCAAGATTATCTCCAGTAAGGTGTCACCGTCAATCTCTTGAATAAGCATTAACTCGTCTTTCTAGTTGTATGCGTAGATTACAGACCAATCTTACGTATTTGGCTGCATTAGCTGATAAGAAAGGGAATGTCACGGCGGCACCGTGTCCTACTTATTTGAAGGCACCGCCGTTAAACACTAGCATCAGATTGAAGATGATGCTAGGTCCGGATGGAACAGAGAGCCAGGAAGCACCAGACCGGGGGGAAACGGCGAAATATATCCAGGAATTATACAAAAAACTCCAAGGACTTTACCCGGGTATTGATCCGAATAAGGAGCCGACCTTTCCAGTCCCTCCTGGACGACAGGGCCCGCAAATGGCGAATGCTATGAAGTCTGGGACGAGAACACCTGGTCAGCCAAGCCCCGTTCCTGGAAAGCCGAGGACCCCGAAGCTGATGACCTCAGCACCACCATCTTCTATAGCAAATGTCTCAACTGGGTTATAGAAAGGCCCGTTGGTAAAAAGCTACTCCGCGCTATTCGACATGGTAACGAGTAGCTCAATAATGATGGATATAATATACACACTTTCGATGTTTCCGGTTTGGGGAGAATCGGCTCCCTTTATGAAGGTATTTTGCGTTGCGCCTCGTATAGAACAATACCCCGCTAAGGTCAACGATATTTTGGTACTGCGTTTCAAACTCCGAAGAGGCTTATTTGGTATTCTGGCGTTAAATTTTGGGATGGGGTGACATCCTCTTTGTTAGATGACGTATATACCGGACTTTTTGGATATTGTATAGTTTGCATATTACGAATGGCCCCCAAAAGCAAGAATCGAATACAGTTGAAAGAGTTTAGCTATTACTTCCAAGGTTATTTTTTCCAGGTGTTCTGTCGCACAGCTTGAAGTTACTTTGACGTTTGCACATCAAACTATCAGATTTGAAGATCTAACGTCAGTTCGCCAAGCTTACAATCATACTTCGGCGAAAATGTTGCCGACTGGTTAACTTTAACCTTCCCGTTTGACAACGTTGGACGTACCGGACTGAGTTGCGGGCAGTCCCGATTTTAACGTCTGAGTTATTTCGATGCTAACTAAAGGTTGAAAGTGTGCCTATTATTTTGATGTGTTAAAAATAAAGTTACGCACTTACTAAAAGTACCTAGGTATTTGACGCCGTTATGGTAGACGATAAAATTAACGGTTGGCTAAGGCAAGTAATTTCTAGGTACATTACCTAGCAGCCTAGCACCAATAGCGCGATTGTAGGCGGAGTGGAGAAGTTTATGCGCTAATGTCGCGGGACTATGTGAGAGAGCGGCTCTTCACAATCCAATCATGCACAGCGATTCGCTTTGGAACTTAACAGACCAGGGGGTAGACCTGAATAAGTCAAGTCAGAAGAGTCACCGCCTTTCCAACTTCTACAATAGGCCTAGAAATTCACCGTCGGTATGCAAAGCCAATGCTGCATGTACGCACGATGTATGTAAAGGTAAAGCAAGGTTAAGGAGGAATGCAACTCGTCTATCAAAGGACCTATATTTGCGGGTGGAATATCTTAGTATATTTAAACTTAGGGGGTTGATTCAGGGTCAAATAAATTGTACTAATGCAGGGACGGGGCCATAGTGGCCACTTATGGTGCCCAATTAGAGGAGAGCGTTAATGGTTAGGTGTAACTCATTAAACCTGCGATACCCATAATCCCATATCCATAATCTGGGTGGATGGATGTAACCTAACGCCGCGGCGTCCATAGGGGAGAAAGAAAGCTCGTCTCGTTTGTCCCAGATAGGTAGCTAGGTTGCTTAGGTAGGTCTGGTCGGTCTCCCCTCTGCTTCACCTTGTGCGAATGCCCTCCTTCTAGGTCTTGTGTTAATGGCTCCCTGTCGTTGTGTTCCCACTTAACCTGTTTTTTATTCGTTCGTTATTATCCCTATCGAAACAGCTCAACCAAGAACATTGAACATAGCCATTCTTTCGTACATATTCTTGTATAAGCCTGTCACTTCTTTTAATATCAAACACTCCTATCTCTTTGATGTAATAACGATCGGTACACCGGGAAAGCCCTTACTTAACCTAGCAATGTCAATTGCATAATCTTGAAATATCTCATTCTAGGCCTTACCCATTGTTAAGCATCGATCTCGACCCCTCGACGAAACAAAGAAGGGAAACGTCCAAGCCGATTGTCTCCCGAATCCCTGACCCGAGCCCACTTCTATACTGATGCCCCCTGTCCCCTTAGCGGACAACATCTGAGGGCTGGGGTAGGTGCCGTACGGTTTGAACGAAGCATTTCGAATCCTGTCTGTGTGTATGGTACACCGCTGCTGCTACTGCGAGTAATCATTAGACGCGCGCCCATCGTTTCCCGAAGCCATTCGATTTCCTTTTCCTTTCCCGCTGTCGATGCCACCGTTCTACGAAATCGAATCTAGGTAATCGAGGTTACTTAGGTAAGACTCTGACGTCGAGTCTTGAGACGAGATACATTAAGTTGTAGATCGGCCATTCCAGTCGTCTCTCTTACCGACCACCTACATCTTTTGGACTCGGAGGGCCTGCGCCGCGTGATGGAGCGGGACTCCGAGATTCAGCAGAAAAATGTATCCTCTCCGGTTACTACGGCGCCAACTGAGGCCGAATCAAACGTGATGAAATCGCCCACCGAGAAAGACGAACGAAGAATGCCGGAACACGATTCCATGGTAACGGTTCGACTATCGGAGCCGCCTTCCTTATTAGTGAATACGGACCTTCCGCCGAATATTTTACCTTTTAGAAGGAGCATCTGGGGACATGAATGCACACCCACAAGTGCAACTGCACCGCCTTTGAAAGAGGAGGAAGTCGTGAGGGTAGAAGTGGAAGTCAAGACACCGGCGGACCCTCCTAAAAATATGTTGCAAGAGCTTCGAGATACTTCGACTATCCCCACTTCCATCACAACTCCCACCACTACCATTCAAGAAGAAGACGAACACGCAGATGACCCAATGGACGAATCCGATACGGAGGAGGTCAATTGGGACCAATTACAAAAGACAGAAGACGAAGAAGTTAAGGACCAAGACGATAATGTATGTGCCACGTTTTTATTTTATTTTATTATTCTTATCTATTTTTATCGATTTTATCATGTCGAGTCAGCGCTTGTTGCGCAACCCCGAGTAACAAATTATCGAATTAGGATGAAAATGATGCTGACATGATGTCCCCCACTATCTAGTCTACGGCGTTGTTACTTGCGCGACTCGAACAAGAGAATAATAAACTGGCTACGAATCCGAAAAGTGTAAAGGTCAAGGTAGTCGAACAAACTCCAACCCGTCGACCAAGACCACCATCGATGGCACAAATGCGAGATATGGTCAACGGGCCGACGCCCATGGCCTTACGATATTCAGTCCTCCCTCCCCCGCCAATGACCGATCTCGAATTTTATATGGCTCTTGTCAAAGACTACCAGCAAACTGCCGCTCGACTCCCGACTCTGTTGTCTAGGAAAATCAGAAAGGGAGTCCCGCCGCCTCTGCGAGGAGTTGTTTGGCAAAGTATGGCGGCTGCCCGCGATAGTGATCTTTTGGAACAGTTCGATAGACTCAGTGGCGAGTCGAGTCCCTATGAGGGTATCATCGGCAAGGATCTGGGTAGAAGTTTTCCTGGTGTGGATATGTTCCGAGATCCTGAGGGTGACGGACAGCGAATGCTCGGAAGAGTTCTGAAATGCTTCAGTCTATACGACCAAAAGATTGGATATTGCCAGGGACTTGCTTTCCTTGTTGGACCCTTATTGATGCATATGCCTGATAGTCAGGCTTTCTGTGTCTTGGTTCGGTAAGTGATCCCTCTAGATAACGACGCGTCTTTCGAGATGCGCGCGCGCAATTAATTACCCTCGAGTTCTTATCTCAATTGATGCGAAGATGCGGCAAAGCTGACTATTACATTTGATAATAGGTTGATGGAATATTATGATCTACGATCGTGCTTTTTACCCGACCTGTCAGGTTTACACGTTCGCATCTATCAATTTCGAGAGTTACTTCGGCAGAATCTCCCCATCTTATCGAACCATTTGGACGATCTTCAGGTCGATCCGGCCTACGTTTCACAATGGTTCCTCTCCTTTTTCGCCGTGACATGTCCCCTACCCATGTTGTTTCGTATCTACGATGTCATTTTCGCCGAAGGCGCATCGGAGACTATCATGCGGGTAGCCCTGTCACTTATGCGAAAAAACGAGAGCCGCATCTTGGCCTGTACCGAGCTTGAGGATGTTATGCAACTCCTTTTATCTCGCGGGCTCTGGGATTGTTATCATTACAATGCCGATGAATTTGTGGATGATTTCGTTAGTCTATCTAGTGTTGTATCGAGAGAGAAATTAGCCCAGCTCGAGCAGGGGTACCGCGAGGAAAAGATCGCCAGTGCCAATGCCGCCAGAACGGCCGATGTTACCACAGCAGCCTCCCGCTTTTTGGGCCGTCTATGGACTACAAGCACCTCACCGAGATCAGGGACACTTTCTCCCGGTCTTACCGCACCGTTGAGACCGTTAAGCATGTTGCGCCGAAGTGCATCGAAACAGAGTCTCGCGTCGACGCTGAATTCTATGGAAGCCAGCTCCGCTAGCGTCCTTAGTTCTGTATCCACCGACGCGACCACGCTTTCTCGCGATTCCTCATCCAACGCCGACGACTCGTCCATCCGCGAGTCGACAACCGTCGTCGCGAAACAACAATCAGCTCGCAATGCTGCCGACAAGAACCTACATACACAGATTGAGGATCTCCTCACTGCCCTCAGCGAACTACAACGAAGCCATGCTCTATTGGCCACGCAACTCCAACAGGAGAGAGAGGAAAGAGATGAAGACAGGACTGTTGTCAAGTCATTGTTGGATGGATTGAAAAAGAAAGCTGAAACTGCGCCGACCGATACTACGGACGATGACAGCAGCCCCGATAACAACACGGAAAATAAGGAAGGAGAAGATACACCTACCGAAAATAGGTTGTCTCAATTGGTATCAGTGGTCGAGGGCCGCTTCTGTCCCGATGAGGGACATAAGCGTCGGTCGTCTTCGGTACATACCAAAGCACAACTTCGCGATGAATTATCTAGGACAAAGGAACATCTTAGAATTGAGATGTCTAAATCCCTAGATTTTAATCGTCGCATCGATGACCTTGGGCAGGAAGCCAACACGTTGCGCGAACAACTCCGAGAGAGTCATGCTCACGTTCGAAACCTACATCAAGATAAACAGCGCCTCGAAAGACAGGTCCACACTATGCGTGTGCGAGCTTCGGCAGAGACGCCTGGATCGACACCAGAACCTGGAGGTTGGTTCTCATCGGGACCCAATCTCACTGCTACCGGTGGTGGAGCCGGCAGCGGTCTGCGAGAATTGAAACTCGGACGTAGCAAGTCGACTCCCAACACGCAGTCTGCTTTCGCCCACCGTAATTCGTCGCTAGTCAGGACACAAACAGAACCAATCACCTCGAGTGAGCATGATGCGCTTGTTCTCGAATTAGTACAAGCCAAGACGGCCGAAGCTGTCGCTCGCCAGGAGGCGGACGAATACAAGCAGAAACTGGAGAACCTAAGGAAAACCTATGGGCTGGCTCCAGTGGAAACTCCTACCAACACGGTGACTTCAACTGCGATGGGCATGATTGGACGATTCACATCATCGGTATCGGAAGCGGGCAACGGCACTAAGAATGCCGCTCCTGCAGCTGCATCGACCGCATCCACACCTAATGCTGGTAGTTTCTGGGGTTGGCGACGATAGCGGTCTCTTGCTTTGAACAGCAAGGTACTGACTGTATAAAGAAAGTGGATAGTTAAGATGGGGCCGGCTCTTATTGAATTTTACTGGAGCGAGCATACCTAATGTTCTTCACAAATGAAGGGGAGGCAGGAATTTGTGCATTTTCTATTGGCGATTGAATTTTGTCATCAAAGACAAGACATTGATATACGGACGAACAGTACAATACTGTATACTGTATACTCTGCATACTGCTGCATCTGTACGGCGGGCGCATAAGCTTCATCTTACTTATCGTAATCAGACTTACCCGGACCCTGTATTAGATAGGACAGGGAATCCATGTTTTGACGGGGGAGAACGCATACATTCTATTTCTTCGCATTCGACACCTATCAAATCGTCTACGCATCTACATTTGTTAAGCTAGAAAGGGGGGTCATGAGTATGCAGCTATACTTATATGAACCCCATCGTCGAATACCTTACTTTACATATGAAGGGGCAGCAGCTTTGGAAAGGCGTGGTTAACTGTTTTGTGTTTTATGGCTTGCAGCATGAAAAGCTTTATGATATCCAAATACAACTGATTTGCCTATTGCGTTGAATTTTATGGGTGATTGTGTTTTCTTTTTATTGGAAGTTCCTGCATGAATTGTACACTCCGGTTCGTAGTATGTGTTATGTATTTTGTACATATGTAGATGTGAGTGATTATGCATTCAGACATCCGATGTATGGATACTTATGCAGAGTACAAGTACTGTAGTGTACGCATACATTTGCACTGACATAGAATACATGTATTTGTATTAATTCTTTGGATGATGATAACTATCCGCCAAACGGATCGTGGGAGATAGAGGGGCAAGCTGGCCTTTGCTTATAGTAATAGTTTATAGATAACGTTAGGCACCTGTCTAGTGTACAGTAGATTAATAGGTAGTGATGACGAAGTCATGGTCAGCATGATCAAGAAGACGCAATGACAGCAACTCATGGCAGAATGCGTCATCTGGCCAGTTCTTCGGCAAACGGATGGGCGCAACAACATCATAGTATACAAGATCCAGAACCCCCGACCCAACCTTTTTTATTTTGGTCTTTCATCTTTCTGCTCCCTAAAAATTGCTAAAAATTCTGGAATGGAGGTGTCGTGTGCCTTAGCGGATAATCACATGCAACTTAGTATCAGTATGTGACGACATGGGGGTAATATGTATTATTGTTGTGTGGTTTTTTTCTTTAGTTTGACTTAGTTGATACTTCGTTTTGCAAAGGAATGTTTCGGATTGTTGCGCGGGATCAGGGACGGTGTGACGATAGGAGATTTATTTTTCGTTACAATGAATATATGATTAAATCGTATTTGATATTCATGGGATAAATCATCAATATTCGGAAATTCCAAATGATATTAATGTCTATAAAGATTAAAATCGTGACTGGTCAGGATGACAGAATGTGACGTTGTGAGTGGAATTGAGTTCTAGACGCTAAGACAACATTGAAGCCCCTAAAGCTGGAACCGTTTCGAAGCAACAATCAGGTATGTCCCTACCAGCCTACCCGCTAAAATAAACCTTAGGCAGCTCGATTAGGTACTTTCATGTACATTTGTACCTACCAAAGTTCTGGAAATCACCAAATTTTGATGGAGCCTGTCCTTTAAAGTTGCGGTTGTCATAAGTAACACATGCACCTTCTCCGTGTATGTACATATGTGTACCTGGGTAGGTGCGTGTAAATAGACACCGATTGGTTGGTTGATCGTGAGTACCTAGGAAACGTATAAAAAAGCAGGAAGGTCAGTGGTCAAAGTCAGGCAGGTGCATCATGTCGGCCCTGGCGTGGCGTCATAACACCATGCACTAGCCACATTTTCAGTAAAGCTAAGAGGTCTAAAGAGGTCTAAAAGGTAAAGCTAAGCTCCGCTGGGCTAATCTTGATGAAATCACTCCTTTTTATTATTTTATTTGGTCTGCGCTTCCATTTGCCATTTGCTTCAACCAGATCGCTCAATTCCGCTAACTTCCCTACCAATAATCCTGAATTTCCCTGCTACCGCTACCGCTACCGCACAAACAAGTACCAAGCATCAGAAAATTCTCACGATTCCTATTTCTACTGCTACCACTTGTTCTCTTCCTTTCCTCAAACACAATCAACGAAAAAATACTTATCATCCAAAGCAGTAAGTTGGCCTTTGCCCTTCCCGACTCTGAGTCTGCTAGAGCTCACCCACAATTTTTTTGCTACCAGGTAAAAGCATCCGGTATTCCGAGTAAAACCCCTTTGATTCTCCCCGTTACCTACGACAACAACATTCGTATCGTATCATCTAAGATCATTTGCGATGGCCGATTCAGCAACTGATCCCACTGCCAATGGCAGTTCTGGCAACACTCTAAAAGGCAGTATGGTAAGTTGACTCGATTCCGACCCTTATCCTACCCCCCGCGCTACCGAATAATAATGGCCAGCTAACATGTCGCGACTAGTATCCCACAACGACAATAACCACGACCACTCGCCCCCTCGATATCATGATCACTAACCTCTCTCGAACAGATGCTCAAGCCGCCTACAGCCAGATCGCTAGTGGTACGTATTTTATCTCTTCTTGCCCTTTGTTGCTCTATCGGACCTTATCATAGCTAACCATTCCCCTCGTCGCAGGCCCTGTCGCCCAGAACGTCAAGGATCAGAGTGCAAAGACAACTGCCGAATTTTCCAATCTGGCCAACTCCCGACAAACACCTTCTCAGCCCGCTGCCACTGGCCAGCCTCTGACTCACTACCACTCGTTCTTTTCTGAGTTGCTATCATGGAACAACCCTCGTATGCCTATACTACTTCCTCCCACTATGCTATATATATACTGATACGATATTATAGGAGCTTCCGCCATCGCGTACGTTTCTATTGTCTCGTTGATCTTCGTGGCTAGATACCTCGACCTCATTCGATACACCTTCAAGCTCACGTGGATGGCCTTGGGCGTCACCGTCCTTGCCGAAGTCGCTGGTAAGACAGTACTCGGCAACGGTCTTGCTACTCAGCTCCGACCTCGCAAGTACTACACTGTTCCCAGGGAAACACTCGACTCTTTGATCGGTGACGTTCACGAGCTTATCAACTTCTTCGTTATTGAATCCCAGCGAATCCTGTTCGCCGAAAACGTGACCGCATCCGCAGTTGTGAGTTCCCTACACAGATATATACCACACTGGAACGGTTTTTACTAATGTTTAAAAATAGGCTGCTTTTGGAGCATTCCTCTCGTACTACCTTGTCAAGATCGTCCCGTACTGGGGTCTTGCTCTGGTCTCTACCACTCTCCTGTTCTTTGTTCCCCTGGTTTACACGACCAACCAGGAGCTCATCGACCACCACCTTAAGCAGGCCTCCGACGTAATCGAGAGCCAAACCGAGCAATTACGCCAGGTTGCTAACAAGCACACCGCCCAAGCAACCGAGATTACCAAGCAATACTTAGGTGACTACACCGCCAAGGCGCAGCAGATGATCCGCGGCCAAACCGCTTCATCGAAGTCGACTCAGTCCCACCTAAACGAATCCGACTTCCCCAAGGCCCCCAAGGAGGGCTTTAACAAGAAGGAAGAGGAGGAATCTTCCGAGGAAGAAGATGAGGAGGAGCCTCTCATTGCTGCCTAAACGAATGTTAGGTGACGTGGCCGACGATAGTTCCCTCTTTGATACATAACATACACCCGCAACGGTTTCCGATAATCCGACTGGTACGGCACGGCAATTTGATATGACTCATGGTATAGAAAGATACGAGACATGACGAAATTGCGAGGCTTCCTCGACGGAAGCTAAATAGTTTTCGTCTATGACTTTCCTTAACGATGATAATAGGCCAGTAGGCGAATTGGGCTCCGATGTGGGATCGATGGTTTTTACTACTCTACCTTGAGGAGACGTTTTCTTGACGTTTGGCAGCCTGGCTTCTTTTGGCAACGAAATAGCAAAACTTGTTAATCAATATTTGCAAGTTCCCAAATTCCGCGTCGGCCGGAAAGGGCAAGAAGTATAGCAAACCCTACTCTCATGGCGTTGGAATGAATTATATGTGACGGTTCTTTAAAGATCAGAACGAAACCCCCCCTACCGAGAAGAGATGAATGTGCGTGTGTGTGAAATAGGGCATGGTAATGGGTTTATTAAGTGGACGAGAATGGCTTTTGCACTAGCAGTGACAACGAAGTTTTCGGTTGTGGTGATCATGTTGTACCTAAGTAAAGTGACGAGGAAAGAGGAGGAGGAGGGTTTGCACTTAGTAAGATAGTAATTTCGATTGTTTCTCTTCGTAAATAGATTAATGAGGGTTTCGTATGATTTATATCAATGAACTTATGCACTCGTAACTTCTAGGCGTAGAATTCTATGTATGTTTGGATTTTGTTTTTGCGAGTGTCTGGCATCGATGTATTCATGCCTAGATCTTATAAGCCTCCTAACACATACGATTTTCTTTCATTCAAGTTCCTAGCTGACTAAGCGTACTTCCAGAAGGGCCAATCTACGTACGTGGATCTATTGTTCTAGCCTAATGTAAGAAATTTTGGAATCAAAGTAGTTAGAAACTAAGTTTCACAAAGCGATGCGCTACCACGGATGCAATGATTATGATATAAATTTAGCCAGCTCAAATGATTCAACGATCGCAATTTTATATCAGAGTTCATGAAAAAGGCCTTTGCCTATGTAATATACATACATATGAAATATATTAGGAAAGGCGAAGTAACAAGAAAAACACGCCTTATACCGATTAAATAGATCGAAAGGCCATTAACGCCGTGGTTATTCGTTACTCAGTCGCCAGCCCCACCCCCTACCGATATAAAACACCACCCCCATTGTGGAAAACCCTAGATGAACGCGTCGCCTTCATTCTTCATTGATGCTTTTATGGAAATAACCAGATCTAGGCCAACTTGTGGTCCGAGATCTTAGTATAATGCGACTAAGTCAGGTTGCAGGTGGCGGCTGTGTGATTGGTAGCATTGCGAAGATTATGAGGATCAATCGCTGTCGTCCATAGCAAACTCGTCACTCTGTCCTCCATCATCGTCATCGTCGTCAGGAACCACCTGCAAGTCATCATCATCCTCGTCATCATTATCATCGTCGAGAACATAGACTGGCTTGGACTTAGCCGCAGCCGCACGCCCAGGTCTGCCACGTGCCGCAGGTCTGGGCGGTGGAGAATCGGGATCAGCTATCTCAATATCATCGTCTTCATCGTCATCCATATCGAAGACATTTTTCTTAGGTTTGGCTTTCTCCTTCTTGGCGGCATAGGCCTTTGCCGCCGGTGACAAGTTCGTAGACTTGGCCGCTGCCGTCTTTTTCACGGGGGCTGCGTCCTCCTTAGATTTGCTCTTCGCTCCTGTAGGTCGGCCACGGCTCTTCTTGGATGCAGCGGCGCTGCTGGTAGCAGAGGTAACCCTCGACTTAGGTTTGGATTCTTCAGACAAAGTCGAAGGCTTCGGTTTGCTTACAACCTTGGTGACAGGAGGCGGGTCATCGTCAGAAAGGAAGCTATCTAACTCGTCTTTACGAGCGTTCTTATGAGGTGAGGACTTGGCTAGCATTTCATAGTTAGTGTCGTCATGGTCGTCCAAATCGAAGGTCTTCGAAGCTTTGCTCTTGACTTTCAAGCCAGCGCTGTTACCATTGCTACTATCTGGTCGCGACATGGAAAACAAACTAAGTCTGCCAGTCTTATTCTCGGAGGCGCTGGTGTTCCCATTTGAGATACCCTTGACTAGATCGCCAACGTCGCCAAGCATTTTGTCGTCGTCGTCGCTGTCTGACTCATCATCCACAATCCAAGTCTTGGCCTTTGTAGCCGCAGCTCGTTTAGATCGAGGATTAGGTTGTACCTCTACATCTGAGTCCAGATCTTCCACTTTCTCCTTCTTGACTGGATTCTTGAGCTTGGCGAAATCACCATCCGAGAATGGATCTGAGTCTGAGTCTTCTGTCTTGGCAACGGGCTTGTTCTCTTTCTTCTTAGCGTCACCATTGAACATGGCGGCGAACCGTTGAACAGATTTCTCCTTGGGCGGCTCCTTTTCTTTAGCTTTAGCTTTAGGACCGGGCCTTGACCTTGCGACTGGAGCATAATCATCATCGCCCTTTGCCTTACGGCCACGCCCAGCACCGATCTTCTTTGACGTGCGGCGTCCCATTCTACGGATGCCAGTCGTAATCTCGGCGTCTAGGCGTATCTGATTCTCCCATTCAGCTTCAAAGTCGTCAAGGTCCCTGCACCAAAGATCCTTCTCGCTAAGCGCTTCGAGGGCATCACGTTCGGCCTTCTTCTTGCCGATTTGATCTTTGAGACGATCAAGTCGTTCTTGGGTAAACGACCAGATGGGCATCTATTTGATCGTTAGCAATATTATTTAATTTGCGTTATTTCAGTACTTACAGAAAGAAGATAATCGTAGCCGTTTGCCGCGATATCCGTCGCGATATCGTCCTCTTCGTCATTGCCTTCTTCCTCATCATCCTCCGACTTGGTCTTCTTTGCGTCCTGGCCTCTTGGGAAAGATTCATACTTCCGTTCACGAAGCTCTTCAACAATGACTTGCTTCTTCTTGCGGGATACCACTAGTTTGCCGTCCATGATTTCTTGAATGAACCTGGCCTGGTTCTTTAACTTGCGGAAATCCTGATCATACACCCCAATCCAGTGAACCTAGATTTGTTATGTCAATAAAATATCCGAATGCCATTTTCTTTACCAACATACCTTGCGATCAGCATAGATCTTCATTCTGTAATGGTAGAATTCTTCCATGATATCTTCGACCTTTTCGTACTTGCGGATCATTCCACGAGTATCAAATGCGACCAAATTAGACGTGGCGACTTGCTTAATTAACTTGAATTTCTCAAGAAGGCCCTCGTCTAGGACTTGCTTCATGTGCTTTTCATCCAATTGGATCTCAAAGCGGACATTCTTGTGGTCGTTGAACTCTTTATAATCTTTAATGAAAGACGGAGTTTTCTCGCCCCGAATAATGTCTTCTAGTCTCGCTTTGAAATCATCGGTCCACATGCGGATGGGCAACTCAGTAATAATCACCTCATTAGGCTTCTTTTCGTCCTGGAATGCGATACCATTGAATTGGTATCGATTGGCCTCGGCAACTTGTGGGGTACCACTCCAGCCTCTAAACCAGGGCATCATAGTTTCAAAGGGCTTCTCTTCATCGCCATCCATACGTCCCATACGGCGCTTTAGGTTTCTGATAATATCTGTCGGATGATAATTTGGAATCGATGTACTCCAACCTGTACCGATACCATCCGCACCATTCACCAAGACCATGGGAATTACAGGAACATAAACCTTGGGTTCAATTCTCTTCCCATCTTCAACTTGGTATTCTAGAATGGGTTCATCTAGAGGTGAAAAGACACGCCGAGCAAACGGCGAGAGACGGGTGTGGATGTATCGAGCGCTGGCGGCATCGGAACCACCCGCGAGTCGAGAACCGAAGTTACCACTAGGCTCGAGACAGTTGACGTTATTGGAGCCGACGTAGTTCTGGGCCAAACCAATAATAGTTTGCTGTAGCGAGACTTCGCCGTGGTGGTAAGCAGTCTGTTCAGAGACATAACCAGCCAATTCAATGACCTTCTTGTCCTTGACTAGGTTTCGTTTCAAGCAAGCGTAGATAACCTTTCGTTGACCCGGCTTCAGACCATCAACAACGGAGGGGATGGATCGCATGTTGTCAGCCATACTGAACAATATTAACTCTTTGTTAACAAAGTCGTTGTATGTGACCTGCTTAGTTGAATGATCGAGATAGGTTCCAGGGACAAAGTTGCCAAGCCATTCCTTTCGAGCATCTGCCTTCTTCTTGGAGAAAGCGAGCTCGAATAATTCGGCTTCTTGCGGCTGCATGGTACCGAATTGTTTCAAGTGATTATCAAGATCATTGAAATAGACTTGGGCATCCTCATTTGAGCTTGTACCCAAACCCTTGTAGTACTTCGACTCCCATCTTCTCAGCTCGGATTTGTGCGAGTCTTTCCATTCTTCATATTCAGGTTGGGTGAAGAATGACTTTAATCGTAGGGGCTTCTTGGGGTTTGATCCCTGCCATACCTTCACGATGGGCGTGATGAATTCCTGGAAAAAGTCTGGGATCTTCAGAAGCGACGGATACTGGACTTGTAGGAAATTGATCAAAAGTCCTTTGATATGGCTACCATCGTGATCCTGATCAGCCATGATCATCAGATGTCCATATCGGAGGGATTTGTTATCGGTATAAACTGTCTTGTGCTTCAGACCGAGGAATTGTTTGATATTCTGAATTTCCTGATTCTTGGTAATTTGATCAATTGAGGCATCACGGACGTTAAGCATCTTTCCTCGTAGAGGGAAGACACCAATACGGTCTGGATCCAAGATTGCACGACCCGCGACAGCCAAACTCTTGGCGGAATCACCTTCGGTCAAGATCAGGGTACATTCGTGACCATGCTTGGTACCCGCCAAGTTAGCGTCGACAAGTTTGGCGTTGCTGATTCTTGATCGCCTATTGCCATCACTCTTGGCCAACATCTTGTCGGCTTTAGCCTCCGCAAACGAGATGATGTTGTTGAGAGCATCTGTCTGGCCAATTTTCTTGAGAAACGGTTCAGTAAGGACACACTTGCTACCGTACTGGCTGGGTTTGGTGGTCATCTGCTCTTTGGTTTGGGAAGTGAAGGCTGGGTTGTTGATGAAACAGTTGACGAATATGAAGATGTGGTTGCGAATGTGGTTGGCCTTTAGAGTATGGCCCTTCTTCTTCTTATTTAATGTCTTCAGAAGAGAGTCGCAGATCTGGTCGGCAATGTAGTTGACATGAGTACCACCTGTGGTAGTAGCAATAGAATTGACGAATGAGACCTGCTGGAAAGAGCCATCCGAGACAGCGAAGGCAACCTCCCATTGACGGTGGGCCTTATTATCTTCAAGAATGACTGTGGCAGTAGGCTCGGTACCTTCTTCAGCACCTCGCTCACGAGCGATGGCTTTGGCGTACATCTCGCAATACTTCTTGAAGTCTAACTTGATGTGATTGTCGTTAAGATAGACCTTGATACCCCGGACTGTACCAGCCATATCGTAGACTCGACGATGGAGCAAAGATTCGAGATCATCATCGATACCATCTGGCATTTTAAACTTCTCCCAGTCCGGCTTGAAGCTAACGCGAACGAAGTCACTAGACTTGCTACTCGATATCTTTGCTTTGTCCATCTTGCTCATATTGTCTCTCCACGTCTGCTTGTATCTCTTCCCATTCTTAGAGTCTTGACACTCTAGGGTGAACTCGGTACTGAAGACGTTGCAAAGTTTAGCACCATAACCGTTTCGACCACCCACAGTCTTCTTCTCATTATCGTCGAAATTAGAACCAGCCAAGAGATGCCCGAAGACCAACTCCGGGATATAGACCTTCTCCTTGTCGTGTATTTCGACCGGAATACCTTTTCCGTTGTTCTCAACCGTAATCCGACCTTCTTGGCGGTTGATCGTCACCTTCATAAATGTCATGCTCGGATCACGCTGCTTGTTGTCGGCAGCGTTTACAAGGATTTCATCGAAAATTTTGTAGAGACCGGGCACAAAGCCAACCTTGGGTCGTAATTCCATCTGGTTGGTCTCCTTGCTGAAAACCCACATCTGCTGCTCTGTGCGTTCAACAGATCCAATGTATGTATCAGGTCGCTTGATGATGTGTTCCAACTGTGTCAATTTCTGATACATCTCGGTAGCGGTTTTCTTCTTAGTTGGCTGTTCCGGGCTGTCGATCGCCATGCTATCATTCTCTATCTCAGCTAAGGGCGGACCGCTGGATTTCTTAGCGGCAGGAGCTTTCTTCTGCTTCTTCGCGCTCGGGGGTGTGTTGGAGAAGCCCGAGACATCGTTATCGTCGTCGTCGCTATCAGGCTTTGAGCGCTTCTTAGGAGCTGTCTTAGTCGATTTTAGGGTTGTCTGAACCATTTTCTTTGATGCAGCCTTGGCTGTTGGTTTTGCTGCAGCTTTTTTGGGAGGAGCCTTGGCCTTGGGTTTCTGTAAAGGGGCAAGATTAGTACTACGGATAAGGCCCCGAATTTAAATGTGAGTATATGGTGCTTGGATGAAGAATTAAAATAAAACAGGCAAGTGGCATACCTCTGGTGTATAACCATCTGACTCGTTGCCGAAGTCGTCATCAAAGACCGAGTCCTCCATGATATCGGAATCCATGATGGGCGTGCTAATGTGTGCAGCGCGTTTACACGCGGCGTGAAAAGGTACAAGTAAGCGGTTCGTAAATTGTACTTGTCAAGTAAGGTAGATTGAGAAAAAGAGCGACGCAATTGACCAGAACTGCACAAGATGTTCATGAAAGAAAGAAGGATTAGAGAGATGTGACAGGTCAAGCCTCTAAACGTGAAATGTTTTGATTTTTCTCTTTTAGTCCAGGATTTTATCGAATGAGGGGGGGATGTTTAACAGGGAGCGGCAGGGAGTGGCAGCAACGGTCGGCAGCCTCGTTGTTACTTGTTATGGTTGTATGTAAACAATTTATTTTTTATTACTGAAACAAGAAGTCGCGTCCTATGACAAAGCGGGGATGCATAAAGCAGGCTAATACTAATTTAGTTGGTCATATCATTAGCGGGTAAACATCGGCATTGACTGGTCGTTTGTAAGTATCGATGTATGCATGTAAGCCTGGCTTCCTTCCTATGTAGCTTCATACTATTGTGCAGCCACAACCGTGATGTATGTGACACACACACATAAGGATGGAAGGAGGTATCTGTACACGCTGGATATTTGGCACAAATCTCACAAATCTCAGCTCGCCATCTTTTTTTTTTTCCTCCGGCTTGCTAATTTCATACAACAATCATGCCTCACCCAACCACCTCCTTTTCTTCCCAAACAGAACCATCTACTCATAATGCCGTTTTCTGAAGCCGTTGTATACTGAAATATTCTACCATGACTCATAAATCAGTCCTACCTTCATACGTTCAATCGGGAGAGATCCCGTTGCTGTTGGTTAGCTGCTGGTCCTAATCTCAGTCAGACGTCTAACGCCTACCTACATCTAACCGTATCAAGATCCGGTCATTAAAAAGCAATGTGATATTTACTATGCCTTCGATATCCGTATTTGGTCTAGAGTTGCCTCCCTCGTCTTCGGAGTCGGGGGATCTTTTCCTTACTAGGTACCTAACTCAGCTACCTTCAGAACTCCTCGTCCTACCGAAACATATGTTGTTCTAGGAGCCCTTTACGAACAATTGGTGCATAATTCTCCGCCGCATGTGCTGTGTAACTTCTATCTAGCACTGTTTCCCAAAATGCATAGAGGTAAAAATTTCCCGAAGTCGACTGTACTTCCCCGTGGCTTTTGTTACAAAGTCACACCACTGCATGGGATTCCTCAGAGCCGTCTCTCGCCACCAGTCCCTACACTGTGTCACAGCAGACAGCATGACAATCATCGTCTGAAACTTTCGAACTTACCCGAAGCAGCCTTGACGAGCCTCAAGCGTGGCCCATTTCGGAAACCGGAGAGGCGAGAGAGACCCGACGAGGTCCGATCGTTAGTCAATACCATCTCCCTTCTCTTCCACCGGTTCCAAATTCCGCATTTTACTCAAAAAGGGCTTGTGACGCTGACTAGGATACCCTTTCCGCCTTCCCGTTTCCCAGAACGGGTGGGGTATCTCAACACGGATATCACCTCTCTTGACGGCATAAAGAGTTTGATGAAGTTGAAGAGCAGGTGCTAAGCATGTGCTCGAGTCTTTTGAAAATTCCCGATCAGAAATTTCCATATCTCTTCGCCAACGCCCGACTCTATCGTTCAATTCAATGTGATACATTATCGGCCGACCATGTCTGTTTGTCAAGTACCCTTTCTACAATAATGTAATCTGCTTGGTTCTGTAAAGTCTGGTAGCATAACGGAAGGCCGCAGACCCTAATGTAGCGAGAACCACAACTTATTAAGACATCTCCAGGGGTGGCCGATGACTCGAGGCTTAGGCGTCCCACAAAAGCAGCGTACCAACCGTTCAGCTTCTACAGTACTTAGATAGCGGCAGGAAATGGACTACGAAGTGAGAGGGTAGCTACTTGTGGGCCGCGATCCATGCTCGTGGTAACCAAAGAGAGAAAGGATCGTGAAATTTTTCTTCCAAACCACCCAGGCACACAGTAATTTCTCGCCTATTGTCTTTGAGCTCCGCCTATCGAACGAAGCCTTGCTTCTGCAGGGCTCATTTCGTGCAGTCAGTTACGCAGAGAAAGTAGCCCGCGGCAGAAGATCGATCTCTGCTAAGCAGCGGGCCATATAGCCCACCTGTACCTCGATAGTCAGACCGGCAATATTTTCAAAGTCAGATACGGTTCCGCATCTGTGTTTCCCTAGGACGTATTATTTGTTCGTACGCCGCTTGGCCCTGAGAGGAAACATGGGTTAGATATGGTAACAACTACAACAATCTCCGCACCCACACAACATCCGTTAGTGATGGGAAGCCCTTGAGGCACTTCTAACACTCCTCACAATAATAGCAGTTTTATTTCTACCAAAGAAAAAGACTCTACGTGGTCCTCGGCTAGGCACAGGACTCTCCACCAAGTAAGTCGCCTTTACAGCGGTCAAGCCCAAGACTCTTGCTCTCTTCCTGTCTCAAATAGAAGAACAACGAAGAACCGCGCGGGTGAAATGTTCCAGGGTGCCCTCCTGGACTTACCCCCTTACAAGATGGAGGGACCACTGGGTACACATGTGTCGAGTCTAGCAATCGTTGTCTAGGATTCAATATGCTTATCACAGACCTTTCTTTGTTCTACCCTCTTGAGAAACCCGTCTAGCCAAGTAACTCTTACGGCACTATATGCAGCCTTCCGTCAGGTTGCTTTCTGTCAAAACCTCTCCTACCCTCTTCCAAACAATCCCGGTCCCTGTTTGGTCTCTCAGTCGTGGAGTATTTGCTGTGCCAAACTCATTTGTTGTCCGTAGCGACAGATCTGCTGCGTCATGCGGTCGCCTGTGATCGCCCTTTTTGGGCCAAAGCTTGGAAATGGTGAAATGTAATGAAACTGACTTTACCTCGATGCTGTCCTGGAGTTCACGGATCGACGTGATACATTTAATAGCACTCAGGACTATCTCGTCGGCAGCGCTCCCGGAATCGAACGTAGCGCCTGGCCATCCAGAGAAAGTGTTCTGCTTCCGAAACCATTCCGTTGAGGCCTTGCTCTGCCGGCTAACGGACCCTCTTCTCGCCTCCATTTCAGCCCATCCGGATCCGCCATCCCTCATCTAAGATAGATAAGCTGGGGCCTCTTCGGCCGTTTTATCTGATTCTATTGATCTTGTCCTGTCACCTATCAACTTTTGCTGGCTTTGAACTCGATCCTTCTAAAGAGCGGTGGACTCACACAAACGCGCTCCTCTGCTCTCACAGGTCGATTCCAAGACAACTTCAACAAAGAAAGCTGCACCGAATACCACGGTCAACAAGGCAGCACTGGACACCGCCCAAGTGCTCTGCAGATAGCTGCATGACTGGGTACAGTCAAGAAAGGAAGCAATCTCGGTTCCCTTGTACCAGCATGGGCTCGCCGTCTCGCGAGGGCGTGCTTCAATAGTTCGTGTGTTTGCCAAGTTCAAAAAGACTTGGTTTCCTCTCTCTCCTTTCTGCCGACGCAAGCGCTGCCTGTCTTGAGTCTCCCTCCCCAATTCTCTTGCGGTCCTTTCGTAGACAGGTCATCCACAACTTTGCTTGCATCAGTACTCCATCCATATTCGAGACATCTTGTCCCCACTAACACTCACCGCCATGCTATCACTGGCGTCTCTTCTTAATCCTGCCCCTCCAGGGCCACCAATCAACCGGTTTCCCCCAAGCCCAGCCTCGTTGTCGTCCCCAACGACATCTCTACGGGACGAGCCGGGTCTTTTGGATAAGCCCAACATGGCAAAACAGAAGATACCGAGAAACACGGCAATTACACCTACGAGCAGGCCCAAGGGAACTATCAATTTCCCCCCCTATGAGAGGCTGGATGAAGCCGCGCTCCGCCAAGTTAGGAAATTCCGCGTCCATCCCTTCGGGAACATACATGAGCACTCCAGGCACATTCCCTACAATAGCGGGAAGAAGGACTTTTTCGAGAAGACTGGCCGGGAAAGCTTCGAAGGTAAAAATAAGAGACTAAATTTTTCAAAACAAAAAAGTAATTCCACACCAAGATACGGTTTGTTGACCCGAACGTAGTCTTCCAGTATGATTTCAAAGTGCCCGGAGACGAGACCGAATTTACCGTTATGTGGGATTACAATGTCGGCCTCGTCCGCATGACCCCTTTCTTCAAATGTTGCAAATACCCAAAGGTCAGCTAGCCCCTCTATCCAATTTATACCTAGGAAGTCAACAAGAAAGAAAATGAATTGCTTTGATCTACGAGCTGACTAAGCGCGATAGACAACTCCGGCCAAGATGCTAAACTTGAATCCCGGGCTTAAGGAGATAACGCATAGCATTACGGGTGGCTCTATTATGGCCCAAGGTACGTTCTATACGTAGACTTGTTCTTTTCTTCATTCTTCGTATGATACTAACGCTTCCTATTCAATAAGGTTATTGGATGCCATACCACTGTGCCAAAGCCGTGTGCGCGACCTTCTGTCACAATATCGCGGGAGCTCTAATACCTATATTCGGCGCTGACTTCCCTTCGCTCTGCACGCCTTCGGAAGCGCCAGAGTACCAGCGTATGATAATCGATCCCGCGATTATAGTTCAATCCACTAGGGAAGCAGAGCGCTTTCGTAGGTTATATAGCAATCCCGTTACCTCAGCCAGTGGCAGTGGCAGTAACAGTGGTAGAGCCAATTCACCGCGGGAACGACCGACTCTGTTCCGAAGTCCTTATGACGATCCTAGGAAAAATCACCATAGTCAACACTTTTCTCGTCGCTATTCGATACGCAAGCCTTTTCCTACACCTACAAGTTGCGACAGTCCATACGCTACAGACACGGACAGCGACATATCACCAATAGCCCCAGAGCGCAGCAATATGGGTCCCCGCGACCGGTTTCCCTACTCGTCTGTCGCGCCACCGCCTCCGCCACCACCACCGTCATTGGTGGCTCCTCCTTCTCTCCGACCTACAAGTAGCGGCTGGGTGCCAGCTAATATCGTAGTACCAGCACATCACCACTACGACCAACCCGTACCAAGCCCTTGGTTAAGCGCCGTCCCACGCTTTACCACGCCTGCGCATTTAGCTCTTTATCCGCCGCCTCCACATACTTCGCAACCGCAACCGTGGCGAGGGGCTAACAAAAGGTCTGCCGAGCACGTCGAATCCGACTACGAATACAATCACAATCGTGAACACGAGCGAAGAGGGGGGCCGACACACAATGGCGAGCGAAGTCAGACAATAGCGCCTACAATACCAGGACCAAGTAACACTAGCACGCCAACAACAATTTCTAGAGAAGGAAGTGGGGAGAGGACTAAACCACTGGGTGATTCAGGAACGGGAATATTGGGAGCAGACAAGAACGCAGCGCTACTTTTGATGAACCTAAGTGTTGGGGACACGCGGGGTAACCAAAGCGCCACTGGCGTCGTGGCGTCGGAAACGAACTCACCGCGCGATGGGGAATTCCCGAGGGTTAAAAGGATTAGGGCTCAGTCGTTTTAGCAATCAAAGCATGGGGTTTAGAAAAGAGTTGAAAAGCAAAGAGATATTACCTACTAGATATTTCTAGTCGTTACACCAGATCCCTTGGGACCCAAAATTAGGTAGGTAGCGTTTGGCTTGGATAGAGATAGACGAAGCGATCGAACTAGAGCTGGGAGGTGACTGTTGTTGATAACTAGGGACGGCCGGAGTTTTGTGTCCCCGAGGATCGAGATTGGGTAGGGCGGCATGATAGGTATTTTACACGGGGTTCTAGAGCCATAGTGAGCATCTAGATAGATAGCGTGTTGCTTGACCATATCATCGCATCAATTACAAAAAGTTACTTGAAATTCGATAACTTGAGTCGACCTCGTTACTTAATGCGTGGCACATAAGTCAAGTGAGCATTATTGGACGTAGTCCAGTCAATAACTCTTCATTTTTCTTGTTTTCTCGTTTTATTTGCTTTTTTCGTGATCACTGCTCACCCACTACCCTTCTCCGCAGCCTTCTTCATCTTGAATTCTTGTACCCATGCCGCCGCCTTAGCTTTTGGCAGGACGAAAAATCGCACCACTTCATCCACAACCTCCACATTCCCAGAAGACAGCGTCTTCAGTAGCGACGCCTTCTTGCCAACTTTAACAAGGCCACCTCCCAGTGTCTCCATGTAGCACTCAACGCCCGCAGCTGTGTACTCCTTACTCTTATCCCACGGCAACGGGAATACATACGCCAGATGATCCGCCAGGGTCTCGGTCTCGCCGAATGCTTTGATGAAATCCGACTCCAGATGCGCGGGGTACAACAACACAGCCGGGAAATTCAACGTGCTATGCGGATCATCCGGATCCGGGACCAACCTCAAGCCTGCGTCCTCCATCTCGGGGGGTTGCGCTGTAGTTCTTGTCTTAATACCGCGCGCTTTCAGAGCAGCTTTTAGTAGCATTTCCCGTCGTTTCTCGCGCATTAGACGTTCATTCTCTTTTCGCTGCTTGGCGGCGACCTCCTCACTCTTTTTGATAATGTCGCGCGCGATGGACTTCAAGGGGTTGTTGTTCTCGTCGAGAGCAAGGCCCCGTGCGCATGCGTCATCGGCTTCTTCGATGCGGCCTACAGCTAGGAAGGCCCGCGCCGATCGGTAGTATGCTTTAATATTCGTGTCGTTGAGACGTAGTGCTGCGGAACAATCTAACCAACAACTACGGTAGTTTTTAAGCTCGAGATGGCATGCGGCGCGGTTGACGTAGAGGGACTCGAGCATAGCTCGTTGGCTCTGGGGGTCATCCTCTTCTTTTTCTTTGCCGTCTTCCTTTGCTGTCTTCTTCTCTTCAGCTTGAGGGGCTACTCCTTGCTCTATGCCCTTTGCGCGCTTCCGCTCCTCAGCAGCTAATACCAATACACCCTTGGTATAAAACTCCTTAGCGTCGCTCCAGCGCTTAACGCGGAAACATTCGTTGCCGTGGTCCTTGAAATCGGAAGCAACCTCAAGTGGCGTCCCTTCATAAGCGAGGGCCTTGAAAGCCTCAGTGTCATCGTTCTCTTCTAACTCCGTCATGAAAAATGGAGTTTTCTTCAACTCCGCCACTACCTCATCCACCGTTTTCTTATTGGTCATAGCTCGACCAGGCGATAACTCCGGGAACATGGCTGCTGACGCAGTTGTTGCGCCATCTTGCGCTGTCGATGGTGCTGGCGGGGATGATTGCGCAGTTTCTACTTTTTCTTCTTGACCCTCCCCCTCAGTTTGCGAGACCTTTAGGCGCTCCGCAACCTCATCTGAGATTTCTTCGATATGCATTTCGATTCGCCCTTTTCAAATTCCCGACTAAAATATTTTGATGGAAATTAAAATTAAAGGATTAGGTCCGTTAAGATTCTCTTTTATGAGTTGGCGAAGTAAAAACATAAAAAATGTTTGGGCATGTCGAGATAATTTTTAGTGAGAGAAGCCTAACCTTTTGCCTTTGAATTTCAGCGATGCACAATTACGTCGATATTATGCACTTACTAAGACTTGATACGCATTTATCCATATATACAAATTTGTATATATCCTAATATATTTACTTAAGGGTTATATAACAAGTCGTATACACCTACATGAGAAGTATTTTCTCACATTCGACGGCATCTTTGTATTTTTGACGTGGTGTGAAAAAATCGTTTATGTTCGTAAGACGCTATGGTATTCTATCAATAGATTCCCTGTCCTGTAGGTACCTCTATAGCCATTTTTGGTCTATCCATAAGTTTCTTTTCCTTTTGCTTTTTTTCTAAGCCACCACACCATTCGCCGCAATTTCTTTCCTATCTTCCTCCCCCGGAGTCTCCCTCTTTCCTCCCCTTCCTCCATTGACCTCAATAAGAGCCTGCTCAATAGCGGCCAAGAACCTTGTCACCTCATCTTCGGTACCAACCGTAATTCTTAGGCAACCCAAACACCCATGCTCCTTGCCTCTAAATCTAACGACAACACCCTTATCCTCAGCTAGGGTCTCATACACGGCCAACGCCACCGTGTTATCCGGTTCGCCGCTTGAATTCAACATTTCATACAACAAAAAGTTACTCTGTGTGCCACCCCGCAGACGACCGATACCCTTTATCTTCGGCAGCTCGGTTAATAACCTTTCCCTCTGCGCCACGATCCTCTCGCGATTCTCACGCATTTTCGCAAGTCCATCACCCGAAGTTACGTACGACGCGAGTGCGCTTGTTGGGCTAGATACGTTATACGGCGCCTTCAAACTATTCAATAGTCGTGCGATCGGCGCTGACGTAAACGCGGCACCCAGTCTAATACCCGCCATACCGAAAGCCTTCGATAATGTCTGCATGACGACCAGATTAGGCCACTCAGCGACCCATTCTGCGAGGGACGTTCCGTCGGGCGCGAAGTCGATATACGCCTCGTCGAGCACCACGACACCATTCCATGTTGGGTGCTCTAGAATCTGTCTCACGTCTTCCTTATCCAGCAACGAACCTGTGGGGTTTCCCGGGGTGCAAAGATAGATCATCTTGACGTCCCTCTCTGTTGATAGCGCGTCCCTAATTTTTGGTACGTCGAGCCCGAAACTGGGTGCTTCGAGCAGGGGTATCTTGACTAAGCCGACGTCGTTGACTTGTGCTGATACGGAGTACATGCCGTAAGTTGGGGGGCACACGAGAATCCGGTCACGTCCGGGGATGCAGAAGCACCTAAGTAGCGCATCGATAGCCTCATCGCTACCGACGCCAACGAATAAGTTGTCTGGAGTGATAACCTTAGGAGTGTAGTGGTGAGTGTTGCGTAGGTTGCAAAGCAATTGCTTCAGATCGCGTTGGTGCGGATCCGGGTATCTGTGTAGACCTAAAAAGTCGATATCGACGCCTGCGCCTTTTGACGCGGCCTCCACGGCAGTAGGTGTCAATGACGGCCCACAAGCATTCTCGTTGGCATCAAGAAGGATATTTGTGCCATCGTCCTTGTAGTCACTATGATTGCATATAAGTGAAGTGCTCGCTGACTAAGTGAGAGGGTTCTTACTCTCGCGCGCAGCGGTAGGGCTCTAAAGCCAAGATATTTGGCCTAGCACATGTCTCAAGATTGAACGGCGACATGATGAAACCCAGATGACAACAAGCAACGAACACGTTGCTATCCTCCTGGAAATTGGTTTACCGAATTCCCGATTCTCACTTAGATCAGCATACAACTTCTCTTAAAATAAGATGTTTGGTTCATGAAATGATCATGAGAGGGATTAGCTGAGTTAATGTTGTTTCATAAAGGTTTGCTTTAATTAAAAAGATCCGTTATATCGCACCCTGACGTCCGATCGGAGGAGCCCTGAAAATAAAACTTCAATTGACTCATTTGGCGGGGTTACAATGCTGCTTAGGTGCATTTCCACTAGTTAGAAGCACCCTAGATCCTACCTAGGTACTAATAGCGTTAAACTCCGCTAGAAATAGCGCCTAAGGCCAGGTAATCTTTTACGCGTACTGATAACACATAGCACTAAAACATGAATTCTTAGTTCTTCATTCCAATCTTTTGTCTATCTAGGTATCAAGTTGACAAGGCACCAGCCAGAGTCTCGAAGAATCTATCAGGCTGTAATAATACATCTAGCCGAAAACATATAAAATATGGTATCAAACGTCGCCCTAACCGACGACAGCTTCTCCAGCGAAGTACCCAAAAGCAACAGAATCCTGAACGCCATTTCCAATAAAGTCTAGTATCATCTCATCCCTATCATACGAGGATCAGAATCCAGGATGAGGTCAAAACCAGCAACATCCATCGCCAGTCGATGAAAATTCCACTGGCGACATTTCCCTGCTTGGTAGGCGTAGCCTCAGGCGCCGGCGATGTAGCAGTCGAATTATTCGTAGGCGCCGAGATTTTAGGACCTCCTATATGTTTAATCTCACCAACCCTAAACGGAGGTGTCGCCTCTGCCACCAGGAGACCTTGCACAGTCTCCAGCGCAGTCAACTGCTGCCCCAACCCCGTCACGCCATCAAAGCCACCAACGTACCACTTCTGGCCGCACACAGTGCCGTTCTTCCCGCCAGAACACGCTTTCGCTGCCGCGATAGCCGAAGCATTCAGCCACATCTGAACGCGGGGTAGCGTCGACGGCATCATGCGCGTCGTCGCCCACATGAACCGAGACAGGTAACCTTTGAATGACTTCATATCGTTGTTACAGAGTTCGAAGGGTTCGCAGGACCGCTCGTACATGACGTTCGTCGCGTTCTTATACGGACTAAAATACGCACTCGCCGCGCTTAGGAGACCGTTCGCGCGTGTCTCCCAAGTTTTATCCCCGTTCGTGTAGTTATACAGGACGGCGGCGCCATACGTGTATATCCCTTGCGCGTATGAGAATGTGAGTTGGTTCACTTTGGCGCATTGGTCTTTGCTGTCGGCCCCGTCGTAGACGGTGTAATTCGGGTCTACGAAGCCGATTTTTTCGGACCAGTCCCATATCTTCTGCGCCCACTGATAATACGTTTCGTTGCCGGTCGCCCGCGCAAGACGTGCTGAAATTTGGAAGAAGCCGCCGTTGGAAACGCTATTTTTGTAACTCATGCCATTTGGGTTGGACTCGAAAATCTGCCAGGCAAGTCCACCGCCACAGGAAGTGCTGTTCCACCTCGCAGCCATGGTGCCCCATATGTTGACTGCGATGTCAAGCCAAGGAGGAACAGTATCATTCGGCTGAGCGAGATTCCGCTCCGCAGCGTTGAGGATAGCGAAGGCCCAGAAAGCCTGGTCATCATTCCCTTCAGACCCATAATGTGCTGGAACCATCAAGTCATACTTGGGTCCCACATTTGACAGCAGAGCCTGTGTGATGACACTATCGTAGCTGGAGTCGCCAGTGTAATGCGAATAATCCAGCATGGCCCCCCAAGCCGCACCAGATTCCCACCAGTCTATAGGTCTAGGGTTAGCGAGAGTTCATAGGCTAGAGTGAGCATTGACAGGTCTTACAATATGGTTCAGGGAAAGAACCAATAGTCTAACATGGAATATCAGCTCCGGCTCAAACGGAATGGGATTTTTGGATGTGATATTCCTTACATCTGGGGTATCCGTTACATTTCCAGAGTACCAAGACATAAGTTCGTAGGCAAGTGTGCTGGCAACACTGCGTACAGATGCTGTACACAGAATATCAGTACATCCCAATCAAAATAGACGAAAGGTTGCATACTTTGGTCGTTGATATTGATGTCTTTTGGCGATACGAACGCCGCTGCCAGCGCGGCAGCACGAGCTGATCTCATAAACATCTTTTTTTGGTGTTTGCTAATGAAAATAACAGGTTGCGCGGCGACCTCAACTTTGATTTTTAAATATTCGGAAATTGCGAGTGTTATCCTGTGCTCTCGACCGATTCCTTGTACTTCCACTTTCCAACTGTGTGTAGAGTAAGTAATCCCAGGGAAATGAAATGAAAGTAGTCCAAAATGTATGGTAGGAAAAAAAGAACGGCGTAGGGGGTGATATCGTCGTCTAGGTGAGGTAATGAATGACAATAGTCTATGGTGTTGCTGGGTTGGACAATTGACCCACGAAAAACAATGATGGTTGACAGACACTCCAAATGAACCACCAACCAGTCAGGAAAGGAGCGAACAGGCACGAAGGCAAGAGCAATCAACGCTCGTTGAACAGAATTGAACAAAAGAAGAAGAAGATAGAAATTCTATGACTGAGGTAAACTCATCCGTGATGCTCCATTGTAATATGTCAACGAATGACGAGGTTTTTTATTCAAGCTTTGAAGGAGTCACGGGAAATAACCCACAGGGACACAAAGGATGATCGGATTAAAGATACTTGTCGCATCATGTTTATTAGGATTTCATCGCAACAAGAGCTTAATAGTCATCATTAGCCACAAGCACCACATATAGACATGGTTTATGCCTTGGTTGGATGGCGCGTTAGCTAAGGAGATCTAGAGTTACTTGTGATGTTGTCTGGTCTAGACCCAGATATGGTGGTGGTCTGCACCCATTCGCCAGGTACAGTGGTGTTAGAGATATGTACAACAAGCAGTATTCGGGAATTTCGGCCTCTTTTGGGAAGGATGTTTCGAACAGATTTTCAGGAGCATTCAAAAGTACTTAAAAGTTCCATGTCGGCGATCTTTAGCTGTTGCGTAATGAGGGGATGGCGGTATTTAATTGGTCATTAGCTCCTAAAGCCTTCCAAGTCGGCCTAAATCATTTGAAACTTGAAACAGCACCATTCGAGCTTCCTCATTCTGTTAATCCATTTTAGACGCCTCAATGCATTTTTTACCGCGCGACTGTACATATCTGCTATTGCTTGTGATCCTCAAAATGTCTAGGAAGTCCGTTCGTTTTTGCGAAGGGTGCTATTTTTATATCATACCTGGTGGTGTGCGTTTATCAATTCCTAAGGATCAGTGTAGATGTGCAGATTTATGGTCCGCCAATTTGAGTAGGACTACCTAGGTACCTAGATATCAATGCAAATCTCCATTGAGTGGCTAACATCTACATTATCTAATAAGAGAAAACCATCAATTTGACATTGCTACCCATTTTCATTAAACTGGTATCTCGACTAAGTTGGCGCGGTGAAGTCGACAGCTTCGTACTACAATTTGGACTAACCTACCTTACTCTTAACATTGTGCTACTCTGGTCAAGATTTCTTTAGAATGGGTCCTCAGCCGAAAAGTCAATCCTGGGCCAATCTGCCTGTCGTGCCACTAGGTCAATACGCCTTCCATAGAAATCTACCCCGTCCCATTTGTTCGTTGTCTAATGAAAACGCCTCCGCGAAGTCATACCAAAGCCAACAGCCTGAAGGTTGCCTTTCCAATGCAAGCACAAGACCGGATGTTTCGCAGCGGCTAGCAAACCATCAGTCACCGCCTCCACCATCTCACCCATCACATCCGTGGTGGCAGCGCAGAAATGCCATCGCCCGAATGGTACCTAGGTAGGCAACACAATGGACAACACAGTGTGGTAGAATTGTCGAGTCTACCAACATGTATTGTTTCGCGTACCACCGCCAATGGGGACAAATCCGGATACATTCATATCGAAATTTAGTAGACATGGACCAAAGCTAGATAATTAATTAAGTAGTTTCCACAGGTGGGACGTTCGCAACAACAAAAAAAATAAAAAATAAGAAGATATGATGAGAACCAGGAAAAAGAAAAAAAATGAATGGTATAGAAGGAATCTAACCTTTAGTAATGGACTCGCGGGGAATCGAACCCCGGACCACTCCCATGCTAAGGGAGTATTATACCACTAAACCACAAGCCCGTCAAACCCCTGTGGAGGTTCATACCAATTTTCGCATTGCGAAAACGTGGTTGGTGCGTTGAAGGGTGTAAATTTTTTGGTGCTTTATAACTTTTGCAACAAATCCCACAGTTAGTGCTGCGGTGATTTGTCGGATTCACACCGTACAGCCCCGCCTCGCTTCATAGCGGAACATCGGACCACCGACAACGCCCAGCAACGATAACTAAGTACACGTTAGTATTATCCGAGTGTCCAGACATGTGCTGGATAGAATATCAATTCGAGAGCCAGGTGTTCATGTCAATTGATCAAGGCATCATACCTAAAACCATATGAGACCGGCGATCCATCGTTAAGATATGTTTCGGGCTAGATGATGTTCGTGGCTATAGGGAGAAGAAGGGGATGAAGTTGTTTTAGGGAAGATGAAAGTGGAAATAGAGATGGGGACGGATTGATGTTGGATTTGCCTACTAGTAGGTCGTGACTGCTCAATTATCCCTTACTTTGCTGTGGACTATTGACCTTTGCTCCTTCTCTAAACTATATTGCACTTTGTCGTTGTGGGAAGGCAGAAGGTTTCAAATGCAGCATCGCAGGCCTAGCGCTACCTGCCTGTACCCCACAGCCCCTTCCTCCTTTTTTGGTCCCTCCCCTATTTCTAGTACCTAAGTACTCATCATACTGAATAGAGGTTTGAATTTGAAAAAAAGGTGCGCTTTCGCGTCGAGATTGGTCTAGACAGGAAGAGAAAGGAACATCACTCCTACTGCTCAGCTATCACAACCATTCGGAAACGAAGACCTTCGACACGTAAGAGCAACGAAATGGTAATAGATGTCCTAGCGACAATCCCTCCATTAAACGCTACGCTAGTCCGTGCCATACTGCTATATCGAAGTGGACGTGCATTTAGCTGGCATCTCTGATAGATATCTGATCGTTCACTAGCAATTCTGCAAAACTGTGGTCGCCGGTATGATTACGACACGGAAGGCCCGTGTCTACAAATTAAAGCCGACGGCGCTCCCGGCTAACGGCCAAAGCACTGTAATCACCTCAATTTTAGAGTGACTAGGACTTATTCTCTAGAAGCTAGCGACTCTGCTGCCGGAACTTAATGAATTTGACACCGGAGGTAACATCTGTAATCTCCTAAGGCTCAAAATTTACTTCCAAGAGGGAACTATCGGCTTTTCTAAGTCGAGGAGCTTACATTAGAGACCCGAAGCCCTGTGCGCATGATTACTTCTACATACCAAAATATGTCTACGTTATCTACCCCGATGACATGTCCGGATTGCCTAATGCCGTTTCACTCCGTCGAACCCGGCATTGTCTGCCCATCTAGTTTCGTTATGAAATCTGAATCTGGACCCCGGAGAGCTGGAACTCCATAATGGGGACCCGAGGAATGGTCAGTCGTCTAACAGACGATGCACCTCCATCGGAAGATTACGACACAGAGAACCTTGTAGAGAATACACACTAAATGATACCCTGTATGCTCCTTCGTGATGCGCCGCATTTGTTGCCAGCCCGCGAGGCCTTCTGTATATATAAGAAAGTGAGAGACGGGTGATATATCCTCTCTTCTACCAACCAGGCCATCCTCCAATCAACACCGATATCCAATAATCTGCTAAATTAACGATATAACGTTTATAACACCAATAAAAAACTCCTTCAACATTATCAAAATGAAGTTCTCCGCCATCCTCGCCTTTGCTACGGCAGCCGTCGCCGCGCCATGGAGCACAGAGCCATGGGGTGACCTAGAATGCACTCCTCCAGCCTACGCCTGCAAGCCTGATTTCACTGGTTGGCTCGTCTGCAACGTCGATGGTTGGTTCATTGTAAGTATCGCTGCAATCCCGTATTTCTGCTAGCCATTAACAGTTTGTAGGATGGTGGGAACTGTGACGGAAACACTTGGTGCCAGTACATCGATGGTCTACCTTACTGTGTCTAAATACCAACTATAAAAGGAGGAGCTTAGGAATCGCAGAATTTATTAATACGGCGTCAATTCAAGATGGATAATATGCGATGATTGATTCGAGTCAATCATGTGGTCTGAAGTTTTAACCGAGGGATGTATTGGGGGGTATGAATAAGTTATCAATACGAACGTTCCTTAAAGCCAGTTAAAACGGGCAATATATTATGAATACTAAGTACTTTCATTTATCCCATGGAGTAGTATTGCTCATGAGATACGCGACTCCGTATAAGTTTTCCGTCTTCTTTAACTTTGACGGTCCTGGTTTGGTTTCTTCTCTTTATCATTCGCCTGGTCCTTCTTATACCATCGCTGCAAAACGATAGCAAGATTTTTACTACCAACAACAACACACCACTCACCACCAGCACTCCAAGCAACTTGACGCCCAACAAAGTCTTTAACGGTAATGTTGCTCTGTGCATGCGCTCTAATGGGTTCCTCCACGCGTGTCATATCGTATTTCAAGTCCCAAGATTCTATCGTCTCTTGCGAATAGTTCGTGTTAAGATCTAGATGCGATTCGAGATCGACGCTTCCGGTACGTCCAGATATGACTGACTCTCTGTCACTAGCAGCATCCTTAAGCTTGCTAACGGCGTCGCCTTTGTGCCTGTGTTGGATTGGCACCAGCCAGCCTGGACGGTGGACTGGTTGCGTCTTATCGCGGTCTGGGTCACGCACTTCGCTGATAAAATCATGGTAACTCCCTAAGCGGGCAAGGTCCCAGAAAAATATCGTGGCTTTGGCGTTACCAAAGGCTAAGACAGGATGTTTATCTTTGTCATGAAAGAGCTTGAAGCGGAGATAAAATTGGTGTCCGCAATGCGGCGTCCAGAATTCCAATAAACGAGTGTACTGGGGTGGACATGCCGATGCCGTAGCAGGAGCGAAAGCAGACCGAGTAAGGCGTTCCGTATCACTCGTCGTAGGTGCCTCAGACATTTCGGGGGCAGGGTCGCGGGATGAGAATCCCTCGATTCTCCACAACACTATTATATCCTCATGACAGGCTCGTGAGAGGATGAGATCACCAAAGAAAGCCACACTAATCTATCGTTAGAGTTTTCTACACGTTTCAAGTAATGTGATGGTGGCTTACCAGTCGACAATACCACTATGTACTTCTGAGGTGAAGAAATGAGGGTAATGGATTACGATGGGCTTTGCTGGCGTTTTACCATTGGATTCTGATGGTAAGTCAGGAAGTGTCCACTGTGATATATTAGTAAGGTGTGCGTTACCTCCTGGATTGAGGATTGGCCCATACCAAGCAGATAACGTTGTCATGTCCAGCAGAGAGAACGTATCGACCACCATTGTGGAATGCCTAAAAAGTATAGGTTAGAAATAAAAATGAGTTGTAAGGGTAAGAAGGAGATGCATACGACTGTCAAAAGCCCTGATGAATGACCTTCTCCGGCAAGGAGGCAAACACACGGCTGCTTGGAGTGCGCTGGATCAAGACTCCAGATTCGAACAGTGGTATCTTCCGATGCTGATGCGATTAATAGGAAATTCGTCGGGCACGTGGCAAGATCGTTGATTTCCTCCAAGAATTGTCAGTCTAGTATTTTAAGGGGGGTTATTACCAAACTCACTCCTCCATGGCCTACTAGAACCTGTATAATATTAGCCTACATAGCTACAACTAGGCGTGGATTTGGGTCCTACTTTTACTAATTCCCCTTGGACAACATCGTATACCTTAATTTTGGCATCTCTACCTGCTACACAAAGATAGGGAACTTCAGACTCGGGATCTTTCGTCCAAGTGCAGCTGCAGTTCAAGGCTTCTTTCTAGATCCCAATGAGTTGTAGCACGATTTATGTGCATTACGATATAACTCACGTCATCATCCCTGAAGAGCTGAACGAGTTCATAAGGCGGACTCGCCTTAGCAGAAAGTCGATATATGACGACATGTTTCTTGCTGACAGCGGCAAAGACCGGATCTTGTGTAACGTCCGCATAAGGGTAAAATTTCACATCGAAAAATTCTGATAATAGAAGTCAGAGGATATTCTGCAGTATGTACAAGACGCCTCACCTGTATCTTGATCATCTGATGTCGAGGATTGAGAATCATCCTACAGAGTAACATTTAATTAATAGTCCATGTAATGAATTTGGGTTGTTCGGGAGCTTATGGATTTAGGGTATCCTGACCTCGAAGCCGATTGTAGCCTTCAGACGCGGAAGATCCCACTCATCGCTGCTTATCGCCGATGGCATCTTGAAAGATCGCCTTGCATCATTCCCCCCCTTCAAGCTGGCGGGTATGATTTTCTCGGCGGGGCGGTAGAAAAGAGAGATAGGAAAAGGGGCAAAAAGGGGATCAAGAACTGAACCACTCAGGGGGTAATCTCCCGACGTAGCTAGTTAGAGAATTATGTATCTGCGGGCGTATAGATGAATTCGACTATACTATTGGGTATGACGTGCGCGTTGTGGGCAGCCGTGTAGCTGTGTTATCCTTCTTTTGCCTCTGAATATCCCCGACGGATTGGTTACCAATGATTAGGTCTTGAAATGGGTAGTTTCACAAGCTTGATTGTCGATACTATTTGGGTATAGAGCATCGCCAATGTTCAGTAATCAATTTATTTCAGGTACAGCTTTCGATAAGCTAGGATAAGCTGCGGGGGGGGGGGCCGTGGCCCTTGTCGCGTCTTAATCAAGCCGCAAATGGAACTTAAAAACTGGGAAGTACTTCTGTATTGAGGCTTAATGTGGCTAGAATTACCGTTCTTTCCTGGATCTTATTTGCTTACTCAAGAAAGTTCCCGAATAAAAAGCTGGAGTTTCCAAGCGCAATGAAAACATGCGATGTCCCGATTTTCAAACGCAGTTTCCCTAACCTTAGGTATGTACATACATGCAATCAAACTTACAGAAGTATATACTTGTATACATATAGGATTACATATGTATGCTACATATATGCAATTGCCTCCTTGCATTCAACTTCTACATGTACCTCACGTTTCTCAAAAACAACAAGAAACAATAGCGCTCGGATTTTCATCTTCCAAGAAATCGGGGTAGCTTGGAAACCCTTTAGAAATTGCTTCGAATTTCATGAAGACCCATTCTTACGGCCGTTACACTAGACTGGGTACATCCACATCCCTAGCAAATGTACCTACGCTTTCAACTACCCTGACCAAAGTATCCATCTCCAACCGAAAGTACCGGATTGTAACCCGCTAAAGCATTTCAGCCGCTAGGTAGCTTCGAAATGACGCCCAAAAGACTTCATGTGGATTGACAATCCTAGAACGCGCCCAACTTATTTGTCTATAGTATTGGAGGGGACCCTGGCAGAGCAAGCGCACTCATTGACACACCCATGAATGAGAGACCGCGAACACCATACTGCATGTACCGCCCAATGTAACTATCATGCCGACTGGTGGTGATGCAGTACTAGTGTAGAAGGACACGCCGCAGACGTATCACCGTTCTCGAAGAACGCCTAGTTCAGCTTAATTACATACATTACATACCTTACATGGGTTTACATGGGATGGGAACTTCAACCGTATTCCGTGTTCACATGCAACGACTTATGACCACGCAAACCATAAGGCTTAGTTAAGAGGGTGTCCGGAGTGCATAAGAGCCGGTTCACTGCAATGCAACTATTCTATTTTGTTATTTGGTTGAGAGTAGAATGACGAGGTTATACATTATCAGACTTGCCACAGTCTGCAATCAATTCTATTACGGTAGAAACAGCCGATTTGATACCTATCCTGGAGGAAAAAAAAAAAGAAATAGAATAGGGGACACAGCAGTATACCGATTTGACTTCACTTTGGATTTTGCATCCATCGCTAGGTAGCTTGTGATTTTGCGCTGATAGGCACGGCTGATGCCAGTAATGAATAATACCTCGTACTGTCTGTCAGTCGCTGGATTTTTCCGTCTTGGCATGGCCATGGTTGAATGCCATAGTATATTCCTACACTAGTTTGGAATCCCGGCAAGCGTAAATATTGTTGTGATTCTTTGTTAGAAATTAAAATCATCAGGTTTAATGCACGAACTTCAGTACCCGTGTTTGCTTTGCTCTGCATGGCTAGGGTTTTCTATCGGGAATTGCTTAGGTGTTACGAAGTCGCTGAAGAATGATTTGCGATGTGCGTTGGCTGGTTCTAAGGGAGTACCCCTGGTCGTGTTCCTCGCTCCAATCAGCACTCACCGATGGCTGCGGCTGTTTAGGGTAGCTTAGCATCGTGGGATGCAATTGAGGGGGAGCTTTGACATCGGACCATGCCATAATTTCCAACCTTGCCAGTCGGATCTCTTTTGAACGATATCGACGCCCTTGATTCCACGTGGAGAAATAATCGATCCCTTACGAATATGATCTCGTCTCGATCAAAACGTCCCCGGACGTTGATACGTATCGAAATAGATGTTCTAATGTCAGATAGGTACGGTACCTACATGATTAAAGCAGTGAGAATCTTATATCGTCATGACTGTCAATATTACTCGGAGCTGAAGCCTATAGCGCCCTTAACGATTACGTATGCTAGCAATCTACGACAAAGTGGACTCTTTGCTCGTATGCGCACGAAGTTGGCAGCCAGCTACCGTAGTAAGCAATCCTAATCAGGCCCGCTCTAACCCCCTTAAACATACCAAAAGTCTAGTAACCATTATGTAAATAGGATTATGATAGGGATGTTTATCCACCGCTAGATGGAAATTGTTTATGTTAGGAAACTCCTTGAAGCTTCAGACTTCTCGGGTTTCCATGTTCAGAGTAAGCTTGGAGAGGGGCTGATGGATGAAGTTGGCCCTTGAGGTCTGAAGTAGGTTAGAATATTATGCTTAACCTTGTCCATACGTAGGAGTTTTGTAGGTTCGGAAGCACGCCATGTAACGCTCGACACCATTCCGACAAGCGATACCTACTATTGAATGGTTCCCGAGTAGACGGCAGCCGGAAGCCTGTTTAGTGTGCTATAGTAGTGCTAGCCCTGGAGAATAGAAGGAATCCCGGCAGCAGATCCAAAGACTTGGTTTAGTTGTTCCGAATTGGGTTTGGATTTTGCAGTTCTCCGGACACACTAAGCCTGCATCAGCTTCTAACCGCGAGCAAGTAAAAAAAGGAGTCCTTTCGACGACCCTATTCACGACCACACCCACAACGCTAGTCTGGTTAGCCCTTGCTATTTCGAACGAAACGGTTATGAACTCCGCTAAACCCTTGTGGTAAGTAAGCTTCTGTCTCGCAAGCAATTCCCAAATTGCACAGTTCCCCCTGTTTATTCTGATATCATAGCTGGCCCTGCGCGGAATTAAATGGTTCTACCATTTTAACTCGCACGTGAAGGATCGCTTATGAATATAGTTGAAATGATATCCCTTTCTAAGAAATAGGAAATTTAACATGTTATCCTATGCCGGTACGGTACTTGGCTGCCTTTTCAAGCATCTGTGCATACCTAGAAAAATATTTGACAGGTAATGACAGGTAGTAGGGGAAGGAAATGGGGTTGCGTAGGACTGGGGTAAACACTTTTAATGCCCTGTGCGGAACGCGCACCGCGATGGAGACCTGGAGGTTTCACTGGAGAAAGAAAGTTATAGTGGATTTAGCGTACCTCTATGCGCTATGGGGGAGCATACGCCAGACGAAGTAGTGTTGAAAAGCTTGGAATTAGAATATGGGGTAAGAACTTTGGAACTTTTTCAGGGCCTACGTACATATGTATATCGTGGTTACCCGTAATTTACTATAATGTATGACCTAACTGTTAAAATACAGGTATCTAGGTACGTACATGAACGTACCCAAGCTAAAGTACACCCACATGTAACTCTAATGGATTATTACGTCTAGGCGCTGTAGATCACTGTGCGAACACTGGATAAAAGATAAAAAGTTGAGCTGACAAAGGGTATGAAGTTTGCACATTGTTGAGAAACTAAGATTAAGGTTAGAAATGCTGACGACTTGGATGAACGAGCATCAGCCCATATACGACTTTTAAAACTACAAAATCATACCTTATTATAAGTAAGCCCAGCCCAATTCCATGGGTATTATAGTAATATGACCCTTATCCGTACATGTTATTCATGTTAAAGCTGAGCCTAGACTCTGTAGACTGCCAAAGAAAACAATACCTGGTCGTTTCTCCCATAAAATACCACCCCTGTCTTGTCTGTGGAAAGGAAACTGGGCACCAAGAGCACTGGACAGAACGCACGGATAGAAAAAACAAGCGAGAAGATGCTTGGGTATCATGGGTATTAAGGTACATACTCTTAAAAAATGGATGTATCTAGACCGTAAAGGCAGGTACCTACATGTAGGGGAGAGGAAAAAAGAAGGAGGTATCATTCAGAGGAAAATAAAGGTGGAAGCGACATTTTGGACGTCAACGCAGCTAGAGAATGCCGTTACGCTACCTGCATTACCGAGCACTTAATGTACTGGATTGTACATTAGCGGAACTATATTTTTTTTCAAGTTGTAGCTTGTAGCTACCATTTCTCTGCCGACGGCATTGGCAAATGGGAAGGCGTCCTGCATATTCTGGCGTAAGAGCCTTAAACGACTGAACAATATCCCATACCCATACCCATACCTAGTACTTGTAGTAACCTTCCTCCCCCATCCCGTGCATTTATTTTTGTGACCGACTTCCAGACTTCCAACCTTCACAACCTTTCTTGCCTCTTCTCCCTCCCTCCCTCTTACAGCTTGCATAGCTGCATCACAAGGGCGGATCAAACCCGTGTGTTCCTATCCCTTAGGGCCACCTAGATTTCGACCCTTCATCAATCAATTCTGTCCTCCACGCCACTAGCCCGAGGAAGACGGGACCGACCGTTAGGCCTCAAACTGCTTTAACCCCCGCCATACGCCATCCGCCCGCCCCCAAAACTCCGCCGGGTACTTAGTTCATAATCTTATTGATATTCGAGACGATCCTGACTTTTTTTTTTCTACTTTTTCTTTTCTCGATAAGCCTAGATCTATACTTAGGTAATATATCACAAGCTGATCGCCCTGGATGTTCCATCTGGTTGCCGCTTTTTGTCCGCCCTGTTCCCCATAGCTGGTATAACTACTCAGTGGCTACCATCGCCCTCGTGCATTGCGTATGCTAGTCCCTGTTCACCAAAAAAAAACTGCACCGAGCCGAGTGACTATAGGCCGTTGTGACACCACAAGCGACGACCCTCTTGGCCATTTGTTACCACGTCTGTAGGAGAAGACCTGACGGGTTCCTTCCACCATACGTTTTCCGCGCGAAACGGTTGCCCTAACTTCGCCATCTTCTCATTACACGAAACCTGTTCGGGGGCCAGCTTGTATGACTTTACTACCTACCCGACGGTGACGGCGGGATCTGTGTCATACAATACTCGGTTATCCAGAGACAACTCGTTGGCTCGTCCACCTGGGCTTTTCCATAAGTGTCCTGGACAGCCGACTCCCAACTCAGTCTCACGAAACACGAATTTCGGAACTTACCATCCCCATTAAATTCGCTTCTTAGGTCAAACTGGAGAAACTATTTCCTGTTCGTCCTCGGGTTTTTGTTGGCACCCTCCGAAACAAGCATCTAGCTGGTGTTGGTTGACTCTTAAAAAAGTCTTGGCTTATGGGTCGAAGTTGGGTTTTTCGTTGAACAGCAGTAGCATCCTCCAGGAGATTGGATATCGAATCAAATGGAGCAGACTTTTATGACCATCCATAGTTAGTATCCTCGGTGCTTGGGTTTCTTTCGTTCAGGTGTCGTATTCAACGCGGCTCATTCTTGGATCATTTCTGCTCGACTAGTTGAACTACAGCTAATAGCTTATATCCTGCAGACCTGTCGCCCGACGCCAACATCCTCTTCGTATCTGACTCCATCGTTGATATCCTAGGATACCAACCACAAGATGTGCAAGGGAAGTCATGCTTCGACTACTTTCACCCAGAAGAGGTGCCATTCGCACGCTCCGTACATAGCAGGGGTGTCTTGCTCGATAAGGCAGCGGTTTTGCACTATGCCCGAATTATGTCGAGGGATGGGCGGTGGATAAGTTGCGAGTGTTGCTTCACGATAGTTCATGATGTCTTGGTAGCTTGCACAAGTATCTACAGACGTGGTGAGAAGAGTGAGAGTACGTTTCAGCTGCCTTACCACATCGTGGCTTAAATCGTCCTAGCTGCTAACGGTTGGGCAGGACGGGCGATAGAAGCACCCCAGATCCGACGAATATTCTCATCTTCGCCACGAGATCCTCGATATCATATGCTTGAGCACCTCTCGCCTAAATTCAAGATGCAACCAATGGAGCGGGAACCTCGCGCGGCTCTTATACTCAACAGATTTACTAGGACTTTGTCAGTAATGTTCGCTACCAATGCTGTTTCTTCAATACTTGGCGTGAGACCCGATCAAATCCAGGAGAAGAGTTTCTACGAATGCATTGCGGAGAATTGCTTAGCTGACGCCATCAAATGCTTGGAAAGCGCCAAAGCAAACGACTCAATCGCATACCTTCGGTTCTGGTATCGCGATCCTCGAAGGGAAGAAGACTTCGAAGATGAAGATGAAGACGAGGAAGAAGAAGAGGACGAAGATAGCGACGAAACCGAGCTAGAACGCGACAGAGAAACGAGTAATAGCGATACTGAGAGTGCAATGGACGTCGACACTAATGGGACGCCCGACCATAAAATAAAGGCCGAAAACAGTGTCAGCCCAGAACTTTCGAAGACCGACATCCTTACTAATGGAGATTCCCGAGGATTCTTCCCATCCTTCCCCGAAACTGGAGCATATCAAGTACCGGATGATACTTGTCATCCGGCTCCCAACCCAGCTAGCCAAACACATGCACGACGAAATCGTCGTCGGAATCACATTCCTACGTTCGAACTCGAAGCCGTGGTCTCCTGTACTTCAGATGGGCTGGTTGTTGTATTGAGAAAAGCTCGACCTCCAATTCCTTCACTACATCCACCTTTACTTCCTGTCGACTTTGAAAATGGACTATTTGCTGCGCCTTGGAGCGAGCAACCCATCCGACCTCACTATCCCCCCGAGCATTTCTACACGTTCCGGCCACCACTTCTACCACAGTATATGCCTCTACGAGAACATGTCAAGACCGCTGGAGGGCCTCCGATCGATCAGCTTATGAAGTCAATTCGAGATGTGGCTGTGTTTGCATGGGCACTAGTGGGTATCAACGGGAATATGGCTGCCTATGGTCGCGGGGTGCCGAGAGAGAGCTCACAGCCCCACGATGGATCCTCAGTTTGGGACCCAAACTCAGCAAAATCACCTGATCGTGGCTCCGAATCACAATCCGCTCATCGACAATGGGGAAGTTCTTCGTCGGACTCCCATTCTACTAATTCGACTGGATCGTCAGATCTACGTTACCCCCCTGGTTCTAGTGCTGAGGCGTCACAGGGAGGTTACGGTCCTACTTCAGCGGAGTTCAACAGCAGGAATTCTGGTTACTCGAATGTGCCCGCGTGGTCGTCCCCACGGCCGTATACGCCTACATTTGAAACTTGGCGTTCATACCCCCAGGCGCAACATTCGTCCCAACCATCTTCGTCTAGTTTCAATCAACCCTCAGCTGAACCGTGGGCAGAAGCATCGGCTCAATACACTCAACACAACGCGAATAATTACGCGATTCCTACAACGCAAGCACACGGATTTGGAGACAACCCAAGAAGCTATCGAAGTATGTGGCAGTAAAGCTAAAGGTCTAGAGTCGTACTTCCCGCTGTGCTCGCATCTAATATTTGTGCATTATTGTGGTTTTAACAATGTAGTAGGGGTCGGACTCTCGGCCTGGGCGTTTTAGGGGAAATCATGGGAGAAGCATCAGTACTACGGCGCATTTTTTATAGTGGGTTATCGTACGGTACGAGGCCCGTTTTATTAGCCAAAGGATGATATCCGCATTGAGGGCAATTTAAAAGGGCGATGTTACAGGAGACATTTTCATGGTTGTCACGCTTAATTCTGAAGGTTGGGATATGGGATAGGGTACAGAGACCCAGCCTCTGAAAAGCGGACAACAGGCGCTGAACAATTCGAGATACCCGTACTAGATGAATACGTATTCTAATTGCCACGTAGGACTGGCAAGGAAAAAACCGAATAATGCAATATTCTTGAATTATCCTTCCCAAGTTGGATTGCCGTATGTGACTTTCCTCATTTAGTGACTATGTCGTCAAGGTCTAGGCCGTATATTCAGACGGGAGTTTTGTTTCAATCTTTGAGCTACATATGTACATATGTATGTACTCTGGCATGTACAGGTACTAGGTACCAAGTAATCGGTCCAACGGCTCGGGCTCCGTCGAGTGTGAGTGTTACTAGAATGTGGTTACCTCGTTTCGCTGTCTCTTTCCCTTCTTCTTTCCTCCCTTTCTTTTTTCTTCTTTTCTTCTTCGACCCTTCTTCGCGGCACACACGGGCGGAAGGCAGCAGTGGCAGATTGGGGGGAAGGTGAAACCTATAAAAGTAAGTACATTCGTACATGTACCCGGATATTGTGACGGGGTGACGTACATGTAGTACAGACGTAATGAGTAAAGGCTCGCCAGGGGTAGCGAATTAAATTGAACGCTACAGAATGGTCCCATTTATAAAGAGCTTGGACCACTAGAGCTTACGTCTTGAATTGACACGGTGGTACTTGAAGCTTTTTGTGAGATTGTAATTAACAATTGTCGACCTTTACGTACTAATCGGCGACGACAACTTTGTTTATCCGTGCTTGATTGAAGGGTGCATCTAGAAGGAAATACCGAGATACTGAAGTACCCCTTGAGATAATCGTCGTTGCGTGAATTACCGAACAGGGACTTGCCCGAAATGGCGTCTTCCGCTAGCCATCACTATAGTAGTCCACAGGTCGAGGACGACGACTTGATCGACCCTGATGATGGTGAGTTCCCCAGATCTATTTGAATGGGACTATTATACTTTTAAAATAGATATAAGCCCGCTAACAACCGTACAGCCGACCTCGACGACTTAGACGACCCCCTCTCACACGCGCAATCCCAAAGAGAACCGCTAACAGGCAACATCGGCTCGTCATCCTCCTCCTCTCGCCCCCTCAACGAGAACTACCTCACATCCCGCTTCCCAGGCGAAGACCGTCGCGCGCCGCAAAACACGATCGATGAGTCAGTGTGGGATACCCTACGCCGCGATCTACTGGCTGTATGGTCTAAGATGCGCGAAGTCCTATATCCTCGCTACCTATTCGGTGGTACTATGTTCGAGAGCGCGGACGGGTTGCGAGGCGCTTATGCCAATCTCCGCGGTGCAGGAATCTCAGGCGCGCGTGAGGAGTTGACAAGCCTGGCTGGTCGTGTAATGGACCCTGAATCCCTCCTTAATCAGAATAATATGACGCCTGGTCTACGGGATTGGGATATGTGGGGTCCGTTGATCTTCTGTCTACTCCTAGCGTTGCTCCTGAGTCTGCGCGCAAAGGATGATCAACGAGACGTGGTGTTTAGTGGCGTTTTTGCGATCGTGTGGATTGGAGAGGCGGTTGTTACGCTGCAGATTAAGCTGTTGGGAGGCAATATGTGAGTTTCTACATCTTTGTTCTCCCCTCGTTGATTTGGGGAGGATATGGATATGGCTATGTGATATATGCTAACGAAATATGATAGCTCATTCGCGCAGAGCGTGTGTATCATCGGCTACACCCTATTCCCTTTGGTTATCGCATCCCTCATGTCGGCCCTCCGTCTACCTACGATCCCGCGAATCCCCGTCTATCTCGTATTAGTGGCTTGGTCATTAGCCGCGGGTGTTAGTATACTAGGCGGAAGCGGTGTCGTCAAGAACCGTGTCGGCATTGCTGTTTATCCCCTATTTGTCTTCTACCTAGGGCTAGGATGTCTCTGTTTCATCAGCTAAGTCTAATATCGCGAGGACGCTGTGCTGTGTATGGTGGGAAGAGCTAGTCGGATGAATTGACTAGAATTGTGAATTTGCATGGGTAGGAGTATGTCATGTTACAATGCGTTTTCGTTCTTAATTATACGCTTGACCTGTACTCTAGGTGTTATTTATTGTATGATCAATATGAACGGCGGCAGAGTTTCCGCTATTTCAACAACAAGAGTTGTGTCAACCAGCTATGCGATTTGTCGCGTTATTACGAGTTGGGTCGACTCATCGTATAGACGAAAATGTATAAGTTGTGTCTGTTCCATTGAATTTGATGAGGGTGATTTTAGGACGCAGAAGACCAGCAATATCAAGGAACAAGATGACTGAATTTCCATTGCTATTCGCCGTTTCAAAATTTTATCATCCTTCCACTGATCTGCTACTATATGCATGCTCTTTACATTAGTACTAAAGTTATATCTTACGGATTAGACCGAAACTTTCGACGAGACTAAATTCCTAACGAGATGCGCATCGTCACAGAATTACTATTTGAGAGTCAACACTCGGGACTTTCCAGCAACTAATTGACCTAAAAGTCATATTAGTCACCGCCCGATCATTCAATGAATTCGATAAGTCTGGGTAGTGATTACTTTTCGGCCTCACTACAAAAAGCAAACAAGATAACTCGACTTACAAAAGATTTCATCAGAGATATCTACCTAAGCTGCTAAGTAGGGTATAGCCCTAGAACGCCGCCCCTTCATGGATTATCTCCACTCGATCTAGACCATTTGAAGTATAAAATTCTCCCCGTGAACCCAGAAGTAAATTTTCGAAAAAGAAATGCACTGACCGCGAATCGAACGCGGGGCCCATCGATGGCAACGATGGATTTTACCACTAAACCACCAGTGCTTGCTCCATCTTACAGTTGAAGACCTGGATGGTTTAATTTCTTCCAAGTTTGTCTCATATGTGGATATCAAGCCGGTCCAGTTTACTAGTTAGTGCCGACTTTATAACTAGGTTCTTGTACAGAATCAGAGATAAGGATGTATGTGATTTCCTTCTAGAAATTGAATCCAAGTTTAGCTTTCAAATTTTAAGTAGCTATTGTATATGTATAGAATAGAGACGCGATCATGATCACCCGCTTACTGCCTGAGAAACGCTCTAATTTCTCAAACACACCAACATTTTCTCATATCAGCTATACATTCAAGATTCTAGTATATTCGTATATCATCGAATTGATCTCGCGTATAATAAACTCAATTTACTTGGGGTATCTTAAGAAATTTCACGATGTGCTAATTGCCTACCACCCATCCTCGAGGGTAACATCATGCTGCTCATCCTCCTCACCCGCACGCACAAACTTCAATATCCAGTCATCCACCTCTCCACCACCATCCATTATCTTACGGAACAACGTCCGAGCCTTCTCATGCTCCTCCCTCCTCATCGCCAGCGCACCATGGTCTTCTACCGACTCAGCCCGAGACCTAAGCGCGTCCTCACTACTCTTCAACGATATCTCCTCTTCATTACGTTCGTAGTCTATAAGCCGTGACGACAGACACAAGTCTCCAATGAACAATGCCAGGTTCCCCCTAAGCCTAAGTAATTCTCGATGTGTCGCAAATGGGTTATTTTCCATGATTTGGTCCATCTGGGCCGCGACACGCTCTGCCACATCTCGTGCTTGTAGCTTAACTTCATCGCGCGCTGCTTGGACTGTACCTTGTCTCTCGTCATCTCTTTGACGTCTCCGTGCTTCGATAGCCTCGTCTGAGTATGCCATCTCTTCGTCTTCACCATATCCGTACCCGTATTCATCCCCATCTTCCTGCTCGTCTGCCGGCGTCGTTGGTAACCTATGTAAGGCTTTTTGCAGCTCCGCGTCCAAGTTGTAAATCTCAATGCCAAAAAGAGCGGGCCAGAAGTCAAGCGCACTGGTGAGATGTGGCCGATGCGGATCATGCGGATATTGCTGAATTAGACTTTCGAAGTAGGATCGGACTTTGTCGACGTTGGCAGCGGAACCCCAGCGACGGATTTCTGTATTTTCGCCGTCTGGTTGATCTCTCGCTTCCCCACCACCGACTTTTCCCTGCTTGAGTTGCGCCTCGCCATCGCGCATGAGAATCTCAGAGCCTATAGCCCAAAGTCCTCCTTGCTTGATATCCACATCCCCAGTCTGCACCAACAGACCAAACGCACGTTTCGCCCGAGCGATATCACCGTCGCTAAGGCAGCGGTGCATAATAGCAGTTAAAGTACTCAAATGTTTTAACCGTTCCGAAACCTGCTTCACCGTAGCCCCTTCATCCTTCCGCCTCGGCGCTGCCTCATCATTTTCGGACTCAGCTTCACTAACATCAAAAACCCTATCGCTCCTACGCGCCCTCCGTTTCTTGCCTTCGGCCGGGGTGGCTTTATGCGGAAATAACGGGTGGATACTAGACGGCACCTCGTCTTCCGGTGATAATCCGGCGACGGCGAATTGCTGAAGGGTGTCGGGTGAGTAACTGAGAGGATTAATGGATTCCGAAGGGAGTCGCGATGATGAAACATCCCACTCGAAGTCGGTGTCGATATTGTCGTCATCCTCTTGATTATCGTCGGCTTTTTTGCGTCTGCCCGTTTGCGAGTGTATTCCGAGACGATGCGCTGGCACGGAGAGAGCAAAGGGACCCATGACTTTTGAATTGTGCAATTAGAAAAATCTATATCTGAGATCCTTTGGAACCCCCAACCTCCAACCGCTCATACGACGTCGAAAGATTTTGTATTAGCATAGAAATTATTTGTCTAGTTAAAAAAGAAAATGAAATGATGATTTTTGAATTCAATTTGGAGGTGTTAAGTTTGCGGACCGAGCCGCACTCGCATTAGCGGCATTCCAGTCAAGCCTCACATCACCATTACTGTTACCATACTGTGCATTTTACCCATATTCATTTCGATTTTAAATAAAGCTTCGTTTTCTAGGTAATTTTTAAAATTCTATTCAAGCGGTATTGTGCTTTAGTCGGAGTGAGCGTGAAGAGAATAGCATTGGTTGAAGATACTCTGGTCGCTTCTCCACGGCAGTGTCACAAAGGCTTTATTGAAAGCAATTGAGAGCCGCGGGTAAGGCTTCACTTTGGGAATGACAACTAAACGGACCCTAGGGCTATAGAATTTGATATTCAGCTCTATAGTAGGCATGGACAAGAGTTCAACACAGCTCGAATAAATTCGTAGTCCATTTTAGTTCAATCAGGTTGACTGCAATTCTCCCGCTTGGATTGGAAGTTTTTATTGGGACCCCTCCGGATCAGACCCCCGGGTAGGGCCCTATAGATACCTAGGTAGTAATGGAATGTAGCAGCGGAATTAGGAACATTTATAACGTGAACCATGATTCGTATGTACAACGCCCTTTTTCTATTGTACATCTGCTTATAATGCCTATATAGGCAGATTTATGGAATCTAATGACCGAATTTGCGACTGATTATTATGAGTTGATCTATTGTGAGTGGCGCTCGAAATAGGTCCATTGGCCCTCAGCCGGCTTCTCTTCTAAGTCTTCCCATCTGTAAATCTAGTTAGCGAAACCGTCCCTTCGCATATCTCGCTGTTGAAGAGGGGAGAAAACAAAAGCACTTACACCTTGCTCTCGTACATGATATCGACGAGTTGCAATTCATTCTCAGCCGTCCGTACTACCTCTTCGATTAAGCCATGTCCGATTTTATTCTCAATCTCCTCAATTCTGTTTGAATAGCCGTTAGCAATTCAATATCGCTCAGTATAACAAGATCCCCGTATATATGTACGTTCCGAGCTAAAATGGGGATGGGTAAGGGCCAACTAACTGTTCAGCAGTCAACTGCGGCTCAGCCTCCAACTTAACGGTCTCACGCGGGTCATTAAGCTCTTCTCTCTCGAGGAACCGCTCGAACTCCACCACACGCTCCTTCTCTCCCTTCAATCCCTGAGTACCAGGACCCTCATCCCGCTCGCCATCCCACTCCTCAAACCGTTCATCATTCAACCTCGGGTTATGACGGTGGATGAACAAATGTCCATTTCTCTCAAGTTGGAGCACAGTAGCGCGCTTAGCGGGATGATCAGCAAGGGCGGACGTCGTAGCTCGGAATTTCTGCGGGTTCTTCTCGACAATCTCCTTCGCTTGCGCAGCCCATTCCTTATATCCCGGGGGTTCAGCAGCTTCGACGATGGACATGCGGTGTTTTGTTACCGCCTCGATTGATTGTCGGTACAGCGACGATTCAGGGAATGGCTTTAGCTTCTCGAGTGTGGATGAGTATAGGTATAGTAACGTCGATCGCGGGGAATTGTGTGTTAATAGACCTGTTAGACCTGTCGGGGTACCGGATTCGAGGTAGCGCGCCGCCGGTTTGACGGCGGCTAGAAGTTGGAACGTCCGTCTCATCGTATACGATCGATTTTATAGGACTAGGAAGAACGTTTCTTTAGTAGGTGGGCAGAATTAGGAGAGTGGTCGTCCGGATAATTGAGACCAATTGAGGTGGCCTACTTTTTGGTGGATGAGCATCTTTTGGAGATCTCAAGCTTCGGAAAACGGAAAACGGGAAACGGAAAAGGAACGTCAGAGCTACGTATCACGTGATACTCTACTGGTGGGGGCTAGTTAATTGCGTTACTGTGATTGGATATAACCTTGTCGGTACTAGCCCCACACTACCTCTTAAGTACCCCAAAACCAACGGGGCATTTCTCTGTTCACAGTAATAAATCCAACACTTCTTCACTTTACTTCATAGCCTAGTAATCATGCGAGCATAAGGTCTAGAATCAACAATGATTTTCTTGCGTAAGCAATTAAGATTACACTGGGAAGTTTCGAGTTGACAGGTCAACTTGGAACATATTTTCATATTACTTAAGCCAACTCTTGAGGTCATCAGGCTCTCTATTTCATAACAGGCCGTAAGAATCTACACGACGAATTCTATACTCCAGCTTTGTGGCTGACCTTATGTATACATAAATTACATAGAGAAGTATTCTATGAGTTGACTAAGACATCAAATTCCTCCTATACGCGCTTACTTTCAAAGTCCTACGAATAATTCTGGTCCTCGTGATGAGTTACAGCATAAGCCTGTGTAACGAAACCGCCAAATCATATCGAGAACAAAGAGGCAACACCGGTATAGAGAAAGTCAGCTAATCTCAGCATCATCCAACACCCGACCAAGGTGGCTTTGACATGAATGTCACACCCCCGGGTCGGTGAGCCTGGCAAATACTATATATCTTAGCCCATTGCATCAAACTGTGTTCCCCCGAAACTCACGCGATCAAATATGTGCTTCCGATTTCGGTAAGCTGCATAGGAGTCTTTATTATTAGGAATCGGTCTTCTAATTAAAATTGACCGGTGAGATGAACAGGCATATTGTGTAACCGATCGTTACTTGTGGGAGGGTGGTTATCGTACGGCAGCCTATTGATGTGATGAGATGCAATATTTCTATGTGGCATCCCCTTGAATCAATATGAAAAACAAAATACCAGTGCTCGATCCGATATGTCATACGCCATGAAACTCAGCCCTAACTTAGTAGATCGTAAGCAGTTTGTGAAACCCCAGATGTAGTTATCCTCAGGTCACACGGTCCAAAGAGCTGAAATAGACACGTTTGATCTAACAGGAGAAAAGATGCAATGTATAGAAGCCATGTCTTAAATTCGTAACCGCCCGCTTTGTTATGCCTTGCGGAGGTCGATCAAGTCTCAGTATTGTAAGTACGTCTAGCTACAAATAGCCCCTGTACCTAACAACCGTCCCCATGAGTTGTCTTCAAGCTATTCTCTCATTGTTCTGCCCTGGTCTATTCAGGCGTAGTGACCCCAACGATCCTCCTCCTACCATGTTTCACGACGGCTCGATTTTTGACAAGTCGGGAAGTCGACTCAAAACACTTTCTGAAAAGTTACACGACAACGACGATGCACTCGGCCAACACTTACCAGGCCTTGCCAAACTCTTCGAGGACATTGTTGACACCGACACCGATGTCCCTCGAGAAGAATCAATCCGTAGACTTTTACAAGTATTTTGGAAGTCAGAATCCGACAGCACGTATAGCGGAACTCTCAACCGCTATTCGAACGAAGAAAGAGAATTTATAAAAGCGTTCGTGGAAGGTGAAAAGCCCGCAAAAGACATCTGCGATAAGTTTGAACTGGGAGTATCGCTTGGTGCTCGTGAAGAACTTCCTGTTCTAGAAAAGGAGGGTGATGGGCCCTTGAATTCTGTCACAGAAGCTGCTGAATCATTGGCCTCCACTATCTCCGAAGTTATCAAGGGTGGTGATGATGTCGCTCTCTATAATGACGAGATGGGGAAGTCGAAGATTGCAACGTACCTCAACGAGAAGTTCCAGAACTGGGGTCTTACTGTCAAGAATATACCTAGTCTCACTTATGTCCCGAGTACATCCTATGGTATCCAACAGATTGTGAAATATGCGAAAGCTCACAACTTGAAAGTGAGAGCCTCCGGCTATCGTCATTCATGGTCACCAGTTTTTGGCGAGGATGGCCAGATTATTATCTCAACTCTAGGCTTGTACCGAGCGACCGTACTCCCAAACCTCGAATCCCTTCCAGGATCCGAATATTTTGTTCGTGGCACTGAACTCAACAGCATCGACTTTGTGGGACAGCCACAAAAGGGGAAGAAGCGATTCGTTCGCGTAGGGACCGCGGTTACCAATCAGATGTTCAGAGTATGGTGTAACAAACAAGAACTAGACGCTGCTTCGAGTCTCCCCATCAACGTTATTATGGTGGAGATCACGTTCGGAGGCTCCAATGCTCCTATTTGTCATGGGGCGGGCCGCAGGCATCCTACTCTCAGTGATCTGGTACATGCCATCGAATATGTGGATGTGAATGGCAATATACAGACTATCAGCAAGGACGCAGATCCCAACTTCATGGCTGTGGCTAGTGGATGCTTCGGATTGCTGGGAATCGTCACTCATATCACCCTGGAGCTCGATCCTATGACATACGCAGTTATGATGCCTCAAAAAATACCAGTCATGCAAGCTATCCCACCTCCACCTGGGTTAGACGAGAAGGAAATCCCAGAGGCTCTGAGGATTGATATGACGCCGCAACAGCGTGCCGAAGCCCAGGCAGCCTTTGAGAGGCACGCGGCAGATGACTTCTACTCCGAATGGTTTTGGTTCCCATACACAAGCAAGGTCTGGGTTAACTGTTGGAACGTTGTAGAAGACAGCATAGGATCGCAAGAATACCCAAGCAAAGCTGACGTCCTGCTCCAACTCGCCGAGACTCTCGCCATACAAATTATTCAGGACTCTGATGCCATTCTCAAGCTACAGAACATATTCCCATGGACACAGGCCACATTGGTGTCAAAATTCGGCCTGTACGCTATGCCGGAAGTTACTGATCCGAAAAAAGCGATCAAGACGCCACTTCCAGATGCGCTACACTTCCGGAGAGCTATCCAAAACGTCAGGGTACGAGATATCGAAGTCGAGATCCCATTACAACCGAAGGTCGGTAGCTTGAAAGACGCAGGGCCAAACGACCCAATCGACTGGTCTTTCGTGCAAAAAGCATGGTGGGACGCGATATTGGCGGCTTACAAGTGTAAGGACACATGCCCACAGCGTATGCCCCTAGAAATGCGCATCACAGGTCCTTCCAATGTGACCATGGCGCCATTCCGAGGACACAACCTCGGTAGCTGTTCGATCGAGGTGCTAACGCTGCAGAATATGGAGGCGGAATGGAATTCGTATGCTCAATATGTACTTGACCAATGGATGGCGCTTAAAGACAAGGACGGGAAATACCTCGATACACGACCTCATTGGGCCAAGGATTGGGTGAACACGACCGTTCGCGGGCGTCCGATGGTTGAATATATGAAGGAATCGTATCGAGATGCTATTGTCAAGTTTCGGGAAACGATGGGTCAGATTGCGGAGAGACAGGGTTGGGATCTAAAGGAGGCGCAAGGTCGATTTAGCAACGAGCTCTTCGACAAGATCTTCTTCAAACGGGAGGACTAGAAGCGCGTAAGTCGTATATTGTAAAATAGAATATTTTAGAACTTCGCTTCTTTCGGAATGGGAAGGATTGCATCAAGAACTTCACTGCGTGCCCTCATCTACCTTAGGATTATTACAATCATGCCCATACGAATAAGAAAAATAGAAAAGAGAACAAAAGAAAGAGGAATGAGAGAAAGAAGATTGATAAGAAGAATATCTAGGCAGTTCTGTTATTTGCAAAATGTTTCTGTTGTTCGAATCTTGGTGATAGCATGCAACAGTGTGGTTGAAAATTGCCGCCGACAACAGGCACCCGAAGCGTCTCTCATTAGCACAACAATTGACAGATCAAGACCGACAGAGTTTGACATTTAATTTCACGGTAAGAATCCTCTAGAATTAATTTCGAATTATTCCTATATCTCATGCACCGCACTGGTAAGCAGGGGGGGGCCAACACCAATATTGCGACAACCACCACTCCATTTCAGCAATTCCAAAGCAGTCTTCCTCATGGCGATGCTCAGAAGCACCGATCATAACGAAAACAGAGTTAAAATATCAAAAATTGCACCCACTACGATCCACGAGGGATAATAGAAGAGGATCGACTCCGCGATGTGCAATGCAGGTCTCCCCCCTTAAATACCCATCTGCTTGAGCATAGGAATTTTGGGCAAGGTAAGTATGGAGAAGAGAAGGGAAAAGTGAACAGAATCAATGGGAGGATGGCTAGGTATTTATAGGAAAATATTGGGCGGTGTGTGGTGGGTGGTCAGTGTGTTGGCAGAATTCCTGCTAGGCAACCAGAACTGTAGTTTGCACGATGCAAGTTCCTTTAGTGGGTCATAGCACAGGTGCTAATTTCCTTGTACGAGCCCTAAAAGGGTCCAATAAGAAGGAAACAATGCTGCTGAAGGGCAAGCAGCTTGTTTGTTAGGAGGTAGTTCTTGACGCAAACACTGTATTTTCAGCGACTCTTTCTAGGATCCCCAAGTGTACACCTTCTCTGATGTGTATTTCGAACCTAAAATCGGAAAGATCACGCTCACAATACGTCGTTTTTATATACAGGCAATTTCTTAACATTTTGATATAGCACCTTCATATCTCTTTAAGGAGACACGACTGTCGCAAGTTACCAAACAAATTATTTCTTACAGAAGCCACATTATGTCGTCGTTAATTTTATAAGAATACGAAACTACGTAGCGGATGTTATGGTCGAGTGAACGTGCCACTGTTACCATCCTATTACCCCAGATACACTTGCCCATATTCTATAGTACGATTTATTTAAACGCAGCTACACCAGGTAGATCACGTAGCGCGGAAACTACGTATGTAGATAAATCATAAATCGTACATGTAGTACCTACTTGAGTGGGTGTCGCTGCTTACCTGGGCGCACCATTGCTTCATGTACAAAATATGTCTTTACTGATGAGAAGCGACGAATTGGCTCCCACTACGAATTCACATGCAAGAACACCCATTAAATCATAGTTGTAAAGTAGTATCAATTGACTAATCTCCCATACGGAAGCAGAAATTGAAATATCAAGTAGCAAAGTTCATTAGAGAAAATCCTGCAAGAACTTCACTCCGGTCTATATCACACTTGTCCGAGCACGCAACACGCCAGAATAGCTAGGCTAGCGAGTCAAATAGAAATAGAAAAATGGAATCCTGTCACTCTCTTCCAAGCTCACAAGCTCTCAAGATTGTCCGTAGTCCCAACCAGGTGCTAAACCCTATGACGAAAGAAGTATTTCGTTACATCCAAGGGTATCGCGGGTATCAATCATCTACGAAGCGCTCTCACGGCTCTTGCGGTAGTTGGCCTTTAATATTTATGTTAGTCACTGTCGTATAAAATTTATTGTAGAAATTGGCTTGTTGTAACTAACCTCTTGCTCAACCTGGAGACCCTCGATGACGGGGGCAAGCTCGCTTAGGATTTCGGCGGCCTTCTTGTGGTACTCGAGCTGAGCAGCGACGAGCTCTGCAAGGTTGCGAAGGGGCTCGGGGGTGTCCAGGACCTAAATTTCATCATTAGCTAGAAGTACCACGAAAATAAAATTTTTATGATAACCTACGTTCTTCATAACACCAACGGCCTCCTCAGTCTGAGTGACAAACTCATCCTCGGCCTTCTCAATTTCTTCCTGGGCCTCAGCACTCAACTCATCAGTGGTAGCGGGGTGATCTTCACGTGGAGACGTGGGACCGATCTTCCAAGTGTTGCCCTTGGCGCGGGACTTGACAGAGTCCAGAGTTAGGCGCGCCTTCTCAACGTTCTTGCGCGCACGAGTCGCGAACATCAAATTGGTGTTGAGAGTGGTGTTCCAACCAGCTAGGTATCGGCTCTGGATTTGAGCATCTTGCGCAAGACGGGCCTCGCCCAGTCGCTCGCTCGCTAGCGCATACTTCTCGAGGGCGGTCGCAAGAGGATCCTCGCCGGCGCCGGTGTGTTGCTGGTGTAGAACTTGGGAGCTAGCCAAACTGGCACGTGCAACGGCGTGGGAGAAGGTCTTGGGCTGGGGCTTCGCAGTCGGGGGCGCAGTTAAGGCAGCCTGAGCTTCGGCAGGGGTTGTAGCGGCGGAAAGTAGCTGGACCTTCTCACTAACAGTACGGCCAAGGTCCGAAAAGCTTTCCTTGATGTTGGCAGGGTAATCGTAGGCTTCGTGAGAGTATTGCGAACTGCGAGATAATGAAGTGTCAGTTGAGAGATCTCTACGTATTGCGATTAGAAGTACTCACGTCACCGCAAGCATCTTCTGGTGAACCTGCTTGAGGGCATCGACTCGCTTCTCTAGGTCGATATAATCAGGAGGGAGTTGGGTCTATAGCTCTCTATTATCAGCAACGTCTTGAGGATTTGGAGACAAGAAGTACCACCTTATCCTCAGCCTGACCAAGTTGTTCCTTGGTGTACTGAAAGGTACGAGAGGCAAAGGGAGTGATTTGCGAGCCGATATTGCTATCATGATTGTTAGCGATTTCGTTTCTTGATTGTAAAAAAAAAATACTTTTACTACGACGTAGAATATGGGTGTACCTCAAACTATTGCCGAAAGCCTTGAAATTATCCATGATGGCGGTATTTTAACGGCGCGAAAGAGTGGAATGTGAATTTCGATTGGGGGATTCGATCGGATTGTGATGTAGTTTAAGTTAAGTTCCTTAGAAAATTGGACAAAAATGGACAGATGACGAGTTTCGAATGTTGCAGGTTCAACTCTAAATCCACGTTAAGTTTGACCTTAATCGACTGCCTAATCAACCCGTTGCTGGCTTTGTCAGGGGGGCATTGTGTCGCAACCCACTTAGCGTTAACCTGCTAGAAACATTGAACCTTGTTACATATGTAGAAGCTAGGTACCTAACTGGCACGTGAGATTATTACGTTCACCCCGCAACCCCTTATTGTTCCTAGCATTTGACACACGCCGGATTGAGTTATCAGCTGATCGGCAGCTGTCATTAGTCCTGATCTACCCCTGATATTCCTAATTAGTCAAAGCTGTATTCCGATATTATATTATTGTACTAGAAGAACTGGTGAAGGAAATAAAAAAAATTAATGAAGTTTGCTTAATCGTTATTTATTGATTTTTATTTATATTCCAGAATCGCAATACTACAATATCGATACCGATACCAATGCGTAGCTCATAATATTTAGATTTTACCATGACCATCTTTCCATCTCGCAATACCAGCGAGAAAACCATAGCGACGTTTCATGGGTGTTAAACTGTGTACTATGTAGGTAGGTAATTAAGGAACATGTTCCTCCAAAAAAAAGGCGTCTAAGTAAAATCTGCTGCTTTACACAGCGTCATAAATGCTTTGTTTTCTTACCGCCCGGTTAAACGCCTTCTATAATGCAAACCTCCCAAACTACCCCCTATTATGCAACACGCCTCCCAACGAGGCCAGCTTCTAAATGTGATAATTCGTAATCCTGAGAGGAGTTTCGCTTCATCTGGGAGTATTCGGTCTATAGGACCTCTTTCGTCCGGAATTGGACCTGTCTATTTCTATTTCGTCCCCATCATGTGCCGGAGTCCGCAAAGGACTAGCTTGTCCGAGCGGGCTCCTCCCCGTTCTGCGTTGTTGTTGATTTCCCCGGTTAGGATGATGTCTTGATGCTCTCGAGTGATCTGGAGGAGGTTGGAGAGAAGACCTAGGTCCAGGCGAAGGCGCACGAGAGGACATCGATTCGGGGGTGCTCTCGTTGCTATCGTCCTTATACCGTTCGGTTCGGATGGATCCTGAAGCTTTCGTGTCGCTTCCTTCCCAACCATTCTTTGCTAACTCCATATCTGAAAACTCATACACTTGGCCCCGAGGAGGGATAGCATATTTCTTAGAGTTCTCAATGAATTGGTTGTATTGACTGGCTTGGGCCATTTCGTACTTCTTCCGGTCTTCATCTCCCATGATGCTCTCCACCCTTCGCGGCAAATATACCGAGTTATTTCCAGTAGTCAAGAAACTGTCGACTGAATCACGATTATGAAGAGAGTATCGTGGAATGGGGCCATCGTATGGTAACTCTCCACCTGGCGCATAGAAGCTGTATGTTGACTCCTCCGGATATGCATAAAATCCATTGGCCTTCTTCTCGGGAGCGGCGAATTTCCCCTCAACCTTTTCAGGGGGTAAGACGTTGCTCTTCGATCTTTGAACTCCACTGGTCTCTTTCCCTTTGCTCCTTTGTCGCTGTACTTCAGCAGCCGGGATAAATGTCTCTGGCACGACGTTGAGATCATCTCCGGCCTTCTCAGCTTGTTCAACAGCCTGTTGAGGAGTCGTATTGGCGTCGGCAGTAGCGGCGTCAGCACGAGGTCCACCCCAAGTTCTTTGGCCCGCAGTGAAAATGCCATAAACCATGTAGTACCAATTGAAAAAGGGATTAAGAATGAACATCATTGGGTAGAGCCAAATCTTAAACCGCTTCAATTTGCAACCAAAGTATATCATCATCAACCAGTTCAAACCTAATGAGATAGCGATGAATCCAACAGGTAGCTGATCAATTCTCATAGTAGTCGTCATTATCGAGAGCATCATGATGAAGAAGAGCAAAGCCGTCGTTCGTATCGTGTTCTGCATGAACCGCACCACAAGCAAGATAGGATATCGTTTCCAGAGACGCCAATCAGTTAACATGCAGACTTCGTTCGTGATGAACCCAAGGAACCATCTTCGCCGTTGCTTAATCAGCGATTGAACAGTCTGCACTGCTTCTGTTTTGCAAAAAGCAGAAGTGCACATTTGTATCTGGTACCGTTTCTTCGCTCCAATCATAAAAAGATGTGTAAGCCATCGATCTTCACCTAAATGGCTTTTCGCGAAGTCAAATAGATCCTCGCACTGCTCAGCCTTATCAGCGAAGTAGTATTTGGCCATTCTTCGGAACGCCGAGAAACGTAACATAGTTAGAGCGCCTGGTAAGCAAGTAACAGCACCGCAGCCGGACTCGACAGTCCTTTCGAATAGCTGACCGTGTATGTATTCCATGTCCTGAAGCAGAGTAATGATACTATGTTTTCTAGTTGTCGAGGTGATGACACCCGTCATAGCCAACATATCTCTACTATTCCCAGGGCTAAGCTCCATATCGTAGACGAAATTTTGCAGACAGACCCTATCCAATATGCAATCCGAATCGATGAAAAGAATAAAGAGGTTATCGTTTCGTTTGAGGTACTCTTTATACACCTTATCGATGAGTTTGAAGGTTGCTTTCTGACAATGACGTTTGCCTCCGTGGGGAAATCGAGAGACTGTGATGCGAGCCGCTCGGTAGGTGACGTCGATACTCTTAGGATACGATTCTAGCGTAAGAGGGACACCGAGTTTCTCAATTGTGTTGAGATACAGTTCATCCTCTTGGTCTCCGTCGAATGAGAGAAATACGTGGATGCATGAAGGAGGGTAATCGCAATCCACGACTGAGTTGACGGCGGTGACGAGGATATCGGGCTCTTCCTTGTAACAGGGCATAACAATAACGACTTTTGGCGCGGAAACTTCATCCAATACTTCTTTAACACGTTTCGTCCTCCCAAGCTGATGAGTGACAAGTTGATAAACACAGAAAAGCCATGGGATGGTCAAAAGACCTGCAAAACTCCAGAACGCAAACCATTGTAAGATGTCGACCATATCGGGTGGCCAGTACTGCGTAATCTGGCTGGGAAGAGGTAAGGTGACGATCATAATAGGCAAGAAGATAAATCTGGTCTTCGGTTAGTTTTAGTTTAGTTATGTTCGTCTATAGTAACGTACCGAAGCCCAGTGAAGAAGATCCCAATGATAATTGCCAGTACCCGAATTGTCCAATGTTCGGCTTTTTGAAAGACCTTGACGAGACAGTACAAAAATGCGGATAGCCACAAAAACCATTCAAGAAGGGCCGCCAGCATAACGATGCCAACGATGGCGGTGTAAATAATCTGCAAAAAAAAGGGGGTTATCAATACATATACATGACCAGGAAAGCCCATATCCATTCATGGGGAGTGAAGTTCTTACCTCGTGAACCGGCCATGTTGCAGTGATATCCCGCGCCATTTTGGAGCTTAGCGTTGACTGTCCAAAAGACTCTGGCCGAAGGATTAGTAAAGCCAAGGGGGTTTTCAGAAGATAAAGAAAACCCGCTGAGATAGATTCTTCAGGTTGGAATCAGAGTTTTAAAAGGCTAGCTTTCTAGGCAAGCATCGTTATGGGTATTGACGGAGAACTGGGCGTTGACAGGCTGTTCTTGTTACACAAATATGCTTATTTGCGGCTACCTGCAGCTCCACGCAAGGAAGACCCTCGTTCCGAACTCCGTAGTCTCGGAAAAGGAACGAAGCCGGTCCGTGTTGAAATTTCTTTATACGGTGAGGGATGTGTTCCGTAATGGTTGGATTGTGGCAGTTGTTAAACCCCAAACCTCGGGATAGGGAGGTGGCGTAGAGCGTTGTTGTCAGATGTGGGCTGACCAAGTCTTGGGTAAGGCGATGTCTCACAACAATTCGTCCGTACACGATAGATATAGGCGTTGAATTGTACAACGGTCGCGTTATCCACTTGCTATTCAAAATATCGTCGAGTCCTAAATATTCCTATTCCAATTCGAGCAATGTCTTGGCAAATTTGAGATAGCAGGACGGCCACTATAACGAAAGAGTTCCCATCATGCGCCGGGAAGAAGTAGCCAGTAGTATTGTCCCGAGTCAGGATTCGGAAAAGGGAGAGGAAGCGACGATAGCAAGGTGAATGAAGGACTGATAACCAAGAAAGTGACTGAATGAGTGAATATAGTCGCAAGCCTCAGCAACGGTACCGAATAAGATTGCCTCTAGGGGCCTAGTATGTATTAACGGTAGGAGAGCGCTCGAGCTGGGCAAAGAAGATAGGGCAGCTAGAATGGGAGGTTAGTGAGCTCTATGTATATCAGTCGGGGCGACATTTAGGATCTAGGCTTGTCGGTCGAAGGATGGATACAATGCCTGTCAGTTGGCGGGACCTGCAGACAAGATGCATGTAATTGGGACTCCTAACCCCCTTGACGATGCGCGGTCTGGTTTCTTTGGACTCACATGGGTTATGATGGAATTTGGTACCGGGTCCGACAGGGAGTAAGGGACTGAAGCCGGCTAGAATGTCACTGCGTACGACGACTAATAAGCATAGACGCGGTCAGTGTAAGAATTGCGACGATGACCGTCCGACGTCTGGGCTCTAAAGCTAGCCAAGTCGGACGCTTCCATTGTAGGCCACGTCGGCCACAACCAGGGAAGAAGTACGAAAGTGGTGATAGAAGAGATCTAGAAGGCCGAATCAAGAGCAGGGATATAGAAAGACCTGCTGCCGTTCCCCTGCACGGCAGATGGATCGAGTATGGGACATCTGTGTATATTCCCGATCTCGTTTAGTTATTACATAAACATAAACATAGGAAGAAGAGAAGGCCCCCAGCAACTAGGTACGCATCTAGGTACCCAGTTTGGGTAGGATCGTGTCTGAATATACTTTTAGTACTAACCCATTTCTTGGATAAGGCTGGGATAGTTTGAGTAAAAGGAGAAACTACTACTTGACCAAACCAACCTTAAAGATATGTATACAGAGTTCAACCAACACTCACTAGTACCTTACTCCTTCACTTATACCGAAACTAGAGCCTAGAAACTCGTACCTATACTTCTATCGAACATGTCGACAGGTACCGCGCTCGCGATATAAGATGCTTAGTTTATACGGTATTCAGAGCCGCCCCAACCTTGACTTATGAGGCGGGGAAGGTTAAAAGGAAAGAAACAGGCGAGAAACCAAACAATAACAAAAAAAAAAAAGCAGTTGGGTGTCTGGCTGTCTGGCTGTCTAGAATGCCCAATCAGTTCAGCCAGCCCTGCTGCGTGGCCTGCCTGTAAAATAAGTGGGTTGAAGATGCAACTCGTCCACTTTAGCCAGTAACTTCTTGATTCATCGACCTTGCTAGCTAGGTGCCGGGCCGTTTTTTCAGAGCAATTAATATTCTGTTTTTGCTCGTTAGATTTCTTTTTTTTATAATACCACCAATAAAATCAAGGGTATACGTATGTATCTGTCGTAAGTTCAACTAACTTATTGTTTGCATCTACAGTACTTAGGTAGATTACCCGATCGATGGGTTAGGGTGGATCGACAAGAGAATGTGACTCGTTAAAAGTCGGTGACGTGATGAAGCATTAGAGGCGTTCGAAAATGCTAGACAGCATGCTGAATACGAGAGTCGCACAAGATAGATACGAAATATCACGGGCTAGAAAGTCCGGATGGATCAAGCCACATCATGTACGTGGTCTGTTTCTCCCTGGACAAAAGATCGTATCTCAATCGTCGGAACATACATATGTACCATAAAGCCTGATTAAATGGCTAGAATACATATACTATGTATGTAAGGGTGAGAGGATTTAGAATAGAGATGTCGATCGTGGCGCTAGATGAAGAAGAGTTAAACGTCACAAGCGGCTCAAAAAACAGAAAATGGTGGGTGGTATGGGTGCCTGGTATGGGTGCCCACGGGCGGTAAGGGTGCTAAAGGTGGTAAAAGGTGGGCTTTAGTTTGATTCTAGGCGATAAACAAGCGCGCTAAAACGGGGGGAATTTGGGGGGATCTAAGCGAGGGATCGGTGTTTCTCACTGTAGAAAGCCTAGGCTAAGATGGAGTAGGTTAAACCTCGCCACGTTCCTATCCGGTAGGTACACTCTACACTGACAAACTGACAAACTGGTCAGGTACGAATTAAGTACCGATGTAATCAATCTTCACTTCTTTAATTAAGCGCTTAACTCAAGGTGGCAGCTCACGGATTTGTGGGGGATTTGGAAATCAGATCTCCGATATGCGAACGAACCACAAAATATCATCACTTCTCTTTTTTCTCTCTTCGCATTCCTTTGCCCGGATCTCTTCTTGGGTTTCATCAAGATCCATGCGCGCACACGTAAGCTGCAATATGTTTGTCCCACGAGAAATAATATATTAATTTGCAGAAGGTAGTAGTCGCAAGGGAAGAAAAAATATCTCGCCAATATAAAATTTTCTGGGGGAGCCTAACACGGAATCTCAATGGTTAATTTGCGTTCCTCGTTGCCATCGTTGCCAGGTTTTAGTATAGCGTCGACCAGCCCGATATCAACCGGTTTATCCGGCATCCCGTTGGATGAATCACAATCCGTCGGCCCTGTCAAGTGTCAAATAAGTGACTAAAGAAAATTACCTTCCATCGCAAGCCCAATATGATTTTACATTGTCTAGTAGTCTACTAGGACAAGCGAGACTACTAAAATAGAGTCCATATCTATTTGCAATTCTGCATTGTCAAGTTCGTGATCGCGTTTTCCCGAGTACGTGGACCCCTTCCGGCCGGGACTGGTGCTTAGGCATCTAAAAGTTCGCCACGATACTGACTAGAATAGCTGCCGGCCTCGACGCTTTCCTCTCTGCCTAGGGTCTAATTCCCAACTGCAAAATAGCCAAAAAATACCCTTATGATACTAGTTGGATGACTGTCCATCTCCGGGTATCTAGATGCGTACGTAGTCCCTACTCGAGAACTACCTAGGTAGACATCCGAATTCGAGCTTCTAGATTGTCTACCGATAGAATGTGAGTAATAATATACGCAGAAAGGGGGCAGTAATTGGACTCCACCTAGCCTTCTGCCAAGAAAGTGTCACACATTCCACAACAGCAAAGAGCTGACCATAAATCGCTAATGAATTTTAAACCATTCGGATAAAGAGAAAAGTAGCACAACCAAGAAATCTCATCGTATGACGTGCTATGGTGTGTGCTCATTCAATGGCAGTTCTAACTCCAACGCAAGTCTGCATTATGCGGCTAGCTCTCCTTCGTCTCTAATCTATTGACTTCGGATGCAGGAGGCGCATCGCCAAGATTCAAATACGGGCCACAACGATGGACAGCTCCATGCAGTATAACCCCACATACGATGTGTGGCTTGTTAGCAATAATGGTGAACAAAATCGTGAAAAAAAAGGGTTTTTAAAGCTGTCACACATGCGCTCATTTATATCCCTTTCGCCACTTTAATCGACAAATGTAAAAAGACGAGTCTAGCCCCCAACAAATACACCGAGGGGAGCTATTCTTCTGTAGCAACAGGACAGTCCGTCGGATGGAGACCCGAAGACACCGGCGATATCTTCAACAGGGGGCTGCTTCTTAGGGGGGAGGCTATAGAATTACCACTTCGGAATTTCAAGAATAATTGAAGATGTGGGTTCCTGCGGAATCACCGTATTAGCTAACGTGAGGTATATAGGATGTTTAGTCTAGAAAACTAATGTCTGCATCTAGTAGTAGCATTCACATTGACTATCGAGATAGAGACGTGCCACTATAAAGATACGCATATTTAGCTAGAACGTAACGAGTGACTTGAGCTATTAGCCGCATACGAAGAATTAAACGCAGCGCAATTTGGCAAACGCCAAAAAATCAATCTGCAAGTGACGGTTTGTCAGTCTGTCCGCAAGCATGTAGACCATCTTGCGATGCATGCTTAGAAGACGAAGTTAGGCAGCAGAACCTCATCAGTTCCACACCGAAATGGTCCTTCCGGTTGTTCCCTGGATGGCCAACAGAGCCACACCACTGCTTCTCAACCCTCTTGGCCCGGATCTCCGACGCCCTTGAGCTATCTTCCTCTCCCATCGGCCTCCTACTTGCCGGTAGCTCGCGTGTATCAGCACTAATGTCGGTTACTTGTTATGGCATAGATGCTGGAACCGGCGTTAATACGGCTTAAATGTATGGAACTCTCGTTTCATGTCCTTTCGTCGGGGAATATGGTATGCTCTGTTGAAGCTTGTGGCTTCCACATCAGACATGGCACATAATCGGCGGGTGTAAAAACTCCCCCGCTACAATGCTCGAATGGGATAGTATATGTGGACTCTGACCGGTCGAGAGTGTAAATCAAGTCCTAAACTCGCAAAGATGAGTTGTATATGTCAGCGTTTTTCCTTTCTTGGGGATCGTGGGTTTCCCCTAGCGCTTTCCGCGTCCTCGCCGAGATTGTAGGCGGGTTCTGGATTGAGCGGAAGGAGGCTGGCGGTTATTTAGTCTACTTCCATCCACTCGGTTGGGAGTAGATTCAGTGCCATCAATAGTCTCGCTGGCAGCTAGACCTTTAGGGTCTCCACTGTTTTGCTCGACGTCATTTCGATTTGTTTGGGATCTACCGTACCAGTCAACATCACTAAGTTGTAATCTGCGGACGCGCTGTCCGCTACGCTCCTTGTTGGGTTTATCAGAGCGGCTGGGATGGTAGGAGGATGACTTTTCGTGACCTGAATGAGTAGAATCGTGAATATTTGCGTTCGGGACTATTGGGGTCATATGGGTATCACCATCGGGGTCTTCGTTCTCACGAAGGTCATAGTTGAGTACCAGGTTTTTGATACGCTGCTGTTCTTCCCTCTCTGCTTGCTGCTGGGTCTTCATGGCGACGGCAAAAGTCGAATCCGAAGGAAGGGCAACAGTTCGTGTCTGTATGTGTTAATAATGTACGTAAAAATGCATACCCTGTTAGAATAGACTCACCTGTTGGCGGTTGCCTTTCTTTGTCAAAAGCGAGAACGCCATCGTGCTAGATGGCCCCTCATTATTTGCGGATTCCGTTTCTATTGTCGAGGAAACGTCGCGAGTTTTGGGTCTGATGGGTAAAGGCGCGTCGAACATGATCTTGCGATCAAATTTCCGAGATTCTAAACTTTCAGCCATCATCTTCGCATACTCACGTTCAAAATCCGCCTCATCCTCGGGATCAACTTCTTCGGTCTTTCTAGTCACTACTATTGCTTCCTCCTCGGATTCGAAATCGTCAGGTGATTCTAGCTGGTTCTCGGCGTCCTGTATAATATGAAGACTTGGTTAGAGCTGGGAAATGATAATCATGGGTGTAAGCAGGGATGCATACCTCAGCATCATCTTCCTCTCCAAGCTCTGAGTCGCCATCGCCGTCAGCCTCAGGGAGTACAATGTCACCGTCACCGTCACCGTCGCCATCACCATCGCCACCGTCATCGTCAGAAGAGGTACCGCTAGAAGCCTCATCTTGATCGGCGCCTTTGTCCAAGCCGGCATTTTTCTGGTCCTGGGCTACCGCAAGTTGGAATGCTTTTGCGGCTTCTTCTAGGGTGCTTGCTAACTTCCACTGGGGCCTGGTAAGAGAAAATGTGTCTTGAACAATGAATTCAATGTCCATCGGTAGAGGTTGCTTTGTGTGTATGTAGTACTGCAGGGTTATTAATAAGGGTCTAACACATAACGGCATCATTTTAAACCAACCTGAAGAAAGGAAAGGAAATAATCTAGCTTCTTCCCCGCAGCACCTCGGTTGAAAAACATTCCGCAGGTCTCAAGCATCGTAGCCACCAGACGAATTCTAAAATAGTCATCAGGTAGATCGAAAGGATTGAGACGTCCGGGAATAGGTGCGCCGCCTAGGCACTGTTAGTTTAACTTTGGGCTGCTGAAGATCGCTTATATAGCTTACCGTAACCGAAAGTCATGATCTTGTACATAGTGTCGAAGATCACGGGATGCTCCAGCATTCGATAATTATACAGTTCTCCCAGGTACTTGACTTCAGCAATACGTCTTTGATTGAATTTAAAATCATTCTGCTCAAGTCCGAATATCACAGATTCGATAACATTGTCGATCACTGTAACAGTAAAGTCCGGATGATAACGATAGATGGCACTGAGCAATATAGCGAGAATGTGGATACTGCCGTACTTAACTTTGGCAGGTCTTGAAAACACCTTCGTTAAGATGGCCACTACCTGTTGTTGCATAGATTAGAACGTAGGCCTAACAGCCGTAGCTAAGATGACTTACCTCAGGTTCCTCCCAATGGAGTCGACGGATCTGCTTAAGAACCTTGGTATAGTTACGTTTCGTTAGGTCAACGTATACTAGTTTGTGTATGAACAACTCAGTGGGGGTGCGCTCCTTTTGTTGAATCGATGCTCTCTCCGGTGGATCAACGTAGTATATTGCGTTTTCAATGAGCATACGCTCCGGCTGACCGATATGCTGAACGGACTTCTTGCGTTGAAGTGTTTCTAGGAACGTTGCCATGCGCGGAGATGTATCTGCGTTACGGAGTAGATATCTACCACAGTTCTCTAGGAGATTACAGATGATCTCGATATTCATTCGTGAAAAGTCGTCAAGGCTAACTTTCAAGCAATGAAAAACGACGTGTTCAGGGACAATACCGAATTTCGTGAGCTCGGCGAGGTATCGAATATTACTTAATCGTACTTGACCAAGGAAATCTTTCTCCTTACGCCGCTGAAGACTGCGAAACTCGGCATCGAGATACTCTACTACTCCTTTGGGGACGTCCGGCATGTATCGCCCGAGCGTGGCTACAAGTCGAGACCAGAACGGAAGAAGGTCCGTACGACTCTTCGGTACTTCGGTGAGACCCTTAACAAGCCGATTTCTGGATGCTTTCGAATTCAGAAAACAGAAGTCAATGGCGGCCTGGTCAACGGCATCCTTGTGCGTAAGCTCGGGTAGTCGAGTGAGTAGGACATCCACCTGTGCACCGATAGTCTTATTGGCAATGGCAGTCGATTGATCATCATTTGCTTCTGACGCCTTAGACATCTCTGTAGCGTCGACGGAATCCGCCCTTTTACCAACTTGTTCATCTGTATCGGTCTTCTTCTTTTTACCATCCTCAAGTAAGATGCCAGGCACTTTGCCTTTTAGGTCCACTAAATTTTCGTAAAAACGGCGTTCATCCTCATCTTCCCAGATGCCCGCGCCCTCGCTCTGTCCACGAAGGTACTCCCCGGTCTTTACTAGCCCAATGGCTCCATTAGTGGTTGAAAAGCCATCGCCTGTTTCCTTGAGATCTGGCATCTCAGTACCGATCGCATCGGCGATGACCTGAGCATTGCTTACGAGACGTTCTTGTGCTTTTACTTGTCGTTCGAAGTTGGCCTGGCGATCTTCGAACACCTCACCGGACTTGACATACGCCTCCGAGTTTCTGCCTCGTTGTGTAACAATGTTCTTCTGATCTCTGATAAGATGAGCTTTGACGTCCTCGAAATACCGTTTCAGAATATTCCTGAATCGTTCTTGTAACTCGGAGCTGGCAAATGGGGGATCATCCGAACTGACATCGCCAGCATCCTCTCGTTTCTCAGATCGATCGGAGTTATCCTCGGTGGACTTTGTTGCACCATCCTCTTCTACAATCTTACGGCCTTCCGATCCAGCAGATTTAACTCCTAGAATATCCCACCCGAAAGATTTCACGAAAATGACCAAGAGAGGTAAATTGGTATGCTCCCGATCATGGCCCAGAAGATCCTTAAGTACCTCAAGGGGGAAAGGCTCAGCGCCGCCCCCCTTTGTAGAATTGGCCGTCTTAATCTTGAGTTCGGCGTTCTTTCCGTTGGCGCCTCGGGTTGCATCGTCTGGCTTGACGTCATCAAGGGTTCGTAGAACGCCCACCAGCCAAAGTTCAGTGATTACTCTTAAAAGGGCTCGTTGTCGAACGAGTCGTTCCTTCTCTTCTTTTTCGCGGACCTCAGGGGCAAGAGACTTTAGCAGACTCTTGTCTGGTGTCGCCATCCCCTTGCCAAGGAGCCATCCTAAGTATTCGGTGAACTCGCTGGGTCCGAACCGTTGGTGTAGCGCGCTAACAATTTCGATCGCCGCATCGATTTCTCCGGGGGTTTTAAGCTTGCTTAATCCCTCGTAACAGGCTGAGATAATCTCGGATAGGTACTTCAGAAGGCTCAGGGTACGTATTTCTTGTAGGAACGTGTTCAGAGTCGCAGGAGTAATTGCGGTACGTAGTCGCTTAATGAATGCGGTATTCTTCTTCAAAGAAGAGTCGAGAGACGGGTTGACAGGGAAGATATCTATCGAATTGTCAGTCGCATTTTACATTATGACAGGTCGGAAAGCTATAAAATACCAGGTTCATTATCCCACGCGCGTTGGTTGAGCGATAGCAACTCGCCTACAAAATCCAATATTAATAAGATGGACAAAGACCAATGCGATAGACGTTAACCAACGTTTTCGTGAGCGGTCCATGCTGGACGCCGCTCGTGGGGTGGTTGTTTAGTAAACCAATTACTACATTCGCGACGGTGATGACCGTGCTAAGGGAGAAATCGCCCCCAGAAACGGAAGCGACACGGCGTATTCGGCTCAGAGGGCATCGGTAAAGCAGATTGACTAGCCTGCCCTGCGTGAAAGAAGCAAAGCAAATGGACGGACCAATGGAATTGTAATTCGTTGACTAAATATTGACAGGTTTTCTAGAAAGGGTGTCGTCGGGGATAAGGTGTAGAGGTTAAGAATGTTGGGTTTGAGGTAGATAAGAAATGCGATCTAACCTCAAAATTGCTGAGGTTACAAAGTAGAACGTGGGTTACGATGGCGAGAAAGTTAAGCGTCTAAAGTTGAACGAAAGACGCCTCCATGAATGATGTCGTTCGAAACTGACCAATGAGATGACGAGAAAGCAGCATTTTCTTTGCAGACCGCGCGAAAATCTCGGGGAATCATAAGAAGTAACCTAGAAAGTTTAAGGGCGAAAGAGTGAACAAGATACGGCGGGGCAAGGCAATTTACAGCGGGGTGTTAGCCCACCGAGTTCAGCCTCGCACGTACCTAGGTAGCTCAGGTGCAATAGATGGCCAATGCTCTTTCAGTGAATCGGTACGAACCCGGACGGGTGAGGCAGGCAGGAACCTTACGCGAGAATGCAGGAACGCTGTCGTACAGTCACCTAGGTAGGGCTATTAAATGCCCTAAAACCCCCTAAACCATAATCAATTATAGGGCAAAATCATCTGTTACAGTATACCTAGGTAGAGTTAAGTGAAGGTACTTACCCCCACGCTACACCTTTGTTATTATTGAAGAAGGTAACCACACCTTTGTAAGTACTATCGGATCTGTACCCGGCACACCATTAAATGCTATTTGAAGTGCCTAGGTACGGAAGGTGAGGTCACGGGTACTTTCGCTGTTAAACCTTACAGCCCGGAAGGTCTTTTCTTCGTTGTTAGCCCATAAAATTGCAACCGGCCCACCTAATATTTGTTCTTTGTCCCGTCTTCATCGAGAATTTACAACATTCCTATTGTATGGGCAAAGTCAACGCCCCAGGCATTTCGCTAATACTAAGCCTACTACATACCATCATCGCACAAACGAAAATGCGACGCGATTGCTGTCCGATTCATGAAGGATATGCGGTATCTAATCCGCAATCTACCTAGGTAGATCTTGACCAATACAACTGAATATGACTTAACCAAGCAGTGATTTCATAACCAGACCAACTAGTTGGTTCAATGTCACCCATAAGAATCCAACTGATGAGACCATTTATCATGCGTTCTTTACGGGCGAATTGAGACGAATGAAAGGAGATCCCGCCGTGTTTCGATTTCCTTCTATGCGGATACAGCCGGCAACTAGGTTCTGAGCATTCCCCCAACCAAAAATCTCAGACCGGCTCTTCTAGACATCTAGATATTCGGGAGCGAAAACCGAGGATAACTTGGATCGCTCATTCTCGATAGAGTTAAGAGTATCTATCTAGATATCTATCTTCGATCCACACTCTGTTATCGGGCAAATGGTTCTTGCTGTTAGGTACATGCACTGTCGACATCAACGTCATGAACAGCCTGTCGGTATCACATCTTGCCTCAACCACCTCGATATCCGGACAGGTATGATGTAAGGTATCTTATCTGTTCTATTTCGTACTATATTCCAAAACTACCCCGTTGGCCGATTTTTTGATGGAGCACCAAGGCAGTGCCTAACCTAGTTGGTTCAGATCTAGGCGGTTTTCATATCTCCGCTGAGCTTCGAAACTTGTGCTTCTTATCTGCAGCCATGATTCGCTGCCATCGTCAATCTCTTAAACGAAACCCAATTGCTTCTGATAAGCCCTGGACCCCGGCCAGATTTTGATGAATACATCCGCGGGGATCTCTCTTCGACTGACTGATGCATCTCCTCGCTTCATAAAACAATATCGGAGCTAGTACGTGGCTCCTAGCTAGAATGCCCGAGACTCCTCCTATTTGCAATGCCCGCACTGTCAACGGGCCAATTCTAGATCCCCGAGCGTATACCATTTGGTATTACTGTAACTTAATTGTCATAATTTCCACCTGGTTGGAGTTCCAGGCGGTTGTGCGCATATCGATGCATTGCAACAACAGGCCGGGATTTCTCTCTAGTCGCCTACTTACGAATTGGAGACGGGGAATACTTGGACAACTGTTGCGTTCGGTGGACCTGCAGTCAGGTGTTTTCAACAACCATTACCATGGATATCACAGATCACGAAATGGAGACACATCTTTTGAACATGCATTATTTACTTCATCCCAGCTAGGACCACGTTATTTTCCCTTGCCTCACCTCTTTCCTTACTGGTTCCCTTTTCTTTTTTCTCCCCTTTTATAGGATCCTCTGCAGCTAGGAGAATTTCTCTTACGTGTATGTTCTGCGTGCATGGTCACACATATTCCACCGTTGGTGACAGTGACTCGAAAATCATCCCCTAATTCCGAACAATGGGTATTCAAAGTCCACCCATCAGCCTCCCGCCGCCTCCCACCGTACATTCGTTTCAGTATCCTCCGACACCCCCAGGAACGGAGAGTAATTCGAGGAGAGAATCAAGAACAGGTAGTGAATTCGAAATTGAAAGCTCGATAAGCGACGCCGATGAATCGAAATTCAAAGGTCCCCGGATGTACCCTCTTCCACCAAGAAGTAAACCCGACAACAAGGTATTAGCGGAGGACCTTAAGACTCCAGACAGCCATGTTGTCAGGGATCCCCGCCTTATTCGTCTTACTGGCGTCCATCCTTTCAACGTTGAGGCGCCTTTGAGCGAGCTTTTTGACGAGGGGTTTTTAACAACCAAGGATCTCCATTATGTTCGCAATCATGGACCAGTGCCTCTAGTAGAAGATTCCGAGGTTATGGATTGGGAATTCATAATAGAGGGCATGGTAGACAATCCCATCAAACTAACCCTAGCACAACTCCTCCGCGAATATGAACAAGTAACGTATCCGATCACCCTTGTCTGCGCCGGCAACCGAAGAAAGGAACAAAATATCGTCAGGAAAACTAAAGGATTCTCATGGGGAGCAGCAGGTCTGTCGACGGCGCTATGGACCGGGGTTGTCATTGGGGACCTATTGAGAGCAGCCAGGCCAAAGAGAGGTGCGAAGTACGTGTGCTTTGAAGGTGCCGATAAGTTACCTAACGGCTACTATGGGACCTCCGTCAAATTGAACTGGGCCATGGATCCCAATCGGGGGATCATGGTTGCTCATAGAATGAATGGCGAGGAGCTCACTCCCGACCACGGGAAGCCTCTTCGGGTTGTCGTACCGGGACAAATAGGTGGTCGGAGTGTGAAGTGGTTGAAGAGGATAATTGTTACGGCGGCACCTAGCGATAACTGGTATCATATCTACGATAACAGGGTGTTACCAACTACTATTACGCCTGAGATGAGCGCTGATATGCCGGATACGTGGAAGGACGAGCGCTATGCCATTTACGACCTCAACACGAACAGTGCTATCTGTTATCCAGCTCATGACGAAACACTTGCGCTAACACAAACTATCGAAAGCTACCGGGTTCGTGGATATGCCTATGCTGGAGGTGGTAAGAGAGTAACGAGAGTTGAGGTAACTCTTGACAAAGGAAAATCATGGATGCTTGCCAATGTGTCATACCCAGAAGACGAATATCGACTTGCACCCGAAGGAGCAGAGTTCGGCGGTGGGCGGCTAGATGTTTCTTGGAGAGAGACATGTTTCTGCTGGTGCTTCTGGGACCTCGATATTCCCATACCGCAACTGCAAGCAGCGGATGACATCCTAGTACGAGCCATGGACGAGTCCATGATGGTACAACCGCGAGATATGTATTGGAGCGTCCTTGGAATGATGAATAACCCTTGGTTTAGGGTCGTTATTCACAAAGAGGGCCATATGCTGCGATTCGAACACCCAACTCTACCGGCTTTGAAGCCCGGCGGATGGATGGAACGGGTTAAAAAGGCCGGTGGGAATATCTCTAATGGGTATTGGGGAGAAAAGTTATCCCGCGAAAAAGAGGACGTCATCGAAGAAGAGCCAGCGAAAGAGATTTGCATGATCAACAAGAATATCAGTCGGAAAATCGCTCTTGAGGAGTTGAAGAAACACGATGGTGATGCTGAGCCGTGGTTTGTAGTCAACGGAGAAGTTTACGACGGAACGAAATTCTTGGAAGGGCATCCGGGTGGAGCGGCGTCAATTGTCGGCGCTGCCGGACAAGATGCTAGCGAGGAGTTCCTTGCTATCCGTAAGTTATCAATCTCTAAACATGGCCGTGATTGGTGCTAACATGAATATAGACAGCGAAAATGCCAAGGCGATGTTAGTGGATTATCACATCGGCTCTCTCGACGAAGCCTCGCAAGCCACCCTAGCCAACGGAGACGTGGAAGAAGCCAAGTCCTCGACACCGCGAAAAACATTCCTTCAATCCAAAACTTGGACGAAAGCTATTATGTCTGCCAAGGACAAGATTTCAGATGACACGAAAATCTTTACCTTTGACCTCGAACACGCCGACCAGACTTCTGGACTCCCCATCGGCCAACATTTGATGATACGGCTACGCGATCCCGTCACGCGCGAAGCCATTATACGTTCATATACTCCTTTGTCAGAGAGCGCGGAGAAAGGAAAACTGCGTGTGCTCATAAAAATATACTACGATAAACCTGGAAGGAAAGGTGGAAAGATGACCCAAGCACTGGATGCAATCCCTGTCGGTCACTTCGTCGACTTCAAAGGCCCAGTGGGCAAGTTTGAATATCTAGGTCGGGGCTTATGTACGATCTCCGGCCAAGAGCGGAGAGTTAAGCGTTTCATTATGATCTGTGGCGGCTCCGGGATTACCCCGATATTCCAGGTTCTCCGAGCCGTATTGACAGATCGCGAAGACTCTACTTCATGCTTGGTCATTGACGGTAATCGCATCGAACAGGATATCCTCTGTAAAGAGGATCTTGATAAGATGGCCATCAACAATACCCACAAATGTCGCCTGCTATATACTCTGAGTCAAGCTGGACAATCATGGACTGGTCTTAGGGGTCGTATGGACCAGGAACTCCTCCAAAAGGAAATTGGGCCTTGTCGTAATAACAACGGTGAAGACTTGGTCCTCATTTGTGGACCTGAACCTCTCGAGAAGAGCGTCCATACCATATTGAATACTATGGGCTGGAAGGATGAGAATCTGCTGTTCTTCTAAGTGCTCCGTGTTACAAGTATCGAGATACCATTTTTTATATGGAATAGCTATGCACATACTATAGACGGCATGATATGGGGTGCTATTCATATATACGTAGGGAGATTATACTTGCGAGAAGTATATATAAACGATACCCAGGTGCTCAGCGCATATGTTGCATGTTCTGTAGAACATTCTTAACAATACCAGCTCGTGGGCATATTGCTAGTTATTGAAATAAGATATCTGAAGGCCCTATGGATACTTGCGATAGTGTACTAGAGTATTTGTATATACTTAAGCGAAAGGACAAGACAAGGTAGTCGTGATTGGATACCGATCGTGTCAATATAGAGGAATAAGTATATGCTTAACATTCCGCGAATCTACCGACTAGAGACCGTGGCGCTGATTTAAATATCGCAACGGAGGGGTCGGCGTTATGCTTCTATACACGTTTACAATGAGAACTCGAGCACGACAAATATACAACTCCCGCTTGGATAGGCCTTCTGTCTAGGAATCCGCTATCCACCTATATATACTGTAGATGTTCGAAGTTGAAAGTATTATGACGTAGTCACGATAGTCCATTTTGTCTCCGAGGAATTCGCCGTGATACCTTTTCTATAAAGCGGTCCTCGCACTCGAATGGCTAACAAACGGCATCACACCGCCACATCAAGTCTGCAACATGATCGAATCGATCTAATATTGACTGTAGCCGGTCGACACGTCTTGGTTGGATGCGAACATCCACGGCCTCGAGGGATAACCGCCATCTTGCATTGCAGCAAATGAGTCCTGAGATTGGGGATCCAATGAAATATTTTGTAACGAAACAATTTCGAAATGAGTTCGAAAGAATGCATGTAAGCGTCGATACGAGTACTTGGGTACCTTGGTCCTTGTACGGACCCACTTATGCGTTTGCTTGCAAGGATCAGTGGACGTACTGGATCGATTGGGCTACATATGTACCAGCTGGTATCTCGAGTACCCACCTATTTCCCAAGAAATGTTTGGCCACAGTTTTCCCAAACCCATAATACTGTGCTAGAGGTACCTTGTACCCCGTTATGATGGGCACAATTTAAGGTTCATATCGACATCTCGTCACCTCGCGCGGGTCCAGCTTCCCTCGAACTACCTAACCCAACTACAACAACGGTTTCAACCACAGTCGAATTTCTGTATTAAAATCGCAAACCTTAAATTTTACTGCCAAATCTTTTTCTGGCATTGCAGACCGCTCCGCATTTCTCGAAGAAGCAAACTTAAAATTAAGCTGCACTTTACGTAGTTAATTTTTTTTATTTTACACCACCTCTTTGTCACAGACATCCATCTTTCATTTCCTTCCAACTTAATGGATACCAATAAACGCAGTCCTACACCTGAACACCATCCACCTGAAGATCCCGAAACCGCAGCTGCGCGCAAAGAATTAAAACAAACTGTCATTTCAGAACATCATCATTCATCATCAACAATGTCTACCGCAAAGGCAGACCCCGCGCCCAAGGCCGCTTCCAGCGGTGATAAGGCATCTACGAAAAATCCTACCTCCGATCGCGGCTCAGTTGAGCCTCAGAACGACGATCTCAAAGATCAGGTATCATCTCCTAAGAAGAAGCGAGCACGCGATGAGCTCGACGAATCTCGAGAAGCTCCCTCCGATGCGAACGGCGACGTTTCCCCGATCGGCGCCGATGGTCGAAATGATGAATCGGAACCTGAGAAGAAACGTCCTCGTGACTCAAGCCAGTCCAAGGCCAAATCGGATGCGCCTACTGTAAGATTACACTGTTGATTTTAATTGACATCATTTACTAACTATTTGTAGACTACATCCGAATCCAAGTTTTCCAAGTCGACGGACCCTAAGCCCGATTCGAAGAGCGACAAGCAAACCTCCGAGAAGCAAGCAACGACCATTAAGGATAACGTTGCCGCTGATAAGGATAAGAAGGGTGCAACATCTACATCGGCATTCAACAGTTCCGGGATTGCGGGTTTCGCTACCCAGGCTTCGCCTTTCCTACAGGCAGGCACAAAACCTCTATCATCTTTTGCGAGTCCATCGACCTCGAAGTCTCCTTTTGGTGCCCCGGCTGCTACCACATCCTCTACCACTACGGTATTCGGCGGCAGTAGTTTATCCAACGGAGCTTCGCCTTTCGGCCAAGTAGGTGGAGCACCAAAACCTTTTGGAAGCGCCGTCTTTGGTGGTACCTTTGGCAGTAAAATTGGCAGTCCCTCGCTCACAAGTTTTGGCAAACCCGGCGAGTCGTTTAAGAGCAACAAACCGGCTAAACCTTTCGGAGCACCAGCCAGTGAAGAGGAAGATGATGGCGAAGAGGGCAACTCTGACAATGAGGAGAAGGCCGACAACGAAGAGGAAGAGGCCCAAGAAGAGAAGTCCGTCGCAGCTGACGACAAGAAGAAGCAAACGAAGCTCCAGCGCGGTGAGTAATCTAATGTAACTATTTTCCTTAGAGCCCCTAATGCTAACATCCTCGATAGTGGTTGTTGACGATGGCGAGGCTGGTGAAGCTACCATCCTCCAGGTCCGTGCGAAGATCTATCACCTTGACAAGGCTAGCAGCTCTTGGAAGGAACGAGGCGCTGGAAACCTGAAGATCAACGTACCAGCATCTTGCATCGATTTTGACGAGGACACGGGCGCACCTGTTCCTGGAAGCTTCGATGTGTCTGCTCTCGAGGACGCCCAGTCAAAGGTAGTCCGCCTAGTCATGCGACAGGATTCAACTCACCGTGTAATTCTCAACACGGTCATCATCCCGGCGATGCAATTCCAGGAGAAGTCGATGGTTAAGGCAACCTGTGTGTTGTTCACAGCCATTGAGGATGACGGTGCCGTCAGCATTCAGCTCAAGGTATGTTTTTTGCTTTATATTAAGTATGATATTATTCTAACAATAATGTAGATGAATGAGGCGAATGCGAAAAGTTTCATCAACGAAGTCGGCAAGATTCAGCGCGAACTCCAGTCGGTCTAGAAACCCCAATCTGGAATGCCCGCTGCTGAAAGCAAGAAAGTTGCTCGCGACGACCTTGAAGATTACGAGTTTTACGTTCAGGATGATGAAAATGGCGACATCGTCAGTGTCAATGATGAGAGGGACGCGTCTACCAATGTTGAAGAGACTACGCCTAAGGTCTCTGCTGACGGACGTGACGCTACTGAAGATGATGATACCGGAGAAATTAATAATGAGAAGGATATTGCCGACGACGAAACTATTGTGAACGACTGCGTTGAGGATGAAGGTGTCATCAACAAAATCGTTAACAAGGATATCGTCAACAACGAAACTATCGGCGAGGGCACTACTAAGGGCTTCGATGCCGTGGGCCCTAGATCTGAGCAAAGAGAATCATCGCTCAATGATTCTGGTTATTTTTCGTCTGTAACAGTCTCCAAGGATCAAACTTCAAAGGATATGGACAAGGAGAAGGCTTCTCGCGAGCCAAGCCCGGATAGCGATTCTTCGAGATCTTCCCGCAAGCGTAGAGCTGATGAGGTAGAAGGCGCAGAGATGGAAGGCCCGATGACACGATCCAGGAAGAAGAGATTAGATGCGGCTCGCTCTGCTTCTAATTCTTCCCCTCGTTCACCACGTTCCCCTACCCGTTCTCCTCGTCGAAAGTAGACATGCCCTAATAGAAGGTACACGTCTAATGAGGTGTTTCATTGAGTTACGATTGTATGGAAAAGGAGTTATGGAATGAAGCATTTTCAAGGATGGTCTTGGCACGGCAGTACGAAGGAAACTGCTCACTCATAGAGCATAGATGGAATATGGTAGCTAGCATGGCATCCGTTGGAAGCAATTTTATGATACCATAAAAGGATAGGAGATTTTAAATACCAAACAGCGCTTCATTGCTTACACGAAACCTCATGGATTGTTTATAACATTGTAAGGCATTATCATCGAGTCACTAACAAAATGATACATCTTTTCTTTAATAATATCCTATATTACTTATAATTATATTAAGACAACCTTGTAATGATCATTTTCTTCAAATTTCTGGCACTGTGAAGTATTATATTCTCGTTTCTGGATGTCACAGCAATTATTACATAATCACCAAAAATTGGAACAAGGGAAGGTCACATGTTTCCGCTTGAATTTCGCGCCACAATAGAAATCATGATCGCGTGGCTTGACATGTACGACGTCAACTTAAAAGCATTCATCAATTTTCCTCAAAAACAACGAGAGTGCTTTTTATCAAGCGCTCCCGTCCTAATGCATCTCGATTATAAGTAACATGTCTACTCTTAAGGCTGCTACGGTCTCAAACAAAATCGTGAAACGAAAGAGGAAGAGGCGATATGCGGAAGACGCGGAAGGCGACTCTTTAGAGGATCCTGAGGAGCCAAATGCTGTCACAGCCGAGAGAAACACACCGCCTCGGCGTCAAAAGAAGGCCAACTCCGAAGTTATTGAGTGCCAAATTGAATGGCCGCAAACATTCAAGAACTTAGATAAGACTCATCAGGCTCTGAATTTAGTCTTCACTTTCTGCTCTACACGTAAACACCTAGTAACTACATTCGATACCATCCGATCAGCAGTTGAGTCAAACACGAAACGCAAATTGATGATTGAAGATGTTGCTGCGGTTGTCGCATTGCGACCGGAAGGTATCAACTTCACTTACGTGGATGAAGTCATGCTACAAACTGATATCAAGGGCGCTGAAAGAGACTCGACGTTTAAATCTGGCAGATTAAAGGATATCACCGTCCAAGGTCCCGCCCCAGATGCTTCTGTTGGTGGTTTTACAGGCCTGGACGAACTTGGTTCCCATCATCCCGACGATTTACTACAAAGTGGGAAAGAGGTCCTATACTTTGAATTCGTTGATGGGGATTTGAAGCGACAAGTTCAAAACAAGAAGACGGGAGAAGCAACCAATCCTAGTAGAAAACTTCGAGAGGAGGACCTAAAAATGCCGGTTTACTCCCAGAAACAACTGATAACGCTGATTGAGAAGCGCAACCAGAAATTTACGGTTGCGGTGAACACCTTCATAAATCGGTGTGTAGAAGAAAAGCTAGACCCTGAAGTGATGATACGACAAGAGGCTGAAGCATACATCCCAATCCCTCGTGAATCCAAAGCCACCACCCCTCAGCCAGAGCCGAGCACGCTTCCCAAATCTATACCTAAAGAGAGGAAAAGTATCCCGGAAATCGTCCAGGAACTCAAAGATAGTTCATGGTATACCGGCCAGATCGTACCCGACGGGCACCGTGTGTTTGATGCACAAGAACCTGTTTTCGGCGAACTTGATTTTCTGTTGAGTCAGGATATGGTGAACGCATTATACAATGCGAGAGGGATTACCCAATTTTATGCCCACCAGGCTGAGGCCATCAACAATCTTCACGCAGGTCGCCATGTTGTAGTTTCAACCTCTACGAGCTCGGGGAAAAGTCTCATCTACCAATTGCCCGTTTTACACGCTCTAGAGGAAGATCCGAATACCCGAGCGATTTACATTTTCCCGACGAAGGCCTTGGCTCAGGATCAGAAGAAGAGCCTGAAGGAAATGCTTGCTTACTTCACAATACTACAAAATATACTCGTTGAGACTTTTGATGGGGATACCCCAATGTATGATAGAAATCAGATTCGCGATGAGGCTCGCATCATCTTTACGAATCCCGATATGCTTCATCTTACAATCCTTCCCCAGGAAGATAGATGGCGGAGCTTTCTCAAGCACCTGCGTTATGTTGTCGGTACGTATATCTCCATTTGAGCACTCTGTTTCGGTGGTTAACTCCCTTCTAGTTGATGAATTACACTATTACAATGGCCTCATGGGATCACACGTTGCTTTCATCATGCGACGACTCCGGCGCATATGTGCGGCTGTTGGTAACCGAAAAGTCAAGTTTATATCGTGTTCTGCCACGGTCGCAAATCCACGAGAGCACTTCAGGACCATATTCGGAATTGATGATGTGCATCTAGTCGATTTCGATGGTTCTCCGTCTGGAAGAAAAGAATTCCTATGCTGGAACACGCCTTACAAAGATCCTGGCGACCCCGCAAGCGGGCGTGGGAATGCGATCGCTGAATGTGCTCGATTATTTTGTCAACTTATCCTACGCGGCGTTCGCGTAATTGCATTTTGTCGCGTGAGGAAGCAGTGCGAGGGACTAGTGTCAGCAGCCAAATCCGAGTTGGAATCACTCGGTCGTCCGGAATGCATGGCACGTGTTATGGGATACCGAGGTGGATACACAGCGCAAGACCGGCGAAGAATCGAAAGCGAAATGTTCGAAGGCAAGCTCATGGGCATTATTGCGACTACTGCTCTCGAGTTGGGTGTTGACATTGGTACGCTGGATTGCGTCGTTACGTTGGGATTCCCATATACGATTGCGAATTTAAGGCAGCAGAGTGGAAGAGCTGGCAGGAGAAACAAAGACTCGCTGTCTGTGCTTGTCGGGGATTGCTTCCCGACTGATCAACATTACATGCAGAATCCGAATGAGATTTTCACCAAGCCTAATTGCGAGCTTCAGGTCGACCTTAATAATATGCTTGTTCTGGAGGGACATATTCAATGCGCAGCATATGAGATGCCTATTAAGCCTGTCGAAGATGCCGTTTATTTCTCTAAAGATCTGGCTAAGATTGCCGAAGAGCGTCTAATCAAAGATGATCTTGGATTTTATCATTGCCACGATAGATTTAGGCCTGTGCCATCCCGGTTTGTGGCAATTAGGGATACGGAAGACGACCATTTTGCGATTGTTGATATATCGCATGGTAAAAATATTGTTCTCGAGGAATTAGAAGCGTCGAGAGCATTTTTCACTATCTACGACGGAGCCATATTCTTACACCAGGGTAACTCATATCTAGTGCGCGATTTCCAACCCGATAGAAAGATTGCCAAGGTTGAAAAGGTCAAGGTGGATTGGACGACGGAACAACGAGATTTTACGGATGTCGATCCTATTGAAACAGAAGCCATATGTAAAATCCCAGGCTCCCTCTCGCGCGCATTCCACGGTTCGATACGCATTACGCAGAACGTTTTCGGCTACTTTAAAGTCGATAAGAAGCGTCGCATCCTCGACGCGGTCCAGGTTGATAATCCTCCGATCATTCGACACAGCAAAGGTATGTGGCTAGACGTACCAAAGCGGGCCCTCGAAATTCTCGTCGAACGCCGTCTTCATGTAGCTGGTGCTATTCATGCGGCGGAACATGCTATTATAAGCCTAATGCCCAATTTCGTGATTAGCATGCCGGGGGACGTGCGCACTGAGTGTAAGTCGGGATTGAAGGAATTCGCGCGAAAAGAGACGTCACGAAAACGTCCCGCCCGATTGACTTTCTACGATGCGAAGGGCGGGAGCAATGGCTCCGGCATTAGCACCAAGGCTTTTGAGTTCGTTGACCTGCTACTTGTCCAGGCCCTCGATCGCGTCCAGCGCTGTCGTTGCCAGGAAGGATGCCCCGAGTGTGTGTGCTCTGAGTTCTGCGGTGAGGCGAATGAAGTTATGAGTAAAGCCGGGTGTGGGGTCATTATCAAAGCCCTCTTGGGTATGCATATTGATGTTGAGGCTCTCCCGATGGGACCGGAGGAGTTGAGTCCTCTGGGAATAGAGACTGTGATTTTGGCATTACCAGTGCCAGCGAGGGGGCGGAAGGTCGGAGAGGAAGTTGAGATTAAGGTAGAAGAGGGAGAGGGAGATGTTATTGTTCTGGATCGACCTGGAGATACAGATATGGGATATTGAAAGATTATTCCGACTCTTGTTATCCATCTTTATGTATCAAGTACGTATCTCAATTTTCAACTCCCCCTTCGTCTGGTTTCCCTTCCATGCGGGTTAGAAAAACCACGGAATAACCCTTAAATCTCAACTAAAACACTGAAAAGAGATTTATCTCATAATTTTAGAGCAGAGAAAGGGTTATACAGCATTTTAATTAAGCTCGGTGCCACGTGTGATACATGACATTAAAATGAAACAAGATAGGGTCGCTACTGCACGTTTACTGTTGGGTACAGTTACACAGAAGCTTCAGATACCGGGCGCACCCTCGTCTCATCAGCCAGCACCTTCCACAATTTGAGCCCAACTTATGACTTGACGTGTTGTTTCCATCTCAAACATTCTCAGGCAGGCGCATTTTATCATCAGTTAGCAGAAAGCATAATTAATTATACTTGAAAACTCACCAGCCTCGTACATTTATTCGCACACATCAGACCTCCAAACTTCATCAACTCTCCCAACAAATTCGAATTTACATACTTCAAGCTAAGGCTTAGAAAGGTGGACATAATGGATTTTTACATATCATTCGCCTTCATTTTTACCTGCCTCGCACTGGCAGTGCCTTTCTCCGAGTCGGAGAAGGATATCGTTCACAGGAAAGTTGGCATCACAAAGGACGGCCTCGTTGAAATGCCTCCCTACGCCAACCTAACTTTCCTAGAAAAGCGTGACGAAATTGATGATTGGAATCATGACAACCCTGACAATACCATTGCCGGTGTATGCATCACTATTCCTATACTCATCACACCTCTTAAGCAATTACTAATTCACGCTTTCATAGTGGTACGTATGCCCTGATTCGCGGGTCTTAGTTACTCTCTTCAACGCCCGGGCTGTTTACCAAGCCTTCCAACGTGGTGTCTGGTACATGCGACACCCAAATGAGGATCAACCACGCTGGAGCGGCCGCGAGTATCCGCACACGCTCAATCTCGATGATTACTGGGCGCATCGTGTCGATGTGGGCAGAGCTGACGGCGAACTCTACATGTTCCCCCTGGCACCTAACCCGCTCGGCGAGTGGCCGGGTATTCCAGGCGCCCCCGTATCAGGTCCACCGGGCAACCACCGCGTGGTCTTCTCCGAGCACGGCATATTTGCAGGCGTAGCCACGTTGTACTATGGTGAACCGGAAGGCACGAGGCTGGTTTGGTGTTACCCGGTCACCCGGTACGGTTCTAGAGATTTAGGCGCGACACACGAAGGAAATCCAGGAGTCGATGAGGCGTGGCGCGACACGTATGATGGATTCCACTATCTTTCCGCCTATGATCCATCCGGCGGTTCGCATCCCCCCAATCCCTCTTAATGTACCATGTAGGCGAGGACTCAATTCGAGGGTCCGGCCACGAGTGCGAATATCTCGACGGAGAGGGAAAGTTTAGGAGGTAATTCAAAAACTGTTTGCTATTTATCAAGGGTTAGTACTCTACCACTTCACAGGAACTTAACGCTTCTTTGCATTCAGAAATTTCGATCGCCAATACTACCCCAAAGGTGCATTGGCTATATCGCTTGAATGTGATAAATTGGTATGTAACTAATCTATAGTGCTCCATTACCGTCCCCCATGTCTATGCCGTTCCCCAAATATGCCAACACCCAGAACCCATCCGAACCTCGTCATGCATGCAGTCTACCGTGCCATTATTAATATATAATCGTCTCGTTAACCTTGAGGGTGCCGTTCAATGGTGCGAAAGACGGTTGTACGGATGTCGGGGCTTTGGCAGCCGCGCTCAAATAGGCGTCGAAGGTATTGTTGCCCGAAGTTGGTGCGTTAACAGCTCCAACCATACCGGCTTGGCAGTGGGAACCGAGAGTCTGGGCGCAGTAGAACCAGATCGGCTTCTCGTCCTTGACCTCGACCTCAAAGGTTACTCCCGATGGGGCCTGTTTTGTAGCAACGAATGGAGCGGCGAATCCGGACTCGAGGGGCTGGCACGGCTTGTCGAAAGAGGATTGGACAATAGAGTGGTTCTGTTGTCGGTTAGTTGAGGACATTAAATATGTTCGGCGTAGGTTTAACTTACCTTCGGGTTGTAGCTAAACTCGAGCACCGTTCCGACCAACTCGGTGATGTTGTTCGGGCTGAATATTATGCTGCCGTTGGAAGCACCGACGTCGATGTGAGTCTTGCGAATACCACCGACTGGCAGAGTTCCCACAGGCGGGGTAGCCGCGGTAGAGACTTTCTGGGCTGCGGACTTGTAGGCGTCAAAGGTGTTGGTGCCGTTGGTTGGCCTAGCACAGGGTCAGTAAGATGCCAGGACCCATATGTTCTTTCGTGGTCGACTTACGCATTGATGGCGTGCACCATGCCGGCTTTGCAGTGTTCTCCGGTAGAGCTAAGGGTATAAGTTAGCAGGCACTCTTCGAGTGGTTCAAAAATTCGTATGCAAGCTTACCAGTAAAGCCATAGCGGCTTAGTATCGTTCACAGTGATGGTGAAGGATGTTGGCGCCGCTACATCGGATGACTCCGTAGGGACATAGCCAGAGAAGAGTCCTCCCTCCGAAAGGTGGCATGGATCATCAAACTTAGATTGGGCTATGGAATGGAACTAAATTCATCATGTTAACTAGCTATCGCGACTAATTAGAAGGGATATAAGCACCTTTGAAAAGAATTTATAGGTAACGGTGTCGCCGAGTTGCGTCGTCAACGTCTCGGGTTCAAAGGTGAGTTTGTTCCCCTTACCCACGGCAACTTCATAGTGGGCGGCGTTGGCAACAGCTGCGAGGGCCGTCAGCCCAACTGCCAACTTAGAAGACTCAAATAACGAAAGCATCTTGTATTAGATAATCTAACAAAAGAAACAAGAAAAATAAAAAAATAAAAAAATAAGGAAATATTGTGCAATATGAAAATCTAGTGTATGATGTCCAAACCAAAAGAAGAAAGCCAAGAGCGAGGGCTCTCCTTCTTAAAACCTCAAGGCGACGACGGTAATATCATCTTCGCTGCCTACAATGTTCAATGTATTCCCGGCTTCGAGGTTGGATATGTTGACGTAGTCGTAGACATGTTGAAGATCATCGCGTGTAAGCTACATAGGACTTTGAAAATGGTATAAGTTGATTGGACGCAACCGTTGGGTTTCTATTTCGAGCTTGGCCCTACCTCCTAAATAGAGCGGACACCGTCCGAGCCGTGAGATCGATCCATGTAGCGACTGCGGCTGAGTACTAATTGGGCGGGAACTGCACTGTATTTTCTTACGCCGATCACTACCCCTGGAGGCAGCGGCTGTGCGGCTGCTGCAGGCCCTGTCAGATGATTGGCGCCAGCACATGGTCCAGCGCTTTCGGATCAGTTTACGCCGTCGAACTGCCTCTAAAATACCGGCACTTCATGTCCAGATGATTTATTATATCTTGCGGAGCTTTCGCTCGAAGCGCCGAAAACTAGATTTTATTCTCCCGGCTAGAGTTGGTCCGAAGAGGTTGCGCCACGCATCGGTGGCTGGCTCTCTGGAGTTTCTCGCTCGGAATAGAGACGGAATAGGAGGCATCCGTTATATCCGAGGTAGCGTCAGCGGCGTCTTACCAACCAGTATATCAATTCACAATTCAGATTAAACGAGCCAGCAAATCCGAATCGGGAGCGGGGATGAATGAAATTGTTTACTTTCATTCAAAGTCGAGGTCCAGTGTTGATTGAAATGAATGCCATTTTCAGGCCCCAAAAAATGTTGGCGCAGCGATCCTCCAAGCGCTTACTGCCTATACGGCGCATCATATGGCCTATTACAGTGGAAATCCGGCATCAATCGCTTAACATTTTCTACTTTACTGGAGGCCTTCTGTGCGACATGGAGCGGTTCGACCAATGATAGATTCTGTATCGCATCCTAGGGATGTTTGGAATTTCTCCAACTGCGTAAGAGTAAGTCCTACCAGTTAGTCAGTAAGTCTTGGTTCTTAGTGATGCCGTTATTTAAAAAGTTTTACGAGGAACCGAATCAAACAATTATGGACTACCCGTCTGTCAGCGGTGGGAATATCTTCCTTTTTTTTCCTTTGCAGACGGTTATACGTAATCAAAGTTTGACGTCATGGCGCCGCGGTTTCTCCCCTGGATCTTTGCGGTTGTGTACTCGCTACTCTCGCTTGTTTTCGTTCTCATAATAATCCTTTCCGGAATAGATGGACATGTGTTGGTCGAGTATTTGACGGTAGGTTTGTCGTCCAAGCGGACTGGGGTTGATGCTGACTTATCTAGATTAATACCAAAAACCTCGACATGCCAGCAGATGTGACCAATTCGGATCTTTTACGGGTCTTGACGGAATTAACCGGCCAGAGCTTCGATGCCTCGGGTACGAATGCGAAGAGCTTCGGGCTTTCGGACAAGTACTACCTTAATATCCTGACGGCGTGTGCGCGGGACGGCTATCAGAGCGCGACTTGCGGAGCTCCTAAGATCGGCTTGAACTTCGAGCCTGGTACGATATTCACCAACGAGCTTACAACCTACCGGAATGTCTCGATGTTCGTCGCTATCGGATATATCGTCGCGGCGGGTTTAAGCGGCTTGTCCTTCATCTTCACGATCCTATCCCGATGTTCATCGAGAATAATCGTCGCCAGTCAGTTGACCTCTGGTATCGCTTTCCTCCTCCTACTCGCAACGGGTATCGCCTCCGCCGTCGAATTTACGAAGTTAAGAGACCTCTTCGAGCGTGTTCTAGGAGGATCGGGACTTAAGACGTCAGTGAGCGCCAGGATATTCGGACTCACATTCGGTGCAGCCTTTATGACTTTAGCGGCACTACTCCTAGCTATATCAATATCAAGGAGTTCGCGACCCCTACAACGGTACGGCGACTTCAACGACCAAGGCCGTTCTCTGGGCAATATCGCAAACGAACCGGCGCCAGTACCACAACCAGGTTTCATTAGGCGGATGACGACTTGGAATCGTCAGAAATACATGGAAGTCGAGAGGCAGCGGCCGATATTTCACAAGGACAGTCATCATGATGATGATAGGGAGGGGCTGATCGCGACGGTGGAGAATGACTTTTCGCATGAGTATCCGAATGATATCGCCATGGGACCTATGCAGGATCACAAGGGTCCTAGTAGGGACCCGAGCGCTGCCTACGATCCGTATGCCAGCACGGAATATACGCCTCAGGTGGCTACGCCGTCTAATCCATACAGGGCTTAATGATATTATGATACCCTTTAGCGATCCGTTAAACCCGATGATATCGGAGTTAAGGTGAGGGGCGTCGATGTTAAGATTCATTATGTAGGTAGGTATTATATATTTTTGATTAAATTGTTGTTTATCTAATTGAACTCATGATGTTTTGGGAGACCGTATTTCGATGCGTCAAGTCGCATCATGTCATAGTTGACAGCAGTTGAGTGACGAATTAACACGGAGCGATAGATGTCACAATTAGATATCGCAATGAGCACAGAAAAGTAAAAACATGAGACCTCTCATTTATGTTCTTCAGCCCTAAACTGGTTTCTAAACCTAGTCTAGTAACTGAGCACATCTAGGTACTCTAGGCGCGTGGGCCATTCTGCTGTACAAATTCACCCCAACGCCGGAATGCCGCGTCCCTGAAAGTTCTGAACTTTGAAAACCCTACAAACACCGTTTCGCCCAAGCCGATCTCCTTTCCATCCGAACCATGCACACCCAGAGGCAAGCAACAAGGCATTAGTAGTAGTCTCCTGCAAGCATAGCGTGTTAGTTGGTTCACTTCGGACGAAAGATATGCATGAATAACTCACATTCGAAGGTTCCGGTATCGGCTTAGCGCTGCTTGACGAGCTCGACGATGATGTACATGAGGACCAGGACTGTCATGAGCAGGATAGCCACGAGGAAGTACATCTGGACGTCGGAATAGTGGTCCAAGACTGAGTGATGGTGGCGCTGATGATGAGTGTACTCGAACTCAGGGAAGGAACCGTAGTGACGGTGCTGGCCGCTTCGGTTAGGCTCGTAAGAAGACAGCGAGCGTTCCTCTGAAGAGGACTACGAAACTTTATGTCAGTTCACTTTCGTATCGGATGATTAGAGGGTGTCAATAGGGATAGACTTACGAAGGGAATAGCGTGAACGGTGGGACTAGGGAGGTAGTGGTGCTGGACGGTGTCTGCCTCACTGACGGGGGTCGCAATAGGGCTCTGACCCAGGAGAGGGGTGGTAGTTCCAGACCAATCGGCGACGGCAAGGCGATTGATGCTCTGATTAACCGCCGCCATCATGGAAATGTGATCACCGGCCTCTCGGCGATAGCCAACACAGTCAATAGGCGAATGGTCAAGAGGGCTGCTGTCACCGCTGGAAGCGAAACTGGGCGACAAGATGATTCCGCGCTGATCCTGGGAAATCGCGAGGGCCCAGTTGTTGACACGGCTGGGGGTGACGTAGGTGGATCGTTCGGTGTAGTGGACGGGCGCACTAGTAGAGCGAGGAGCGATAATGTCGGTGGGGGGCGTCGATGGCTCCTGCAAGTCGCAAGGAGAGTCGGCGCGGTCCGACTTAACGTCCTTAGGAGAGCTCATGATTTCGTGTTGTGTTGCAAAATTATGAACAGAAATTTAAGCGTAACTGAATGATTGCTTACGAAGAGATTGACAATCAGGATGAAAGTAATGTGATCCCAAGAGAAGAGTCCTTAGGTAGCAACTGGTAGAGGATGAGGAGGACCAGAGTGCTTTCTCTGTTGTAGGGAAATGAAAGCAAACAAAATAGATAATCGGACCAAATGCTACAGTTTTAAAGAAAAACAGCCAGTGCTGATTCTGCCTACTGATTTCGCTTTCGATTGATTCGATTTAACTTTTAACGCCCTATTTTGGGTGTAGTCATCGTCGATAATAGCGACTTGAACGTACTTAGCCATACTCCTTAATTGGTAGGCTCACGATGTACTCAACATGTACGCTGCAAAAAATAATGCGGACCATGACCCTCGCCCTAGGAAACAGTTCTAATCGGCCAATCTCTTTTATTTAAAATAAACTTAAATAGTTCACCTTGAAAGATCACTCCTTAGAACCCTCAGAGGTTTTTGCTTTCTGAGTTTTGGGCAACTTATACATTTACTAAGACATTATTTAACTTCCACGTGATCCTATCCTCAGGATGTTGTGATTTAGGAACAACGGCTGAATGGATAATTCCCAAATTCAATTACCATTCATTTTATGCTCTTTAGGAAGGAGTTGACCGTCCGTAGGCATCGGCCGGACAGGACGTAGTCCCTTTTCCGGTTGCTATCGGGTGGCCGGAACGGCCCCACAAAGGGCCGCTCCGTAATAGATCCACAACAGCGCTGGCATCACGTCGATAGAAAGATTAAGCAATTTCATTTAATTAAACATACGATATAAATTATTAAATAGGTTTAGGATAATAATGTTAACGATCTAATCTGATCTGTTTAATTTGAAATAGGGGGTTTCACCTCGTCATAGGCATTGATATGTGAAATTCGAAAACACTGCCGTGTATCGCCGCTCGAATGGGTATTTATTTCAATTATTTTCATTCAAATAACTTCGTAGCCCTTAATGATCCGCCCTAGTTTACCATACCTATGTACTTACATATTTCGCTTTGTCTAGCCCAGGTTTTCGAGCGAAACCCATCATGATTGTATAAAGAGGGGAGAAACGTCCAAGCTTTCATTTAATGATTGCTCCCTACTAATGACTCCATGTTCGATTAAAACCTGAACATATTATTGACTCAAAAGGTATCATTTTGCATATCTTAAAATCCCAGCGCCAAATCAACCTTATCCCGAATTTGGTCTGTATAGGAGATTAGCTTAAATACGCCTATATTTTCAGGAGATATAGATAAACTCACCTCTCATGCCACCTAGTGCTTCAAAAGCTGTGGCATAATTCTCCAGTGTCACTAGTATTGACACCAATCCTTGTTGAAGTCTGTCGCGGAGGTTGTCAACTAGAGGACCAGCCTCGCCGGTCGCAGTTGGGTACATCGACTCAGTTCGATCCTTAACCATGAGCAATGCGTAACTGCATTGCATTGCGCAGCAAGCGAATGCCGGCATTGTCCTCGGAGTAATCAATGTTGAATTTACTCCAATGTAGCATGGTGTGTCGCAAAGCATACCACTGGGGTTCGGATACGGCAAGGAGTCAAACGCTTGGGCAATATTCAAAGCAGACTTCAAACATATCTTTGAAGAGTGGTGAGTGCTGAATGGGAATTGAAGAACTGGCGTTGGTTGGTAGGTGAAACCGCAGCAATCTGCATTGGGTGTAGAACGACTAGAAAGTGTCGGCGACACTGACCCCCCAGACGGACTTGACTGGATAGACGGCGTACTAGTGCAGCATGATTGAAGCTGGACTACGTCTGGGCTATCAACACTTTCTTTCTCCGCTGTACTTTTGAGATCGCAATGCTTCGAAGAAAATACGGCAAGGTCGAAGAAAGCACAATAGCGATGAACCTTAATTCGGGCACTACATAACATACGTTAGTCTAAGGCATCTCTATTTAAGGAGCGGAGGAAATACCTATTCAACTTGATGCGTGATATGCATCGTAATGATTGTGACAAAACCGACTCTCTCTTATCAACCGGTTGTGTCAATGGGCAATTTAAGACCCACGATTCAGACTTGGTTATCAGAGGTTCTAGGAGGCGCTCAAGCTCACGCATCCTGTTGAAGATGCGACCCATATCCGATTGGTCTTTTCTAGCCTTATTGAAATCGATGACGAATTGGGTAGCAGCTAGAATTGCTTGTTGAGCTTGAACAAACAACGGCCATACCTCTGGATCGGCTTTGACAGTGGGATACTTGGCAGTGAAGCTAGATGCGAATACTTCAAATGTGGGGGACTAGCAAATGTTAGCGAATATCCTGGACACTCTTCAAGATCATTAATAGACATACCGTATTGCTAACAATTGATCCCTGGCAGACACAAATGTAGGTCATCCACCACGCGCGACGTCGCGCCTCTGAATATTCATCTTCAACATCATTACGTGTGTGAAGCATTAAGGACATCGCTGACACCAAGGCCGCTCCAACCCTAGCCCGCATCTTCTTCAGGTTTCCACGTTGGGCATATTCATAAACACTCAAGAGATCGAGAGCGATGACACTTTCTATCTCTAAGGGGACTTGTGAGTGGAATTTCTCTCGGAAGACCTCTTCGTCAGAGTCATCTAGAGCTTTCGGAGGTTCGACGGAAGACTCTGGCCTTTCTGCCTCTGTTTCGATACTCTCAAGGGCCGACTTGGCAAGGAACTGAGAGTATGTGCGTCTCCAGCGGATTGACTCCTGCTCGAGTGGGTTGGGATCTTGGGGACATGGTATGAGGGCCAAGATTGCAGAGATCGCAAGAGCTATAGCTGATTGAGGTTCTTCAAATTTATCCCTCTGGTGCTCGAAAAGGGGAAGAACTTCATCAATTACCGGCGTCGTCTCTGGCGGCGGCAAGATGGGGAAATAGGGGTGGATCCAAATATAATACGCATTCAGTCTATATTTATGATTAGTCGATGATCCGGGAAGATAGAAAAGCACCTACATGGCCCGATCATTACCCCCATAGGTCCTGACCATAGGAATTTTGATACTAGGGGCGATGGTGGTATCAATCACGGCATCTTGAAATAGATTATCATAGATGGCATCGCTATCTCTCCATATATCGGCTAAAGGCTTGAGGCCAGCACCCGGATCTATGTAGTTCTCGATGAGGAGTGCTACACCATAGTCAGCATTGTGGCTTGCGCATCAATCGGTGAATCATAACTCACCATCCTGCGGAATTTCTTCTTGCCGAGGAGGGAGTGAAATGGCTAAATCTTGATAATCCGACAATGGTCGAGCCTTCTTTCGAATGCGAGGCCCTCCTCGTCTACTTGGTTTATATACGCATTCGCGATCTTTCGTCACGCACTGGATTCATTAGACGAGTTAGATGGTCCCATTCTAATATTTCTTCACTTTTACTTTTTCTTCTCTTGCAATTGGTTCTTTTCTTCTTAACGTAACGAAGCAGAACGATACGAAACGCGAATCAAGAAAAGAGCATTAGGTTAAGCGTACACTTGCGCACGGATGTTCGCCATTACACCTCGTTCTCGATGCGCGACTTAAAAAAACGATCACCATTAGCGTCTCTCGTTGTTTCAATAAAGTTAGGAACTAGAGCAGTAAAGGTATAGTAGATGGACCCGGGACAATGGCACAATGGCACAATGGCGCAATGGTTGGGCGCTGCGACGTACCAAGATAGACAGGCGTTCTTGACGGGAGGAATCGCAAATTTCTTCCTAGGCGCGGGCGCCTGAGTGGTCAATCTCTGGGCCCCATTCTGGCCATCTCCTTCAGACATCGTCATCGCGTAGGCGACTAAGCAAACCTAGTTAATACAGAAAGGATATATAATAGGGGCCCCTCCCCCAGAGTTTTGTTAGGCTGTTAGGTAATTGAATCCTTAAAACGAAAAAACAAGGCTCGGGCAGAAAATAAGGGTACGGGTATGGGCGGGCAAGAGACGGGGGCGCGTGGGCGCGGGGAGCTTTTTGGGCAATGAGTTGGCAGTTGGCGGTGGAGATTAGGTCAAGCGAGAGAAGAGAGACATCCGATTGACCGGATCATACGGATTATACGGATTTGTCTGCTTGTCTGCCCATCTATCGCCCCCCTTCTGGAGAATGGAGAACGGAGAATCAGCTGAAAGCGGGGTAGTTTTATGGGAGGCTCGCCTCTGTCTCTGGATGGTCGCTCAAGGGGTGATCAAGATAGTAAGGATGTGTAAGGATGTGGTAAGGAATTGGTTCGGATGAGAAAGATAAATGGACAGACTAGGAAAAGTAAAGGCGTCTGGTTTGGGTATAATTCGATTTTGACTGGGGGGGACCTTGGGGGGTTTAATGGAAAGGGTTTAAGTTGACGGTTGAGAAGGTTGAGAGAGTTTTCGAATTGGTTGGCAACCATTTCAGCCAGTCACTAGCGCATCATGAGACATTTGCATGGGCCCTTTCCCGATAAGATCTATCATCTTTCGACTATAGGCCTTATTTCTTCCTTTGTCGCTACCTAGAATAATGTGGGATATGTAATGGGAAGGGGGTAAGGGAGGGTAGCAGTGCCACCGTGGTGGCTCTTACCGATTCAATTAGCGTACGTATACTTTATGTCTAATGTATGTACAGGTGGTGCCTACCTCCAGTCTCTATCACTTCATCTTAGCCGCTTAGGTACATACCCTAGGTACATCAATTGATCCCAGCAGAAATTGGTAGGTGGCCGGGTGGTAGAGCTAGGGAAAGAAATATGAGATATGATCAGTTAACATAGCCGTATCCACCACTGAAGCTACGCTAACTCTCGCTAACATGCACCGAAGATAACTGACCATAAATGGTTTATAAGTGGCCGGCCCGTTCCGCTTAGGCCACCAATTCTTTTATAGCCACGCAATCAATTTCTTTGCTTTGATGATCGTTACTGAGATGTATCTTTGTAGCTAGCCCCCATATGTTCCCTCTGCCCTCTTTCGCCGAATAGCTTTCCCGATTATTCGCAGCTTGCAGATACTATTCCCGGCTCTCTTCCGCATCCGAGATATACATGTACCCTCATACATCCTTCATACATCCGTACCTACATACGTCCTCCAATGGATAGATATTATACATCCTGTACCTCTCGTACATCCCTACTACCCACAGTAGCTAGTTATGTATGCACTTATCTACGTCGATAAAAAAGTACCTATTGTTCGTAATAAGCCCCGATCTACAACTATTATGAGTAAGCCCTGTTCGGAATCCGTTCCATTGGATATTCGATAACACGCCATTTACAACAATTCTCGTATGTTCTACGGGTATAAAGTATCCCAAATAGGAGGCGGCGCGATGTTTGTCGACGGCTTTCGCCCACGTCGTACAGCCCTAACTATAAATAGGTAGAGAGAAAAGGAGTGAAAATCAATGGAGAAAACATCGAAAACAGGTGGGTAATCAATTAGACCGATGGGGAGAGAGCGAGAGAAAGAGAGAGATGAAAATGGATCCCGCAAACAGAGGATCTACAATACATGCAAATAGTGCTGGGATCGATCTCCAACCTTGATTTCTAATGTAATCGGCTCCTCCTATGAGACGTTACGCAGCATGGTAACTTATGCCGCTCTGTTAATGTGTGGCTACACCAAGGTTCATCTTGCTTGCTACTTCTATTATCCACCAGTCCACCCGACTACCCCAGCCTTTTTAAAAGCCTAGAAGCATAATTGTAAGACTGGATCGGAAACCGCCGTTGTCTGAGATGATACAGGTGTATGCGAAGAGAGAGCCGTAAAGCATGGCCATCCAATACCCGAATTGGTCGCACTCGCATCTATCACGATGTACTCGATGGCACGGTTCACAGCCCTGCGCCTCAAGGTGGATAAAGACAGATATGTTTAGTTAATTGAAAAGCGGCACTGAGTCTCCATAAGTTCTACCAACATACAGATTCCATATTCATGCGCTTTGAATGCGCCGCGACCGTTGGTCATTCATCAGTTCTATAGCAAGCCCTTCGGATTTCCGCTTCCCCGCGGAGGTACTCCCGCGGACAATCACGATCCCACCTTTTCTTACAAAAAGTCCTCGTCGCCATAATCGCTCAAAGGACTAACGGGTCGCACCGGCTTTCTATATGCCGACGACGACAATGGACTGTTACGGAAAGTTGGCTTTCGCCCCATAGCACCGCCGCGTAGTGGCAACGGACCTTCCGCGTCTTGGGCTGCGAGGTAGGCATCCAACTCTATATCCGACGGCATAGGTCCTGCTCGTGTTGGTGGAAGGACACTGGATTTTCCGCGCGTGGTGATCGCAGTCCCCGGTAATGTCTATTTGTTGTCAATTAGTACCACATCAATTACAATATTGGGTCGCCTTACCAGCCCTGCATCTCCATCCATCCAAAAGCTACCGGAAGATCCCGGGTTTTTTGGCTTCTTAATACCAAAAGCCCTGGGCATCATCCTGTGAAAATAGGGTGTCACTGCTAACAGACAGGTTGGTATCCAAAGGGTCATGGAAGCTTCCATAGCTTCTGTCGCTAAATGGAATGTTGTGTCCTTGGATTCCGGTGGTGCTGTGACATAGTTGACTGCGAATAATACGATCCATGCGATTGTGATCAAAACCTCAGGCACTACAGTAAATATCGACCAGCGATGTCTCAAGAGCATCGCCAAGATGCTCCAGAATATCGATGTTGCAGCTGCGCAGCTCGAAAGGATGGTCAACCAGAAAGAAGGAGACGAGGATGTGCTGATATAAAGTATAATTAAAAGGATAGCAGCGATACACTGGGAAGTACGGATAATTGCGATGAGGGAGTTGCTATCATAGCCAGATGGCTTGTCCTTGCCGTCGACTCGGGGGGTATCAATGGTCCAAGCCATATTTCGAGGGCTTTTAAACCATCCCTCTGAGCTGCATATTCCACAGCATCTTCTTCTCTTTTTCTTCGGGGTAGGTGCCGAACGTCCAAGGTGGAAATGGTCCATTGTAGATGTCGAATGTCTCAAAGTCGATCGGTTCTTGCTGGTTGGGTTGCTTCGAGAGCGCGACGCCTCAATGTTGCCGGCAATTGGCTATTGAGATAACAATTAGGATACCAGATTTTCTTTTTCGGGAAGTCCATGTCTGCGTGCAAGTGTGTTATGTGCTTTGGTCATTAGTTTTTGGATTGCAAACTGCGACAACGTGCTGTAGAAAGTAACGGTGACACAAGCGTTCGATTCATTCTGTTACCAGTAGACAGTACTAAGGAAAAGAAAGAAATTACAGTTAGTAGCTGTGAATCAGCTTGATAAACATATGGGTGTTCATTAGGAAATTAGGATTAAGTTCTCACTGATTTGAGTATTTAGTCGTAATTTCATCGCAACTTGACTTCACGATACAATCACGTTCTAACAGGAGGTTAAGGATGCTACAACGATAACTCACTCCCAGTAATACTAGCGTATACCTGTCTCATAGCAATACATATTTTACACTTTAAGTCGACTCAATTACTTAGTCACCTTAGGTAAATGATTTGTATCAAAATCCATATGGGGAACACCAGGACACAGGAAGGAGTGAAGAATCACGATCTACTTGCTGCCATTCTAATCTATATCGAATAGCATCTCATGAGTCCCTTTTTTCAACACTCACTCAGTTATTACTGTATAAACCTTTATTGATGTCGTTTTCCAACTATTCAAGCTCATTATGAAATGAATTTCCGTTCATCAGATGAAGCGCTGTGCCACAATACTTATACGGCATGATACTACGTTCCGCAGCTACACAATGACAACGCGGTAATCCATCCAGCCCAAGCCGGGCGAAGCTTATCGCACCAAGTATTTATAACGTTTTCTCCTTGGATTTACGGCAGAGCCGATAGGTCCGATCAGAAAGTCGTTTAAGAGGCACGAGTACCTAGGTTGTATAAGTCACCACAAGTCTAGTGAACGATACTACTTGCCTAGGTACATCTTAATGATTGCTGGCAAACATTTACTAACGCCTGAATAGGAGTTCGCTCTAAGCACGATATTTATGCCTGGGGAGCCTCGGTCAGAAAGCTGAACATCGGATCACTAGTCTCTGATAGTCGATGCGGACCTTGGCGATTACAATGACTTACAACGGCACAGATAACTTCGTTCCCGTTGCGATTGAGCTTGCAGTATTGAATCATTTAGTTATTCGCTTGTATTCGTGGCTCCAGAAATCTGTTTGCCGCATGTAAGGGCAACTACGACCGATCAGTAACACAATCATAGTGTTACGAACTACTGAAACAGGCTTTCGGTATTGTAACACCAATTGGAAGCTTTCTACTATTCGTCCAAACTTCCCGGGTGTCCTTGTATTCATAGAGGGTTCGTGGCCTCACTTATCAGATCCATTTCAGGGGGTATCCTTACTAATAAATAGCTCATTAAATGCTATATACAGTAAAATGAATATATCGCTAGCGTTTCTAGAAATGTTGGCTACAACTCAGCGTAACATCAATACCCCATAAACCACTTACCATCATATGCTTAATGCAACCAGTCGTTGAGTTGTCTGTCACTCGTGACAAGATCAAATGCTTCTTTCATAGGACGGTCACTCACCTACTTACAGCGCTTCTTATGGTATTGGATATCTTCATGAACACTAGACTCGGCAGTCTATGTGAGTACAATTATGTACCAACCCTTATTCTCTACCCCCCTCGTTGTGTGACAACGGTGACAGCAAATCATGATAAGGCCGTGGGTGAACTGTCCCTTTATCAGACAAACGGCACTACTATAAGTAGAAGTTCGGCGCCGAGGAAATGTAGTATATGGGAAGAACACAGAATATAGGTATCATTGTGGGTGAGGATCGGGTTGTAAGTAAGGTGATCGATATGATACACTCGCTAAAGTTACCCGGGTACGCAGGCACGTAATGCATCTCCTATGACATTCCATTCTCCGCCAGAGCAAAATCAATGCTCTCGTTCATGTAGGCTCCCGATGGAGAGAAGTCGCCGTCGGTGGCTAGGCTCGGGGAAGGGGTTACATCACGAAACGCATCGGCCTCCCAACCGCTGTAGGAGAGGGCCTCAGTCCGAGATACTGTCCACATAGGTGTATATTGCTTTATTCCTCTGTAAATTCAGTTTTAAAGAATTCGCCCAGGGAAGGTACCTGAACGAAAAACTTTTCATATACGATAGGCTGAGGGACAAATTCTGTCAATATAGCCAACCCCGCACTCCGAACGCCACTCAGTCCTGAGCTATCGATGTTCGCTCTCATATCTAGATTCCGTGACTCAACATATCTTATCACTAATCATTGATTATTAATCCTATGCCATCTCATACTCTTAGCGATACACGGCTTTATGTTAACGATAAGCGGCATGGTTCCGAGACGTTGGGCATTTATCCGTGAAGCGATGCTAGCAGGTTTGTCATCGCCACCTAAGCCAATGTTTCTTATCGAGTCAATATTGACGTAAGAGGCGTTAAGCCATACGGATCCGAGGATTAGGAGGAAGAGGTTGGTAACACCGACATCGAGACAGAGATGTTGAAGATGATAAAATTTTAAATTCATGTGAGAGAAAGACAGCTACAAATGTATTCACTTATACAAAATACCGCGGCAGTTTAAGAATGACCGTACTAGAGCGAATTTAGATAACCGATCCCACTTTTGATAGCGACGAACCTCGGTTAAGCGGCAGATTTACTGGAAGGAATACGTTTTGTAAGTGCACAGATTTAGGGATATAGGAATAAACTATAAGTTTCTTTCGGTCATTAGCGGCAGTTTTAAGTTTAGCAAACGTTTCTGACGCCATTCTGCGTAGGGAAATTGACTCTTCTTACCCTTAATCCCTTAATTCCTCAAAGAAAACAAAAAAGGAAGCAATTGGTATTGTCGCCATCGTGATATTTGCACAATACACGCTTCACAACTGTGCCACCTGTGCTCCGCTGATCTTCTAACAACCCTACCTATAGACTATCCGACCTATGATGCATCAGGACCTTACGATAAACGATTGTTTATGAGAAACTCTTATTACTAAGAATGCGCCGCTGCTCCCCTCGCTCCCCTTACACCCCTCCCGTACGACTACTCTCCGCCCAGACCATCGTGGGACTCGATACAAGACGCCGCATATGTACTCGCTGTATAATATCAACAAGGGCATGTGAGAAGCGACCACGGAATGCGACCAGATCGTTAATAGCGGGTCGAAGGCCCTCCTCTATTGTCCTGACACGACCCGCTCTGCCGCCAAGTAGATTCAGACAATACGCGAGCGTTACGACGGTCGATTCTGAGAAGAGTAAGCCCACCGGTAAAAATATTCACATGTGATTGCTTCTAAACCTATTGGATAGTCCAGGGAACCGATTTATATGGTCCGATCCAAGAGTACGATAAGCGAGTCCGGGAAGGGCGTCTACGAGAGGATAAACACCAACGCGGTATCATACAGAATTTACAGAACCTGCACAATGACCTAGTCCATTACCGAGCGAGACCGGTTGTCCGTCCGAGCCTCGATACCTTAAAACCTACTAAATCTTTATTCTCATGGTTTGGCCCTAAGATAGGCAATAGTGCTATACAAGAGATTCCAAGTGATCTGCCGCGAGGGTTGTACTTATATGGCGACGTTGGGAGTGGGAAGACGATGCTGATGGATCTCTTCTACGATACACTGCCAAGCTCTGTGCGGTCTAAGACGAGAATACATTTCCATAATTTTATGCAGGATGTGCACAAGAGGCTGCATCGGATGAAGATGGCACATGGGAACGATGTAGATGCAGTTCCGTTCGTAGCTGCAGATATCGCAGAACAGGCGAATGTACTGTGCTTCGACGAGTTTCAATGCACCGACGTAGCTGATGCGATGATTCTGCGGAGGCTCCTTGAGTCCCTGATGTCCCACGGGGTCGTTTTAGTCACGACCTCGAACCGTCACCCAGACGAGCTCTACAAGAATGGCATACAGCGGGAGTCGTTCGTTCCGGCGATTCACCTTCTAAAAGCGCGTCTGCATGTCATCAACCTGGACTCGCCTACTGATTACCGCAAGATCCCGAGACCGCCGTCCGGGGTGTACCACACACCGCTTGACAGCCATGCGGCGTCGCATATAGATAAGTGGCTCCGTTTTCTGGGCGACCCAGATAAGCCAGAGCCTCGCCCAGAAATCCAAAAGGTGTGGGGTCGAGATATCCACGTGCCGAGAGTCAGTGGCCGCTGTGCTTGGTTTACGTTTGATGAACTGATCGGCCGTGCGACGGGTGCCGCCGATTATCTCGAGCTGATGCGCTGCTACGACGCGTTTATAATCTCGGACGTGCCCGGTATGACGTTCCGGGAGCGCGACTTGGCGAGACGGTTCATCACGTTCATCGACGCTGTTTACGAGTCTCGTGCCAAGCTCGTCTTAACCACGGCCGTTCCGCTGACCCAGCTATTCATCTCACCTCAGGAACTACGCGAATCCCTGAAAAGGGAAGGCAAGGTCGTAGCTGAAGAGGATGATGAATCTGCTAGTCACGCGATGCAGCACATGCTAGAAGATGTGGATAGTAACATTGACCAGCTGAAAAGTTCCAGTCTCTTCTCCGGCGACGAAGAGCGTTTTGCGTTTGCTCGGGCGCTCTCAAGACTGACTGAGATGTCTAGCCAAGAATGGGTCGAGCGTGGAATGGGACTTGAACAGTCAGGAGGGAAGTCAGAAAGAGACGGCTGGATGAAGGCCCGTAGTCGGCATATGGAAGACAATATGTGACGCAGCGCTGAAATAGAGATTCTTTTACCATTTGGGTATTAGCATAGTCGGCGTTTTGTCCTGGTTCGGTGAATGAGCTGATGACAACATAGAGTGGTGGTAGAAATACTACATATGTACATGTCTTGTGGCTAGTGAGTCAGCTTTATACCAGGAGTTTAGCTAGCTTCCTATAGATACAGCATTGAGGCATATACTGCATCATAAACGACATCATGAGATTTTGGGGATTCGGTCGACTACGCTACTCGGGAATGTTGAACTCATCATGGAAGTTTGCGATTTGTATAACATGGCATTGGGTTAGTTTGCGCGTACAGTAGCACTATAAACCGTCGGTTTAGCGTAGGATTATGACGAAGAGAGTCAAGCAAGATGGCGGTGATCGAAAGCGGCGTGAAGAAGTACCGACGACGACGATCCGTTGGCTCGTGCGACCGTTGGTTGCATCTTAGTAGAAGATTTAAACAACCTCAGCAGCTCAGGTCTCATCGAAAATGCCTAACGTAAGTTTGACTTGGTTACACTGCGTTGTGCTAATTGCGTCGATTTTAGAAGCTACATGTAACCAACTGAATCCATGATTCTGTGTACCTAAGTACACACCTACAAACACTGAATACCTGGGTATATTGTTGGATAAGTTCTATTCCTAAGATCTTGGCATCTATCTAAACATATCTAGTAATAATTAAAATAAGTAGGTGGTATCTATGATATATCCAACGCACGCGACGCGTTGGGGTTCATCATCTAGAACACTTCGATCGGCACGGTCGGGTGAATTCCCGCTGGAAGCTTGACTGATGAACCCGCGTTAGGACATATCTAGGAACCGCTGAGACTAGCTGGGATAAAGGTGGCGTTTGGCATTTTTAGTGGCTTTAGGGGGTTGGCCTAGACTCTATCAACTGTAACTGTCAATGGCTAGGCTTGTTTTTAGCGTCTCGTATACTCGTACACTCCTATACACTACTTAGGCCCTATGTATAGCGCTTACATATCTTTATAAGGCGTAGAATAGGGGGTTCTACAGTACTACCGATGCTGGATTTTAAGCGGGATTTAAAAGCTATATACATATATACTAGGTAGGCTGTGCTATTAATCCACAATTGAGGGCACATCACTATATGAATTGACGGAGAATTTTATTTTGGAGTTCATATCTGGAGTTGTAATTTACAACGTAGGATTCTTGCCGACGCAAGTTTCGATTAGGTATACTAAGCGACGCGAACCCCTGTTGGATCCTTCGAATGAGAGGAATTGGTGGGAATGATACAGTTATTTCATGACTTGCATATGGTTGGTATCATGATGACGAGAAATTCTTGTAATTCCTACGATGTTGTTGTTGATAAGGAAAACGAATAAAGTTCCGTGCCGCCGGATGCCCTACAAATAATTATGTACAAGTCAGATTGACAGATGGATCCCTTAACCGTACGTTTCCTTGACATTAGGCGTCTGACTGGATGTCTTGGACGATGCGTATGTGGGGGTTGGTTCTCTTCAGTGGGCAGAGCCTCATAAGGGAGAATCAACCCCTGCCAAGGATGTGCGGACTATAAATTACACATGTAATGCCTTTTTGAAAATGTACAGATTAAAATGTCGGTCATTGATTCAACTAAATCTTTATAATCCATCAGTAAACTCGATAATGAATCACCTACCTGACGCTTTAATTGCTGCTAGACCTACAGAATGGCAGAGTAACGGCTGACCAACATCGTCACCGAACTGTCTAACTAACTTGAGTGGATATACCCTTCGTTCCAAGGCACATACATATATGTATGTATGTGCAGGGATCATTGCAGCTACCGTTGCACATACATCATACATCCACTGTGCTGTATCAGCATGAATGGTTCATCCGTCAGACCAATCAACTGCATATAAGGGGGTTATCATAGAAGTTTATATAAATTTATTATATGTATATGAACACTGTACTACAAAATACTAATGGAAGGGTTCAAATAACACATTCATGCGACTGTAGTTACAGCAATCTTCAAGGTGTAGAGTATCCACTCTCGGGGCTCCAGGGCTTAATTATTAGCGTCTAAACAATCGCTGCTAGTCCGGCGAATCAGATTGGTTCTCTACTACGTAGGAAAGGGCTCGCCGGGCTTTTGGTAGTTGCTTAAGCGCTCTAAATGCTACCTACACGGTACGTACCACCAGTAGCTCCCGGGGCTTTGGACCAAAGGAGAAGGAATTGGCCAAGACTCTAACCTAGGACGTACCTTCCCATGTCGGCGTTGGTGGGGTGCAATCATTTGCGAGACTGTGAGAGGGCCGCTCCTTTCTTTCTAAGGGTTGATCCAGCCCACCAAATAGGAGATTCCGTCATTCTTTTCAGTGGAGTCCTAGCAGTTCTAACCCTTCCAACCCAGTTTTGCTCATCTCGAGTCCCGGTACCTAGTAAATCACAGTACCCTCCACTCCCTTCAAGTTTGCCTTGGTCCTTGGCTCTTTTTTTTGGCCTGCCAGGTCTTGTCTTCCTTTAATCACTCTTTTCCCTTTTCATTAATTTTTTTTTTCGGCGTCTCTGCGAAGACGTTTGTCTTGCCTACTATAGGACCCAACGTAATGCTGCAGCAACAATTAAATCTGCGAACCATCTCTGGACAAAACTGCGAAGGATAGCCTAACCTACCTGCGCATCGCCGTCATTTTTCTGGGCCCCTTTTTCCCACCCTTAGAATGGGCGCGATCAAGAGCGCTCTTTCCTTGATCCCGTCTATTCGACTCCCGGGATCCAAAGTCGCATACGAGGAGTTACCTTCACATGATATTAGCCATGCTAATTCACCGTTAGCTGAATCGCCTATCATGTCTGACGTCTGGCGCAAGGGAGCGTCAGTTCCACGACGTCGACTAGGTTTTCTATTTCGCACATCACCAAAGAGATTGGTCATCATCACACTCACTTTATTCTTCACATTCATTTTACTTGCAGGTGGAAGTCTTCGTGCACGACGATATTATGCAGAGAAGGCCAAGGAGGAAGAACGAATACCCTACCACTGGGAATTATATCCCAAGTAAGTTACATCGCCTTTAGTCGCTTGTCTTAGAGGTGACACACCTATGACGCCGATAGCTCTAACACGTGTGTTATAGACTAAGTGGTTTCTACAATGGCGTTCGCTCGCTTGTGAATTATACGGACTGGGTTCCGGAACAGCAAGACACATCAAAGACTAAAATTACCATCCACAAAAATATTCCTTTCGACCCGGTTGTCGTAAATCCTTATCCTGACTTCAGCTCCGACGAGTATTTGAAGGACCACCAACCCGTTCAACGATGTTACTTGGACGATAATGAGAAGTACTTAGCACCTGATATCTTCGCCTATCCAGGCATTCCTGCTGGAATGACAGCGCCATACTGGGGATCATACGAGAATATCGGCATCGCTCCGGATCGTTGCTGGGAACGCTTCGGTCGCTTCGGCCCGTACGGTTACAGCTATAACCCCGCCGAAGGAGGGCTTGGACTTTCAAACAAGTCGGCGCATGTAGGAGCCGAGAAGGTTCAGGAAATGTTCACCAAGGTCGATTATCGTGGCGTGAATTGGGGCAAGGCACAGAAAAAGTGCTACGAAAAGAATGAAAAAAGATTTGACACCAACTCGACGCGCGGCGATGGTGCAAGCGACCAGAAGAAACCAATCAAACGCTCAGCTTACGTATTGCGAACCTGGACAGGATATCAGTACACCGATATACAGCTCTTGTCATTGCGGGCCATGGTCAATGAGTTGTCGCTAAAGTCCGGTGGAGAATACGACGTCCACCTACTTGTGCATGTGAAGGATGATAAGCTTCCCATCTGGGCGTCCGAAGAGGTTTACAACCAGACAATAAGAGACAACGTACCGGAAGAGTTTTGGGATATTACAACCTTATGGTCCGAGCAGCAGATGCGAACCTACTATCCTGGCCCGTTCCGTGACGAAGATAACGTGGAGAACCATTCGAAATCCGACATCCACGGCGTCTATCGAAGTGCCCATTTCGCCTTACAATGGTTTGCACAGCAACACCAGGAATACGACTTCTTCTGGAACTGGGAGATGGACCTTCGATACAACGGCCACTATTATGAATTCCACAATGGTATTTCGAACTGGGCAGCCGAGCAACCACGAAAACTGTTATGGGAGAGGAGTTCTCGATTCTGGATACCTGGCATTCACGGTTCCTGGGCTAAGTTCTCACAACTCGTGGAACGAGAGACGGTAGAAAGAAACGAACAACCCGTTTGGGGACCAGTAACATTCCCTACTTCTGGCCTTGGTATGCTCCCGTCGCCCCTGAAAAACACGCCGCCGAAGAAAATCGAGGAAGACGATTATGAGTGGGGTGTGGGTGAAGATGCTGATCTGATTGTGTTTGATCCTCTGTTTGACCCGGCGAAAACTAACTGGGTCTTCCGCAACGATGTTACTGGATACAACACATCGCTTGAGACACCACCGCGCCGAGTAGCCATCATTACTGTTGCTCGACTCTCGCGAGAACTGCTAAACACCATGCACGAAGAGACTTTCCACATGCATCACACTATGTTCCCAGAGATGTGGCCACCATCGGTTGCGCTCCACCACGGGTTCAAAGCTGTTTATGCTCCGCATCCGGTCTTTTTTGATCGCAAGTGGCCGCTAGATATTATGGATAAGACCTTCAATTATCCATCTGCGCCACACGAAAGTCCTTTCGGCTGGGGTGAGCACAATATGCAAGGCGGTAGTTTCTACTACAACGCTGGTTTTAGCGGTGCCCTGTGGCGACGATGGTTAGGTGCCAAGGAGAACGGCGAGGGTGGCAGGAAGACAGAACAATCTCGGTCGGATCGTATGTGTCTACGGGGGATGCTTTATCATCCTATCAAGAGCGAGGCCGTCGAATAGGTTGTTCATGAGGTTATCTGATTTCGGCGTAAGAGGCGTTTAAGGAATAGCCAAAGTATAGGGCATCAGGTGTTATTCGAGAGCATTTAGACATTTGCAGAGGCGGCGTTTTTTCCCTACCATCCATCACACGGCATCACGCAGCATTCGAGAGTCAGAATCGTTTCTTCGCATATGGAATTATGGGGGTTATGATACCCTTTCATTTCTGGACGACATACCTTTATTTCTTCCCCCCGCCCCCTCTTGTTTAAAATAGCAGATACAAGGAAGCCACCAGGATCGCCGAGGAGGTTGGCTATGCTAATGATGGAGAGATTCCGATTGCATAAGATGTGAAGTTGGTCAGCCAACAAAGACACTGTACACAACCTTGTGTATAGTATAATTTAGCTTGAGCACGAAATGTCTAATACCAAGTAATGAATCAACGATCGCATTATGTGTCTGCCGTGTCTATCCAAGTTATGTTACTCATCCCGTCCGTATTCCCGCTCCGAGACATGATTATGTAAGTCATAATATCCTCAACAATTCTTAAGCACGTGCTAGGGCGACACGAAGGGATATCAAATTACGTCATTTCCATTATTGATAACAAAGATGGCCTGTGCTTCCCAGGCAACCAGGAGTGTTACTCCAATTACTCCAAAGCTGATGCAGCTTCCCGAATTGGTCATCAGTCAGCTGTTATCCATTTCAAGCTCCCGGATGACCTGTGATCTTCAACTAACTCACCCCTCAACAACAATAGCAACTTGTTGAAGTTATATACACTTTTATTTCGTTTTCATATTTTAGTACTCTACTTCATCTCAATAACGTTATATCAAACCAGTAGTCTTTTTCGTTCGTTAGTTAAACGTAATTCGCCACGATGAAGGCGTCTCTTCTCGCTCTCCTCCTGCCTGCGGCAGCTAGTGCTCGTTTCATCGAAGCAAACGAAGCTAATCGTATCCTCCCTTACACCGGTGCTCTTGTAGAAGAGGTAGAAGCTCCGGAAAAGTTCCTAATCGAGCTATCTCCTGGTGAGACGGCTTGGGTAACTGAAGAGGAGAAATGGCAACTCCTTCGTGTATGACTCGCTCCCCAGCTTCAATATTATCCAGTTTGGTCAAGACAAGCATGTACTAATATATGCATTTTTATAGGAAGGACAACATTTCATGGACGTCACAGAAAACGGCGACCTCGGCTCGTTGCGTACCGCTTCCAAGGCCACTCCCGTCTTTCCCGAGAAAGTACAACTTCAATCCGAAATCCACCCACTACTAAAGAACCTCTCCAAGGACTTGATAAAGGAACACCTTGAAAAGTTTACGAGCTTCCACACACGATATTACAAGTCCGATTACGGTCGTCAATCGTCCGAGTGGCTGCTATCGAAGGTACAAGAGACAATCAAGGAGGCAGGTGCTGACAAGTACGGCGTCAGAGCCGAACACTTTAAGCACTCATGGGGTCAGAACTCGATTATCGCAACAATTCCCGGCAAGTCGAACTCGACTGTTGTTATTGGTGCTCACCAAGATTCGATTAACCTATGGTTGCCGTCTATCCTTGCGGCTCCTGGCGCTGATGATGACGGAAGTGGTACTGTTACGATCCTCGAGGCCTTCCGCGTCCTTCTCTCTTCGGAGGATGCCATTAATGGCAACGCTGAAAACACGATCGAGTTTCACTGGTACAGCGCTGAGGAGGGCGGTCTTCTTGGTAGCCAGGCCATCTTCTCGGCCTATGAGAAGCAGAGCCGTGATGTGAAGGCTATGCTACAACAAGACATGACGGGTTATGTTCAAGGAACGCTGGACGCTGGCAAACCCGAGAGTGTTGGTGTGATCACTGACTTCGTCGACCCTGGCCTGACTACCTTTATCAAGAAAGTCATCGAGGAGTACTGCGAGATTCCTTGGGTTGAGACCAAGTGCGGCTACGCCTGTTCTGACCACGCGTCTGCCTCCAAGGCCGGATACCCTTCCGCCTTTGTGATAGAGTCAACTTTTGGCGAATCCGACCAGCATATCCACAGCACTGATGATTTGATCAAGTACCTATCCTTCGATCACATGCTTCAGCACGCGCGAATGACCCTTGCGCTTGTCTATGAGCTTGGCTTCACCAACTTTGCGAAGCTGGAGAGCCAAAACCAGATGGGCGAGTTGTAGAGCAATCTTGTTACATTAGGCATAACATTGTACCAGCGATTATTGAGATTAATTATAGTTGATATCGGCACACGAGGAATTATCGAAGTTTATGAAGTGTGTATTGAACGCATTAGGATAGCGATGAGGGAAGTAGATTAAGCCCTTTGATGTATAGGCTGTACGAGTTTTTGATTGGGCAGCGGTTCATAGAAACAAATCTTACAGGTAGAAATTCAATTCTATGGGTATTCCTGCATCATTCGGCGCTTTCATTAACACTAAACGTAAGGGGGTATCCTCTGTACCTGCCTACCTATACGTTCATATGTACATGTACGTGCGGACGGCAAGAACGATATGTAGCTCTTTGATGCTACGAGCCGATTATCCGAGCAAGGCAATTCCATCTCGGAGCTTGCGTCATTCTTTCGGCAGACTGGGTGAGACTAATGCACTATACCCTGTTATTAGCTGCATTTTTCGAAAGCCACACCACCCCAAAAGTCTCACTTATCCTCAAGTCTTGGCATCATAGGTTCGGATAGCCTTGTTTTAACCTCTGTCCAGCTCCGAGTCTAACAAGACCGAATTGCCCGTTACATGTTTCGTATTCCTATATATATATATATATATCTTATGGTTCATAGCAAAAGGAATATGATACATCTATAATAAGATGCCATCTTGCTTAAATCATTGCTGTGGCTTTCATGTTGAATACATTGAACCTGGATGAATTAGTATTATAATAAGTTTGACATCATTGTTACACCTCAAGTACCTCGGAAATAACACCGGCAGCAACTTGCCGCAGCCACTATGCCCGCAATCCAAGATTCCGATGCGCCCATTGAGTCTCCCTTTACGATTAGTGAACACTTATGCGAATTGTGCCAATCACCTGAGAGTGTTACATCTATAGTAGCCCAAGAACCATCTCTGGCTCCGGGTGATGCATGGAAGAAATTGATTGGTCATCATGAACATATTCATATTTCCAAAGGCGATGTCCGCGACATTGGTAAAGGTTCACTTGATTCGAAGGAATTAGTGAAAGCCCGGACTTGTGGAAAATGGGGTTCGCAAGAGCCCGGGGATTTATTCCTCAGAGTTAGTTATGAAATACCCCAGTCCAGAATGAATCTGGCTAACTTTATGAGATGTACCATGATGCACTATGTACACTTGATGATGATCTGGAGGCCGGTATGGTGAGCCCTTCTTTAATGGGTAGTAGTGGGACTATGCCTCTTACTATTATCTCTGTGTAAGTCTATACCTGTAATTAATGTTTCTCTACACATAATTCTAATTCTTATAAGAATTCCTGATATTGTGAGGCATATGTCCAACCTCATCGTCCGTGCGGAAAGAGAAGTATTCCTCGCTACCAATTTCTGGCAGAACGGAGTAGCCTCTAAGTACATCACAAATGCGATAAGGGAGCTTTCACGTCGTGCAGGAGAGCGGGGCACCAAGATCGTAATGAAAGTCATCTACGATCGCGGAAGCCCGAAACAGCTACTTGAACCGCACTACACGGTTCCTGAGAGCGAGTACACAGGTAGTGCCGTGGCGCTACCGGCTTCACATGAAATCCCGAATATTGACTTGCAAGTCATCAACTACCATCGTCCACTGTTAGGCACATTTCATGCTAAGTACATGATCGTAGACCGCAAGGTTGCTGTCCTGCAAAGCAACAATATTCAGGACAATGATAATGTGGAGATGATGGTGGAAGTTGATGGTCCTATCGTCGACTCAATGTACGATATGGCGTTGATAAGCTGGCATAAGAAATTGGAACCGCCACTGCCAAACCTTGGTATTCCTGCGGTTCAAACCGGGAGCGGGAAATTTGGTGCTAGCCATGCCGACATATTTGGTCCTGATGGGACTGTGAAGGGCTACTCCGTGATGGCTGATCCGGCTAAATTGCCAAGAGGAACGGCCGATGGACTAGAAGTTCTCCAACAGAAGCCAATAACAGAGGGGACGGGGAGTACCAATGGCTTAAACGGGCCTGCCACAGAGACACTTCAAAACCCATCCCCTCTGGACGGCGATGTGGCGGGACCTGGTGATCGTCAAGGCCAAGATACCCTCCCAGAGCACACTTCAGATGACCCCCACTACGATGAAAACCTCGCGGGAGAAATTCAACGTATACAAGCGTCGGTAAGCGCAAAGCCAAACGAAACGAAAATGCAGGCCATATCACGGCACCTCAACCACACAGTCAATAAAGGATTTGAAGGGGACGCTCCTGAGTGCGATTCGCACGATGATATGACACCATGCATACCGCACCCAGCGCATGAGCCATTTCCTATGGCTCTGGTCTGCCGCCCGCCATACGGTCACCCAAACCACAATTCAGTATCGAACCCGCAAAATGCGGCGTGGTTGTCGGCACTGAGGAACGCGAAGAAGAATGTGTTTATCCAGTCCCCAACGTTGAACGCGGAGCCCCTGATACCGGCTATCGTGGAGGCGTGTGAGCGTGGTGTTGATGTGTATTGTTATATATGTCTAGGATATAATGATACGGTAAATTATTGTCTCATCCTATTTTCTGGAGATTTTACACCAAATTTACTAACACCCTTTTTATATAGGGCGAGATGCTCCCCATGCAGGGCGGCCATAATGAGTCCATAGCCCATCGCTTATATACTTCGCTCCTCTCACCTGAGGCGAAGAAGCGTCTACATTGGTACTGGTATATCGCCAAGGACCAGACCCGTCCCATCGTCGCATCCAAAAAGCGACGCTCTTGTCATGTTAAGCTGCTTATTGCAGATGAACGTGTCGGCGTCGTTGGGAATGGGAATCAGGATACGCAGAGTTGGTTCCATAGTCAGGAGGTTCGTAGCCAACACCCCTTTCATGCACAGAACCAGATTCAGATATAAGCTAACCAGATGTCTAGATCAATATTCTACTCGACAGCGAGCCTATCTGCCGCTCGTGGATTGAGGGCCTCAGGCGCAATCAGAATACACATTTGTATGGTACTGTTAGCACCGAGGATGGCGTGTGGAAGGATGCGAAAGGTGAGGGAGCTGATGGCGCGACGGGTGTGGATGCTGGACGCTTTAGCTGGGCGAAGGGTGTTGTTGGCGCTGTTAAGAGGGTACAGGGCACCGGTGGGTTTTAAGGTGGTATTTTATGGGGGAAGGGAAAAAGGGGAATGGATTAAAGACGGACGAGTATGTAATGATGGTGCCAATTGACATGGCTTGGGTGTGATCTTGAACGGAAGATGTGTTTTAGTCCTATTGAATTATACGGGCGGTAATCGATGATTAGTCTAAATACTTCACATATGCTTGACTGTATTTCTTCGTTCCTAGTATTTCTTCAACGTGATGTAAAATAGGGCATAGCCAGACATCCGGTTTATCTTTGTTATAGTGCCTCCTCGCCCACAAAACATACACATTTAGGGGTATGCTGCACCTAAGTAGACCTAAGGTCCCTATAAAGTAGGGGCTAGTGGGGGTAATTAGGGGGCGTCCAGGTACCTAGAACTCCAAATGCTAGGCTTAGGTACCCATAATTACAGGGCATGACGCCTTTACTCATCAGTGAGATAAGTAACAATCGTAGGCTTATATGTCCTAGTTCGTACGAATTTGGGGTACGACGTTTATTTCTATAATATGCTACCTATCAGAGTGCGAGTGTCGTTTCGCACACACTTAAGTAGAACGCATCGTTACTAGGACTATATACACACATACTTCTAGTATGTCCATTAAGCCCTCGAGAGTCGTTAACCCCTTTTTCCCAAATCATCGATAGTACGTAAACCCCTTAGGGTTTCACCCATTCGCATCTCATCCCCCGCCGTGATTCCACATCACACCCAGCCTCAATCGGGGTATGAGGATATGGAAAAGATACTACAAAGGTTGTGGATGGGTGGCGGGCAGTGCCGCGCCATTCCCCCCTTGAAGACCTGTGTACCAATTAATCCAGTCGAATACAAAGTTGAACCACCGGACTTGATTCTCCCGGCCGCGTATGCTATGTCCTTCATTATCGAATTGAACGAATCTCGACAACACATTCCTCGCACAGGCATTATTAAAAGCTGCTAGACCTTCCTCAAATTTGCAGGTATTGTCGTTTTTGCCATGAATGATGAGCATCGGTGTCTTCCACTCCTTGAGGAGATGCGGCTGTGACGGGTCGTCGCCGTAAAAGTAATCGTCCGGATCGTCAGGATAGGGGCGTCCTGCGTAGCGACGCCAATGAATTATACCGCCAGAGCATACTATGGATTTGAACTACGAAGAGAAGTATCAGTAACTGTAGCTCGGTGATAAGGCATTAAGATCGCAGTTAGGGGGCTCACCCGTTGTCCAAATTCATGACCTTGGATCCAGTTCATCAGGAGACCTCCATAGCTATGGCCGAAAATGACGGCGTTTCCGGTATCGACATTAGGATTTGCTTCGAGATGCTCCGTGCAGTTCATCAAATCCTGAGTCGGAAGAGTGGTGCGATCGAAGTCTCCATAAATATCTATTGATGTTAGCAGTCGGGCCGAGGTGAATTCTTATTTTCCCTTACCATGTATAAAATCATTGCCATAGTCTGTACTTCCGAGGATATTAGGAGCCACAACTATATAGCCTTGTTCAGCCCAAAGCACCGGGTTATTCTGCAGACGGTCGTTAGCGAAAGCGAGTTAAAGGGCCAGAGAATTAAATTGAGAGTACATACGTTACCCCACTGGTCGTTCCATGCCAGGTGTGGACCGCCATGTACGAGGATGGCCAGGGGATACCGACGCCAGTTATCAAAACTACTAGGCGTCACCATCCAAGCATGGACACGATAGTCGCCGGCTCCTTTGAACTCTATCTGCGAAATTTGGCGTGGCGATAGGCCAAATAGAGCACCATTTTGTGTGGCCGATAAAACTACTCGAGGTATACGCTCTTCGTCCGTGCTGATGATGTGGTAGAGTGAACTTTCGAGTAGGCTCGAGCTACTGACCAGAAGTTCCTCCGCGTTACCTCGGCGAAGGAGAAAGAATGATTCCACAGAACCATTGCTACGCAAGAGCGAGATGGGGGACGCATTGCTATTGCTCCCAGATCCAAACGGATCGAACAAGAGGCTGAGTTTGTATAGAGCAACTCTACCATGGTCATCCGCAGTAACAAACAAGGCCAGGCCATCGGGGGAAAACTCAACACTCAGCGGATATAGATCTCATTGATCTTCATCTAAGACTTCATCCTGAGGCCCAGTGAAGTACCTATCGCGTATCGGGATGACGAAAACACGATCGCTCATCTTCATCATCGATCCAATTATAAGCGCGATTTCGTTACCGTCCGGGCTGAATCGAGGGTGTTTACCTAACCTATTAAACCCTCTGGAGTCATCTATTCGGATGGACACGACGTTGGTATTTGCCGCGAAGGAATGAATTTTGGTGTAGTAAATGTTGAACTCGTCTCCCATCAGCCTGTTTACTTTAGTGCTATCTCTCGCGCCAAATACAATTCCGTTTTCGCATATATCGTAGTTGTTTCCGTCTCGTGAAGTTTCAAGGCTGGTGCCCAGAAGGACATCGTTCATAGGGCTGGTGAATTTCCACTCATCTCCATTCTTCTCAAGAGTGGTGTAGAGGATCTTGTCACGCGAGGTCTCTGGATGGTCGCTCGGCTAAAAAAATATTAATTTTCGTCCATGACTTCCATTCGTGGCGCCCTGACGTGATGATTTGTGGCGTATGTTTGGAAGTTGCAGCATAATTTACATCGATTACTCGAGGGCCGTTTACGCCATCTACCAGGTTGGCGCTCTGGTAAATCTTTGCCGTGTGCGGCGATTTCGCAAACTCCTCGGTACCTTCACCAACAGCGACAACAGCAACAGAACCATTGGGTAGGGGCTTTGTCTTGAAGGAAAACACAGACATCGGGAAAATACCGATGCAGTACGACAATTGGTTGGCCATGTTAATCGCATGGAACTCGGTCGGGCTCCCAGAATTGAAGAAGATTATTGTTCGAGAGTCATCCCCTAACCAAGTTACGTTGTATATCTTAGCTCGTTGGAGGATCTTATAGGAGTTTCCGGTGCTGATCTCCATAATCCATATTTCCTTAAACTCACCCGAGAGCTTCGTGTATCTTGATACGGTGTATAGGGCTCGAGTACCGTCGTGACTGGGTTGAGCGGGTCCCATTATGGGAGCCAAAGCAAAGGTCTCCGGTGTCAGAGCCGTAGTCGTCATGCTGAAGGATGAAGTGGGATGCTGGTTGAGTATTAGTTGAGGTGTATACAGAAGAACACCTATAGAATCTGGTCTCACTCAGAATTTTATTTGGAAAAAGTTAACAATTACCTATGCTGAGTTCCTATTTTATTTTATAATGTGCCCATGCGGGTCTGACAGGTGAAAAATCGATTTAGGCAGCTCTCGTGAACCACATTTGTGCGTAATATCTGTTTGTGAAGCGCCGATATAGTTGAGTATACAGGCCACTCCCCCGTAATTTCACACTTCCGGGCCCTTCATTATCCTTTATTATCTGGTCTGTACTAGCTTATTGGATTAGCACTTTCCAGAGACCCAACTGAACTTTCCTTCCATACAACACAAAAGCGTTTGCGTGTAGTCCATTGAGAAACAAGCACATCGTTTGTGAACCCTCATCGTGATGAAAGGTTCTCCAAACAGATGGACCAAGATACCCAATATTGGATCGAATTTCAATCAGGTCGACACATGGGAATAGAACAAACAAATAAAACTGCCATTGTATTAGTATCTACGAGTACATGTTGACGAGCATCTGAGTATGACCAGCTGAGAGACGACGATGTCTTATATAATCTTTAAAAATTGCTTAGCTAATACATATGTACATACTCTTCAATGCAGCATGTAACTTAGCATTAATATGATCCAATCAAGAGGGCTTACCTAAAGTGCCTACTTAGGTACCTGAGTACCTAGGTATTTAGAGTTAGATCTTAGATCGCCGGTCGAAGCTTATTAAGGGGATAGATTCATCCAATCAAGAGCTCAAGCTAGTCTATCTCCGATCTCGGCGGGGAAGCTTACAAAATGACGCTTCCTAATGGATGAACAACTAAGAATAACTAAGCATAACTAACAAGCTAAGCTACCGACATATACACCATACACCATTATACAGAACATAACGTTGATACGCTCATCATAAGTGATATCTTCTCTTTGTGGCTTTCATTCTGTAACGGATGAAAGCCACCAAAGGAAGAGAGCCTTAGTTTAAACTAGAATCCATCTCTATTATTTTTCTTCTTCTTCAATAAATGACGCAAAGTCCCGATGCAGACCGCAATTTGTCCCTCTCGCTTTCCCTTCTCGTGATATCTAGCTGGGGAAGTAAGCTAGTGATTTGTTGAATAAGTTACCTCGAGCTGCTGGAGTTAACCCGGACTAAGTATAATAAATACGTATACATAAAAAAGTCCGAAGCTGCGATGAAAAACGATAGCTTCGACAAGCAGTCGGGTGCCTCGGCACCGTCAAGCTCGTCTATCCCGATTCCGAGTAGAGACGCTGTCGAGATGCCATCATCCAAGCTCCAACATAAATGGAATACGAAGAACCTAGGTTTGAGGTTTGGCGCCGACTTCACCAGCGCAGCGAGTGCTGCGTCGATGGTCGCGCCTCTTATAGCTGTAATTGATAGGTATGTCACTCTTGTATAGTAAATTCCAATATCCCTCAAGCTTGCTCGGTCGCTAAATCCACCTCGGAATAGGTCAATCATGGAAAATGCCTCCGGTCGAAACACCCTTGGCAACAGCCTTAAGTCCTCGTTACGTTCGCTCCTCCTCCGTCCCCATACAATGCTCTTCTCCAAACCCGTCGCCCTCATATTCATGCTGTACGGCGGCACCTACTTGACGGCCAATACACTAGACACGGCTACGTCGACGGTACGCGGGGTGCTCGCCACGCACGTCACGACCGGAACCGCTAAGTTTGCTGCGTCGAGTGCTGCCAATGTCGGTCTCTGCGTTTACAAGGATCAAGTTTTCGTAAAGATGTTTGGACCTGGCGGACCGCCTCGACCTGTACCTCTACCGAGTTATTTTCTGTTCACGCTGCGCGATTGCCTTACCATCTTCGCCTCGTTCAACGTACCCCCGCTACTTGGCCCGGTGTTGAATGAGCGTATGGGCGATACCATTAAAAACAACGTTAGCGGTACCACTGTTGCGCAGTTTGTAGCTCCGGCCGCTGTGCAGTTATTCTCAACACCGGTTCACCTACTCGGCTTAGATATGTACAACCGGCCTGGGGTGGGTAACATGGTATCTTGGCGTAACAGATGGACGCAAGTGCGTAAGAACTGGGCTATAAGTACCGTAGCGAGGATATGCAGGATTGTGCCGGCGTTCGGGTTAGGTGGTACGGTAAACACAAAAGTACGAAGGAATCTCATGGAAAAACTTGCCTGATAATAGCTATAGGTCTCATGTTGAATGGCTACACTTGATGAACGATTTGCTTGGGCTTGGCGTTATATGGAAAGGGATGGTTATGGTTATATTTCGGCGGATACCACAAAACTACACAAAATAGGTTGGACGGCGGAGAACGGATGACAGGTTTACGAAACATACCGATCGGGTAGACAAGAAACTAGTATGTTTAGGCTGGGGGGTCTCGGGACTGATGGCGACGGGCTGGGTTACGATGTATTAGTAGAGTTAATGACAATCATGACATGATGTACAATAAAGTTCTAGGCGACGCATATCTACACAGACGTTCGATGGCATTTATATTGCGTGTACTCTATAAGAAACCAGCCTCACTTAAGGCCTTGATGATTTTATCACCGTCTGTGGTTTTCCGGGGCCTATTTCGGTATTCCCCTGTATCGATATAGTTCTCCCAGAACTTGAGCCCTTCGATACCTTCCTCACGACAGAGGACGCCTTTCTCTTCTGCCATCTCGAGCTCTTCTTCAGCTACACCGATACTCCATCCAAATCGCTCAGCTGCGTCTTGCGCAGTGACACCTCGGCCAAACTCTTGCCAATCCCAAGGAACATCTTTATCTGGTGGAATATCATGCAAATCTCGAAGCCAGGATAGCAATGCTTTAATTGTAGTCCCGTCTGTTCGATCGCGACTTTGCACGACCATCACACCGCTCTTAAATGTTCGCAACCGAACTGGTAATCTTAATTTTCTCCAGAGACGTGCTGCCTTCTCGAAGTCGTTGGGGCTTACAAGTTCAACACCACCACGAGCGCGATTGAACATAGCCCACAGGTCGACTAAGCTAATAATGCCACCAGCCTTCTTGAGCACGCCCCTGGCATCGTCAGTCAAGAACTCTGCAAGGTTTCTAGATAGCTCGGACAAGTAGAGTGATTCCGAACCACTGCTACTTCCACCACCGACAATGTCCTTAGTAGTGACGAGCCCAAGCTGACTAGCAGACTCGGCGAGCAAGGCGTTCGCTTCCGAAGTCTCCTTTTCGGTACCACTATTGGCCTGTCGAGCGAACGACTCTGCAAGCGCTACAATTTCTTTGGCAGAGGTCATCAAGGCCTCAAGATCCTCGAAAGCGCTCCCGATCACGAGTTCGTTGTTCTTGCGTCTATCTAGACCCATTTGCTCTAGACCAGCAATACCAGCAGTCTTAATTCGACCTGGCCCTGGCCCTGAATTTGACGAAGAGTCCGCACGCACAAGATTGCTACTACCGTTTGGAATTGGAGGGGCCTCCTGCAAGAGCCATTTGCGCTGAGTCATGGAACTCTTCAGTCGTTCAAAGAATATCTTGTCGCCTCCACCCCGAAAAGATACCTTGACACACTCAGGGTTCTCTAAGCCCACAACGCTAGCTACATTGAGCGTAGGTCCTGGCGAGTCTGTCCTCGGTTGGCTGTGTGCCACTGTCATGGGGACATCATGAGATATCAAAGGCGCACCACACATTTCACAGGAAAGCAGAGAGGGGTGATTCAAGAAGGTACAGCGGGGACATTGAAATCCATCCGAACTCGCCGGATTTGTTGTTGCTTCTCGCGATGCAGGACTCGTTTCTAACCCCCTTGTATCATCCGGCGCCAGACCTATACTCTGTGGCCGAGAAGGCAATGGGAACGGCGACTGAGGCGTAGAGTTGGATGTCACCTGTCTGCTAGTAACACTCGATATAGAGGCCTTGAGTATGTGCGTTAAAGCCGGCTTGATACCACAAGCCAGACATGGTGGCAAGGGTGTATGCGCGTTGGCGGTCGTCGGATCGAAGTTGGACGGAACGGGATTCGGAAAGCTACATATTGTACAGATCCACGTTGCGGAGCTAGGTTGTGGTGCACCAGCCGAGGGGGATCGGAATTGGGAGTCGGAAGCTGGCAAAGGGGATGCGTTACTACTGCGGGAAGCTGTCGATGTTGCTGCGGCCGCTCTAGACTGAAGCGAGCCTCGTTTGGCTGGCTTGGGAGTAAGAACTACTTTCGGTGAAGATTTAAAAAATCCTGCCTATAGAAACATTAAAAAACCATGACCATATTCTATGAGGGTACATATTACCACCAAGGGCCATACATGCTGTTCGATCTTCTCTACATCCTTCAGATCTAGAGCGACAGAGTGCTTCCTAGGCTCCTGTTTATCGACGTAACATATTCGATGCGATGTTAAATAGACTTGTCCATTTTGTTGGTTTGGCAATTTGTATTTTCTATAATCATTGGTATTTATCTATGGTTAGCGACTTAAGAACAACAAATGGTAATGTCGCAACGGATCGTGTGGTTGGTAGTCATTAGCAAACTCACCCCTCATAGAGCCCCACGTTGTCCTGGACGAAGAGAAGGACTTCGTCTGGAAGATAGGATGGCCTGAGGGCAGTGGTAAGGTCGATTTGTTTTAAAAACATTCGTCATATCGGTCAGTTTAATATAAAGGTTGGAGCATGAGAGGAGGATCAGGCTGTATTGGTAGTTATTTATGTAGATTTGAGAAAAATAGTACATGCATAGGCATAGGCATAGGTAGGCAGCGGAAGGTCAAGTTTAGGAAGGGTCAAATGCAAGCTGAGATCACCAACCAAGCGGTTCCTGCCAGGTACTAAGGTATCTAGGTACCTAAGTACATAATGAAAGACAGTTCAAATGGATTGATGTTAGATTCAATAAATTATGGGTCTATTTGATCTGACAATCTGTGCACAAGCCGCCTAAGGGTCCATGTAAACCTTGGAACTGTTTACGAGGAATTGCCGGTAAAGGATCATATATAAAGTGGTACCTTTTACTAAAGTGGACACCCCCCCTGGGGCATCATAATAACCTGACTTTTAAGTAATAAATTGTCACAAACCAGGAACCGCACGCCCGTTTCTGAAGGATAAGTGGGGCCTAAAATAATCAATAATGGTATAACCCTGGATATTTAAATATGTTAATTAATAATATATTTAATATAAAAAATAAAAAAGAAAAATATTTATATAAATTATTAAAATCTCATATATTTAATCATTTTTTTTATAATTCTTTAATTATTAATTTAAGATTATTCTTTTAAATATAATAAAATTTTTTTAAGTTTTTTTAATAAATAAAATTTATTTTTTATTTAATCTATTATTAATATTATTATTTTTAAATTAAGACATTTTAAATTAATTAATTTAATAATGATTATACCTTTTTAAAACATAGGTTTATCATATTTTAATAATTTTTTAATTAATATTAATATTAGATTAAGAAATGATATAAATCATTTATAACATATTTCATTATTATTATTAATTAAATTTTCTTTTCTTTTATTAATTTTTAAAAATAAGATAAAAAATTTCCATATTTTTTAAAGAATATTATAATTAAATATAAAATAAGTTAATGAACTTTAATTTAAAAAATAAAAAGGAATTAAATAAAGAAGAATTTTAAAATAAAAACCTAAATAATTTATAATAATCTAATTTATTATTACTTAAAATATTTATATTTATTTATATTATTTAAGATTTATTATTTATAAAAGAAATATTTTAATTTATTAATAAAATAATATCCTTTAAGACATATTTATAAATTTTAAAATTAGAAATTTAAAAAGAGATTAAGATTAAAATAAAAAAAGATAATTAAAAGGAAAAGATTCTTAATTAATAAATAAAGATTATAATTATTTTTATAAAAATTAAGAAATTTAAAAAAGAATTAATATTAAAAAAGATTAAATAAAGGAAGGTCTTTAAAGGGTTCCTATTAGGAACTTTTTAATAATTAATATTCTTTTGATTTTTAACACCTCCTAGATCATTAAATAATAAAAATAATAAAGATAAGAAAGAAAAAGGAAATAAAAGATATTAATTAAAAAAGAAAAAAATGATAATCCTTTTTTATTTATTAAAAAATATAAATTAGTCAATTTATTAATTTATATATATAAAACTTTACTTATTTTTTATAAAGAAAATTTATTATTATTTAATTTTTAAATAAAATTATTTTTATATAATTTTAGCCTATTTTAGAAAATTATTTTAATATTATTAAAGAAAAGTTAAAAAAATTTTAATACATTTTTAAATTATATAAACATTTTAAAAATAAAATGAAAATAATATTTAATAAGTTATTTAAAAAGGAAGAAATATGGAAGATTATTTGTTATCTTTAATAAAAAAAAAGAATTATCCTTTATATAATAAAATTTAAATAATTTATTATTATTAGATAATTATTTAAATAAAGGATGAATTCTTAAAGGAAAAATAACCTACTATTATTAACAAATATATAATTAAAGTAATCCTTTATAATAATAAATTATATAAAAGATATAATAAAAAAAAGAAAGGTTTTAAAATGAATAGGAATTAAAAAAGGGAAAAACTTATTAAAATTTAAAACCTTAATGTAATTAATAATAATAAGAAATCTAAAAAAGATTTAAATAAAATTAAATATTATAATTATTTATGATGAATCCTATGTCTTAAAGAGGTATAATCATTATTAAATTAATTAATTTAAGATGTCTTAATTTAAAAGTAATAATATTAATAATAGATTAAATAAATAAATAAGTTTTATTTATTAAAGAGGCTTAAAATCTTTTTATTATATTTAAAAAAATAATCTTAGATTAATAATTAAAGAATTATAAAAAAAGTGACTAGATATATAAGAAATGGTTATGGTTATATGATTTGATATTTTTTTTTTAGTTATCTTTTGTTTCCTTTTATTTTAAAACTAAATAAAACAACATTTCCTTTACTTTATTCTATTTTAAAGTTAAATAAAAATATTCTTTTTTTATATTTTATTAATTAATAAAGTAGGTTATTTTTTATAATTCTTTTATAGTTAATTACCTAATACTTATTTCATTTATAAATATGTAATTATAAGATATTAGATTATAATATTATTCTTTTCTTTTTTAAATCTTTTATTTTAAAAATTTCTAATAAATTTCTTCCTTTTTTTATTATTATTTTTTAAAAAGATATTATTTACTTTAATTAATAAAAAGAAATATAATAATTAATCTAAATTGTCCTTTATTAATCATTGTAAATATTTAGTTTTTTAAATTAAAAAAAATTAATTTTAAAATAATGTTATATATTTATTATTTTAATAAAAATTTGATTTATAAAATTATTTATAAAATTTATGAATGTTATAAATATTAAATTGTTAATATTTCATATAATAGAAAAAAGATTTCTATAAATTCTATAATTTAAATTAAAAAAAAATGTGATTTAAAATTAAAAGAGGAGATCGAAAAGCTTTGTTTTCAAAAATTATTATCTTATTTAAATTATTTTTGGAAAATATATTATTTATTAAATAAAAAAGATATTAAAATAATTTATAAGGAATTTATTAATATTAAGGAATTAAAAGGTTCTAAAGATATTAAAGTTATATAATAAATAATTATTATCTTCTTTTTTATTAAGATTTATGACGAACCTTTATCTCAAAGAGGTATAGCCGTTGCTGGATTGACTAATCCAAGATTATGACAAACCTATGTTTTAGAAAGGTATAATTGTTATTAGATTAGTTAATCCGGGATGTTTTAATTTGAAGGTAATAATATTAATAATGGGTTAAATAATTAATTAGGTTTTTATTTATTAAAAAGGCTTGGAATTCTCTTATTATATTTAAAAGAATAGTCTTAGATTAATAATTAAAAAACCATGAAAAAAATGATTAAATATATAGGAAATTCTAATAATTTATATAATCTAATATTTTTTTTATTCTTTTTTATTTTAATTTATTATTTTATAAGAATAAAAGTTCTTTATTTAAGGTTTTATTATGATTAGTCCTTTTTTATTTATTATAATATAAGGGTTAATTATAGGTTATTAATTTATAATATTATATTTCCCTTCTTATAATCTTTATTTTTAAAGATTCTTAATAAGTTTCTTTTTTTCTTTCATATTTTTTTAAGATATTATTTAATAAATAAAAACGTAATAATTTTTTCTTATTATTGTTTATTAAGTATTGTAAATACCTGATATTTAAGATAAAAATATTTAATTTTAAAATAATATTTATCATTATTATGAATATTAAATCATTAACATATCTTATAATAATAAAAAATCCTTATTAATTCTTTGATATAAATTAAAAAAAAAATATTATCTAAAACTAAAAGAAAAAACCAAAAAACTTTATTTTTAAAATATATTATCTTTTATATGAAAAAGGTTTGAAAATGATTTAAAAAGAATTTATTAATATTAAAAAATTAAAAAGGATTGTAATGGTTGTATGATAACATAACCTATTTATACCTTAATATCTCCATACATAAATAGATAGATCCTTGTATATAACCTTAAAGAAGATTCTTTCTTCTTTAGATATTATAATATATATTATCTCATCTCTATTATTTTGCTTTATTTATTATATTATTCTTTTATTTATATATATACTTATTAATATTAATTAATATTATTAAATATTAATAATATAGATTAGTAAAATTAAAAAAATCACTATCATTTTAATCAAAAGAATATCCTATAATAATATAAATAACAAAAGTACCTTTCTTCTATATATATTTATTATTATTAACCATGTTAGAAAAAAAATAATTAAAAACCTTAGTATAGGATATTACTTAATAATTTATAAAATAATTATTTATATCTTTAATAGATCTATAAAATTTTAATTTTAAATTAATAATAACTAAAGAAGAGTTAATTAATTTATTAAGAATAATCATAGGACAACCCTTCTTTTTAATTAATTAGTTTAATCCCATAATAATTAGATGGTAATAATTTAATCTAAATATAGTAAATATCTATGAAAAAGTAATATAGATATTAATAATATTTATAGAATTTAAAATAATAAATATAAGTTTATTTAATATTTAAATAATAGAAAAAATCCTTTAAAATTATTAAAAATAATTCAGAAACTTTATAGCTAATGATTTTGAAATGATGTTATCTAATCTATGGTTAAATCTAAGGAATGTATTTATAAGATAAGATATATATATTGAGAAAGTTAATAGTAGATATTTTAATACATTTATCAACCTTATAATGACCTAAATATTATTTATTTAAGATATAAGGGAATTAATTATAATTAAATAAAAATGGTTGGATGTGTTGGTATAAAAGATTTTAATAATTATGATTAATTAAAGGATAATTTATTTAAAATTAATATAAGGTTAATCCTAATTAACATTTACCTTTAGTTAAACAATAACCAAATCCCTTATGTAATAGATATCATTTAGGAAAATTGCATTAATAAAGAATCCCATTTCATTATTATTCCTATAATAACCTTTTAAAATCCTATTTTAATTAAGATAAGAAAGGTAATTAATATTATTAGTAGTAACAGACATATAAAATAAATAAACAAGACCTTTCATAATAGGAATAGGAGACAGATTATAACCCTAAAGGTTAACAATGGTTAATCCCAGTTTTATATCATCTTACTTACCATTATATCTATAACCTAATCCCATTAATAACCCCCTGATAATATCTAATAAACCTTTATTAACACAATCCCTACCAGTATTTAATAATCCTTTAATATTTAATTAATAAATATTTCCATTATTTTTTTTCTTTTCTTTATTTATTAATTATCTATATCTATATTTATTAAATTATTTTTTAATGGATTATTTAAGATATCTTAATTTAAGTTTCTAACTTAGATATAACTTATCATTTAACCT